TATACTGATTTTGGAGTCTGAAAAAATAAAGTTCTTGATCTTTATTTCTTAAAGATTAGGCTATTCTTAATCTGAATTTTCATAATATTTATTTTAATCTATTGGTGGATAACTTGGTGATTCTCTGAAAAGAGCTTTTATAAAAGCATTGCATTTCTCTTTAAATAAAATAGCTTTATTTTCTATTTCATTTTCAGAGTCTGAGAATTCTAGAATAAAAGTTTTTTTTACTCTTTTTTTTAGTATACTTATATGCTTTAAAAATCTCTTTCTCTTGAGCATTCTCTAGAAATTCATTTTAACAAGATGACTTTACCTTTTTAATAGCATTAAACTAGTCATTTCTAGTTTGTTAAAAGAACTTTAAGCAAACTTGCTTATTTTTCAGTTTTCTAAAGACTTTTATTATAGCTTTTCTCTTGATTTTTAGCTTATTATTCTACCAAGGCTTAGATTTTTCAGTTATTCTCTTTTTGAAAATGTGTTCCTTAACAAAGATTTGAATTAGATTTCTTAATTTAATTGCTTCTAATTCAAGTTCTAATAGAGTATTTTCTATTGAAGTCTATTGAAACTTTTCTTTTTTTAGATTTTGAAGAAGAAATTTATTTACTTCATTTTAATTAGCTTTCTGAAAGTTGTATTGATTTGAACAAAGTAAATTTTTAACAAGATTTTCAGTATTTAGTTCAATACTAAATTAAATAATTTCATAATCAGAATCAGAGTAAAGAGCTTTACTAATTCATTACTTATATATCTTTTGAGTTAAATTAGTAGAGAAGAAGATCAAATCTATAATTAATTTAGATGATAGATTTGATCTGAAGAAAGTTTCTCTGTCTATCTTATTTATTAAATTTATATTATTCTTTTCAAGCTATTCTACTAGTTTTTTTCAGCTCTAACTAAATTAATTATATTTGAATTCCACCATGAATAATGAGGATTCGTATCTCCAGTAACAATAAAGTATTGAAAAGCTAAGATATTTACTAGTTCTCTTTCAATAGTTTAAATATTTGAGTTATTCTCTAGATCTTTTTGATTATAGATATTTATCAGTTGTATGGTTTCAAACTGATTGTATTTATCTTTAATATCTATAACTAGAAGATCATTACTAGAGCATATATCAGATCTTAAGCAGGACTGATATCTGAACTATTTTCTAGTAAAAATAGTTACTCTAGATCTCAAAGCTTTGTTTTCAGGAGGAATGCAATAATATACATTATAAGAGAATGTAAACTGATTATCTGAGCTTATCTATAATTTCTGAAATAAAATATAATCAATTTTCTTTTTAAATTCAATATCAAGATATGTATGCATTGGCTTTTCATTTCTTCCAAGATTACTCTGAAGAAAAATTAATTTTGAAGAAGTATTTGAAGTTTTATTTAATATAAATTCATAAATGGTGGTCTAACTTCATTTTTTTTTTTTAAAGATTACAACTTGATTTTCATCTTCAGAATCTATTTTATAAGATCTCTTAGAAACAGGTTTAGTTATAGAAAGATTCTGTTCAGCTCTCACTAGTTTTATTGATTTACTAGTATTTTGTGCTGAATAGTTAGATTTTTTGAAGAAAACATACTTTATACTTTTAGCTACATGATTTTCTGAGCAATTAGCACCTTTTAATATAAAGTGTATACATTTTCTTTCAGTAATCTCACAAATTAAGCATTCATACATACTTGTTTAATATTTTTGAGTATAGATATTATATCTAGCTTCTGTTTCATAGTTTGGTGCTGTATAATTATAGATTTGATAGTTAAAGTATTGTACAGTACTTCTAAATCTCTCTAACTGTTTGTATTTAGAAACTTTAAGAGTTTGTCCAGTAATTATAACTGTTTTCAGATTTTCAACTATTATAATATTTTAAATATAAAAAGCAGCAGATGCATGTCTTTTCTGTATTTTATTTTCAGCAAAAGATAGCCAGATTGATGTTCTTTTTAAAGAAATAAAGTTAAAAGTTTCTATCTCTTCTTTTAGAAAAGATAATTCATTCTCTATATTAAAAATTTCTGTAGAGATATTATAAACTACAAAGACTTTTCAGTACTTATCTTTATGAATTTTTATACTCTCTATATCAAGATTTATTAGATCTGAAAATATAGATATTTAAGTCTGCTTATATTTTTGAAGAAAATTAGCTGAAAAGTCTTCTGTTATTATTAGAATTAGAAATTAGTCTCTAAATAACTTAGCAATTAACAAAATAACTGGTTTTTCAGTAATATTTACTTTAGTAAAGCTGTTATTTATTCTATTTCTGAAGAAGAAAGCTTTGTTACTGACCTTTTTAAGTATTTAAGTATTTATCTTAAGAACTAGTCTTCTTTCTTTAAAGAGTTTTAACTTAAAAGACTGTTTCTTATTTATTTTACTGTTTACTTTAAAGAGTAAAGAAGATTTAACTGAAGATTCAGTATTTAGTTTAGTTTATAGAGCAGAAGAATATAATTTAAAAGTATTACTAATAGATACTTTCTCTTAACAGCAGATTTATAAAGTATTACTATTGTTATTCTTAGTTAATAATGCTATTTTCTGCTTTTCAAGCTGTATAATTCTTTTCTCAAGATTTTGCAGTTCAGAGTTCTTAAAGATAGTGATATCTTCTTTTTCTTGAAAGAAAAAGATTTTTTGAATACTTAAGATACAAGTATTTAGTTCTTTTTACACAAGAACATGATTTTTCTTTTAAAATTTTTTAGCAAGAAGATTAAGAATTAACTTTAAATCTTGCTGTTCAAATTCAGAAGAAGAATCAAAAGTAGAAAATACTTTAACTATATTTTAAAAAGTATCTTCTTGAATAAGAAGACAGAAGATAATTTTTTAAAATTACTTTCTTAAGAAAATATTCTGAAATTATTTTATATTTTACTTGTTAGTTAACTTAAACTAGTTCAGTTATTTTACTGAGAGCTGAAAATCTTAATATAGTAAGTTTTTCTTTAGCTAGAGCTACATTTATTAAATTCTGGACTAGTTTTTTAAGAAAACTAGCAAATTATATAGTTTTTTTTAAAGACTGTAATCACAGAAACAGCTTCTAAAGTAAAAACTATAAAAAAATTATTAAAAGAGCAGAGAGTAAGAGAGTAAGCTAGTAAATCTAAAAGATATAAGTAATTACATCTCAAAAATCAGTTAGATTAGTACCAGCAAGTACACTTTTTAAAGAGAAGTATCAAACTAGAGAGCTTTTGCAGAGAAGCTTTCAGAAACTAGCTGAGAATATTCTTAAATTTAGTAATAAAGACTTATATTCAAGATATTAAAGTCAGTATTATAAAAATAAGATATATTCTGAGCAGAAAAGTAAGAAGAACAGCTGATTTTTTCAGATATAGTAGTATCAGAAAGCTAGCATATCTTTCATCAGATAAAAAAGATAGCAAATCTGTCAAGTTACTAGAAATCTAGCTTGATTTTTTTCTTAAATACAGAAAAATTAATAAAAACTGCTCTGATTTATAAAGTAGTTTATATTACAGCTTGTTTCTAGTTTAAAAACTTAGTTATTATAAGTATTTAAAAAGCTATTTTTCACTAATTAATTCTGATTTCTCAGCTACTAAAAAGTATAGAACATATTAGTATTTAGTAAAGATTGATCAGAATTTACAGAGATTAATTTAACTCAGCTATATCAAGAGTATCAAGTTAATAAAGCTGATTAAGTGCTGGTATGAAGTCTGGAGAGCAAAGATTAAATAAGAAGAGATAGAGAGATAAGATAGAAGTAGATAAGATAAGATAAGAGCTCTAGCTTACTTGATATATCTCAACAAAATGTAAGTAAGCAAGAGTCTTGACAAGAAAAATCAAAATAAGAAAGTGACTGGTAAGAGATTTTTCAGATGGGAAGAGTGTAATAATACAACAAATAATAAAGATATAATAAAGAAAATTTGATAGTTTGTTTAAAGAGTGTTATTGAGCTTATCTCTCAAAATTCAGATGAAAAGATCTTGTGGTTGCTGAGTAATAGTATAAGAAGTGTTTCTGACAGGCTTAAAGCTTGCATCATCTATTTCCACTTATATCTCAACAACCAGCAAGGCAATCCACTTGAAAATTAGAGAGCTTCTTAGGTAAAGAAATAGCTTTGAAATGAATGTGGTTTTGACCAGGTTTGAATAAGAATTGACCAAGTTGTGAAAAGAGTGTAGGCAGTTGTGTGTTTTACTGTTTTCTCTGGTTGATAACTGGAGTCAAAAGTAGTAGTTAGATACTGCACCATTTACACTGTTTTATCTAATACATAAGAGAATCTGACAGAATCCCGGCCAATAAGAACCCATGAATACACACTGACAATACTTCAGAACCAGCAAGATGCAATAGCAATCAGAAAAACTTGATGAAATTCCAACAAGAATTAAAGAAATGTGAGTTCATGCTGTTCTAAACTTTGTATGGCATCATTCATTAGTAAATGTTTTACAGTATTATGATGATTGACATCCTCCACTAATTGCTTAAAGAGCTAGTGAATTATTTGATTAACTAGTTGAAGACTTTAATCAAGAATGTCTTCAAAGCAACTCATTAAGAGAAGAAAGACTCTGATTCCATCATTACTGTCAGATGCTGGTGATATTGCAAGACTTAATAAGCCGTTGCAAACGACATTGGATAGGAATGGGAAAGAGGACAGGCAGACTGGCCTTCAAATAGTCGCGGCGACCCTGAAGGGCACCGTGGAAATGGTGTGCCCGTGGAGCGCGAACCTGCTGCGATCGAGAGCACTGGCACAGGGCATGAAGACCGGCCGGCGCGACAGCATGCGGCGTGAGACCAGCTGAAACCAATGGAGCGCGCCGGGGAAGTCCGTACTGTACCATGTAACTTTGGTGAGGGGCTGGTATTGGTAAAACGCCAAGTCTTCCTAGCGAAAGCAAATGGCTTTTGGTCCACACCTCTGTATGTGGAATTCCTTGAGTCAATGGCGATAAACCCAGCAGCCCAAGGCGGAAAGCCGATTTTTCCTTTACCAAATTTTTGTTTTTTAGGGAACCAGTAAGTAGTACTTCGTACATTAGGGAAAAAATGTCCAAAGTCCATCTTCTTGATTATGTAGCCGGGAATGTTCGATCGCTTGTCAATGCTGTGGAAAAGTTAGGATATCAGGTTGAATGGATTCAATCCCCTGAAGACGTGAAGAAAGCCGAAGTTAGTGCCCCGTACCCTGTACCCCGTAGTTGAAGTGAACCGAGAATGCCAAAATATGTCGACTGACTACAACTTAGAAATTGATATTGCCTGGCGTGGGACATTTTGGCCACTGTGTAACTCAGCTTTCAAAGGGCGGATTCCTTGAACCCATCAGGGAACACATACAGTCCGGCAAACCATTTATGGGAATTTGCGTTGGCCTTCAAGTGCTATGTCAGGGATCAGCTGAGGCTCCTGGAGTCAAAGGATTGGGCCTAGTGCCGGCGACCTTGACGCGATTCAACTCTTCAAACAAAAGCGTTCCCCATATTGGTTGGAATTCAGCACAGTGCGAAAAAATCAGTCAAGGCAGTCCACAGACATTTTTCGGTCTGAATCCAGAGAGCAGGTATTATTACGTGCACTCATATGCAATTCCTTATGGAGACGGTCTGCTTAGCAACGGCGAATGGGCCGTAGCTACGGCCACGTACGTAGACGAGACCTTTGTTGGTGCTATAAGTCGAAAAAATGTCTTTGCTACTCAATTTCATCCGGAAAAAAGCGGTGCCGCTGGCCTGCGCACATTACACGCTTTTTTGGCCGGGGAAAATGGTCTTGTTGGGTGTTCACCAACGTTGCTTGTGCCCGGGGACCTCACACGACGAATAATTGCTTGCCTTGATGTTCGAGCCAACGATGAAGGTGATTTGGTGGTCACAAAAGGAGATAAATATGATGTGCGCGAGAAGAATGACGACGCCGGCCGTGGCAAGGTGAGGAATCTTGGGAAGCCAGTTGATATGGCAAGGAAATATTATCAACAGGGCGCAGACGAGATCGTTTTCTTGAACATTACGTCCTTTCGCAATTGCCCGCTAGCCGATGCGCCGATGCTTGAAATTCTTCGCCAAACAGCGGAGACAGTCTTCGTCCCATTAACAATCGGTGGGGGAATAAGAGACACTGTTGATACTGACGGCGCATTTGTTTCTGCGCTGGATGTCGCAACAATGTATTTTAAATCAGGAGCTGACAAGGTCAGCATTGGCTCAGATGCGGTGATTGCGGCTGAAAAATACCATGCATCGGGAAAACGGCTTTCTGGCACTACAGCCATCGAGACGATATCAGGTGCGTACGGAAATCAAGCCGTAGTGGTTAGCGTGGACCCGAGGCGCGTGTACGTTTCAAGCCCAAGTGATACTCGGCACCACACAATCTGGACAGAGTACCCAGATGATCGGGGCAATCGGTACTGCTGGTATGAATGTACCATTAAGGGAGGCCGAGAAGGGAGGGACATCGATGTCAAGGAATTAGTTGAGGCTGTGGAAGCCATGGGTGCTGGAGAAATATTACTAAATTGTATCGACAAGGATGGTTCAAGCAATGGGTTTGATCTTGAATTAATAAGAGACGTGAAGTCATTTTCGACGATACCCATCATCGCCTCCAGTGGTGCCGGTAGTCCAGCTCATTTCAAAGATGTTTTTGAACAAACTACAGCCGACGCTGCTCTCGGTGCTGGTATGGTATGTGGAGATCCCATTCAACGGCATAAATAACTGTGGGTGCGAACTAATATGGGACCAGTTTCATCGTGGTACATTCAGTGTTTCTGAGGTTAAGAGTTACCTTCAAGAAAATGGGCTTGTTATCCGAAGCCTTGACAACCTGGGCACTTGATCTTCAACATAGAGAGGCTGTTAATGGAGTGATTCCGTGAAGTGAATTTGGTGCACGCATACAGGATTCATCCTCTCCATTTTGAATTGCACAGAGCCCAAGTTCAAGATATAAAATCAAACTGAAAGGGTTCGCGATGATTCAACCTCAGGTACTCTGTTCCCTCACAATCCAACAGGCACGTTGTGCTGGTATGGCATCACTTATTGCAGTCTCAACGGCTTTGTGTTGGGAAAATACACTGAAAGTGTCCAATAATAGGAGCTATTCCTACTTTATCAGTACTCTATTAACGTCATTCCACTTTTGAACAAAGACTGGAAGTAGCACCATAAACCATGATAAGCTAGGGCATGCCGGTGGCATCTTAATATAAGTATACAGGGATAGCAGCCTCACTGCCAGGACTGATGCGACACCAAAATTAGCGTGAATATACTTTGTTTGACTGAAGCTTGAAGGTTCGCAAAACAAACAATCAATCAACATATCAAAATCCATTTTAGCCATAAATTAACACAAAAGACGATGAAAAGGGAAACCAGTTATATTTGTTGTGCTTGTTATGCTCCCTGATAAAGCATTGTTAATAGTGCTGGGGAATTGAGCATTACAGTCATATTGAGCCCGGAATGCTAACTGGGAACTTCAAAAAGGGGCGAAAAAAAAAAAAAAAAAAAAAAAAAACGCGTCACGTCACAAACAAAGCGCCAGAGTGAATCTTTGGGGAGCCATCACAGTTCTTCATGTACTGTGGCCTCAGCTTGCTTCGAAGTAGCAGGTGTTCCACTCTCCGTTGAAGCAGTGGACGCGACGGTCTCAGTTTTCGGTTTGCCAGTAACATCGCCTCCCTCCTCCACTTGTCCCTTGACATAAGCATCAACATGATATTTTCCATTATCACGGATAAAGTTCGCAAGATCTTCAACAGTTCTCGTTCCGCGATATTCCACAGGAGAATCCTTCGAATCGGCAGGGTAAAGTTTTATCGTAGGAAAGCCTTGAATTTCATCGGGTACATCATTCGCAGTAGCATCTATTTTTGCAATGACGACCTTTGAAGAAAATTCGGGATTATTCGCATAAAGCGAAGCTAGCTGTTCATATTTAGGTGCGAGGCTAAATGTATCAGTCAGAGATGAAGCATGAGAGATGATAGAGAATGAGGGGCTTACGCCTTGCAGTGCCCACACCATGGGGCGTAAAACTCCAATAATACATCCTTGTCGTTGTTTTTCACGATGTCTTCGTATGAGTGACCAACCACGACAGTGACGGGGCCTTCTTGGGATTCAGGTACTGGTTCGGACTTGATACTGGGTTCAATTTTTCCATCAAGAACATCCTGGACGAATTGGCTGATGTCTTTTTCATCAATTTTTTTGGTCTGGTCATAAGGAAATTTCGTGTTCTTCACTGTATCCTGAATAGCAAATGCTGGAAACTTCTCAGGGTCAAGATTGAGATTTCCAGCATGCGCTCCAAAAGCTTTCGCATCAATGGTAGCAAAATTAATAGCGCCCTTTAGCTTTCTAGCGAGAGGCTTCAGGTCTGCAGCGAATTGCTCACGTTCTTCCAGCGTCTCTGCAAAGATATAAGCAAGAGGAATCCCTGCCTAAGCCCAAGAGGACGTTCACCGCAAGGTCAGTTGGATCTAATTAAATGTTGCCAGGAAAAGCTATCATTACTCACAGCCATGTAGCCAGAATATGTTTCAGGTCCAACTTCGCCGACAAGAGGAGTGCTGGCAGTTTTGACGAAGTGAGTTATTGCTTCTTTGTCAAATTTATCGACAAAAATGTCCTTGCGATCATCAAAGTCCTTATATAGGACAATTGCTGGCTGTGAGACACCCTCAGCCTCCGCCAATGTAGCATCATTGGTGCCTGCAAAAAGATATTCATCGCGTAACGCTTCAGCAATGGAGGTGAAGGTCTCATTTGATGCCTTATCGTCCTCTTTGAAATACCCAACAACGACTATTTTGTCTAGGCCTTTGATAGTTTCAAAGGTATCAGATGTTACCTTAGACACAGCAGGCAGAGACTGTTTGATCATAAAGGATACAATCCTAGCCATGACAATTCAGCGACATGTAGCAAGATGAATAAGGGGTGTCAAAGCTCATCACATACGATTGTGACTTTCTAGCACCATTGTAGGGCTTTGTTGACTCCAAGCCGCGGAATACCTTCAGTGTGGGATAGCCTTCAACGCCATATTCTTCACACAGCGCGGCTTCTTCAGTGCAGTCCACTTTGACAAGCGGGATATTCTTCTCCTTCAACTCAGACGCAGCCAACTCGTACTCTGGGGCAAGGGCTTTACAATGCCCACACCATGGCGCAAAGAACTCCGCGAGGACGAGGTCGTGTTGCGTAATAAAATCTTTGAAATTATCAGCCTTTAGGGATTTGACACTAGACTCGTCATCAGCCGCGAAGGCGGATGTTGCAAAGCAGATGCCTGCCAGGCCAAGGGCGAGATGGCGCAACTGGTACATCTTGGGTAGATTAAACCCCTCGGCTCGCTCAAAAGTCAAGGCTCGAGTGCGAGGACGGACGCGTCAATGGTATCTTGACCGACCACTGCACAGATGCAACAAAGAAATTGATGGCTTGGAATGATCAGTAGTAAAAGAAAAGCTTCAATTGTTCAGCCAAGCATTGGAGAAGAGGGCTGTTTGTGTCAGGATTTGGGGAAATCAGAGGTTGTTATAGCTTTGCCCGATGAACTTTGAACTTTTGCGGCCGAAGATAAGGACAGGTTGTTCTTTTCAGGGTAGAGAAGACATGACATTACTAATGCGCCCCTTTACCCGTATATGGAGCCACTTAAAATGTGTGGCGTATGGACTCTATCCTCCGCACAATGCTCCGCCTGGATAGGAAGAATCCTCCGATAGGGACTGGCGAAGTTGCTCACCAACTCCACATTTTAGTTAACTTAACTCCGGCTGTGGGCTGACCAGCTCCAGCCTTGTGTAGGCAGATCAATCAACCCCTGCTGCTGCTGCTGCTGCTGCTACTGGGGACTCCGTACATACGGGAATTCCAAATGCTCAAACAGAGTAGTCTGTGACTTCTCCATACATTTGGTTGACTCTGACTACATAATTATGGCTTGGCTTGGTAAAGTTCATGGCCATTGCAAATGTCAACAGGTATGCTCTCAACCCTGAGCTTCTGCACCTCAAATCAGGTTCAATAGGCAGATGTCCAATGATACACTGATGTAATTGGTTTACTAGCCATCTTTTGTTAATAGTGTGTACAACACACAATAGTTCGGTACAGCGGATTTCATATTCCACACATATTTAAGAGTAGGTCAGTAGTTCCCTTCTCTCCAATGATTTCACAGCCCATTCTCGCGATGGGGGTAGTTTCACTAAGGTCATGTAGGAGAGGAGTAGGGTTGTGATGAGGCCATCTACAATCTGGAGCTCCCTTGCGCAGTAGTTATGACAGATGCAGAAGTTGAGATTGCTAACATCACTATCAGCCTCATTCATGCTTGACTACTCTGATGCACTGATACTCAGTTATTACTAACTGGTCATGATGGTATCAGGACAACATCTACTTTGTCGCCTTTCCTCAAGTAAGTATGGAGTACCATAGATACACTCTATAGTGGTGAGTAGAAACTGAACGGTCCTACGGAAATTGAAAATATGAAGTATACTCCATGCCCTGTACGGAGTACTCCGTACTCCATAGACAGTTTGACATTCTGTTGAAACTCATCGTGCTACTCCGTACTCCGTACATGGGCGCCAAGCTTCCCTCAACCTGACCATTCGCTAGTTAACTAAACATTTCTGGACTATGTATGGAGTAGAAGCTAGCTTGGCATCCACTGCCATGATATCATAACTTACTACCTAACTATCCTGGGTAACTTTGTACGCGCCCTGTCAGGGTAACTACTCTGTATGTATGTACAAACCGCGCTAATCTTCGCTTGGACTTAGCCAGATTGACATCATGTATGTGCAGGACATCCCAGTTCACCAAGGAGCTTCTGCAGACCTTCTTTTTGTCCTGAATTTCTCCGCAATCTATGTGTATTCTGGCTTGAGCCTGCCGAAGCGAGAAATAAATCGCCAAACGTGGCGCCCTGTGAATGTTTCAAAATGCAGTATACACCGTTTATCTCGGACATCGAAATTCCTTTCTTCTCCTCGCTTGCGACGTTGAAACTTAACCATGATAAACTCGACGATTCAATCCACAATATCTTAGGGTTCTACGAAGTTCGGCCCTCTGATCCACAGGAGGTATCCTGTCGGATGCAAGTCCCCGGCAACGCCCTGGTCGCTGATAAGTGGGTTCTGCTCAAATGGTCTAAAGGTTCTTTTATTGACTTGCCATTTAGAGTCCCGTTTGGCGCTTTTCGAGCCGAAGGTGTGATTAAAAATTTCAATACCGCTGAGGAGTATCGTATCGTCGACAAATCAGCTATGCTTCACGATGCAGGGAAGCGAGTAAGTTATCATATAGTCCTGGCCTTGTTATACGGCGCTAAGCTCACGACATCACTTAAGATTTGGGATGCGATAATGGATGGTTCAGTTTATTCATCCCCATCACTTCTTGCGTCGTTTTTGATGCTTTCATTTGCAGATCTCAAGAAGTATAGATTCTCGTACTGGTTCGCATTTCCCGCCATTCATTCGAACCCCCCTTGGGTTCCATCGCCTGTGCATCATGATAGCCGAGATCTCGATAAATCGGAAAATGCGATTCACCAATCTTCCTTCTCGTTGACCAATTCAGACAGGGATGCATTAGTAGATGCAGTACTGGCGTGGCGGTCGACTGTAGAGCCGCGCCAGCATGGCTTCTTCCTCGCTAGAAGAGTTCGACATCTGCCTTCTCAACCTCAGTTAGAATCTAATATACCCACCGACCCTGGTTCTAATGCAAGCCCACTTCAAGCTCCAGACTACAATAAATGCAACTGCACGTGGGAAGTTTCATCTCTGTCCACATACGAGAACGGGTTTTTCGGAAATGCCGCAGCGGAAGACTGTTTTATTTGTTTTGTTGATCCATCCAATTACCCAGATGCACCGGGCTGGATGCTAAGGAACTTGCTCATCCTAATCCGACATAAATGGAGGCTCAATAAGGTTCAAATCATTCGCTATCGTGAAATACCATCGTTTGCCATGGGACCCCAAAGCACTGTGATGATCTTGAAGTCTGACACGAGTATCGATGATAGCTTTTCTCGCTCTGGGAGTTTAGTCATGCCTAAGCTTAGTGGATGGGAACGCAATGCAAATGGTAAGCTTTCTGGTCGCTTGATAAATCTCACAGAACACATGGACCCCGAAAGGTAAGCCCTTGACATTCCTGAAAAAGAAGAAGCAACTAATATGATGCTTTTAGAATAGCAGATCAGTCAGTAGATCTTAATCTGAAGTTGATGAAGTGGCGAATTACTCCAAGCCTTAACTTGGATGTTATCAAAAGGACCAAATGTCTATTGCTTGGTGCAGGAACCCTGGGATGCTATGTGGCGAGAAACCTCCTAGTAAGTGGGAAAACATTTTAATGAGATTGTTAATCTAATATAATCATAGGCCTGGGGCGTTCAAACAATCAATTTTGTTGATAATGGTTCTGTTTCATTCTCCAATCCTGTAAGGCAACCCCTTTTCGGATTCCATGATTGCCTATACGGTGGTGCCAAGAAAGCCGTTCGTGCCGCCGAAGCTCTCCAGGAAATTTATCCAGGGGTTTGTTCCACCGGTCATGTTCTGTCTATACCAATGGTAGGACACCCGATGGTCAATAATAATGCTGCGAAAAGTGATTATGAACATCTAAAGAACCTTATTGATCAACATGATGCCATTTTTCTGCTGATGGACAGCCGAGAATCCCGTTGGTTGCCTACTGTCATGGGCAAAGCTGCTGGAAAGATGGTCATGAATGCGGCATTGGGATTCGACACGTTTGTTGTAATGCGCCATGGAACTACCGCTAGACGTCAGGAGTCTGTCCTTGGCTGTTACTTCTGCAATGATATCGTGGCGCCAGCAAATGTAAGTTCATCTGGCTCCATATATCCCAAGCTTGGAGTCTAATGCTAGACAGTCCACCAGGGTGCAAACCCTTGACCAGCAATGCACAGTGACAAGACCAGGAGTAGCATCTATGGCGTCCGCCTTGCTAGTTGAGCTTTTCGTCTCAGCCCTTCAGCAGTTTAATACACCCCCAGCCCCCGACTCCTCAAGCCATGGAAACTCCTCACACCCCTTGGGTATTGTACCCCACCAGATAAGGGGATTTTTGTCAACCTTTTCAAACGTTGTTGTCACTGGACAAAGCTACGAATTCTGCAGTGCCTGCTCCAATAATATTGTTCATGCATATATCACAGATGGGTGGGAGTTTGTTCAGCGGGCAATCAATGAAAATGGGTACATCGAGGAAGTTAGCGGGTTGAAAAAGGTAAGTTCCCTTACAGTAATCTATGATAGAATGCTGATAGGACTAGGTTCAACAATCAGCAGAAGAGGCGATTGCGTCATTGGAGCTAGAGGATCCCCTTGATTCAGAAGGTGAAATGCTGTAACAGGACAGGTATACATGGTCCCTCATAAAGAGCATTTACATGCCACAATCGTTCCTTCTATCCTGGATATATACCCATAGTTATCGTCCTATGAATTTACCTGAGTCAATTGGACACAAGATGAATCGATGAAAGGCCCTTCGCCCCATTATACCCAATTGCAAGACGTAAGTGGAGATCTTCACAAGTAGATGTATGCAGAGCGTATTCCAGCAGGGGTATCATGTTGAAGGTCGCTTCATTTCTTTGTAAGGGGCTGGTTCTTCGAGCGACTCTCGCGTCTCCGCTGTGGAGGGATTTCGCTTTCTCTTCCGAACAAACGCGTTCAAATCATTTGCGCCTTTGATAGCTTCTTCCAGTAACACTTTCCCCGCCGGTGACTGAACTTGATTAAGTATGCTATTTTCCAATACACGATCCGGAACCTGAAAAGAGTCCGTAATTGAATTTGGTGGATGAAGTAGATCAGTAAGCTATCGACAGGTTAGTAAATAGACAACTTCAAAGCGATATGAAAACTAAAGCAGAGAACACACCCTTTGCTGCATATCGGCCACAATCTCCTTTACATCCTCTATGTTGCGACTAAGCTTGGCCAGTTCCTGGATATTGCCGGACCCCATACCCGCCAGCTTCTCTTCTTCTGAAGATATTCTGAGCTTACAGCACTGGATTGCCGCTTCCATATGTTTTGCTGCTTCTGCTCTCATTTGCAAATCGACTTGCGATGTCAGATGGCTATCTTCGCCACTCGTTTGGGTGACGGAAGAAAATTCCAAGGCTAAAGATAATTTGTAATGACATTCAGCAACTGTAGAGTCCCCTGGCGGAAAAAGTTCACGTTTAAGTTTCAATGCAGCCCGCAGGTCGGACACCGCCTCTGAGAATCTTTCACCCTCTAGGGAAATTTCTGCTTGTAAATCGTAAATATCGGAAAGTCGCTCCTTCAGCCTTCTAATTTCGGTAGATTCGGGAACACCTTTCTCGCCAGAAAACGACAGCAATATACTGTCCAATTGCCGCGATAATAACACACGTGCCATGTCAAGAGTTTCGAATGCGTTTTCGAAATCATCGTCTTCGACGAGCGCTTCGCGCCCCGTATCCCCGGCGTCCTCCTCGTCTTCGTCGTCGTCATCGAAATTTTCATCCCCGTTAAACTGAAAATAAGTTTTATTGGTACCGGTGTCACTGTTTTTTTTCGCATCTCGCTCTGCAGCTGCTTTATCTTCCATGGAAGTGTCATTTTTGTCACTTTGAGGCATAAAGAATTGAGGTTGATTAGACGATTCCTTTCCCCGGGGTTTCGATGATTCAACCACATTTTGAATAGCGGCCTTAGAGCCAAATACGTCGCTTTTGCTCACTGCAACGTGATAAAGGCATCTTCCATATGAGTAAAGCAAATCTGCATTGTCGATAGCCATTTCGCCATTTAATTCAGCTTGTATTTCAACCGCTCGAGAATACAAGTCGGCAGCGGAGTTATAGTCTTTGATCGCTTCCTTTGCAGAAGCTAGGCGTTTAAGCTCAGCCAGGCGATCTTCCTGAGAAGAAGATTCTAAAGTTTCTGGCATGATCGAGGGATTCCCGGCATCAAGGACCGAAACGGCGCGTTCTTATGCAATGTTCAAGGAAGCTTTGTACGAGGTACGATGGATGTGGCAAAGGTTGTGAAATTTAGCTCCCTTTCTCTGTTCTCGATAAGGTACGACGTCAATTGTTAGAACTTAGTTGACCTTATTGAGCAGTTAACTAACTAACTACAGAGTAACAAAGTTAACTTAGTTAGCGCGTCTTACCTAACTCGTCCGCCATTCGGGTGGTTTGCTTTCATGCGGAAGTACGTATCTAGACGGGAGTTAACGGGTCACGTGGTCCTAACCCATGTTGGACTATGACTTCGACTCTTCGATCTAAATCAAATCCCTGCCACTTCTTTGGGGCACTTGTGGATTGCCTCGAGAAACTATGGAACAATACGAAGTAGATAGTTGTATGGTATAGCCATTTGACTTCCAGGTGATCAATATTCTGAGAATGACACGGAGTAAGGGACATCATAACATGTAATTATGATTTAGTCTACAGAAAACCCAGCCGCCTTGCACCCTAACTCGCCATCCTATCCAACAACGCCTTTCATCATGTCTGGCCTCGAATGCCAGTCATAGGGCCGAGGGATTAAAGTTTGAACTGGCATTAAGTTTCTTCTGGATTGCTCCTGACAGCACCGACAATCCATGTAAACCAGTCGTCCAATCTGCCCCTTTCAATGTAGCTGCGTAGCAATTTGGCTTCTTCATCAAAATCTTCGAGTAAACGAGCTTGCTCTTCTGGGAGGAGACGAGAGGCAAGCCCCTGGGGAAGTATGTTCGAATTGGCAATATCCACAGGCGTATGGAGTTTGCAAAACAGCTCGGACTCATTTTCAAAGTCTATCGAATTTTCAGTGAGTGCATACCAGAAAGATACTTCCTTCAGAACAGATTGGAATTACCTTTTATATCACTCAAGGTCCTAAATAATACGGTGGACCGGATAACATCTTCCACTTCTTTATCTCCCTTTTGCTTGGTGCGATTAATGATATCCCAATCATCGCGAATCATACAACGCCGCCAGAGAAGCTTTTCAAGAACATTGCAGTATTCAGGGTCCTGACGGCTCAAATCACTCAAGCTTAAAGCTTTCAATGCCAAACTAAATTCATGGCCGATAATATCCTCGTCCCCATCTTTCATAGAGGGTGCGGGATCTATTAATGTCAGGGTATCAACCAGTTCGTCAGGCTCCATAGGGCACTTGGCAACCAACTTCGCTAAATTACGATGAAGAGCTTCGCGAAGAGCGGGTTTCGAATGAACGATTACCTTGCCGAACTGCTCATTGGCTAATTGTACCTCCGCACTTTGGTCAATTGCGCCGTGTATAGCAGGTGCTATATGACCGTACAGCATTTCTTGAATGCGTGAGAGCTCGGAAAGATCGTCAAACCGTTTAATATCTTCCTGAAGGCTTGTTAGATCCTGTTTCTCCGAACTTTCAAGTGTCGCAAGCCGACAAAGCTTTCCTATTGCGAGTTCCACTTGTTTGCTCCATAGATTCGACTCATAGCTTGTCGCAAAATTGCATAACGATTTCGAAGCGCTGCCATAATCCTTTTCTCCTAGGACATCATTCATCCAACTCAGCTTGGCGTAACCTGGTCGCTGATGCAGAAAACGAGTAATATGTTCTTGATACGGTGACATCAATACTAGCATCTCTGGATAACCAGCCAATATCTGTCGGGTATAAAAAGGGTTAGCCCAAGCCTCGCCAAATCTCTCAAAATACTTGTCAATTCTCAGTTGGCAAGCCTCCATTTCGCCATCGTATGCTGGGTCGCCTGCTCCTGCTGGATGACGATCTCCAATCCGATTTTCCATTTCGACTATAAGTTCAACCAATGCGTCCATGTCCTCGAAATTCTCAGCGAGCTCGATAGACTCTTCTAGTAAACCCATCGCTGCCATCTTGTAAAGGTGCGTTTTACGGTGCACAATGTAACATTTTTGAAGCTCTTTCCCAGCATCCTGCTCCTCCACCGAAGCTTGGGAAATGCACCAATTCACACGCTCCATATACAGTTTCCATAATACTCTGAACGCTTTGGGGATGTTCTTCTTAATTCGTTGGATCATACTAGAAACGGTCTGATCAGAACTCCCCGGATCTTTTTGTTTCAGCCATTGAAGGCAAACATTCAATTCGGCATCAAGGAGTCGTTCGCTCTCGACGTAGTTGACTTTGTCCGCCGTCCACAGCGCAGAAATCAAGCTGTACTTAGGCATCGGAAGCCCATTTATACCCGGGTAGCAATCTCCTAGTCCATATAGCTTAGCGTGCTCCTCCCGGAGCTGAAAAGTGGCACCCAAAGCAGCCAAAGAAAGCTCGCTCGCTTGCAAAATTTGCCAGACGAGCTGTCTATCCAATCTGGTGCCATTGTTGGACATATCCCTAATGCCGTGTAGAATCCAAGGAACGATATAATCCATTCGCCATGTATCGTGGATAAACCAATGGCGAACAAGATCTTCTTCCCTATTGCTAGAAGGGAATTTGGTTCTAAACCTTTCTCCCATCTGTCCTAGAATATATTCCAGATGAGTCCCACCAATTTCAGAGTTCCTACATATATTTTCCTGAGCTTTCCAAACCGCCCTATGAGCAGCTACTTTCTCAGCGTGTGATAATAGAGTCCATCTTGCCGGATAAGAGAGTTGGAAATGTTGCTTGCTTAGATAAGTAGCCAATGCGCAAAGAGCTGTAGACCGCAATTTCATTTGCTCATCTAAGCTTGCCACCGTCGCGGGAACAAATTTGGAATTAGATCGAAGGATATCGCTGCTAATCTGGAGAGCCGCATCCTCAAGAGCGCTTGGCGACATGCACAGTTCCTCGTAGCAAGTAAGATCCAATGGGTTGCCTTTAATATCATAAAATACAACTTGTTCAAGTCGAGATTTCACCGTTATCCGACCTTCGTCAACACCTGTGCGGGATATGGGTCGAGCACGAACGGAAATACGAATCAAGCCGAGATTCTGAACCATTATGAGGCAAGACGGAGATTTCTGGTCAAATTGTGAACGCTCAACTCCACATCCAAGAATTGCGTGGTCATTTTCATCGCGGAATTTGATATAGTCCTGAAACGGGGTCGGAATAGGCCCGCCGTCAAGCAATAGCTGCGAAGAAGGCGATTCTCGCAATGGTACCAAAGATAATAAAACAATTCCACACTCGAAAATAATGAATCCAGTGTGACCAGGTTTAGGGACGTGTATCCGTGGCGTCCATAGATTATCGCGCCTAGTCACAGTCGGTCTAGGGGTGACTGAGGAAATACGACCGACGGTGACTTGAGAGCCGTGGATATCTACCTCAACAACCCAATAACAGTTCGACCGCTGTCGTGTGGCGGACAAAAGCACCCATAGTGAGTATCTATCCTCATTTCCCTCTAGGTCCACGCTGCTAGAGTCCTCCCGAAACGTGAAGTCCACAAGCTGGTAGGAATCGGGATGATAGTCTGTCGAAATAACACAACTCTCCAATGCGTGACTTACCGCCTTTACCACCTCGATCCGTGTTTTGAAGATACTCCCATTGCTCCAATGAGTGTCCCAAACTTCTATTAAACCGGAATTTGTAGCAACCAAGAGGTTGCGGTGCCCCCGTCGATATGACTTGCCAGCCTTGGCAGCAACTACATTCTTCCGCCAAGAAGCACTTGAAAGAACATTCCGAATTCCTCCAAGTAAACCGCCGCCCGTTAATCGCGATGAAGCATTGAGAAATTGAAAGTTAAGGGCCGGCTTTCCCTGTGAGTCTCGAACGCAAACATGACAGACCCGTCCTGTAGATAATATGACTATGAACCCCGCTGGCTCAACATTAACGATCTCTGTCGCATATTCACCAGAAAGCAGTCCAGGGATTGCATCTTGTAAGCCGCTCCGTTGTTGTTTAATCAACCCAAGTATCGTCGGATTTGAAACAGTTTCCCAAAACAGAACGTCACCGGTTGATGGAAGGACAATGACTAAACCAGGTTCCGAGTGAGTTGATGGAGAGATGAGGGTTGCTAAAGGTAAAGCGTCGCTCGGCTTTCCTGAAAGTTCTAAAAGGGAAAGCACACGGACATCATTCGTAGCTAATGACGTAGAGGCGGCCGAATATGGCCATAGAATTGCGTTCCTTCTGGTAAGGGCAACGCAATATCCAGCATCGGGAGAAATAACACAACGAAATGGTTCTAAAGGGGTTAGACAAACGCTGGGAATCGATAGCCTTCAAAGGATTGGGCTAACCTCGTAAGATCTCCTTCACCCTATCCGGGACTGATGGTAAATGAGTAGCTAAATAATAGTCGTTATTTACCTATTGGAAGCATATGTCAGCCATAAACCGTCGTCAGATATCAGTTCGACAGTCAATTACCAAGATATTTGACATCTTAAGGCGGTCACAGTTATCGAGTTTCTCTGGCGCCGGACTAGAGGTATCAGCTAAGCCGGTGTTGTTCGGAGGAGTTGATTCCCTTCGCGCTGTCTCATTTTCGCTTTGATTAAAACCAAGGTGTATTTCGCTCTCTTCCTCTGTATCATAGTTATCGAAGGAAGTATCCCGCAGCAGTGATTTTTGTTTCTTTGCTTTCGGCGAATCGGAAACGTCATCTGAGGTTCTCTGTCTTCGGCGAGAGTTTCTATAAGCTAACGGAACCTGGGTTGCACTATTTGTGGAAAACATGATGAAAAAGGTGAATTGACAGAAGTTTGCAGGTTCAATCCTGTTTCTGTGCTTGCTTCGGAATGCTATTAGAGAGATGAAAATGGCACTTGTCTGGAGAGCTAAATAAACTCACAACAAGGAACTGTTCAGCGTTTGGCGAGGACACGCTCCGACAGAGAGCGCGCAAAACTTCACTCGCCTTGACAAAGCACTCCATACGTCGTACTCCGGACTCCGTACTCCGTACATTAGTTTGGTAGTTAGTGAACTAACTATGGAGCTCTCCCCAATTACATAAGGTAACCAATAATGCTTGGCATCTGCACCTCGCCTGCGGAATAACGTAATCCACCCCCGAATGAACCACCAAAATATACATACAAATCTCAACTTTTTGCTCTCTTATATCTCAACAACATTGTTGAATATAGACTTTAGAATTTATATGTCGAGTATATACAGAGTAGACACTTAATAAACAGTCTTATCAATTTTATTTATTTAACTCTATTATTTGTAAAGATACTTTGATACATGCCAGTAAAAAGATAATAAAATACTATAACTTAAGAAATAGTTAATTATTATATTTAGATAATTCTTATACTTTACAAAGTTTATTATAACTGTATAGTATCTTCTTCATTTTATAATGATCAGACATAAACTTGTTAAGATAAGAGAGCAAAAAGTTGAGATTTGTATGTACTCCGTACTCTGTATATTTTGGTGGTTCGCTCGGTGGTTTGGTTCGCTTGGGGGTGGATTACGTTAGTTACCTAAATTTATTATTAATCATCCTTCTCTTCCAGAAAACTTCGAGCGCTGGTCTTCTATTCTCAATAGCAAACATCCAGAGCCAGAAACAAGACTTGGGATTCTGGTAAATTCGGGCCTTGTAAAGCTGAAGTTCAACCATTTTTGTGAGAAGCCGCGCGAATCAGCATTTCTAAAAAAAAAGGGAAAAAGGAAAAAGGAAAAAAGAGAGATGGAGCGTATGCTGCTGCTCTCTCCTCCATCGCTCGCCGCCCGCCCAGAGAGGTTGAACACAATCCTCAGCTCTCACAGTCGATATGCCACTGATCTCCAGATGCTTGATCGCGTAGCGGCCGGCCTTGTGTCGCTACCGCAATCTACCTATGATATTGTCATGCTTTTAACAGATGTTGATGGGTTGGGAACAGGCTCGACCTCCGCGATGGGTCGCGGGGTCATCCAATCCGTCGTACGTGCGCTCCGCCCAGGGGGGAAATTCAAAAGAGAAAATGGGACTTTCACATCGACGGAATGTCCAGACAACACCGAACTTATGCTTGCGGGGCTGGTGTTCGATGATACTGGCGGTCTATTAAAGCCGGACTTTGGCCCTGAAAACATTGTGCCACTTAAACTTGGAAAAAGAAAACCCGTCCACTCAGTTTCGAGCAATGGCACAGGTACTAGTGGACCTCATGTCAACATGCAATTATCGACTGGCTCCATGCTGAAAGGACAAACCACGACCATCAAAGGAGTAGGTTTCGTCGATTTTACCGACGATCCATCTCTTTCCGAAGCCGATATCTATAGCGGGCAGACGGATGACGAACTCATTGATGAGGAGACACTTTTGGATGGAGAAGACATGGGGCGACCAATTATTCAACGTGAGTTTGGTCTGCTTTATAGATATAATCTCTTATGGCAATGCTAACATGCTTTCAATCCAGCACCAGAATGCCGCCCAAAAGCTGGGAAACGTCGAAGGGCTTGTAAGGATTGCACCTGTGGACTTGCAGAAAGACTGCGTGAAGAGGATAAGGCTGCACGCGCCAAAGCAGATGCTACTTTGGAAACTATGAAACTAGCCCCTAAAGAGCTGGCGGAAGTTGACTTCACAGTCCAGGGCAAGTTGGGGAGCTGTGGGAATTGTGCTCTTGGCGATGCTTTTCGGTGTGATGGATGCCCATATATTGGCCTCCCTCCATTCAAACCTGGCGAGGAGGTCAGACTTTTGAGTAATGATGTCCAGCTTTGAACTCGCAGTGTACTCGGGAGCATGATCAGGCATTGTTCCCCGTACCTCTCTTGTGCACGATGTAAATGTATGCCTTTTGCATTCATGTTAGTTGCCTGAATTGCCTCGTGTCTTCATGATCTGAAATTGCTTCGATTTTGCTTCTGTGGTTTAACCTACCCATGAGAGGCCTCACTTTGTCTGACATTTTGAATTTATCTAAGACTAAGAGTATGAATAGAGGCCATGTCATTGGTTACATGCATATAACCATACACGCGATGGTGTGGAGTATGAACTTGGCGACTTAATTACATCACAAGGACCTTCATCGCCTCGATTTGGAATGAGGTATCTAGAAATTAGGAGAATTATGGTTAGGGAAGGTCAGGGTATGAGAAATATGAATAATTATTCGGGTGCCCAGAAGTTCCCGTTCCCTCTTGGATGGTCCAAATAGAGAGTTACCTCACCCTGTACAGAGTACTCCCGGATGGTTAGATGCCATGGGTCTGACTGCGCTAATCCTATTTAATTTTAGATATGGTAGGCCGAGGGCAGCCAGACTTTGCCCGAGGGAGGCGAATGAGCGTGGTGTGGTTGGAGCATCGCAAGTCATGCCCCAAAAGAAAACTCAGCAACACATTTTCATCCTTCACCTAGTTGGGACTCGCAGAACAAATTCTACTTCATTGACCCAGAAGGGGGCAAATCTACAATAGAAAAGAAACGAATATCAATTGCTTTAGATATCAACCATGTCCTTCTCAACACTTGTCCAAGACATCGCATACAGAGACTCCCATCCCGATGACCGCAGCTCAATCTTGTCGAGAGGAGGCAGGACTCGATCCCATGCCAGCACGGCCGCGACCAGCGTAAGCATTTCCGGCGACATCTCGAGCCAGTTACATGCTGGCTACAGCCATCCACTGAACCGCATCTGGCAAGCTGAGAGGCAATTAACCAAGGTAAGTAATGTACCATTTTTTTTTTCCCACCGGTTTCGCTAGATCGCAACTAACCGAGCCCAAGTCTATGCTTATTTACCCCCTCTTCATAACCGATGTTCCTGATGAAGAAACTCCTATCCCATCCCTACCAAATCAATACCGTCGTGGAATTAACCGTCTCGTTCCCTTTCTCACCCCCCTGGTAAAGAAGGGCCTTCGTTCGGTTATCCTTTTTGGGGTCCCTCTTGCCCCTAACGCCAAGGATGCTCTCGGTACAGCAGCGGATGACCCGGCAGGCCCAGTTATTCAAACCATTCGCCTCCTTCGCGCACAATTTCCTCAGCTCTACATCGTAACTGATGTCTGTCTGTGTGAATACACTTCTCATGGCCATTGCGGGATTCTGCGAGAGGACGGCACGTTGAACAATGCTCTATCCATTGATCGAATTTCCGACGTGGCCCTAGCATATGCAGAAGCTGGAGCGCATTGCGTTGCTCCTTCCGATATGAATGATGGTCGGGTCCGCGCCATCAAACTCAAACTAATCGAAGCTGGCATTGCGCATCGCGTGCTCCTCATGTCCTACAGTGCTAAATTTAGTGGATGTCTATATGGACCGTTCCGCGATGCGGCAGGATCAGCTCCTACTTCTGGCGACCGTAAATGTTACCAACTACCACCTGGTGGCCGGGGTCTCGCCCGTCGTGCAATTCAGAGAGATATAGCCGAGGGTGCAGATATTATCATGGTGAAACCGGCAGGTAGTTACCTCGACATCATTAGTGACGCCAAGGAACTAGGTAGGGACATGCCCGTTGCGGCATATCAGGTCAGCGGTGAATATGCGATGATTCATGCGGGTGCTAAAGCCGGTGTGTTTGATCTGAAATCAATGGCAACAGAAAGTACAGAGGGCATTCTGCGCGCCGGTGCCGGCATCGTGGTGAGCTACTTCACACCAGAATTTTTGGACTGGCTCAGTTCCTGAACAATGCTATGAGATACCAAGAAGATGGAGCTTAGGGGAGTATTAATTTTACTGCCCTAGAGTTTGAACATCCCCAATGCTTTTCTGGTTTGCCAGACACCCTCAGTACATCGTGGAGGCTGTCGTTATCCGCTTCGAATAGGAGTGACCGCAACCTTAGTCCTACTTTGCCATTTGATCTGCACAACACTCAGCTACATGGTCAAAAATGTACCCGGGATCTTGACTTGTGTAACTTAAGAATTATCCACACATACCTAATGTAGGGTTTCAATGAGGTCTATGTAGGCCATATTCACATCATATGCTGACTAAATATGATGATTCATCTATACGGTTAGAAAAGAACAATTGCGACAGCAAAATACCCAATAGGCAAATAAAAGGCGATATATCTAATGTGCGGCCATCCAAACGGTGAATATGTTGATACTACAGACATACAGATCATAGATGCAACTACTCCGGGACCAGCCCTCCCATGACAATTAGGAATTGAAAACAAGAGAAAAAAAAAAAAAAAAAGAGGTAGGATGTGGGTTAGGACATTATCAAACGGCACAGCAACAGGAACAAAAGGAAAGGAAAGGAAAAGAGCAAGGCAAAAATGTATAGATCCGCAGTGTTGACAGAGTAAGATAGGTTCGATCAACCTTTTTGGGCTGCGTAGAGTTCCAAATGTAGAAACCCAAACACGCAACAGGAGAATCAAATAACGAGAATCAAACATAATACACCGCTGAGGCTGTTTTTTTCGCATCAGAACATGAGTATCGTAGCAAACAAATACGCTCACGGATAATTGGGTTTTAGACCTTGAAAGCCATAGGGCAAAATTTGAGACCTGACAACTTCACCAGGAGCAATATACGCCCCTCTTCCCAGTGTCACACCCGGCAGAATCGTGCATCCAGCGCCAATCCAGCAATCTTCTGCGATAACAACCGGGCGTCCTTGGTAACGGCTTTGCGAGCCTTTACGCTCTTGCATACTACCAATAGCCATCGAACTAAGAATGGTCACATTGGGACCTATCCACGTATGTGCACCGACGGTAATAGTGCAGTCATCCGCGAAGAAGCAGTTTTCAGATATCAGAACATCCTCCCCAATATTAATGTTATAGCCGTAATGGCAATTAAAAGGGGCTTCCACCACGGCACCGGGACCTAAAGATCCAACCAGATTCGAAGAAACGCTTTCGGTTTGCCCCTCTGAGGAAGGTATCAAAACTTCGTTCAATAGCCGAGTACGCTCGATGGCACTAATGCCATAGATCGGGTTACCGGCATTGGCGAAGCGCCAAAGGGCAGCTTTGCAGCGTTCCCGATCCTTGATCAGTTGAGGATCGAAAGGTCGATACTGTTCGCCGCTGAGCATCTTCTCCTTTTCTGTCTTTCCGCTAGATTCAAACGTAATATGAGGTTCCATGTTCAGAGCCATTCGTGCTTGGGCAGAGTAGTTGGCAGGGTCAATACGAGGAGGGCCCGACCTTTGTTCCATTGTCGTCTGAAATACGGCCATTCCTGGCTTAGCGTGTGTACTATGAGTTAGTTCACAAGATGAATGCACAACCGGATATTCCGACTTAGACTTGTCGGCGCGGGACATTTCCTTCAATCCTGAACTCTCTCTGAATTCAGGTTTTGGTGGTCCGTCTGGAAGATAAGCCGTTGGCCCCTGAGCAGTCCAAGAACTTTTAAGCCATGAGTTTCTCGAACCGGGCCCCGGAGGGCTACTAATGTATTGCGTTGCCGCCCGATCGGCTTCATCAACAGGGACTGGTCGAGATTTACTTCCATCTGGGAGCATTGTCGCCTGAATCCTCGCGTCATGGCGCTGAGGGCTCATTTCGTGCGTGTATGGGTGAGCGACCTCTGGATAATTTCCTTTTGATTGCAAAGGAACAGGCCCTTTAGGGTTTGCGGGTTTCTGCCAAGTGCTACGGACAGAATACCCTTCACAAGGAAAATTGCCGCGAATGCAATTATTACCTGAAAGTTTGATTAAAAATCTATGGCAAAATAGTTTCTGTACGTGGTGGATCGATAAAGCCAGTGTAACTTACACGCAGGGTGCTGCTCATCACACTTCTTCTTTCGCCTACGGCACGTCATACAACCCGTTTTGGTTCTATTACTGAATACCCTCTTCCTTTTAGGGCCGGGCTGCGTAGCAGGTGTTTGAGATTGCGCTTGCGACTTGCTTTGAGGTTGGGTTTGGGTTTTGTTTGGAGGTTGAATTTGGTGATGCGGTTTATCTTGATCATCTGGTTGGTTCGTGGCATGAGTAGCCAATTGAGCCTGATTTGGGCCTGTGGTTTCAGCCGGGTGCCCGTTTGGTACAGGATCCCAGGCTTTCGAAGCGACATTGTTGTCTTGCACATCCCGCTGGAGAGCTTCTGCGACCTGTGCATCAGAAGACTCAGCAGGGGGTGCTGACTGTTCTCCATGAGTGGTAGACCGCGAATCGCGGCTATCCCAGCTAGGGCGATGAGAAATAATGTTGGTTTCATCTGTTGGGTCGGCAGAGGAGTATTGTCGCTGCATAGTCTTCACCGCGGTCTCGGATTCAGGGGTAGTGGCCGGCTTTCCCATGCCGTTCGTATCTAGCGAACGTGCCTGCACCGTTACGCTATCATCCGCTTTAGAGTTAGGACTTCTGGGATTACTTTGAGTATGATTAGTGGTCGATGGCGAAGGATGCCTATCACTAGAATCAGATCTCTTCCGTTTGTTTCGATTTAGGCTGGCGGAGCACGCATCAGAGGTCTTGAGGTTTTCGATTTGATCGTGATTCACTTTTTCCGATAAGCTATCCATTAACAGTTCCTTCTGCGCGGGTGAAATCTTTTGATGGTCACTTCCAGGTCGGCTTTCGACAGATCTTTCACATTCATGGCTGCGGTCAACCAGCGGTTGGAGGTCCGAAGAGCTGTGTAAGAGCGAAGGAGGATCTCTGCCGTTGACGGCAGTAAACCGAGACGGGCTTTGCTCTATACTTGGGTCTCTTGTCGAATCATGGTTTCCATTAGCCACCGTTGGGGCCGCCACAGCCGACATTGCCACTGTTGTTTTATATCTGAGTCTAATCTAACCGCGCAGTGTAACGGAGACTTTAACAAGGCCCCTCTATGCCAATGCGGATCAGAATCGGTTGCGCGGACCGGGTCTTTAGGGACAAGGAGCTGGTCTTTAGGGACAAGGAGCTGGTCTGTAGCGGATAATGGAGCCGGATAAGCCTTATCACTTTTCAGTGAGGCCTGACAGTGGATTTATGGTAGACGCATACGATCGAAGCTGATGTGGTATCAATCATGCATAAATCACAAGATTCCAACCGCCGCGGTGAGGAAACAGTTCGGCAGCTAAGATAGAGAGGCAATGGCGCCGGCCAGAAGGTGGATATGAACTATGGCGGGCTTAGTGGGTTAACCAAGGACTTAGAACGGACAGTTAAAAATATAGAAGCGATCCTTGAGAACGCAGTAGATTAGGCATAAATGGGTTAAGGATCAAGGTAAGGGAAGAACGTTTTGGATGAAAGTAAAGTGTGTATGTATTGAAGGTATGACGATGGAGCTTTTAGTCTTCGGGGTATCACTGATCTCCTGCTCTAAGCTATGGGTTGGCTAGAGATTGAGTGTCTGGAAAGGAAACGGAAAGCGATGTAGATTAAGTGACGGTGGAATGGGACTGGAAACAATCGAGTGGGAAAGGGAGAGAAACAAGAGAGAGAGGGGAGTTGGAGTTCGGGTGGGCGATTAAAACCACCTATTATTATGAAGACGACAAGGCGAAGCAGAGCTGAGTTAAACTAAATTAGGCTTGGAGTCGACGGTTAGAATTTAGTCCCAAGGGAAACTGGGAAAATCAGCGACGAGAGCGAAAGAGGTGAACTGCTCCTCTCAAGACAACGAATCACCGACTATAGGTACTCCGTAGCTTTGGCCCCCTCAGTCTCTTATCCCGTATTTCGAGTCGATGGTCATGCCATAACCGACTAGATGAGATATTCTCTCGACTCCTCAAGGTGCGACAGGTCCTTGAATGAGAGGCGGGGGTCTGCGAATGGTTGAATCAGACCTCCAGCCTAACCGCCCTTAACCCAGCGAAATTGAGCGATCAGACGAAACTTAGGGCGGCTGGGCGGATGGGAAGGGCGTTTGTATCGTTTCGTTTCGGCTGTCGCTTGCGTTGCGATTGGATTAGAACTGTATTATTGGTTTGCGCCTGTTTGGCCTGAAAGAAGGTTGTAACCCTGGTGGTCCGGAAGCTGTTTTGCCTTCACGCACACACGCATTGGTATTATTCAGTACTGACCTGTATTTTTTCTTACATGAAAGTGTAATTCATGATCCTCATGCATGTTCTTTTGCGTCCCTGTCCAAAAAAAAAAAAAAAAAAAAAAAAAAAAATATTATACAAGAGCTGAAAAAACCACAGGTCAAATAATGACAACTTGTTGAGACTGCTTTTTAACAACAGAAGTTGAATTACACCAGCCACTTAGATGGACATATCACGCACCTGAGAACTCCTGAAATTCAAGGGTTGTCAACTCGGTACAGCGTACTGTACAAAGATACATGGTACCTGCCAGCACATACGGAGTACAAATAACCAACCTTCTTTACTCGTACAAATGTATGTACGGTGTATGCACAGGCGGAGGCCAGCCAGCTAACTAAGCGGCGGCTGGCATCAGCTTGTTCATCTGGAGTTAACCTCTCTCAACTCTGTGGGCTTTTTGTCCCAGCCAAACACTGCAGATCGCACATGGCAGGCAACGACAATCCTTTCAATAAAAATAGCAGTTAACTCGGGACTCCGTCCTCCGTACTCCGTAGGCGCTGCAGAATGTTAAACCGCCTAGCGCGGGGCTCATTTTCTGGCCAGCCAGTTCAAATTGAAATGCCTTCTCGTCTTCTTGACAGGGATGGACGGTCGAAAATACCGCCGCAAAGCCAGCGACCACCAAAATCCTGACCATCAAATTTGCCTCCCTATCCCCGCCGTTGGCAGTCTTTGGTTACCCAAAGCACTAATCAATCGCCATCTATTCAGAGGTGCATAGCGCGCTCCCAAATCGCATATTCGAGTTCCGGGATTGCAGTACTATGCGTGCTCCGAGTAACGTTATTGGACATACGGAATCCATGGCCAACCAACCCCTGTTGCCAGAACCAAAAGGAAGTGGGTTCCATGTGGTTTGGCTCAGGAACTCTTTTGGATATGACTTCTTGGGTCTGTATTTCCAGGAACTCCCCGGTTGCAAATGTCATTTGAGGTGACTTCAAGCTGAGTTACCAGGTCAGATTTCAAAGCCAGCAAAATAATCCAGGTGCAAAAAGAAGCCAAAACTGTAGGCAAAATACTCCACACATAATATTCATGTATTCAATCAAGAGTATCCTCTCACTCCAGAGGTCTCCAGGCAGAAAATGGAAAAATCGAAATAAATTCATGTACAGAGAACTTTGGATAATGTAGACGGAGTAAAAGGGTACAACGTGACTTGTATCAATTTATCCTGGGCAATGGAATAGGGGGGCTGGGGTTTGATGTTTGTGGAACAAAGACTTTCCCGCGGTGACACTTGCACATCTCAGCGCCAGTCGCTAACCAACCGCTTGTCGAGGAGGAGAATCTTTGAGTTTTCTTGGATGCACAGTCTTGCCAATCAGCATGAATTGCAGGGTGGCCAATACACCATGTTCATCTTTTTCCTCACCAAGAGAAATTTTAAAGATGTGGGTTTGGTGAAAGGGAATGAAACATCCATGTTGTGTACAGAGTACCATGAGTTGAAGGAATAGTTAATCACCTAGAAGTTTCAGTTAATATGCCCTGACATTCATGAACTGGCTGCCCAGGTAACTACAACTTCGAAAAAGCAGAACAATAATCCGAACTGTCGGGTTTCCCGCTGCGGCTCACTTGACGAGACGGGGTACAGAGTACGGAGTACAAAGTTAGTTAGTCTATCGCGGCAAAGGCGTGCGGAAAAGAGGTTTTCCGAACTGAATCATCCTCGGTGGCGGCAATTTTGCCCGCGCTCGCAAAACATTTTTGAAAGTTGGGACGGAATCGTACGGAACCCCAAGTACTTTTTCATCATCCCTTCACATCTTGAAATTTGCACAGTCCTGAAGTTTGATATGGCGGTACATCTTGGGGCAATATAAAGACGACAACCCGTGATAGATATGCCGAAAAAGGGGACTGGATTTCCTAAACCTGGATTAGCTCCTCTATGATGCAATTTCTAATGCGAACCAGTGAGTACGGAGTATTTGCACCCGTTATCGAACGATGAATCTGTTAGTGCGTTGACATTGATGAACGCCCTAAGTTGAATCAAATTCGGGTCATGTCGTTAAAGCCTCGCGATTCCGTTCCATGCGATTGTACGACCAGCTCCTACAAAAGGGATCCAAGCCGATAGTGGCAAGCACCGACGGGCGGGAGAGTACCAGCTCAACTGGTGAACTCCCCTGTAGCCCGGAGGAAAGAATTATTTACGATTTCTATAGCTACCTATTTACCCATAGCAACATTTATTGTTGAGAAGATATAACCTCAGAGGCCGACGATTGTGGGGTAATGAGGGAACTGATGATAATGCGCGGGAGTCGGTGGCTCGGTGAGCCAGCCTCTTCTGGTGAAACCATAGACATGTACGGAGTACGGAGTAGTAGTTAACGGAATGCATACCTAGTTACATCATATCGTGTATATAACTATGAATGCATGTTCATATATAGATACCACAGAACTCACTGAGTATCCCGTACTCCTTGCATGCCACGTATGTACATACATCCATATGTATACACAATAGGTCGCTGCCTTCCTAGGTACCAGTTAATTGACACGAACGTTACGTGGGATAGTTCGACTGCCGGATGTCAATTGTCGAAGGCGGCCACATTGTCACTCCGTTCCCAGAACCTTGCTCCACATCTCCTCCTCCGGGAAAAGAACCGTCGAACTCTTGAACACGACCTGTGGGTTAACTAGTGAAGTGGATCATGTTTGCCTCTTGGCCCAAACTTCGGGTGTTGGATCAGACGCGGCTGTTGTTGAGGGACGGCGAACTTTTCGCGAGCCACCGACCATCACCACTACCGAATTTCACTGCCAGGCATGTCCGATTCTAATCAAACGCGCATCGGCCACCATAACGGCTCTATCGTCTGAGTTAAAGTCAGGATGGATTGGCCATTAAATTTCTATCCTCCTTTCGGCCCTTCAAAGATATATTTATCTTTAAGTCTCTCATTGATCTCCTTCACATACCTGTAGAAGTATCCAAAAGGGAGACTCTACTTGCATTTTCGACATCTTTCGTTTTTTGTTCTATCCCAAATAAGATACCCATGTCTAAGCCTCAAGTTCACGTTGCTATAGTTGGGGCCGGCCTTGGGGGCCTGGCTGCAGCGATTGGCATAGCAAGGGCCGGGCACAAGGTCACACTTCTGGAGCAAGCTCCTGAGCTGGGGGAGGTACGGATAGCACATACCTCCGGGTCTGCAAGATCCTATCTCTTATATGTGACCGGATATTAACCTTTATTTCGTCTTATTTAGATTGGAGCAGGCATCCAAATCCCCCCCAACGCGGCCCTGATTCTCAAGCGGTGGGGTATCCTAGACGCCATAGAAGAAGTCTCTGTTCGCCCGAAAGATTTTATTCTTCGTTCTTATCGGGATGGGAAAGTACTCTCAGTCCAAAATGTCCTTCCGTATACCGAAAACCGATATGGGACACCTTATCTCCATATTCACAGAGCAGATTATCACAAGATTCTTCTGAAGGAAGCGATAAGGCAAGGTGTAGAGATTCTACTTGACTCTACTGTGATAGGAGTAGATTTCGAGAAGCCAGCAATTCATTTGAAAGAACAGCCTGATTTCCACGCCGATGTCGTCATTGGCGCTGATGGTCTTAAATCGGCGTGTCGAGAAGCTCTTCTTGGCCGGCCCGACCCTCCTCGCCTAACCGGGGATTTGGCATATCGAATTATCGTGAGGGCGGAAGACATGAGGAAACATCCTGAACTCTCGGAGTTCCTTGACCAGCCATGCATAAACTATTGGATGGGACCGGATGCTCATGCGGTGTGTTATTTCCTCCAGGGTGGTGGCCTATACAACATTGTTTTAATCTGCCCGGATAACCTTCCCGAGCTTGTGAATATTGCGCAGGCAGATCTGGAAGAAATGCGGGCTTTCTTTGAAAACTGGGACCCAAGGTTGAAGGTTATTCTTGATCTGGTCCAAGAAACCAAAAAATGGAGATTACAAAACAGTGTAGAAATGGCAACGTGGTGCCACCCGAGCGGAAAATTTGCATTGCTCGGGGATGCGTGCCATGCGACTCTTCCATACCTGTGAGCCTCCGAACATTCGCTGTTGTTTTTATTGGGCACTGACAGTCTATCAGAGCACAGGGAGCGGCGCAAGCTGTGGAGGACGGGGCAGTTCTCGGCACTCTGTTTGAGGAGCTTGATGACAAGGCTCAGCTAAGCGATCTACTCGCTATTTATGAAAAAATACGAAAATCAAGAACAACTCGGGTGGTCCAGGGAAGCACAGCTCTTCGGGACATTTTCCATATGCACGACGGCCCAAGCCAGGAGGAGCGGGATAGGGTACTCCTGAATGAAGCACCCTTCGAAGGATTCCCTAACCGCTGGGCGGATCCAGTTTTCCAGCAGTTCTTGTTCGGATATGATTCACGTGCCGAAGCACTACAAGCATGGGACGCATATAAGAAAGGGAAATCCCCCGAGTCCATAAAGGGAGTTGAATCTCGCCTGTGATCATACTGAGCGTTGTTGCTATTTTTGGTTTTTATTGTTTGCCTTTATGCAGGAATGCTGTATCATCTGTTCATAATTCTGTATATTGGACCGTTCTAGGGCCCTGAGGATCAGGATGCCTCAGAGAAAGGCCTTCAAATATTGTGCCTTGGAAGGCTTCTATAGATAATCTGGAAAGTATAGAGAGCATTTACACAACCTAGGCCATAGGAAATAGCTTCAATGAGCGCTGAGGTAGAAGCAGGACCTATTTTTATTTTGTTACCAAGGGCTTAAGAATAATATGGATCCTTCAATGAAATAGCGCTGCATTTAACTGTAAAGGAGGAGAATTGAAGTTTAAATACCCGAGAACTTCGTAGTTGATGGTTATCGGGTTGTAACAACTATGATCACTCAGATCACCCAACCGCGCCATGGCAGAGAAGTGCAGTTAATGCCGGATGCCTGTCAGACCCCGAAACACCCAGGTTCTCTTAAATAGTTACTAATGACTAAGCTGTTAACTAGCTCACCTAGTTAGTTAACTAGTTACAAGTTACCTAGCCATTTAAGTTAACTAACAAGTTGGTTCTCAGGACTGCAGCACACTTTGAGAAATGGGGTCATTTAATTATCCATTTGGACCCTGTACTCTGTAGTTCACTGTGTGGCTTAACAGTTGATAGCTACTCGGTAATTAGTTTTCCTTTTGAGGTGGTTGAGGATGATCCTTTCTGCTGGTTAATTCCCCCTTGCAAATTATTGATAGGTCGCAGCTGTTAACTAACCAAATTAACTAACTGGTCAAGTCCCCAAGTCCAACAGTTAACTCGTTTGGTTATTCAGTTAGTTAACTACCCCTCCCCACTCGTCCATCTCCCTGATATTCGAAGCTAAGAACTGCTTCCTCATCCCACTCACATTCACCAGGTCGACCTCAATTCTTGCACCCTAGCTGGAAAAAGAAGGATTGATCTTCCTCGCGGGGTGTATCCCTAACCTTGGTGCACCATGTCGGTTTCGATACAGGAGCTGGATAACACTGTCCGAGCTTTCTACGAAGGCTCAGGCGATGTTGTACGTTTCTTCCCGAGTTGTCCTAAGACCCGAGGATTATGAATAACTGCAGATGCTAATGTCCCTTGATTCGATCAGAGAAAACAAGCGCAACAATCATTAACAGAGGTGTGACCAGCCAGTCCGAGGCAATTTTATCCCTAATCGCGCCGAGATGCTTACTTATATCTGCAGTTCAAACAAAACCCCGAGGCCTGGTTATTAGTGGGAAATATTCTACAAGAGTCGAACTATGTTCAAACAAAATGCAAGCAGCTGTAAAAGTTCATGCTACATTTTGAATTAGGCCACTAACTCCTCATAGATTTGGCCTTGCAGGTCTTAGACGATGTGATTATGACACGATGGAAGGTTCTTCCGCGAGAGCAATGTCAAGGTACAGCTTCTCTGATCGTTTTCGTTTTAGATATGCGTTGCTCACCTTTCCCTAGGTATCCGAAACTTCATCGTCAATTGCATCATTGAACACTCCAAAACTGAGGAAAAGTTGAAGAGCGAAAGAGCATTTTTGAATAAACTCAACCTCGTCCTCGTTTCGATCTTGAAACAAGAATGGCCGCATAATTGGCCTACGTTTATTAACGAAATAATTTCATCTTGCCACACGAGTTTGTCCATCTGCGAGAACAACATGGCGATCCTTCGTTTATTGTCCGAGGAAGTTTTCGACTATTCACAGGACCAAATGACTTCGACAAAGGCACGGAACCTGAAAACCACAATGTGTCAAGAGTTTTCTTCTATATTTCAACTATGTTCCGAGGTTCTTAATACTGCTACTCAAAGCAGCTTAATCAAAGCGACACTAGAAACGCTTCTCCGGTTTCTCAATTGGATCCCGTTAGGTTACGTTTTTGAGACACCTATCATCAATACTCTTCTCAATCGTTTCTTGGATGTGCCCGACTTTCGAAACGTAACATTAAAGTGCTTGACCGAGATCGGGAGTCTACAGGTTGGACCTCAATTTTCGTACGACGAGAAGTTGGTACAGATGTTTACGGAGACTTTGACAACTGTTTCCAAAATCATTCCCCTATCATTAGATTTAAGGCAAACTTACGCGGCTAGCAACTCCAGGGATCAAGAGTTTGTTCTCAACTTGGCACTTTTTCTCACGAACTTCTTTAGTGTGCGCTTACATGTGAGTAATTTATTTTATTTATTTATTTTTGTTTTCTTAATCTCCAAACAAAGCCAATCTGACCATGTACCAGCTTATCGAAAGGCTCCCCAATCTTGACTACCTGACTCACGGACATTTTTACCTCATCCGCATTAGCCAAATCGACGATCGTGAGATTTTCAAGATCTGTCTGGAGTACTGGACAAGACTAGTCCAGGAGCTATATGAAGAAATGCAGCAACTCCCAATAACGGATATCAACCCTTTAGTTAGCATGGGTGTGAGCGGTTTGTCAAATGGAGGGGCTCCTAATCCTAGCACTCTTGCCAATTATCCTCTTCGCAAACATAAATACGCCGAGGTCTTGTCGAGTCTCAGAACTGTGATGATTGAAAAGATGGTGCGGCCGGAAGAAGTGTTAATTGTCGAGAATGATGAAGGCGAAATCGTTCGCGAATTCGTCAAGGAGAGCGATACGATCCAGCTATATAAAACTACGAGGGAATGTTTGGTATATCTTACGCATCTTGATGTTGTCGATACAGAGAATATCATGGCAGACAAGCTAGCCAAGCAAGTTGATGGGACCGAATGGTCATGGGCGAACTGCAACACTTTATGTTGGGCCATTGGGTCGATATCTGGAGCAATGAATGAAGAAACAGAAAAGAGATTCCTCGTCACCGTTATTAAAGATCTCCTTGGACTCACCGAAATGAAGCGCGGGAAAGATAACAAAGCAGTGGTGGCGAGTAACATCATGTACATCGTCGGACAGTATCCCAGATTTTTGAAAGCACACTGGAAGTTCTTGAAAACGGTGGTTAACAAGCTTTTCGAATTCATGCATGAAACTCATGAAGGTACGTATAGCGTCGGAACCCCCTGGATTTGGCTAACAAGGTTTGGTGAAAAAAATAGGCGTCCAGGATATGGCCTGTGATACATTTATTAAAATTGCCAACAAATGTAAAAGGCATTTTGTTGTGCACCAGCCCGGCGAGGCAGAGCCCTTCATCGACGAAATTATTGGATCAATGAGCAAGATTACCTGCGACTTGTCCCCTCAGCAAATTCACACTTTCTATGAAGCTTGCGGCTATATGATTTCCGCCCAGGGTCAAAAGTCAATACAGGATCGGTTGATTGAAAACTTGATGTCATTACCAAATGCCGCGTGGGATAGCATTATAAATCGGGCGAACCAGGATCCTGCAACTTTGCAAGATGGGGAGACGATTAAAGTTGTAGGTAACATCATGAAAACGAATGTCGCTGCGTGTTCCTCGATCGGGAGTTATTTCTATTCCCAGATAGGCCGTATTTATCATGATATGCTGAACATGTACCGGGCTTCCAGTCAACTGATTAACGATGCGGTTGCGAGAGATGGCAAGTGACTATCATGTTTTACTGTTTGATGATTTTTTGCTAACCTCTTGCAGGAAACATCGCCACTAAAACTCCAAAAGTTCGTGGACTTAGGACCATCAAAAAGGAAATTTTGAAGCTCATCGATATCTACGTTGAAAAAGCGGATGATTTGGACATGGTTAACACCAGAATGGTACCGCCACTTCTCGAAGCTGTCCTAGTAGACTATAATCGAAATGTGCCAGATGCTCGAGAGGCAGAGGTTTTGAATGTTATGACTACCATTATTCATAAACTTCATGTGCGTATTTACCCTCTCACGATAGAGCATTGCCGCTAACAACATCACAGAATCTCATGGAAGATAAGGTTCCAATCATTATGGAGAGCATCTTTGAATGCACTCTCGAGATGATTAATAAAGATTTCCACGAGTATCCGGAGCATCGTGTCAGCTTTTTCAAGCTTCTCCAGGCTATCAATCTCTATTGCTTCCCAGCCCTCCTTAAATTGGACGCCAGCCAGTTCAAATTTGTTATCGACTCTTGCATGTGGGCTAGTAAACATGATAACCGAGAAGTGGAAAACACTGGCCTTACCATGTGTCTTGAACTAATGAACAACATGGCAGAGACTGACCTACAAACGTCAAGCATTTTCTTCCGTCAATTTTACATTCCCATTTTGCAGGATGTTTTCTTCGTTCTCACTGATACGGATCACAAAGCCGGTAGGTCAAGGAGAAACCCTGAGTGTGGGAAGCTCGACTCACATGGTTCTATAGGTTTCAAGTCTCAAGCGATGCTCCTTTCGCGCATGTTCTTCTTCGTTACTACCAATAAAATCCAACAGCCCATCTATTCCCCTGAACAAGCACCTATGGGGACTTCAAACAGAGAATTTTTACAGGAGTATGTGGGAAGTTTGCTCCAGAGTGCCTTTAAAAACCTTCAAGAGTAAGTCGAACGCATCGCTCTGGTCAACCGCCACATCTGACATTGACCGCTCTAGGGTGCAAGTAAAACAGTTTGTTCAAGGCCTATTCACTCTGAACGATGACTTTGCGAAGTTCAAGACGCATCTGAGAGACTTTTTGATTTCACTAAAGGAGTTTGCCGGGGATAACGCGGAGTTGTATGCTGAAGAAAGGGAACAAGCCCTTAGAGAAGCAAAGGCTGCTGAAAGAGACCGGGCAATGAAAGTGGGCGGTCTCTTAAAACCGGCGGAGATGGACCAGGAGGATGAACTTTGACTCGACGAGGAGTTGCGGACAGAATTTGAAAGGTCCGCCGATCGCTGTGCCCATCGCTCGCGGACATCGTATTCAAAGGGTTTTATCTTTGATGGGTGGGAGCTCTACGGTGTCTAAAACCCCATTACAACACAAATCCAGATTGAACCCAGGCTTGGACCGCTTTCGAAGTGCCCCCGCTTGTTAGCTACCCGCCTCGGCCGCACAAGGAACGACGAGCGGTAATGCCTCGCTTATGAGGACGTGATAAGCTACTATTTTAAGAGATCAGGAAACCACAAAATAGGGAGACATGTGTTTAATTTTGAGCAGTGTATCAATATTGTCCATCCACTTGTATTGTTGGATGTATCCACATTGCCATTTCCATTTGTTGCACAGCTAAACACTGTGATAGTGCTGACCTTGGAGGCTGTAGATATTCACTATTTCAAGAATATCAATTTAAATCAATGGTATTGGATGTCGGAACTCCACATGTACTGGGACCGGCCGGTCAAATTTTTTTTTTTTTTTTTTTTTTTTTTTTTTTGGTGCTTCACGGGCCCAGTTTTGCATATGAAGTACTTCATGCAGTCTCCATTTTGGAGAATAAGGCGGCCACGATTTAAAGTGGATTTTATCTTAGGACATGCATTCCTAGGACCAACCATTGATATGAACTGCATACTCCATACCAGATAATATACAGAGGACTCCGTGGTCAACTACCCATGCAGAGTACCCCGTCGTAGGCGCGGTTTATGAACTTTGGACTCTTGACGGCGCCATGACAAGTATGATTTGCAATTCTTGGTGAATGGTGCAAGTGATAACGGGTCAAATATAGTTACAGGATAGAATCTTATTCCCAGAATACTCCGTATTGAAGCTTATGTTCATGTCACGCAAAATGCAACGAGATTCAAATTGATTCCACCCAATTTCCCCGGATACGGAGTATTTTGGCAATGAATCGTCTTAAACTTGATCCCTGATCCCTCTTCAGGCAATAGGGCAACGACCGGGCCGCCGCGGTTCACTCTTCTCGGTTTCCAGCCGGGGCAGGACGTAAGCCGCGACGATGCAGCAGGTTACTGGAATAGTTTTTGAGGCCATATTGGGCTGCATTACGGTAAAAATATCATTCAACACCTCGTTGGGCCCTTCTCCTGCGAGCACTCACTGAAAAGTGGTCATACCCGCGGCCTCGGTTTGGGACACTTGACTTCCTGTCTGTTTTGTTTGGAGCCTCATATTAAATCAAGACTTGGCACCAATGGCGGGCTTCGATGATTTCGAACCAGATCCTTCCGAACAATTTCAAGACCCGCGTTGGAGTATCACGAGGCGCCCTCCGCACTACGGCGAACAATCATTCGCCCCCGTCAAATCCGGAAATGTAAAGTGAAGTCTGGACTCCCATTTTTCTATTATTGGAAAATCAAGGCCGCATATGTGCCGACATCGACCCTCCACACTTTGCTGGCTAACCACATATATATTAGAATACGAACACGGCTGACGGGAGTTTGAAGCAGTTCCCGTGGCTTCGCGTTCTGCCGCCTGCACTGTATTGCATTTGAAGGCGCTTTAGCCGACCGAGATGCGCGGAAGCGATGGTCTTCATTGAGGTGCAGGACAACTTAACTGGCCCAGGGAAAGACAAGGTTTCCCCTTGGAGGCATCATCAAGTTTCCTCCCCTCTGGATGGTGTGCCCGTCAAAGCCTGACCCGTAACCAGTGGATCAGGTTACATTTCTCAGCTGGTGCTTTTCAAAACTCATTGACCGTCCTCGTATCCAGGAAGACAAGGAGCTCGGTTCCTGCTGATAAAAGCATGAGCCAGACAGCTATAAATCGAGGCTTCTTCCTTCGCAAGTTGGTAAAGGTTCGACATCATCAACAGCGATATTTGCCTCGATTCGACACCGCGACACGAACTCCATTCTTCCGCAACAGCTCCGCTCAAAAGACGGTCCCATAGTTTGTGCCCCAGTCCGGACTCTAGATATTGTCCTGGGTTATTTCTGACAAAACCACAGGAAAATATGAAACTCACTGCGGCTGCTCTACTTTCTTCCCTCGCTTTCGCCTCAGCGTGGAACCTGGATCTTTACACCACCGACAAGCGCCATGTCAAAACGCACGGAACCAGAGACTCCGGCTGTAAGAACATCGAGTTCCACCCTGCGCTCAAAGTTAACCGTGCAAATTTCCGTCCCGCAACCAATAACTGGCCTGACCCAAAGACTTTCGAGCTTTACGCCAGTAAGAACTGCAAAAAGTTGAGCTACCGTAACGGCAAAGGCAATCACAAGATGTCCGCCAGAACCATTCGCAGTTACAAAGTCTACTAAGAAATTTCACAAGCCCATCAAGGCAGCCTTCGCGTACGGGCTGAACAGCATGATGGGTGGATGGATTGCCTTCAATGCTGGTGGCAGTGGCGTCATATGTCATTAATGTAGTTGGGAATCTAGATTTCTCTTATCAGGCAGAGAGGGTCCTGTATTTCATTCTCAAAGTTGTCAATTTCCTAAATGTATACTTCTTCATTCACCAAAAATATCTCAAAAACCCCAGATAATTCTATCTGGTTGCTGTTGCAGACACGACGGCCGGCGTACTCTGAACTTTGTCCGTAGTACTCTGTAGACATGACGGGAAAGGGGCAAGTATTAACTTACTGTCGCACGCACACTTAATTAGTCACCTATGAAGTTTTCAATCTGTATTAACTAAGTTACGGAGTACTCCGTAGTCAGCCTAACCAGTTAACTATGTACGGAGTAGGTTAACAGTGTATGGACGGAGGACCTGGTCCGGGATTTTAGCTCATTAGTTAAGCTCATCAGCCTTGGGATGGCTGCTTATCACAACAACAACTAATGCTGCCAAGGGCCCCCAATGCGGAACATTCTCACCACACCTGTTCTTTTGTGATAATCAGAGCCTTTGAACCATTTGCTGATTCACTCCAAACCATCACCAATAACTTCATTGTCCCCGCCTCTAAAATAGTATTGAAACATATTATCCACCTTGTACCAGGGAAAATCTAGCATGGCGCGAACAAGACCTCCAAACCCGCCCGCCCCTAGTATAACTGCTACCCATGTCGAATCCTCCAACATCCAACAGACGAGACGGGGAATACCGATTACTGGAACCCTAAGGCTACGAGGTGAGGCAACGGCCACAGAGGAGAGCCCTGCCGAACGGAGACATATACGATGGGCTGAAGACGTTGTCGACAACGAAGGACAAGGCAAAAAGAGCTCAAAAGGTACATAATCCCACCTAGGAGAAATATGCGCTTGAAGACCTTCGATCCATTTTTTTTTAAACTAATAAAACTTCTGGGTCCAGTCTGTTGCATATATCATAAGCCCCGAGAGGTTGGCGAAAGCAGTTCAGAGTCAGATTCTTCCGACTCCGACTCTTCCGAGAGCAATAGCGACAGCGAAATCGATAGTGGAGAAGCAAGAATGACCAACAGCCGCTCCCCGAGACGTCATTTACACAATCATGATCATGGTGGCAGTGAGCATTCAGGTCACGGCAGAAAACGACCAAAAACGAAACCAAAGGTAAACGCTTATGAGCGGGTGCCGAAGTATAACGAAAAACGGGAAGGCACTGGGGAAGGCCCTTGACAAGTTCTGGAAGTATAGTGACGATAATGGATTTACGAACCACTACTTTGGCATTTAGTTTACATATGAAGAATCGCGACATTTATTATGGGATGATTATTCGTGTGGGGGGACATTTTCGTCTGCTCGCCAAAAGAGTCATGAATTTTTGACTGATGATCATCTCGTTGAAACACGCATTACGGCGGAGTCGGTTTCCTGCGCTCTCTATAGCCTATCCACCCCGGCATACTCGAACCCATTTTAGGATGTCCCGAGTTTGTTGCTATAAAGGGAAGCTGGGAACTTTGTCAATGGAACATTGAGGCTTGATGAGAGATGACGTTTAAAATGTATATAATATAAATAGGTGCCCTTAGACCATCATACTCCGTCTCCTAGTGGCAGGGCCGCGTTGCAAGCGCGTTGAGTCGATTGGGGTTTTAGCATAGCCAGCCGCAGTCTCCTCCGTGGAGAACTCAAACATCCCTTCAGCAGGTGGTGTTTTGTTGTACATATCAGTCCTCGTCGTCAAATGGGCATGGCTAGCATCAAGTGATGGGTTTGACGAGTACCTCCGTGTTTCACTTCGTTTTTTTGTCTGGCAACGCTTTTTACTTCCCGCAACAAGAGTTGAAATAGCAATGCTAGATGCTGATTGCCCGTTATGGTAATCCCCATCAGGATGGGCGGAACATCCCTCCGCCATTTGTTCATGATCGGGTAATTTTGTTGGCGGATCCTGGGGCGCCTGGACGGGATTGTTATTTATAGTGTCACCTTCTTCGGGCGTTTGGAAATGTTCGGGCTGCGATCTCGAAATACGCCGAAATCTGTCTTGCCCAACGGCATCAACAAGCTCCTCTGTGGGGCGTCTCATTTTATCTCTGAGGTTTGGCTCGGCATAGCTCACAGGTCCTCTTGATCGTCTAGACTGTCTAGTCCTTGTATTTGCAGATGCTTTACCGTCCGTCGGACCCGGCTCTGGGAGTATGTCTGCGCTTTCGCACGTTGCAGCGCGATCGACCATATTTGGGGTAGCAACTGGTGGGTCGGTGTCTAAACAGTGGCCCACTTCCTTGGGTGAACGGGCTCCCTTTATGGGTGCCTTCGGGTTGAATTCAGATAAGTTAGGTTCTAAAACACTAGACTTTAGCTTGTCGAAACTGCCGCGCTCGTCCTTTATTGTCCTGCTACACGGTGTTCCATTGATTTGTGCGAAATGTCGTTTTCCTTCACCTCTCAGCTGAACTTTTTCTGAATCAGTTTTAACCGGTGACCTTAGGTTTGTGTTTGTGCTCTCTGCAGCAAATGGTTAAATATTTGCCAAAAATATGTGAATAGTGAAGGGAAGATACACTTACTTGGTCCTAAGGCTCGACGCCCAGGCTTCTTTTCCCCCACAGGTTGCCTTTTGTGTTTGGAGACTCTCTGCATGGGTTGGTCCTCGCTACGGATATCTATCTCCTGTGGCAGGTCCTCGGATGATGCATTTAGGCGGGTGAACTGAAAATCATCTTGACAGTTGGAATGCGCTGAGCCGGGCTCTCCCTCTTCCTGTACATCGAATTTTCGTTTGGATCCGGCCCTTGGAGGTTTATGGCCATATCCATCTGGGTCTGTAAACCGCTCAGCGTTGGGAAGAATATCTTGTAGAAACGAGCTATCTCTACGTTTCCTTCGCGGTTCAAGGGCCGGCAATTTATTTTGGGACAATAAATTGACCTTGGAGCATTTACTGCTCTCGGGTGATTTCTCTGCGAAGAAAGGGCTGGGGACATTAGCAGGAAGAGAGAAAAGCGACCCTGATATCGAACAAGGTAGCGTGTCTTCTTGCAGTTGATCGTTTATTGGTGATTCGGGAATTTCTTCAACCCTGGGACAAGTTAGACTAGCAAGTTTTGGCGTGGAGCAAGGCAGGCGTGTTTTCTTACTCAGGAGTTAACCTCGGAAAATATTTATCTTCGCAGATGACAGGAAGTCTATCTTCGTCTCCTGTCGAGACAGTCTTTTCAGGCTTCACATTTTGTCGGCCACAGGAAGGAGACCGCAAGAAATCAGAACTATGCGATTCCTTTGGCGTAATAGGGTGTGCCCTCCGAGGCAACGAACCAAGATCGGTAACCAAAATGGATAGCTCGGCTAGTTTTGCTTCAAGTTTCTCCTTGACAGAGAACAACTGGTCACCGAAGCGCTGACTACCCTGACACTTCTCAACTTCCCTATTCAGATAACTAATTTCATCGCGAAGGGCAACGTTTTCGGTAAGGAGTCTGGACACTTCGGATTCAAGTGTTCTTATCCGCGCGGATTGAATTGAGTTTGCTCGAGCAATTTCCCTATTCTGTCGAATAAATCGTCGCTTCACTAATGGAGTTGGTTAGTACTATGGCGTTTCGCTCGCAATTTCTACACTCACAAGATTCAAGTGACTCCGTTGCCGGAGGAAGATCGTTGAGGCGGGCCATGGAATTGTGGTTCTAGAAGCAGCCTTCCTGTAGCAGGTATAACACCCTTCTATTCGAGCCAAAAACAAGATGGCAACATGTCAGTGAACCGGCCAGTTGAGATTGTCGGGATGTTGTGCTTCTTGGATTGGCGAAGTTGGACTTGTTCGGATGGGTTTGAGGAGAGCAGAAGTTTGTTGACATTTAACTCTTTGTGGTTAGATCATCCCCTAGCAGAAGCTGCCGGAGCAACCCGCTGATCTCGGCAAGCGCTGCTTTTTGTCACCAGAGCAGGCTGCTTGTCGCCAGCGATCACAGAATGTGGCTTTCAATCCTGCCGTCGAGAACGTTGAAACCTTGATTGCGCATCATGGCCCATGGCCCGCGGCCGACCGGCATGTTCGGACCATCTGCCGGGTCATCCTTACGACAGCCAAACGGCCTGTCTAGCTCATCTTCGCAAAACTCGTCCATTCTTGCTGCCCGAGTCGCCGCTAAAAAGGCTGAGCTTGAAGACCTTGTACAGTTGCGCGATGTCAGTAGCGCGTTGGCGACCCAAATGGAAGTATTAAACGGGAAACTTGAAACACTACGTGATGGCACAGAAGGTTTGTCATTTCAAGCCTTGCGTTGCTGCAATGATTGAAACATAGACCCTGTATTCGATAGACGTTGGCCGCACACGTTAACCATTGACATGGCGTTGTACTTTAGCTGTTGCTTGTGTTATGGCAAATTGGGAGAATGTGTTGAGGGCTATCAATATGGCGTCGGGTGAGTAAACGTGTGAACAGATTTGACCTCCTTTGAGATAACTAATGAAACCCTTTCGTTCGTCTCAGCAACAATGGCTCGGACCAACAACAGAGCTGTCGAATCAACACATCAACAGGGCAGCATTGACAACCCTCAGGAGTCCTCCCTCCCCGCTCCGCTAGTGCGCATCCCAGCTGAACCGCTGGAATCAACTCCAGGAAACGAGCCTTAGAGATTGGTATGATACCCCGAGAACAAAAAGGGTCAGGGTATGCAATTCTTTCTCCGATATTATATCTGGGGTTTAGGAGAAGAGTAGGCAGCGTCGGACGGAGCGGCTTGTTCTACCGGCTCCCTATATCGGTGCATGATCCTCACATATTAGTTACTATGCCTAGCGCCCTGGTTTCGTTCTCCTTTGACTGCCATCCATGGCGGGATACGCAGTTCTTCCTGTTGGTTCAATTGTCGCATTAGCCCTACGTACACATCCAACACGTATTAGATTTATCAAAGGAGAATATGCAACTTGGCTGTCGAGCGCGTCAGGACAGCTCGATAAGCGATATTAACCCCGACGCGCGAGAAAGAAGTCTAGAGTTAACCTACAACGAGACGATAGTTAAATAGGTAAAGTCTCGGGCCAAGTTGCAACGGTCCACGCCCGCTCAGGGTGGAGCCTTTTGAAATTAAACCGCAATCCCCTGGTAGTTAAAACACCGATTCATGGATTGAGCCGAGCCTTCAAAATGAAAGGTGTCGTTCTTGACTACAAATACCCCGTGCGTCTCCCCTGCTAGCCCTTGTTCCGTTAACTTTTACATCCCTCTTAAAGATTTGTTGATGTCGTATTTCCAATTAAGGAGCGAGACGGACGTGTATTTTGATGACGCCCCCTCAAGACCAAGCCACCAACATATCAATAAACCTACGATGGCAGAATCTGGGCAATGCCATATTATGTAGGTGACGTTTTACAAAGTTACAAAGAGTTGATACCATAGCCAATGATGCCTTTTGGCAGAACGCGTGGCGTGTTGTTGTTGAAACCGCGTTCGCGTACACACCAATCTTGGGGGGTTATAGACAAACACCTCTCTCGCAATTGAGGAAGTTTGACGGAGATTCGCGCGCAGTTTTGATAAGCAGGTTATTGGCGACCTGGCCGTTCATCCTCCAGCAAAGAAAACCACGCGTTTCCCGAGAAGACACCCCGTCAGGGAAAAAGCAGGAATAATAAAACCCGAAACCCAGCAGCAGAAGAGCTCGACTCCACTGCGGCAAGCACGACCAGCTTGAAGGCACTTTTCTTTGCTTTTTATCAATCGAGGTATGCGGCTCCCGTGTCTATTTGCTCTCCCCACGTCCTTGGACTCCGCCCTCTGACTGACCTCGTAGGCCGGCATTTTCTGCTTATAGTCTAGCCCGGAATAATCCCGGAACCTACATCAATGCAAACGGAAGCTTTGGAGCCTGCCCTCGGGACTCCGAGATTCGATCCCGATGTGCACAAGAGTCCGAGAGAGGATGGCCCAACGAGCGGTGAAGACTCCTTTGTTAAATCAATTATCACCGGCTCTCCCCAGAAATCCTGCACCCACAACACTTGGATGGATATAAAGTGGGACGCGCCACCTGAATCCAATTCACGTGTCTCTCCCAGCGATTTAGCACAAATAAAAGATCCCCTTGATGCTATTGACGCTCTAGAGGAAGCCCTTGAAGAAATCGGAGAAGCTTTACCGACAGCTCAATATCATGGTCTTGATTCCCCCCAAAGAGAGGGTACCCCGGTTGAAACTAGCAGGAGCCAAAATGGAGAGACTAACCACATGGTTTCCAATTATTCAAGGAAAGAGACCACCAGCCTCGCGATATCGGAGGGGTTGTCATGCATGGACGGAGCTCCCAAAGATGCAGGTGAAAATGCGAAGCCGAAGACTCCACGACAAGCACCAAGCCGAGCACCCGAGCCAACTTGCAAAACACGAACGTTGTCGAATTCCAAACCCAGCAAAACCTCTAGTAACTGCACGGGTCCCAAGGTAGCAGACCGCTCGGTTGGCGAAGCTCTCGCTGCAGGTCAACTTGGTCACACCCCAGCCAATGTGCCGAAGACTTCTAAAACCGAACAGCCCAAAGCGAACCGACTTAGCATCGCCTCACTTAGTACCTCAAAGCCAGGGTTTACACCAGTCAAGTCCACCAAACCCCTCACTAAACCGACCTTCGAGTTACCGGGCGAGGCCATTTCGCGGCGCATGAAGGCTCAGCGAGAGCAGCGTCTTAAAAAAGAGGAAGAAGAATTACAGCGCAGACGGGCCTTTAAGGCTTCCAAAATTCGATACAGTATTGTTCCATCTACTGAAGTTAGAGAAACCATTACCAGCCGCTCCAGGGCGAACCTAAGTGCTGCTGAGAATTCTCACAAAGCTCCAGCCCAGGCACGTACAAGATTGAATTTTTCAAACTCAGCGCAAACGAGCCCTACAGATAGAACCTCCCTAAAACACACTGGATCCGATGAGCGCCTTGGACGGCGGACGAGTTTTGCGTCCCCAAGAACGCGTCATTCGTCGGTGAACAGTGACCTAATCTCGCGCTCCTCCAGTTTGAAAGCCGCGTCCAATCTTGCCGGGACAAATGGGCCCCAGACCAGAAATTCTATGACCTTTACAAAGACCCCAGCTACAAAGACCGACCACATAATACAGAAGTCCCGAGGGAAAGAAATATTCGGACAGGATCGTCAATTGGTACAGGAACGTGAGCGCGAGCGTAAAGAAAGGGAAGATGCTGCTAAACGTGCCAGAGCAGAAGCAGCACAGCGTGGAAGACAGGCAAGCCGTGAATGGGCAGAGCGACAAAAGCAAAAATCCAAGATTGTCAGAGCAAGCCTCAATGCCTGAAGTCCGATCAGTGGGGCCGGCAGGCGGATTAGGTCCAAAGTAAGAAGCGAAAGATTGGCGGTACTTATCTGGAATCCTCGCCCATTAAGCATGTATGAGTTCAAGCCTGACAGTGTTTTTTTTGATAAGGATCTACAGGCGGTGTGCCTGGACGATACCGTGGATGAACATCACTCACATTCTTGTAGTAACCAGTGCCTGAATTTTGTTTTGCTGCTTTTTCCTTTTTACCACCACCTCCCTAACCAGTTCGAGTTATTCAACTGTTAGGGTACGAAGATAATCATATGTTTGGACTGCTACTACGCTGCTCGTGTTGCAAACTACCCTCTCTCTTCTTTTAAAAAACACATTCTCTCTGTCTGTTGATTCTACTGTTGGCATGCTGCAAATGTATTTGGTCCTATTGTCTTCAAAAAGAAAGGGTTTTTTTTGGGGGGGGGTGTTTGGTTTCATGGGGGTATGTCCAAAATGAGGGGGGTTCTAACGTCTGGAGAGACTGCTTTCGGTCACCTCATCCATGACAGGATGACCGAACTACTTTTATGCCCGGCAGTGTTCATGAAATATGAGTATGGAAACCCAAGTTCAAGCGTTACTAAATTTCAGTCAGCTTACTTTTCCCATCTTCCAACTTGTGCAAAATCAACGGAACTTATAATTCATCATGCAATATCAATCTATACCTCTAGCACCTCGCATCCTCAAACGAGAGTATATCAAGCCTTCAAGTTCCGGGCTAGGTGGCCGAGATTTGAAAGGAAATATATTTATTTTTATTTTTTATTTTTATTTTTTATTTTTATTTTTATTTTTATTTTTATTTTTATTTTTTTTTTGGCCAGGTCTATGTACGAGACCGAGCTCTCCGGCGACGAAGTCGGAATGGTGGCTAGGAGACCACCCCCCTAAAACACCACACGCTCATATAGAGCATGCAGCATTTCCAGAGCGTCAAGTTTCTGCAGAGTGCAGAGTGTTTCCGTAACAACGGTGGGCTATACACCAAGCTGCATTTGATACTAGGCTATCCAAGGCCGGCACGCGGAGACTTTTATGGAGACAAGGAGATAGGTTTAATAAGTACATATTTTCGCTCATGATCATACCGCTAAAGTCATGGACCTCTCTTTCATATTAGCAAAAATAATTAGTCCCTTGTGAGTTTTCTTGGATTGAGCAAATTACAGCAAATCAAAATATGTAACCATCGTTAGGTCCAGCCCCTATCAATGGGGGTATAATATCTTGGGCCGAATGATTTTGACCATATTGGAGATTGGAGTGGAAGCTTCCAATATTTCGTATGCGGCGAATCTCAAAACGATTGAATGGGTACATTGACCCCATCCACGGAGTAGACCAGGAGGACAAATGACATTCATGTACCATAAGCTGACTGCATTCTACAGCTTAGGGTGAAAGACCAGAAACCGATGGCTCCTAGCCCTAAATTACGATGCTCAAGTCCATCAAAGACTCGTCAATGCTCTCGATAACGAAGGTGGGCATGCAAGTAGAAAGAGAATTTTCGGTAGCCAACGGAGGTGTTACTGTAACAGAGCAGGAGTTTCGACGGCACCGGGTGCCCAAAAGTTATGCAGCGTGTTATTTCCTATGAAATTTATCATGAGAATGGAGAGGATTGTATGTAGAATGCAGTGGAAAGAGCATGCAGACAGAGGTAATGACGCAAATCGATCTAGCGCAGCAAGCTTCTGACCTGCTGGAAACCAAGCAGAGTTGAAGCTGGGAATGGCAGTTGAGAGAGTTGGACGTGAGTACGGAGCACTCCATACAGTTATCAAAATAGGCTTGAAAGACAACCTCGGAGCGTTCCTACGTGGAAGTCGGGCTAGCCTAGATTCTCCCTTGATGAGAAGAAGAAGCACATGAGGCAACCGAGATTTGAAAACAGTGGGTGATATCATCGCAATTCTTGCAGCGAAAAGCATTTGCCACCTCGGCTGCAAGCGGTGGACATGCGAGACAGACGGCCAATTTTCTTTTTTTTTTTTTTTTTTTCCCCTTTAAAAATTCATCTTCTCGTATATGCCCGTCGCTCAATCGTGGCTTAGTGGCTTCCACCACAAGGACTTGGCGGTGCGCCTCTCCACGAGACTCAATCAGACGACACCGTTCACCAGCCCTATGCACCCTTGACGAAAGTCAAAAGAAGCTTTCATGAGGCGAACTCGAAATTTTTTTTTTTTTTTTTTTTTTCCCGAGTCGTTAAAAATTCTCTTTCCGACCAGGATTGTCTGGTTTTTTGCAAAAGGACGAAAAGAGCCCCTCTCAGACCAGCGCGACCACACGGATGCAGGATTCCAACGCCATCTGAGTGAGACCCTGAGATGTATCGTGTTGCAAAACTAACAATCGTGAGGGACGCTCCACGCACAGCTTAAAAAGAAAACTTTCCGCCAAATATGTTACAACATGGTTCGAGCTGAGCAAGTTACACAGGCACCACCATTTTCCCCAGTAGTTATTGGAGCAACCGCCGACACGCACCCCCCAGCTGGATACCTGGACTTTTGTAGTAGAACCCTGGCGATCCTCATGACCTGGAATTTGGCCCCAAAGCGAACGGGAGAACGATGTTTGTATACAAATGTACATATATGTATGTTTATATGCATGTCCTGTACATACGTACATACTTATTGGACAATGTATCCATTGTTCCAGATTTTCATAAAAACAATTGTTCAGTGTAATGTTGAGGTTTGAGAAGCAAACACCAATGGTAAGCGCTGAGGCCTGCACAAGGTCCTCAGTTGAATACTTTTCTTCAATATTCTTTTTTCCTTTGCACTGGTTGGGTAGCCAGACCCATTTTCCTTTGTCTTTGATGAAAAACTAACATTTGTTTGATCATCTGTGAGGATCCATAGTGGTCTTGCTCCAATTGTTCCAGATTTCAGCAATGCACTTTCACACAGGGAGACAGGCAATTTATCAACAGGGAATAAGATGAGTGAGTCGAACCATGGTGTCTATAATTGACATGTCATCATACATACAAAAGATACATTCTCAAATCAAAAAGCTCATCAGGCACCAAAGGAAGAAAAAAAAGCAGCCAAGTGCAGTGCACGCACAAACTTCCATTCCCCCTTTAACCATGGTGGACCTAGCCAGTAAAATCTAAACAACAAACAAGTGAACACCAGACCTATTGCCCTGAAATCCACCAGGAGTGTTTCGCAAAAAGCAACCAAAATGCTCCCTGTTTGTCCCACTATGGATTGAAATCCCGCCTTGAACCTTTTCCAAGGTACAAAAATACTTTAGCAAGGGTGGAGAAAAAAAAGGTAAAGAAAAGAAGCCTTTCCATGCGCCTCAGAAAAGTTCTCCTTCTGGACTCTTCTGTCTTCCATAAAACCATTTCCCCCTAAGTCACTTCCAACATTTGTTTGAATGGAGGAATTTCAGAAAATTTTGCATAAGATTGAACAGAGTGTAGAATAATCCCAACCAACATAAAATGGTTATAACGCCGGCTTGAATGCTGCATGGATGATGCTAAACACAAAAACATTTTTGCCCAGATTTTTTTTGATAAATGCTTAACATGTTGAAAGAAAAAAAAAAGAGGCCTCCCTGGAGAGTAAAAGATGACCGTAGGAAAAAAAAAAAACAATAAATAAAGAGATATCGAACAGTAGAGGAGAAGCGCGAAAGAGAACCCGTAATCTCGTAGAACACAGTAATCGAAGCTTAAATTGCAGCGAGCCCTGTATCATGCTTTTGTGTCGATATCAGGTTCGGGCGATGGAAAAAAAAAAAGATATGTATAGAAATTATCTTATAATGCACATTTGGCGGATAAGGGTTCGTTCAAGAAAGGGTCAAGCGTCGTTTCCAGTCACGAACCTGGTCGAAACAACCAGCGTATTCTTCCAGTTCGGTTTTGGCTTGACCGGATAGAGGGATAGAGGTTGAAGAGGAGCTGCTTAGCGACGAGAGGGAGGTTTGCGAAGAGGTTGGAGATAGAGTCACTCGGGAGGACTTGGAAAATATATTTGAAATGGAAGACAGTGCCGTGTGAACTCGCTGGGTGGTGGGCGTAACGAAATTGGAAGGAGCACCGAGTGGTTGATTTTGCCCATTGTCCTGGTTGAAGACCGTCCAGGGCTGGCAGAGACCCGTTGTAGATGTTGGAGACGAGGGTTCTGACTCGGACGTCGAGTATTGATCTATCTCTGCGAGCCGGCAAGTCTGAGAACAGTAGGCTCCCCCGAGAGTTTGTCTGTCACAGACAATGCAAAAGTCGAGAGACCAATCGGTAGACATTGTGGGTTGATTCTGAGGTCGGAGGGAGCGGATAGAAAATCTTTCTTTTTTTTTTTTTTCTTTTTTGAGAAAATATTCTTTTGGCTGGTGGCTTATCGGTTACTGCCCCAGGCACCGAGAGAAGAAGCAGGATATATAACAAGTGCGTGGGGAGGGAGGGATGTTGTGGTCACGGTTCAGGTAGAAGCAGGACGAGGACGAAACGATGACACGAAACCGGCCGAGATTTGACTGACACAATGAAAGAAAAGGATGTCGAAAGACAGATCACAAGGTAGAAGAAAGGATGGGAGCGGGGGTTTTCTGAGGAACTCGTGATTGAAAAGAATGCGTCGAAAGTGAAGAGTGATATGGAGAAAAAGTGGTGTGATGTCTAGGAGGGTCCTCGAGAGAATGTAGGGCGGCTGTAATACTTTTTGAGGACAGGGAAAGGTAGAACACCAAGGTACACACAATCAAAAGAAAAAGAGGTTTTAATGTGGATTATTATTGTGCATGGTTTTGTTTTTCGAGAAAGGGCGTCTCTTTAAGTTCGAATTAGGGGACTTCTCAATCGTCCTCCACAACCCCCTTGGCCGTGGGTGCTGGGAGTTTTACATCCACGCAGGCTGATCATCCCGGAAGCTTCGAAAAATTGGGTCAACAGGATGAGGGTCTTGGGTTGCCTGCTAGTCTCAAAGTCTGGTTTATTTTATTTTTTATTTTTTCTTATTTTTGAATTTTGAATTTTTTGGCCCAAAAAAAAAAAAAGGAGACCCGACGGGAGCAAAAAATAAAACCGAGTTTGACGTATGGAATCACAGAGAAGCGTCCATGTGTCTAGCGTTAGAGGCTAGCGCTGGGCCACCATTCGCCCAATTTTCCTGGCTTCTTTGAGGCACACCCACCCACCCAACCCAGGGAAATTTTCCCTCTTGTCAAAACAGCGGCAAGAGTGGGCCGGGAGGGGTAAGGTGGACATGATTGGGCTCAGGGGGCGGCGCGAGGGGGATGAGCAGGGGACAGGGCGGCGTTGAGGGGGGCCTGTCCACTCAGCGCCAGCCGTCGATTACCGCTAAGCCGTGCTGTAATTACAGAACACTTGCAGCCGCGTCTGTGCACCCGCCCCTAGCCTGTCTGGGAATGGTGGGCCTGCGCTCCCGACGTGCCAAGTGGGCGAAAATCTCTGGAGTGGCGTGGCTATCTCGGATGAGGAATGGCGCCATTGTGGGGGATCTGAGAGTCACCACAAGCGAAAGGTCCCACACCCCAAGAAGGTACAGTACCGTACGGTATGGACGGAGGAATTGTCACAGCAATTACTCCGTCCTGCGAGACACTTCTTTCCTGTCTGCACCCACTTCCAGGGGAGGTTGTTGGTTGATTTGAAGCCTAAAGTCGATCAGCCAACTTGGGTCATCATCCTCGACGTTAAAACCCTCGCAGATCAAATCACTCTAATGGCCCATCAGCCTGGCGTCATCACTTCCTTGTCGTGGAAGACAAATTTCTCTCCCATCCTGAACCCTCAGGGAGGTTGCAACGAAGACAACCGATCTCAAAGGGGAGACAAACACCTGCTTGCAGGATGGTATTGGCATTGCGTATGATACTGAATACAGTACTCCATGTTTCCAACACCAGGCCATGCAGGCTGAACCTTCTGCTGCATGCAGGGCCTGTCTGGCTTCGTCGCCCGTCTGAAGGGAGGCCTGAGGGTCTTTCTCGATCATTCCCTTTCTGTCCACTGTATCCGCCCATTATCATTCATTGAAATTTGATATCGCCATCCTCCCCGTATGCTATCATTATTATTCTCATTATTAACTATTGACACAGTCTTACATCATTCTTTTCAAATCTCAAACATTCCGACTCCCAGACTTGCGTATTATTCTTTCCGACGGCAAATTTTCGGGTAGGCTGTGTTCTGCATATTTGCAGGGATGGCACAATGACATAGCCCGATCGCAATTGCACTTGTGGCGCCACCCTCATCAACCCTTGCAAGTTGGGTGGTGTGGTGGGGTGGGGAAATCAGGAGGGACGTTGCTGCGCTCTCGCTCTCGCGGCGAACCATCTGCACAAGGAAAAAAAAAAAAAAAAAAAAGGAAAAAGGCAAAAAGGGAAGCTGGATTCCCGACGAGCCTTTGTGAGCGCTGTTGATGGAGGTCACAGAAGTGTTGGTCTTGGTCTGTCAAAAGTTCGACAGATAGAACTTAGAAAGGAGCGCTTCCACAGGTCCACGATACCTGTTCCACAGCGGAAAGTCCGAGCCTAAATTTACAGGAGTGCGGCCCATCAATAATTTGCAAATCTTTCAAAGTTACTCCCTTACAAGACTTTGCTGGTGCCTCTCATTCCGATCTACAATTGCATCATTTTTGTGACTTCTGACGGCTCTGATTGTTATCGAGACGCTACTGTGCGGAAGGACCGTTGCATGAACACCTCGCGCAACTAATGTCGCTTCCCATCGTACACTTGCACCGGACTTTGACATATTTTACACAGAGCTTATCCCTGTCGCCATCAACCAAAAGTCCAACTTGACTTCTGAAGTACGGAGTGGGCCTCGAAAGTTTTACGGAGTACGGAGGTGGCGCCTGAATTGGTCCGTGGCAGCGGCGGCTACCAGAAATAAGGAAACCGTCGCACCGTCCTCCAAACTTCACTCGAGGACAAAGTTCCGGCCATACAAATCTTCACTCCTAGTCTTATTGCCACACCAGAGAAAACTGTTGGTGAATCTAATGAAGCTGGACATCTGGGCTGCAAGACATAAGCATTAAACCTGTTGATATCATTCCCTTGGCCTTCTGTAAAGTCCGGAGACACCTGTTCCTGCGGTTGGGCACACGCAGTCCTCATTCCTGCAGCCAGAGAGACCAATCAGCTTACACTCAAGAGCTCAGCTCTTCTCATTGAACGAAGACTCAAAACACGTCCGAACACTCCAACTTTAAAAAAAAAAAAAAAAAAAAAAAAAAGGAAAAGAAAAGAAAGAAAGGAAGGAAGGAAGGAAGGACACGAACTGGTTGCAGAACAGTTTCATGCAGGCGAACAGCAAGCTCACAGCCTGAGCGGTCGATGTATTCCCCCAAAGCAGAACAAAGAGATCGAACTAACGTCATTCACCCACTGTCTACTCCGTAGTCTGTACTCCGTACAGAGTATAACTAACTTGAGTATTGAAGGACAGAGGATTGTAGAGACCCCATGCAAACAGGCTAAACCGCCCTTGGAGAGATATTCGACCCTCAGATCAGCAACAACCACTCGCAGCTGTGTTCATGTAAAAACATGGAACCCGTTCTGAAGCAAGTTTCCCACCCAGTTTCGGTTGAAATCTCACCATACCCTGGGGTTCCACGTTTTCTCCTCTCGTTATCCAGTTTGATAATCAGCATTTCAGTTCCTGCCACTCAATCAACAGTTCTCTCCTCATTTGTAGACATTTCATTTGCTGAAACTGTGTTGTTCTAAGGAGTAGACATTGTGTTCCCCCACTGATACCAATATGTGGCACAAATTTGGTATGTGCAACAGTGGTTTGGAGCAGGCAAAATGAAGGCTGTTATGCAAACCAGGTCGTGCCTTGGCAGGCTATTTAATGCCGTGGGTGAGGATTTAAAAAAAAAAAAAAGAAAAGAAAAAAAAAAAAAACGAAGGCGCCTTTACCGGCATCTCATGAGATGGCGAAACGCCTTTGGCTGGCAAGACCTTTTGGTTCTTGGGCCAGCGGTTGAACCCAATTACATAGCACGCTTGTCCGCACCTTGAAACCTCCGAAACCAAGCTGAAAGAACTGGGCGTCAAAGCTCGAGATGCCACCTCAGAACAGACATCGATCAGGAGGCGAGGGTTCGCAGCAATTGCCCGTGGTGAGAACCCTGTGGTGTTCTCTGCGTCGCTCGTGCCTCGTTCCATGAATAATCGGTCCCCGGTCCTCGACGGGAAGAAAAAAAACCACGCAACATTCAAATCTCCCTTTCCCTGCGTCGATCAGCCCTCAAATTGCTGGGACCTGGAATGCTGCACGAAGACGATTCAGGAAACCCGACCGGCATAAAGGTTTCTTGGATAGATGCAGTAGCTTGCAGCCACGCGCACCGTCCTTGCTTGGCTGTGGATTGAACAAAATGCCACCCGTTCGAAAACAAAGCTATCCCAAGCTTGATTGAAAAATTTCCAGCTGCTCCGTGAATCTCACGCACACCATCGAGATCTTCTCCTGCCAACCTTGCTAACACCCGAGTTCAAGCCCACGATCGAGTTGCAAACTTCTTACTCATGGTGATCCATCCTGTTTCTAGCTGTTTCCTATTCATACCTTGAAATGGCCACATATTGTGTATGTCCATGAGAGAGATTTATTTTTCTTTTCTTTCCTCCTTTTTTTTTTTTTTTTTTCCCTCCTTTCTTTTTCTCCTTCCCTCGCATTCAATTTTGAGATTTGTTCTTGGATCTCTTGTGTTGTGGGGTTGACAAGGCGTGGCCCGTCCCATGTTCGCTGCTCCACCACGCCGTGTCCCCGCAAAAGATTCAAGGGCGGCAGATTATTCATTAGTTCCTCCAAACGGAGTTCCCCGTATTCACCAGTGCCGCATTTTTGGCACCGCTCGACGACATGTGGAGCATAGTCTTGAAGGAAATCACAAGTATGGTGTTTGCATGCCGAGGAACCGAGACGCCTATCCAGACAGGCACTTATTTCTGCATACATATTACATTTGGGGCATCGCCTGCATTGCATTGCATGTCAAAACGCGACCATTCCTTGTCTGGAGCATATGTATACATGGTATATTTGGTACATACATAATGCGTCTCGAACTGCATTTGCTGGTCAGGGCAACGAATCAAGTCGGATTAATTGAAATTCGGGTGCTGGGAGCCGTTCCCGCAACATGCGATTCGATATGGGCACACACTGCGTCTTCCGGATCCATATGGGAGATGCCACCTTTTAACCTCTTTTCTCAAACTTTGACAGCAGGCCGATACTCCGCTGCGGAAATCCAATAGAAATGGTTTCGAGTTTTGTGGTCCCATTGTCTCCTCAGGGCCTGACCCATACTTGGGCGGCTGGTATCGATACGCCGGAGTTCGCAGCATGACTGGGGCCTGTCGAAGCGTTCGATGCCACGTTTGTCGCGAATGGCAGCCGCCGTTTGATCTTAATTTTGATTTGTTTACGTTTTCTATCAAAGCTTCGGCCAGCGGACCCATACTATAGAACACTGAAGGACTTAACATAACTACTCATCCCTCAAGGATAAGAGAAGTCTAGATTTCTTTCACCTTATTCCTTCACGCCTTTCCCTTTCATGCATGCGTTGCTTTATCTCCCAGGTACGGAGTACGTACCACCCATTTTACCCTCGATGTATTTGCATCATAGTACAAAACCCGCAACTCGCGATGTGCACACGGTTCATCGTCTTTGCACGACTTTTTCTCCCAATATCCTTTTAAAACTCTGAATCTCACTACCCAAGTGCCCGTTGGAGATGTCGTCCGACGATCCTTGTATGCCGGGAAGCCTAAAATTTTCCACCGAAGACAAATGGTTCTGCACCCCATTTCAGGCCAGTTAAAACGAGAAGACGGTTCAGCGGCTGCCTTGAGGGGAATTTTTGACCACCTCACCGCGGTGCAAAAGCGGATGGTATTCATTTATAATCAATGCCTATATTTCGACATCATAACCAATCCACGCTGTTTGGGTTGTAGCTGACATTTTCCACTCTGTAAATGGGGGAAGTCTCTACACCTTTACTTCGGAACAGTTTTCCTTGCGTCAAAAGCACAAAGTGCGGGGAGTCAGTCTTAAGCTATAGACCCAAAATTAAAGCGAGAGACGAAGTCCCAGAAGTGATTCAGGGCTTTTCTTTTTACCCCAGGGAATTTTGTTTCATTCGATCAAAAAATGTTCTCTCAACTATACCTACCTAGCGTATACAAGCCAGATGCGAAACAATGCTCCTTTGGCCAACGCTATCGCAAAAAGCATAACAACAAGAAACATTCAAGATCATTTATACAACTATGAGGACAACATACCGCGCCCAACATGGTCAAAAACTCATTTGCATGGAAATTTAATGAAGATGCCTTTACTCGGAGCACGTTATGCTTGGCTGTCACTTCGCCGGCGTCCGTGAAGCCGATTGTCTGAGAAGGAAGGTGTTTGCCTCAGTATTGCTTTCGAGGCTCCATGTGGTTCCACATCGTCAGCAAGAGTGGTGACACGCGAACCCGGTAGTTAAAAGTCCCACCCGCAGAAAAGCCCACACTTTAAAGCGGGCTATCCGGACTCAGGTTGCGAAAGTCAGGTTGAATAAGGTAACATGCGGTGCATGAGTGGGTTGGTAACTGTGTAACCAACCAAAACAGCGTTGCGCGGTAAATCGAGGATGGTAGCAACCGACAGGATAAGCCGTTGCCCAAAATGTTTAGCAAGGCGGATTAGCCACGGGTGCGCAGGCAAGGGCATCCATGATGCTAAAAGGCCACCCTCTCGTTGATATCATTATGGTCGCATCTTTTATGCCGCCAAGGGGATGAAATTTTCAAGAGCTTCGGTCAAGAGTTTTTCTTTCTTCGGGACAAACCTGACGCTGTATTTCTTGGGGATGGCAACCAAGCTGGTTGGGTCTGAGTTGCCCTTGATTGGGTCCCACTCAATCCTGCCCTCTGGTTCGATGCGGAAACAGTTCAACATGCGAAGGAACACGAGGTAAAGTTCCCGGTTGGCCAGGAGGGAGCCAGCACACATACGGTAGCCAACCCCATAGGTGAACATTGGAGCATCGGGTTGTTCCAACCAACGTTCGGGTCTGAAAATTTCGGGATCTGACCATACTTCAGGATCTACAGTAGTAAAGCGTTAGAGAAAGTTGGAAGAAAAAAAAAAGGCAGAAAAATTTCCACATTCTTACCCATGTTACAAGCCCAGGCATTGAGGAAGAAGACGCTGCCTTTGGGAATAACTTTTCCTTGGTAGGTAATGTCCTTGATGGATGTTCGTGGCAATGCTAGACGAAGAACAGTGTAATATCTAGGAAACAAAAATTGGTTACTCAAATACCGCTCATGAAACGTAGATATGTCGTAGCTCACCTCAAGCATTCTCTGACAAGCGCCACGATATACTCACAGCTCTGATCATCGGTGGGATCACAGAGCGGCTTATCAATCGAGTGATATTGCTTAATAGCTGCTGCGGCTTTATCTTGGATGTCAGGTCGTTCAGCAAGCATACCGATACTCCAAGCTACCAGAGTTGTGATAGTATCCAGACCGCCCGACAGCATAGTCAAACTGATGGATGTGAGTTCAACATTGTTGAGTCTAGCCTCCTTATCGAGCATAACATTCGCTTGGATGCACGGCTTGTGTTCGTTTTTAGCCATTCTCTCCTCCAACCCACGATTTAGATAGTTCAAATACTTGTCGCGACGGTCGCGCATTTCGGCAGCCTTCTTGGAGCCAACACTGAAAGGATTCAAACGAAGAAGTGGAATATAATCTTGCAAGTTGCCAGTCGTGCTTCGGAAGCGACTTATCTCATCCTCAACATGGGTGATTTCGGCAAAGAGCTCTTCCTCTTGAGAAGCCATGCGGACTCCCCAGTTCAGTGTAAGAGCCAAACTCAGACTGAGTCGTTGGATCATGGGCATAGGGTCCACAGCAGCCCGCCCAGCCTTTCCATACTTCATAAGCTCGGCGACGAAATCCTTAGATTCGAGGTCGAGATGGCTGACATAGGTTTGGACGGAGGGTCGATTCAGAGCAGAAGCTGCACCCTTTCTACGTCGTTTGAGGGACTCACTAAACGGAGATGTTCCAATAGTTGTTCCAGCGGTATTTGATACGACCTAATTTGCGGGTTACGTTATTCATCAGTACATCATTCTTCTTTCGAGATGCAGCCGGATAACAACGAGAAGCGTGGCGCTCACCTTGTGGAACGTATAGAACTCCGGGCGAGAACTCAGAGCCTGTGCATTTTGACCGAATAGGACTTTGGCCGCCGCTGCCGAGTTCACGACGATAACGGGAATGTTGCCGAGTTGAATCTGGTAGACTGGCCCATATTTCTTGGACCACCTGCGGTACTGCTCGGCGGCATTCACTCGAATCTGAGCCAGGTTTCCGATCAGGGGAAAGCCCTTTGGTCCCTTGAAGCCGGGAACACGAGCAGCCGCTCGGACGAATTCATTGGCGATGACATAAATCCCGGGAATCAACAGCGCAAGGACTCCAAGTGCATGAAACGGATGTGCGATGGCCTGCGAATTGAGCGCAGAAATGAACGATGACAACGCCATGTCGGAATTCTCGTCTCGACTTGACGATGATGACGATGGACGACCAGTGTTCTTCCCACGACGGGGCTGTTCATTCTATTATTATTATAGCCGTGAGCGGCGGCTACATGGGGCTAGAAGAGCGATGGAATTTGTTCCGCCGTGGACGAGCTTCCCCGGCCCAGCTTTTCCCCCACACTGAGAGGACGGATCGGCTGGGGTACGGAGAAGTTACATAATTCGGTGAGCCGGTCGGCGGTCGGGCTTTCGGGATGAAAACAGTGCAAACCTGGGGATGGTGGAGATCAGATTGCTTGGGGCAAATTCCCGTCCCTCGGAATCATTCCGCGCCGTGCCTTTTCCAATCTGGAGGGAAAATCTACGTTGTGCGTTGATGATAACAAATCTGGCATTCGCTTTTTTCCCCATCACGCTTTTGAGATGAGTGTGTTCCGGATCTTAATCCCGCAGTCGTCGGATCGCGGCGGGAGTGCGAAGTAGGCAGTTCGAAAGGGGCCAAAATTTAATCCAGCCTCGTACCTTTCGTACAAGTGTATCTGCACGCGGCTGTACTACAAGACGGGCAATTGATTCCTAGAGGGTTCCTTTGTCAACAAAACACTTCGTCTATCGTGATAACCTTTCCTTTTTTTTTTTTTTTTTTTACCCTCCTCCCCGTTCCTCGAGATCGCGCTGGTCCTTCTGGCATATTCAAGGCTACCGTCGGCCACAGATGCTTCAACTCCGCATTGAAAGGAGAACGGCCCCGTACGAAACGCGATACATGCCAGATTGACAAGATACCACAAAACCCATTGGCACAAAGTCCGCTTCGCACTGCCTGGCCGGAGGGAAACCAGCGAGGGCTTTCTGGAAATTTAGCGGAAAAACCACGCCTCTGATTACGTGATCTGTCACATGCATGCGAGCGGCCCGTGCCTGGAATCGGAACGGAATTTTAATGACCCAGCGCGCTAAATCCCTTTTGGGCAATAAGTGTGATGCGGGTTCGGACTCTGATTGGCCGGGAAGCGCTAGCGTTCCTCGCGAGGAATGACGTTTCGCCGGAGAAGGAGTACTTCGGGGTACCTTCTTTCACGGGTGGGATTACGTCGGTGCCCATGTGTCGCGAGGTAACTCTCTTCCCTGGTGACGATCGCTCGCCCAAAGCTTTTCCCCAAGGCTTTTTTCGCATCCGACTTTTGCAAGCGGCCGTTTCGTTCATCGTTCATCTTCTTCTTTGATTCCACTATGGTCCGTTTGTCATCCTAGCATGTATTAGTTACGCCTTCTCCTCTGCCCTCCTTTCCTCGGTCAATATTGTATTTTTACTTGACCCGACTCAAGATTTTGGTTGGTACATAGCTATCGGCCGTTGTTCAATCACATGCGAAACTGTGGCGCTTGAACAAATCCTCCCCCCCCCCCCCCCCCCCCCCCAAAAAAAAACCGATCCTTGCCTTGAGAGACGCCTTCGTGGAATCTAAAAGCGCAAGATATCTGGTCTCATTTTTGCGGACTCGTCCTCCTCAGCCATATATGACCCAGGACAATGGCTACCAGACCGCCTAATCGGTTTCTGAAAACTTTCTTTTATACGGTCGCGGCTTTTGCGGGAGCGGGCGGCGTCCTTTATATAACTTACCGGCCGCGGAATATTCCAGGATCCGATCCAGCTGCCGTCCCGCCTCCTCGTTATGGCGAAGGCGGGAAGCTATTGCCCCCGCAATTCCCTTATATAAAGACCCGAGATGAGCAGATACGTGATTTAAAGAGGAGCTCGGCGGGGAGCCTCCAAGGCACCATTAAAGGAAAGCAACTTTTTGATGGCAAAGGAGGCAATGGAGCCACTGCCGCTCATGATGAGGAGCCCTTCGATCTCCTTGTCATCGGCGCTGGAGCAACCGGAGCTGGCATCGCCCTTGACGCAGCTACTCGCGGTTTGAAAGTCGCCGTTGTGGAACGCGACGATTTCAGTGCTGGAACGAGCAGTAAGAGCACGAAGCTGGTGCACGGGGGCGTCCGCTATTTGGAAAAAGCAGTCTGGGAACTTGACTACAACCAGTACGTTTCCTCGGTCAAATTGTCTTTCCTGAGATTCATCGTCCTAACGGCGTGCCTCCTAAAAGGTATTCACTAGTTAAGGAAGCCTTACGCGAAAGGAAATATTTCCTTCATACAGCCCCTCATCTCTCAACGTGGCTGCCAATCATGGTTCCAGTTCAAAGGTGGTGGCAGGTTCCGTATTTTTGGGCAGGGACCAAGTTTTATGACTTCTTGGCAGGCTCCGAAGGAATTGAGAGCTCATATTTTTTGCCTAAGAGTAAAGCACTAGATGCCTTCCCAATGCTGAAAAAGGACAACTTATTCGGGGCGTTGGTTTATTATGGTAAATCCCTGAGATACCTGTTCGCTGCATCGGTGGTGCATTGAGCTAACCCGTGGCAGATGGGGCCCATAATGATTCGCGTATGAACGTGTCGCTGGCTATGACGGCCGCTATATACGGATGTACCGTGGTGAATCATATGGAAGTAACTGGCTTGACTAAAGATGCAAATGGAAGGCTTACTGGGGCGCGTGTGAAGGATCTTATCGCCGAAAGAAACGGTCAAGAAGCCCAGGAATTCACCGTTCGCGCTAAGGGGGTCATAAACGCAACCGGACCTTTTACAGATTCTATTCGAAGGATGGATGATCCTAATATCGCTGAGATTGTAGCGCCGAGTTCTGGCGCTCATGTGATCCTGCCAGGATACTATAGCCCAGCGAAGATGGGACTCATCGACCCGGCCACTTCTGATGGCAGAGTGATTTTCTTCCTTCCTTGGCAAGGGAATACGATTGCGGGCACCACAGATAGCCCAACTACGATAACGCCACAGCCGATACCTTCGGAAGATGACATTAATTGGATCCTATCAGAGATCAGAGGATACTTAGCTCCAGATATCAACGTTCGACGAGATGACGTACTTGCTGCTTGGTCTGGCATCCGACCGCTGGTGCGTGATCCTAAGGCTAAGAATACAGAGTCCCTGGTTCGAAGCCATTTGGTTTCCGTATCCAAATCCGGCTTGTTGACTTGTGCTGGTGGAAAATGGACCACATACCGCCAGATGGCAGAGGAAGCTGTGGATGAGGCGATTAAGCAATTTAATCTTCAACCTCGAGCCCTTCGGATAGTTCCTGACATCAGTGGCACTGGCTATCACGTCGACAAAGCTATTCTTGATGGCTCCTGCCAAACACATCAAGTCCGCCTGATAGGCGCTCACGGATACTCAAAAACTTTGTTCATTAACCTTATACAGCACTTTGGGCTGGCTACTGACGTTGCTAAGCACCTTACAGAATCATATGGGGATCGTGCCTGGGAAGTAGCTGCTATGTCATCGCCAACGAATATACGTTTCCCTCTATGTGGAGTTCGCATATCTCCACTCTATCCATTTATTGATGGCGAAATTCGATATGCTGTTCGTCGTGAATACGCGCAAACGGCGGTTGATGTTCTCGCCAGGAGGACTAGGTTAGCATTCCTCAATGCCCGAGCTGCCCTTGAAGCCCTCCCTACCGTTGTGGATATAATGGCAGAGGAACTGCACTGGGACGAAAAGCGCAAAGACGTCGAATGGACCGAGACGGTCAAATTCCTTGTTTCCATGGGTCTTCCTAAATCTCGAGCTGGCGCTACAAGAAAGGATGTCGAAAAGGGCAGATTGACTGGCATCAGCTCCACTCAGACCAAAAGACCTTTGGTGGACTGTATGTTCCTCTTGTTCTTCAAAAGCATCCCAGGTTTCTAACATAAAAGTATAGGCACCAATCCAAATGCGATTCAGTTAGACCGAACTCTACCTGAATAACCACGGATTCATGCCCAATTTTTTGTTTAAGCGTCGACCTCTTTCCAGACACGGATCTATTCCTTCTCCTTACAATTTTGATCTTATGATCTTTAATCTCTTCCCTTCTTTCTTTTAGACATTTTATAGAATGCAATTGTGCATCTCTACTACCATGATATTAATGTCAGTATGCATACATACACATATGGCATGCATTACAGGTTTAGAGGTGACTGCTTGTAAAGCAAGATAAAAATAAATTAATAGACAAGACCAAACTGCATTTCATGGAGTTAATGATCAATTTTTAGGTTTGAACGTTTATGCTTCTTTGAAAAAAGCGAGGGAGGCCTTCAGCAGCCTATTTCTCTGTTCCTTTAGACCTCGATATCTTCACCCAATACGGAGTACAATCATTCATTTACCTCAGGGCTATAGGGACTCTGTCCCAAATTTAGATCTGTATGTAACTTACATATCCAAGCTGCATGGCTACAGAAAGTCCATGCTTAACCCTTGGCAGCTGATGCAAGTCACCAACAAATGTCAGCTCCTCCATTGATTAACCACCCAGTCACTGTTAATAGTTATAAATGGTTCGTAGCCACTATCCCGATAACTTCGCCCCCTGCAAGCCAGCTGGCGTGCAAGTATCCTTAAAAGTTTTCGGTGTGGATACCAAATTCAGAGTTAAACCTAATCGAACTTCCAACCAGAAAGAGTTACGGGATATTCAGATGTTTTTAGTGTCCCTTCCGCGTGGACTGCAAATACAAGTATGCCTTTCTTGACTGACCAACTAACAGATCTTCGTATGATTTTAAATCCATTTCAAAGAGCGAGCCTCAGCGAGCGGTGCCTCGAGATCTCCGGTGTTGGTCCCAGATCTGGCATCCCTGATAAATTGGCGACGCCCCAAGCCTTGACGTAATGCACCACACCTGCAAGAGTATAGGCTATCGATATCTAGTAACTATGGAATTATTTTGGCAAGGATTATTCCCGAAATAACGAGGAGCCTCTGCATAATTAGTTTGATATATTATATTGAACAAGGCGCCTACATCCTGATCGCTGTTGGTAAGGGATTCGAGCCTCAACGATTCGAGCCTCAACGTGGGCGTTTTGATGATAGTTCTTAGCAAAAAGTTTGCGGAAGAGAAATTCAACTACGGAGTAGATCTTGTAGAATTAGTTTCAATTTTTAAAATTTAGTAGAAAATTGAAAAGAATATTGTATAGAAGTTATAGTGCCCAATTTCTTCTAATATTTTATATATCATTATCTAGCTTCTAACACTGTACTTATCTGATAGTTCATGCTTGATACTTCTTATTAGTTTTTCTTGAATAGTTATTCTCAGTAATACAAGTGCAAGACCGACTTTAAAGCTTTTCAAAGCTGCTTTTTCTCCTTCTCAACAGAGTTAACGTTAATAAGGCACAGAGGAGCAATATACAGAAGAAAGCTAGTGTTCAACTTAGGTATACAGGGTATTAAGAGGACGAATTTCAAGAAGAGGCCGCGTTATTGTTCAATTGTGACATTGTTGTCTTCTGTGTAGTGACTCTTTTGGATTAGATATCTTCCATCCCAACGGCGTCTAATCCCTATACCAGATTGGCGTTTTGAAAAACACCTAGTCTAACACTCCCAGGGACTGACATAATTCAGATATTTTCAGGGTAAGGAGGTATTTTCTTTCTATGTTGCTAAATGCTTCATGGATTGTTTTCCCGACAGCTTCTGTCTCATTCAAAGATTGTATCATATGTAATTCTGGAAATCCTATGTTGTCATTAGGTTGTTCGCACTTGATTAGTATTCCAGAATTTCCTCCTCTGCCAACTTTGTCAACTTCTATAGACAGATCCATTTGTGATGCAATAATTCTGCTGCAGACTTTCGAGTCTCCGGGTCAATTTCTAGCATGCCTTTAATGAAATCAATAAAGATATGGACTTCAGAATCGGGCATATCACTAGTTTTCAGGAAAGGCTTCGTTGTGCCGTTTATCAGGCGCTCAAGTCTCGTGGGTTTCAAGTTAGGGATTCGGAGAAGATTCCCTGGAAGCAAGGCGCGTTAGGATGGTAACAGGATATCAATGGCATCAATAGAATGAATGTACAGTACCTTGTTTGTCAAAGAATTCTGCGGCTCGATTCCCTTTTTTTATGAAGTCAAGTGGGAACGGGCCGAGGATTTCAATAATTCTTGCTAGATGATCATCTTCAGCGGTCCATGTCCCGTTCTCTGATGCTTCACCGGAGAACAGAACTATCCCTTGGACAAACTCCATAACCTATCAATATCCGGTGTATATGTCAAGATAATTCGCGCCATAGCCCAACAAACAATGAAATTTTCTTACAAGACATCCGAGGCTCCATATATCGACACCAGTATCCCAAGGGGCGCCGATAGTCACCTCAGGAGCCCTCAGAGCTGGCGACTGGATTAGGTTTGACAGACGATCTTCCCCCCAAGTCGCTATAATCAAGATAAGTTTCGTGTGTGAAGAAATGCGACGTAGCCTAGGTACCAACGCCGAAATCAATTATTCTGATGCGAGGGTCTATCATCTCCGAGACCAGCGGTGTTGTGATAACCTCTCGGAGCGGCACTGTAATCCCACGTTGACAATCGGCCCGCGCGGGAACTTCCGACAAATACTGAGAAATAGCATGATTCGGGTTTTCCAGCTCTAGAAGTATATTTGTTGGTTTCAGATCTATCGATGGTAAGGATGTCAGCATTGAAGCAAAAGGCCAGAAATTTATGCGGTATCTTATGCCATACCTGTATCAATGATGCCACACTCTCGATGCAGGAAATCAAGCCCAAGAAGAAGCTGTCGTGTTATCACTTTCACAGATTTCAAAGGCAGCTTTCCGTCTTCGTATTTGGCGGCTTGAAAGTCCAGATGGTGTCCAAGTACGTCAAATACAAAACAGACATGATCTCCATTGGTCCCGTATGCTTAAATTGATCGAGAAGACTCAACACATGGTTGCGCCCTCTGTGGGAACTTTTATTAGAAACTTCTAGAATTCTCGAAAGAATTTCTTTCTCAAAAATGTCATGGGAGCCGCCGTAACAATCGGCTCTCAACACCTTGAATGCTACGTATCTCTGATATCTACATGACGAGTTAGTTTGGTGTACGACGGCAACGGGCAACGTACTTCGAATCTCTAGCTAGCCAAACCGTGGAATGTTGCCCATAACCCAATTTTCTCAGGACAGTGTACTGAGCAGAATGAAAAGTATCGCCTAGGGAAATGGGATGAAAACCCCTAGTTTTGTAATAGTCCGGTTCTCTGCGACTGGATAAGGATTCAGAGGATCCAACGATGCTAGCTGAGATGCTGAACCAAAGAACTTTGAGATTCGAAGCCGAGTTTTTGCTAAAGAGGTTTTTATTGTATTCATTATCTCAGTGAAGACCGCCCAATATAGTGGCACGAAGTATGGGGGCCTTGTACAGATCGGCGGGGCGCTGGTTATCTATTATACGTTCGCGGACAGGAGGAGTAGGACAGGACGTTGGTCCTGACCGAGTAGCGCTGTAATCTGACCATTTTAGTTTTCTCACAAATGCCTATTTATACAACAAGTGACCAACTCTTTATAAACATAATCTTGCCTTGTTGACTTGTCACTTTGGCTGATGTCTTACCTTACTTACTACAAATTACTTGTATCTGTCTGCTGATTACTTTGTGATGCAAGACAATGTGGTTTAGACTGCGCCATATCAAATTCACCACTTTCCTTGATCATTTCCATAGTCTAGTGATCACCTTTAGGGTCGAGATTCTTGGAGTCGTCATGTTTTGGTCCTCTAGTCAGCATCAGCAGCAAGTTTCACGTCTAGCATTCCATTGGGCCCAGTAACACCCCATCGATTCATGTCGGCTTTGTTTGCATCATAGAACTTTTTTATTGCCTTCCCTGCTTCCATGCGCTTTTCAGGATTGCTTTATATATGCCTTCTCTAAACCATCCAAAGGCTTTAAGCGGGTAATTGACGAACATAGTACGGAACATGATGATAGGAATGGCGCAGAAGCTAAGCCTCTGAAACAAGCTTGTGGTAAACCGTAAGCAGAACAAGAGAGGAGAGAAGATGTTTGGGCCATGTATGGAAGTAATAGTAGCAAGAAATTGAGGAAATTGAAGGCTCTTTTATAAGTGGAAGAGCACGGAGCACAATGTGACACAGTAAGGTGCTTTACCAAAACAATTGGCTGGTAGAGCCTTTCCTTTCTTTTCTCTCCTTGGGAGCGTAGGTGTTGAATGGGAACGCCGAGTTTCATACTTGGAAGCAAGAATCTTCCTCTGGTCCATAGTTCATTGGCGAGATATCCTATTAAGATTGACCACAAGTAACTTGTGTTCATTGAGCCCATATGTGGTGACGAGCGCTCCAGTATAAAATGATTGGATGTAGGCTCCGCAAGGCTGTAATGTCTCATGTACTTGAGAAGGCGATACGCTGCTGAAGACCATCAAATCCCGAGGCGCAGCAGCATCATCGGCCGCTAACATATCTTGTCTGGCTTTCGAAGCGCTGGTACATGCAATGTGCAATTGGATAGCATTTGGCAAGAGCAGCATTTTTGGTCAATGCTTCATAACGATTTCGAGGGATACCCTGCTACATTTATAAATCATGCATGATCATGGTGTTCAAGACTGATGTTGTTGCAAACAGGGGAAAGGAGAAAAGTTTGAAGTGGTTTAATTTTTGACTTATCTGAATTAACTACGGAGTAGGTTAGTCAACTACTCCGTAGTTAACTAGTTAATTAACTAATGAATTTGTGGCCATGTTTTTTACAAGCTAGTACTTGTACAAGAACCTTTCAATTCTTTGTATTTGTGTATATTATATATGTAAGGGGAAGTAGATGGCCCTGAGTGTCCTCGCCAAGTTCAGCCCTACCGCCAGCAGGTCTTTCAATGTGTCTTGTTTAATGTGCTATCGTGTAGCGAAGAATGTTAGAGAACAAGCATTTGCATAGCAGCTAGCTAGTTGAATGCTTGATGCTGTAGTATAGAGAGTGATATGTAAGTAGATTCAATCTGTATAGATTTGTAGCTAGCTAATTTCACAGTATATCAAAAATAGAAGACTGAATCACTGACTGCTTGGATCCTGGAAGGAGGCAAGCAATTCCAGGATCCAAGCGATTGACCTAGATCTCACACTAAGATGTCACCTTCTGTTGTGTTCTGTGAAGCTTTGGCGATCAAGTGGTTATTTGTAGCTACTCTGTAGTTTGTAACAATATACTATACAGTGTATAAATTTAAACAATAATTTTTATAGTTTTTAACTGTATAGATAATAATAATAACTAGTTAAGTAACTAATTAGTTAGGAATAAAACTGATTATAGTTGAGATGAGAGGACTTGAGAAATGAGGAGATTTGGACTGGCCATTGTTCTGAAACTAGAAATTACATTTTTATAGTAATTTGGTTGCGGATTGTGTACTCCGTACTTTTGATACAGTTATCATTACTAGTGTGGTAAACCTCTGTATTGGTTGACAATGCTCAAAAATCCCAACCAGCACAACAATTTCCGTCTATATCCCTCAAAACCCTTTCATAGTTGGATTTAACACAAGGACGTTGGCGGGGGGCTGGGTCGTACTATGAATAATAGATTTCAAAATTTGGTCCTGGCCCAGTGGCAGCAATACACTCAACGCCAGGCGAGCATCCAGTTCGTGAATCGTGAATCGTGAATCGAAAATTCAGGTACCGTATTAAAGACGAAAAATAAGTTGAAGTGCGGAGTCTCGCAGGCGGCTCGTAGTAGATCTCACCATAGCTTGTACCCAATAACAAGTCGGACATAGATAATCAAGATATTGAGCCTCGGTGCTGACATCTCGTATTAAAGAGCAAAAGGAAAGAAGAAACGCGGGAACGAAGGAGAATGGGATACCAAGGACTGATTCGGAGAACTGATATATTTGGAGCCGGAGAGCTGGGATCTCGTATTGCCCTCTTTCATATGAACCAAAAGTGCGTTTACGGACGTCGGTGAAAGCGAATGTTCAGATCGGAATGGAGAACGTAGTTACGTCCCAAAGGCCATCGGCAACACCCAATAACGGGTTATCAGCGCCCACCACACAAGATAAATTCGTCAATATCAGAGGGTGCCCCTCGGAAATTGTTCCAAAACCGCTCCACCGCACGTTGAGCTATTGGGGAATCGCGAAATCGGTCCCGGAAATAGTTGAAGAGTGCAAACTCGTCGCGACTCAATATATACGTATCAGGCTGTGATTGTAATTTCCGCCAAAGCTCACCGATAGCTGTTTCAAGGATAGCGCTCACCCTGGGATCTATCTGGCCATCTTCGCTGTTTCTGGCTGACTCTAACGCTCGTCGAACTGCTTCACGGTTTGGAATATTAGGGCTGTTTGCCATTGTGACTTTGAGTGGAATCTGGCTCATCGATTTTGCTTTCATCAGAAGCAGGATGGGGTTCCCCCGTGCTTTTGTACCATCCCAGCTGGTTGCTATTTTCAATCTCGGAGATGAGGCTCATGAAATTTGCGCCGGCGATGACGCTGACTCCTCTCACATTGATTATTCGGACAAGGAGAGTAATTTATGTGGCAGCGAGTGTGAGGGAGCCTGTTAGGCATCAAGGCGGCCCCCTTTCTGCTGACGGTACGGAGTAACTACTTTACCATAAAGATAACCGGCGACCACTATTTGCAAACGGTTATTTTGGGCTTATAGTTGGTTGACGTTCCCTGCTCCTGGCCTTGTGCCCCGCTCCTCCATTCTAGAGGGTGAGTTAGCCCAATAGAAATATCTGAGAGCACACAGATGTGAATTGGTATTGCGCTGCCAATTCAAAATAACCATGTGGCGGGCCGGTGGGGCATTTGATGGCGCCCCTGCATCATGGCTTTTTGGATGAACGAAATACCTGGATCAGTTTTCACCGCCCACAGTTCGAGTCAGGCGTTGTTCAGTAGCTTGACAGGTAAATGCGTGTACCGACTGGGATAGCCATCCCTGAACGCAAGCCTGCCCATGACCCCATCGAAAGCTGGGTAGATTTACAGACGCGGCAAATACATCAGTAACGTGACACTAACCCAAAAAAGGAGGAAATTCTCACGTCCGTTTGGATGTGAATAGCGGAAAGAAGTGCAGGATAAAGGAGTTGGTCCTCCCTTGACAACGCCGTCGGCGAAGATCACCTCCTGCTAAAAGACGCCAGAACGATGAGATCGTGCACGAGTCGCGCAGGGAGACCCATAGAGCATCCGTCCGCACAATTTTCCGAATGTTTGGATCCACAAAAAGCTGTGTATCCACTGGGCTATCATTCCCGGTCATGAGCCTAAAATAGTTTCATGCAAAGCGGAAGCAATCTGCACGAAACGATGCTGGGCACCATCAAGACGAGCTGAGGGGCCATTTGCATCCAGGTTGTCTCCAGCGCGGCTCTCATCAAAATAAAACAACACTCAATCCTGATTAAATTGGATTTCTTCACATACCTGGTTACTCATAGTCCTGACATATAACAAATCGCCATGCCAGGAGAAGAGACGCTGCCCGAATTCTATGGAATGGAAAAGTGAGAGTGGAGTTGAGCCAGCAAGCGTCGGACCGCGTCTCACTCATGAATTCAGTTCAGATAGGTCGCGGTTACCTCCACGGCATGTCATCCCCTATTAGACGTGCAGCTGAACATATTAGCTGTTTTTTTGATGAAGCACTTGCCACAGGAACGCTGCCATATTTCGCCTAACGTCTTCGAATCCCAGTTCAATATACCAAACAAACGACGCGTTATCGCACGGACCAACGGATATCAACTGAACACCGCTCCAGTAATGTTTGCTGAACATACAATGACCCAGCGTAGGGGGAAATTCCTGTCATTCCTCCTCAGCGTGTTGAGCAGAGACAACAAGGGCGAGCGCGAATTCCAAAGGGTTGCCTTCACGTTTATGACGACATGAATGTCAGCCCAATCCGCTTCGAAGGATGAAAGAAAACATGACAGCTACCTTCATGTTAGTTTGGATGGTAGTCTAAGATACTGGGCTCTAAGTCGGGCGATAGCGGCATCTGGCGTAGAGCGTTATGCCCCTTCCTTGAAGAGAACATTAACTATCGTTCCAAACCAACACCGAATCATTATTGAGAGTCAGATTGATTTTGTTCCGACTCGTGGCACCACAACCTCGCATGACAGATTTGTAATGCGGAAGGGTTTTGAAAACCTAAACACCGGGAGCGATGCTGCATTGCTGCGTGGAGATTTGCGGGATAAACTCTATCTTTTCGCGATAACGCTCCTGGTTCCGTGTGTTGTTGACTCAGCGTCACAACATTGAGATCGGCTTGTGTTTCGCCGCTGTTTCCTTTTCTCTTATCCAGAGGGTTGGTTTCTTCTTACACCGTTCTTAATACGGGAGCGGCATTCGGTTTCTTCCAGATAACCCCGATGCCTTCTAAAGCATAAAGTGTCCACGTAAGAGCCACCGTGTTGACGGCTGCAGACGAGCTGTTAGAGCACCACGATGACGTCTTTAGTGGAAACTTTACCATCCACGTTAAGATCCTTGGACCTCGGACAAGTCTATACATGTCGGGTCATTTAAAGTCAACATTGGAGATCATGAAGCCACATTGACACGCCAACGGAAGGCTTGAGTCTGTTCCATCCTAGGAAATCATTGTGGCTAGTCGGAATCAAGCCCATAGATTACTCATTGTCTCTGGCAAAGGAATCGGAAACCATTCAACAAAAACGACCTGCAAAGTAATAATAGTTGCCTATGTTTGATTTTGAGATGGAGACCGGATTATAAAGTGACAACAAAGACCATGGGTCCTATTTACGAATCCTTTCCGGCGACCTCTCTCCACGATACGGGAAACATCCTAACCCTACCACCAATGCATTCTCAGCTTCGGAATTGACAACTCCTTGTACAGGGAATTCGAAAGGCATGTGGTGGGACCCGGCCGGAGAGGACACCTTGCTACCAAATTCACCGAGTCTCTACTTATTTGGAAGCTGGTCGTGGTGCCATCATCTGCGCAATATAGGAAGTTTGATAGGCAGGTAGTATAGTTACCATTTTATGGCGCTAGACGCTCGTGCGTGCAGAGTATAGTTAATCATGCATGTTGCGACTTACCATTTATCTAGATCGTAGGGTCCTTAGCATCTCAACTATCCGCCGGTGGTCACTCGCGCCTAGATTTTATATATAGGTGGATATGTAGATACTTGATCTGCAAACATCATTTCTGGATGGTCAACGAGTTGGTTTGCAACCCCAACGCCAATGCACAAAGTACATTACATGGCCTCATTGTGTGGAACTAGTGGGTTGATGGCGCGTGTTGGGGCTCTCCTGCTCAGGAATTGTGCCTGAAAATAGCTCTGGTGCAGATCGAGGACCCAGATTATCGGGCTGGCCGGGGAGGCGCCAAACAACCATGTCGTTGCGTCCTTACTCCAGACGGTGCACAGTTCAACAAGACCTTGTCCGGCGAGCATGGGCTTTCCGGGGGAGTCGGTTATAGCCTATGAGAACAAGGCGCCCAGAGCACACGTCAGTCACGTGGCAACACGTGTATGCCCGCGCGGGGCCCTTGACTCTACAGGAGAGATGTCTAATTAAAGCCGACAAGAATAGCAAGGTGCTCCGTACTCGATATTGAAAACATACGTAGGTCTTGAGTCCTCGAAGTTTGGTAGTTAGTGGCTTGCGGCGCACTTGTCTCCGTACTGAAGATCCAGTGAGCCGGGAAGGCTCGATGTGGTCACGGGCAACTTAGCAACTTAACTAACTTGCTACTCCCGGGCGCACAAGCTATTACTTAGTTGGTTAACCAGCCAGCCAATTGCGGAGTACCAGCTAATCGATAAGGACGAGGGGCGGCTGAGGAAAACCATCGACTCCGACCACAAGACGAAAAGGTCCAGGCACCTGTTGTTAATAGCGTTTGAGACAGCGTCACCCTCTTTGTTGTGTGCATCGTTCTTTTTGGCTCCTTTTGTTTTTTGAAATGGTTTACTACTTCACATCTAACGTTGTTGAGCCGGCCGCGTTCATTTATGTCGGCAGGGACAAGGAGGAAAGTATGCAAATCTCAACGATTTTCTTCTAATTGGCTTTACTTTGCTGATATGAGTGCCCTAGATGAGGACTTGATAAAATATGGACTGGAGAGTGATGTATGGTAAGCTGGTCAAGGACGATTCTCCTCCCATTTTTTATGAGCCCTGTTCAAACTGACTCGCCAGGGTTCGTACACCCCGCATTCCCAACAATCCGCCATTCTCGGATGTGCGTTGTTTCCTGACAGACTCCTAGTTCCATGTCGACAATCTGTCGAGTGCACATGTCTACCTTCGCCTTAATGAAGGCCAAAGTTGGGAAAATATCCCCCAGGACTTGCTCGAAGATTGCGCGCAACTCACAAAGGCCAACTCTATTGAAGGTGTGACGATACCGAAAATCTCCAAGGCTGCAGTGTCTATTTTCTAATAACGACAATCTCATGAGAGGACAGGAAACAAAAAGGATAATGTAACGATCATATATACGCCATGGTCAAATCTATTAAAGACGGCTTCGATGGCGACCGGCCAGGTCTCTTTCCACAACCCGAAGCTGACCCGGAAAATATTTGTCCCTGCACGCCAGAATCCAATCGTAAACCGACTAAATAAGACTAAAATTGAGAAGTTTCCCGATCTCAGAGCTGAAAAGGAAGAATATCTTTCGAAAATTAGGAGAGAAGAGCGAAAGCGAAGAGAGGAGAAACGTGCCACTGAGAAGAGAGAACGCAAAGAGAGGGAAGAGCTGAAGTGGCAAAAGGAACATGCCTACGATGACCTAATGAACGAAGAGAACGTTCAGCAAAGCAGCAACCAGAATCGTGACGAAAGCTATCTGGATGATTTTATGTGATAGGGGCTATACCAGCAAATTATTTTCCTTGTGGCTTTTCTCAACCGCCTCATCCTCGTGCAATGTCGGAGGAGCGAAAGTTGAATAGCCGCATTTCGAAATGGATGTATGCAAGAGCACCGGCAGTTTTTCAATCTAGAGCCCTCTACTCTAGGGCTACAGAATGCATAGATATACCCAACATCCCAACCTATCTCCTTTCTTATTTCTTCGCTATGTATACCCCTCTCGTCTTCCTTGAAAGGAGCTATACCTGGATTGCTGCATGGGCTGATCCTCTTGCCACACAGCCAATCCAATATATGGATGCTACCTAAAGCCGAAATGATAATCGAGCAATCAGGATCACGAGTATACTGCTTAGTTTCATGCAATATCTGTGCATGCTGTTGAGGCTGGGGGCCTACTGGGGATGTGCTAGAGGAGTAGATCGGGGAGAGCACACGGTTTTGATATATGTTGCTTTCTCAATAAATGGTGCCCACAAAAGCTGGAAGGTCTCTTGTAAATGGGATAGATTCTTTGGTGAGAACATATTGATCTCGGCTGCAATTTTTAATGTCACCCTCTGGGATTTTTAATGCCTATAAAGGTGGTTATCGCTGTGTGCCTCGACCTTTTGAGCCTAGCTTGCATCTTTATTTATATATTTTATACATTATGCCTGCATATTCAGAATTGGATCGCTGCTGTAGTGGTGTGAGCTGACTGTTAACGCTGACGGGCGATGCATAATATTTGGCTTGAATAAGCTTGAGACAAAGGAGAGCCGACGGAGAACAGGTCTTGGGTAATGAAGCGGTAAAAGGCGAGCTTTCCAGGCTGCACAAGCATGCTGTCTCAACTCATGCGCTGCGAATTGCTTTTCTCAAATCTTGCAAATCTCAAGAGTCTAGTTGGATGTAATGATCGAGCAGACGGGAAGAGTGGAGAGACATCTGAACTAGGTAAGGGGTGTATAGATATAGATTATACCGTCATCAAGTGGCGCCTTGGGAACAGGAATGTTCGAACTCGAAGGTGCTAAAACCCCGGGTAATCCGTCAGCTCCCCCCCCTCGTAGGGGGGTCAGGCTATCGGGACAGTAACTTCATGCACCAAGGCACTGGAACGGCATAAGGCACATCACATTTAAGACGCATGTGTTCTTGATGATAGCGAATATCCGCTATTTGGCGCCAAATGCCTTATGATCAAAGTCATAGCTACAGGGGCATTCTCGCCATTTTAGTTACGTGGTGTCGCAATCCGCCGAGCCGGAAAATGCCATGGTTGGGGAGACCTGCGGTAAGCTGGGCTCCAAGGCTGGCTGAATGAGTCTGGACAAGGCACGGGTTACGCAATAGTTGGATACCAAAACCCATGTGCCTGAAGCGCACGAGTCCGCAGCACGGATCCCCGGTCAGCCGTGTATGATTCGGGTCGGGAAGATCTTTGTTCCTCCGCAACTTTGGTTGGCTAGGTTTAACTACTAAGTTACGTACTATGTATGCTGTTGAAGACTATGAGAATACGTCCTCGACAGCGGCTCCACCCTAGCCATTTCGTTCTTCCTCCAGAATTCCAATAATAAGCCGACATTCTCGTTATTTGCCTAATGGATGCAATTATCGTCGTCCCGATACACAAGAAATTTCGCTAAACAGAATGCCGACAGACACGGTTTCTACCCCTCCTCAAGGTTGGTTTGCGCTTCATCGCTACAGAGCGTCCCAAGACTAATCTAACTCGCTTCTTCGGGGCAAAAAAGCCACGGGAAGGTCTAAGAAAAACAAGAAGAAAAAAGGCCCTGGGAAATCGAATGTTAACGGAGAAGATGATCGCAAGTTTCAAGTGTCTCATCAGAGCGCTGCGGCGAAGTCCGATGAGGCCTTCGAGTCCACGACGAAGGTAGCTCCATTGACAATAGCACTGATTTTACGGTGATGTGGTTCTAATTCTAATCCAATTGCATATCTAGACGCCTGCTGAGGATCTAGCAAATGGTTCACAGCGCGAGGACACGGAAAGTCAGTTGGAGAAGACGGACGATGAAGAAGAAAACCAGCCCACAAAGGAGGTTCTACCACCCACAAGAAATGACGAAACATGTTCGGAAAATTCTTTCAAGCAGCAGATGCCATCAGGTATCGAATCAGATACACGGTTTGAAGCTCTCGTACGAGATCGCGACTCACTCCGAGCGGAGGTTTCAGAGATGCGAAGGACTCTCGAGCAGATACAGTCAAAACATGATCAAGAGATGGAAACCCTTCAGAATAAACTGCAAGCGACACACAATGAGAAGAATAACGCGGAAACGCAATTTCGAAATCTTCTGGGCAAGGTCAACACCATCAAGTCCCAGCTAGGAGAAAGGCTGAAAGCCGACGCTGTATGTCTCGCTCAGAGATCTCAATGTCAATATGCCCGCTAATCCTTCGAGCAGGAAGAGTTAAGCCAGGCAAGAAGCAAAATTGAAGAACTAGAGGGCCAAAACGAAACACTTAAGTCCGAAGTTGAAGCTAAATCAGCGCAGATTGAGTCGTTGGAGAAGGAGGGTGAGCAGAGATCTAAAGAACTTTCAAGCCTGAGAAATAGAACGAACCTTTCTCAGCAGAATTGGTTGAAAGAAAGGGAAGAATTGCTAGAACAGGAGTCGTATCTACGTGCAGAATTCGAAGAGGCCAAACAGGCCATGCATAACTGGGAGATTCTTGCTATGGAGGAACGATCCGTTCGAGAGGGGCTTGGGGATAAGGTGGTAGACTTGGAAGAACAGCTAAATGCTCTCAAAATTGACTATGAGAGAGTATCGAAGGAAAGCAGGGATCAGGAAAATACGATCGAGGGCCTTCAGAAAGCTCTACAGGAGATCCAGAGAGGTGAGCGCTCCCATACAGAGATTGGGCTTAAGAAGCATCCTGCGTACTAATATTCCGGTGTAGCTCGAAAGCAAGAGTTGCGCGAGCTGGTCGAAAGCTCTGATCTCCAAGCTGAAGATCTCCGGAAGAAGGTTCAAACTGCTGAAAAATCAGCTGCCCAGGCCACTGCGGAGCTGGAAAAAACAAAAATGGAGTTAGAAAGAGCGCTGCCCTTTGAGAAGGAAGTGAAGGAGAAGAACCTCCTGATAGGAAAGCTTCGGCATGAGGCAGTCACGTTGAATGAGCATCTTACAAAGGCTTTACGTTTCCTTAAGAAAGGGCGGCCTGAGGACAATGTGGATAGGTGTGTCGTAAACGATTGTAAGAGCATCGCGATAACTTCTAACCCGTGGGATAGGAATCTTGTGACAAACCATTTCCTTCATTTCCTCGCACTTGATAGGTCAGACCCGAAGAAATTTCAGGTCCTACAACTTATAGCTGCACTTCTGGGGTGGACGGATGGTCAGTCGACTTCCTCTTTTGTTTGTCAAAATTTATACTGACATACGTAGAACAACGTGAGCAAGCTGGCCTTGCTCGGCCCGGAAGCACTGCATCGCTTAGCCTTCGAGTCCCTGGCGCCTCACTCGTGCAGCGGACCCCCAGCTCTCCTGCACTTGCAACGGATTATTTCTCCGAATCCACCCCTTCCCGTAAGGAATCGCTGGCAGAATTATGGTCAAGCTTCCTAGAGCAAGAGGCCCAGACTGGAAAGGAACAAAAGGATTCCAAAGCTGAAGGTGAATGATGATGCTTGATGACTTGTGCTGGCTTACGCTTTCATTGTCGGAGTTTCTTTTGCAACATTCTGTATTTTATATATCCATGAGAGAACAGGGTATCTCGGCTAGCAATAGATACATGAAAAAAAAGGCCAGACCTGTGGAAATTCAAAGTGTTGCGCCAAAATTGCCATTGTCCACGATCCAATCTCTCACACTCTTGTAAGCTATGTCAAAATCATCATTGACTACGATTTTGTCATGAGCTCCCGGCTGCTTGGCATATTCTAGCTCATTGCTTGCTTGCGCCAACCGTTTACTGAGGCTATCTTCCGTCTCTGTTCCGCGGCCACGGAGTCTGCGCTCTAGTTCTTCGATAGATGGAGGGGCGAGGAATAGGAACCGGGCATTAAGGTCGGTCTTTTTGACTTGCTTGACTCCCTATTGTTCTCGACTCATTAGCCAAAACACTGCTTTCGGCTAGTGCGCTGTTTGAATCCCAAGCCCAAAGAGCCAAGAGAAGGAAGTAAAATCATACCTCCATTTCAATATCCAATATACAAACCCTCCCTTTTTCACTAATATTTTTCACCGCCATGGTGCTCGTTCCATAGTAATTGCCACCGAATTGAGCATATTCGATAAAGCCGCCTTCGTCAACAAGATTTAAAAAGGCTTCCTTGCTTGTAAAGTAGTATTCGCGACCATCGACTTCGCCAGCACGAGGGCCTCGAGTGGTATCTATGTGCCCGATTAGCTGCTGCTCCCCTGTCTCTTTAGAGCCGGAAATACAGGCGGTGTTGCCCATAAGCTTCAAGCTGGTGCTAGTTATACTCACGAGATACCGAGAAGCTGAACTTATCAGGAAACTCGGCAAAGAGCCGCTTAAGGATCGTGGACTTGCCCGTCCCTGATGGCCCGGAAATCACCACAGGGCGAAACTTGCGCACTGCAATGCGGCAGGGCACGAACATGGCGGTTAGCCCAGGTAGCGAACAGAATTCGCAGAGGACCTACCTGTAGCGGCCATTTTTAAAAATCGATACCGCTCACAGGAGCCAAGGCTTCGTAGTAGCAAAGTCTGTCGAGCAGCGGGGAGCGAAAAAAGAAACGAACCTGGGGCGTGAGTTGGGACCATGGTACAGCCCTCAAGGGGGGTTTGTTCTTGGCAACGTTCCTTCTGGGGTTGAAAGTTCACACTGGGGAACAGATGAACTACGCGAACTGCCAAGGATGCCCAATTTAAGAGCTATTCCAGATGAAGATACCGATGACAATCTTATTCGCCATCTTTTCTACGGAGTACTCCATATGGATTCTCATGGACATAGGCCAGACCTTGATTTATCTCAGGAAGGTCCTCTAGTGAATCTTTTGGAGTTGGATACTGTTTTCATTTACGATGGAAGCCACCAAAAAAAAAAAAAAAAAATTTGAAGACAAAATGGGTCTGGAGGAGTTATAGATTAAACAAAATATCAAGTCCGAACTTAGCAAAGTAAGAAGACATGCTTCTGTGGACGACCTGCAATCTCGAATCTATCCCTGTAAGCGATGCGAACAAGCAGTGGAGAAAAAAAAAATACTAATTCACTGATTAGAAAAGGAAACCATAACAACTGCAATAGGATATCTGGAAAAGGTAGCACTAGCTTGCTCGCAGGAACGAAATTGCTTGTATTGTATTCGCATATCCGGCCAATGCAGATCGAGTGGCTCGACATGACCTAGCCAGCAAGAAGTTGGAGGTGTTCACCTCAGTAGCCATTCATCGTCATTCTTTGCGAATTGCGGCTTAGCTCCCTGTCCGCCGAAGGGCTTATGGGTCGACTGCCATGGCCGGTAGCACTGCTTTCTTTCAATGCAAGCAGCTGCTTAGCGCGGAAAGTTTCGTAGTGAATCTGGCTTGTGGTCTCAATTAAGTCTTGAAGGTGGGTTCGTGTAAGGAAATTGCGGAGGTAGACAAATTCGCAATGGCTCTCGTCTTCGACATTGATTACACCCCAACGGTTCTGGCGACCACGAACTTGTTTGCCGTTAACAATGATTGACTTCTCACTTCCAACAACGGCGAATGGAATTATGTCCTGCATACCGTGTAAGTATGGTGGCTAGAAATGCGATGAGATACCCCGAGACAACGATGACTCACTTTAATCTGGGCATTGACAGCCCGTTCTTCATCATCCAGCTCATCATTGTCGTATGGATACATTTTGAGGTTGTGGAAGGCAAACTCCTCCTTGATTCTTTCCTTGAACGCAGAACGCTCCTCCAGAGTCAGGGAATCGGACTTGGCGATCACCGGCACAACATTAACAACATCGGAAAGTTTCTTGAGGACAACGATGTCAATAGGTTTCAGGCTGCAGGCTCTAGTTAGCATATGTTGAGCTCCTATTCCTCAACTGATACTCTACGTACGCATGTCCGGAAGGCTGGATGAAGAAGAGACAGCAATGGATTCGAGTGTCCTGAATATAGCGCTCTCTCTGTGCAGTAAGTTCCTTTCGGAGGAATGCGGAGTGTTGGTCTTTGATGTACTTGACGATCGGATCCCAGCTATAGAGAGCCGAAGAGTCAGTACTGTGCCCATGTTCCTGTTCACCACATACACGAACCAGCGATCATTATTAACTTGGTCACCGTAGCCGGGAGTATCAACGATATTCAATCGCAAGCGGACACCATTTTCCTCAATAACTGGTTTGGTGTTAGCCTGGGTAAATGACCTTTACGAGATATGGGACGTACTGTGTGAGACGGTTTGGATTTCCGTCGTGGAACGCACAGGCTCATCTGGTGTCAAACGGCCCTTGGAATCAATTAAGTGCGAAGCAAAAATGGTATTGATTAGAGTGGATTTGCCGAGCCCGGTTTGACCTGAAGGAGGGCCGAGTTGGTCAGAATGCGATAAACCCTCAGGATGATACCTCGGGGGCACGAACCAACACACATGACGTTGAACTGAAAGCCACGCTTCAGCAGCTTCCGCTCGATCTGCGAAGTGATGCTGTCGAAACCGACATGGCTTCGAGGATAAACCGTATTATTGGCTTGCTGTTGGGCAGACTGGGGAGTCGGGGATGCCATTTCGACTGCTCTCCGCGTTGGTTTCAGCAAGCAAAGTGAATCGATGGAGAAAATCGTCTAGATCTGTTCGACAGCCGATTCAAGGGTCAGATCGAGTGAAGGAAGGGATCGGGCTGGCCAACTGAACGGTGGGAGTGGTAGTGAGTCTTCTCTTGACGAACAAGAAACCCCTTAAATTTCTCAGTCCTGCCGATGGACAGCTTGGTTCGGTTTGCTGCGTGAAGGCCAATCGTGGATCAGGGGCTCAAAGAACAACATTAGCCCGCTTCCGGTTTAGCGCTGTTTCCCAAAGCTCCACGAAATTGGGCCAATCAGGGTCCTTTGCGCTCGGTTTCTTCACGAACCCAAATCGGCTGCTTATATAATGATCTTGAGTTTTGCAGCATCTCGCTCCCCAAAAGGCTTTGAAGCGGAAGGCGATGCCAATCTGTTGCTCTCTGCCGGAGATATATACAGCATTCGCGGCGCGTCTACCAGGTTGCTCGAAATGGCTGCGATAAGACCGATTTGGGCTTCGCCCTTGCCCCATCTCTTCATACGAGCTATCCCGTCCCTCTCAGTCTTCCAATCTTCAACATCGAGCCGACTGCTGCAATATCTCCCACGCTCTTTTGCCCTATCCTCCAAGACCATTGCCCCGGGTGCCATAGTGCTAGGCCTTCCTTCCATCCTCTCTGGACTTTGGGAATCTATCCTCCGTGCGGTTCCCAAGAAGAAAACCTCTCATATGAAGAAAAGACACCGACAAATGGCTGGCAAGGCTCTAAAAGATGTGAAAAACATGACCAATTGCCCCGGCTGCGGCCAGCCAAAGAGAGCACATCTACTGTGTCCTACATGTGTTAGCGGTACGTTTATAGTTATTATCTGCGGTTTTGATCCCAAAGAGAAATCGACTGACAATTCCGTCTCCAGAGGTCAAGCAACGTTGGCGAGAAGAGGAAAAACCGGCAATATCAGCCTGACCTTTAGCTATGTTTGGATTTTGCGGAGCCGTTAAAGACCTTGGATGTATAAAACAATTAAAGGGGGCATGGCATGCGAATTGGCGTTTAAGCGGGTGTTTGCACTATTGATTCCTTGATGATTCATCAGTTGTATATTAGTTTGTATGACAAAATCAATTCTAGATTCCTTTTTTGCAATATAAAATATATCTATACTATCTTGTTTTTTGTTTGCTGGTGAAGAACTCTTCTGCATCACATGGTTTGCTCATGCTTTTATGAAGCCTGAGCTTTTGGAGTGATTGTTGCGGCCTTAATTTTATCAATCAACCGTACACAACACTTTCAACACATAGCATAGTCATCACTCCATATTAAAACTTTGAACGCCAGGAGAACAAATTGGATGTGTTAGAATACGGGGATATCATTGTGCAGATATGGTAAGAAATCCTAGAGGGACGTTTTTGAGGTGCAAGACAACTTCTAACACGAAGACAGTCGAAGCAATATCTAACATTGCACACTATTGACAATGGTGCTGAACCACAAAGACCCCAGAAAGGGCCTCATGCTTACTGAGAATTACAAATAGCCCATCCTGTCGATATATTTTCTTTGGCAGTCACACCGACCCAGATTCTATCAGCCTCAGGCTCATCATCCCTCAATGTTCATTCAACCACAGAGGCAGAGTTTCCGATTGCCCAATCAATGACAAAAGCTCACAAAATTGGTTGCCACCACATAGTAGCAACTCAGGATGGATTAAGGGCAGCCAGTGCGGGTTTCAGCGGTGAAGTCAAACTGTGGGCATATGAAAATGGGATGTGGAGCGAGGATACAAACTGTACGTGTGAAGTCCCTTTGAATGTTGACTGCCTGCCATGCGAGAAATGCTCTCTGCTCATAGCATAACTACAAAGATACTGGAAAAATCTGCAATGTCTGGGCCATAATTCTGTCTAGTGATGGGCATTATCTCGCTGGAACTACCCATGACGGCCACATCAAAGTTTGGGACCTTCAGAATGGCGCTCACCAGATCCATGACTTTGAGACGAAAGGAAGTTTCGGCATGTGTATAGATATTGTATGCGCTGACAATATTTTTCGATGGCGAAAATCTGACAATATCTTCCCAGTCACCCGATGGACGATTTACGGCTTCTGGCCATCAAAGTGGAAGCGTTTATATTTTTGATAATAGCACTGGCCGGATGCCTTATTCTCTATCAGGTCCGTACCATTATCGTAGTGCGCCCCGACTGTTGCTAACTAATTGTCCGTAGGCCTTGTTGAGCCGGTTCGGGCTGTGGCCTTTTCGCCGGGAGGGAAATTGCTGGCCGCTGCTGGAGATTCAAGGGTGATTATGCTCTACGAAACATCGTCGGGCGAGCAGGTGGCAAACTTTAGCGGACATTCGGCATGGATTATGTCTCTAGACTGGAGTCACACCGGGGAATATCTTCTCAGTGGGTAAGTATTTTAAGGAATATCTGGGATTTTTTTTTCTCAGGCCGAATGCCTCTGACACTTTAGGTAGATCGTTTGACGGAAAGGTAAAAGTATGGTCAATTGAGCGGAAAGCTTGCGTTGCGACTCTTTCGGAGTCTGACAAGGCGCTGTGGTGTGTCAAATGGCTACCAAAAATGGGAAAAGCAGAAGGTTTCGCGACAGCTGGTGCAAATCGAAGCATTGCATTCTATCGTGAGGCTACGGGGGGTTGAAGAGAGCCAGCGCTCAGTCTCTGAATCACACTCAAGCTTGGGAAATAGCGGATTTGTAGTTCATCATCATGATGTTAGAATGAGGGGTATCTCTAATGCTCAAAGAAAAATATATCAAACAATGGCATAACCCGGTGTTTCGTTCACTTCATTGTTGCCACGAATAATTTTCGCATCCGTTTAAGGAAGGCCCCAAAATCCCTGTCTTCGTTGACAATGTCAAGTTCACGTTCGATGACTGTCCTCTCCAACTTGGGCCGGCAATGGAATACCTCGTAATCCCGGGAGGCGGTCCCAAGCTCAAACCAGGCCTCTCTCTCCCAGTCCTTTTCCAACAAATGAGTATATACAATCTTTAGCCGATCATCCCTCCCTGCACCTTCGATCCTTAAGCATAGATAGTCCTGCCAAAATTCTAGCTCGGGAGTGTTCAGGCGTGATTGGGCTTCAAGCTGTCTCGCGTGCGCTCTCTGCGCTTCCAGTCTCTGATTGATGGCCTTTTGTGTCTCTTCAATCTGCTGTTTTAATCGGTCTCGCGTTGCCTGGCGGGCGTCACGTTCTTGAGTTACTGTCGCAATCGCCTCATGCATCTCTGCCGCTTCCACAGCCTCTTTTTGCAATGTTTGCGCGTGGGTTTGTGCCTTTAAATTAAATATTTCAATATCTTTTTGCTTCATACGTCGGTCCTCTGTAACTATTCATTAGAATCTGGTGGAAAGGGGAACCGGTTGCCGTCATGCAATCAGTTTTAAGGAATAGTACCTTGGAGCTCTGCAAGATTCACCCGAAATTGATTTTTCTCCTCTAAAACTTGCTTCCTTCCTCTCTCAATAAACGCGTCAAATCTTGCGGTAAACTGTGCCATCCGCGCACGTAAATCGTCGAATCCAAAATTGAGAACTGGAAGTTGGTCGGCCATGGATGGCGCATCTGCCGATGTCAGAGGTGGGCGCATGCCCGACACTGACATCGAGGGATCAAATGTTGAGGCCATGATATATCGCTAATTTATCAATCCCCCAAAAAATGTATGTATGTATGTATGTATGCTCCGTGGTGATTTGCCCTTTGATCAATGGGAACGAACTTCGCTGGTGTTTTTCCAGGTGTCAAGAATATTGGTTGCGCAGCAACATCCGGTCTAGCCCCAAGGTTACTTCGATCTGGCTTACGGAGTACGGAGTACGGAGTACTGAAACCCCAAATAGGTTGGCGCAAACTGAATATGGCGCTAAACTCAAAATAAGCTTGGCCCTTTCGCCGAACAAGACGAATTTCTGCATGGAGCTCTCTTTCGAGCTCTCAGGCCAGCACTATGACCATGCCGCTACTTTTCAATCCATAGCTCCTCACAAACGATTGCTATCTAAATCATTGACACGCGTAGTGTGTGCATGTTGATTTTCTCCGCAATGAATACCAGTTTTCTTCAAGTTTTCTTGCTGCGTACCACGCCTCGATCCAAACCAGATGGATGACCACTGTCGTCGAACTACCCTGCAGTATGGGCACCTTGGAACACCATTCTACCTTCCAGGGACGCAAAATTGGGAGTTTACGCGTGTTCCTAAGCGAAGTTGGTATAATCATTACTAATGTTGAATAGCAACACGCTGATGTATCGCTAGGTCCGGCCTTTACTGCTTTGAGGGAAACTTTTGTCACCTCCCTTGAACCCGATTCCACTTTCTCGAGTCCTACAACTCAGCATGAAGCTTCTCGAGTTGCAAGAAAGGAACATTCATTGTTGAAAGCATATCCGGAATTGGCCCCAAGCTTGGGGTTAGTGAACTCTCACGACAGGTCCTCCCAAGTCATCACTGCAACTGTGACGAATTTTGACCCCTTGGTTTCTACGCGTTTGGCATTTGGAAGAGCGGTCAACGAGAATCATGCCGGTAGTCAGTCAGTTCCGATAGTAGTAACTGCTTCTGGTGATCCAGCAACATCCATTGCCGTTATCCCCCTCGATCTCAAAACTAAGGGTACGCTAGCCGGTTCGAAGCAAATGCCCTCTAGTCCGAACCTCGCATACAGCGATGGCGCATGGTGGAAATGTCCTGGAGGCCCAGTGCAGCAAATTTGTTTCGCAGAATCTATTGATGAAGAAAACACGTATTTCGCGGCGAGATTTTCCCAGAGCACTATGATATTTCGCCCTTTGCGCCATAGAATGCCATTACTCTCATCCTTTGGAGTGAGAGGTTTTATGCTGGAGCCGCACTCGAAGACCCATCTCAATGCAAATCCATTGGTTGATATACCGATTTCGTTAACTGGTGGCCAGCCGCATGCCGATGTTACTTTTAATCCATGGTACCAACGGCAGGTCGCGATTATTGATCGTTGTGGGAAATGGAGCGTTTGGGATATACGTGGCAAGCACCAGCTTCAAGCTGATTGGATTGCTGATCGAGGTCCCTGTGGATCTCTGTCGCGCGCGTCTGGGTTAGGAATTTCTGAACCCACAAAGGAAGATCATTTTGATGGCTGGGCTGCAGTCATTTGGGTTGGTGATGTGCATCAATTACTGGTCTGTAACCGTCGCAATCTGGCCCTATGCAGACTTAGCATGCAGCCGCCTGAACAGCACCTCATATCCCTTGGGTTACAGCGACCTTCTGAGTGGATTTTGGATATTTCTAGAAGCAAACATAATCCTTCCCACTTTTTTGTTCTTACCACAACCAAAGTCCTGTGGTTGAATGTTCTTCCAGTTGAAGCATCCCCGGATGGCCATGGTGTATCCACATTGCTGAGTTGGAAGCATTTCCGGGATACAGAAGACACAAGCCTCCGCCTCGCACAGGTGCTGGTACAGAACGGTACAATCTCTCTCTGACTTTCCCTCATTTTCTATGATTGCATATCTAATGAATTGTAGCATTATATATAATTATATTTTCTCATTTTAACGACTTGACTGAAGCCTTTCGGTTCTCGCTCTCGGCGGAAGGATCGTCAATTCCACTATCCATATCCGATCCATTCCTTCTCTCTACCCCTTGGCCCACGAATGGAGCCGAACATCCAGAAGATAGGCAGAAGAGTTTCTGCTTTTCGTCCATGCTATTTGAAGAAATTGATGCCCCCCCGGGTTTCAGCGACGAAGATAGCGGAAGTCCAACACTAATTAAATTTATTGGCCAACGTGCAGATCTTGCAATAGTTGAAGGGTTATATTCCATGGCTCTACCCTTCGAATCTCCAGAAGCAAGTTATCCGCGCCTTAACTCTATTCTGCCTCAAAGAAGACGCAAGTTGGCTAGCTTGGCTCGGGTTGACGACTTTGACTTTGTAGTAGATGATGTGGATGAACCAGTAATCCAGCTAGAGATTGGGATGAAGCAGAACAACAGCCTCCACCGATCGTTCCGCCGAGATTTTCAGCCACACCAACGGACTGAGCAATGGACATCTCTGCATGTCCGAGTGATTACTAGTGCTAGCCAACCAGTTCCACGACAGGATGAGATCGAGATTCAAATACAAGGATTTGACGATTGGATTCGCCTGGCTACCAGCAGACTCCAAGACCAAATAGCTCATGATTCAATGCCTGCGGTATCTCAGACACTGTTAGTGATTGTATTTCTCTGTGCCTTGGTATGTGGTGCTAATGAGTTTGCTAGACTTGAAGCACTCGGTGTCCCACCGGCTCTAGATGCGATTGATAGTAACGCAAGGAACTTTGCACGATTTATTCAGACCATGTCCAGTCCAGTACTAGAGCCCCGCCACCGTCGTTGGTTATCAGGGTTGCCGTTGCCATTTTCCGCTACATCACGGCTACCTGTTTTCACTCCAACGCAGCAAAATGATATGTCCCTTGCAGCACTGTATGACTCCCTTGTCTACGATTGGCTTTCTCCGCTGTCAGAACATGTTCCCAATCGGGTTCGGATGTCAAAAGAAAGAATGATTCGATGCATGGTTGCAGAGATAATGTTTTCGAGAATCAGCCTTGTGCAAATGATGCCAGAAACGAGAGAGTCCACCAGTCTTGAGGACCAGGTAATGACCTCGTCAGGACCAGCCAATGAGCCGCCGTTTAAAGGGGGACGGCGTGGTGCATCACATGACGGTATATTACCAAGTCAAGGTGCAAGCTTTACACCCATGCTTTACCAATCTCATGAGCCGACAGCGCGAGCATCTCTCGCTTTGCACCGTTATACTACCGTAAATCCCCAACCTGACCCCTTAAAGCGTGTCATGACAACATTATCCCATTGGAAAGTCGGCACTGATCCGGCGGATTACGACTGGCAGAAAACAGTTCACGCGATTCAAGATGAACAGTCGCTGTCCGGGGACCATCCAACCGTCCAGAGACGTCGTAGGCGTGAAGAGCGCAAACGACGCCAGCTGGAAAAAGCTCAAAAGCAGGCGTCATTAACGCCGTCAACACCGAAATTAGTTGACGGCGGGAGAATGTGGGGAAGCCAACCAGACAGGGCCATTCGTATGTCTCCGGTCGAGCCCGAGCTCTGGAGCAGCCAAATCAAAGAAGAAAATATACCCCTGACACAGGTAGAAAGAGGAGTATTTGGTAGCAGAGAAGTGGCGCGAAAGAAGATGGGTAAGGAAAGGAGAAAAAGGCGAGCAGCCGGATTTTGATATTTCGAGCTTTTTTGGGAATATGCATGTATGAGCCAACACACTGATATGTTTGTATCTTTTTACACACCATGTCAACTAAATACAGACACCGGAGAGAGTGTCATTGTAAAAATACCAAAGGCAGACATATTTCAACCTGCATTCTCTAGTGAGATATCTAAGCAGCACCAAAACACAGCTGATTCCGGGTCTCAATCCTGGCGCCCCCAAGACTATTTAAAGGGTAATCTAAACCGAAATTCTTGCTCGATATTCGAACCCGATATGAACTCCATGTCGATAAAACGCCAATAAAGATGTATGCAATCACTAGCATGGCTGTCACGCACCTCCATTACGAACTAGCGAGAAAGAAAAGTGACCCTCGTTCGTTCGTGGTTGTGCATTTGCAAGAAGGGGTGTTGATGGTGTATTTACACCTACTATTTGCCTTTTTTTTTGAGGTGGAATTCTCCCTGTCAAGGAGAAGAGGTTGGTCTCAGGCCTCAGATTTAGCTTCTGACTTCAGGTTTCATCGGTGGCCGAAAATATCGATTATATCGTCAATGTCTTCATCATCTTCCCCATCCTCTAGCTCCTCCTCCTGATCATTCGCGGGGTCTTCGTCTTCGTAATCGTCTTGTTCTTCGTCATCATCTTTTTCCTCCTCGCTGTCATACTCTCTGCTTCCCAAAAAGCCTAGCGTCGCTCTTTTAAGCGCAGAGACGGGCCAGAAACTACCTCTTTCATCATTTTCGCTGTCTGAATGTATCACCTCGGGTTGCGAAATCGTTGTCCATATTGATCCTCGTCGTCGACTAAGGCCAAAATAGTTACTAACAGTCGGGGATACGGATCGTGCATTATAGCTCTGCGGCAATGCAGGAATCGCCCGGCTTCCTGATCCCATTATCGAGCCTAGAGCGTCCGATGACCCATCTGCTGTCGGTATCGATCGAGCTATGGTTCTATTTTCAACAGATAAGTCGTTTGGTATTCTAGGTATAGATATCAGTATGCCGCTACCCTGTCGGGAGACAGGCTCATCGTTTTGGTCGTTATTTGTGGAAAACAATCGAATTTGGGACGTATTGTAGGAATCGCATCTAGCATCGTTAGCGAGTTCCAAACAAATGGAGGTAAATTCCAGCATACGTATCGCATTTCAGACCCAGCCAGTGGTATTGCACGACGCTCTTTGCATGGCAATCGTTGCAATTTATGACAGCTTTGGTATTTCTAAACTCTGCAGGCATCGGCTGGCTCCCTATCGTGCGGTCGAGATTTCTAAAATGGGCTTCCATGTTCGCGACAGTTTTGTTACAGATTGGACAACGGTATGATGTCTTGGAGTATTTATCAAAGCATTTTTGGTGAATGCTATGCCCGCATTTCATGAATATGACTGGGTCAGGGGAGGTGAACATGTATTCGCCGCATATAGGACAGTCGCATTGGGTAGCGCGCTCAATGCATCGATGGCTGGTTTCGATCTTAATGGGTAAACATACACTACATGTCTATGGCACTGTCAGCGATTGTCACGATCATTCTCTTTATAGCGTACTAGCTCATTGGATACCTTGCAGTGGAAAAAATCTTTCCCAAGTCCTTCCCCGCGACGACAGATCCCGCAGTCGTGGCAGTGGTATATACTCTTCGAAGCATCGTTGTCCCAAAGTTTGCAAATTCCGCAATAATAACAGGCGGCTTGGGTGCCACACGATTTACACCACTGGTTAGCTTGTTGAGGTGTTTGGCACATCATGCATAGCATATTCTCTGTCTTTCGTCGAATGAGGGTATGATCCTCGATATCATCATGACAGAACCTGCATGTATACCACTTTTTGCATGTAAAGCATTGGAGTTTGACATTTCTCTTGTAATGCTTGCATCCCAATATCTGTTGTGCTTCCTCATCCAGCAAATCTCCTGCTGCCAAGGCAGAAAGAACAAAGTCGTCATGATCGTAGGGTTGGGCTAATGTTGCGGTACCGGGATAATATGTCGGGGTAAGGTCATCCATCGAGAGATAATAAGGATTACCAGAAGTATAAGAGGCGATTGAGGAAGTGGAAGCTGGGGTAAGGGTAAGCTGGTCAGACGAGTGTTTACTCCGCGGCGATAACGGAGTCCAAGGCCTATCATGAGGTTGAATAGTAGCTCCACGCTGCAGCGTGGGCTGGGGAGATCCAGAAACCCCGAGCGAGGAACGGTAGCTCTCGGTCATGATCGCATGTATTTGCTGGGCCTTTTCGGCGTTGGATGCACCGCCTTCTCGAATCGCGTGGATACGTTGTCTGAGGATGCGCATGCCGTCGTCGGCAGGGAGAGACTGGCCATTGTCAATCCAACGTTCGTTTTCAACGGTCAGGCCTAGATTGCCATCTCCAATGAGGTCATCACCATCGGTCGCGATTCGGCTCTGCAGCAACGTAGTCATGGCGGAGCTTTCGTCCCACGACGCCCCGGCCAGCATTGACCGGGGCTCATCGTTCTGCTGCAATGCATGATAAATGCCGCTTCTCGTACTATTTGATAGTATTCCCGATTGTCGCCGGCTTAGGTACCTATCATGGCTTCTAGACGATTGGAGCGATTCGGAACTGGAGGAAGGCCAAGGCAGTGATAGTTCAAATTGGGGAAACGGCAATCCCGATTCTGTGGCCCGCACGGAAACCGACTCCAGGTCGTTTACGTTTTCTGGTGCATCATGGTTGTTATTCTCGTTTCGAGGCTGGATAACTTCAGGGCTGGCGTCCCGCGACTTGGATTCGGCCTGGTTCGAGGGCAAGGATTGCATGTCGAGCGGTCAGCGAGAGAAGTCCCGAAGATATTCATTGATCAATCAGGCAGGAGATCACTGGAAATAGCAATGAGATTATTTCGTCTCATGCTTTTCAGTGTTGGAACAAACATAAGTGTCTGTATGAGGGCTTGACTGTGGGGGTTCATAATGGATTTGGGTGTTTCTCAGTCAGCCCACGCCTGATGTTACTCCACGAAGTGACATCTCGACATAACAAGCATTCATTTATACGAAAATGGTTTACAAAGACACATTCACGTGAAGTAAGTTTGTATAGATATTACTGAAAATGCGATTTTTATTTGAAAGATATGTGGCACACGGATTATCCATACCAAAAGACCAAAAGATAGGACCAGTCAGTGGGGTTTGCAACTATGTATGTACGTTAATGAGCTGCGCTTCCCATCGGGATTCAAAGCCCTCGAAGCGTGTGTGGAAACTGATCACTCTTAGCCGATGTAGCAGCTTGAGTCTGATCGATAACCAGGTGCTCCATATGCGACATTGCACCGCGAAATAAAGGTCCCTGTGGTCACTATTTCCACCCGTGGCTCGCCCGCTTTGGATTTTTTTTTATTTTGTTTATTTCTTTTGTCAATAGCTTTCTACCAATAATTTATGACTATATCAGATTCATCAACATCGCAGGCACAGTTCCAAGCTTTCGTTCAGTAGATGTAGGGCGTTATCAAAATGGACGTAAGGAATTGAACGGAATTTGTAATCGGCGTTGGTTCTCTTCTTTGAGAAGCTACCATTAAATCAGTGTCGTGCAACACAGGCTGAGGGGATGAACACTTACAACGGTGGGTTCCACACCATTGAAGGGCCTCGATAGAAATTGACTCGTGTCAAGTTCTTCAAAATCTTGCGCTCCGTGGTGCCTGGCTGTTTGCCCCGATCGATGAATCTAATGGTATTGATGATCCTTTGAGGGCCGAAGTCCTCTGAGGATCCGGATCGAAAAGCAGATCGAAGTATATTCCGCACGTTGACTCGTTCGGGTTTGGTATACCTCACGGTGCGCAAGGCCGTTCTGTACAAGTGTCTGTAGGAAAGGACAACAGCATGGCGGTAGCTTACTGACCGGAGAGTATCGACGGTAAGTGACATCTGCAGTAACTATCGCTGCTCGGCCTGTTTATGGCTCTCTGTCGCGATTGAGCGGTGGGGACTTCAGAGAACGGCTGGCTGTTGTGGACGAAAACTGGGTACCAAGACCAAAGTGTTGACTTATTCGACTCCAGCCTTCTGCAAGGCTCACCCCGTCTGGCTCATGGCAATTGCGGTGAAGCCTGCAAACGCGACTGCTGGCCTCTAGAGCAATGCTCTTCCGACGAGCCCTGGGGCCAGCTGGAATCCAGAAGGGAAGCGCAAGGAGAGCGCGAGCTGCTTATGTCATACTCCTAGGTGCGCACAATCCTCAGGCTATTGTAATCAATACATGCCCGGAATAGGCAAATGGACTCTGGTTATACACGATGAAGTGATTTTCTTCTTCACGTACTCCTTAAAGTATATCCCGCCAGTTCTTAATCGCGAGGTCGGTTGAACGGGCTTTATTCAAGGCATACCGCGGTGCCTCGTACTCTCTACTCACATAATAATTACATATTGGGAAAACGTTGCAGGGCGTCTATATACACTGGATGTTGTACGGAGTACGTTACAAAGAAAAGAGCAGACATGATAGGCACAGGGATCTTGAAACAAATAAAAGGCTTGGCTAGCTCATGATAGGTATTGTCTTCCCAACCATGGCATATCAGTACTAGTACTAGAGATATCTACCAGAAAACACTATTTGTTATTGTTTTCAGCAGTCCTGAAGAACTCTTCGATTTGTGATTTGTTGTCAGTAATTACTTGATCATAAGTACTAGGAGATTCTCATACCGTGAAGCAATATTCTTTCGGTAGAACCTGTGTCTGAATTGAATGCTCTCCACGCCTCTATATGCGCAGGATACTGCCTCTTCGAGACTGGGGCCGTAGGTAGAAACCGAGAAAACCCATCCTTCGGCTGTTTTGAGTTCACCATCGCTGCTTCTCTTATTTCTGTCATAAAATATCTGTATACCAAGAGGCATAACAGGACTTAGCGGCGAAGATTAGTCAATCAAAGAGAAGTAAACAGGGACTGAGCAAGGTAATGATGTTTCCTTTAGAATGAGATTGCGGGTAACCGTCTGTAGGATCAACAATGCTGCATGCATATCCAGGCAAGACTGGTATAGATACTGTGTCTAGTTTCCCCGTTGAACAAGCAAGTAACACAGCTGCAAGATCACATTCCGGCGCGAGAAGCATCATCGTTTGCGTTTCAGTATCCCCGAATCTTGCACCGTATTCCAGGACTTTGGGCCCATTTCTCGTCATCATAATACCTGTGAAAAGCATGCCAGTAAATTGCCGCCCTGATGCCATGTTAGCAGCCCGCATGCCATTTTAGAAGGTCATGGCATATACTCTCAGCCTTAAGTCAATCCAGCATAGGCTGAATGATGTCACAGTCAATTTCCCTTGATTGATCCTGTCCTACAAAAGATAAGGATGCGTAGACTCCCATGCTCCCAGTATTTTGGTCCTTTGTTGCAATCCAAGATCCATTAGTGATCCTGGCCTTGTGGAAGCAATATGAAGGTTTTTCCATTACTGAAAGTCAAACAAAAATCGCATGAATACTATGTAATATTTACATCATTTACGAAGAACTCTCTACTCCGTAGGTAGTTTGGTGGTTTGGTGTTGGTAGGATCTACGTATAGAGAAGCTTTACGGTACGGAGTACGGAGTACCCCGTAATTTGCTAGTATTGAAAAAATCCTAAAATCCGCGATGGCCTACAGTACTAGTAGTGTCACATGACTGGTCAGGTGCAACCTTGGCCCGAAACGCTGCACCCGGAAAGGCCCTTAATAACGAGGCTTCCCACCTGTTCCACCTCGCTTCTTCTTCTGCCCAACACACCCTGAAAAAAACAGCACTGAACACCGCCCTCGTCAGCGCAAACTGCGTCCTGAATTAGACAAAAAGAAGTCCATGATTGCTTAGGCACCTGGACTCTTGTCTTGCATAACTCCTTCCTTGCCCCCAGGATCTACTTTGGGCCTGCTTAGATCACTGCTAAGCTTAATTGAGAGTTCTCAAATAAGATACTTTGTGTGCTTAGGAAATAAGCACACTGATTCTCTTTTTGCGAGCAATAGTCCTTTGATCCTAACTGGTGTTCTTCTTTCCTTTCTTTTTTTTTAAAAAAAATTAACCACACATGAAACAGGCAGATATGCAGATGATTCTCCCTATTGGAAATAATATTTTCTGTGAGACGATGTACCTTTAAGCCTTGGAGGTGCTATCTTTCCAGTGACGTCGCCCCTCGTGCTAGGTGCGGTTGTCGGCAACGGTCACCAGAATGACTCGTGTACTTCATCGGGCCGGGTCGGCGCAAGCCGCTCGTGCTCGCAGCAAAGTCCCCAGAACCAGTCTTCGCAAGCACAAAATAATTATGGAAACTGTCACTCAGGAAAAGAAGAAGCTTCGGAGTGTTGTACGACTTTCAAATCATGCAATCTCTAAAACAATCCCTTTATCGATTATCGCGTGTATTACTGACTGCCAGTAGATTTCCTTCGAAGCAAAGGCGCCGCCTGGCTACACGTTTATACCGGCCGGGAATCCCAAATTTACTACTGCATGCAAGGAAATATGTCGAAAAGATGGCCTCAAAGTGTATACTGTTTCGGTGAGTGCATATCAGCTTGCTTCTCCATCAATGCAAATCACTAATGCCCCCTTGTTCTCGCTAGACCACACCTCATCAAGGCATGCACAATCTTTCCCAACAAGTTCATAGGATCGGCTATCACTTTCCGAGTGTTGTAGTGGCCACGGTATGCATGGACCGAGGTGTCTTCCTGTCATCGACCGGGAAAGTTATGCCCTATCGGCACTTACCTAGTCACGGGCATGTTAGAGAGTTGATGCGCGAACGAAGAGCAGATTCGGAGATATCGCAAACGACAATCAATGCCGAGGCCCGCGATGCAATCAAGGACTTATTTCCTAATATTCCAGATAAGGACTTGAATCAGATCATCAAAACCGCGTTCCGAAAGGTATGTCAACTTCGCACTTCAATACTCTGCTAATAAAAACATAGGGTAAACGGAAAGTTGGGACTGCTGTTGAACTCCCCCTAGCACGTCGCGTCCAGTTAGCCGTGGTCGCGCATATACGTCATGTGTACACCGATTATGATCGTCTACTCAGATTAATGTCTTTTCAAGAAGCTCGAGCTGCAGTTGAAGAACCCTGTCTTGCGAAGCTTGTACAGTGGAGAGGTGATGATGAGAGCGGTGAAACCGTTCTTGAAGACGTATTTCGCGAAGTTATTGTTATCTCCGATGATGAGGATGATGATGTCAGTGAAGACAATGAGCAGACCCAAGCAGAACGGGATTCAAGTGTCGAATTTGTGTGCAGCAATACTGTGGTCAAAGAACTTCAGACTTGGCCATTGCAATACGGTAATTCGAGCACTGTGGATAGGAGCAATGTCCCTGAGCCTTCTGAAGATGAAGCGCCTCCAGGTGTTCGCTTTATTCCAGACCCTCCAAGGAAACGGAAAACAGGGGATAAGAAAAAGATTGATCGTAGAGGCTTCAGCAGATACCAAGCCTGGGATCGAGCCAGAGATCGTTATAAGGATATGTTAAATACGCGTCCTGGCCATCAACCGGCCGGACAGTCGTCTGGACATGATTCCTTACCCATGTCCACAGAGGCGCGGCTGCATGAGATGCAACCAACCCGACAGTTGCCCTATACCGGAGAATTACAACCCCGACCTTTACATATACTTCACCCTGTGGACGCACCTGTTTCAGTCGCCCAACGTTCGTACCGAGATGTAGACGACGCCGCGTCACAAGTACATGTGAGGCATCTGAGTCCTGCGATGCAGGCCGCCTAGGTCTAGCCGGGAGGTACAAGTACGTTTACGCTAACTGTTACAATTTGCAGATGAGACGACCCGAACCTCCCAAGATAATCCGTTTGTCCGACGGCTCCATATTTGAAAGAGCCGATAAAATTACGAGACCAGGTTATGATATGCGACCGGGTTTCATTCCTCCTTCATCGCTTCATCCCCGCGGGTATATACCATCTGAACAGGTGAAGTATAACCCAACTAGTAGTAAACCTTACGCTCCCATGCAGGAGACGATCCATAGTGATAGTGAATTCCGTGGACGCACCACAGCCATAGGCCATTATCCAGATGAACATGGTCGCGAATATGGGCCTGACCCGGGACTACTTATGTCGCGGAAGCGGGACTCCAATGGCCTGTTAATCAATGAAGCTTACCGTGAACAGCCTCCACTTGAGGATTTGTCTGGTAGAATGAACATCATTGAAATTGATGATGGCAGGTATCACTTCCCCCCCAAAAGGAGCAAGATCCTGGTTCACAACTCCATTGAGAGTTCGCATCCTGAGGGCCACAGAGAAACTTCGGAACTCCTATATCCAGCCGGAGACATGGACACTCATCGAGAGAAAAGCCTTTATGATTCGAAAAGTGCAGCACAGGGTATTCTGATTAACAAAACACACATTTCTAGCAGTGGATATTCTGATCCACCATTCAATCACAGAGAGCGCCTTGGAGCACAGACGGATCGAAGGTCGACTGGGGAACCACACTTAACGGAAATTCCCACTAGAAAGGATCCGCTTACCAGCGATTTCGTTGACCGTGGACATCCCCATAAGGGCCAAGGCCTGAGACATCTCCCTCTTGTTAATCATTCTATTCATGCTGCTACGAACAAACCGTCTGTTGTCAAAGCAGACAGCTCTTTATACGGGGTCAGGGATGACACAGATAATGTCAAACCTAACCAGTTTTCGCAGCTCTCGCGCCCTCGACATGTGCTTCTTGGACCAGAGCCCCGCGAAGGTCGGGAGGTCCAGTTAAAAAGGTCTGGCCACGCCAATTCTGTTGCGATGCGGGTGGATTCACCAAAACGGAGATCCTTTTTATCTAATCAAGATACACGCTCTTCGCGTATCTATTCCCACGACTTTGTTCGTCCTGTAGCTTCGCCGGGAAACAAGGAGCCCTTGAGATACCAACCACATTCCAGACTACATGATGACACAGCAGGCCAAATGGGTCGTCATCCACCAAAATATTTGCAGCAATCTGATCTTTGTGAATATACCTCAGATCGTATGATTGCATATGAAGCCCCCTTAAACCGCTCCCTATCGCCTCCAATTCACCACTTTAGTTCCCGGATTGCCAACCATCGTCCTGCTCATGCACCTCGGCTCTTGCAACAGTTTCCGGTTTCCACCCAGCAAGAAACTTATGATGGTCGTATAGTAGAAGATTCTTACCGTGGTATCCTGCCAGAACAAAAACGGTATGGTTGATATTCTCGGATGTTCTTTTTCAGTGATCGGTCCACTATTGGAATGGACCGCCGCTCTTCGTTTGGTGTGTGGCCGATGCTAACATATGATGTAAAGATATTTCCAACAAGAGCTGGAAACCCGTCTACCAAATTACCGCGAGCCAAGTGTTCGAAGGGAAGCTGTTGAAGACAAGCGTCCTCACGCCAGACACGTTGTACTGCGAGACCCTGTGCCTATTGGGGGGAACTGAAAATAGCCATCAGCGGCGCTGATCCCGATACAGCTATGTGATATTTCTTTATTCTTTTTTGTTAATAAGATTTCGCAAAGGCAGACGAGGGCGGCGAAAGGTCATTTTGTATAGGGTCCTTGACCGTCTGGAAGTCTGGTTGAAATGTATTTGCTGTACATACTATTGACAGACGACTTATGTCTGTGAATTTCTGGATACCCCCAATACTACAGCTAGTTACACATTTCGCTTTTATTCTGTAGCCAGGTGGCTAGATATCGGCAGAAACATATTACATACAACGAGATTAGTCAAGCTATAAATATTTCTCCTTTCGTTTTTAAAAGCCAAACTGTATCTACAGGCTGGTTGATACGTCATTGCTTTCCCCGCCTGGCAAAGTGGTGGTCATTTCAGTGTCGACAGACAACAGCACATCGGCAGTGTTCCAACAGCCCTAAGTTGGAAAAAATAACTATGGAATTTCTACTGCCAGTTCGGAAAATGGCAGGCTCTAGACAGCCATCTCCGTCCCATCTGCCTCGCCTTTAATCACAGTTTTACCAGTCTTCTTGATCGTGTTGAGAACGGTGTCATATTCCAGGGTCGATTCGGCGACGACAGTTGCCGTTTGCGATTCAAGGTTTACATCGAAGGATTTAACGCCTGGACACACAGCTCTCAGTTAGTACGGAGTATGCCGGCTGAAAATCCTTGTAGTTCAAGTTGCGACGGGTTATTGATAATCGCACCTTCAAGCTTCTTGAGAACTCGCTCGACTGCTCCCGAGCAACCGCCACAGCTCATCGTGACATTAAATTTATATTGGTGTTCTGACATGGTGGCTTGGTGTTATCGGTTCGATAGGGGCTTGCAATGCCTGAATTGCGGGGTAGTCAGCGAACTCATCAATGGAATTTCTCTCTTAATTCTGTGGTCAGCAACGGTTTAACTAACTGAGAATTTAACCACTCTATACTCTATAGTCAACCAGTTAATCACTTCTTAATAGAAGAGGCACCCCGTGAAATTGATGGGAGGAGTAAATAGTTGTTCAAAGTAGTACAAGGAGGCAGTTTTGGGATTCAGCGTTTTGAATGTAACCACGGTTTATTCGTAACTTTTCTGGTTAGTACTCCTCCAAATGTAGTCAGTTTTGACAAAGGGAGAAGCGTGTTTTTATAATAGGTCTGTGGACGGTTGTCGGTGTGAGCAGATGACAGAATGCGCGAAAACAACTCAAATATTATAAATCAGCAAATCCTTTTATTCTACAACTCCATAGCTAGTTAGCTACTTGCCGTCTGAAAACTGGTCCAGCAATAATATCTGCAACAACCTGGAACACCTTCCATGCAAGCTAACAGCGCAATTCGCCTTTTCGCGCGAAAACACCTCAGCCCTGAAGAAGTTCGGTCACCCCTTCGCTGGATATCGATTCGGGGCTCTTTGATGTAGCCAAAGGATATCGGTGCATAAAAATTCCTCATTTCTCTCGAAAGCGAGAAATATGGATACAGGTCAGAAATCGCTGTCTGACTTCTGTTGGCGGCCCATGCATGGTAGGCGAAATAAATCCAAGTTAAAGGCCCAATATACGTACCTAGCCAAGGTCCCTCGGGCTCTGAGTTGAACCGGATGGACACGTACATAGTCGACTAGCCTGGAAGTTATTTTCAAGATGATGGGCACCGAAATCCTCAAATAACCAAAGAACTTGAGCGCCCAGAAAGGAGATCGGGCCACGCGGCTTATATACCCCCAGAGATGCCTTTGCTTTCCACCAGTGGTCTTGGGCCATGGTTACCCCAAATGGCCCCATCTATGCGTGTTCGAAATCTATCTTGTTCAGATAACTAAGTTTTGGTTCTCCGCACGACCCCAAATGTAGCCGACGGGCCGACAGGTCTCTGCTCCCCAGAGAAGTCTCTAACAAAACTGTTTGAAACAGTAGAGTACCGAGGTTGGAAATGGGAACAGATGGGGATAAGGGCAATATCTGCCTTATGAATGGAGGCATAATTAAAGATGGGATTCATACGTCACCCATACAGTCTTTTTATCTTTATCCCTACACCAAATTGTGCCAATACTTGGGGATCTAGGGACCGAAAATGGCACAAAGCAGCAACCTTAGATGGGCCTGCAAAGGGCAGCGCCCCGTCAGAATTGCAAATTGTTCAGGGGCTCGAGGTAATTTCAGGCGATGGGATTTTGATTGGTCTTTAACTGATATGTTCGACTTCTAGGCGACCCAGGATATCAGATGTTGCGTCAGGTAACGCAAGGAGATGTTGATTTTGTAACTGGAGATTATCTTGCGGGCATGGGGGTCCTTTCTCTAGTGACGACATTTGCAGACTAACATTACAATAGAGATGAATCTTGCAGAACATGCGGAAGCTGTGATAGCAGGAAAGCATCCAGGTTATGACCCTTATGCACTTGATGGCATCGAAAAATCAATTGATGCAATATGGGAGAAGCAAATCAAGCTCATATTGAATGCCGGAGCCCTTAATCCGAGGGGTTTGGCGAAAGAAGTATCAGATCTGGTGAGAACATAGCTTTGATATATCTCCCCTTTGTTTCTTTCACTGAGCTCTTTGAAGATTCGGTCACGGGGATATGATTTAAAAGTAGCGTATGTTGCCGGCGATAATCTTCTTGAAGAAGTGCGAAAGAGCCTGGAGATAACGGGTCAATTACCCGCCCACCTTGATTCCAACAATGACCAAGTCCAATTACAAGCGCATGCTACAGATTTGTTGGATACACATAAAAAGCCGGTTGTTTCTGCAAATGCATACCTAGGAGCTAGGGCAATTGTGAAAGGATTGGAGCAAGGCGCGGATATCATCATCTGCGGCCGTGTAGCTGATGCCTCGCCTGTGATTGGAGCCGCATGGTTCTGGCACGGTTGGAGTGACACTGACTACGACGCTTTAGCAGGCGGATTGGTAGCAGGCCATCTGATCGAATGTTCCGCATATGTCACGGGGTCCAACTTTTCTGGGTTTACGGAGTTCGATACGGATATGTTCCTTGATCTACCGTTTGGCATTGCTGAAGTGGCCGAAGACGGAACGACTGTGGTCACGAAGCACGAGAATACCAAAGGCCTGGTCAATGCAGATGTGGTCAAATGCCAGTTCTTATATGAATTGCAAGGAGATGTTTATTTGAACAGTATGGAAACGTATCCTTACTCTACGTGGAACGCAGTCTCGAATACTCACTACATATTAAGGCGATGTTAAAGCATATACTCGAGACATTGTGATCGAGAACATCGGTAAAGATCGGTGGGTCATTCTTGAAAACGACTGCAGTCAACTGTTCCTTTTTAATTGACGTGGTCCCTTTCTTGCGAATAGAGTTAAGGTCTCCGGGTTAAAGGGGGCACCGCCGCCTCCAACCACGAAGCTTGCAATTTTTTATCGAGGAGGATACGAGGGCCAACTCCTTGTGAATGCAACAGGATACGGAACTGATAAAAAATGGGAGCTGTTCGAGAAGCAGGTGAGGTTTGGGCTCCAAAAAAGTGGCTATGGAGACAAATTTCAATTCCTGGAATTTCAAATGTGAGTAAAAGAGCACCGAGAACTTGACTTTTGCATTTCCAAACGGCTGTGTAACTGATTTTTGAGGGAAGTTGTGGTACTCCTGCGGTTAATCCGTCAAGCCAATTGCAGAGTACGACTTATTGCCGCGTTGTCTCACAGGCAGAAGAAGCAGATAGCATCATGGCGGTTCCAAAAGCAATGCAGGAATTTACGATGCAACATTTTTCTGGTATGTCAAATTTCCTGTAGCGCAGAAGACTCTAGACTTGAGGACAAGTTGAACGAACGTCGAATTACAGGGTTCCATCTTTCACTGGACATGCGAACCGCAATACCTCGGCCATATTTGGCCTTCTATCCTGCTCTCTACCCCCAGCAGGCACTGAATGAGACGGTGACTTTCTTGAACCCCAGCGGAGCGGATGACTTTAGCATTGCAGCAGGACATCCTTCGCGGTACGAGCCACTTGAGGCTCGATGTAATTATGAAACAGATGGCCCATGCGACCTTTGCTCCTTCGGTCCTATGAAGACTGTCCGTTTGGGCGATATCGCGCTCGGGCGGTCCGGAGATAAGGGGGCGAATATTAACATCGGGCTGTTTGTTCGATCGGTAGCCTCATGGGACTGGTTTCGTACCTTTATGACGCGTGAAAGAATCCGCGAGCTAATGGGCCAGGACGATCGGGGATATTTTATTGAAAGGGTCGAGTTTCCCAATCTCCTGGCTGTACACTTTGTGATCTATGGGATTCTTGGGCGCGGAGTTAGCAGTTCGACGAAACTTGATTGCCTGGGAAAAGGATTTGCAGATTATCTTCGGGATAAATGGGTTGAGGTCCCCACACAGTTCTTGGAAGCTTCTGCGAATCTCTAGACCGTATCATTAACTTAGTTTCTGATCGAGTGATCCTGGCATCTTCATACTCGGCCCTTCTAAGCTGGGGGTCTTCACCGCCTCCTTTGCAGGTTTACCAACCTCCTATATGCCCGTACCCGAGCGGGGTCAATTTTTGCCACTCTCCTCATTATCGCCCTTTCACGCGCTGACCTCCGTATTTTCTTTGCTGGTAACTCTCTCTTATGGCTTGAGGCAAGGTGCTCTGTCCTGCATGCAGGGCTGATCAGTGACATCACCTGCCGTCTGGCCAGCCTAGTTTAGTGACAAAAATCTCCTAGAAAGTTCTCGCCAACCACAGGGTTGATTACATAAGCCAACCGCATGACTGTGTGTTTTAACTAGGCAGAAGAGACCTTCGATGGACATTCCTGAAGGCTGAAACCAAGCGGCCCGCCTTGGTACCTAGTCCGTACCCCTCGTCGGTCTCGCTCTGCAGCTGCTCGTCGTCCAGAAAATCCCACACCGTCAAACGCCCTTCTGTGGCTCTTCTCTTCCTTTTCTCATCGCTTCTAGATCTTCGAGGATACGCCTCATTTTTTTCTACCCCTTTGCCTGATAAGTGTAGCATAGTTGATAATCTTCCTTTGCTGCTTCGTCAGTTATTACACAGGGATCCTTGTTTCCCGCTCGCTCATTTTCTGATTCTATTCTTGGGGTTACGCCGTCCAACACCTGAAACGGCGATCGACGGCGAAAGCAACCAGCCGGTTCCTTGACATGCCTCATTATTAATTTCACCTTTTTATCAACTTATTATTGTTTCTGCGCTTTTTCATTTCATTTTCATTTTCATTTTTTCTTTCCTTTTCTCTTCTCTTCACCCGCACGGCTCGCCCCCATCCCGTGGAACGAGAGGGACTCTTTCATGAATCCCCTTAAAAGCCCCCGGCCATAATGATTCGGCGCAACTCTGACGTCGAATTCTCCCTTCCAAACTCCGGTGTGGATGGTCGGGTCACGCCGACGAACGTTCCTAACGAAGGGGATGTCGAAATGATTTCAGAGGATACCCCTTCGCCTCTCACGCTCCCTCCGCACCTAATCGCCCGCCTTTACCCAATTCCCAAGGACCGTAGACGACCGTCTGCTTCGTCTTCTCGCCGCAGCTCCATCTCGTCCCTTCACTCTGTCGTGTCCACTCATGGAAGCTCGCATAGCGATCATATGGCGCAACATCTGCGCCGCGCTTCCATAATCGAATCTCGCAAGGCGCGTCTTGCGGATAGGGCGGCGCACGTCGAGAAAGTTAGGTTACGCGCAGCCCTTGCGAAAAATGCGACAAAAAATGCATTGAAGGAGGAGCGAGCCCTGGCAGCGCAGCAGGCGAGGGAAAAACTGTTAGCTGACATCGCTGCCAAATGCGAGGAAGAGGTGCGTAGGGCTAAGAAAAAGGCAGAAGACATAAAAGAGCGAAAGGCTGCAGAACACGCAAGACTCCGGGTCGAGATGGCGGAGAAGTTTGCGGAAGTCGAGCGAAGGAGGCTGCTCTATCAGCAGACTCTCCGTCGGCCTCGAAGGACAAGCTCTGTGGAGGGGAAGCCTCCCAAGCAAATGCCAGTGAAAAAGCTCAGCCAGAATGCGGCTGTGTGTATTATTCAGAAGGCATGGCGCAATCATCGCGCTCGCACCACGATCAATTTGTTTAGGTCCTTGGATCTGTCTTTGGAAAGAATCCGCAATCTCAGCTTTGAGGAGGTTGGGGCGCTGCTTTCCGAGGAGAATGTGCTTAATGTGACCACCAAAGTGCTCCGTTTGTGTGGGCTGCAAGATTTGGGAGAGAGTTCCATGAGCGGGAGAGGTGCTGTGCGAGTCTTCCTGAGCAGTTATCTGATCCTGTCCCATCCTGCACAAGCTTTGAGCAGCAATGGAGAGCAAGAGCAGGATTTAATTACAAAGGCGCAAGATTTGCTTGTCATCTTCGAACAAGTCATTACCCAGCTTTCATCAATTGGAGTTTCCCCAGTGTCCTTATCCAGCGACCTCCAAACGCTGTCGCAATCTTACAATACTTTCTTCTCTGCCTTCCACGCTTGGAAAACCCACGATTCGACGGTGCTGATCGAGATTATGCTGGCCCAGTTTGTTGAACTGGAGCTTATATGGCAAACGGTCAAAGATGATCGCGATGGAGGAGTTGCTGACGATTACCAGAAGGGTATCCGTCACAACCAGATTCTACTATTAGCACGTTTGAAGAGACTTGCTGGCCGAGACAAGGCCATGGAGATGGTTAAACAGGCACTGAAAAAAGCAAAGCGAGAAAAGCGTCGAAACGGAGCCTCCAGCGAAGCTATACCCCGTGCCGTAACTGACCAACCCTCAGCCACCAATGGACCCCCAGAGGACGTTCACTCCCCTCTTGGTGAAGTGTTTTCAGCTGATACCGAGCGTTGGCCGCAAGACTCCCTTGAAAATCAGTTGAGTCCACAGGATCGATTCGTTAAGCTCCTGACGGCTTTACCAGATAACAGAACTCTTGTTCATGAACTGTTAATCAACCGCGAATATAAGATTGACCAGGGATCATACACAGAAGTCCGAGGACGAGTTATGAAGCATATGTGCGAGACGATGAGGAGAGACGCCGAAGTTGGCCTTGGCACCAGCTTGACCGTTGCCATGGCCACTGTCATCCAGGACCGACTTCTGCGTTCGTTGAAGCCTGGAAATTCACTCCATAACTTAATAAGCGAGGTGTTAGATCCAATTCACATCGCAAATCAGTGCAAAGCCGGAAAATTCTCGTACGATGCATTTTTCGACTTCATGAGTACCATTCTTCCTAAGCTGTGTGCTCCCTTCCGTGACCCAGACGTGAAAGCCTTCGCGGAGGACACGTCCGGAGATGCAATTGACCGCTTGGCTAGATTGATGGGCATAATCGACCTCCTATCCTTGGACCATACTAATTTCATGTTGCAAATGGCTGCCCCTCAGCTAATTCGAGAGGGGCCTGGGTACGAACAGCGAGCGTTTAGCAAGGAGGTGGAAAACGGAACGATCACGCTGGAGAAGACAAGGCAGTTTTGGCGGTCTAACCGTGACTCAATCATTGAGGAACTTAAAAAACGAGACCCTGGAAGTTCGGGGGTTACACCTCCCGTCGCAAAGATATATGCGCAGGGATTGGTTAATCTTGTCTTGAGCAATGGAAGGCTATCTCATGATCAAGTTCCGGAAACGCTGAGCCTGGATCACTCTCGGCTGGAGGCCCTCCGATCTCAATCGTTCAAAATCGCGGCAACAGCCGCTATCCTTCTCAGCGCGAAGAACTTGTTGAAGCGGGATGTTCGGTGTCAATGGAAGGGAGAAGCAGAGCGTATTCTGTCTCTTGATTTTGGTGAAATTAAACCGGAACGCGTTCAATCTATTCTTGACTCGACACATCCCATGCCAGCAGCAACAAGATCACAGCTTTTTGCTACAATCAAGCGGGTTTTGATGCCAGCTTCTGCGGCATCTGCGACGGCTTCGTCTTCATCGGCACCGGGCGTTATGGCGACAAGTGGACCAGCTGCATCGTCTTTCATCCAATCTTCAAATGCACCCACCGAAATAGCCACATGTGCGCGATACTTTACAGATCCGGTTGCAAAGTTGATGTTGTCTCGGCTTCGGGCACACGTCCTGGCGCGCCTCAGCGCCGCCAGTGCGAAGGAGCGGGTTCGCACCACCAGCACTGCCAGTCAAAGTCTTGCAGCAGCGGGTATGCCGGAATTTGTCAACGAGGTGGGCAAGCTTGTGGATAGCTTGAATCGAATCCGGGAAGTAGACTGGATGTGCCATGGTATGACGTATGAGAATATCTGGAGCGAAGATGCTGATGAATAGAGAAGACGAGCTGTGATCTCTCCGGCTTCATGTTTGCTTTGCGCCCATTGTGTGTTTGTTATTCTGACATGTATACTTTGTATTCTGTTTTATCGTTATTGCTACTGCTATACTCTTTGGATGGAATGGGAACCAATGCCTATGCATACTTGAATGAATTTTTGGTGTTCCATGTGTCGACTTGCCCTTGCTTGTTTGTCGAGAACATGATCATGCCTCTCATTCTGATGTATTGGTCCTGCTTCATCGACGAGGCCTCCATAGGGACCATAAAGGACTATAGTCACGTAACCAAGGCATTGATGTTCTGAGATCAACTTGCTGCTGGCTCACTTGAACACCTAGCTACACAACCTGATCATAGCTTTCGGCTCTATAGACTATGGACATGAAATCTACTGGATGCTTTGCAACATTGCATACGCTTGAAACACGTTTGTAGCCCCATCAATGCTCATCAAGTTGACCCCGAAGCCAGCATGTGAGCCGAAAGAAGAAGCCGAAGGTCGCAAAACAGCAAAATCGCTTCTATATCGGATGGCCAGACTCGAAGTGTCGGCCGGCGGTGAGCGCACGTGAAGAGTGGAATTGCGCAACTCGGAAAAGGCTGAACACTTCCCACGTGGTTGGCATGTTCCGCAACGATGGTTTCCAGTCTTCTTGAATAACTTCTAAGCTGAAGTGGAGCCTTCCGAGCGGCGAGTGTTGGAGACTGAAACTGGTTTGTCCTCGAGATCCATGATTCCGTGATATTCTTCTTATCGTGGATTTTCTTGAAGAGTACGGAGTACTCCGTACCTTTTTGCTCGACTAAGCCAATGATGGCTCCCTGGGTACGGGTTTTCGACAAGGTCAGTTGAGCGAAGGATGAAGCTGTCGAATACGATGCCCTAACAGCGGAGCACTCGCACTCCACGCTCAAGGTCGCGGCGATCTGTCTTCTGCTTTTACGATTATCCTTGCCAAAATAAATTTTCTGTGGATGTGGGAAATGGCCCTGGGTGGCTGGCTGGATGTACACAGCGTGCCTGGAAGGTAATTGGCTGTTTGCCTCTTTCAGAGTTCTCCGTGATCTCAATTATATGTACGGAGTACGGAGTACTCCGATATGTAGTTTATTTAGAGGATGGCGTTTGATGTCGTCCTGCTCCAATCAAATGATTTCCAACTCTTGTTTCCTCCGTTCACTTCCAAGACATTGCATGGATAAATCGAAAAGGGAACTGCTAAAGTTAGCTTACCCCTATGGAGTAACGAGCACGTAGCGTCCCACAAGCTCAGGTGCCCTGTGCGTTAAGTCGCATTGAAGCGCAATAGTTAGTTATTTTTCATCCGAACCCTAGCAAGCCACAAAGGGCACACTCTTCCAGAAATATATGCCTGTTCGGCACAGCGAGAGCAGCATGCTTGAATGCCGATGCAACTCTGGTACAGGGGAGGAAAATAGCCGGATATTACTTCAGATCTTCATTTTTTTCACCGCTAACACCAGGAATTTGTCACCCCCTCAAAGTCAGGTGGGCTGCTCCGTAGTCTGTCGCTAGTTACCGAGCGACAACGTTAGGACTCTTCTTTTTTAATTTTTGCTATGTCCAGAGAGACCCGGCAGGGCCGAGCATCCGAGATTTTGCTCGATTCCGCCGTGATGGCGTTGTTCCCATTCTTCGGGTGGGATCCTCGGGCAGGGTGAAACACCTGTGAGTGGGCGAGCGAAGGGTGCCACCGGAGATCTTCGCCTTAAAAGTCCCTCTCGGGGATAGCGCGATCGAGGGTGGGTGAATCAGTGGAGTCATGTTCAGATTCTCTTTCGCGACTATCGAACTGACACAATTCTCCGTGATCAAAGCTCAGCATCCTCCCTCCCTCTCGACACCAGCAGTTGAAGAGGTACCCACAACGTCCTGAGATGACGCTAGCTAGAAAGTTGCTGCTTCAGCTCAGTCCAAGGATGGCCGAGGAATGGCTTGGGCGAGCTTCTGCGCACCCCTTGTCCTTTTCCTCCACGCCCTGGCCAATCACGGCAGGTCTCAAGCAAGCCCGAGTACGGATTATGCAGCGAGCGAAAGGTGGGAATTCTGGCCTGCAGTTGTGTGGGATGCCGAGCCAGGTAGTCTTGACTCGCTATCGCCAGGGTTTTTGGTGGAAGCCTGCCTCCCCTCGCTTCGCTTCAACAAGTCCAAGTCTCTGATGATACCCTCCCCATTAGCCGTTGCTTTAATAGCTGAGAACGGAGGAGGATGTGCGCAACTTCTATGATTGAACGTCCTCCCATGCTGAACCTGGAGACCCGTTTACCTTAATTTTCTCCTTTGTGCTTAAGTTCTTATGCGTCTCGTGTCTCCTAGAGCGTTCCCTGTCCGTTTCCTCCGTGGGTAATGCATTTTTTAGCCCTGCCAACTGTCAAATCATCTCCAGAGTATGCCAAAGTTAAAAAAGCCCGAAACAAATAAGCTCAGTCTATAAGATCCAGTGTCTCCGGATCTTGGCCCCGGGGCTTTTCTTATATCTCCTTTATCCCAACTAAAGTTTGTGCTCGCCGCTCAGGCATTTTTGAAGGCTTTCCCCGGTCATCTGGCTGCTCAAGGTCCTTGACAATGAACTACATGCATCTTCACTTTTCCAGGTAGTATCATTGTAATTCATCCCTTGGGATTTTCACAATGAGCCGCGCCCACTTGGCTTTCTGCTGTATTGCGAGAGAGCGCCACCTCTGATAGCCTATGTTGTTTTATCCATCCATACGGCACTCGTCGATAATAATGGCGAGTGAACGGGAATCTGGGACAAATGATTTTGTTCCCGTATCATACAGTGCGGGCTTTATCGTCCTCTCATATCTTGTTAGCCTAGCTGGATGTGCAACCTGTTTAGAATTGCTTCATCGGCGGACGTCTCGATTCGGCCTATATAATTGGTAAGACTCCAACACTTCTCACAGTTCTAATCGCAGCCGACTTAACTGACTCGAATAGGTATCTTCTAATTAGTGCGGCAGTGTGTATGGGGGGTATTGGAATCTGGTGTATGCACTTCATCGGAAACCGGGCAACCATCCTTCACCATGGCACCGATCACCAAATCTCTTATAGCTCCGCCTTCACCGCAGTGTCATTCCTCTTACCGATTGTCGTTCTTATGATCGCATTTTACTTCATTGGAATAAGCGAGAACACAGAAATATATTATATCGTTCTCACGGGAATTTTAACCGGTGCTGCTGTTTGTGGTATGCATTATGTCGGCCAACTGGGAATAGCGAATTATTACTGCAGTTACAAGCTTGCCAATATTATCGGTGCGGCAATCATTGCAATTTCTGCAAGTATTACTGCCCTGGGGGTGTTTTTCCGATTGCGTGCTTCTTGGACAAACAGCTGGTGGAAGCGACTGCTCTGCGCTTCCATTCTAGCTGTCGCAGTATCGGGGATGCACTGGACGGCATCGGTGGGCACTTCATATCGAGTTAAAAGGATATTCCTGAACAACGGAGGCCAGCTATCGTCCAGCCAGACTGTGATTGTCTGCACTACACTAGTATGTTTGAAACCGGTCCAGATTTAATTTTGGTATTGCTGGCTAATTATCTTTTGGCAGTCTTGCGCAGCATGCGCGTTTCTTATATTCCTTGCGATTTTCACCAAGCGACAATACAACCGTTCGGCCCATCGCGTTGGACAGCTAGTGTTGGCATCCGCATTTTTTGATCCCTCAGGTGGAGTTATGGTCTCACCAGAAGGCCTCCTACCGACCCAAAAGATCACGAATCAATATATTGATAGGGTACGAGATGCTTAGGGCTTTTTATCCCTACTTTCCTTTGTGGATAACTAACAAGCTATATAAATAGACTTTTGCCGACGAGGAATTCGGTAGAACCCACCCGGCATTTATTTGGGCATTCCGTGCGAGTCACAACTGGTCCATCTTTAGGAAACTCATTCCTGGAATGAAGTATCATCTTCTCTCTGACACAGCCACGAAGCGGTTTTATCCCGGCAATAGTACGGAGGCGTATGGTGGTGTTGATGTGGACATGAATTTCGAATCCGTTTTCAAAGAACTTTTCTGCGTGGCAGCTCAAGAGCTTGCGGACAAGCTCCACCAGCCTCTCGATAAGATGGGGGTGTTGTATGATGATGTGATGATCACAGGGACTCAGCCCGGGAAATTGAAGCTTGATTCAGAAACCGATCCTGAGTCGCTATGCCCGCCTCAGAGGGTTCTAGGGAAAGGCCAATTTTTGTTCGCTGTGCGTCATCTGAATAGAGAAGAAGCTGTGCAACTTTCTGCGGGTGGATGGCGGTTCGCTGCTGGGCCACAGATAGCTCCAATGATAGCACGGGCTATGCAAATACCTCCCGATGAGATGCTGATAAACTTGGAGAATCTACGAAGCTACGGTTCCACGCAGGAGATGATGGAACCCGGTGTTTATTTGATCTGTTTCTCTCTTTATCCTTCGGTCAAAAAAGGGTTTGATGTCCTTGCGCGCAAAGATGCACCGAATCTTCTTCCTCATGTGCGGTTACCGATCACATCCATCTCACAATGGCAGCTTGATATTTTATCTCGAATGGATGAATGGCCATTGAATCTTTGCCTAAAGTGGCTCAAACAACATGGCGACAGGCCTACTAAGCCTGAAATGCAATTGTTTTGCCAGCAGATGTACAATGCAACATCTGACCTTGCGGACTTAACTGAGAGCTCTGCTTTTGGGATGGCTAAATTTTCTGCTCGAAAGATCATGATTCCCTGCCGCTTACCCGGGCAGCCTGGAGGGTCAGGCAAATGCACTGCCTTTTCGTTCCGTTTCATTACTGGTTTACAGTCCAGCATTCCCCCTCATCCCCTTTGTCTTACCCCTCTCAGTCTCTTCACTGCCCAACAGCAGGTGTACCCGGGCATTGTGGACAACGCCAATTTCCAACAATCCGTTCTCGAAGAATTCGGCCATTGTGCGGCACACCCAACCCCCAAAAAAGGATCCCAAGCGTCGTCTTTGGTCGGTTCATCCACCCAAAATTCCCACGGCATACGGCCAAGCCGAAAGAGCGACCTTTCTAAAGCCACCATTTCCGAAATCGACGATGGTCAATCGAACAAGAAACCTCCTTGGGGAGGTATCATGGTCAGCAATCAAGTAACCGTGGATGTCACGGAACGTCCAGCATCTTTCTGTAGCACTGGTGGTTTTGAGATGCAGGACCTCGGTGTCATGGCTGAAGCCAGCTACGCTGGCGCGTACGAGACGTTCGTGGACGAACTCTGCGCCATATGTCGAGAGACAGCCGACGTTCAGTGGGATCTCTAATGGATGATAATGTGAATAGTATTAATACAGCTTTAATGGGAACGGTTTTTTTCGATGTTCGATGATCTTCTTGTTGCTTGGTGATATCGCTGCTGGCTCTCTTCTTTTTTTTTTTTGTGTTTTCCCTCAGGATCTTCTCTGTCTTGCTTGTTGTGGCTCAATTCCAAAAGTTATTATAGCTAACTAGGACCATGTTAGCAACCAGGCGCATACGGGATAAATATTGTATCATAGAAACCAAGATTCGGATACACATGTAAATATTCCAACTACGTTTTAATCCTCTATAATAGCGAACTCTATCTGGTGCTATGAGAATCAATTGCTTGCTTCGCCCTTATCAGCTTGGTACCAATTCAAACTTCGAGAAAATATCCCACGACCATCATAATCGTCAATCTCTCATCGAAGTAGTAGATAATCACAAACAGAGCGGCTGATATGCTTTGTACATGATCAATTAACTCGTTAGGTCTTCCAGGGTGGCTCCACTCTTGCAGTCACTCAAGACGCTTTCTCATTTATCATCACTGCCTCCATCCTGAGGACGAAAACCATAAGAGAGAGTCGCAGCCAGTCCGCCACGGAATTTCGCACAATCCTCACTTGTCCCGCTCTCCTTTCCAGCTACCATGCCGTCGTCGACACCCGGGGGATCTCTCAAGCATCTCTCTGACCTTACCCCGCCTTCTCAGGACCGCACCTGGCTCACCTCCTCGCACCCGCGCCTCCCCATAGCTGCAACATGCTGCGCTGATAAATCAGTTCGAGTCTACTCACTCGTGAACTTCACCCTCTTATCTACCATATCTGGCGGCCACAAACGCTCGGTGCGGTCGTGCGCTTGGAAACCCCACGTAAAAGGCGAAAGCGTGCTCGCCACAGCTAGCTTCGATGCTACAGTTGGAGTCTGGAGACGATGGGATGGATTTGGGAGGGCAGAACGGGACATGCTAGGACTTGCAGGTGGATTAGCGGAGGCGGACCGCCAGGAGGGGGATGATACGGATGGCGATGAAGAGGATGAAGATGAGGAGTGGGGTTTCGCCGTGCTGTTGGACGGGCATGATAGCGAGGTGAAATCAGTGTCTTGGTCTTCTGGCGGGTCACTACTAGCAACGTGCTCGCGTGATAAGTCGATTTGGATATGGGAAGATCTAGAGGATGGGGATAATAATTTTGAAACGGTGGCCGTGTTGCAGGAGCATTCAGGTGACGTGAAGTGGGTGGCATGGCATCCGGAGGAGGAATGTCTCGCTTCGGGGAGCTATGATGATACCATTCGGCTCTGGAGAGAGGATGTGGACGATTGGGGACAGGTAGCTTGTCTAAGAGGTCACGAAGGCACTGTTTGGTGTGTCGAATGGGAGGCTCCTACGTCAATCGCTGGTGACAACGGCGATGGCGCCCCTACTACTATGCCAATTGATCCCGAAAACGGGAAACTGGCGCCATGCGAACGAAAGAAATGGATAGAAGAGCGTTCTATGTCTGGTCCACGCCTTGTTTCCTGCTCAGACGACAAGACCATCCGAATATGGCGAAAACAACCCCAAGAAAAGCCACCTCCGGTTCAGTATTCATCAATACCGAGTACAATTCGCCCTGCTACTATTGATGAAACCTGGATCGAAGAATGCCAGTTACCTGCCATGCATGACCTGTCTATATACTCCGTAGCATGGAGCAAGAAGACAGGTCTAATCGCTTCCACGGGCGCAGATGGACGGATTGTCATCTATCAAGAACGTTTCACTTCCAAACCTCCGGTGCACACCACATCAGAACAAGATAAACCAGATTCAGCACGAGAGACCCAGAAAGCCAACGGAGAGAGAACCGCGCCATCTACAGCATGGGAAGTTGTAGCATGTGTGGATGCCGCTCACGAGATTTATGAGGTCAATCATGTCTGCTGGGCGAAACGAGCGGATCAGCGCAAGTCTCAGCAACAAAATTTCGACAATTCGGAAATGGACCATGCTAATGAAGAAGAGGTCCTTTTAAGTACTGGAGATGATGGTGTTGTCAGAGTCTGGACGTTAGAGCGATAATTCCCCTCGACGCCGTGCTTCGATTTTGAGGAATCTCTGTTCCATTACTGCGTACATTAAGCCCGGAAATGAGAAAGCTTTCGGACATTGCTCTTATCACTTTTGATTCTCCCCAGCTTCGGGGCAATATAAACGACTGAATGTTCAAAAGATATCTAATGTGGTCTCGAAAAATGTATAACAAATCATTCACATGACAATCAATGTCTAGCCAGCGCGCCAGACTCCTTCCAACACGTATATGCAGATTAATCAGATTTTGGAACGGTGAAAGAGGAGAACAGTAGAAAACACAGAGCTTATGAGCTGGATGATGAAGGCATATTGCTAGGATGGTACGATTCCTTCTGTGCACCGAACTTTTCATCCTCATCCTCGCTATCTCCTCCTACACTGCAGTGACCATTCGCACCCGGGGACCTATCGTCCGTACCGCGTAAAGTGTCCAATTCGGAAGCGTCAAAATCTGCAGCGGCCTCTATATCATCATGGGACGAGCGTTTATTTCGGAATCCGGAAAAAGATCCGGAGCTTAGGCCGTTGAGATTTGGGTAAATACCACGGTATCCACTCCCTTGTCGCTGGCGACGAGAGCGCCAAATAAAGAATCCCCAGACAGCTGCAGCAATGGCAACAACAACAAGGGCAACTTCTCCCGATTTATAATAAGCTGCCCAAGTTGCAGCTTTGAGTTTCTCCTTCTCGCGCTGCTCGGCAGTAGTGCTGTTGGGGTGGTTACCAACAGAAGTGAGAGCTCCTTTTTCACCGTCGATGCGAGAATCCGCAGGATTTCCTCCAATGCTAGTGATATCAACACCCAAAAATCTGTCAAGCATGTCACGCGACCGTCTCCCGAAGTCAAATGGTACCATATGGCTGGCGTTGTAAAATAATACATATGTTAGATTCCGCGCTTCTTGGTAATAGCCTGCGGCCTCTCCTTCAAAAGTCCAGTCGTGTCGTGGTGCCCAGACTCCGGGCGAAAGCTCGAAGCCCATTCCGCCAGACCATTGCATGTTGTGGATAAACTGTTCAGTGCCAATATGATTGCAGATAAAATCTTTGGCCCCGCTGAACAAGGTAATAGGGATTCCAGACTCGAGAATTTCTGGCAACAATTGCACTGACGGCTTGGAATTGCGCGCATTAAAGTTGCTCGACACTGCTCCTGTGCATTCCCGCCAGCCAGTTCTTTTGTCATCGTTGACATGTAAAGCACTGATAACATCGTCCCGACGGAGGTATGGGGTTATATGCTTTAAATCTGGCGGCCAGTTCATCCCACATGAAGGGAATTCGTCCCTAAGTCTGATGTCATACATGTTTATACATTTGCCATTTTCTCTTGTCACCTCAAGAACTGCAGAGAGGACCTTTTCACAAGCGCCAGCGTGGATCCGGTCCTTACCACCGCTATCGAGCTCGGATATACATTCCGAATGTGCCCTTTCAACCCGTTTAGCAGCATCGGTGCCGCTTTGTATAAGGTTCTCCTTGTAGGCATAGGTTAGATAGGCCTGATATTGTTCCACAGGGGAGATCCACCCGTTGCCAATAAGCAGGCCTTTGAGGTTCCAGAGTCGATTTTGTGCTTGGGTTGTGGTATTTTTGTTACGATCTAAAATCGCTTTAGCAATATAAGGTATATACTGTCCGGCATAGGATTCGCCGGCGAAATATAGCTGCGACCAAAGGTTAGCACGGATTAACAGAGGCCAAGGTTGTGGAACAGGTAGGGTAACTTACATCATCATGCTCATACTCAGGGAACAACTCAAACCATTTTTCCAGGAACGTGACGAAATGGCTTGCCATCTCGTCCAATTCGTGGATATAGCTATTGGTATTGACATAACTGAATCCTGTGCCAACAGGCTGGTCCACGAACAAGATATTCGCAAATTCGTCCCAAGATCCTTCATTATATATCAAGGTGTGATCGTCCTTTAATCGATACGGTCCAATCTCCATTAAAGCGCCATCCATAGAGCTGCACCCGGGCCCTCCATTTAGCCAAATAACAGTTCGTTGACGATTAGCGATATGACGATTCTGAAAATGCCAGAAGAAAAGGTTCCCATTGTTTTTGTGGTCAACTTCGACATGTCTATCAAGAAAATAACGTTAGCACAAATAGCCCCAGAGGCGAAGATAATCAATAAAAAATTGACTGGGGGGGGCGGAATTCCCGCCACGGCTCGCCTCACCCAGCATGCATCTTCAGTAGGGGACCGTCCGGCTGTCCTGGGAGCGAACGAACGTAGTAATTCGAAGCACACTTCTTTTCAGCAACAACCGAGCTTCCCAATACCCCCCATACTAAAAGCCATCTCGCCAATGTATGTAGCAGGAACGCCGGCGTTCGAGTAAAGGTGGATGTCGAGGGCATGGTGGGCAGCGATGACCGCTCCGGCAGAACAAGTCCCCACGCCTGAATGGAACTCTTCGCTCAACTATTGCAAACGATATTTAGGAATCATGTATGAAACGGTGGTCTTTGCCTCTGGAAAAAGACGCCTGTTCCGTGAGGATTTGGATGTTCTTTTGGTTGAAACAACGGGCCTATCGATGCGGGTTGCGGAATTGCCGCAGGAACATGGAGCTTCCCTTGACGAAGAAACCGAAGAAAACGAGAGAAAATAGAGAGGTTAAGAGCCCAAGAGAGACAAATAGCAATGCATACCTGTCAAAATGGCGAGAGGGTCCGGGCTGTGTTGCAAGTTCAAGGGGGCGGGCGGTTATGAGGTGGTATCGCCGTTCTTGTTAATGTTGGCGAGATGGCCACATCTCCCAGAACACCCGAGCTAGTGTGCAACCCGACCCACCGCTGACAACGCCAATGTAAATCCTCGGTATCCAGTCCCGGATATGCAGCCGCAGCTACGTATCCTGTATACCAAGTGGAGCAACACACTATTTTAAGCTTGCGCTAGCTGTTACCGAGCAACTGTTTTAGTGCGGTGATAACGTGCTATCCGGACTGCAACAGGCGGAAGTACGGAGCGGTCAAAACCGGAGATTCTAGTAGAAGAAGTTGAGAATGAACTGCGAAAGATACAAGAATGATTTCCTTTTACTGGCATCGCGAATCAAAGTGACTTCTAACTTTTAATCTCTTGGGAAGCCTTGAATGCATTAATTCAACATGGAGTATGTAACGAGTCCCAAACAGGGATCTGCTGATCCGCTGATCCTTTCTGCGCAATGGGCCTTTCTCCAGAGTATGCCCCGTCAGATTCCACGGAATATTTAGCAAGTTCGTCATAGCAAATCCTCTAGCCCTTTATCCGCATCCTTTTTAATGAGCTCAATCATCCCCTGCAGGAGACTCGTCAGCGCAAACTCGGCAAAGGGGTCCAGCTCTAGGCATCAGCCAGCTTACCTCGGGCATCACGGGCTCCCCTTCTCGAGCTTTCACATACCTAAATGGCATTTCCGTAGTTTCGTGCTTGTCGAGTCGTAACTCTGGATAATCTACCCATTCAATCTGGTCCAGAGGAGCTGTATCCATGCCCTGTAAGCATGAAGGGAATGCGAATGGAGCTGGGAAGTTACCTTTGTCCTCGACGACCATGCGAGTTACCCTGACTGCAGTATCGGTTGTCATCTGCTTAGGCCCTAGTCTTCTACCCGCATAACCCTTCTTGCGCAATTCTGATGTCCTATCTATAGACAAAAACCGCGTTAATGTGCTTGCGATTAGGCATTGGGTATGCTTAAAGAGAAAGCTAGCAGACAACCGTACCTCGCGGAGGGTCATCTCCTAAAGCAAGCAGGTACCCAATTAGTAGCTGATTCATATCCAAAAATGCTTCTGGCATTGCACGAAAACAAAGTCATCTGTGCCAGAGTCTTTATCGGGTCATACCAAGGATGCCCCCATAAAGAAAGATATCGAACGCATCTCCATCCGCCGGGGATAATTCTGATGTAGCGGCTGGATCTAGTAAGCAGACCCTGGGCTTCTGGCTGGAAAAAATCTCTTCGACACCTCGGTGCTCCACATGTAAGCTGTCCAAAGCAGCCAGTTCAGGCGGCAATTGCAGCGACTCTGGAACGGAGGTGAGCATGAATTTAGCGCCTGCTGCGCAGGATTCCTTTGCGATAGATCCGTACTCGAGAGCAGACCATGGGCCTAACTCCGGATCCAGATGCTCAACAACATAGGTTTTGGTGGTCGTTCGTGGTATCTCGCCCATTGTATTTTATCCCGTTGATATCAAACTCCGTCTTGCGCTTTTTCTGATGAGGTGAGTACCAATTTCAGGTTCGCCAGTGCCCGAAACCTAGAGTGCTTCAGCTACCTCAAATCTTGTGCAGAGTCCTCAATCGAGAGATTTGTCGATAGGTGCACCTCCTGTTTGTCTGTAACTCGGTCTTTGCGGGCTGGCCGCTGCTAATCGTCATCAGCAGAAAATTCTAGAACTCGAGGAAATGTAGCGCGCGGCAAACAAACCACTTTTTCGCTTTTCTATGCTATACAAAAAGTAAAAATTAGATATTCTGGAAAAATCTTGTAGTTAACTAACCATCGGCCCGAGATCCAGAGATGGGGTACGAAAATCGATGCAGGCCCATGCATCCAGCACAGAAAATTTCCCAACTGTTGGGCCGTGCATACAATGAAAACAAGTAAAACTACATTCATTATGCATTTACACATTGGTTGTTTGCCTGGACAGGCAGCTAGGTATTTACTACTGAATCCGATGTTTACAAGCAAATGGTCGAGTTGCAAGTGTCTACTCTTGCGCTGTATCACCATAGAATTTTACAATTCCTCCACATGTCACACGAATTAGACTTGGAAGGATAGGCTATAATATTGAGAGCACAACGTGATTCCTTCGGGGATCTAAGACATTGAAAACACCGGCCATATGGTCTAGTCATCTCAAGCCTACGTCACTTTCATGCGGAACCAGGATGCTCCCAACGAATGTGTCCGGAGCCTGGCCCATTCCATTCCTCGAACGCTTTGATATGCATGCGGGGGAACCAGTGGCCCGCTTGACACTGAGTTTGTCCATTCGAATAATATGTGACAGAAAATCCCATGTCCTGGAACTACCCTGCTTGGAAGACTTCAATCCGAATTCCCATCTTAAACCCGCTATGTTGGCTAGTAGTTAAGTACTGGAACTACCGCATGAACTCACAGCAAAAGGTTGCTGACGTTCGTTGAGGAACTCTGTATCCCAGAATTTCTCGAGGCAGGCGTCTAACATAATGGGGTTATGTTGGTGACACGCTGCAGCATCCAAGGTTATACATGTAGGTGAAATTGGATGCAAGCAGGCGGCAACTGCGGGCGTCCTTGGAGCGGAACGCATTTACCATGGAAAAAGATATGTTGGAACGTACGTTTACTCCCGACATGCCGACGGAGGTGGCTATTCATAATGGATGTTCGCCGTTTGCAGCGGAAATATCACATACTTTGACGTCCCAAGAAATCGATAGAGAGTGCGATAAAGGGTAGAAGGTATCAACTATTGCTGAAAATGCCAATCCTAATCCGTAGTTGACTCCTAAGCCAGATCATCTCATTATCAGAGCAATTTAACCTCTTGTTGTGAAGCATAATCCGTTGAAGTCGATACGGCTGCCAGCAATTCTCGTACATATTGACTGGATCCGGTCAATACAGATTCAATGATGATGATGATCCTCTCTCCAGCTGAGAACGGGCAGCTGAGGCAAACAGTCACCAGAGATCACAATTCATCCCCAGCAGCGATCGCGCAAACAACCTCGCTAGTTTTCAGACCCTCTTCGATTAAGGTCGAAATGTGCAAGCTATCGGCCAACAATTGTTGCCGCTTCGACGCCCAGACTCTGACGCTGCCGACATTGGCGCGATAGCTGAGGGAAAAAAAAAAAAAAAAAAAAAAAAAAAAAAAGAAGGACGCGGGAAAAGAAAAGGCAAGGGGAAGGGCGGACAATGTCACCCGCTCCCTTTGCAAAACGGTGAGGGAGAGTTCTGGGGGTGGGCAGACCACAGGCCTAGTAGGGCCGGTGTGCATCCTGGAGCAAGCTTGATGGCCGGATAAGTACAAGATGAGATAAGTACACTGGCCTTTTGAAGCGGGACATGGCGCTGTTAGAAAGGCTGGAGCAAGAGAAGACGTGGAGGACAGTTTGTCTTCTGTAGATGATTAACTAACTGGTTTATGAGAATGGCTTGAGATCTGAGTTTGGTGTGGGAGAGGTGATTCATGTTGTTTGCGGAAACACAATGACTTCTGGAGAGCCTTTGAAGCCAAAATGAAGAATTTCACGTCCCTATTCCTAGCCCATAAGAATGGCGATATTATCATAGAGCCTGGCAAGATTGAAGTGTTGATCCTTGTCAAGCAAGTTGAACCGTGAAACGGAAGAAACGGCTTTCCACGACCCCTCTTCACCCACAAGAGAGTTTGCTAGTTCGGTCGTGAGCTCCCAGCTGATCACCTTATCGATAACCACCCAACCCAGTTGAATAACATCGAGTTCAAGTCGTCAGCACTCGCTCGCCAACCCTTCTCTCGCCCCCCTTCTGCTCTTCAACCTGCCTCTCTACCAGCTCTTGTTTCCCTCATGCAGTAGCAATTATTTACTTTTTCATCCATTGGGATTGCTGCCAAACCCACCTATGCTATCCTGGCTCGTCTGAAACCTTACCTCCTCCTCGTTAACATCATCATCACCGCACTGGACGTCTCTGCTCACGACCACAGCTGGCTGCTCAAAGTTGACCGAATTTTGCCTTCACGGTGCCATACGCCCAAACCACAGCCATGAACCCTCATCAGCAGAATAAGATCGACATCAATGTAATTTCCACCCCCACCCTTTCTACCTAGACTCAAGTTCACACATTCCCCGCTAACCCAATCCTTCGTCTGCTCCTAGTCTCTGAGCCCCGATGAACAGCGTCTTTTGCGGCTGTATGGGAAAATTCCAAACAAGAAAGACCTGCTCCAAAATAAGCTGAAGGTTGATCCATCCATTTGTTTCAATCCGGGCCTCTCCTTGGAAACCCCTCATCATGTCTATTCTGATGCTAATAGCCCCCATATAGGAACGAAAATATTTTGACTCGGGCGACTATGCTCTTAGCAAAGCCGGCAAAGCATCCGACGTTGGAGTCACCAGCATCGGTTCCCGTCATCCTGTCCCGGAAAATATCCCTCACCTGACTGCAACCTCACCTCCCCAAGCAAGCCCCATTCCCGGACATTTCAATGGTCATTCCCCAACCCAGACTGGCGGATCCCATAACGGGTTACCCGTCGGGATGAGCCGTAGTCCGATCCGAGAAAGTAACTTCCCACACCGAAAGTCGAGTCTGGGAGATAGCGGGCTTGGGGAGGAGGGCCAGAAAGAGAGGTCCAAAGACGCTGGTGAGGGTCTCACTAGTGCTGAAGCGCGCAATCGTGACACCAAAGAAGGGAGCATAAGTCCTCCACGAGTCACAGGCGGTTTGCCAATTCGGAGATAGTCTTGAAGTTCCCCCGGCGTGAAGTGAAAGGGGAGAGAATTTGGCTACAATCTTGAAGTTGGTGGTATGATTTGCTTATTGAGATGGCAACCGTTAAACAGTTCTTTGCACTGGGTGATTCATATGGAGTACCGAATGGGTATGGATATATCGTGGGTGTCCGCTTGTGGAATGCTGAGTGGTCAGTGAGCTTTCCAGGGCTGTGAGCCTGGAATCTCGTTGTGGAGCTCCTTTGCTTTTTATCCTTACTGTTACTGCTCCCTTCCTTATCCCATATCTAAAAGACCCTCGCATGTCCTCAACAAGCTGTCCAACTAGTCTGGACTTTACGTTGCTTCCCAGCTCCTTTGACCACAACTTCTCTTCTTCTCCTTCACTCTCTAAAACCAGCCTACTCATCCCTCCCCAATACTTCCCTCTCCCCTTCTCCTTGAGCAACCCGTGACATCCCTTCTGTCTCTCTGCGTATCTGTTTTTGGGATTAATGGGGCTTTATCTGTCACCCTGTGTTTCCTCTCATGACCAAGTAACTCTGCATTTGTTATGAAAGCATTCTGCCTCTATATCCAAATCAACACCACTACTTTTCCACGCCTCTAGTTATTTTCTCTTGACCTTTTTCTTTACCTGTGATGTCCCTTTTCCTCTGCTTTTTCGCCTGTTTTTCCCCCTTTTTCTAAAATTTTCTGACATGAAATGTGTTTTTCCTGTGTTGTCATGCTTCCGGCTGAGAAGCGTTCATCATTTGCAACTGCTCTGCTGATTTACTAAATCAAGTCCAAGTATATTTATTTTCCAAATGACGGCAATGATATTCAATTCAATGCTTTCAAATTATCAATTACCTTAACCCGAGTGATATATTGTACACACATAACTTTGCAATTTTTCCCCCTTTGCTCAGCATGCATCGTTATAATCAAAACAGATAAAGAAACAAGTTAGAAGAAAAGGCTGAGGGAGCGCAAGGCAGGGACTTTCTGTTGGATTTGCGGTGGTTTGTTAGTAGCTTTGCATTGTGTGAATCTGGCAGTGATGATAGGTGACTAAAGGAACAGGGATAAAATACAGTGGATGAAGGGCAAGGGCGATGGGATTCTTCATTTGGGATGTTTATCTCTTGATACAGCAACGCCTGGATATCCTACTCTTCTCTCGTCTTCGCCCTAAGACTTGGTGATCATACCACCATGATTCGGTCGAGCCCGGCCGCACGGCAGGTCGCAGTTAGGGTTCTCGGGTACGTTTAAGAGGGACTTGGATGCTTAGCAAGAATGGGCAGGAGTTAGACGACGTAATGTCCTCCAAATCCGGCCCAAAAAATGGATCAGATCCGAAATCGACCGCGGAACGAAGGACTCTTAAGCGAATGTGTTCGCAAGCGTAATTTCCGATAATCAAGATATCATAAGAGCGTTCGGAAGCGTCCGAGTCTAGGGGGATATAACTCGGATTGCGAGAATAAAATGCATCGCAATTTACACGCTGCGAACCGGTAAGCAGCTTCTTGGAGACTGACTAAACAGCCACGCTGGACATATGGCCTCCGACTTCATCATCTCATGTCAGGTATCCAACTGTGTCGAAATAATCCAAATAAAACGCTTGCTTGGGTGGATGGCAAAATATTGCTTCCGATGGTAGTCATGTGTCGATATTCTTTCAGAGCTCCAGTTCACGTTTCAGTCTGTCTTCCAATGTCCAGTCAAGCCACCATCAATATCGTCCTGCTTGCCCAACCACAACTCGACCGCGTAAAGCCCCATCGTGCATCCCAGGTTGACCCATCTCCAAAAGTTCCCGCCCATGGCTCCAGCACTCTTCCACCATTCCCCATTTGCTCCCGTGGATTGGGCAGCAAAATGTTGCATCAGCAAGCTGGTGTAAACGGCAATGAGAATGGATGGTGAAAACCAGCTCAAGAAACCCAAAAATTGACCAGCACCGTCGGAATCATCAAGAGACGCTTCCTGGGATAGAGCTCTTGCTCCAGATTCCCGAACTGCAGGGATAATCCTTGTCGATGCATAGAGCACAAACAAACGATACAGCAAAGATATCAGGACGGAAGGGCTGATGGCACTGAAAGCGGCGCTCACGATATTAAAAGCGGTGTGGATGATGGACGGCAAGGCAGACAGCGTATGCATAAGCGTTGTGTACGAGGCCATGATGATGGGTGGAAGCGGAGGAAAGTCGGGTTGCGAGGACACGGATGGTGTCTCTAAGGGTGTCGAGGGTTGATAGTCGGTGAATATCTGATAGATGCAGAGAACGATGTAGGCAAACAATAGGGAGCTCTCCACCGGATTTCCTCGACCGCTCCCAATGCCCCATGCGCAAAGGAACACAGCACATGTGATTGCGACCCCGATTAAAGCGGAATCAACGCTGCTGATCTCTGGAAACCGTAGCACACGCCATAGAAAGTAAATTGAGCTCGAGATAACCGAGGCGGACATAACAAGGAGGCTGATCTAAGCAGGAGTTAGGTCGGGGGATCTTTGGGGGCGTAGACACGAAACATAGCTTACCATCCAGCTGTCACTTCTTCCACCTCTATTAACTAGCCATCTTGTGATTTGACCGGCAGCCTGGATGACTAGCAGACTGCAAAACCCCTCAGCCAACTGGAAGACTGGAGTAGACCATCCGAGAAGCTTGTCCCAGCTCCCTAGCGACACTGTTTCGATCAAGCCGTTGGCACCGAATATCCATTCATGGATTGAAGTATCTTGTGCTCTCTTCCCATTGAACGTCCTCTCTACCCAGCCGCTGGAGTTATCGGAGTCGACAGAAAATTTATTTAGGGACCAGATCAGGAGTATAGGTGCAACTATCCATTGTGTTGACCTGGCGAGGATGATCAAGGCATAACGAACTCGCGAGTTATCCGGGGTGGTGAGCTTGAGCACGGAGAGTAAAAAGTAGAACGTTGCCAGAGACAGGGAATATGCCAGGCCGCAGGTTCTCCCACCGACATCGAACGCGAGGGGAATGGACAGAACGATGGCGGTGAGGAAGAAAGCGGACGAAATGAGACGTACGATCCACATCGATAAGTGGAAGCTAGCTGTACGCACCGTTGAAGCTATTCGAGTGGAATCGGGAACCAAAGACTGCCTGACTGTGCGGTGCGAACAATCTCGGAAGAGGCCCTTTTAAGACGATCTGCAGTCTGGTGCTGTCTTTTGGGTGTTCCCTCGTGCCTGTCTCCAAGATAACGACTTGGCTGTAGGCTTTGCTGTGTCGAGATGTCCCGGTCAGACGAAACCGAACCGATGCTCGAAGGTAGGAAAATTTCAAGCGTTGTTTTGGTAGAGGGACGCCGGCTAGCTTCGTGGGAACTGGGGAATAGCCAAAAGCAGCAAGCGATTTGGTGACGGCGACGATGACGATGACGATAATGATGCCAGAGTGTCCAGAGGCTAAATTTTAATATATTCAATCCACAACAATTACATGTAACTCTGATGATAGTGATGATAGAAAGAGAATTCAGGAGGAGACGAGGAGGAAGAAGAAAAAGAAAGAAATAAGCCAGAGCGTCTTCTCCGTTCTTTTATTTATCACAATTAAATTTGATTTTCCTTTTTGGCTTAATTTTTGCTTCCCCCTAAAATCGCGGCCAACACATGCTCGTAGTGTAGGGTCGCGTGCAAGCGAGAAGCAGAGCTAGAATGAGCTCTTTAAGCAATTACTCCCGTACTCTAACATTAAATACATATCAAGATGTGTAATGCCTGCTAGGAAACACTGTTTTTCCCCCGGGGTCACCTCTCGCCGGTTATTAAGACTTGGTTCATCGATCCTAGCTGTGCTAAGATGCATTCTCACGTCATAGGCGAATGGTTAACTAGTTTAGTTGAAACAACTAGCTAGCTAACTCGTTCACCCACTCAACCACCCGGCGCGCCATTTGCTCGTCGCTGCAAGTTCTTACGATCCCCTCCGAAACCGCCTTCTTTCCGCAGCGATTTATGAGTCGCGTTTATTCTCGACTGCTCAGGATGGCACAGGAATCAGCTTCGAAGAAAGTCAAGGCAGCTGGTCCTCTGATCGGCACCCACAAGTAATTATGTCTGCTTGAAATTTTTGTCAGAGAAAGCATGTTGACATAACCCTAGTGGGCATTTCCACGCAGACGAGGCCCTAGCCGTGTATCTTCTTCGGATGCTGCCAACGTATTCTTCCTCGCCCCTCATTCGCACCAGAGATACAGAGCAGCTGGCCGCCTGCCACACCGTTGTTGATGTTGGTGGGGAATACGACCCAGCAAGGAATCGCTATGATCACCATCAACGCACTTTTCAAAACACCTTTCCAAACCATCAGACGAGACTATCGTCTGCTGGCCTAGTATACTTGCACTTTGGGAAGGCAATTGTCGCCCAACACATGTCTAAGCCAATTGACCACGAAGATGTTCAGCTTGTATACGAAAAGTTGTACACCGATTTCATTGAGGCCCTGGACGCAAATGATAATGGCATATCCGTCTATGAGCCCCAAGCGCTTGCTGCTTCAGGCTTGCAGAAGCGCTTCCGCGATGGAGGAATCAATATTGGCTCCCTAATCGGCGATATGAATCTGCCAGATCCCATCGAAAACCTCGACGAGGATGGCCTCTTCGCCAAGGCAAGCAAATTCATCGGAGAGACATTTGTCAGGAAGCTCCGTGCTGCATCTGGCTCCTGGTTACCTGCCCGAGAAACTGTGCGGGCCGCTTATGAAGCCCGATTTGACGTTCATCCCTCTGGCAGAATCATCTTGCTCCCAAAAGGTGGGGTGCCGTGGAAGGAGCACCTATATAACTTGGAGGTAAACGCTCCGGGAGCATCCACTATCGCTCCATCCGACGACCCAAGGCTTGGAAAAGAAGTATTCTATGTCCTCTATCCGGAGTCCACAGATCCAGGTGCCAAGTGGCGGATACAGTGTGTCCCCGTTGACGAATCGAGCTTCGAATCTAGGAAGCCGCTTCCCGCGCCCTGGCGTGGAGTCCGAGATTCAGACCTTGACGGTGTCATAGCTGCTGAAACCCAGAGTAAGAATCTCGCCCCGATCCCCGAGGGAGCCATATTTACTCATGCGAGCGGCTTCATTGGCGGTCACAAGACGAGGGAAGGGGTACTCGCAATGGCAGTTAGAAGCTTGCAGTACAGCGACTGAAAAACATCCTGTGTAATTGCACTGTTTATCAACGCGGAAAATATCCATCGACGGCGTATTGGTCTACATGGTAGCATGGTTTCTATATCTAGTTACCTATCCCTATACAAACCCCTTAGTTACCAGATTGCCCGTTATAGCAATCTTTCAACCGGTACTGTCGCGGGCATGCTTCTCGCAACAGTATCATCAGCCACTTAACAACCGGTCAGAGAGTTGCCCATAGTGCTATATTTCCCGAGACTCGAACCCCTCCACTTCTTCAGGAGTAAGAATTCCCGTAATTTTCCCGAATTCCGTTTCCGTATATGCTTGTTTGCCACAGGTGGAATATGCATATACGCATGCACATTCCCGGGCAGAAATGCTTTAGTGGCCTTGCGGCTGCGCATACTTCCCTCGAAGAGAATAATGGTAGGTCCATTCGTCATTCTACCCAGCCGGTTACGGGTGTCTTCCACTTTGCATCCAAGCGACGTCTTAGAGTAGACCCGGAAGGCCGGCAAAGGTTGCAAGGGCACTCGTGAATAAAGATTGGCGAAAAGGAGACTCAGTCTTCTTGTATTATTCTCGGCGGAAGCGCTCCAATATCCTCAATGTTATCAGATCCGACACCCCGCCTCGCGTGCCCCAAACTTGTACTCGTTTCCCCCAGTAGCTTCTCTATAATTTTGGCTTTGGCAGTTGCTTTTTTCAGCCTTTCATCGAATTCAGCGACCGCTTCTTCTGCATTTTCCATCGAAAGCGTCAAAGGATCCACCAGGGAAAGAAACGCCGCGAGATGCTTCTCTAGTCGGGGGTTGGGAGGTAGGTCAGGGAGGTGGACATCATCACGATCAGGGGTATTCGTGGAGACTGCTTCAGCGCCCTCAGCAGCGCCATTCAAGCTCTTGGAAGCGTGTAACAAGCCATGATTCCCGGGTAATCGCTTCGCCCAAATTATTCCCTTGCCGTATAGTCTTCCCATCTCTTGAAATTTTTCAAATCCATTTTCAACCGCGAATACGCATCCTTCGTTGTAGCCGGCGACTTCTCCGTCCTTAAATCCGAGCTCGTACCCCTCGGCGTAGAAGGTCTCCTCCAAGTCAAGTAAGCTGTCAATGTCCATGTTTGATGTTGGCACGTCGTAATATAAGGAAGTTTTTGCTTGGCGGGATATCTCAAATCAAGGAACATGGAAAGAAAGTTGTGTCACTTCGGTGTGTGGATGACTCAATAGCTTTCCTCTCCCGCTCCGGCTCCGAAATTTATTTTTTTTTGTCTCCCCGCCCCCGCCATTTCAGAAAACACCCCCCCCGTTCCCCCTGTCTGCAACAACTAACTCCCCATCGAACAAGCAATATGGGTTCCCAAGAGAAAATCCTGCCCCAGAAGGGCCAACGGAATATTCTCGTTACCAGCGCCTTGCCTTACGTAAATAACGTTCCCCATCTCGGAAACATTGTGGGCTCCGTTCTTAGTGCCGATGTCTTTGCTAGGTTGGTCCAAGTGCCCCGATGAATCCTTGCAGCGAAACTAAGCAGACCTGAGCAGATATCACAAAGCCTGTGGCAGACCGACTCTATACGTCTGCGGAACTGACGAATATGGCACGGCGACGGAAACCAAGGCGCTCGAAGAAGGTGTGACGCCCGAGGAGCTATGCGCCAAATACAACAAAATTCACCAGGAAGTTTATGAATGGTTCGAGATCGGGTTTGACTTTTTCGGCCGGACTCCAACGCAAAAGCATACCGAAATATCGCAGAGCATTTTTAAGCGACTCTACAAGAATGGATACCTGGAGGAGAAGACCGCGGAACAGCCATTTTGCGAAAAGCACCAATCCTTTTTAGCAGACCGATATGTGGAGGGCGAATGCCCCCGGTGCCACTACGATGATGCCAGAGGAGACCAGTGCGATAAATGCGGCTCTCTCCTGGATCCTTTCGATTTGATTAATCCCCGTTGTAAGGTCGACGGCGCGACACCAGTTAGCCGTCCAACGAAACATATTCATCTTCTATTGGATAAACTTCAGCCGCAGATTGAAGATTGGGTTCGCCCCGCTATAGAGAAAGGAGACTGGCCGAAAAACAGTCGAGTCATTACCGAATCATGGCTGAAGGAGGGCCTCAAAGATCGTGGCATTACGCGAGATTTAAAATGGGGTGTACCGGTTCCTCTCGAAGGCTATGACAACAAAGTTCTTTACGTCTGGTTCGAGGCTTGTATTGGATATCCTTCCATAACGGCCAACTACACCGATGATTGGGAGCTCTGGTGGAGAAATCCAGAGGACGTCCGATTATACCAGTTCCTCGGAAAAGATAATGTACCCTTCCACGCTGTCATTTTTCCCGGCTGCCAGTTAGGAACAAAGGACAATTGGACCATGTTGCACCACCTTAGCACCACCGAATATCTTAACTATGAGAACGGCAAGTTCAGCAAATCCCGCGGTATCGGTGTCTTTGGAAACAATGCCAAGGACACTGGCATTCCCCCAGATGTGTGGAGATACTACCTTCTCAAGAACCGACCAGAAACTGGCGATACCCAATTTGAATGGCGTTCCTTCATCGATGCCAACAATGGAGAGCTTCTTGCGAAACTGGGAAACCTCGTAAATCGAGTTGTCAAACTGATAGCGAGTCCCAAAGCTTACAGCAGCGTTGTGCCTGATTTTACCATTCCGGAATCATTCAACCCCGTTCTAGATGACGTAACAGCCATTCTCCGTCAGTACATTGAAGAAATGGAAGGGGTTCACCTTCGTGCTGGGCTCATCACCGCTATGAGGGTCGCTGAAGCCGGCAACAACCTCATTCAATCAAACAAACTCGACAATTCTCTCATTGCCAACGAACCAGAACGGGCTGCCACCGTGGTCGGCATAGTGACTAACTTAATTCACCTTTGTGCCAGCGTCTTCTCTCCGTACCTCCCCGCAACATCAAAGTCCATTCTCGAACAACTAAATGCTCCATTCAAAAATATCCCATCCCTAGAAGACCTCAAGGACGGTTGGAAGCCTACTGCCATCAAGGCTGGCCATAAGATTGGCAAAGCAAAGTATCTCTTCTCTAACATCGACGTCAAGAAGGCTGATGAATGGCGGGAAATGTTTGGTGGTTCCCAGGCCGAAAGGCGAAAGAAGGAGGAAGAAGCTGCCAAAGTGGCCGCAAAAAAGGCCGCAAACAAGGCTAAAAAGAAGGAGAAGAAGAAGCAGCCCAAGGGAGATAAAGAGGATGAACGCGTGGGAAAGAATGTGGAGACCTCTGCAAAGGGAGGTGCAGAAGCTGTTTCTGCAACAGCAGAAGACAAGAAGGGTGAAGCGGTGGAGAAGATTACTGATGGCGTTGCCCAAGTCACGATTCCCACATCTTAATACTTGCCAATGGCGATGAAAGAGTATTGTTTTTTTCCGTGGGTTATCTCTTATGATATGATGTGATTATCTTTTCTGATGCTGTCTGACACATTGGGGAAATACTTTTCTATTCCCTTCAGTTTTTATGTCGCCCTTTTTCCTTTAGAGAAAACATAGATGGATATACATTATGTATACCATGGGTTCTAGACATAAATGATAAGACTGGTATCTGCGCAATAGCTGCCTGATTATTGGAAGAGGTGTAGAAGTATTCTATACTCTTAACCCCCTCCTGCGTGGTGAAGTTTGTCATACCTATTCTATTTGAGGACTAGAAAGAAACTCGTAGACTGACCAGAGGCAACGAAGGGAATCATACTCAAATGGGAGATAACAGCAGCCAGAATACCATGTCCAAACATCGCGGTCATTCCAGAATAATCAAAATCAGAGGTGGAAAGGACACGAATGGTCAATGCGTTTGTGGTACAGCTTTTAGGTAAAGGAGTCGGCGGGAAGGAAAGGCATAGAAAAGAGCACATGCTCGGGGAACAGCCATCATGTCACTGTTATGGAAATGGTATATTATTCAATCGCGGCCGGCCTGCTTCGACGTGTGCTAACGTATAGGAGTAAACGGCACTTTCTAGATCCTAAGACGCAGGGCTCCTGTGAATGCATGTTGGTGGTCCTTGGTTATTGTATTAGAATTAATCGGGTGCACGATATCGCATCATCTGGTCCTGCGTGCGTTTGAAGGGCGAGGTCGGACTTCTTCTGCGGCGACAGGATGCATCATGACCTTATTCGGAGTTTGTGGAGTATTGCCAGTATATCCCTTGCTCCAGTCATAGCTCACTGCATAGGCAAAAATGTTCCCGTTACGGTTGAAGGTGGAACAGGAAATCGTCCCTCCGACATTTGGAAATCCCTTAAGTCTGTGCTTGGCATCTTTATCCCAAAAATGGAACGTTCCGTCGCTGCCTGCCGTACTGAATGTGCCGTGTGTGGGGTGGAAGGCGATGGAATTGACAGAATAGACGTTGCTGATGGTTGTGGAGCCACTGGGGCTTTCGCGGTGACACTTGAAACTGAAGTTCGAGCTAGAATCCTTGTCTTCAACATACTGAATCGCACAGCGACCCTCAATGCTGCCAACTGCGAACCCTGTAGCATCCGTGAAGCAGCTGACAACTCTTGTTTGCCACTTGAGGGGCGATTGCATGGTCTTGTAGAACTTTGTAGGTTGGTCCAGATTCACAATATTAATATATCGATCTGCCGTGCCGATGACGAGAAGCTTGTTCCTAACGTCCATTGTGTATACCCGTTCTTGACAATCGAGAGACGCAATGGGCGTAGACTGTCGCAGATCCCAGTACTTTACAGTTTTATCCCACGAGCCGGTGACGAGCAAAGGCTGGCTTGAATTTGCTGGATTTGAAATCATGCGGCAGCATCGAATAGGCGCGTCATGCGCTGCGACTTGAACAGGATTGCTGGGGTTGCCAGCTAAGTCGAGCATACGGGCGGCTTTATCTGCACCGACACCGACAACCTTGGTTCCATCCTACAATGTAAAACACATGTCAGGACCTGAGCAGGAGAAAAGACAGCAGGCTGAATTCGAATACGTACAGGCGACCAACAGCAGTTCAGAACAGGACCCTGGTGCTCAAACAGCGCTTTCCCTTCACTCATTCCTTGTTCGTTGATCTCGTAGATACGGACTTTCTTATCCCATGATGCCACTGCAAGGTGGTCGCTAACACTTGAAAATGCGAGATCGGAGATGCTATCCTCCGGCGGCGAGGACAGGGCAACATCCTTAGAGAGATCGCCTGTCGTGCTGGTGGTGGAGCCAAAGAGGGCTGACGACATTTTGGTAGTCGTGGGTTCCGCGTCGCTTCAACGTCCTGATATGAAAGAAAGAAACCGGTACACCAGATAGAATGCAAATCAACCCTGTAATATAAAAACGGGGCAAAAGAAACAGAAAGAAAGCTGAATCAAGGATGGAGGTTGAGCGTGCGATTCGTCGAGTTCAGGAATCTTTCGCTGATGGTCAGAGGATGCAAACGTGTCAAACAAGCTTCTATGATGACTAACCTCACTGAACGTTAGTTACGAGGATTTGGAACCTTTTTATATTGGTCACGTGAGAGGCGAGCTTACCTGCAGTACTCAGTACGCCGTACCTCCTTCAGCAAGCCAGAAATCCCCGCTAGAGGCATACATAATGCATATCACACTCTGTACTTCGTATCAACCCGTGGATAACCACTCTGTGGTTGTTGCCAGGTGGTTAGATAATAAACTTGGGTATGGAGTAGTTACAAATACAACTCAACCATAGGCTTCAGGAAGGAATTTCGACTTGGCGGTGTTGGGTACTCCGTAGTGCGGAGGAGTCATTTGCGGATTTGTGACGTTCCTCAACGGTCCCGGCCCACAGATAAGAGCGCAGCAACCCGTTTTTAACTGCCGGACCGCTTAGAATGCTGTCGCCGGCAAAGCAGTGTGAACGCGTTCTCAAATCGCTCATCCACCAGGTACCAGAGTTTAGTTACTATTGACAACTCGACCGATGCCCCCACCACCACGGGGAAACTATGAACTGATAACCCGAAAACATTACTAATTATCCCGTCACGACGAGAATTCCGATCAAAATTTAAGAGTGAGACTCTGTACAAGTTGAAGGCCCTTGGGATTCAGTCGCAATTCCAATTTAGCTGGCTAGGAATATATCTTCGGCTGCAGGAATATCCTTCTTCGCTCTTCGTCACCTAGTTACAACAATGGCCGCAACAAATCTCCCCGCATTCCTTCAGGAATCCATCAAGTCCACCAAGGTTGATTATCGAAAATTGGGTCGTAGCGGCTTGAAAGTTTCCGTCCCAATCCTTGGAGCTATGAGTTTCGGTTCGACCTCATGGGCTCCATGGGTGATCGAGGAAGACAAGGTATCATGCCCTACGGTCAAGTCTGCAAGGATTGTTTAGATCTTGCTCACACCAACTGTCAAACCATAGGCCCTTCCTCTCTTGAAAGCTGCGTACGACAAGGGTTTAAATACTGTATTGCTGCCCTTCCATTATAAACCGTGAGATGACATCCAGAGAAGCTAATATAGCCCCCAGTGGGATACGGCCAATGTGTATTCAAATGGCATCTCAGAAGAAATTATCGCCAAAGCCATTGAAAAGTACAGCATTCCCCGCGAAAAACTGGTGATCATGACCAAATGCTGGGCCGTTGTCAGCGAGCACGACAATGTTATGGCATTTGGACAAAACAAGGTGTATGCTCGTAGCAAAGATTATGTCAATCAACTTGGTTTGCTGCTCCGCATCGAAATACTCAGAATGATTATGCTGATAGTTGTGTATAGGGCTCTCGCGCCAGGCAATTTTCTCTGCGGTGAACGCCTCTTTGAAGAGGCTCAAGACGGATTATATCGATCTGCTCCAGATTCATCGATTCGACGATGAAACTCCGATTGAAGAGACCATGGAGGCACTCCACGATTTGGTGAAATCAGGAAAGGTCCGATACATTGGGGCAAGCTCGATGTGCACATATCAATTTGCGATGATGCAATTCTGTGCGGAGAAGCGCGGGTGGACCAAATTCATTTCCATGCAAAACAAGTACAATCTCCTATACCGAGAAGAAGAGCGGGAAATGAACAGATTCTGCAGGGAAACAGGTGTAGGACTCATTCCGGTGCGGCATCCATTCTTCAACACTGAACTGCTGAGGAGTAGAAACTTATGTGTGATCATAGTGGTCTCCGCTGGAACGAGGTTTCCTTGCCCGCCCGCCTTCCGTCGAACCTGTCACGCCTCGAGCTGAGTTGTACCTAAAGACCAACAATCTTACCGAGGAGGACCTTGAAATTATCCGCAGAGTGGAAGAGATCTCCAAGAAGAAAGGGAGGAAAATGAGCGAGATCGCTATAGCTTGGATTAAGAGTAGGGTTACCAGTCCTATCATCGGATTCAGCTCTATTGAACGGATTGATGAGGCTTTAACAGCAAGAGAAGTGAGTTTGACAGAGGAGGAAGAGAAATATTTGGAAGAGCCGTACAGGCCCAAAAAGGTAGTCGGTCATTCTTAGATGACAGAAGGGAAGAAGACCGTCTTTTTGGTTGCTTGGATTTCAAAGCGTCTGCTTATTTTCGGCTAGCGTCGTACAAAGACAATTACGCAGAGAACTATCCAGCGAGCATCCCATAAGTTCTTCAAGGCTTGCGCTGTAATCCCTTGATAGTGAGGCGACTTCGGAGAAGGCGATTCCGAGTGCCGAAAGGCAGGCTATTGATCACGTAACTGTCCATCCACAACAACAGTTATTGTTTATCAGAATAGTCTGGCTTATCGTCATATTGCAGGGGCTCATTGTTTTGGTTCCTGAACAGAAGCCAACTCCTGTCTTGCGATGCCTCTTCGTTGGAAGAAAAGAGTGAAGGGCACAAGACGCGCAGCCAGCGGGTTGGCTTGTTGGCTCCGTCCTCACGCTACTCCGGATTTGGCCTAGTGCTGTGGATTCTCAGCGTAGGTGAAAATGCGGGGTACATTAGCTAAGCCGGCAGATCCCATGATGTTGATGGGCCGAAGTGGAGCCGATGATGTCGCGGTACTCTAGAAGTACCTCCAGAACACTGCTCCAGAGCTGGCTCAGCGGTGGTTGATGTTCGTCTGTATGGCCGCGCAGGCGAAGGACTTATGAGGCCATTGTGCCAACCCGCACTTCCGTTTGGCAAGACCGGCCCATGCCCAGTGGACGGTTTGAGAGCAAGCCACCCCGGGCGGACACCATGGTTAAACGGGCAGTTCCCAGGGTTGGTCACGAGACCGCCAGCCACGCTTGGAGCTGCCGCGCCGGATGGTGGCGGCCAGTAGATATACCTCATGGATACCTCCTGTGTGTCTTGGATAATGGCGTGAGTCCATGGTCACTCGGATGTCACGTATGGTATCCTTTCCCCTTTCGGCTGGGCCAAAACCCCGCTTTCGACGGCTGGGATTCCTCCGTCCTCTCTCCTCTCTTCCCATCACTTGACTCCCATTTCCCCCGTCGTCGCACTCTCTCTCTCTCTCTCTCGCACAGCACACACATACACTACACTCTTCACCACCCATCTAATCCCTCTCCCGATTCAATCCGTCTTCCAAGACAGCCCATCTATGCAGCTTCTCTTAAGCTCCAAGGTAGGCTACCTCCCAAGCTTGATACCTACGTCCTCTCCCAACCGCCACCCACCTCGTCTTATCTTTCGTTTCAAACCATTGATCCTTTAAAACCTTTAACTGACAGATTGCTCAATCTCAGCATATTCTCGACTCATAAACATGTCCGAACCACTCACCAAGGTCGACTCTGCCGTTGCAGGTCTCTCAACCTCCCCATCAGAGGGCAAAAAGGCCTCAAAACGTGTCACACAGGACAATGGTGTCATGAACATTAACGACCTAGGTATGCTTACTTCCTGATGCTTTTTCCTGTTGAGGGGTTTGTGCTCCCAGCTGCCTGCTAACATCGTAACCTTTCTCACAGAGAAGGAAGGAATTGAACTACAAATTGCACCAGAGACACAGAAGTTAAACTGGTAAGAGACAGCTATATTTTATTACCTCATCAACTTCAAGGTTGTTTTGTCTGTTCAATGGCTGATAGCATGCGATAGGAAACTCAACACGTCACCTGCAAGCCTGGATGAGAAAGACACTCTCAAGAAGCTCCTCACAACGCCTCCTGTTAAGAAAATTGACCTTCACTTCCCTCTCGGACTCCAAGTCACTGCCCGAAATCTAAAAGGTGTTACAATCAAAGATGCCTTGGACGCGATATACAAGCAATTTAAGAAGAAGGTATGTCTTATGCACCCATCTTTTGTATAAGTCTCAGGTGGCCTGTATATGCTTAATACGGACCGATTGCTGACAACCTTTGCGTACAGGCAGATGATGAGCTTGACAACCCCATCCTCGCTGGTTTCGAGTGGGATAAGGAAGAATCCTGGACAAGATTGATCGTACATCAGAAGAAGGAAGGCGCTCCAGTAAGCAAAAAGGCAAAGAAGAAGGGCGAAGCCTAGTGATAGCATGCTCCGTTTTAGCGAATCGCACTTGGCAGATAGACCCCACTCAGTGTAAGTATGGTTAGAATCTTTTGGTTCTGCATCGCCGGCACAGAACGTTATGATAGGTATGGGCGTGGAAGGTTGCAATGGCATGTACACGATGTATCTGTATCTACTATGGACTCATATCCATTCAGCTCAAGGAATACTGATGGATCAGATGCTCATCTACCACCGTGCTGTGTCCATTTGTAATAGATATATAAAGTAGACTCTTAAGGATTGTCGGCCACCAACAAGAACCAGTCGTCCGTCCTGCTTGCACCCGTGAAAAAGGGCATTGAATCATGTCAATTAAACTGTTATGGTATCTCGTACATTTAATTACAGACGCATGGTGAAAAGCTATTTATCACCAAAAAATGAAGAGAAAGGGATATGCAATTAACTAGCATCACACCTGACTTGGGGAGCGCGAACTAAGTTTTAAGTGGGCTGCCGCTAAGCTAGGATGTCCGACCGTGCACGTCTGATTCACGAGCGCCTTCGAACGAGGGAGAGACAAAATATAGAGAGAATGGTAGCTAGCCACGAGATTCTCACTCTCATTCTCATCTCCCGCTTCCAAGCAACACCTCAACGATCTCATCTAAGATCTCGTACGCTAGGTGCAGATTTAATCTTCGATTGTTCGTCGTGGCAAATATTCTCCTCGCAGCCGCCTGGGCATTAGCTCTACCCACAACACTCCCTGCCAAATCCGGAATGAGTGTTGCTAACACCACACTGGCGTCGGTACGGCTTTTCATCTTCTCCGCAAGGGTGCGTGGCTTGTTTTCACGGAGCTTTCCACCAGGCCACATTGTGTCCTTGATCAGGGAGATGTAGCGGAGCAACGCAGTATCTTGCACTAGGGATTTGGCGTTTTCGCGAATCTTCCGCTCGATGGTGCCACCAAGGAGCTGGTGCAGGACCACGACTACGGCGCGGCCTCGTAGCCAATTATTTCCTTTGTTGAGTTCGAAGATTTCGAGGAAAATGTCACAAATTGGTTTGACGAAGGGCTCTAGCTCGCGATCTTCGAACGCACTGAGTTCAGCTTCGGCTTCGGCCGCCGTAAGGCTATCTTCGGGGGTGATGAGCCCCGGTTGCGGGGTGAGGCTACGCTGGGTCGTTGCGGCGGATATGAGGTTTTGTCCGGCGGCAGATAGTTGGTCAAAGACGGGTATGCTACCAAGAATATCGTCCACAGAATCGGTAACGGAGTTGTAGATACGGGTCACAAGGTCGCGGCCCTCGCCTTCCCGTGGAGTGCCGGAAGAATGAGTGGCAGGGAGGATTGCACGCTGGGATAAGAACGCACGAAGTTCTCTACTTCGACAGACGTCCGGGAGGAGTAGAAGCTGTTGCAGATAGGCTTCAAGACCTAAACGGCGTTTATGTAAGAAGTCTTTTTGAAGTTTCATTACCACCCTTCTGCGTGGAAACTCAAGAGGTCGGACAGCCGCGTATCGTGTTCGAAGTTGGTGATGGAGTTCGTGAAATTCGCTATATCGACGGGGAACAGCCCAGGAAGCAGCTGGCATTTGTTCGCCAGCTTTGCGAGTTACCTCGATGAGATCTAAGACCGCGTCAATACGTATTTAAAATGAAATTAACGAAGTAGATATGCTTACAGAGAGCGTATTCACGGCCATCTTCCTCTTTGCCAACTATAATAGACTTGATCTGGACCGTAGAGCGGCCGTAAAGGCTGTTGTCACTCTCCTGTAAGATATACTGTTGTCTTTGCATCTCCTTTCGACGTATCTCTCGTTGTAAACTGGACCTGGACTTTCCCAATATTCGCAACTCTGCGGTATTGTTCGTCAACTCAGCTTTTCGAGTCAAAGCGCCGACGATTGCTTCTTGTGACATGAGTTTTTCTATATCCGCACTTAGAGCAGAAATAGCTTCCGTCAAACCAAGGTCACCCGGAGCAGCTTCATGTATCTCATCTTCAGGTGATTGAGTTTCGTCCACGACCTCATCTGCATACTCGTCTTCAATGAATTTTTTTTGGTCTGGAAATAGATCGTCATCTGTGAAAACACCAATTCGGGAAGAAGTATTAACAAGACCCAATGAAGCTATACTGGGTTTCGGCTTCTCTGGAAGGTTCCCATGTGGGCGAGTCGAGTCAAAAGAACTTCTCGCGGAATCTACATCTCTGACAGGGTACGGCAACGAAAATGGTGATCCAATGCCGCTTTTTGACTCCTCCGGTTTGATTTCATGAGGCTCATTGCTCATTATGTCGTTCAATGCAGCTTCCATATTCGCTATTATGCGACTATCTTGCATCTCTCCATCTCCATTGTGAGATCCCTGGCCAAGGCTGTATGTCGACGACTCCATTGGGTCAGGCTCTATTTCATCACTAAATAAAGGTGCGCGAGGCGAGTCCAACAAGGATCGCCTCTCTGTCGGCAAGGCATCAGTTAAAAGGGACAATTTAGGTGCTTCACTGGCGGGAAAGGGTTTTCGCATGTCGCGGGATTGACAGCTGGACTGAGAACCAGTTCTTTGTAATGCGGCAGGAAACATATCGGATGCTGGCGACCGGTTCAGCACTTTTCTCTCTAACGGAGCAGAGGAAACTGTAGCTGCCTCATCAGAGGCTAAGTATTTGTAATACAGATCCGATTTCTGGAATCCCGGATAGTATTTGTTTTGCATTTCTTCCAACACCATTGACTGCGTAGTTAGTATTGCTGTTCTAGCCCTACGGTATTGTTCGGGGGTGGCCCGTTTGCCGGCGCTAATAAACTCCTTGACGGCTTTTCGTGACTCTTCGGGGACACGAAGTTCGGGCTTTGATAAATGGTTTTCGCTGATCAGTATCATGTCATTTCGGTCTGTTGCCGTCCAAGTGACGGATCTTGTCGGGGTATCATCTCCAAAATCATCCTCTAAGGGATTCCTAAATCCATCAACAACGATCCAGAACTGTACCAAGGACATAAGACGGTGCCGATCCATGTATTCCATAAAGTACGACAGACCCGAGGCATTATGCATAATATCCACCAAAGAAACTTCGTGCGGTTTAGATATGTAGCTGTAACGTAGGTCGGCGTTGGCCTGGGGGCTAGAGTGGCCGCCAAGCGCTGAGAGTTTTGCAACTTTCTGATCAAGCACTCTTTTCCCTGTCTCAAGGCGTCTTAAATAAACTTGGTCCTGACCGTCGATCATGTTTTCACGTTTCAATTGACTCGCTATGTGACTCCTAAATTTTCTAGCGTCGGACAAATTGTTACATCGTCGTATAGCTCTCACGAAACGTTCGAAGTCCCTTTCTGAATCGTTGGGGGCAAGCTTAGGAAATTGCTGCGACCGCTTTGACCTCGGAATCGCAGAGGCATGCTGATCCAGAGCGGCGCGAAGCTTTCGAACAGTCTTTCGGTCCTGAATGGTTGCTTGGCCATAGGCCTCCACAAGCTGGTTCCAGGAATCCGGGTCGGCTAGGAGGTCCATCAAAGGGAAGAGAATGGCGCAAGTTATAATTTCCCTGATCAATATTGATACTGCCCGGCTATCGAGTAAAGTTGACGGTACCAAACCAGGAAGTAGAGAGACAACGATTTTCCGCAGGTGATTTTGCTGAGCATTATTTTTATCGGGAAAGGAGGGTGATGTGGCGGGGTGTAGATTGCCATCTCTGTACCTGGATGCAATAGCGATATCTAGCTCTTCAGACTCCGTGACATTATGCGTAAGATTCTTCCCTCTCACCGCTCTCTCGGCCTTATCGAATTCTTTAAAATGCGCAGTCAAGATGGGTACAATTCGAGACACCAAAATTTCCACGAGATCTTCACTTTCCAGTCTCACCCGCAGATTGTGAATCGCCGTTCTTATTGCACGATCAATCTCGTTCGCAAATTTGAGATTGCTGCTAATATTTCCATACCATGCCCGGACGAAGTCTCTTATGGCGAACTGGAGTAGCTCATCGAGAGCAGCGGAGACGATGAATGACTGTGGGTAGAGCGGCTCCGGCTGATATTTCACATCGACTCGGTAGCTCCCGCAGTGCTCCTCCCAGTTCTGAGGGGAAAGAAAGGCAATGGACGTGCCAGCCAGGCTGACCGGCCTTGCTCGATGGTCGAACCCATCACGAACGGTGAGTACAACCAGGGCTCCAATAGTAAGAGCCGTGAGAGCAGCTCCGAAAGCAAAGGAATATCCGAGAAATCGAAGGACAGGTAGCCATTCAACGAGCAGACCCCAAGCAAGGAGGCCACCAAAGCTAGCGATGAGTATATCGCGGCGACCTAAGGCCATTCTTTCAGACGCGATATTCGGGTCGACCCCATGACTGCTAGCTCAAAAGCGGCATAGATTAGAAAACTGCTCGCTTCGCACTCCTTCGCTGCGTCGTCCTTCAATGAGTGAATGCCATCCAATGCAGACCAGCTTGATGGGCACTGCCCGCGACGATAAGGATCACGTGGCAGAGCTGTTCCGGGTTACAAATTTCCGGGTAATGCTCTCCAGATCTTACGTCATATGGTCTTGGCGCTGCGGGAGAAAAAAGTAAACAATCCCAACAACCAATTCACACAAGGTAACTTGTCCCGTTCAACTCCCCTCAATCGCACCAACGACATTGAAAACATGCCATCCTTGACGGATTTTGTCGATTTCAACCAGCCCAGCTTCAAAGGTATGGCGATACCCTTGCTCCACTCGCAGTGTCGCCTGTTTCCTGTCTATTCAAAAGCGAAGGTACTCTCGAGTACTTGAGACGAAAGTGGGTGCTGACAGTCATGATGCGAACAGTTGCTGCGGCTGCCATTGCTTTTAATCCAATTTTCTGGAAGTAAGCCACTGGCTATATTTATTGATTCCTTCACATTGATCAGGCTAACAAATTCGATAGTGTGGTTGCTCGACAAGGTACGCTGCTAACGAAGCTGATCTCGTTGCACCCTGCCACTGCAAGTACTTATTTGTCCAAACGCAACCACAGAATACCGAAACCACTTCTTAACTCGCATCTTTGGTAGTCCCTATTATGGCTGCTATTTCCTTGCTGTAGTCATTTTCTCCCTAGGGATATTCCGTGATAATCTCTACAATGAAGCCCTCAAGGATCAACCATATTTTGCGCCTGTCCACCAACCTTACGTTGCCTACGGCCTTTTTGCCGTGGGAAATACCCTGGTAGTTTCCAGCATGTGGGCGTTGGGCCTTACCGGGACCTATCTAGGTGACTACTTCGGGATTTTGATGGACGCGCCGGTCACTGGGTTTCCGTTCAACGTTTCAGGCGCACCGATGTATTGGGGCAGCACCATGAGCTTTTTAGCTGTCGCGCTCTACTATGGGAAGGTGGCAGGACTCGTGTTAACCGCGGAAGTGTTTATTGTGTATTGGTTGGCCCTGAAATGGGAGGAGTATGTCGTTCACTCGAAGGTTTACGATCGCTATGTTTACTCAATCGTTAAACTAACACATCGCTCTCGCATAGCCCTTTCACAGCCGAAATTTACGCGAAGCGCGATCGAGACAGGGCAAAGTCCGGGAAAAACAGCAAGCGGGCTTAGCGGGTCTTACCGCACGTCGAATTATTCGCCTGGAAACGGGGGCAGATCAACTCCCTCGAACTGGTCATTTCCACGAGACTTCAACAGTGATCTCGGCTATCATATGGCCAGTGATGGCAAAGGCAAATAGGTTATCTGGCAGAGCAAGAAGCTGGAACAACCGAGCCATTGAGCTATGCATTCGAGCCAAACTCTCCTGCATCCTCAACGATCGACCGAAATAGAACTCCCAACACCACGGTGGAAAACGTCGGCAGGAAGACACTATTATTACTGCCACAACAAACAAGTAGATTTGTCGCAATTTTATAGCGCCAGTTGCTTCACAGTAGCAAAGAGTGCGATAAAAATTATGCTAATTTATAACCTCCACTATTTTGTACAAAGGTACCCTTTTAACTTTTGACCCTTCGAGGGCTAGAGGCAAAATTAGAGCTGCGCTGTCCAATCAAATCTCACTTTTTACAATTAGAGAGGATGCTGATCGAACTGTTGGTCACATTGCTCCGTTGTCAAGAATCAGGGGAAATACCAACATGAATAAATACTACTGCGAGCTTCTATGGCACAGATCTTTTTGGAGGAATTTGACCCGGCGCTCGCATCATCAACAAATAGCATCGATATAATAAAACCGCAAGCAGCCCATTGCCTCAGAAATACGCCTGATAATGCAAAATCCGGTGGTAGGCGAAACGCGCCCCAGAGAAATCCGGCAACAAGATTCAAGCCATGGAAAGGGATTGAAACACCCGTCGCTATGAGTAGAAGGGAATTGAGTATGTAGTCATCTCCCTTACCCCCTCCGTCGTCCTCTCTTGCCTGTTGCACGGCCCTCCTCCACCTCCGCCTCCTCTTCATCGGCACCCTTTTTTAAGTCCTCCCCCTCCGGCAACCCCCACTTCTCTTTGTCATACCAATCCTCCCCATCGCTCATTTCGCCGACATGGCCCTCTGCCTTACACCATTCAAACACGTCTTCCTTCAGTCGGTATGCTTTACGCAGCATCTCTAAAATGTCCGCGAACAAGCGGACTGTCTCACTCTGTTTCTGAATATAGGCCCAGAGTAAATGACGTGCTTCTTCCGCTTCGAATGGTGCAAGGCCGCAGTTGCGGTCTATTTTTATAGATGGGAATTCGTATAGTGGGTGAGGTACTGCATCGTCGTCTTCAACATCGGTAGCATCTGTTGCTTCCCCGAAAGACTTTGGTGATGTGGCTCGACTTGCATCTGACGGCTGGGGCAGTTGATTTGCCTGTGCACGCGTAGTCATTCGGCGCGGAGGTTCGGGTAACTCGTCGCCATCAATGGCGCTCTCGTCAAGCTCGTTATCAGCCTCCATTCCAGTTTTCGAGGTGTCCTGTTGCACAGATTCTTCCTTTTCTTTTACGTTGTCCTCGCTTGTTGAATTGAATCCTGCACCATCGGGATCTGTGCTACTTTGCTTTTCTAGCATCAATTCGGCGTGGCTTTCCCTTTGTTCTGGTCCCGACCCCTTCTGTTGTTCCGCTACGTTCTTACCAGCATTGTCTGTCTGCAGGGAGACATCCTCCATTTGAGCATCCGTGATTTTGTCCTCGTCAACCGGGGCATCCACCATTTCGGTATCTAGGCCAGATGGTGCATTCGGAGCGGAAACGTTTTCAACGGACGCACGGGAATTTAGCTCGACAAGCTCTGGAGGATTCTGCTCTAGAGTAGTGGGTCGGGCTTCGGAGGAACGGCGAATGGAAGATGTGGTGTATTCGAGGACATTGGTGACGAGCGGCTGGAGATCTGGTGGTAGGAGGAACGCGGGTTCAAAAACTGCTCTATCTTGGGGTTTCTCTACGGCTCCGCAAGGAATCCAAGGAGCATCCCCCAGTAATTGTCGGTGAACCTTTTTCGCCTGCCAGAGCGCATATCGCTCCTGTCTCAGCCTTTTATCTATGAGATTAACCATGTGTAATATGGCCTTGTTCTTGTAGGGTTCTGCCATCGATGGATGGTCCGGAAGTTCTGAAGGGTGTCTTATTGGAGCAAGGAGGGCTATAACGATTGATTCACTCGGGTTAGCTCTTTGAATATTTGGGTAACATTTACTCAGGCGCTAGACACCGGGTTGGGGCTAGACTCACTCTCAAGAGCTATGCCAGAATATGGATTCTCCTCTGCGGCTTCTGCGTCGGCTGTCGCATCCGAATCATCATCATCAAGCTCATCACCTTCAAAGTCATATCGCGGAGGGTTGTATTGCAAGATATGTCGCGTGTATCCTGCGTGGTCAACTTTCTGTGCAAACATAAAAGCATGTCAGACGTGGTCAAGACATCCAAAAGCAGTTCACTCAAAGTGCAAGTGTCTCCAACAATTAGCATACCATTCGGTAATAATCCTGGCCGTTCATGATTCCAAGTGAGCCTTCATGGACGTATTTAGAATTCAGTCTGGTTTTATTGCCGCGATTTGTTGGCTGAGTGATTGCCTCGTCGTATGCATCCTGGCCTTTATGGAACGAGGGTCAGCATCTTCCCAAAACTGCACTTGTTTTCGATGGGGCAAAGAATGAGCCAACCTAATCTCTCTCGAGCGAGGGCTCTCTTTAAACCAACAATCGTCTCCTCGATCATAGCTAGTTGGGAAGCCATTCTTTCGTTCGAGCAAAGGCCAAAGGTCAATCTGGAAACGCACAGAATCCGTGTGCTTTCCACAAATATTTAGTGACAGCGAACGCGGTAGAGATAAATTCTTATCTTGAAATGACGTTTCAGAGTTTGTTGCGAAGGTAGGGATGCTCCGTGAACAAGTGAGAGGAACCGCTGGAAGAATTCGAAGGAGTCGGAACTTGGGCTGAGAGCTGGCTAAGACGAGGACGAGGTATATGTTGCACAAGTCATACCCAACGGATCAGGGGGTCAAGGAGAGAGAGGAACAGGAAGTATTGAGCTTTCGCTGTGGCTGCTTCAACCATCCTGCTTCAGTGACTTCACGACGACCGTGGAAGCAACCTTCTTGACCGCTTTCGATGGCAGAAACATCGGTCCGGATTAAAGTTAATTTACTGCCGGGCACGCTGCGCAAGGTTACTATCCACAATAGGGCTAGCGCCGGGATGCACGAGAAGATGTTCTAATTTTAGCCCCTAATGCCGTCTCTCTGATCAAAGGAAAAGGTACGGAGTATACGGAGTACAGATGTTTTTCGGATCAGTGTTATTTGTTGTTATTATTTAATAAACTTGATTCTCCCTATCAAGGCGCGATTCCCAATTGTAAAGAGCATCGACCTCGGAAGATTAGTTACAGCCCGCAGTTAAATTGTTTTTCCAGCACAGGGATGAAACCAGTTCCTAAGGCGAGTAAGCTGGAAACCATGGGATTTTCCTGGATTGAAGTTTTTGCAGGTATCAATCCGGTGTCCTTCATATGACGCCATTCGAATGGAAAAGAGGAGGGGGGAGAAATCCTTCCTTGCGAAGGTGACGTCTGGTTTCAACGGCCGCTCGAGCGACGGAGCACAGCACATGGCTTTAGTATTAAAGCCTCCAACTGGCAGAAACCAACGTCTTAATGTTTCCATCTGCCACTGCCATCCAGTGCCTCTATATCGGGAAACAAAAGCCATTGACTGTCGCAACCAACGCTAGAAATTTCCACGAGCTTGAGATGACCAAACCATGCCCTACGCCCCTGCTTGAGGACCCAAAAGGAATTTATGGCGGCCGGATCCAAAAACTGGGACCCGTAGTGAACCAAAGCCAATCCTGACACAGGACTCGCATGATTTTAGAATTCGGCATTCCTATCATCGATCATCCAGCAGGCCATTCCATCTAGACAACCAAAGCCCTTCAAGGAAGCACATGTCATGAGTCTAGCGAGCAAACGCAGGCTCCCACATTGAGCTTGGTTTCTAGAGCGACTATATGGCTTTCCCAGAGTATGCCCGATGCAGAGTATCCGGAAGGCCTAAACGCGCGATGGAAGCGTACGCATCGATCCAAAACCCATTGGCGTCCTTTCTCGTTGATTGTTTGCTGCAGTCGTTTTGAACAAGAGGTGTAAACGATGCGCCACCTCGGGGATACTGTATCTAGATCACATCGACAGGCGAAGGCGAGAGCAAGTACCAGGTCCGTTCCCACAAGTCCTCAAACTGTTTAGCCCGCAGCTCCCCCCTCGCCATATCCGCAAGGCCTCACACGAAACATAGGCAACGTTGCATTGGCAAATGATCTCGCCTTCCAACGGGATATTATACTTTCAAAGAAGTCGCCAGGAACCCGGTTGCGTAGCAACTTGTCATGCTTCCGCCGAGCCACAACCCATGAAAAGCCGAGCCATTGCTGATGCGCAGTCTCTCCATCGGGACGCTGCAAAACGCACGTCGATGGGAGACCGTTGGAGCGAGTCCCCCGAAGCCAAAGGAGTATCGAGGTGACATCCCTATCCCGATCCTTCGTTAGGGCGTGCCGCTTCCTCGACCCAGTGGCAAGGAGTGATGAAAGGCCCACAACACACATATGGTAAGTGGTGAAAAGGTGTCGCAACACACCCCTGGCGAGGATGCCACTGTTGCCAATAGCAAGATTCGCTTCGTATGCCGCTGGCGGCTAAGGAGGAGGAGGAGTACCGCTTGTGAAGGAAGCTCTCCAAAAAGAGCTTTCAGAGGCCGATTGCGCGGGCCCAACGCAACTCCCCTACGAAGTCTTCACTTTAGGAAAACATGCTCTATCAAATTTATCATGGGGAGGCCTGCAGGCTGGTATTTATGCTTCGAGAGACCGTTCAGCCTGGGCGTAGTTGAATAGCCCGCAAATCACTGCCGGTTCCGTAATTTGATCCTTTGAAGCAATGTAGACGGTGTCGGCGGACTCAACAAAGGATCCTGTATCATGGACGCATGAAAGCCCTCAATGCTCGGGAACCTGGGCGTAAATACCAAGAAGAATGAAAGAAACACAATACCAATTTTCCGCTTGGAATCCGAACCGGGTATTTGTAGTACCACAAAAATGCGTAACGTCGAGAGAGAGCACTGTAGAAGAATTATTGGCTGCTGCGTACGCCGTAGATGATACTAATGCAGCAAAAAATTGATGCCCCGAAGCCCTCAAAACCAAGGCTCACTTCCGAATCTGTTGATGCAAAAGTGTGCATTACACAATAAAACCATACCCCTTGAATAATTCCCCAGCCAGGCCTTCTGCTCCATCGCAATAAGCTACCAGGTGAGCAAATTGTTATCCAGTTTCTTCGTCAATTCTTGAAAAGCTCTTTCTAGCTCCACTTCAAGCACACAGCGAACTTTCAACGAACTCATTGACGGCCACACCCCCCGTTCTCCCTTCAAGACCCAGTGTTTAAGGGTATCCCTAGTTGGTTTATTAAAGACCTTTGTCAAATCCTGAACCGAAATCTGTGGTAAAAGCACAATGCATGAACCTGGAATGTTCTCTTCAATAAGGATTGAACGGAGCAAATTAGGCAAGCAATAAAAGCTATCTAGTTGTCTCAGGCGGCAGCGGATCTCCACCTTTGAAAGCGTATATAGAAGGTGGAATATCTTCCACCTTCTAGCCAGAACTTTGGCGCCAGGACGATGAGTGGCCTCACCAAAAATAGGAATAATGAAGGGTCGCGCTTGTGAAATAATGAAATGATTGACATTCAGAAGCTCCGGTAGGCGGCGCAGAGGCGATTCCTTAGAACGACAACGGAACGTATGCCACGAATGAAGATTGAGATTATCAACTGGCTTCCATGGCACGATTTTCCCTGTCTCGCTTTTACACCAGATTGTGACTTCTTCCTCGGCAGCAAAGGACACATTGGAAGCCAAACAAGCGGACCAGATGAGCTAACAGTCCTATTAGTCCAAGGATATTTGAAGAAGTACGGGGATCAGGAGTCCACCTACCACATGGGGCGTCGTGATGTAATTTAGAAGATTTGGAGCACCTCCTATTGTCGACATTGCAAGAGTTATATTCAGAACACGCTTAGTCCTGCTGTAGGCTTCTTCAAAAGTAATATCTCTTAAAGCAGCTCGCACATGATTTTGCAATGTGATGTGATCCCGAAAGTAGTGCTCATTTAAGCAGCGTATAATTCTGCGGAGGAGACTCTGGAACCAACCATATCCGTCTTCGTGAGAAAATATACGGAACCAGTCGAGGCTATGATATGCTCTCGGTTCTTCGAAAGCCATTATGTCAAGATACTCTCCCTCAAAGAACCGCTCTAGTTCATTGTCCGTTCTAATGCATAATAGAGCTGCGACGAAAGCTCCTGTGGCCGTCCCAGTTATCACGCGAGGGAGTAATCCTTCACGATATAGAGCCCTCGCAACACCGATGTGACAGGCGCCAAAGATAGAGCCTCCTTGAAACAGCAAAGTTGACCTACCCAAGCCTTGCCTTGCACCACGTATAAAATCAAGCTTGGCTTGAGTATTGAAGCCAGTGTGATGTGGTGGGCTTGTCTGTAGCTGCATCACATAACGCAGGGATATCACTTGTTGGGCTGCGTAGCTTTCAATCAAGTCCTTTGTCCCCGCAAAAGCTTTATTGTATAGTTCTGGCACCGCGATATTGACCATGTTCCGAATTAATCCTGTCCGGATGGTATTGCATACTACTCGAGGATCATCTATATCCTTTGCCCTGCGTAGCTTATCCAGTCGTTCTGTGATGTTCCGATAATTATACAAGGTACTTTCCGGCTCCCGGCGCCTAAAGCAAAGTTGCGACACTGGTAAGCTTATGGAAGTGCATTGGATTCAATATCCAAGGGATATGACACTGTCTCGGAGAGGAAGCCGTTCGACCACGTACCATGCACTCAATCCAAAAATATCATCCAAAGCAACCGCAACGTCTCGCCACTCTTCAAATGTCCTCGCTTGCTCAAGCTTGCGGAAAAGCATGAATTTTCGAGGATAGCTCCAGATCAGGAATGTCAATTGCAGAAATTTCTGGGAAAATAGGGTCACAACTAATGTAACCAACCCAACTGGGTGAAGGTAAGGGTAAAGAACGTAAGGGAGTGAGCGTATAAAACGCGACAAGAGCATCACTGTTAAATTAATCAAGGACAACATTATGAGGAAAATTAGCTCGAAAAAATCTAGAAATGTTTCGCGGCGAGCCATGGTGATTGCTCTGACATCTGTAGAAATTAGCTATCTAGGCGATCGAGACAGGGTGTGCATCGTTTTCGTGTCTCCTTCTTTCCCTTCTTTACCTGTGAAAGACTGATGTATAGGTCCTGACTTACTGCGGAGGACGAACTTTGCAGCCATCCTATTTGTGATAGTCTGTAGGTAGGTGTCGGCTCCTAGTCATAGCTGAATTTGCAAGAGATCAATTTGAACGACCCTGGAACTACGAAGCATAAGTCGAGGCCTGAGTCAGTACGGCGAATGGAGTTGTAGGAATATCAGGTTAAGGATAGCAGAGACCGGTATGTTTGGAGCTTCCCAAGTTATATATGAAGTCATAACTCAGTCAGAAGGTTTAAATAGCCACCTACTCTACTTTGTATACTCCATAACAACTCTGTTGGTTGAAACAAAGTTCCCCTCGACAAAGGTGTAAGTGAATTGTAACTATATGAAAACCCATCAGATGTGCACATGCAAAATATAGATTTGGGGCTTATAAGCGAAACTAGACATCTACTAACTTGATAGTCATAAAATGTTTGTTGAGAATTGTTATGAAACTATCAGCTCAACCCCAGCGATAATCATAACAGATGCGCCGTCATCAGCCCAGCCATAGGAAACAAAGCACTGCAATCGTTTTCGAAACAAGGGAGGGCGAAATAAAGTAGGAAGACGGGTCCCGTCGAAGATACACGTAAGTTTTCATTTTCTCAGCGTATGCATATAGAACATTAAGAAAAGAGGATTCCATTGTTCCCGTTGGTTGGGCACCTTGCTATGAGAATATTCTAGCTTTTTTTCCCATCACCAATTCAAGGTCATCCCGGATTCCTTCTGACGAAAAATGGCGCCAAACCGTTGCTCCCTTATTCCTCAATGATGTTGCCCTTCTCCGAGACGTATATACCGTCCAAGAACTGTGTAGATTGTTAGTACCATGCTTGCGTAACCCCAAATGACAATAGGGATATTGATTTTGGTATGTGGCTAAAGAAATGGCGATTCTCACTTTTCGGATATCCTTGTTTCTCACACGACAGACTTGGTTGATATCTGCACAGGTCTGTGAGACACCCTCAATGGAGTTTCCGGACAATTGAATCTCATCCTTAACATTCTGGGAAATGACAACTTCAACACCAGGTTGGCAGACAACGCGACGGACAATTTGCTCGCCAAGGAAGTTTCTGTAGGCAATAGATGTTAGCGCAACCATTTCATCACAGCAATCGCCGCACAACCCAAGATCCCCCGACGCAAAATCCAGGCTGCCCCATGCCAAAATTTTTCACATAACATTGCTTCCTTCCCTCCTTGTGAAACCTCTTAATCATTTCACTTTCCATATCCTTCAATTCAAACCATGTCGAGGCGACCAAAAAGGACAGCGCAACAATGTCACTGGGGATATCCATACCGGATCTCAACGGTAATCAATCCAGTCTCCTTGTTGGTATCAAGGTTGACGTTGATGGGAAAGTGAGCATAGACATAACGCATCTTGTATTTGAAGCCGCGGGTAACACCAATGATCAAGTTGTTAATGATCGTTCTGACGGTGCGGAGGGTGGCGACGGCTTTGCGTTCTCCGTGGTGGATTTCGATCGACAGAACGTTCTTCTTTGGACGAGAGAAAGAGACCGCAAGGTGCGACAGATCCTTAACCAGCTTGCCTGCAGTGAGAGATATATGTAAGTGTACATGCCATCGTTACCGGCGAGAACGTGTCGGGACGGGAGGATTCATGGGTTTCTCGAAATGTCGGAGAGTGCTCGAATATTTGATCGAATCATACCTCGTGGTCCTTCAACAGTCACAACCCGCGAGCGGATGTGAACGCTCACTAAAATATATCAAAACCTGTTAGCATTTGACTCTATAACAACAGCCAAAGCTTTCCTCCCAGGCGCATTCCTCCCCGGCTTCTTTGCAACAGAGAATGTGGTCCAAATATTCCAGCAAGACATCCGATTCCCGAATCCACCACCACTACCAGCGCCGAATCCATGCCGTCACGAATCAAGGAGTGAAAGCTCACCATTTTCGGGGATTGTCAAAGTCTCCTCGGAATGTATGTAGCGCATCTTGACGGCGTCTGTCTAATTATCTCCGACGGGAGTTGGAGGAGAAATATTAGAAGGACAGAGGAGAAAATGTGGTCGTGTCGTTGGCCGTCGTCGTCGTCGACAAGTCGAAATTCCCAAAACCCACACACGGAAGCAATTCAATAGGGCTTCACAAGTGTGTGCGTCGCTTAGGGCACGTTTGCGGTTTAGCGCGATGCAAACCACAAGGCTGCCGTGACGCGCCAAAAATGCAATTCGACTATTCCTAAAGCGGTAAAGAGCTTGCTTCGGGGCTGCGGAGACAAGTTCTTCCGTGCAAGACTGTTCTCGCCCCCAACCACTTTGCAAGGGCCTTGCTATCATGTAAGTGCGCACGGGAGTAGCATGGAGGGAATGCTACGCAGTAAAGAGATGGCTACGGAGTACATACATCTTCGATGGATCATTCTTTTTACGAGGAATACGAAATCCTAAAGAGGGAAAAAAGGACACAGAAGGAAAATAATAAAAGGTCCCAAATTTTTTGCCGAAAGGCTTTCAGTGAAGAAAACGCCAGGCATCCGGGCGGGGCGACCAGGGAATTATATATTTGCCCTTTCCAACAATCAAATGCCGTCCACAGCAGTATGACCCCAGATAAATATTAATCGTGGTCAAATTACGCATCCTGTATTCAAACCATCGAGCACTTGCCACGGATTCCAAAGGTATTCGGGCCACCCTGAATCCCCAAATGGATGGCGCGTTCAGAATAAAACAATTATCCTTATATCCAGCAGGTATCACATATGCCCAGTTATCTCTTGCGTAGTAGTTCCAAGTCATCGATCTCTCCAGGGACAACTTTACTGGTCGTAAATCTTAGACCGGCTTATCATCAATCCGTTTTGCCTCCACCAATCTTCTTCCAACCATCTGCTTTATTTTCGGGGCTAGTTCCCTCGAGATATCAAGTGCTTCAATATCGTCCCCACCACCGATACTCTTGCCGTTGATGAGGACATTTGGAACAGTCCTGCGCCCAGTATTGCTCGACAGCAAGGCCTGTAGCTCCTGCCCGAGCGGGTGCTCGTCTAATTCGACAACGAAGGGCGCAGGGACAATGCTATACTTTTCGAGGAGAATATATTTTGCTTTGCGGCTGTAGGGACAGTAGGACTTTGAGAATATAATGACTGAGTAACGAAAACAGACTGTCAGCGTGATCGTGCACGATCTACGTTGGACTTGAGAGGAACCTACTTGGCGATCTCTTCAGTATGGAATTGAATTCCGCCTCAATTTCCACTTCTTTCGAATCGCTTTCCTGCTTTGGCACATCTTTTCCTTTCTCGTCCGACGGGGGCACCTTCACCCGCCCCGCAACAGATCCGCCACCCTGCTCCCCTTCAGAGTCGCCTTTCGGCGCCACCGGGCTTTCATATCGCTGTCTGTCAACGGCGATAGCCTGTTTATCCTCCGGCTTTAGTTTTCCCGGCTTCAATTTTTGGAACATCACTCCATCGTCCTCCTGCTGCCCGACTTTCCGAGCATGTTTGGCATCGAGTGCCTCGACAGTTTTTTGGTAAATCCTCTGATTTTGTATTCGACGTTGATCGGCCTAGCAATATATGGCCCGTGATCGTTAGTTATTTGAATAAATGCAGATCCCTCTCGGGAACCACACGCGAGGAGCCGGGGAGAATATTTACCGTCAGGTACAGAATTAATAAAACGATCAAGAAAACTGAGATCAGCAACAGCTTTATTCGACGATAGGGCGACATTTTGCCCGTTGCCCACTTATGGGCAGGTCATCAGCTTGCCTTCTGTTTCCAAACGCGTTGCTGGGCCTAGATATCCAAAGAACTTCGGGTGCGCAGGTTCTCCCGCGGAATATAAAGGCAGCCTGCTCGCGAAGTTCAAATATGATTGATATGGCTTATTGGATCGTTAGAGGAAGAATGGAAAATGATTGGGTCTGGCTTCTTCAACCGCGATTAATATTTGCTTGCCGATCGGTGACACCAGAGGTGTTCTCGGCCCGTTTGTCCAGGACGACCTGGAATACTCCGCAGCCTTGCCCCTTAAAACGAACGAACCTTGCTCTTAAGGTTTAACAGGTCATCTAAATCTCGAAGCTTGATTCACTCAGTCATAATAATTGGCAAATTATTGAAAGTACTCCGTACGGAGGACTTTTTTAATATTTTTGGCAGAGAAGCCAGATTATTGGCACTGGGTCGTGGCTGAATTCGCTAGTCGGCGGGGAACTTTGGAACAACTGGGGCCGGCTTCGCTCTGAGGTCTCATTTGCGACACTGTCGACGGAGCATGTCTCTAAAATAAGATATATATAGCCCTGCATGTGAAGCTTCATAGATTTTATATAAGACGCTGGAACTTTCTGGTCCGTAGGGAGTGCTTCGAACCTCTACCGAAATCCAGGATTTTGGTATCTTGCGCCCTCAATCTCCGGCGACCTGATCGTTGGAATTCCGGTGACGGTTGTACGGAGTCAGTCAAAATCGTAGCCATTAGGTATCTCCCATGGTAGTTGACCGCCAAAACCCACAGGCCAGCACGGTGGCCTCACGGCTGTATTGATTTCAATGCTCCGTAGGCCAGCGCGCCCTCATGCAGACCTTCGTTCGTACTGCCCTATCTTCATATTTCTCATCGCGTACTACCCCCATTAAGCATTCCCAACGGAATAATCCGTACCGCCCGCAGCGTCACAATTTCCTACCGTCCAGGCTAGCACTCACTAACAACCTCACGCTAAACCATCGTTAGTGACATAGTTAGAACATTCCCTGTTAGCTCCCGGGTGGAAACGCCGGGAATCAAACTTCCTCTAAAGTACCATGCCACGTTGATGCGATGGCTACGGAGTAGTTTCATTTAATTGTTATAAACATGGCATTGGGCGCGCATTTTTTGAAAAACCAACAAGGCTAAGGAAGCGATTGAGATCAACTTACTGCCTCTATTGAAGTTGGTTATAGCTATGAAAGCTCGTTATAAGTACGCCAGAAACACAGGCGACAACCCCAGCTATAGGCCATCTTTCAACACTGACGAGGTTAGCAGTACATGTTGATCTAGCGAAGGGTCAAGAGGCAGAAATTAATAGGAACAGGCAGTTGAATTTATGTAAATAGGGAACTATCTAGCCATCGAGGAGTGAAAGGAAGATCCATGCATACATGAAAAAGCCATCTGACGGATGGGCTAGGAGGTATCTCAAAAAAAAATAAAACGAGGCACAGTTGGATGCTCTGCACAAAAGCAAGAAATCAATCTCGCATAGCACAAAAGGCCGCAAAAAGAAGTAGGGGTAGAATGAAGGGAAGAATTGTACATCAAGAAACTGGATATCAATCAAATCACAAATACACAGCTTTGGCCATGGTGGCTCCTAAGCCCAAGATTACAAATTAGTGGTAAAGGGGTCATAAATATGGAATGAGTGCGGTGCAATTGGGTGGGCATGTAGCCATACACATGGGGCTTTTGCAAAACATGATTCAACTTGGGAATTCCGTCCGATTCTTCTCCCACAAGGCCGTCGCAATCTATGTTAGTACAGTAAAGCAAGAAGGTTATTGGGACAATACCAGTGGAGAATGAAATAAATGTGGGTATAAAATATCTGAGGATCTAACGTGCGGTCACCGTGGCTCTTCTATCTCGTCGTCCTTGAACAACAGTCGTCCAGTCTTCCCATTCTTTTGCCATTTCCATGAGCACATTCCCCATAACTGTGGCGGAAGCCATAAGGCCATGGCCTTCACCTTCGAGGACACGGACCTCGCACCGTCTCATAGTTTTTCCAAGCCATCTGACATTATCGACGGGCACTCGAGTGTCTTTAGAGCCGTGGTGTATGACAACAGAACGTGTGATATCATTATACCTAAATCCAATAGTTTGTCGGCGCTCGAGGCAGATCAGTAGGTCAACGGCTGGATTCGCATTGGTCGTGGCTAGTTCCCAGATAGCATGGGTTAAGCGGTTATCGTAATCGCTTTGTCGTTCACGATCTTCTCTTGCAGCGGCAGCAGCAAGGATGGCAGATTCAGCGTTTGGACCAGAAGGATCAGAAGTTGCGCGTGACACAATATCTTGCGACTGGCGGTGAACTGAGGTTCGAGGCACAGTTGTTGAACCGTTTCCGGCGTCCGTTCCGGCAGTGGTTGCGGCCTGCACGGGCGCGGGGAGTTCTTTATCTTTTGCGAGTGCATTAAGTCGTTTATTTTTGCGGGATGTCTTTGGCAGACTGCTTGTGACACTCGCACTGGTCGTAGTCATGAAACGAGAATTCGCGACTTTCAAAATTGGCGTTGGTAAAGCCCGGAGAATGCGTTGGGAGTAAGGAAGTGCGTTAGCCGGGAGAGGGTCCTTATGAGACCCCATTCCGGACATCTGTGAAGGTGGAATCCATGGTGCGAGCAAATGAAGTCGTCCTCGGATGTGCTGAGGCATGCGCAAGGCGGTTGCAAGGGCATATATTGCACCAGCAGAATGCGCTAGGATCGAAAACTTTGTAATCTTTAAGTGATTACAAATGGTTGCCAAGTCATCTATTTGCTTGTTAGTTTATGATGCTTTCTAGTATAGCCCGGTAGAAAAGAATACGCGAACTATCTAATTGAGCTCGAAAAGCGCTCTGGAAAGCTAAATGAATTAAGGAACATACCGGGCCAGCTAAGAGGTCCTGAGCCATCGGCACAAGGTTCACTTTCACCAACTCCAGGGCGGTCAGGTGTAATCAGCCGCAGCTTGAGGGTTCTTGCGAGTTCATCATAAAATGCAGTAAGGTATCTTGTGAGACCCATTCCCACACAGCAAAACACTACATGCCCCCCAGGGTCGCCCACTTCAGAGAATGCTATTGTCCGGCCCGTTTGCGGGTGTCGCACTTTTTGGGTTAACCTTGCAGCCATCATGTAAGCTCGTACAGCATCGTCCACTGAATCCGCGCTCGATGGTCGTTCGTCTGCACCTGTCGGTGTTTGCGGAACTGGTGAAGGCACGCCGGAAGAAACCCTCCGGTGACTTCTGGTATCGGAATTTGCACCATTAGAACGTCGCTTTCCAGCTTTATGCAAGGGCTCATGCCTTTCTTGTTTCCCCATCATTGGCTGCATATTTGTCGTTTTAGACGCAAGCGGGCCACTGTTTCTCTTTTTAACTGATGTGGTTCGGCGGGTTTGAACGGTGGGTGAAGGTGCGCTTTCTTCAAGGTCGAAACTCAGCTCGAGTCGGGTGAATCGGGTCTGTTCCAGAGAAGCGGAATCTCGTTGTTTAAACGTGCCAGATGGAGTGACATGCTTCACAGATGATTGTGGACTTATTTTAGGGGTGGAAGGGTATTGTCCTGCTGGCTTATCGTTGGCATGTGAGCTATCTTTGTGATTTTGCTGCTGATTGTTGGTCTCCGTAAACCCCTTCGGCGTTCGGTCATTCTCCCCATTCACTTCTGCAATGTCGCGGTCAATGGTGAAATCTCTGCTAGAGTATATACTGTGACGGGTGGATCGTCTTTTTTTCGAAGCTCCGCCATTTTTATAGCGTAGAGATGACTCTCGCGCAGGAATAAATCTGCCACTTCCAATGCCTCCAGGGCTTAAAGTAACAAAGTCAGTTGCAGTGTGAGAGGAATTTAGAGAAGGCGCCGAATCCCGCCGTGGAGTAGAATCCTCAGGAGGCTGTAGGTGCTCTGCATCACCGCTTCCCTCCTCCGCCAAATCGGCCATCGAAGGGGTCGAGCGCAGACTTAACCGGCTTCTCGAGCTGCTGAGACGGTTCCCGTCCGCCACACTTAAGCGATCAGCATCCTTGTCCTTGAAGAATTCCCGCGACGACCTTTTTAGGATACTCAACGGAGCTTTCAGGCTCTTTCTACCCCCACTGCTGGACGATGCAATACTTGTCATAGACAGCCGGGGACCGGGTTCCAAACTGACTATCCCAAAGCTAGAGAATTCGTCCTTCCCATTTTGTGAAGACGCGTACGACGCCCGAGATCCAGATCGGATCAGCGATGATTCACGTTTGGTGCTTCGAGAGGAGCGGCGGGATCGCGATCGCGCAGGGGGTTTAGACATGCGGACGACCGGTGATATGGCAGCATCGTCCGGGTGTAAGAAATCGGAAATAGAATCATCGAGTGGTGTTCTGTATGCCCCATAATCCATCCCAAACCCAGGACTGGGGGGCGGCGCTAGATCATCTTGCGGAAATTCTGATTGCAAGCAATTTGGTGAGGAAGGAGCAGTACGGGACCCAATTTTTGGAAGACTGTCGAAATGATTCCGCGCGGGGCTCGAGATGGTGGAAAGGGAGGAGATGAGGGAGGAAATGACCTCTGGAGATGCGGGTTGGATATGTACATGGTCAGTGGACAACGGTTCCGACGCTGCCAGTGAACGGGCTGGCAGGGATTGGCGACGCTGAGAAGAGCCTTGTTGAGTCCGGTGCATTCGACGACGCGGAGGGATAGGTATGGCGGACGATTCATCGAGCTCGTCGTGGCTCGCGGCGTCCATGACTGGGGTCCAGGATGGGAGGCTGGAAGGATGCCTAAACTGCTCGGAATAGCGCGATGAAGTGAAACGCAGGCGGCCCGGCTCGAGCAGCGACCATGATTTCTGCCTCCTTCGATTCGGAAAATTGCTGCCAGCCTTAAATTATTTCATTCAAGATTTGCGCCCATGGTCCCACACGGGGCCTAAGGAGGGTACGCAGTTAGTCCCCGGCTTGCTTTTAGAATTATTGTTTGTTCCACTTGCTGCTGTGAAAGCTCTGTCACTGCAAGATTGTGCTCTCCGAAGAAATAAGGCGCCTTGATTGCAGGGACCTTTCTGATTCCTGTGCTTTGGGAGGGGGGAAATATTGAGTCTTGTGAGCGCAAGGATCAACTGACGGGTGTGGGCACCGTGTCTTGGCCTTGGAGTTAGGGATATTATTTAAACCCCTGAGTGGTGTGGGATCAATTTGCGTCCTTCGCACGTTTTGATCACCCTTAGCTCATTCAATCACATAGGAAATGCATGTGGATGGTGTGGTTGGATGGCCCTCTGTCTGGCTTGTGAAGCTGGACAATCTCGTGGGCGCAAATGAAATCTCAGAATTGGGCCTCTCCATCCCCGTGAAACTAATTGCTTCATTCTCCTATTGGAAGCAGTGTAAATCAAACCATCCTCTGCCATCCTCTGCTGTCCCCTTTCGATGCGGGCCTTCAGACAATTTGATTCAGCTTGATTCAAGTTGCACTCCACAGTGCGTAGCCTGGAAATGTCTCAAAGCCAGTTCATCATCTTTCCACTTCAAGATAATGCACTTTACATTCATGACCAGTTTCTCGAAAGGCATCCATGCGACAAAAGTCAGGGATTCCCAACAGGGGAACACAAAGATGTGTGTGATATTTGAATATGTGCCACCTCCCTTCCACGCTCCGCATCGGCGGCATCGTGCATCTTTTGACTCTTCTGTCAAGTCTATGCGTGCAGCAAATGGAATTGGTCGGGAAATCCATGCTTCGCCATGTTCCCGCTACTAAAGCAAAGCATGAATATGAATGATCGGAGAAGCAAGAAACCCTCCACAAATCCTTTAACCACATATTATCTTATGCTAAGAATCCATGATGGAAACTGATCCATGTCTATATTTTGGAAGGTATAATTTTACTCCACATCGACAGCTACTTTCGATACCCGATACAATAGTTTGCCTGTTGAAGGGGGGGTATAGTTACATAACAGGAAGTGCGTTTGAGGACCAGCTGTAGCAGATGATTCAATCCTGAGACTTTCTGGCCCGTGAACCCATCAAGAGTAATCCGTACTCCGTACGGAGTACTCCATTCTGAGATCTGTGCCGTGGGAATGTCGGGCTGCTGAATTAAATTCAATAAAGAACTGCAAACTTTCAACGGCTGGGCCAATCGGAGGTGCGGTGGTGGCTGTCACGTCCAAATTGTGCGAACAACGTCAACATCCCACCACCAACTTGCTGGGGTCATCGCGCTCTAGGGTCAGTGACAAGGGCAGACATTGCACTCAAAGGAGCCTCGGAACCTCCAGAATCCATTCCAAGATGCCTTCTAAACACTATCCAGTGACACTGTGACTTCACTGACCAACCACATCAATTTTTCAGCGGGGAACCGAGACCATTCCGCCATGGATGCCTATCCTCTTGACTACGTCGGCCACAACCTTCCGCTTGTTCTTCTCTCCGGAATTGAACCCGCTGGTCAGGAATCGTTACATCTACCGTCGTCCGATGTCACCTATCCCCAGTTGAATGAGAACGGTATCCAAATATTCTCCGACTTTCCGCCATTAACAGATGCGACTGCAAAGAGATTATTAGTTGACCTCCTGGCGGAGGATGCGTCAAAGTCTCCATGGAATGCCCGGGCATACGGCGGAAAAGCAAGAGGAATCGGGTTTAGAGTAAAACGGGTTGGGCGGGTAGGTTAGCAGTCCCATGATTCATGTTGTTCCCGGCAAGGTGCCTTTCCCCAAATTGCGTTTTACAAAAAAGGGACGAATTCAATCTGGAAATCCAGTCCGTCTCAAAAGTTTGTGATGCTGAATTTCTCTTGGTGTTCAGAAACTCGCTGGCGACTTCATCAAATTGAAACAGACGCGCTGACCGTCGTCCACAGACCTATACTCTCCCTCCACGTAAAGCCCGGCCGCCGATTCCATCGTCATCCCCCAGCAGCAGCAATCACAATGAAGCCGCAGGTGCTCCCCTTATCCTGCATTCGCCAATTTCCCCCCTGACCCCCGCCTCACCTACGTATCCAGATGGGATAGCAACGCCCTTATGGGTAACAAAACATCAGAGCTTGGTCCCTACCGCATTCGTCAATTTTTTCCCGCTTACACTTGACTCAAATATGGCGTCCCTTCGCGACAATCAGCTAAAGATTGAAATCAACACCTTAAAGAAAGATTGGGCCAGTTCTGGTTATAAGACAAGGTTCGTGGTCGCGCTTATATGTGAGGACGGGCCCGTGCCTGGAGACATAAATGATCGGATATCGAGCATACGGAGGGCTACGAATCTGGACCTTAAGAACATCTTCGTTCTTCCACCTACTCCGTCGCAGGAGGACTTTCGTGATTTTGTGAGGTCTCTCTTTTCTTCTCTGCAGGGTCCATGCGTCGAGTACTATCGAGATCTGTCAAAACACGCTAGGCGGAAAAGAAATCGAGGGTCTATACCTCCCCCAACAGCGCCCCCCACAACAGGAACATCACAAACGCTGGCAGCTCAGGGTTGGAATATCCGGTACGAGTTTAAACTCGGTGTGTTTGCAGAGTTTCGCCAGGAAATAGATGCTGCCTGTCGAAGTTACGAAAGCGCGTATGCGCTACTCTTCGGGGAAGAAGTGTTTGAAACGATTGCTGGATGGAGTCCTCGGTTCGATGATGCGCGAATGTTAGCTGATGTTCTTGCCATTCGGATCATTCGATGTCTTTTGTGGACTGAGCAGACAACTTTGGCTGTTCGAGTATGGCTGATGCATGAAAAGCGTATAAAGGATATTGTTGGCAGTCGTGGGAAGGGTACTAACAACTATGGCTGGGAAGCCTGGGAGGCTAGATGGTCGCTAGTAATGGCTGATCTGATGCGCCGAGCAGATTTATCCGTTCTAAAAGTCCCAAGCCATGCAGCAGACTCCTATCCAATCCGCCAGGCGACAATATATGCCCCCCCGGAAGAGACTATATCTGCTAACGAAAGGCTGTACCCTTGGGAATTACTCCATCATGCGGGCTACTGGCTGAATCGGGCCGCTAAGCATACTTCACGAAGAAGGTTATTGGCTGAAAAGATCCCAGACGAAGATAGATCCGCGCCCACCCAAGCGTCACCTGCCCAGGCAAAGGGTCGATCAAATGTATACGATACATACCTCGCCCCAGAGCCTTTCGATGAATATCCCCTTTCTGATAGCAATGGTACAAACCATTCAAAACTGATCATTAGCTATCTTACAGCTTCTTCGGAGGAGTTTTCGAAAAGAGGCCAGTTACGCATGGTAGAGAGCCAGAAACTAGATATGGCAAGGGAGCATATGCGCCTAGGCGAATGGGAAATTGCATTGGATATCCTCCAATCAATATGGCCGGTCCTGACTTGGAGAAGGGATGGTTGGTGGCACCTAATGGAGGAATTTGGGTGGGCGCTGAGGGAGTGTGCACACCAAGTTGGGCACTCTGAAACCATTATAAGAGTTGATTGGGAATTGATGAACCGCTGTAAGTGACTGTCGCAGATGCACACCTTCTTTGTCTTGTCTCGAACAAATTTACTTCGAAACCGTACTGCAGAGCTTTCTAATTATTCATAACAGGCTTTACACCGAGAGTAGGATGGAGCTACGATCTGAAAAGGGGCGTTGTAGATCTTCCCACTGTCGAGCCGAAGCCTTCCATCGTATTCAAGGAAGAGGAGGTAATTTCATTTTGTATGTTGTCGGAATATCTGATTCTTTAAGCTTCTCGGATATCCTAATTTGGCAAATAGTGTCAGCCTCATTCGCTTTCCAAAAGCTAGAAGGGAACGTCGGCGAACCATTGCAATCTCAGCTCGTTATTGGATCGTGTGCTCATGGAAGCGCTTCGCCGATTTCTTTAACTGAGGTGAAGGTCACCTTTGAGGGTAGCCTTCGTCCAATCAAGCTCCAGGCAAGCCATGAAGCCGCGATAGTCGCGTGTAACCAAACCGAGATTTCAAATATCACGCTGTCTGACTCCCTACTATCGGATTCGGCCAGTATTCTATCACATCCGAGCAATCTGCCTTCCATGACTAGCACGGCCGATCTGACATTAGCTCCGGGTCAGACTAGGGTTTTCAATCTAATATCTATACCGCGTGAAGCTGGTGAAGTCAAGGTGTCTTCAATCACTTTGATGTTCGAAGATGAAAGGTTTGACATTACGTACGTCGTAACTCAACAGCCTTCCAAAGAATCTGTCTGGTGGACTTTGGGCAAAAAAGGCGCTATGTCAAGAAGAATTGGCAAAGATAGAGATACTTCCGCCTGTAATATTTTGCCAAAACCACCGAAGGTTCTTATCACAACCCCCTCATTGCGCAATCACTATTATACAGATGAGCATATGGTCCTTGACATTCTAGTTGACAATGAAGAAGACGAACCGGCGGAGATTTCTGTTGAAGTTAGGTTACTTGGGCAATCGGAAGCGTCCGCTCAAATACATTGGGCAGATGAACCAGAGGCCGATGCTCAGTCTAATAAGTTTGCTCCTACAACCCCAACTGGTTCTGACCCCTCTCTGGGCCAAATAAAGCGAAGGAGTATCGGTATCGTTGATGCCACTTGCCGGAGAACACTACCCCTCATGTTCACAGACACGTCCATGCCACAAGACTACGAGCTTGAAATTTCCGCATTCTACCATCTTGTTTCAGATCCGGCAACGCCGATATTCAAAACAGTGACTCTTGACCTCTCTTTTATTCGCCCCTTTGAGGCAAATTATGAGCTCATGCCTCGTGTCCATCCAGATGCTTGGCCGGACTTTTTTCATCTCGATGAGCCTGGATTTAGTGATGAGTCCGAGTCCAGGGCGCACGGTCTGCAGCAACGATGGTGTTTGAATTGCAAGATAATCTCATTTGCCCACGAAGCTCTATTGATTGATGAAGTAGAGGTAACAGTAAACGGAATAGCGGGCGGGCTCGTTCGCCAGGTCGGACCAGGGTTACGCAAGGATAATAACGCAGCAGAGATCCTCCCGGAACAAGTTCGCGAATGCGACTTCAATATTGAACTTCAACGCCTCGCTCTTGACGACCGCCAAACGACGACGCTAAATCTATCCCTTGATATCAGATGGCGCCGGCAAGGGGCAGAAGCGGCATCGTCCTCGACCATTGAAGCATTCATACCTACAACGACGCTCCCAATTCCCCGCTTCGTCATTCCTATGGGAGAACCACGCGTTCTGGCAACGGTTATGCCGTCGTCGTCTGCCATCCCCGGTTTCATCCACCTGAACTACACGCTTGAAAACCCGTCAATGCACCTTCTCACTTTCAACATTACCATGGAAGCCAGTGACCAATTCGCGTTCAGTGGGCCAAAGTCGATCGCAGTACAGTTGGTGCCGTTGAGCAGACACACCATCCAATATAACCTCCTGGCAACTGGAAAAGACAAATGGATCCAGCCTCAGTTAGTGGTAGTTGATTCCTACTACAACAAGACGCTGCGGGTGTTGCCCACGGAAGGGATGAAGGCGGATAAGAAGGGAATTTTGATCCATATAGCCTAATCCAGGCTTCCATACAAGAGGTCTGCTTAGATAGAGGATAATCTTTACAAAAGTCACCACCCCCAGAATCCTTTGCTAGGCTGTCAACCGAACCTTCAATTCCCCCCTTCTTCTCTTCTTCTTCTTCTTCTTCTTCTTCTTCTCACCGCCCGTACGGAGTATAACTAACTAACTAGTGGTTAGACCCTGGGGGGGGGGGGGGTTAGTGTGAGTGATCACCCAGATTGCTGCCGGGTTACTGTCAAGCTGCCAAATAACCCATCCAGACCAGGGAGGGTTGGAGATAGATATGTAATCACTCTAGAAGCTGAGTGCTTCTTGATTAAATTATTAATTCAGCTCCATCTTAAATTTTAGGCTGGTATTCGGGACCAGGACAGGACCATTTCCCATTGAAGCTGGTTCTGGTCCCAAATTTAGAAACAGCCAGAATCCCAAATATGAAATCTTAGTCTCATATTCTATTCTACTCAAAAGCTTGAGATTCTGTTCCTATCTTTATTTCATAAACTATTTCCTGATCCCATTCTCAAATAGAAAGTTATGTTCTATATTTCATTTCAGCAGAGAAGATAGACTTCCATTTCTTATTTCAGCCAGATTTAGAGTGAAATCAGAATGGGATCACATTTTCCAGCTCCATTATATTAAATTTATAGGGAAGAGTTAAACTGATCAAATTTTGCATAAACCATTATCAAATTTTATTACTTTTTTGATAAAGACAGAACTTTTAGAAAAATCAATTTAATTGTAAAGAAAAATAAAAAAAAAGAAAAAAAAAAAAACAACTATTAAAACTAATTAATGATTGAAGTCAGCAAACAATCAAGAACTATCATAGAAGTAACAAGCTGATATTGAACTTAGACACTATTTGAAGACTTCTTTTGTGATATTATGTATTGTACATCTAGATATATAATACATCTTTCAACTTGAAATTCTAATTGCACAGCTAGTATGCCTCAATATTTACTCTATCTTGATGATGCCAGTTCTTGACGATAAACCTTGTTTGGATCCTGCCCCGTATGCCGATGAGGACCAACCATCTGATTCCATCCCTGAAGAGTATGATCTTTGAGGGACTCCCAAAACAAGAAAAATCGCAATAAGAAACAATTCAGAGGGGTAGTGGAAAGGGGAAACATTTCCAAGCACCAAACTTTCCTGGAAATGGGTAACCTCTGCATCCATAAACCCCTTCTCACCACTGGGGGGTTTCAGAAGCAAATGTCTCATTTCGACAGTGTAAATAATGGTGGATAGTCTGGGCAGTTGTCAGCAGGTCAAAGGGTGCTGCGAAGATGCAATGAAGAAAAGAAGACTCACGGAAGGGGTTGGGGAAACAAGGTCCCAGCAGGACCTCTTTTCCCAACCAATCACTTCTTGAAGGTTGGTCTGGGCATGTGCCAAGTCTTCCCTAATTCAGCCTAGCTCAATCACGTGATTGAAGGCTCAGGTCAAGGCTTGGCATCAAGGTCCGGTTGGAGAAGGGCTTTCTTGTGGGCTACGGTTCTATATACATCTACTGCATTTGGAACCCTTCGAAGGACGAAATTCTACACGTTCAGGATGTACGGTTTGATGAAACCCGCCGCTACGATCCTGAGGAAGTTTTCCTGCAGCGTGAGTGCAGAGAGGCATTTTTTAAGCTGTTCTTGCCCAGACGCTGCAACACCAATGAACCGATTCCACTGATCCTGATCCGTCTCGTCATTTTTGCTGGATATTCGGCGCAGTTCTTTCCGGTTTCGATACTCCTTGCGCTCGGTATTCATGATGTGTGCATAATCCCCGATCAGCATTTCAAGCTTACCATGATTCTGCGCTAGATCGTCCTCTCGTCCTCCTCCTTGATTAGATCGTCCCGCTTCTCGACACAGAGGATTGTGTAGAGATATATATTTAGGGAGTCGAAGCAGACTTTATAAAGTGATGAAAAAGATTGGTTCTGTTGGAACCTCTCTTCACGCCAAGCTGATTAGGTAATCCTGTTAGCTAACTAGCGGTTAGATGGGGGGGGTTTAGTGTGGGTGATCACCCAGGTTGCTGCCTGGTTACTGCCAAGCCACCAAATAACCTGTTTGGACCAGGGAGGGTGGGAGGTATATTATATAATCAGTACAGCATGATCAAGATCACCAATTCAGCTCCATCTCAATTCATTCTGTATTGTACAGGAGCTTCTGCTTCTGATGAATCTACATTAATTGACATACTCTCTGCAACACTAGACAGCATGGCCACTCCAACTCTGAACAGCCAGTCTGTCCTGATGGTGAAGATGGAGACATGTGTATAGCATGCACTTGATAGCATCCTGAATGCCCAGCCAAAGAAGACCTGAATTAGGCTGGTATTCGGGACCGGGACAGGATCCCATTTCCCATTGAACCTGGTCCCTGTCCCGAATTTAGAAACAGCCGGGATCCCAAATATGAAATCTCAGTCCCATGTCCTATCCCACTCAAGAGCTTGAGGTCCCATTCCCATCCCTATTCCAGAAATTATTTCCTGGTCCCATCCTCAAATAGAAAATTATGTCCCACATCCCATTCCAGCAGAGATGGTAGACTCCCATTTCCCATTCCAGCTGGGTCCATAGTGGGACTGGAATGGGATCAGAATTCCCAGTCCCATTGTGTCAAATTCATAGAGAAGAGTCAAACTGATCAAATTTTGTGTGGACTGTTATCAAATTTTGTTACTTTTTTGATGAAGGCAGAACCTATAGAAAAATCAATTTGATTGTCAAAAGAAACAAAGTATTAAAACTAACTAATAACTGAAGCCAGCAAACAAATAGAAACTGTCTAAATAACAAGTTAATTATCATCATCATCATCTTCATTATTATTATTATTCTTCTTCTTTCTCTTCTTCTCCTCCTTCTCCTCCTTCTTCTGCTCCTCCAGAACTGGCTTTGTGAACTGGACAGGGGCTCTAATACCTGCCATTTGATGGGTGGAGACCCTGACAGCACTGGGGGAAGGCAGGAAGGTGGCAGTAGTAGTTGGTGGAGTGGAGGCAGCATGCAGGTGGTGGATGGTGATGGCAGAGATGAGATGATCAGGTGCATCAATTGGGCTGAAATAGTTTGATCTGATTTTAGCACTGATGCCAAGAATGAGCTTCATATCATTAGTGTTGACTGTAATGTGCTTATAGTATGCCATTACCATAACAGAGCCTATATTACTCAGTATAATTATTGATGCCATTGCTAAGAGTGACTTACACTCAAACAGAGTGCACAAGATTGCTTCAGCTGCCTTCTGAAGTAACTTAATGACAGTATATTGCCAGTAATATTCATGTTCTTGATGACAGAATAAAGTAATTTCCTGAACCAATTGCTGGAATGGAGTCACTGACAAGATTAGCTTGATAGAGCTCTGGAAGTGATAGATTTTCTTGATGGTATCTATTTTTATTAATTAGCATCAAGACTGTTACTAAAAATTGTTACTTTTTGACATACAAGTGCCAGCCTTCCAATTTTAAATGGGAGAATGGGGACAGAAATTCTTCTGGTCAAAGTTGGCCAGATTAACATCTTTATTAACTTTATGCTAATTACTCTTCTTCAGGGCCCATTCTTTCAATGTGGCCTTGTGCTGCTCCTCTCCAGCTGTATGAAATGAATGTGCATGAGAAAAACTAATATCTTGTCAGTAAATAATGTGCACCAGAGCAGTATTCTGCAAGCACTCATCTCTTAATATAACCTATTTTATTGCAGTATATGTTCATTGTATGTGTGGATGTCAAAGTGCAGTAAATAAAAAGATGGTGGGGGAGAGAGAGAGAGAGAGGAATTATCAATATTAGCTCTGAAGAGAAAGAAGAAGAAGAGAAAGAGAAAGAGAAGAGAAAAGAGACTGACCTGATGTTATTATTCTGTAGCCAGTATAGCAACAACACATTAATCTTGCTTATAGCAACATGTCTGTAGAATGTAAACAATATGTATAGTAACCATTCTACAGTACTTGATCAATACACTCTATAATTCCATTATCCTGTAGCTAGTATAGCAACAATGTGTTGAGCTTGCCTATAGCAACATGTCTGTAGAATGTAAACAATGTATATAGTAATCATTCTATGCAAGTACTTGATCAATATACTTTATAATCTCATTATTCTGTAGCCAGCAATTTAACTCATTGCATACAATTGTGAAGATGGGGCCAAAACAATATTCAATAAGAGAGAAGACCTGTATGGCATGGGAGTACTACCAGATCTTGAAAGGCCATCAAAAAGATATATTTAAGGCAGGAGAGATGAATTGCAAGGCATGCCATGATGTACTGAAGAGAATTCAAGCAAAACATGAGTGGTATGCACCCTCAGTAGTTTATGTTAAATCATATTAACATTTATTGCAGGCAGAATAGCAGTGAGAAGAATTGCAAGATAATTGAAGATAAAGCTATTGAAGAGTTAATGATCAAGTAATTTGTCAAGAGCAAGTTAAAGAAGTATCATAAGCACCAGCTCATGGTCTCTCAGCAAAAGAAGAGAGAGAAAGAGAAGAAGTGTTACTGAGAAGAGGCTACAGAGACTGAGAATGAAGCTCAGCAGAAAAAGAAGGTAGAATTCAAAAGTAATGAAATTTGATAATAGTTCTGACATATTTAGGTCAAAACAAGCCAGACACAGCATTCTATTACTGCATGTAGGGAGGCCTGATTCTGCCAAATGATAGCCAGACTTGAGGTCAAGATTATGGTTCATGATTATGATTATCTTGCTGCAGTTGGTGTGTTAAGAGAGGGGGTTGAGAAGAAGATGAGGGGATTCCTGAACTAATTACAGGGTCTGAGTGAAGACAACAACAGCTCACCTGCTCCAGAGAAGATGGAGAAAGATGATTTTGAGATTGTGGTGTTCTCTAATGAGAATGATGAGAAGAATAATAAGATGGAGAATAATTGGATTATTGATATCTAGAGGAGAAAGTTAGATTTTTAGTTCTTTTTTCATATTAATTTGAGAATGAAGTGCCATTAAATTGGCAAAATATTTTATTTTTCTGAAGAAGAATGTTCCATTTTGTAGAAGAATTAAGATTTTGTAGTTAGTTGCTGTACTTACAGAGTAAAATGAGACTAACTATCTAGAGATTATCAAATTTTGTGTAGGCTCTGACCACATTTTGTTACTTTTTTGACTAAGGCAGAACTTAGAGAAAAATCAATTTAATTATGAAAAAAAAAAAAAAAAAAAAGAAAAATCTAATAGCTGAAGCCAGCAAACAAGCAAAATCTACAGAGATTTCTTCAGAATTGATCATAGTTCAACATGGAAAAAAACAATTTGTATTATGGAAGGAGCTGCATCATAAGTTGTTTGTTACTTGATGGTTGACTACTGAAGCTGCTCAGTTGATTAATAATAAGAAGTGTGATGACCCCAACTGGAAGGCAAAGCAACATCATTCTGATTTTTGGTCAAAATTTAATCAGATGGCAGAGCATTCTAAGAGTACTTCAGAGATGATTTGCAAGCATTACCAAATCTTTCTCAGCTATTCAAGCTTTTCTTGAAATGGTACAAGTGATCTGAAGAAGCATTTAACAAGCAAAGATTGTACAAAAACTGGTGATGGACAGGGTAACACTCTGGTTAACATGATGGTAGGTCATGGATTCTAATTTTCCAAATGTAACAAATTTTAGTAATGGTCCTGGTATCTTAGCAACAGTTTTCAAAGCATTCTCAAACAGATTCAGATCTGCCTGTTTCTGAATGCAATTGAGACAATTTTCTCCAGCAGCTTGTGCAAACATTAATATTCTTGAATCTCTTATTTTGTGCTATTGAGAATCCAGCATTCCATACATTAATAACCATGCTCAATCCTGCAATGGCTTTACAGATACCCACACAAGAAACATTATATCAGATCATGAATGATATGTACAATCAGCTATTCTGAAATCTTCTCTTTGACCATGACTCAACAACTAAGGTATTTCTGACAGTAGATAATTAGACAAGTCCCAATAATCTTGTCTTTATGACAATTAATGATTATTACATTACAAAGGATTGGAAGTACTGTGAGCATTTACTGAATTTTGAAAGTTTAGAGGGTACTCATACTGGCAAGAATATGGCAGAGATTCTTCAATAATCACTAGCAGCATGAAGACTTGAGAGCAATCTTCTTGCAATTACAAGTAACAATGTGTCAAACAATAGTATCATGTGAGCACATCTTACACATCAGTTAAGGCCAGCATTACAGCAGTTGAACAAGATAACTGATTGGAATGCAGAGAGTGGAACAATACTCTATCTTGCTCATGTGATTCAACTTGTGGTTTGAGAGCTGGTTTGCAATCTCAAGATTCAGCCAGACAATGATGCTCTACCCACTATCTTTAATAAGAGCTCAATTACTGATGACCTAGCATCAACAGACACATTTGCAAATACTCTTAGAAAGGTAACAAAATTTGATAATAATCTTGATATACTTGAGTTGATTTACTAATCTTTGCTTGATAATAGATTCATCTTGTTGTCAATGCAACCAATGTCTTCCCCCAACTTGCTGCACATTTCCAAGAATATCAACAAGAGAACCAGCACAAGATGATTCAAGATGTTTGCACAAGATGGAATTCCATCTATAAGATATGTGTTTGTGCTTTGTTGCTTTGACAAGCTGTGAACTCATGGATCCAGAACTTATCATCAAAATACTAAAGGCTTTGCTTATTGGATCATGACTGGAAGCAGCTAGAGTATATGATTGGACTGTTACAGCCATTCAGTTAATTTATCAAGATACTGTTCAAAACAACAGGCCCAACAATTTATCTGGTATGGACAATATACAATCATCTTTTCCAGTATTTAGAAAGAGAGAAGGACAAGGCCCAACAGTTAATAACAAGAGAGAACATTCAAGAAGCTATCAAAGCTGCCAACTTGAAATTCCAGAAATACTATAATAATACTGAGCATTTAAAGAATAAGCTGCTAGCTGTAGCTGCTGCTCTTCATTCATTATGCTGCATGAGAGCATATGATTCAGAGGATTGGACCAGTGATGAGTGTAAAACATACTAACAATATATTTTGAGGTTTTACAAAAAGTATTATAAGAAATATGAACAGTCAAGAGAAGTAATACTTGATGTAAATGATATATATTTATTATAAGTATTATTCTGATTTCTTCTCTGCTAACTTCTCTAGAATATTGAGCAAATGATTTTTGAGAGATCCCATCAAAGATGAGCAAATTTCTAAAATGAAATGGAGTAATATTTAAATAATGAGAATTTGACATCATCTCAAGCTTTAATTCTGAAACAGTGGAGGATGCTAGAGCCTGATTTTTCAACTGTTGCTTGAATAGCAAGAGACATTCTGGCTATATCTTTAACAGAGATTGAGGTAGAATGGGTTTTCAATATTGCTTGGGATACATGTTATTATTAATAATTGTGGCTCCATGCATCTACAATCAAGAAGATCATGCTGCTTAAACATGGAGATAAGATGCATATGCTGGATGAAGCACTTATATTGCATGAGAAGTTGGTCAAGAAAGTCATCCAAGATAATCAAGATGATCAAGATATTTCAGAGATTATACAGAAAGAGATTGCAAGCCTGCTAAATCTACTACTCAATTCAGATAAGAAACAGAAAATATATCAATGTTATCAATAGATAGACTCAAGTAGCTAATAGCTTGCAATATGATCCAATTATGCAAAAAGCATTATCAAATTTCAGTACTTTTCTGAAGTTGAATAAATTGATAAAATTATGTTAGGACCATTACCAAATTTTGTTACTTTTTAACAACATAAATGGAACTGGAGTTCCTGATCCCATTCTACACTTTACTGGTTCTGTCCCATATACAATATTGAAATCCTGGTTCTATCCCATTTTGTCATGTCAGATCCCAGGCCTGTTCTACTAGCTAGATTTTGATCCTGATCTCAATCCCATCCCAATCCCAGTTTCCATGGAACTGTCCCAATATGCTGTTAAATAACCTGGTCCCATCCCATTAAGCTGAGCTTCAACCTGATCCCATCCTCAGGACAGGAATTGGGATGGAAATCTGGGACCAGGATGGAAAATCCTGGAACCAGATACCACTCTAACCTGAATGCAGTATAAGTTATGCCAGAAGAAGTAAAGAGTAAATATCTGTATTATATGTATTCTCTTGTTAATTCTTGCTCTCTTCTGTTCTGTTCTTATACTGTACAAGATATCTGTATTGGTCTGGCTGACACTTTCTAACTTCTACTTGCTAGCATTTCTGCTGAATGAAGAGCTTTCAGAATAAAGAGCTGATAACAGAGCAGAAGCTGCTCTGGTTTCTATTTGAATATATGATTAACTATCCAGCTAAAAGATTCTGCCATTCCTACAACCATATAAATAAGAATGGAGAGTCTGTTATGCAAATCCTGAATCAATCATTTATCAAGATCTACAAGACTGTAATTGTCAATTTCTGAAGCTACTAATAAAATTATTATATAAACTTTCATCTTCATCCAGTTAGCCAGGCTGTCTGAATCTTGCTTGAAACTCATTCAAGACAGAAGTATGAATGCAAGAAGACAGAGTTTATAGATTACAGTACAGAAACTCTACTGAATAAATATCATGAGAAGAATATTATATAACTAGTTAAGTACTGCTGACAGAACTGGTCAGAGTTCAAAAAAGATCAGTCAGTAAAGCTACATCTCTGCACTACAGTAAACTTTCTAATAAGCTACAGCATGCTTCTCTATAATAAATTCCACTATATAATACAGCTGGCTGATCTCTTTATTCTGAAGCTGACAAATAAAGACCTAATCTCTTACTTTCTCATGATTTTGATCATGAGAAATGGCAAGACTAACCAGATGGGCCAGATTGAGTATGCTACAGTAATGTGCTATCACAATCTCTTGCTCTACATCATGACACAAACAATCTTTTATCTCTTCTATTAATGGAACATTGTACAAGAGCCACCACTCCAGTTTCACAACTGCCAGAACTGATACCAGCTGCATCTAATCAAGAAAAATGATATAAGAAAGCCTCTATTATATAAGATCCAGCTGGACTGAATTTAATGCATCTACAGTAGAACAGAGCTTTCTGGCCTGAAGAAAATTTATACTTAATAAGCTGCTGAAGCCAGGCATGCAGAGCAAATTAAAGTCAGTAAGAGCCAGATCTGCTGTACTGAAAGATAAAATAATAATGTTCTCAGCCAGTACTATCTGACTAACATTTTCAGAAAGTTTGTACAGGCCATGACTGACTTTAACTTTCATATATCTGGGAACTTCTATCTGCTGTACACCAGAGTGCTTGTATCTGAGTCACTGGAGCATACTGTCTGACTTTAGATTAATGACTGGATATGGTGATTTAAGTTATATAATGTCCAGAACCCCAACTTCTGCCTTCAGAGATTAAAGCTGAGAAGATTTTCAGATCAGAGTGATTCTTGAGATTAGCTCAGAAGATCTTCTGCTGTACAGCTGGATAGAAATAATCTGACTGCTCAAGAATTTCTATATCTGCTTTATTATTTCTGTATAGTTCTTCTGCAGAACTCTGTCATTCTTCAGTCTCTCTTTTTCAGTTATTTTCTGTGGACCAGCTCTGTATTCATGAGAGAGAATTATTATTAATTTGCAGAGACAGTCCAGATGGCCAACATTTATAAAGAAAAGCTGTATGAAATGCAGCTGCAGTAGACAGTATTTATAATGACAGATCAGCTGTATATTGTACAGCAGAATCTAAGTATGGCCTGTAATTATTTATATACTACTCTGGAAACAAGACTGCAAAAAATTAATAATTAGTTAGAAGTACTGACCAGTAAGCAGATTTCTTTTCTTGTATGAGTATTTTCTGCTGGTTAAAGAATAATGACAGCAGCTGCTGTCTTTAAAGATAAAAATGAAGAGAGAGACAGTAGTTCTACAGTATTCAGAGAAGCACAAGTTTCAGTCTGTTTATTAGAGATAGCTTCAGCCTCTGCTAGTACCTCTGTTCCAGTCACATACCAGCTTTCTTATATACTTACTACAGTTCCAGATCTGTAGCAGGAATGAACAGTTAATCTGAAGAGTAGCTCTTCAGTATAGAGTCTAGATTAGGCTGGTATTCAGGACTGGAACAGGATTCCATTTTCTATTGAACCTGGTCCCAGTCCCAAATTTAGAAACAGCCAGAATTCCAAATATGAAATCTCAGTCTCATGTCCCATTCCACTCAAGAGCTTGAGATCCTGTTCCCATTTCTATTCCAGAAATTATTTCCTGGTCCCATCTTTAAATAGAAAATTATGTCCCACATCCTATTTCAGCAGAGATGGTAGACTCCTATTTTCTATTCTGGCCAGATCCATAGTGGAACTGGAATAGGACCAGAATTTCCAGTCCCATTATGTTAAATTTATAGAGAAAAGTCAAACTGATCAAATTTTGTGTGAACTGTTATCAAATTTTGTTACTTTTTTGATAAAGGCAGAATCTATAGAAAAATCAATTTGATTATTAAAAGAAACAAAGTATTAAAACTAACTAATGACTGAAGCCAGCAAACAAACAGAAACTGCCTAAATGACAAGTTAATCATCATTGTTATTATCTTCATCATTATTATTATTCTTCTTCTCCCTCTCCTTCTTCTTCTTCTACTTCTTCTTCTTCTTCTCCTTCTTCTCCTTCTCCTCCTTCTCCTTCTCCTGCTCCTCCAGAACCAGCTTTGTGAACTGGACAGGGGCTCTAATACCTGCTATTTGATGGGCGGAGACCCTGACAGCGCCGGGGGGAGGCAGGGAGGCAGTGGTGGGTGGTGGTGGTGGTGGTGGAGCGGCGGCAGCAGTAGTTGGCGGGGCGGGGGCAGCATGCAGGCGGTGGGTGGTGGCAGCAGGGGCAGTTGGCGGGGCGGGGGCAGCACGCAGGCGGCAGGTGGTGGCAGCAGGAGCAGAGCAATCAGGCACATCAATCAGGCTGAAATAGTTTGACCTGATTTTGGCACTGATGCCAAGAACAAGCTTCATATTGTCAGTGTTAACTGTAACATACTTACAGTGTGCCATTGCCATAATAGAGTCTATATTACTCAGTATAATTATTGGTGCCATTACTAAGAGTGACTTACACTCAAACAGAGCACACAAAATTACTTCAGCTGTCTTCTGAAATAACTTAATAACAGTACATTACCAGCAATATTCATGTTCTTGATGACAGGACAAAGTAATTTTCTGAATCAATCACTAAAACAGGGCTACTGACAAGATTAGCTTGATAGAGCTCTGAAAGTGGCAGATTTTCTTGATAGCATCTATTTTCATCAATTAGCATTAAGACTGTTATCAAAAATTATTACTTTTTAACATACAAGTGCTGGCCTTCTAATTTTAAATGAGGGGATGGGGGCAGAGATTCTTCTGATCAAAGTTGGTCAGATTAATATCTTTATTAACTTTATGTTAATTACTCTTCTTTAGGGCTCATTCTTTCAATGCAGTCTTGTGCTGCTTCTCTCCAGCTGTATAAAATGAATGTGCACAGGAAAAACTAACATCTTGTTAGTAAATAATGTGTGCCAGAGCAGTATTCTGCAAGTACTCATCTCTTAATATAACTTATTTTGTTGCAGTATATGTTTGTTATACATGTGAATGTCAAAGTACAGTAAATAAAAAGATGGTGGAGAAGAGAAAAGAGAGAGAAATTGTTAATGTTAGCTCTGAAGAGAAAGAAAAAGAAGAGAAAGAGAAAGAGAAGAAAAGAAAGACTGATCTGATGTTATTATTCTGTAGCTAGTATAGCAATAATGTATTAATCTTGCCTATAGCAACATGCCTGTAAAATATAAATAATATATATAGTAATCATTCTACAGTACTTGATCAATACACTCTATAATCTTATTATTTTATAGCCAGCATAGCAATAACATGTTAAGCTTGCCTATAGTAACATGCCTGTAGAATGTAAACAATATATATAGTAACCATTCTATATAAATACTTAATCAATATACTCTATAATCTTATTATTCTATAGTCAGTAATTCAACTCATCACATACAATCATGAAGATGAGGCCAAAATAATATTTAATAAGAGAGAAGATCTGTATGGTACAGAAGCACTGTCAGATCTTAAAAGATTATTAAAAAGATATATTCAAGACAGAAGAGACAGATTGCAAGATATACTATAATATGCTGAAGAGAATTTAAGTAAAATATAAGTAATATGCACTCTCAGTAGTTTGTGTTGAATTATATTGATATTTATTGCAGACAGAATAACAGTGAGAAGAATTGCAAGATAATTGAAGATAAAGCTATTAAAGAGTTAATAATTAAGTAATTTGTCAAGAGCAAGTCAAAAAAGTATTATAAGCATCAGCTTATGGTCTCTCAGCAAAAGAAGAAAGAGAAAGAGAAGAAATATCATTAAGAAAAGATTACAGAGACTAAGAATAAAGCTTGACAGAAAAAGAAGATAGAATTCAAAAGTAACAAAATTTGATAACAGTTCTGATATATTTAGACTAAAACAAGCCAGATACAGCATTCTATTGCTATATATAAAGAGATCTGATTCTGTCAAATAATAGTCAGGCTTGAGATCAAGATTATAATTCATGATTATGATTGTCTTGCTGCAGTTAATGTATCAAGAAAGAAGATTAAGAAGAAGATGAGAGAATTTCTGAACTAATTATAGAATTCAAGTAAAGATAACAACAGCTCATCTGCTTCAGAAAAGATGGAGAAAGATGATTTTGAGATTGTGATATTCTCTAATGAGAATGATAAGAAGAACAATAAGATGGAGAATGATTGAATTATTAATATCTAGAGAAGAAAGTTAGGTTTTTAGTTCTTTTTTTATATTAATTTGAGAATGGAGTATTATTAAATTGGCAAAATATTTTATTTTTCTGAAGAAGAATGTTCCATTTTGTAGAAGAAGAAAATTTTGTAGTTAGTTACTGTACTTACAGAATAAAATAAGACTAACTATCTAGAGATTATTAAATTTTGTGTGGACTCTGACCATATTTTGTTACTTTTTTGACTAAGACAGAACTTAGAGAAAAATCAATTTAATTATAAAAAAAAAAAAAAAAAAAGAAAAATCTAATAACTGAAGCCAGTAAACAAGCAAAATCTACAGAGATTTCTTCAGAATTGACTATAATTTAATATGGAAAAAAACAATTTATATTATAGAAGAAGCTGCATTATAAGTTATTTATTACTTAGTGATTGACTACTGAAGCTGCTTAGTTAATTAATAATAAGAAGTGTGATAACTCTAACTGGAAGATAAAGCAACATTATTCTGATTTTTGATTAAAATTTAATCAGATAACAGAGCATTCTAAGAGTACTTTAAAGATAATTTGTAAGCATTATCAAATCTTTCTCAATTATTCAAGCTTTTCTTGAAACAGTACAAGTAATTTGAAGAAGCATTTAACAAGCAAAGATTGTATAAAAACTGGTGACAGATAGAATAACACTCTGGTTAACATGATAGTAAGTTATGGATTCTAATTTTCCAAATATAATAAATTTTAGTAACAGTTCTGGTGTCTTAGTAACAGTTTCTAAAGCATTCTCAAACCAATTCAGATCTGCCTGTTTCTGAATGCAATCAAGATAATTTTCTTCAGCAGCTTGTGCAAACATTAATATTCTTGAATCTCTTATTTTATGCTATTGAGAATCCAGCATTTTACACATTAATAATTATACTTAATCTTACAATGACTTTACAGATACCTACACAAGAAATATTATATCAGATCATGAATAATATATACAATCAGCTATTCTGAAATCTTCTCTTTAATCATAATCTAATAATCAAGATATCTCTAACAGTAGATAATTAGACAAGTCTCAATAATCTTGTCTTTATGGCAATTAATAATTATTACATTACAAAGAATTGAAAGTACTGTAAGCATTTACTAGATTTTGAAAGTTTAGAGAGTGCTTATACTAGCAAGAATATAGTAGAGATTCTTCAATAATCACTAGTAGTATAAAGACTTGAGAGCAATCTTCTTGCAATTATAAGTAATAATGTATCAAACAATAATATCATGCAAGCACATCTTATATATCAGTTAAGGCCAGCATTGTAGCAGTTGAACAAGATAACTAATTAGAATGCAGAGAGTAGAACAATATTCTGTCTTGCTCATGTAATTTAACTTGTGGTTTGAGAGCTGGTTTGCAATCTCAAGATTCAGCCAGATAATAATACTCTATTCACTATCTTTAATAAGAGCTTAATTACTGATAATCTAGTATCAACAGACACATTTACAAATACTCTTAGAAAGATAACAAAATTTAGTAATAGTCTTGATATACTTGAGTTGATTTACTAATCTTTGCTTGATAATAGATTTATCTTGTTGCTAATGTAACTAATATCTTTCTCTAACTTGCTACACATTTCTGAGAATATCAACAAGAGAACCAGCATAAGATGATTCAAGATGTTTGCACAAGATGAAATTCCATCTATAAGATATGTATTCATGTCTTGTTGCTTTAACAAGCTGTAGACTCATAGATTCAGAACTCATTATTAAAATATCAAAGACTTTACTTATTAAATCATGACTAGAAGCAGCTAGAGTATATAATTGAATTGTTGCAGTTATTCAGTTAATTTATCAAGATACTGTTCAAAACAACAGGCCCAACAATTCATCTGATATAAATAATATATAATCATCTTTTCCAGCATTTAGAAAGAGAGAAGAACAAGATCCAACAGTTGACAATAAGAAAGAACATTCAAGAAGCTATTAAAACTGTTAACTTGAAATTTCAGAAATACTATAGTAATACTGAGCATTCAAAAAGTAAGCTGCTAGCTATAGCTGCTGCTCTTTATTTATTATGCTGCATGAGAGCATATGATTCAGAGAATTGGACTAGTGATGAGTGTGAAATATACTAATAATATATTTTGAGGTTTTACAAAAAGCATTATAAGAAATATGAATAATCAAGAAAAGTAATACTTGATGTAAATGATGTATATTTGTTATAAGTATTATTTTGATTTCTTCTCTGCTAACTTTTCTAAAATATTGAGCAAATAATTTTTGAGAGATCTTATTAAAGACAAGCAAATTTCCAAAATAAAATAAAGTAATATTTAAATGACAAGAATTTAATATTATCTTGAGCTTTAATTCTGAAACAGTGAAGAATACTAGAGCCTGATTTTTCAACTGTTGCTTGAATAGCAAGAGACATTCTGGCTATATCTTTAACAGAAGTTAGAGTAGAACAGGTTTTTAATATTACTTGAGATACATGTTATTATTAATAATTACAGCTTCATGCATCTACAATCAAGAAGATCATGCTGCTTAAACATGAAGATAAGATGTATATGCTGAATGAAGTACTTATATTATATAAGAAGTTGGCCAAGAAAGTTATTCAAGATAATCAAGATGATTAAGATATCTCAGAGATTGTACAGAAAGAGATTGCAAGCCTGCTAAATTCACTACTTAATTCAGATAAGAAACAGGAAATACATTAATATTATTAATAGATAAATTCAAGTAGCTAATAGCTTGCAATATGATTCAATTATGTAAAGAGTATTACCAAATTTCAGTACTTTTCTAAAGTTGAATAAATTGATAAAATTATATTAGAACTGTTATCAAATTTTGTTACTTTTTAATAATACAAATGGAACCAGAGTTTCTAGTCCCATTCTACACTTTACTGATCCTGTCCCATATATAATATTGAAATTCCAGTTCTATTTCATTTTGTCATGTCAGGTCCCAGGCCTGTTCTACTAGCTAGATTTTGATCTCAGTCCCAATTTCATCCCAATCCCAGTTCTCACAGAACTGTCCCAATATGCTATTAAACAATCCAGTCCTATTTTATTAAGCTGAGCTTCAACCTGATCCCATCCTGGGGACAGAAATTGGGACAGGAATCTGGGACCAGAATGGGAAATTCTGGAACCAGATACCACTCTAGACATCTCTCACATCTAATTTATTCTTTCAGAATTCTGTGGCTCTTTTGTTATTACTGACAAGGTCTCCTGTATTTTACAAGAAGATACATATTGGTATGACTGACCTAATTAACAACCCAACTGAATTGTGGTAATTATGGAGCTGGAGAAGCTCTATTAGATGTTCATCAGGTGACTTTGCATGATATTCTGATGAGACACCAGTCTTTTCTTCTGATTTTATTTATTTCAGGTGCAACAATACTGCATGTAAGTGCACTTGAAATGAACAAGAAATCTATATCAGAAGAATTTAATTTGTGGATTAAGACTGAAGACTGGCCTGCATAAAATCTGATAAAATTATTCTTATTATCCAGTACACTATTACTGTCAGCAGCTTTAATAAAAGAATTCATTTGCTGAGACTTCTGCTTTGCTTAAATAAGCTGCTCTTACTGAAAGATCAGGAAACTTACATTATATATAAAGACAACATTCTAGCTCAACTAGATGTTCATCTTGACTATATTTTTAACAGATCAGATAGCTACAAACTCTCAGAAATAAATAGGTTCTTTGTATGATAAGTAATGAATACAATTTGCTACACATCATCTGTACAAGAGCTCTGACTTAGCACTCTGCTCTGAAGTGAACTGGAAATTATAGCATATGAGAGAGATATGCTGATCAAGATGCTCTGTCCAGATGACTTTATCAAGAGAACTATATTTATTCTCTTCCTGCTGTTTATTGACAGATTCAGTCTATATTAAAACATGTACTGAAATATAACTAACTTCTATATAATTTCTGCAGGACTTAATAATTCTGAAAGAAGACAATAAAATAATATATATATAATTGCTCTTGATTCTCATGCTACAAATTTTTCTGATGTTGTAGAGATGTTGATTTTCAGTTTACAAGCAGTTGAAAGAGAATTTAATATTATAATAACTGGTGAAGAAACTGTCAGAATTATTACTTCTTGTATTACTTATCTTGATAACATGCTGCAGCAAAATAATAATACTGAAATCAAATACTTTACTGCAACAGTCTTCTGTTGAAGCTGTACTGTCTCTAATGTGGAGAGGTTCAATATGAATTTTAACTTAGTGAAATATAACTGATATTATTACCAGTTACTTAATTTGCAGGCTGAAATTAAGATAAAGCAGACTGTTCATGAGTGAGAAGCACTGTAGAAGATTCATAAATTAATCAAGAAAAGTTCTTCAGTTTTAAAGATCTGTCTGATACTGAATCTGGTGACATTTTTCTTTTCTGATCTCTGTTATAGTGAATTTTCAGGCCTGTCCAAAATTGTGCATATATTATTAATATTACATATATTAACATCTGAGAGGCAGAAGAAATACTGCTAAACTCTACAGAGATTTTTATTTTAAAGATACTGGATCTGACTGCAGTTCTTAATTACTTATCTGGAGTTCTACTAAATTCAGAAATACACTCAAGCTTTAATTATGATTTCAATTATACTCTGCTTTGCTCTAAAGTCTGACTGAATTCAGACTGTTGTTCAGCAGACTCTTTATAACTTCTTTAATAAATAGTTAATTGATTCTAATATTCTGTATTTATTACTTGCTAAAATCTTTAGTACTATTGCAAGAAGTAATTTATTATTAACTTCTCAGATATCTGTTGAGTACAATAAACTTAAAAGTGTAGTTATTAATACTTAAACTATACTTCAGAAAGTAATAGATGCTACTGTCATGACTGCTGAGATATTATAGTTGGCTAGCCAGACAGTATAAATGCTGAGATCATGACAGAATTTACTAGTGTTTAATTAGATTGTAATACTTCTGACAGAGAACATTTTAATCAACTCTGTCAGTATTGCTTTAAAAGCAGATAAGATGTTACATGCTTTAAAATACTGATCAAACATGCATATTGAGGTGCACTATACTAACCAGGCAAAGAAGTATACTGTATCAAATAACTACAATATACTAATTGAAGAGAATAAACACTGTAAATATAAAGCATTTGTGCAGCAAATCAACAAGTATAATGTTGAAAAGATTTTACTGATTTATGAGAACTTCAAACACACTATATTCTTGATTCTTGATAAGACTCTTATGAAATTAAAACTCTATATCAGTAGCTAGATAAAGCAACTTCATCACAAATATCTGATTCTCATGCAAGATCTTGTGTAATTGGAACACAATAAGCAACAAGATGATAATGAGAATGCTAATAAAGCTGATGATTTATATGCTACTACCTCCTTCTATATCTTAATCAATGTCTACTGCCAACTACCAGCTAGTCACAAAGTTATGAAATTGCTTGATTTATAAAGTATACAGCTTTCTGAACTATCAATTATGCATTTCTTTTTGCAAAAGCTCTGACTTTTATATAGCAGTGATTGGACATATTAATATATACTTGATGGAGGTTTGACCCCAATCTGATTGTTTTAAAAGCTGACTTTTATATTTAATGAAGATGTGCATTATACTATATTGAAACTTGATAATCTGATGGAGTATACTCATACATCAGATATCAAGATCAGGCAAATAAGATGCATATTCACCCATAACCAGGACAGCTGCTGAAGAGTTTTTTTTACCATGTTTTCTGCTCATGAAATTTGATGTAAGAGGGTACTGGATTTGCTGATTTTACAGATGAATTAAGATGAGATTTATATAATTAATCTACCTGCAATCTGCAAACCAAGCCTTTACACAATATCTGTCAGTAAAGATTCTGAAAGGCTTAAACTGGATTCTGCTCTGCTGACTACCTTTCTCAACTGCACTTGGAGTGTTTCCTTTTTATAGATGAATTGGGTGGTTTGATGTATGTAGTATTGCACATTAGTTGAAATCTCTCCAGTGTCTGCTGGAGTAACTATACTATAATGATTTCTATACTATAAATATTTATAAACCTGAAAAGGTATCCCAAATGTTTCTAGATATATTTGTTAATCAGGGGTTTGAATGTTTCCTGATTTCTACATTGAGGATCAGAAGCTACATTTCTGAATTCAGAACATATATATTTTTAAACTTCCAAACAACTGTGGATTCAGATAAACATATATTCCAACATAAACATATCAGAACTAGTGGATCTACAGTTTACAAATCCTCCCCATTTCTGCTATGGCACCTGACCCAGTTGTCAGGCCTGATCACTGGGCTGGGCGCCCTGCTAACTAACACAACATATACTATATTGAGTAACTGGTTATTATTCTAATATAGAGTATAGCATAGCTTGAGAAATAGATTCTCTAACTCTATTAAAGAAAATAAGTACACTGAAGACTTGCAAGATAGCTAGGACTGAAGATCTTTACTTAAGTACAGAGTATAATCTCTAAAGTTTATGTACTTGATAATAGCTAAATTTATGAAAATCAAGCAAAGCTTGCAGAATATTTAGACTTTCTAACAACAGATATGTTGTGAGAATGAATACAATTAGATAAAATTAACTATATTTTGACTATAGTTCACAAGAAATACAGTAATTTCTTTAGTAAAACTGGTTCTGTATACAGATCTGATATCTTAATCTGTATTAATATAATAAAGAAAATAAAGCTTCCAAACATACAGAGAGAAATTTCTTTACTTAATAATAATCTCAAGAATCTTGGGTCTACTAATGATATTTCTACTGTTGTATTATTATTGACTGTTTAGTAATTAATTATAAAATCTGAGAGAAGATTCAAAAATAATAACTCTGAAAAAATATATATAGACTTCTTCTTCTATTAAAGTACACAGTACAGATAAGATCTGCCAGTCAGCAGCTTAAATAAGAAAAAAACTATAAGATAATAAAGTAATTATTTTAAAGTATGCAGATCTGAATGTGCAAGATAATTCTGCTGTAAAGACAGAAGCTGAGACTGCTATTATTACAGCTATTAAGTTACAGCAACAAACTTCTTCACATCAACAGAGAAAGGTTTCCCCGGAAGCCTTGTCAATCCGGCCTGATGCATCCATCGCATCCATTTGGAATTGCCATATCTCATGTAGCATGCACCTGAATTTAAGCCATGGGAGATGGGAGAAGCCACTTCCAGCTCCCTCTTTTTGTGGTGCCCTGGGAGATGGAAGATAAAAGAGAACTAACTAATGGAACAAAGTACGCGGCGTATCTAAAAACTAGGCAAGTACATACAAAACAAGCCACAGTAGCCTATCCCACTTTGATATTGTCAATAGCCTTGTCAAAAGCCTTGATGATCGGCCCATAGAGAATCTCTGGATCCTTTGGTGTACCTGTAAAGATGTCGCTTTCGCGCACGGGAAATAAAATTCCCCGCAACTCTCTGCAAAGCGGCTTGATACTATCAAACTTGGGCGGAAACTCCTCCAAAATGAGCTCAAAACCATTGGCACCGACCACACCTAGTTTTGCAGTAGCAATGCCTCGATAGCTATTAGTATACCAATTTGTTAAAAGACTCCTTTTCGGCCACTCCTTACCCCAGCCACGAAGGGCGCACTGCCAGATAAGTACATAGAAGAATGATTCGAGATCATGCCGATATGTATGATCGATGTTGAGCAGCACCTCAATAGCCATGAACTCCATGGTGCCAGTGCGATAGCGCGCGCCGCTTCGCCCGGTGCCGAGCTCCTTGGCAAGGTCCATGTCAATCAGCATCCCCGCGAAGCCAGTCTTCTTGGAATCGGTTATGATGATGTTGTTCTCAGAGATATCCCGGTGGAGGATGTTTCCTTTGGAGTATAGTGATCTATGTGCCTTGACTGCATCACGAAGCGCTTCCAAGAGTTCCAGAGGCGACTTGTAGTTATGGATTGGCCGGCCAGCCGGGAATATGACGAGACAGCGAAAAATGCGGTTATCGTATGCACTGTCGCTGGGAGCGAGCAGACTGGCCCCTTGGGCTTCTTTGACATCATATGTAACCTCATTCTGTGGCGCGCTCGATTGCTGGCTGTTGGACTTGGATCGCTTTGATTTCGGGCCAGCATGGACAGACTTGCGCTTCTTCAGATGCTCAGCGGAACTCTCTATGATGGTTAGGCCATGGTGCTTGCTGAATGATCCGGAGAGGACACTGTGTGGCTGAGAAAAGGACTGTGAGAAGGACGACACGGCGCTGGGTGTAACATGGAAGGAGTACGGCTTTATGAATGTCATGCCTGAGCGCATCTCCTTGATACTGGTGATAGACTGATGGCCGACCAGTCTGGCAATGCCTTTGACTTCTCTTTGGTTGGCTAATCTGAGGAGATCCGCTTCAGGCTTCCGTCTGTCAGAGGTCCAGGAAAACTTGGTGATGTGATCCCAGTCCTCAGAGTATGGGACTTTTGTGAGATAGCAGGATGTTCCGCGGCAGACAATCGCCCGTTGACGGGTGAGAGGCTGTGGTTTCATCTGCAGCTTCATCTCGGTCCCCTCCTGCGCAACATATATGAAGCGATGGTTGCCGTCCCGCTCTGTAAACGTGTCCAGACCTAGATCCTCCTCATTCATCATTGTATAACCAGCGATCACCTGTATGAATCGTTCTGGCTGCTCATGGATATTGAACGGACCCGGGCTGTAGCATCCTGAACGGTCAAAGACCCATGCTGTCATGAACGGCCCGCAGATGGTAAATGCGTGAAGGTACTGCCGTGTCGGCTGACAGGTAAGCACATCTCGCGCATATCGGGCGAGCTGCACCAACGTCCTTTTGACACCATCATTGTTAGATGCCTTGAGTTCGCCAATCACCTCGATGTCTCCCCAGTCGTGGTCTGTATCTGATGGTTTTCCGCTCTTTCGTTTGACAATTAGATTGACCTGCTGCCGGGCCTCGCCGCCGGTAAGTTCTTTTGGTATGTTTATCGTGTAGTAGCGACGTTGCTCCTTCAAGAGCAGTTCATCCTGCAGTTGAAACAGCCAGTTCTGTACGTTGTCCTGGGTAGACTGAAGAAGTTTGGTCCATTTGCCGCTGATGTGTTGGTTCTTGATTGACTTGTAGACATCCTGAGCACGATCCGTCCAGTTCTTTCCCTCAAATTATTTCTCAAAGAACCCTTGCACGTCCTGATATGTGCAGCCCCGGATCTCTTCAAAGACTCTTGCCTCGACCAGCTGTCGAGTCTGTTCACTGTCTTGCTGTGATGCAGAGGTATGCGCGATCTGCGTGCTGTCAAATGTGGGAGGGACGCCTGGTGCGGTTGGGGTCATTCTTGAGAGTTCAGTAATGAGATTGAGAACGGCGCTCCAGATGTCATAGTCGGATGCCTTTTGGATGATGAGCTTTACTAGCGGGCGGTAGTGGGTGTAGCTGAAGTTCAAATAGACGCCCTATTTCCGACGCGATGTCACGACCACTGTTCCTCAACCGAAGATTGAAGGCTACTTCTTCTCCCTGCAGGGCAGAGAGCAGTCGTGATACTGCCTTCTGGCAAAGGTGTTCAGGTCTGTCGTCAGTGCTGTCAAGAGAACTGACAGAGGAATACAAATGCTCCGCGTCCAGAAGTGACCTTCGTAACTGGTCGAGAGAATTGTTCAAGGGATGGTTGTTAATAATCTTGCAATCGTCTTCCGATAGAGAAGCCATTTCTTAAGAGGAGGGGAAGGGAGATCAGACTTGGAATAAGGGTAGAGCAGCCAGGGGAAAGTTTCTTAAGGCTGAGCTCTAGACCGTCATTAGCTGTGGAACATATCAGCGCGTCACGTGAGAAAAGGTGTCCGCCCGGAGAAATGCGGGAGGGGACGGTTGATGGAGGTATTCAGGCCAATGATGTTATCTGGAATATCCGGATACCTGCAAGAGCCTGGGACACGGCCACAAGGGCTGCTATGACGCACTACGCCCCGTGGCGCAGGCTCTGCCTTATCCGGGGGGCAAGTGGGGCTTGTTGCTGCCAAATTACAAGTAAGCTTTCGAGGATGTGGAAAAACGCGGGTTCTGATTGGCGCCATATCTTACGCCCGTGTCATGTTGAGACGCGTACTGTGCTCGAACGCCGGGCGAGCACGGCGCATGGATCGCGGTCGCAAAGGGCATTCCCGGCTGCAATGACAAGCTCAAGGAGGGGCAGGAAGAGGCGCCGGCCTCCGCAAGCTATACCGACCCGAAGAACAGGAATGCTGGAGCTTCACGGCCCGAGACAGCCGGACGCGCACACATGTGATCTGACTGGCCTACCTCCGTAGTGTGTAATGGGGAATACGGAGCTAACTAGCTAATTGCTGATGTTTGTTATTAAATTAAATTGGCGACTTAATAGGTAGTGGTCTTGTCAATCCCGTCGCCATCCCAGCCGCATTCAGCCAATTCCGCCGCATGCTGTGCAGCGCAGATCAGTCTCTGTGATAGTTACCATCGAGCTTGGTTTGTCATCGAAATTGATGCTCCGATCTGGCTTTCTCCAATTTATCTCTCCACAATTTCTGAAGACGGTCTCTCGTCAGCGCGGTCATCTTGGCTGAGAGGTATTGATTATCGCGGATAACTGTTCATTAATTCGAATTGATACTCGCGCTTTCTTTCAAGACAGTTCAATTTCCATTTGCGAAAGAAGAAGTTGATTTAAGAAAATAAAAATAAACATGGAAGACTCAGCTCCTCAACCAGCCGTCTCGCTGGGACAAGGGGTCGAAACTGCGCCCGGTAAGTAACCATTGTCGGCTTCGAAGTTTCTCTACGACCAACCCATAGTTATGTCGACATGTATCCATATACATAGTAATAAAAACCTTGAAAAACCTACAGGTCCCCTTCAAGCAGAAGCCATGGGCTCAAACCACCCTGAAGGCTATGACCACGTTTTTGACACATCCGACGGTGTGGGCAACGGCCCTCGCATTATCAACATTAGCGACAACTTGGAGGTCTTGTGTGGACCGCTGCTCAACTACAAACGATTGAGTACGGACGATAGTGGTCGCACAATATGGCACGGAACGGTGCTTATTGTTACGCTCCCTGGCCAAAAACACCCCATGTTGCGATTGAGGCCAAAAGGCCCGGTAGCTCGCGGCCAAACTGAGTTCCACACCAATGGCGATGTCGCTACTGGAAGCGAGACGACGATCAAGGGACAAAAGCTCTTTGCGGATCCGGATAAGGCTTTCTGGAGATTTTTTGTTGCCGTCCCGCTGGAGAACTTTGAGGCGAGGTGGGAGTATATCATTCCAACGTTCCGTTACCAAAGCGGGAAAACAGCGAAGGAGTCCTGGAATTTTGTTGTCCCATCTGTGTCAGAGTCAATGCGCATCATGTTCCATTCCTGCAACGGGTTTTCGGTTGGAACGGACCTTGACCATTGGCAAGGGCCACTTTTGTGGAACGACGTGCTTAGGCGCCACGAACAGAAACCATTTCATGTCATGATTGGTGGTGGCGATCAGATTTATAACGACTCTGTACGGGTGGATGGGCCATTAAGGGTCTGGACCGATATTACCAATCCCGCAAAAAGACGATCACACCCTTTCCCTAATACTATGAGAGAAGAGTGCGACAAGTTCTACTTCAATAACTACATCCGATGGTATTCTACGGAACCGTTTGCAACCGCAAATGCGCAGATTCCCCAAATCAATATCTGGGATGACCACGACATCATTGACGGATTTGGCTCTTATACGGATCATTTCATGAAATGCTCAGTATTCCGTGGAATTGGGGGTGTTGCTTACAAGTATTATTGCTTATTCCAACATCATACCCCGCCGGCAATGTCTACCTATACCACTGATACCCCGGAGACCATGCAAGCGGTCAATGGCACTTCCGGGCAAGACCCACGGCAACTGGAGAACAGCTACGTACTCCAAGAAAAGGAGGATGACCCAAGTTACATTCGCGGTGCTAGGCCTGGCCCATACGTGGAAGAAAAGGGCCGAAATATCTGTACTCGACTAGGCAAGCGAATCGCATTTATTGCAATCGATGGGCGTACCGAGCGTACTCGTCACCAGGTCAACTATCCAGAAACTTATGACCTCATATTTGACCGACTAGAAAAAGAATTATCCGCAGCTAATGGCGAAATTAAACATGTGATTGTCTTACTAGGAGTTCCTATTGCTTATCCTCGTCTTGCTTGGCTGGAAAATATCATATCTTCCCCAGTTATTGCTCCTATTCGTTTGCTTAATCGACGTTTTGGTGTTGGTGGTGATCTTTTTAATAAGTTCGACGGGGAAGTCGACCTTTTAGATGATCTGGACGACCACTATACAGCTAGACACCATAAACGCGAGCGCAGGATACTCATCCAGCGACTTCAGCATATTTCAGAGAGATTCTCTGTTCGAGTGACCATCCTTGGTGGCGATGTACATCTAGCAGCCATAGGCCGGTTCTACTCGAAAGTTGGGAGCAAGATTCCGGTCATCAATGACCCAAGATACATGGTTAATGTCGTCAGCAGCGCTATTACCAATAAGCCCCCGCCAAAAGCTGTTGCCAATTTACTTGCTCGCAGAAACAAGATTCACCATCTTGACTTTCACACCGATGAGACGCTTATGAAGGTTTTTAACGAGCAGCCTGGAGGAAAAGAAAAGTCTGCAGATTTCAACAAGGTGACGATGCCGTCGCGCAACTACGCATGCATTACTGAAGTTGATTTTTCGGGTGTCAATGGGGGAACAAAAGTTAACGAGGAAGAGCTGGCGCAATTCCCGGCACCGAAGAATGGTCACAACCCTCTTCATCCCGGTGAAGTGGATGCAGGGACAACCCATCCAGCTGCCGATGGAATCACTAGTAGAGTGGGCATGGACGGTGGATTAGATGTGTCAATTCGAGTTGAAATTGATCCTGCCGACAAAGAGGGCACAACAGAAGGATACGGTTTTTGGAGTACGTTCTTCATACCCAAATATATCCTCGGAAATACATCCTTGGGGGAAATTATTATGATGTTATGAATGCTAATGATTTATCTATTAGTTCCACCATTGGTGTCCCCGAGAATGGAGGGCCATCACCGTTTCTCCCGTCATCGTGAGGATCGGCAGACAGCAGGACCCAGCGCAGCCTAGATGTACCATGGATAAAGTATTCCTTTTCTTATCTTTTATATGATGTATCCTATTTTTGTCTTTTCCTGTTGTGAAGAACTTTTTCGGGATTCCCAAACTGTACTTTCTGGTGGAGGATTTTTGCCCTGATCTTGTATTATAATTTTTTGTTGGTTTTGGGCAGTTGTTCACGTACAGTTGATGCATTGTACAACTTTCCTCTTTGCATACCCAAACACTCCCTGAGCCCAGCTACCTCTTCCCTGTCTTTGCTCAAACTTTGGTGATTGCATGTTAATATCTCTCTCTAACCCCCTGCATTTTACTCCATAAATCTTCTCGCCTCTTGAGAAGCTGTCTCCTTTTATATCACTTAATGTTTGGTATGGATGCTGTTAAGTTTTTTTCTATTCCGGTGGTGCTGGTCATCTCCTAGCTGAGAAAAGAAGTCGCAAAGCTCCCACATATCAACTTATCAAAATGTCTCATCTGTTCACCCACAGCTTCGCCAAGTTGCCGCCTTGTTTCCTTCTGCATAATTTACATGATTTTGGGCGCTATCAATATTCTGGTCACTGGTTAATTAAGGCTGATCTGAACTGTCCGTGCGGGCTTTCCCCAATTTCCGATCAGCGAGAGAGGGCATACGCTACGATATCAAGTGTACCTATCTTTTGCAACATGGGAGGTTTGGTATTCCTTTTTATAGGCAAGCCAGAAATGATCTTCGGCTTAGGAATGAAGCAAGTCATAGCTTGCACTGGGTTTGACTTTGGCCCATTCGGTGGTAGATAGACCTGTAGGGCCGTGGACCGGGCTAAAAAAGTATTACTAGATCCGGGTGAGACAGGGTGGATATATTTTGTTTTGCTGAGCTATGGTCTCTGGACTCCGTGTGCTCTAGGATATGAATCCTCTATACTCCGTAAATACCCATATGACTCTTTACAACGAACGTTTGGTTTGAAGACAGGCTGGTTATGCAATGACATCATAGGCTTGGCAGGAGTTTTTGGCTCTGTGGTGCCCACATTTCAAGGATAGAAACAGGAATCCAAAGCTTGCACGGACTAGTCTTCTCGGTGGGAACTTCTCGCTGGCCTGACGTGCTGACCCCTTTCTTTTTTCCAAAGGGGGGGGGGGGGGGGGGTGATTGACAGTGACATCACACTAGTCACGATGTGGCGGACCAAAATCCCGCCTCGATGGGGAAATAGTATATGAATCTCCCTCAAGCCTTATATCATCCTTAGTTGGATTATGGTATATATTTATACGCATGATAGTATCTTTTTAACTAATAAAACTGCTGTGACTTATACTCTTTGGTTGCTACTTTAAAAAGTTTCTCAGACATTTGTTCAATCTGCTCCACTACATCTTAATCAGTTGCAATGGCAGATTCGTATGTTATATAAGCTCTATACTGGCTATCAGATGGCTAATCTTCTTCCAGGCCCTGGCGCAACCAATATCATGAAGAGGAGTCCGATCCAGAGCCAGAAAGGGAAAAGGCTCAACCACAGCCCCAACTAGCGCAACAGCCGCAGCCGCAGCCGCAGCCGCGGCCGCAGCAGCAGCAGCAGCCTGCCAGAATCCTTACACAAGATCCGCAAGCACAGCAACAAGTTGCAATACAACGAACGGGCAACTTAGGGGGACGAACTGGCGCAATCCGCGAATCCCGCATCAAAGACCGCCCTCAACCCAAGGATCAACGAGACAACAGCTTGAAAGTCAAGATAGAACTGGATCTTGAAGTAGAGGTAGATCTCTACGCTCGTGTCCAGGGAGATGTGACGATAGGTTTGATGTGATGCATAAATATAGGAGAATGGTAGGATTACTTGATCTTGCCACTTGTTCCATTTATGCCTCCTGTGCCATGGCGTTATGGTGTTCCTACTGTTTTTGCCCAGGGCTTTGGTTGCGGGATGCTTTTGATTTGGCGAAGCGGACACCGGCAGGTGTTTTGTTATGAGATTTTGATCCGCAATTTAAAGATTGGGTAACTGAATTTGAGAGAAACTTTTTTGCGGTTGGTTCCTGCCCAGTCTTGAATTTTAGGATATAGGACTACATCTTGAAGTTGATAGGATGAAAATATATCCTAGAAACAGCTTACCAAACAGGATTGTTAGTTTTCATCATAACAGGGGCTTCAAATCTCATAGGGAAACTTGTTGGCAGCATCTGTTTTGTCACCCATACAAACTATAAACTCAAATAAGCATAATTTGATTTGCATGTTGCTGTTGGGTGTCACCAAGCCCACAAGCCGGAAAGCTTTCAACCGATTCCATGACAGTTAATCTGTTAGAAATTGTGAACTTGTGATGATGATTCTCCTATTGAGAACTTAATAGGATATCAGCCACCTCTGTCCTTCTTAACCTCTATCAGAACAACTAATGACTTCTTTATAATACAAGCTAAAACCTTTATATCTAGACAGCAAAGTAACCAGCCCTCTTATCTGCCCATAACGCCCAAATATGTTGCAGATGTGATGGGTACTCACTTGTGAAGTACCCATTTTCTGGCGCGACTACCGATATCCGTCAAGAAATCTATGCCAAAAATTCTTTTTCCTTTCCCTCTCCCGTTTCTCCTTCCATAGCCACCCAACAAGAGCACCAGTAGCATATCCGCCCAAATGCGACCAGTGGTCCATGGCCGCTATTCTAAACGGTAACGCTAGAGTAATAATTTCAACAAGCACGATTACAGCCAGGAATGTACTCCCATTCGCCGAAAACATCTCTTGCCAATCGCGTGGAAGGAATGCAATCGTGAGTTTGTCACTGGAGGTTAAAGATGGTTAGTAAAGTTTTTGAAGTGAATAGGAAGGACATACTTCGAGTGTAGCATGCACCAGGCGGCAACTAATCCTGCAATGGCGCCACTGGCCCCCAGAGATGTGATGGTCAGTTTATTTCCGAGAACGTGAGCGGCGAGTGACGTTAGGGAGGCGATAGCTCCTGAAGAAAGATAAAGCGCCAGGAAGTCACCGCGACCGACCTCATCGTGTACTATGAAATGTATATGTAAGCACATTTTCGACAGCTGAATACCGATAGTTGACTCGGGGCAAACATGCATCTTGTCCCAATAAACCAGAGTATAAACATATTAGCACCCAAATGACGCAGTTGCTGATGACTGAACACACTGCCTATAGTACTTAACGAATATGGGTATAGAGGCACACTGATGAAGTATCTGTTAAGCATCCTCCATGCCGGAGGGAACGCTTTCCACATCAGAAATACGGTGACATTAGCTCCGATGAGCCCAATTGCAGTCGCTGCAGCAGGAGGAACGGTAGGTAAGAGACGGTGTTCACGAGAGGGAGGCTCATATGTCTCGGAGTATAGATAGCAAAGTCCGCCGGTGAGAATGGCGACACCCAGCGAGGGAAGTATGCGGCGTGGCTACGGATCTCATTAGAATTGCAAAATATCCAAAACTGGACGAATACATACCTTATTCATCTTCGACGTGTCTACATTCGTAGATGTGGCGCGTATGTGATGCTTTTGAATCCATGCCAGAGCAGGGCGTAGCTGTGGATCCGCACGAGGACGAGCTACAAATGCGATTAATACACTCCTTTGAACAGGGCCACAAGTTGAGTTTAAACTCTTACCTTCTGTGATCGCGGATCCTTCAAAATTTGCCAATTCGGTATTCCTCTGAATCGACCTTGCGAAGTTTTCTTTCTCCTTTGCCTCGGATTCCAACCATTGCTGCCTCTCATCTTCCTCTTTTTTCTTGTTAATCTTCTCATTCTTCTGCCTAATCTCTTGGAGTACACTACGCCCGTACACGTCTCCTTCTTTTTCAACCTCCGCTCCAAATCTTCCGCTTTGAGGCTTGTATAGACCCAGTTTTTCAGCACGCCGCATTAACTTTTCCTCCTCTTCCTGTTCTTCCCTCTCAATTCTCCTCATAATGGCCGCATCTTCATCAACAGGGAAATTCCTGCGGAGCCACTCCAAGCCATCGTCCAAAATATGTTGTGGAACCCCATTCTTGATATCTAGCGGCAGCTCCAAGTCCAGAGTGCCGGCCAGTCGCCGGCCATGGAGGACTCGAAGAACACGATTCCCGAAAACAGGAGGTATCCTCGGTGTCCCAAATATCTGTGAGATCTGAGAATGCGAAAGTTCACGCGGTTGGAATCGAACGCCTTCTTCTTGCGTCTGGCGACTATTTGGAGGGGCGCTCGGCTGTGCGTTGAGGAGTTGAGAGGTGTTAAAGGAGCGGTAGAATCTGCAATTGTACGAAACTATAGTAGAAAAAGAGGTCCCACTTTGCTTTGAGGTTCGAAAGCTGAAAGCTCCTTGGTCTGAGCTGGGCGCAACTCCCATGCGCAAACCTGGAGGTCGGCTATCTAGGCATAATAAACGGGCAAAGCTTCGAGCTGAGGAGGATGGCTTGAACGGCAGTGAGGAGCGAATTCCAGTGCATGGACCTCGCCATGTCATCGAAAATGCATTGTTCATTTCTAGCAGCTAGCTTTAATCTCTTGAAAAGTCGGTTTCTGGTCTCGTGAAAATGTTTGGGATGCCCGTACTCGCAGCGACGGAGGAGGGCATGCGTCCTGCTAGAAGGTCAGGGTTGTGCGCAAAAAAACAATTAACTCATTCAGCGCATCGCGGTGAGCCAATTCACCCTCCACAGAGGATAATATTACCCAAGTATTGGTCTGTCCTGATTCATGTATGTCGAATTCTGGGCTTCCAACTGATTTCGAAATGTTGATTACGTAATATTTCGGGTTTAACAAGTCAAGCTATGCTTTTAACTCCGGAGGCATCACATGATTGGCATCATAAGGTTGTGGATAACGTGGAGGCAACAGAGCGTCAAAGCACCAAAGCATCACGCAGCTTTCGACCATACAGATTGAAAGAAAGAGATAAGCACTTCAGGGTAGAATGTCGTCCGAGTCTTTACCTATTACTTCGACTGCCTTCGCTGGAGCTCTCAAAGACCTGACCATTCCATTGCTCTACGCGAAGGTGTTTGAACTCCGCAACTCAATATCCCACCTCGAGCGATCCAACACCGAACTCAAACAATACATAGAAATAAGCCCAGGAGGCGATGAAATTTGCCAAGAAGCCATATCTGAAAATGAAGAAGTCATCAAGCGAATGTTGGACCGGATCGACCTGGTCAAAGCCGAGGTGGAGGCCCGTGGACAAGAGTGGATCGAATTAAATGGCACAGACAAGCTGGATGAAACAAGTGAAATAGGACTTGGACCTGAAGCGGAAGATATTGAACTACCTGATGCACCGATTACTGGAAGTGATAACGAACGACTGCAAGTTGGCCAGCCCCAGACCCGATCTGTTGAAAGCAACGGGCCATCTCAACAGGAATCGATGGGGCCCCGGCCAGGAGGCAACGAAAGACAACAAGAAGACGAGTCAGAAGGGGTGTATCTTTAAACTGAACTGAAAAGAGCGATTGATACACAAAGCACGGCAGGTCCTTATCCCTGCTGAGCACACTGCAGACACTGCTTGAGTTTTGAATTCTCAGAAAGTGTAGCTTTGCAGCCCGGGATTCAAAGCTTTGGATGCTTAGATTGCTTTACAAATCCCGCTTCATACAGGCGCCTTGATCGCTTTGGACGGACCGTTGAGCTAGGCTATCAGATAGAATCTGGGGATGGAGAAAATACGTGAGCAATAGCCGCATGATACCCGGGTTAAAAGTCCTTCCGCCAGAATGCATGAGCGGCCGGAGAACAACCAGATATTCGCAGCATTTCCATTGAACTTGGCCGTAACTGGAGAAACAACCACTATTTCGTAGCTGTGGTTGACATAGCAACTTGAATATGGACAGAGAAATCAAGTAAATAAACATGAAATATGGTCCATTTGCCCACAGTGACAGAGTAACACCGTAATTAAATGCATATATGACTTTCATCCAGTTGAGCCTTCTTTTCTGTGGCCGAGATTTAATCAAGCGCTATAACGCCCATGAAAAAGAATATGAGAAAGACACATCGTTCCGTTGGTAGTCATGCAGAAACTTGCAAAGATTGAAAACGCCCGTGATATCGTAAATAGCCAGCTTGTGGGATGTTTATCCTTGAGAAGACGTAGAGGGAGCAGCAGGCTGCTGGGCCCAGTGACCGGCAAGGGCTTCTGGAGGGATTTTCTCCTGCTTGATATAAATGTCGATCAACGGTTGCATCGGTTCCATCTCCTTGTCAGCGACAAGCTTGTAGTATTTAGCTACCGTCACAAAATGCACGAAGCACATATTCAAAACCTCGTGTTTGTTAATATGCCAAAACGGGTTTTCCCAATGGGCATGATACAAATGAGCGTAGCAACGGAACATTTGTTTCATAATGCCTTGGCAGTCCTTGTAGAACGTTGGTGGGAAACCACTTGATTTACCAATCCAATCTTGGGGAGTCGCTCCAGCGGAATTGGTATTGTTCGTGGCTCCTGCGGGTGGGCTGGCTGGCGACGGATTTGCTACAGACCCAGGCGTAGTTGTGAGTTCAGCAACGGCGAAGGTGGTGGGAGGCGATGACACTTGTTCCGTCGGGAACATCACCGGGTCGTGGATTTTGCTCACGATCCATTTCTCGACGCGATTTATAAATTTGGGAGCCGATATCTTCGCTGCTTTCCCGTCCACCAACCAGGTATATGTCAGGCTATAGAGACAATGGTTATGAGCACGTGTTCACTAGCATCGGCATAAATGGCACAACATACTTTCCAGCAGACATGGTAGGGCAAGTTAGTTCGTTACAGATTGGGAGCCCGGTATGAGTGTTGACTTCCTGGACCACTTGGAGCATGCCATGAATGAGGCGGTTTTGTTCCACAACTGCCTTGGTATTAGATCTTCTGAATGAGCATGTTGAGTTTGGTAACGTACTCTGATGGGCCAGCCATTCCCCAAGCTCTACATTCTTCGGACAAGCACAGAGAGTCAAAAAATTCCCCTTGACGTTGAGGGGCGCATATTTCTCCTGGAAGAAGTACTTGATGCCTTCACGCTCACTCGGGGTATTATCAGCACTCAGCGGGGACGAGACCGAGGATGCATTCGCGTTTGCGGTTTGACTCGACGAATACGTAGGTGACTGCTGATTCGATGGTGCCGTGCCATTTTTCGGAGGGTTGTTGTTATTGTTGTTCTTATTCCCACCCCTACCAAATCCCTGACGGCTAAACAAAGGGAAATTAGCAGCAGTTTCAACAGCAGAGCACAGGGAGGAAAATAAAACCAAGATCAAAAGAGTACAATCAAGACTGAATGCAACAAGATGAAGGAAAGTGTAATATCACATTTGAAAGGCCCTGTGTAATGGGGACACAAGCCATAATAGTTAGAACACAACTGGGGAACGATGAGGGACAACATACACGCTCTGGAAGAACGTCGCCATGATTGAAATCTGTCTAATATTGGACCACAGAACCAAGCAGTAGTTTACCTATGGTGTCTTAGGTCGCAGCAACAGCTAGATCGAACAATAGAAGAAATTTCTGTCCGTGAAATCTCTCAGTGTGTTTGGAGAAAGTGAGTAAGTGCCTCAAGAATAAGATGGTAGAACGGGGGGAAGTAAACGCCGGCTCGGATTATCATCTCACTCCGGCATCGGTCGTGCCCTGCCATCACACGCTAGGAGAACTTGGGGATTAGCGTTAGATCTGGTGGAGCAGAGAGAACTGTGAATGCGCTCACAGCTTCAAGACCTCGTCTTCATCAAGTGGTGTTAGTGCGACAAACTGTTATTCAACACTACTTCCTTCTGACTGTTACTCAGCGACTGCAGCTTCTGCGATAGCCTTTCGTCTTGTTCAAGCATTTTAGGATTCACACACTCACAAACACGCCACACCTCTACGGGGTATTTCAAACACCTATCAACCTATCCAAGCTCTGAAGGGATACTCTACGTTTCTAGGAGATGTCTTCGGGTGGCGATAGTCCCAAAGTGGACGAAGATGAAGTTAGGGATACAATTGAAAATGCATCTTTACCAGGCGAAGATAGTCCACCATCGCTTGAAGAGGATAAGCCGGACCTTGACAACGACGACGCGGACCTCTTTGGATCTGGCTCTGAAGGCGGAGACGATTCACGCGAGTACGCTCAACATGGCCTTGATTCAAATTTAACATTGTGTGCTAACACGTATTAGAAAACCCCGACGAAGGCTTGACGATGAGGAACTAGATTCAGGCGACGATGAAGGGCGCTGGGATCGGCGTGAATCCCCGATGGACGAAGATGGCGCGGAATTCGGTGAGACGCTTAATATAATGGACCTTAACCTTGGTCGCACTACAGAGCCGGAATCCACGGACGGACAGGTTGGTTCTTTTCGCCTGTGGTACAATTTCTTTTACTGACATCCGTAACTTTCAGTTCTATACGCTGAATATGCCGAATTTCCTGTCCATTGAGTCCGAGGATTTTAACCCTGAGACGTACGTTGCGCCGCCATTTTCTTCTGCTTCAACTTCGCTTTGCTGGCGCTATGACCCCAAGAATGGAAAGGATATTCAATCCAATGCACGTATCATCCGCTGGTCAGACGGCTCTTTGACACTTCAACTTGCCTCAAACCCGACCGAACAATACCGAATGCCTCTGAAACCTCTGGGGCGACCTAATAATTCTTCTAAAAACGCTGATTATGACTCTGAATTGGACTCGCATGTCTATCTTGGAGCTGCTGCAGAAGCTTCATCAGTCATCCGTATCACTTCACACCTCACCGGACAACTTTCCGTTCTTCCTACTACAGTTGAAACAGATGATGCGGTTCAAAAACTACAAGAATCATTGGCGGCTGCAACCAGAACCGGCCGAAAGAATCCTGATGGCACTGTTGCTATGTTCGATGTCAAGGAAGACCCGGAACTTGCAAAGAAACAGGCCGAACAAGCTGAGCGCGAGAAGCTTCGTGAGGCCCGACGACGACAGCTAGCTGCAGATCGCGACCTCGATCGTGGAAGGCGTGTAGGCCTCCCCGGAAGAACCGGTGGAGCTGGTCTTACGATCGCTGGATTAGAAGGTGACGACATGCTCGCCACTCGAGGGCGCATAGCTAAGAAACCCAGGCGTAAGCCCAACCGCCGTGGAGAAATTTACACCGACGATGAAGAGGAATATGGTCGCAGGGGTCGGACTCGTGAAGATGAATATGACGAAGATGACGGTTTCCTTGTCCGCAGCGACGAGGAAATAGAGATTGAAGAGGAAGAGGAAGAAGAACTCCTAGAGGAAGACGATAACCTAGAAGCAGAGGGTGAAACAGACGACGAGATTTCTGCTCCACATAAGATGGCCACTCGTGAAAAAGAGAAGTCTCCGAGACGACCTCTCGAGGATGGTGAAGAACCGGAAGGGGCCAAAGCGGGCACTCCCCCAGTGAGAAAGAAGAATCGATACGTTGTGGAATCTGATGAGGATGAGTAACTTTAGGATTCCGGTCTGTTCACTCGAAGATCAACAATTCCGTAAATTGTCCCTTTTGTTTCTCTATTTCATTTTTTTTTTTCTTTTCTTTTTTTTGAAAAAAAAAAAAAAAAAATCGCCCGCACTGTGAGATACGGGCGTTTTGGGTGGGAGCCATGTCTTTATAGTGCACTTACCTTGGTATCTCCATACGTTGGGCGTCTTATTCTCGGTATTTCATGGGCAATTTAGATCATAGGGTTGTCGCATGCGGAATACTTCGTACCTAGGTTCAATCCATAAGAAAGTGAAAGTCACTTCGGATTCCTCAATATCCCTCGCAACTCCTTAAAATACCTACATACAAGCAGAAACGCATGTCCGGACATTATTCGTGCCTTGTATGGGAACTGAGAGCTACATACAGAGAAAGTTAGGTGAGAAACGGAGAGAAGAATGTGGTCCTAAGGCTGCAAGGCCGCAGAATCCAGACAGTCATACAGATATATTCCACACATTTCAGTTTGTGAGGAGACCATTGTAAGACCTGTTGTCTATCAGCTAAAGGCGCGATTCGCCCTCATCAAAATTAAACCTTGCAATCACCTTCCTTGCACTACCTATGACCCTCAAACAAAAGTAGTCTTGCTCCTTATTGTGCTCGCTCTGATGCTGACAAACTGTGCCGGGCGCATCCGCCGGATAAGCTTTATCCTGCCAGGTTTGCCCCTCTGCATGGATTTTTCGTTGTCTCTCCTCCATATCCTCAATCAACGAGAGCAAGCTCGGTGTTTCAAGGCATTGAGACTGGACAGCATGGACTATAGGCGGCACGCTACTTCCAATCACAGCATGCTTAACGACATTATGTAACCATGCTCTCCAGTGCTTCCGGCGCGGTTCGGGATCGGTAGGCAGCGATGCAATATATGAGGGGTCGACGCTCAGGTTTCCCAGGGCTTCGGCATCTTTGCCAAACACTAGGAGCCACCCATCGGCTACCACATTCAGGAGCGTACCGAGGAGCATGAGGTTTTGCATTGAGGTGTTGAAAGCTTGCGGGCATATTTGGCAGTGAATCACGGATTTCGCGGTGCGTGCTGCGCTGTATAACGTTGTTAAAGTGTGGACAGAGAGCGGAAATGACGACAGTGTTGATATGGAGCTGAGGCATAAGTAGAGATATGATAAACATGAACATTGCGTCGTTAAACTTGGAGCCAAAGGGGAGAAGATGGAATCTGTGGGCTGGTAATTTGGTGTTTGGAACATCATTGGGGTGTTTATTTGCGAGTAGTCCGGGTTATGTGGCTTCCACTCCAGAAGAGGTTCTGGTTGGAAAACTTCGGACTCGAATATCGGCCCATCTGTGACAAACGGACCGGCTCTCAAATCATACTGATTTGTCATGAAAGATTTATAAATTGCCGGACACATGTTGGCGGCCTCCAATGCGCCCACGGGGTCTGGAATACCCTCAAGGATCGGTAGTAGGTCCGTAATATTGCTGTCATCCAAAGTCTGACTAGGTATGGAATTCTTGCTCTCATCGGACCGTTTCCTCTTTGGAGGCCGCCCCATCGGCTTCTGGAGGGAATAATGACAGACCAACGACTGCTTAACACAACGGCTGCATCCTGTCGCCTCTCCCGAACATTTTAACTTTCGCTGCCCTATAATCGAAGACGTTGGTACGCGAGAGACACCAACGCGCAATCAGTCAAAACGACTTACTGCACTCATCGCAGGCGGTGTGCCGCTTTGGGAGGGCTCCCGGATTGAAGGCCTTGACATTCGAGTATGAGAAGTCCATAACCGGGTCAAGCCAGGGAGCAGTTGCGTTGGTTTGATTGATGTCCATCGCAGCGGTGATGCCCAGAAGAGCCCGACTTAATATTGACAGCAAACCAAAAAAAATAAATTGCTACTGACTGCGAGGGCTGGGTTGGTGTTGGTCGGAATTTGTCGAGCCTGGATAGGAGATTCGATGCCCCGCGCGATTTCAGGCAGGCTCCAAAATCTTTCAACGGCAGATGAAGAGCAGGTCCGCCTTCGAACATGGAACTCTACTCTCTCAGATCGACCTCCTTAGATTCTCTGCTACCCTTTTCTGTGATTTGAGGCGATGTTGACTTCATAACATACTTAACCTTCTAACCATGCGTGTTGCTCCGTTGACCAATGACAGCAAGTTCAGGTGGCTACCAAGGTTGGGAGCGACGGAACAACAATATTCCTGAGACAGTCGGAATTTTGTTTTTGCAGGTCCGGGCAGTTTCGAGCGGAAAAAAAGCTGCACAATGTCGAGAAACTGCGCCGACGGCAGGGCTCAGCGAGTCATCCAGGCCCCGATTGTTCGCGATGGATTACTCCAAGGGCTCCAAGAAGCGCAAGGCTATAACGAAAGATGTTGACGAAGACCCGAGCGTCGTCTCTGGAGATGAATACGACCTTGAAGCGCTCGACAGGAACGATTCTGATAGCTCCGCCGACGCGAGCGACTCAGAGATTGAGTTGATTGGCGATTTCAGCAGCGACGATGGAGAAGACGACGATGGAGAAGACGACGATGAGCTTGATAGCGATGAAGTCCCATCCGATACGGAACCCTTTGCCCGGGTGAAAAGTGGGAATATTGCAACCGGCCTTGACGGTTCTTTAGATGGGGAAAGCAACGACTTGTCCGACGATAATGAACCGAATTACCGCATTGAAAAAGATGCAAATGGCAACGACCGGTATATCTACCCCGAAATCAATCCTGATGATAATTCGGAGTATTCCGAAGTCGATGAAGAGGCCAATACGATTGGCGATATCCCACTGTCTTTCTACGACCAGTATCCCCATATCGGCTACAATATTAACGGGAAAAAGATCCTGCGCCCCGCAAAGGGTCAAGCATTGGATGCACTGCTAGATAGCATCGAGATTCCGAAAGGCTGGACTGGTTTGACCGATCCATCCACCGGAAAGCCATTGCAACTAAGTCAAGAGGAGCTGGAGTTGCTGCGTAAAGTACAGATGAATGAGATCACCCAGGATGGCTACGACCCCTACCAGCCTACCATCGAGTACTTTACGAGCAAGCAAGAGATAATGCCTCTCAGCGCAGCCCCCGAGCCAAAGCGAAGATTTATACCTTCGAAACATGAGGCAAAGCGTGTTATGAAAATTGTCAAGGCCATCCGGGAAGGCAGAATTCTTCCGTATAAGCCCCCGGAAGAAGAGGACGCAACTCAAGAAGGAATACAGACATACGATTTATGGGCTGACGAGTCTCCACGGCCAGATCATCCAATGAATATTCCAGCTCCCAAACTACCACCACCAGGATATGAGGAGAGCTATCATCCGCCGCCAGAGTATCTACCTGATAAGAAAGAGAAAGAAGAATGGGAGAACCAAGATGAAGAAGATCGCGAAAGAGAATATCTGCCAACGGATTATAGCACTTTGCGAAAAGTGCCAGGTTACGAAAGATTTGTTAAGGAGAAGTTCGAACGTTGTCTCGACTTGTATTTGGCGCCAAGAGTACGACGGAGCAAGTTGAACATTGACCCGGAGTCTCTCCTGCCTAAGCTACCTAGCCCCGAAGAACTTAAGCCGTTCCCAACAACCTGTGCAACACTATTCCGAGGTCATCGCGGGCGTGTTCGAAGCTTAGCAATTGATCCCACTGGGGTCTGGCTAGCTAGTGGTGGAGATGACGGTACCGTTCGCGTTTGGGAGCTACTCACGGGCCGACAATTGTGGAGTGTTAAACTAAGCGATGAAGATGCAGTCAATGTCGTCCGTTGGAGGCCAGGCAAAGAAGCTGTCGTTCTAGCAGCATCTGTTGGTGACAGTATCTATCTTGCTGTTCCCGATGTTGTTAATCTGGAACTGGAAGCGGCTAGCCTTGAGGTGATTGATGCTGGCTGGGGCTATGCTACGTCCACAGGAACAAGTACTACAAAGAAGACTTCACCGGTACAATGGACTCGTCCTGCATCTTCCCTTGCGGATTCTGGCGTATATGCAGTGATTCCATTAGGTTATATCGCCAAGTCAATATCCTGGCACCGTCGTGGAGACTACTTCGTAACCGTCTGCCCTGGTACATCCACCCCTGCCTCAGTCGCGATCGCCATCCACACTCTCTCCAAACACCTTACGCAATATCCATTCCGCCGACGTCTCAAAGGTGGGGGTTCACCTCAAGTTGCGCATTTTCACCCTTCCAAACCTATCCTCTTCGTTGCCAATCAGCGCTCAATCCGCGCATATGATCTCTCCCGTCAAACTCTAGTTAAAATTCTCCGCCCTGGCGCCCGATGGATCTCCTCCTTCGACATCCATCCTACATCCTCCTCTACTTCTGGCGGCGATAATCTTATTGTTGGTTCTTACGATAGACGTCTACTCTGGCATGACGTCGATCTCTCCGATCGCCCCTATAAAACGCTTCGGTATCACCAGAAAGCCATCCGTGCCGTTAAATATCACCCTCATTACCCTCTTTTTGCAGACACGAGTGACGACGGCTCCTTACAAATTTTCCACGGCAGTGTCACGGGTGACTTACTCAGCAATGCTAATATTGTACCTTTGAAGGTGCTAAAAGGACACAAAGTCACAGGGGACTTGGGAGTGCTAGATCTTGATTGGCATCCAAGGGAAGCTTGGTGTGTTAGTGCTGGAGCAGATGGCACGTGTCGGCTATGGATGTGATAGATTTGATACCTCCTGTCTTGTGTAGTGCACGGATATGCCCTGATACATGTTAATTTAAAGCGGCGCTCTGGGGTTAGCTGTGAGATATAGTGCTCCAAGCTTTCTCAAAACATGCCATTCCTTTAATGAAAAATGCCAATGAGATATTGTAAGACGTCTAACTGGGTATATTTTCAAAACTTAGAGGTATATATGTACGTACATACATACAAAGAGTATGGTGCTGAGACAAATAGTTAAATCGCGACATTCCCACCTCCCCATTCTCTCCTTAGTCTCTCATATCTCCTCATGTCAGTAACACTTGGTCTAATCTCTGTCTTTGCAACTAAGAAATCTTCCAATTTGATTGTATCTCGCCGCTTGATCGCTGCATAACCGGCACGGCGAAGCAATGAACCCAAATCTGCACCGCTGTAGCCCTCACACGAGCGCACCAGGGCTTCGATTTCCGGGGTGACTTCAACAGTTAGGTTACGAACCAATGTACGAAGGATATCTACTCGCTCATTCTCGCTAGGTAGATTAACAAAAAGAAGAGTTTCAAGACGACCAGGTCGTAGCATGGCCGGGTCGATGATATCTGGCCTGTTGGTGGCAGCGATGACATATATCCCTTGTCGTGCGCTACCAAGCCCATCAAGCTCAGTAAGTAATGTGTTCACCACACGCGCAGACGCTTCGGAGAGTGTATCATCGCGACGAGGGACAAGAGCGTCAAGTTCGTCAAAAAATATAACGCAAGGAATAGAAGACCGCGCACGAACGAAGACTTGCCGCACTGCTCGTTCTGATTCGCCAACGTATTTGTTGAGAAGCTCGGGCCCCTTGACGCTAATAAAATTGGCACGCGATTCGTTAGCAACGGCCTTAGCAAGCAGAGTCTTTCCGCATCCTGGTGGTCCCCATAGAAGAACACCGGTTGGTGCTGATATCCCGACCTGAGCATAAATTTCAGGGGTTTTGATGGGGTCGACGATTGCAGTGACGAGTTCTTCGCGCACGCCACCGAGGGCGCCCACATCAGCCCAAGTCGTATCAGGTATTGTGGCGAAACCTTCACGTTTCGAGGAAGGTTGAATTTTGGGGAGTGCGGCCAAAAAATCCTCGTTGGAGACAAATACCGTTTGGGGTTCAGATTCCGGAGGCGCCTCTCGAGCTCGCCTTATCAGGCGGCGGAGTTCTAAGATTTTCGGGCTTATGTTGCTCTGAGGCTCTTCAATGTCCATCTCTTCATCGCCTAGAGATTTTAAATGATCTAAATATCGCTTGATAGCAGCTGTCCCCGCTGTAGATACCAGATCATTCAAATCAGCTCCGACAAAGCCAGGGGTCCGTTTCGCAAGTAATGGAAAATCCAGACCATTGGCAAGATTCATATTTCTTGTCAATGTGCGTAGGATTTGTTCTCTGACTGGTTCACTAGGAACACTGAGATTGATCTCCTTGTCAAAACGACCACCTCTTCTCAAAGCTGGATCAAGACTGTCTGGCCGATTTGTTGCGGCCAGTACAATAACTGGTTTTCCATCCGTCTTTTCCAAAGCTAAGTCGTCCATGCATGTGAGTAACTGGGCGACAATTCTCTTCTCCATTTCACGCTGGGCACTTTCACGCTTTGGAGTGATAGCATCAATCTCGTCAATAAAGACAAGACAGGGAGCAGCCTTTTTAGCCTCGTCAAAGTGTTCCCGGAGTGCCTTTTCCGATTCACCCGACATTCCAGAGACAATTGACGGAGCAGAAATGGCGATAAATGGAACACCCAATTCTGCCGCGAAAGCATTGGCAATTAGAGTCTTTCCACACCCGGGAGGCCCGTGCAGTAGGACACCGCGTGGCGGCTGAACTTTGGACGAGGAATAAACTTGAGGCCGAGTCATTGGGAGGACAATTAAATCTTCCATCTCTTGGATCACGTCGTCCACGCCTCCTAAATCTGCAAGGCTCACATGTGTCGGTGGGGATCGGTCGATAGAACTCTCCGCTTTTCGACGTTTCGAGATCGATTCACCACCTGTTTGACGCCTTTTGTTTGTGGGTTGGGGGACCGACGACGAGGACTCAACCGCTCCATCTAATTTCTTATGAGTTGGCGGTGTTTTCGACTGTGTGTTCCACATTCCCACGATGCTCTTGTTTACGCCATTCAAAGCCTAAGCGGATATTAGCAATGTATCAGCTTCCAGTGAAATCGTGGCGCCATACCGGAGGCTGTTGTTTCTCGACCAATCCCTCAAAGTCTCCTTCCAACGACTCAGATTCATCTTCACCCAAAGCGTCAGCTTTAATAACGTCCAATACCCGCTCAATACTGTCCTCTAATAATTTTTTGGGTCTGCGATTTAAACTGGAATTGGATTTCTTGATTCGGTCGTAAATCATAGGCACACCAAGCCGTAAATCCGAACCTTCCGCTTGCTGTTCGTCCACGAGCTTGCGGATAATTTGGTAGACCTGCAATGATAGTTAAAAATTCAGCGCTCTATATTCATTCGGGAAAGCCATCAATGTGCTCACCTCCTTATCAAGGCCATGCCCAAGGCTTGGCCGACCGCCACGATTCCTTGGTGGCATTTTGTATATTAAAAATGCGCTTGTCTCGCTCGCCGCCCGAGATCAACTTTCGCTTCCTGTCATAAATTGCTGTATCGACAGGCCGGTAAGTTGCCCTGCCGAAGATACCGGAACATTGTTAAGCCGAGACGTAACGATTATGCTTATCGATAAGGAATCGGTACCGTAATTCAGATACAGTCGGCTGATACAAGCCATCCGTCGTCGATTCAATGCGTGAGAAGCACCTCACTGGATTGGAAAACGTGCTCTTGAGACTATTGGAGATGCTAGTAAAATGGGAAACGCTTCCAGCTCGCATAAAATATCCGCGCAAGATAGGTACGTGTGGTACTGTTATCACAATTTGCTGCAGCGCAAGTCGTCGAATGCGCCGTTGAGCGAAAGGGCGCCTCAGCCGTTTGCCGTTCCTGTTCTACTATACAAATAGAGATTTGTTCTTGTTTTATTCGCTGACTATGAGATTCTGATTCCAGAGCAATTCTCGATCTGAAAAACCAACGAGATAAGCTACATCAGTACCAAAAGCGCATCACTGTCCTAACAGACCGTGAAACGGCCATTGCCAAAGAATGTTTGGCTCGCGGCGATCGATCGCGTGCTCTCTTAGCACTACGACGCAAGAAATATCAAGAATCTCTACTTTCCAAGACTGATTCACAGCTTGACCAACTGGAAAAATTGACAGGGAGCGTGGAATTTGCCTTGGTCCAAAAGGATGTCTTGTTTGGCTTAAATCAGGGTACGAAAGTGCTACAAGCTATCCATAAAGAAATGGGGGGACTCGAGGGAGTAGAGAAGATGATGGGTGAAACACAAGAGGCTAGAGCATACCAGGAGGTTCGTTTCCTACGCTGCTATTTCGTTCCATTATCTAGACCTAGATTACCAACGGTTCGCAGGAAATAAGCCACATGCTCGCCGGACAGATGTCGAATCAAGACGAAGACGAGGTAGAAGACGAATTGGAAGAACTCGAGCGAGAGGTTGCTGGGAGTGTGAAGCTCCCTGATGTCCCAACGTCAGCATTGCCGGAAGAGGAAGAACGGAATAGAGCCACGACAGCTAGCCAGCGTGCCCGCGCAAGAGCCAGGGCACAGGCGCAGAATGCAGTCCCCATGGAAGCCTAAGCCTTGTATCCCTATATCTCCAGTTTCTTTTCTTTATTTCGCCAGGGTTCCCGCACAATATACAGTCACCGCACGGCATGTACATACGCGGTGTGATGTCGGTCTGATGAGTGTTAATAGAAGGAGTTAATGGTATCGTCTGATTTCCTACGCATCCGGTGCGTGCACCTAGTACACTTTGGACGCAGGATATATCATACCCCCAGTTGTTGGTAATCGGCACCGCTCCCTAGCTAGTATTAATTCATTATTATCATTTCGCTAAGGTAGAGGGAAGCTAAACTAATAGAATAATAGAGATCTATCATATCTTCCAGTATCTACACCACGGAACCCGTCCTACTGTCCAATCGTCCTTCCAACCCCTTCGCCTACACCTTGTATAATAACATGATCTTTCGGGTTGGCCGCTGCCTCATACAACACCGTAACCGGTTCTCTGATGAGAGCCATATAATGCCCTTTAAAGCCGATATACCCTACCTTTGTGACCTCCTCGTCTCCCCCACTCCAGTTATCTTCGAAAAATAAAGTAACAGATGTCGTAGTGTTCCACTGAGCTCGGTTAAGGGGAATCTCCAGGGCATCGGCATCTGAACCTGTGAGTGTCTGGGGAACGGTAAGTGTTTGGGTGGCCTGGAGATCGGAGGCAGTGGAGAAATCGAGATCCGGTCGATTGCGGAAGAGTTTAATGGTCTTTGGGGCGGAGGTTGTAGGAGGTGCGTAGAACAAGAGGGAGTGGAGTTTAACCTGGCCAGTGAATCTGAAATTGACTCAAGTCAGCCGGAAGTACTGGGTTTGTTAGATGGAGATGTGGCGTCAGAATATTTTGATGGAGGGGCAGAGCATGGCGGGGTAAATAATGAATCAAGAGGCGTCAACTTGCGGCATTCGAGGATCGGAGGTTGAACTTACGGGATATACATCAGCATCTGCTCATCCACATCGCTTTCCAGCTCGGGGCTATCGTCTAAACGCTGAGCCCATGTTTTCTTGACGATGGCAGTGCCAGCCTTTGGCTCGGATTCGTTCAGCGTGACAATTCCATCGAAATCGATCTGCTTATATAAAAGCGACTGGAACGCGGGGGTCAAGTCATCGCTATGGTCATGATCATGATCGTGGCCACCATGGCCATGGCCATGGTGGTGGTGGTGGTGGTGGTGATGTGACATTCTAACGCCGCGGTTCTCTATAGTTGGTAGGAAGAAGCTGATTGAACACAGAAGGGATGTAGATAAACGATCTGGATACTATAAAACGAAGGATGGGGTCAAGGGCGAACCTCCACCCTCCAAAATCTTTTTGGGTCTCGAATAACGATCAAGCAAGGGGTATTCCCTTATTCTTCTCTACTTCCCACTAGGATTAGGCCGTGTCGCCCCTTTATGTAATTCGGTGACAGAGACATCGAGATCAACAGACGAGTTTCTTGGACATGCATCACAACGTTTGCCATTTACTCTACTTTTGCCCTCAACACAACTGTAGTATCTAAGCTAAACAGATCACTCTTTCACCTGGTAATAGTCGGAGGCATACTCAAGGAGCCATGACTTTTGAATTTTAGTGATATCCCGAATAAATATCTTGCTGCTTGTTTGCAGGACCTCGTGGAAAATCACCCAGTCCGCCTTTCGATTCTGTTTGTTACTTGTTAGTACTTCAACATCTGACCACTTTCTCTTGGATATAACTTACAAACAACAACGAACTCGGATGCGCGTGAAGGGTTACTCCTCCGCTTATGGTTTTAAAGGTGCCGTCGGGCTGCATCCTAGCAGCATGTCCAAAATATCCTGTTGTGAGGCACCGTTGTATCTGTTCCGCAGTAGTAGCCATCTGAGACTTGCGGGAGGACAGGGTTTCGTCGATCTGAATTCCAAAGCGGTCCAAGTATCTTTTAAGCTGTGCACGGATGCTAACTGCCTTTTGCATCGATTTATAATTTAGCGAGTTCTCCCGGCACCACTTCGAGTCTTTCTTTCCCTTGGTGACAAAGGCGTGGTACACATTCAGATATGTTAAATGATCCCCTTCCTCCACGGCAAACTTTCTCCGCGCGGATTCCATACCCTTTTTCTCGCCCTCTTGTTGAAACCAAACGGACCCTTGAACACTCGTCATGGCTGCTATGGATAAAATTTCACTGAGGCATCCAAATGTAGAGGCGTTAAGCAAGACTTTGGCCATCATAGGGTCCACCGAAAGCTCAGCCATGTGAATACCAAGAGGTTTGGTCAACTTTGCGTACTCATCCACAGCTCCTAAAGAGTAGAGCAGCTCAAGTGCTCGAACAACAAGCTCCGCAGGTGGGGTAGAGAAGAAATCAAATCGGACGATATTATCAATCCCAAGTGCTTTCAACTGGAGAATCACCGGTGCCAGGTTTGACCTTTGAATCTCTGGAACAGAGGCATCTGGTAGACATGCGTATGATTCCTCGGTATAAAGGTGAAAGCACTTGCCTGGTCTTGTTCTCCCGGCTCGCCCGGCTCTCTGGGAAGCAGATGCTTTTGAGATAGGCACTGCCGTTAAAGTATCGATCCCAGTATTTGGGTCATAAGCACGGAGCTTAGCATATCCGCAGTCAATAACGAATACGATCCCATCGATTGTCACGGATGCTTCAGCAATATTAGTGGCGACTATGACTTTGCGGGTATTTTCAGGAGCAGGGTCAAAAACATAGAGCTGCTGTTCCGTAGTAAGTCCCGCGTACAGGGGTAATGGCAGTAACTCCTGGGATTTTGGGGGTAAAGTGGCAGCACGCTCCGAGATTTTTTGGATAGCAAGATCTATTTCTTCTCTTCCGGTGAGAAACAACAAGATATCACCATTGGTTTCCCCCACATGGATGTCGAATACTGTCTTGATAGCTCTCTCAACATAATCTTCTGCCGGACTCTCCAGAAACAAGCAATCAACCGGATACATTCTCCCCTCGAGGCTAAGAATTCTTCCCACTTTGCCGCCCATTTCGCTTCCATTCTCCGCATTAAACTGGTCTTCTGCAAAAAAACGTAAAAATTCCTCTGCCTGCAATGTTGCACTGCTCACAATAATCCGCAGTTCCGGTCTCTTTTTCATGATCTTTTTGAGTATCCCAAGAAGGATGTCAGTGCTTAGGGAACGCTCATGGGCTTCGTCGACCATAATCACAGAGTAACGAGATAACAATGGGTCTACGAGAGCCTCTCGCAACAGGAGACCGTCCGTTAAGAATTTTATCCGGGTTGCAGAAGACGTTACGTCCTCGAACCGAATTGAATACCCAACCTCTTGGCCGACACTACACCTCATTTCCTCGGCGACCCGAGCCGCAACAGTTGTAGCAGCCACCCTGCGAGGCTAATTCATGAATTAGCATGTGCATCTGTAATTCTACCGCAATGAGATATCAGTAGTTAACATAGCTGGGCAACAACCTACCTGGGTGACTGCAATCTGCTTTCCATCTGCACACCATCCTGCTTTGTCAAGGAATTGAGGCAATTGGGTAGTCTTTCCGCTACCCGTTTGGCCCACGACTATGGTTACAGGATAATTTTCAACGACATAAAGCAAGCTATTGCGATGTTGTGCAATGGGCAATAACGCTGGGGGTTTATAGAGCGACGAGATGAAGCCCGTGGAGAGGTCAAAGTCGGTGGCCATCTGAGTAGGTTAAAAGTTCACCGGGCTAGTCCAACAGAATATATTGCTAACCGTATTGAGCTAGCCATGACCGAACGCTCAGACTCTCAAATTCCCGCCCAATCGGTGAATATGACTTCACTGTTTTCGCGCCGATGCTTAGGCTGAGACAGACGATTAAGTACCCCGACCTCATCTGGGGCTGGCTAGGTTGCTCGGCGAAAGTAAAATCCGAGACACCAGCCACATCACCTACTAATCAGTTTTCATTGGTTGTCTGGTGCAGATGGCGTCACTTGAGTTTGAGCCACACAGGAACTCGTAACGCAACCGTCAACATCCCGAGGGGGCGTCAGCTTTCTCGTCTCATTCACCGATCAAGAGCACTTTTATTTTTCGCTTCAAAGCTAGCTTACTTCTTCTTTATAGATTTTATTCGGGCTGTTTTTACGACATAAAAGTCAACAGTATAACAATCATGGCTGACGGGCCAAAGGTACGAGAAGCTCAGATTTCGTGCTGCCTAACGGCCAGTATCTTGCTGACTGTCGAGAGTTTAAAGAACATTGTCAATCCGGAATCCCCGACGACCGCTCGCCCGCTCGATTTTGATGACGAGCCTCTTGAAACGGGAGTAACTTCAACAACTCCAACACTTAGAACTCCGAATGATGAAGCTCCTCCGAAACCCCCGCGTCCACTTAGTCCCGAGCAGGAAGCTGAGAATACGCTGAAGGAAGCATTTCCAAGTATCGATGCCAGCGTTGTGAGAGCTGTGGTAGTGGCTAGTGGTGGAAACATAGATAGAGCCTTTCATGCCTTACTCGGTATGTACTTTCGAGTCTTCTCCCCATGTGGTACGTTTTGTGAGCTCATCTCAGTTTCAAAGGGATGTCCGACCCGGATGCGCAAGTTGACCCTCCTCCTATGAAACCACCTCGCCCTTCAATCGCTACATCCACCACCCAGAGACAGCTCGAGCAAGATGAAATGTATGCACGCCAGCTGGCCGAGCATTATAACCGTTCGGAACAGCACCGTAGCTATCCTCAGTCTGGATGGGATCATGAACCCCACTTACCACAGAGACAAAGAGAGACCGGCTTAAAGCCGAATGAATTATATGACGATCGAGAACACAGCTTTATTGATGGTATGCGTGGAACGAACTGCAGACGAGGCCACGATCGTTTGAGCTAACGTTATCTTTAGACGACCTTCCGATAATTAAAGAGAACATCCGCAAGGGTTTCTTGGAAACCCAAACAAGAGTCAACACTTGGATGCAAAATTTAAAGAAGAAATTGGATGGCGAAGAATCGGAAGATGAGATTAACTACGAGCAAAATCGGCAAGGTCAGCAATACAGACAAGGATTTGGCGAGTCACAAAATTATCGACCAAGGAGAAGTGGTGAGGCTCGTCGCAGTGCGGACCGCGAACGATATGATGCGGATCCACGGGTTTTGAGTGATGATTTTGCAACCTTGGAATTAAGAGATGAAGAGGGTAAGCATTGGCTAAGATCGCCTTCGGAAACATAACTGACGCATGAATGAAGCACCTCCAATTCGTCCACCGCGCCCCGCTGCCAACCCGGATTTATTCAAATCTAAATCATCCTCCCCTGATCAACGAAAGGTCTCATTTCAAGAAGGCCCACCAGAGGAGATCGGCGCCCCCCATTCTTCCCGTTCAGATTCTCAGAATCGCGCTGCCCAACCACAAGGCAAGCCGAGTAAGTGGCAGCCGTTAGCCACGGTGGAGCCTTCTCCGGTTACGGATCACGATCCTTTTAGCCTTGGGGATTCTGATGACGAGAAAGAGGTTAAAAAGCAGGAGGTGAAGTCGGAGGAGAACGAGAAAATAAAGTCGGCCACAACAGAAGCTGCCAGAGGGGATGCTGGAGCGAGTGGTAGTAATAGCAAAACCGACAGCACTTCCGGAAATCCATAACCTGTAACATAGCACTGAGAGCGAATATACTTGGTCACATTCCATGTTGACCTAGCGTGCACAGTTTCCATATTACCAATTTGTCTATTTGCCTTATGTATTCAGGTCATTCCCATCTTGTGTGAGGGCCACAAACAATCCTATAAGAAACACATTGCGTGAAGGCCCAGCATGGTATCGTGTCATAAATCATAATAGCAGCGAATAAAGTACCAATTGTTAACAAAGAAATATCCTCCAAAACGCCGCCAGTATTGTTCCATATCTGGCACTTAACCACCCAAAATAGCCTTGGCCCTATTCACCACCGACAAGCCCTCTGCTTTGACTCGACTCCTTCCGGAGCTCCTTGATCACGGTCTACAGGTGATAGGATGACAGCTAGAGTCAGTCTATGCTTCAATTTCCCTTAAGGTAGCTCTGAAGGGAAGCAAAGAGAGAAGTATCATGGTTTTCTTTTCTTTGCTGATTTGTCCAAAGAGGCATTAGGGGAAACTTACGGCCAGCGCCTCGGGGTTGACGCCATTTTCAATTAGAGATACACATAGAGACAACTCTGTGCGGTCCAAATGGGTATTCTTGACGATCCGCCTATGAGCACAGCCGTCTCTTTCATGGGACGAAGAATTGCGGAGTGTGTACGTACCAGGAGCGTGGATATCTCGTGAAGGATATCGATGACTTCACGAGCTGCTTGGCGCTTTTCGTCCTGTTGGGATGGCATTTGCGAGTTGAATGAATACTATAGTCCCTTGTAGAAACTCCAAGGTTGAATGTATATATATAATTTTCCTTTTTTCCTTTTTTTTTTTCCTTTAGACAAAGTGACCGAAATGTTGGAGAGGATCAAAAGCTCCAGCAGGACGGCCAAACAAAATTAGAGCGCGACCAGTGGAGATCCCAAAAGGTAAATCAACGCCCACTTTTTCCCTCCTCGAGGAACACAGCCAAATTGAACCCAATTAAAGAGGATAATCACTTAAATCGTGCAACAGAAGTCATGACGCTATCTTCGCAACCGGTAATAAGTGACATTCACACACTCCCTCAAAAAAGTGCCACTGCCATCATCGAGTGCATCACGCGTCTTGAAAAGCGCACTTTCCCGCCCTCAGAAGCATTCGAATTTACCATGGACCTATGGAAGAAAAAGCCCAACACGCGAGTGATATACGTGAAGTTTACAGAGACGGCCTCTTCAGTATCTTCGAAAACCAAACTAGCAGATAAAGTCACTAGTAATAGTGCTACGAATGTGATCGGCTACGCAGTGTACGTGCGTATGAAAGGCACTGCACTGCTGCATAAAGTCTGCATCGCGGAACCGTACCGTGGGCAGGGAGTCGGCAGGCAGTTGATGGCGTATATCGAGCAAAGATTACGGCGGGAAGGGTGTCAAGCTGTGCAGCTGTGGGTTGACAAGGACAGGGCGGCTGCGAGGAGGCTGTACGCGCGATGTGGGTTTGAGGAGCAGGAGACGGTAGAGAATTACTACGGGAATGGGAGGACGGGGATTAAGATGGCCCTGGAGCTCGAAAGCCGCTGAAATCCTTGCTTTTCTGAGAGTCGTCGTCGAGAAAACGAGCTTTGCCAGCTTTGTCTGGTTCTTTAACATGGGATAACGGTCGGCAAATTGCGCGCTCATTGTCATTGAAAAACCAGGGCCGCTAAGAACCTGGGATAAGAAAGACTGACACTGCAATCCTTCGTGCAGCAAATCACCAGGAACCATTGGACAATAAGACTTCACATGATTGGAATGATGTCTTCAGTGATGGTGGTTTATCCTATGAAGTAAAGGATCCGTCTAGACATCTCAAAAGCCACCAGCAGGGTGAAGCAGCATCATCTCTTCAGGAGGAACAAGGGGACACCCAATGACCAATCAGGGTCGGTTTAATCAATTGAAGCCTGCTTCTATCATGTGCAAAAGGGAGACTTTGTTCGGCACCCTTTAGATTAATGTATACAATGTACTCTGTATTTCACAAAGAGAACGGATGTCGCTCTGGAGTGAACTAATTCTGTGCCCGTGGTGTTCTCCAAAGCTCCATATGGCTGTCCCGGCTAGAAAGCTCCCTTTTCCCTAAGAAGCAAATCTGAAAGTCCTCCTTTCAAGGAAGCGGGCTGGTGGCGCAGCGGTTAGCGCGTAGGATTGCAGATCCCAAGGTCCCCGGTTCAAATCCGGGTCAGCCCTAACATAGTGACCTGATTTTTTTTTAGCCCCATGATCGATTAATTATATATGGGCGGTGGAGAAAATGGAGAGGAAATGTGAGGAAAATAACTTCGTTTTTCAAGTAGCTTCTTAGAACAGCCGGCTACCATGGGTCATTACTGAATTGTCTATATTTATGTCGAGCCGGGCACACGCTTCGGCTGACTCCCCTGGAGGGACTAATTTACGCAATGCCAATTCTAGAAGCTAGAAAATCATTCATATTCCGCTTTCTCAATTAATTACACGGCATTTGTGGGAAAGACCTAAAGACTCGGCATATTCGTGCTTGAGTTTCGTGACTTGCGGCCTTTGACGAAAGCAGCCCGAGAAAAATGGCCACTGACTTCTGTGTACTCCGTCCCGAGTCCTCTCGCTGTTGAAAAAAATTGTGATGGGGAAAATTTAAGCAACAGTGCCTGGAGAGTTCAGGGATGGGCTCCACGATACCCCGTCCTATTCGGCAATCATCGCAAATCAGTAGCGTTAAAACTCTGCAAAATGGTGTTTGGTGGTGCGCTTAGTCCGGAGTGCTCAAGGCAATGAAAATTTTTCACTTGGCCTCGTGGCGGGATGGTGATCCGGATGGTGGCTTTCGAGCTCAGAAGCGCCGTGGATGCGGGCGCTTTCAGGGAGCCCCTGTCATTGGACAAGAGCGAGAAAACTTGCAGCGGGGAAGCGTTTTGGTCGGCCTAGTTTACTTATTTTTCTCCCTTTTCCGTTTCGCATTGAAAAGCAAGGCGTTATGAACTAACATCCCGAGCAGCAATGGTGAGTTCCCCCAAAACACACTCGTTGCGCTGACGCATACGTGCCCCGTGTAGACCACGGGCTCAACAGTATTATCTCGCACGACTTTCATCGTTAACTCGGGATGTACGGAGTATTTATGGAGGTATATAGATCCATAGGTTGTGATGCGGGTACGGAGTACCCCGAAGGAGATCTCTCCATCAGTCTGAGTTTAATCAAGAACCTCCAGCTTGTTTCGCGTGTTGCTATGTTCAGAGACATGGTGGAGTCTGGGCGGCAAAGACCATCCCTTGTTGTACTGTGGGCATGGATCGATGGATGTACCTCGTTGTCTCCAGATCAAAGCTGTCTGGCTTGACCGCAGTTTGAAACAGGGCACCGGCGTTGAAAGCAGTAAAATGTTTGTTCTCCGTAGTTCTAATTGTTTTGGTGATATTTGTTCGAGGTTCCAGATGCTTTTGACACCCCGCCAAATTGCAGTTCAGAGAGCATAATTTAGGCTTTTTCTTTGGTCATGGCGTAACTCTCAGGCGTACGGCAGCCCATACGATCTTTTTCGTGAAGCTTTTTCGTCATTTCTCACATCAACCCTCCCAGCACGCGACCTCCTCCGTTTGCCAACCCCTGATATCTGATTTCCGAAGGGCAATTCGAGTAGAGAAAGGAGCTCTTTCTGGCCGGAGACGAGGCACACGAGCCCAACAGCAATCTCGGCACATCCTCGCAGCCGCCTGGACCCCCAGGCTGCTCCCGCTGACAACCCACATTGACCTTCGTCCTCCACCTCACTTCGCCCTCCTCCATCCCCCGACACAATCTCCCCTTCAAACTCTTTCACAACAACACAAATCCTTTCTCCTCACGTAATCCTCCCACCCAACACCCCCGGGAACCTCGCGACCACGCTCCTCTCACGCCCAATCGACATTGCTCGCTCCATCGACCGAGGTTGCACCCATAAGACGACACACACAAGAAACAACGCCTTGCCTGGACTTGACAACACTTGAAAGATGGGTCAGACTTTGAGTGAGCCTGTGGTTGAGAAAGTAAGTTGCTTCTGTGTTGTTTGTTAGAGACAGATAGCAGCCATTCTCGCGTCACCTCAGCTCCAAATGGCCGACTAAGCGGGGCTCATGCGTGCAGCTTTGCACAATGCTTAGTCGTCGCTCCTCTGTTGCTCCCGCTGTTGATACCATGGGACTAACATGACGCGTTTTCTTCTTTGTGACAGAACTCTGAGGAAGGCTCTGATGAGTGTGTTATCTATGGCCTTTCTGCCATGCAAGGATGGCGCATCAGCATGGAAGATGCTCACTCTGCCGTGCTTGATCTTCAAGCAAAGTACCTGGCTAAAGACCACCACCCAACAGACCCAAGTAAACGCCTGTCTTTCTTTGGTGTTTATGACGGGCATGGAGGTGAACAGATGGCCCTGTATGCGGGGAAAAACGTCTCAAGAATTGTTACCAACCAGGAGACATTCGCGCGTGGAGATATAGAACAGGCGCTGAAAGATGGATACCTTGCAACTGACCGCGCCATTCTTGAAGGTGGGTGCCATTCTACATATGTTCCGAGTGCTGTTCGACTCGGTTATACTGATTCCGTGCGACCTTGTCTTTAGATCCTAATTATGAAGAAGAAGTTTCAGGCTGCACTGCAGCTGTGGCTATTGTCTCAAAGGATAAGATCAGAGTCGTATGCGGCCCACCTAAAGTCTGTACAGTCGGTTTCTCTGTTCGCTGCTAACCTCTTCCTAGGCAAACGCAGGTGATTCCAGATCTGTTTTAGGTGTCAAGGGTCGTGCGAAGCCGCTCTCCTTTGATCATAAGCCCCAGAATGAAGGTGTGCTTTGTCTCTGTGCTTTCATATGTCAGATTCTCGGCTCCTAACCTCCAAATAGGTGAAAAGGCAAGAATTAGTGCGGCTGGCGGTTTTGTTGACTTTGGTCGTGTCAATGGCAACCTTGCTCTATCCCGCGCCTTGGGGGATTTTGAATTCAAGAAAAGTCCGGATCTGTCGCCTGAACAGCAAATTGTGACTGCTTATCCTGATGTCACCACTCATGAGATAACTGAAGATGACGAGTTTCTCGTTATTGCCTGCGACGGTACGCCTTCATGAGTTTTTTCCTCCTCTGCCCGAGTTCTAAAGTTCCTAAGCTAACATATTTCTACCAACAGGAATCTGGGACTGCCAGTCGTCTCAGGCTGTTGTCGAATTTGTTCGACGTGGAATTGCCGCAAAACAGGAATTGCACCGGATTTGCGAGAACCTCATGGATAATTGTCTGGCTTCCAACAGTGAGACCGGTGGTGTTGGTTGTGACAATATGACTATGATCATTGTCGGTTTTCTCAATGGTAAAACGAAAGAAGAGTGGTATAACATGATTGCTGAACGAGTTGCAAACAACGATGGACCCTGCGCTCCTCCGGAGTATGGTGAGCTTGATATTACCCAGCCCAGCGCCTTGAACTTTGGCTAACTCGGTTTTCTAGCTCAATTTCGAGGTCCTGGCGTTCGACGTCAATTCGATGACAGCCCTGATGAATACGATCCAGGACTTGATAGCCGGCCAACCGGTCGCAGCGGCAGAATCATCCTCCTCGGTGATGGTACCGAATTGCTGACTGATATGGGAGATGGAGAGATGTTCGAAAATGGGGACAGAGTCTCTGAGCAAGAGTCTACGCGTGAAGTCACTAGCTCTGTTGATGAACCGAGAAACGAACGTAAGGGCACTCCCGGACCTCAGACCAATCACGTTGCTCACTCCAATGGCCCAAGCAACGGATTGACAGCGGAAGCAAGCACCACCGAGATGAATCCTCCAGCCCCAGCTGGAGTCGAGCAGTCTGCCAATGCGTCTACCACCGAAGAGCAACCGAAAACCACCTAAAATGCGTCCGTCTTCTTTCAGTTTATTCTTCGAAAGTAATGATTCTGCATTAACCAGTGTTGGGGGTATTTGACATGAGCTCGAGCTTTGTGACCTTTTCGTGATGGATTTTTCTTCTCCTTTTTCCATTTCTTTGCTTCTTGTACTTGCTGATTATTTTCCCCTGGGCTTCCGTGGCGTGCCTGCGGAGGCCTCATGACGAATACAACTTTCGACTACATACGTGAGCCTTCGGCGCTGCCGTGCACGTATGCTATGCCCTTGTCACCAGCTTTTTCGACTTTTCTTTTCCTCTATGAATGCATTTCCTGTCTTGCCAAAGGAGGTTATTCGATGAATGAATGAGACTCGCATGAAACGACGGGGACGGGGTGGATGAAGGCCAATTAGGTTACTTGCTTTCTGATATCGTGGAGGGGTTCCATCCATTTTTCCTATTCTCTTCCTTTGTTCCCTTTTTCTTTTTGTGTTCCCTTTCATTGTCCGTTATCACCCTGTCGAGGCGTTTACATGGGTTAATTTAATCTTCGAGTGTGCAAGCTGAGGATAAATAGCCTTCTTCCCATTTTACCCTTGTGTCCACTGTTTGCCCTATCTTACAGAAATTCCCGGCACCAAGCCCACGCTGTTGCAAAGGGAAACGGTTTCTGCTTGAGGAGGTAGCATACTTTCTTTGAACGGGCCGTGTTTATTTGGTCAAGCGCTGAGGCGTGAAGAATGCAGCGATCCCACTGGCAGGTTGTCGTAAACTCGTCTGTGCGAGCTTGCAAATCCAACCCGCGACGATTCTATAGACACTATGTATCAGTCTTCTTAAGATGAGGAGCAATCAGAGCAAATCAATTTCTCTTCTTTTTACACTTCGCGGCAGGGTACAACCGATGAGGCGGGATATTATGCTACGTAGGCCAAGTGCCGCTTCATCCGTATCCCTGCAAAACAAGATGATCATCATAGCTTTTGAGAAAAAATAAAAATAAGAACCCACCCCCTTTTCCATCATTCTCTATCAGTGGGAAAAAAAAGAAAAAGAAAAGGCCACAGTGCGCCGTCTAAGTAATTCCAATCCTTGAATCCAGAAATCGCCTTTTTGTTTTTGTTCTGGAGAACAGTTCTCCACCTGCTGTCCGGAATCGCGGGAATGGAGCTCGGGATCCACCGCCATTGGTAAACCTGAGGAAGATTGGAAACCAACACATTTGAAAGTTGAAACCCCCTTCTTCGAACAACCTTTCCGGATCTCGCCCTGTCAGACACTCAATCCTGATTCCTCGGAATAGGACGCGTGCAGAAGGCGACCGAACGTACATCTATCCTTAAAGAACACGCAAATGTCGTCGCCGTCGTCAACGGCCACGAAGCGGAAACGCAGCGTCTCCCACCTACCCGCTCCCGATATCCCCCAGTCATCAACTGCCGAATTGCTTCAGCCGTCATCCCGCGACGCCTCTGGTGAAGAAGGAGATGAATCCGCAGCTCCCAACACATCCGTGAAACATAAGAAACCCGCCCTTGCTGCCGACACGTCCACCGTTCCACCCTCCAAGCGTCCTAGGACCCGATCTATAATAGCTTCAGACTTAGCGGCCCAGGCTCTCAACGGCGATACATCGTCAATTAGCAAAAATGATCCAGGCGAGCCGTCGGAGACGACGGAGGCAAGTGTAGACATTGAGAATCGGGTGAAACGTCGATCGGGCTCATTCCGTCAGCCAAGACATCAGGATGAGCGGATGAAGCCGCCGATGAGAGCGGGTTTGCAAGATCCGGCTGGTTACAAGACCAATCCACCTCCTACTGGACGCCCAGTGAGGGTGTATGCGGACGGTGTATTCGATTTGTTCCACCTTGGGTATGTGTTATACGTCCTTTCTTCCAATTGATATATAATTTTTATTTTGACCGGAATACTGATGGAAATTACAGTCATATGAGGCAGCTGGAACAGGCCAAGAAAGCATTTCCCAATACCCATCTCATCGTCGGTGTGACCGGAGACGCGGAGACACATAAGCGGAAAGGTTTGACCGTTCTGAGCGAGGTTGAGAGGGCAGAAACCGTCCGTCACTGCAAGTGGGTGGACGAAGTTATACCGAACTGTCCCTGGATCGTAAGTCCGGAGTTCCTTGAGGAACACCAGATAGACTATGTTGCCCACGACGATATACCATATGGAGCAGACGAGGGCGACGATATTTATGCCCCGGTGAAAGCGGCAGGCAAATTTTTAGTCACTCAAAGAACAGAGGGCGTGAGCACCACAGGTATCATTACGAAGTATGTCCTTCTATCCATGCCTTTGTACCATTCATATATATATATATATATATATGATAAGCTCCTTTGTTGCTAATACAAACCTTCACTGTCCAGGATTGTTCGAGACTACGAAAAATACATCACTCGGCAACTCAAGCGAGGAACCTCCAGACAAGAGCTTAATGTCTCCTGGCTCAAAAAGAACGAGCTTGAGATCAAGAGGCATGTCATTGAGCTTCGCGACACCATAAAGAATAACTGGTCGTCAACCGGTCAAGAATTAGGCAAAGAACTGAGGCAATTCTGGCAAAGCAGGCCAAATAGCCCTGCTCGACGAAGCTTTGACTTGGGACATAATGGCGTCACAAGCCCAACGGGGAGCGGAAATATATTCGGATTTGGAGGTAACAAGTCACACCTCGATAATTCGAACCGGCCAGAGAGCCCCAGCGTAGGCCGGACAGAGGATTTTGCAACAGGATATAGTTTAGGGTTGATCGGCGGGGTTCGATCATGGGTGAGTCGCATGCTCATCGGCCTTTTCTTTTTTTTTTTTTTTTTTTGAAATTCTACCCCATCGCTCTTCGAGTCATTCCAGCTTCGAGCTTTCGGCCATTCTGCTTACCACCTTGTTACAGATGATGCGCAGCCGTACTTCTCTGCGTGATACACTCAGCCTCCCAGCATCGCCTTCTGGCAGTGATGAGGAGCGCAATGGTACTGAGGATACGAAGGCTGAGGCCCCCGGGAATTCGAAGGTAGCTACCTAATATTTCATATACTCAACAGAATGGGCAGGACGATTGAGCCCAGGAAGACTGTGTCCGGAACCTAATGATATTTCTGTATAATGGCGTTCGTTTTTCTTGGTAATAAAACGATTGCTTTGCGACTATGTTAGTGGGTAGCTAGGAATCCCTAAATATCCACCTCTAAATGACCCTGTCTATGTATATACACCTTATGCATCTCAGTTTCTGCTAGTATCAATATATAGCCTAAAGGATCGCTTGCCTCGCTTATCCCCGTTTGGGTCGAGACCTACGATTGGAATATTACCTAGAAAGTATATTCAATCATTGGGGACTGAAACCATACGAGATCTATGTGGGATGGATGACATGGTATATATGTATAGAGTCCTCCGTACTCCGTATATAGAATTAGTTCGCATCCTTGAAATAGGCCTCGGGATTGAACCGAGTCGCCTCCGAACCAAATCTTCAATACGGAGTACATAGCATTCGGCTCCGTCGGCATTCCTCACTTTGATTTCGCCACGGATCCAGCCGACAGGCTATTAGTCATAGCATTCCTCGTCATCGGAAACGAAGTTGTAATTTCTACGGAGTACGATGTAAAAGATATCTACGACGTGGAGATTCGCGGTAAAGGAACCGAACTTCTGGTTTAACTAGCGGAGCGCACATCTTATGGCGCGCAGAAATTTTTTTTTCCCCCTCCCTCGCCGTTACCAACGTAACTAGATCGTCCAAGCCATGACAGTTTCTCCTGTTGAACCTGGGGGGAGTCCCGCGACCGTTCCACCAGACGAGCTCCGAGAAGATTCGGTATCGCGTGTCGAACTGGAAAGCGATTCTGCAGAGCCAGGGACTTCTCGGCATGACCAGGATTATCAAGGTGCTCCAAACAAACCGCAAGCAGCTCCTCCACGCCCCGACCATCAGAGAAATAAACGCCACGGTGCATACCTGGATGTCACGAATGCCGGTTCTTCACACTCTTCTTCGTCCGATTCCCTAGTCTCTGCACACTTGCTTCCCCCAAACACCGTGCAATCCGAACCTGTATTTGGAGAACCAGTCTGCCCGTCACCATCGCCTGCACCGGAACTCACAGCTGCGTCCCCGCCTCCAAAATTGGCATGGAAGCAAAAAATTACCCGGACGTGGCTTCTGGGTAAGGGGATGCTGATGGTTATGTCGGCGCAGTTTTTCGGTGCATCGATGAATGTGATGACGAGATTGTTAGAATTGAATGGGCCGCACGGCAAAGGGATGCATCCGTTTGAGGTAACAAGCTTATCCCTGCTGGTTGCATCCTAGTCCCCGGAGAGACTAATAGGTGTTTTAGATCCTCTTTGTCCGCATGTCTGCAACCACTTTCTGCAGCTTCCTGTACATGTGGTACACCAGGGTTCCGCAGCCTTTTGGTGCTCCCGACGTTCGAGGCCTCCTAGTTCTCCGTGGAGTGAGCGGCTTCATCGGCGTTTTCGGACTATATTACTCACTTGGCTACCTGCCGCTGTCAGAGGCGACGGTGTTGACATTCCTTGCGCCGATTCTAACTTGCTACGTCTGCTCTTTAATCATGCCGAACGAAACTTTTACCCGCAAACAGCAGCTAGCCGGGATTGGTTCGCTTGTAGGTGTTGTCCTCATTGCCCGTCCAACGTCGCTCTTCTCGAGTATAGTGAGGTCCTCTGCAGAAGGCATCCCTCCGTATAGCAATACCACGTCCCTTCAATCACCCATTGCCGCAAGAAACGCCATAGTTGGCAAATCTAGCACCGGTCCCGACTCCGACTCGACACAGCATCTCATAGCCATTGGCGCAGCTCTCGTCGGTGTTCTCGGTGCCACATCAGCATACACTTCCATCCGCAAAATTGGTCAACGAGCCCATCCTCTTGTAAGTGTAAATTACTTTTCCACCTTGACCACGATCATCTCCACTATCGCCGTGCTGGTGCTTCCTAATGTATCGTTCCGTCTCCCTGCCAATGTCACGGAGACTCTGCTCCTCTGCGGTCTGGGCATCTGCGGCTTTTTCCTGCAATTCTTGCTCACAGCCGGGCTGTCGTATGTTCCTCCGCCATCTGTTGTAGGCGGGAATGGCGCAGGATCCGGGAAAGGTAGCTCGCACGGCTCGCGGGCTACAAATATGGTGTATACCCAGATGTTGTTTGCATTGTTTTATGATAGGATGATTTGGAATTCAATGCCGTCGGCGCTGAGTTGGGCCGGGTCCGGGATTATTCTTGCCAGCGCGATTTATGTCGCGATTGCGAGAGATGGGAATAGGCAAAGTATTCTGGCGAATGTGAAGCATGAGGGTGAAGAGGAAGAATCTGCAGATGGGATTCTTGCGGGTGCTCGTGGTGATGATCTGGAGAGCGGGACTGCTAGGGCGAAGGTCGTGTTCCGGAATGATGGGTGCGAGGCGGTGGATGAGGAAGAGAGGAGAAGCTTGCTGCATGGTCATGAAAACGACAATGATGACGACGAATATGGCGAAGGCGAACGAGCGCAGGAATATACGCTGCCACGATGATCTATGAATAATGATGGATATGACCACCCAATGCGAACGGGGTTAATGAGGATGTATGATGGGGATAAGTTGGGTTCGGACTTCGCGATGGATATTTGTCCGACCCATACCAAAAGAAATAACGATTGCGGGCTTATAAATCTATATAGAAGATGTCGTAACTAGAATGTATGTACTGTACTTTTTAACAGTGTTCGTTTTTGATGACCGAGAATCAGGGCAGTCCACCATAGCAAGGAGTACAGAAGCAAGTCGGTATTACGTTGCGCCAAACGTGAACAAATCAGAGCAGCTACGCTCAGGCAGTTCCCTTGTATATCAATTTCGATTTATTATTGGATTCTTGCCGTTCGCTGCTCAGCCTACATTTCTACGAACTGAACTAAAGGAGCTTCGGGAGGTGCAAGACAACTTGCAGCACGAATGCCTTCTTGTCATTCTGAATTTCAAACATACATATTATACTACGTGGGCTCTTCGCAGACTCCAAGTCCAGCACAGGCGCCCAGGGAACATACCACTTATCTATGTAAAGGTGAAAGTATCTCCGCCCTTCTCCATCATCATGCTTCCTATCCTCTTCGTCCCTACGACTCTCTCTAACTTTAGCGCATCCCACTTCGAAAACAGAGCACGCACGCCTTTTTCTGCTGCTTCCCCAACCGCAGAGGGATCCAGTCCCAAGAAAGCCACAATCTCCCCGTAGAATACAGGGTTATCGGGCACACCGTACATGATCACGCGCTTAACACCGCGGATCTTGTAGCGGCGGAAGTGGTGTAAACGCTCTGTATAGAGAAGTACAGAATGGCGGCCATTCATAAAATAGCTTCGGGCGCGAGCTACATCGCGGACTGAAGTGTACTCCGAGATTGCGCCAAATGAGAGATTGGTGGTTTGCGAGGAAGTGGCAAGGTAATTCCGAATACGAACGAAGTCGAGATACGAGGGTATAAAAATCAGGGTCCCTGAGGCAGAAGACTTTCCGGAGCCAGACCAATTCTTCGCGAGGGACGAAAGAACGGTGTTGGTGAAATACTTGAACCGAGTCTCTGGGTCCTTGACGGGAGACAGAGAGTCGAAACGTGAGAAAGTTTGTTTGACGGGCACTGGAACGGGTAGATCGAGAATCGCGCCCTGATATGTGGTGTTTATTTTGACTTTTCCAGAGACGTTTTGAGCGTAGGTGGAATAGACCGAGTTAATTTCAGGAGACATGAAGGATGTGAAAATAAGTGTTTGGCGGAGGTATTTGGCGTTTCCATCAAGGTACCATGTTCTGACCCGACTGAAATCACATCCATGGGCTGCTTTTGGTTGCAGATTCAAATGTGAGAACACATATTCAACGTGATCCCAGTTCTGCATAAGAAGGGCGTCAGCATGATCGACAACGACCAGTTCAATAGATGACAGAAAATCATATTCTTGCTTCTTCCCACTGTGAATAGTCAGCGGCGCATCAGCAAGAGTGAATAGGGTGTTATCCTTACTCTTCCTTTTCCATTGCAGTTCGCAAGCCGAGTGGACTCGCGAGGATGATATCGGAGTTGTAGAATTGGGTAAAATATTTCATCGTTTTCCTGGTGAACTTCAGACCGAGCCTGAACATGTCATCATCGTTACCACCAAATAGCTCCTGGAAGTCTTCAGGTTTGTCTTCCCAGGACTTATCATCGGTTTCAGAAAATGTCTCTAAGAATCGCTTTTTATTTTCTTGCTGGTCGGCTCTATAAAACTTAGAGATGGAATCTACGATCCGCACACAAGCTTGTCTGGTAGGGAGCAGGATCAGAACTTTAGGCCGCGTGAAGCCTTGATCTCTCATTTCAACGTCCTCTCCTTCTTTAGGGACACGCGAATTATTCTTAACCACTCGATCTCGAGTTTTAATTATGTGATTCAATGCATGCAGGCAGTACATGTCTCTCAGGCTGGCTGCATTTTCCGTAGTTCGGGCACCATAGAGCATGTCATAATAGCCAAAAATATAGGGTGCGATGCTGCTATTTTGGGCGTTAATTTGTGACATGTGCTCCGATGCGCTTTCCGATAGCTTGCGTTTGAGTGGCAAATCCTTTAAGCTATGTAAGGGAGGCAGAGCCAAGGACTGTTCATTGCCCACGTCTGGATATGTTGCCGTAATTCGCATGCCGGAAGAGAGTTGATGCTTGCTTGTTTGCCATGTTTTGGTAGAGGCTTCGATCCGTTTGGATAAGCGAGCTTCATCGGGCTGAGAAAAGTGTGCTTCGAAAGGGTCGGAACCTACGTTTATTGTTAGCCGGATGCTTCTCAAGACAAGCAAGATAATAGGGCCATACCAGCGGCTGCGTCACGATCAGCTTCGTCAATTCCATCGTTTTCATCCCCACTTTCGCTCTCATCATCTGATGCCTCCTTGACGTCTAGATCGTCCTGTAGTTCCGAGTCGACCTCTCTTGGTATCGATCTCTTCACCTTGTCCACTTGGTCTTCCTTGCCATTATCTTTGTTCTTATGTTTTAACTTTCGTTTCTTCCTGGCTGGCCCATTTGGATCTGCGCCAACATTCAGCAGCTGAAGGAGGGCATTGTAGGGTTTCGCGGTCAGCCTTTCCTCTTCCGCGCTATCGGATGAAACTACCGAGTACTCCGCATCGCTAGCTTCGTCTAGCGACTCGTTATCAAAAGCATCTGGCCCCTCGCTTGGGGAATTATCTTGACTTCAAAAGGCGGTTAGCTGGAGGAACTTGTGGGTTGAGAAGTATTGGACATACTCAAGGTCCTGCACTCGAGAAGTTTCAAATTTCGGCAGCTTTCTCCTAGGAGGGCCTCGCCTGGCGTGCGCACCTTTGACAGCCATTGTTAATGATTCCCGCCGGGGTAAAGCAGCAGTGTTGTTGACCTTTCACGCTGACGCTCGTGGTGGTAGTCAGGCTTTTTTTTTTCGTTAGATGATCTTATCTTATCTTAGCGTGAAATTTCCACACTGGAATCCGCACACACAAGACATTCAACATCACGACAAAGCGACCGACCAATCCCGCCCCCCCACGCCCTCCAAATCTTGCCTGATACCTCGCATCCGACAGGCACTACTCTTTTTTTCTGCTGCTTGCAATCATGGCTGACACTGGATCGTTTATTCATCTGGCACGGCCCTTGGGTCCGGCCACCGTCGGAGTTGCTCCCAGCACTGCCCCTCTCAACGTTGTTATACAACCACAGGTAAAGCCTCGAAAATGCGAGCGGAAAAATTGAACATAACTAAATTAACACATATATACAGGCAATTTTCTCTATCCTCGATCATTCTTTGCGCCGAAATGCTGACCAAGAACGCGTCATTGGCACCCTTCTCGGTACCCGGTCGGAAGATGGCACCGAAGTTGAAATCCGCACTTGCTTTGCTGTCGGTCACACGGAGACTACCGATCAAGTCGAGGTGGACATGGAATATCAAAAACAAATGCTTGCGCTGCACTTAAAGGCCAATCCTAAGGAAGTTCTCGTTGGTTGGTACGCCACTTCGTCGGAACTGAACACTTTTTCTGCCCTTATTCAGAATTTTTATGGAGGTCAGGGAGATGGGACATGGCCTCATCCTGCTGTGCACTTGACTGTTTCTACCGAACCCGGAAAGGATATTGAAACTCGGACGTATATCTCTGCGCCAGTGGGCGTTACTGCTGAGAGAGCAGCTGACAGTGCTGCGTTCATTCCTGTTCCATATGAGATCCGCTACAGTGAGGCGGAAAGAAATGGTTTGGAGGCTATTGCGCAGGCAAGAGATGCAGAAGACCGGGCATCCAGTTTATTTACCGATATTGAGACCCTCGAGAAGTCGATTGAAGAAGTCCTCGGCATGATCGATAGGGTATCGAAATATGTCGAGTCGGTTATTGATGAAGAAGCACCCGCTTCAACGGCTCTTGGCCAGTTTTTGCTCAACGCGCTTGCTCTGGCACCAAAGGTTGATCCGGCCGATATTGAAAGTGACTTGTACGTTGTTTACCCTTGCCGTTTCATGCGAAACCGTTTAAAAACTAACTTCTGGCACAGCAACAAACACATCCAAGACGTCCTCGTCGTTTCGTATCTCGCAAATACTATCCGTACCCAAATGGAACTCTCCAACCGGCTGGCTACCGCCCAGCTCACCCTTGGAGGTGGCGACAGCACGGCCATTGGTGGTACAGGTGCTGAAAGCGGAGGTCAGCGTGGTGGCCAGCGCAACAACCGCCAACGAGGCGGCCAGCAACGGAATCAAGCTGAGGAATTGCGAGCGTAATCCACCTGACCGTCAATCTCTCTTAACGAACGACCTTTAAACCACTCAATCTCACCCTTCCTATCCTCACCTGCCCTCTTGGCCATGAATTAATTACATACGGAGGCCCTGGACTGCTAGACACGATGTTTCCTCGGGAGCTAGCGGTTTCTCCATACTCTTGGGAACTTCGATGGATCGCAGTTATTTATTCTAACCTATTCGGCTGTGGCTGTGGCTAAAAGCAAGGCGTCTTCGGAGTTGCTGTGCCATGTTTCTGGTTTGTTGGTTTATGCCACCCGATGCCCATGGGAATCTTTTGATATTCTTTGCTTGAGGAGGATCGCGAACAGATTTTGAATTTCTCTGCATGATGGATCATGAAATATGAGGCATGCATGTATAGACCAAATGAATCATTTGCAATTCAATTTTAGTCACAATCCCTACTTGAATTGCTCCCGGAGGGACGCACGCAGAAAAAAAGCCCAAATACACCTAGCAGTTACGCCATTCTCATTCAGTCCCTGATCAAATGCAGAAAAGTGTGCTAAATCGCGAGCCATGTAACCCAGATGTCATTCGCATGCTTGATCTTTCTCGTAACGCCTGACTCGCCTGTGACTGAGACCCGTATCCGTTGAGCATGTTCCTTATCTATTAAACGCTGGTTCCCAAGTCCCTTAAAAACGCCATCATTGCATCGTGGATATCGCTGTGTCGTAGAAAATTTAAGCGGTTGATTCTGCTTTAACAGTCGAAACCTTGCGCTTCTTTCCTGCCCCACTTTCTGAAGCAGCAGTCTCCATACCGGCAGCACGCTTCTTTCCCTTGCCCTTTTTCTTCCCGGCGGCAGCACTAGTACCATCCACGACGGTTTCTGCTCCCTCGCCATCAGAGCCGACAAGTCCCTCAATTTCCTTTCCAGCGGTCGCGTCTTTGCCGACTCGATCGTCGTTCTGATCAAAGGCCTTGCGGGCTTCTTTCAATTCCTTTTCTAACTGGAAGAGTTCTTGGACACGGCCGAGCTTAGCAGCATCGCGACGAATGACGAACATGAAGTCGTCGACCTTGACCTTTTGGCGGCCAGCATGGGCTGCGACTTGGGCTGCCGCGTGGCAGGTTTCGATGATAAAGTCGGTGACGATCTCATCGAGAACGCGAACAGTCTCCGGGTTGGGTTCCTGAGGAAAGTCGGGATGAGGGGCGTTATCGCCGAAAGCGCGTAGGAGCTGTCGAACTGAAGATAGTAGAAGAGTAAGTATGAGTAGACATGTTTGGACAAGTGAACTGCACCAGTAGCAGCGCGTTCTCGAGCTCATTAGGAGAAGAGACAAGCAAAGAGTTAAGTTAACCAAGTCAACGGAAGGAAGGCTTACGCTCGTTGCCAAAGTTTAGCTGGGCATGGTGCCGGGTCAAGCGCACGCGTGGCTCCGACATCCCGCTGGCCTGGACAGCTGCGGCAGCCAAGTCTTGTTCGGCGGTCTCTTCGCTGTTTACAAATGCGAGGGTATAGTGCTCGTAGAGTCCGGGAGCAGGAAGGATCGCGTACGAATGGTCGCCGTGTTTGAAGGTGAGAGGCTTGGAAGTTTTGGGAAACGGAATCCAGTTTCCTGCTGGAGGAGGAGGAGGAGCAGGATGCTCAGAGTGTTTGTGATGGGCAGCATCGTTACTTTCCATGGTCCTTAGTAAGGTGGTTTAGAGTCAACTAGCGCGAAGCTGATTCACCAATGGTTAGTTAGCCGCGCGGTTAGGAAATAGGCGCAAGATGACCCACGCCAGACACCCAACTGCAAAAGACACCTTCACAACAACCGGGTAGGAGAAAGGAAAGAGAAGAAAAGAAAGAGAAAAGAAGTTTTTGAGCCCAAGAGGATCCTAAACACGAGCCACAATGGTAAGTTCCTTTACCTAAAGTTCCTGATTCCTCTCAGCAGACCTAGCCGTCGACATCAGCAGTGATGCCAGAACAGCCGCTTGTCCACTGTGCGTGAAACATCTTACTGACAATTGTCTGATCAGACTGCACTGTTCAACTTCCAATCACTCCTCCTAGTTATTCTCCTAATCATTTGCACAAGTACTTATGCGCACTCAATAATGCCCGGGATTATGGACCGAAACCAGAATGGGTAAGCTTCCGCCGTTCAGACGCCGCCTTACATCGACTGCAACCAGGTTTATGAGGAATAGCAAAGATACTACTGAAATCACTGTAGCCAAATGCTGATGCTGTTGTTTCTAGATTCTTTGGAATATTTTGGAAATGCGCCAGGGTTGGAGAACGGCTGAGTCCGTACGTGAGCTTATGCTGTATTGCCATGGCTGTAAGTCCGCCGAGCGCCTTAGAAGATCTACCCAAATGCAGTTCCTTATTTGCTCTAATGGGAACACAGATTTCCCTTTTCATCGGCTCTTAGAATGTCTTGCAATTCCCTAGTCACACGTTCCACGATGTCAAGCGGGTTCCAGCGTTGGGAGTCATAACTCACTTCGAAGCGGTTTATCTTACATCATTATAATGCACGAAGGACTAAACTATTCTGACTGCAAGATGTCTGATGCATGGGATCCTTGGGCATTCAATTGGCCCGCTGCTATACAATGCGATCCTCTCATGTTCGGATCATATAGCCATCTTCGGAAGGGTTCCTCTCCTTGATAAACGGCCCTGGCCCCCTGGGCTTTCCTATCGCACGCGTTGGGAATTGGCACCAAAATCGTTTACTATCTCCAGTGGCCCGTGGCAGCCGTTATTCTTCGCTCGCCTAAATGAATTTCAGGGCAGGAATGCACATAACACGTGTCCAACCCATACCAAGTCTTTCTCCCCGACCTATTCTTGCGTCGCTGACCCCCAAATCCTCAAACTCTCATCTTTCGGACCTGTTGAGCTGTAGGGTATACCTATGCATTCCTCCCCGATCACCAACTTTATATCATGGCTTGCATCCATATCATATGATTCCATACTAGCATTCCATGGATTTGGGACCTTTCATTTTCTTTTTCTTTTTTAATTCCTCCGCATGCAAGAGGCGCAGGAGAACATGTAGGCAAGGGTTTCTCATGGTTAGGATTGGCTGTAAATACCATATTTCGTCGGTTTGTTTAGCATGCTTTCCGTCAACTTGGTTTTGCAATGTCTCTCAAGTTATGAAATTTGGGTGGCAGGGTCTGCTTGGAAGTTCCTTGCACATGGAAGATTGATGACCTCGGGGAAATATAGGGCCAACATGTGTGAAAACCGATAGCAAAGTTACTACGATATGCATAAATGTTGCTCATTACACATATCATGAGTAATGCCCTGTGGGGCAAGCTCTGTTGACGTTTAGCTCTTCAGTCAAGTGAGCTTGTTCATCCAAAACAAGATCTTCCACCAAATTTTGACTTGACTCTCTTGGAATGTGCCCATTGGAATTGCTGTCCTGCTTTTCTTCACGCTGATCAATTAATGTCAGAGTTTCCGGATCCACGCCGGCTTTTTCTAGCCCTTCACGAAGCCGCCCTTGATCCTGGACCGCTTTAAGAGCCTTGATAGTATATCTGTTGGGAGTCAAGTTATCCAACAGCATTTCTTTCAGCCCCTGGGTAAACTTCATAACCAATCCCAAATCTGCATATCCTCGAAGCATCACATTCCACGCCGGGACGTCCATTTGCGCTCCACATTCCTGCATCATCTCACGGATTATATCGGCAACTTCTAGTCTCCCATGGGCCATTGCACCAGCCAGCAGAATATTCCAAGTCACCATGGATGGACGAGCTTGCTGAATCGGTCTATTTTCTCCTCCAAGGATTGCCGTCTCTGGGAGGGGGTCGTACATATTTCGAACTATCGTTATGGACTGACTGACCATGTCTCTATCTCGACGAAGCGCCATCAGAAACGTATCGTAGACATGACTAGTCTCCGCTAATTTGCCAATAGGATTGTGGCCATGCCGGACAAGCTCGCAAAATCGATCATAGACTTTAAGGGTAATTGCTGAGCTATTGCGTAGCTGGAGATAGGCAGCAACCATGATAACCAAGGCATGCGATGACGGAGAGGAGCAGTTGTCCCGGACAGTTGGCTCTCCCTGGATTATGCCAAGGTCTTTGAGTGGCTGAGGATCATGCCCTTGGCAATAAACCTGCATCATCTTTTTGAAAACTTCGGGTATAGTCTCGGGCGTAGCCGCCTCATACAGCCCGTGCAAAACCTTGCTAATAATATGAGGCTCCCGTGCTATCTCGGGATTCGACGCTATCATGCGACGGCATGTTTCCACTCTTAAGGCATCACCGCGCGTTGTGGCATCATTAAGCAACATCATAACCGCATAAGAGTCAGGCAAGACTTTAGAGTAGTTTAGAATATCCCAGGCCATATCCGGATCGTCCATTTTCAAAGCATTTTGAATAACAACATTTAAAATCGCGCGTTGAGGTTCTATACCAAGACCCAACACTTCGGGAAGAAGTCGAAAACTGCGAACTCCGTTTTCATCACACGTGCTGTCTAAGCTAAGGAGCTTACAGCAATGACGCACGATCTCCTCTGACTGGAGTGAATCCCGGGAAGTAAGTCGGGAAGGGACTAGCCGTAATGCCCGAAGGGAATTTTCCGCATCAGCAAATTCATAGAAAAGGTCCATGAGATATAGCAGAGTTTGAGGCGGCACGTAGACTTCACTCTGGGCGATCTTTTCAAAGGTCTCCCTCAATTGGTCTGGTTCGCAATGCTTAAGGTACACGTGTATGCCTCGTTGGGAGGCGCTTATAACTGGCCATCGATGCGGGCCGATAAGAGAATGCATTCTGCTGTGATAATGATGCTTATTTTCCGGAGTGGACGTCAAGTCCTTGTAATAGAATGCGTCGAGATACAGAAAACATTCAGACACCATGGAAAAAGAAGGAGAAGGCCATTGGTCAGTAGATTCAAAAAACGTCAGAACATCGCCTGGTGAGTTCAACAACAGCCAAAAGGCGATATCCGGCCACATCAGGCGCTTAGTCGCCAAGGGCAACTCGGACCAGAAGCTCTTACCACTGCTCACACTGCTGAAATGTTTAGCCCAGTCTGCCACGACTGGCCATTTTTGCACCCTAAGTAGATTCCAAATCTCGACACTGGGCATGCCGGCATGCTTGTTTGCGAAGCAATTATCAAAATTCCTCTTCCAGTCTTGACGGACGATGGTATAGGGGTAGAGAGAATTCCACCTTGCTTCAAACTCAATCCCATAAGTTCTTGGATTAAAGGCAAACCCAGGGAGAGCATCAGCTTCCTCTGTCAGACATTCATCTAGCTGGCGGCGCTTCAGTTGGATTTTTGGTAATGTCGCACCTTGACTGTCAACTGGACGCCAAAGACGCACGTCTCGCTTTTTCACTCTCTGTATTCCTTCTAGTAAACTCGTCTTGGTTTCACCAAGGGAGTCCTGAAGGGAAACGTGCGAATCGGATTCGTATAGCTCAGTTCCATTATCCTTTTTTTGAGTAATGTTAGAGATCCGATTCGACGGGCGCTCCTGGAGAGCTTGGGGCGCGGATTGGCCAAGACGTTGCCTTAATCGCCGAGACACTGACGAGAACGCAACATGCCTGGGTAGAGAAGGCCTATCTTGCGGGCGAGAGGGAGGAGACTTTTGGGTTAAGGGAGAAAACCCCCCCGTGGAGGGTGAAGGGGAGGCAATGGATGAACAACCTCGTTTTTGGTCATGGGTCGGGAAAAGATATTTCTCTTCATCGCGCTCTTCGAAGTCAGGATTCTGTGTCGTTGCTGCTTTCGCTCCCGGTAAACCAACGCATTCTGAACTGTAGGAAAAGGACTGAGAAGTAGGAACACGTCTATCCAATATTTGGGCGCTTTTTAAGGCTTTGGGATGCCAATTGGAATGTCGGGGTCGCAAACCGCGAATCCGGACAGAAATGCCATTCATGGAGGTATCGAGTGACACAAATTGCCCATGCGAATGGATTCTTTTGCGGAAAGGACTCTCGAAAACAGAGCAATCTTGTAATCTAGGATCCTGGTGGACAGCTTTGACGTAGTAGTCCGACTAACTACTCCGTACAGCCAATTTTTTTGACGCCAGCGCGAGACAGCAAGTTGGCCAGTCAGCTTTCCTCCAAGGCTTGGCATTTCTGTGGCTGGTTACTTCGCGAGTGTGGCTACGGAGCTTGCTCTCACCGCAGTTTTCGACCACGAAGCAAACCAGCTACAGGGCTTGCTAACTTTCAGCTCTCTTTGCTACTTTAAAATTTTACATCTCTCACCGTTTGGGTATGGCGTCCACACATGCCAATCTCGATGCGGCCTCGGTGGACCGCAAAACGCGGCTTGCAAGGCTTGCGGCACTGAAAAGAAAACAACCAGAGTCTGATGCGAAAGAATCCGGTCTAAAAGAGGAGGAACATTCGGAGGACAAGTCCGTCAGCATAACCTCACGATACCTTTCTGGAAGAAACTATGACCCAGAAACACGAGGTCCCAAACTTGGCTTCGAGAACGCGCCTACGGAGGGGCAAGTCACCTTGGAGGAACAGGCAGCGAAGATCGCGATATCCACCGCAGAGGCTGCCAAAGAGGATGAGGAGGTGGATAAACCTATCGATTTGTTCAAACTACAACCCAAAAAGCCGAATTGGGATTTGAAGAGGGATCTTGACGCAAAGTTGAAGATTCTCAATGTGAGGACGGAGAACGCGATAGCACGTCTTGTCAGAGAACGGATACAGAATGCGCAAAGAAACGCTAAACAGAAAACTAAGGCCGGCGACATGGATGGAGAAGAAATAGGCATCGAAGGCGAAGCCTTGCTGGAGGGAATGCATGCACGCGAGCGGGAAGAAGAGGAAGAGAGAAGGGAGCGAGCAGAAGAGGACTTGAGCTAGAACTCCACCGCCACAAACGACATGGCGGATCTTTTTGACGTCCTCTGCTTATACGAGCTTTTACCGGCTGCAATGGGATGGAGCATCGGAGCCAAGGCTACTCGAGATATCAAGATGTCATAGTTTCTAAAAGGATATATGGTACATTGTCGGTTGTTAACGTTATAAGCGTGATCCTCCTTGGCGCCGAAATAATGATCAAAATGCAGACGACAACGCACGCGGCAGGTGGAAAGAGAAAAAAGGAAAAAGGGAAAAAGAGAAGCCAGCATGCAAAGTGAGAAACAAAGAACATTCACTTGCGGTGGAAGATAATTTTCACGTCCTCATATTCATGGCTTGCGTCAAGGCCAGCCGCTTACTGTATGGGCTCAAGCTTCGCCTTTCGGGTTGAGGTGCCGCACGTCTCATAGTGTCACCATCTCCCCGTCTGTCCTTCGCGGGAGAGCGCATGCGACGCCTGATCCTGGATCTGCTAGGACTTGAACCTGGAGAAGGTTTTCTATACCCCTGAACAGGGCTTGGTTCATTCCACGTTGACGGTCCATTTTGGTTCGCTGAGGGTGTTACCGAGCGCCTCTCTCTCGCAATCCTGCTCCTATCCATGCTTCGACTATCAGATCTACCTCTCCAACTCCCTCTCCTCCTTGGATCGCACCGTCTTCCCCGTTCGCTAGGGCTTTGCGACTTCCACTTGCGTCGAATACGGCGGTCGGTTTCACGCGAGCGCGAATGCGTTTCCGCATCTGAATCGGACGAAAAATATGATTCACTTGATGAACTTCTTGCTTTTCTTTTACGCTCATCCGTCCGGAAGGGTGATGGGGACAAGTCGTGCCGTCTCTTCGGAGGGGAGGACCGCGAGCGGTTGGTGGATATGGTGGAAACTGAACTCGAAGATCTACTCGAAGAGACTGAAGGGGACCGCGATTTCGGCCTTCTCGTGCTAGACCGCGTGTCATTCTTACTTGAATTTCTTTTGCTAGGATGTATCTCCCCGTCCTTTCGGTTAAGGAGACTGCTTGGTGGTCCTTTTCTAGAAATGTCGCTTGTTAGACTTGTATGGACATTAATATTTGAGGTAGCCACACATACAAAGTCGAGGCTTCTGTTGGGATTTCCGTTGATAGTGGCTGTAGCAGCTTCGGGTTCGCTAATTGCTGGGTTCTCGATGGGCGCGACGTATATGGACGTTCTTGTGGAGTCACATTGCATTCGTAGCTGTAGTGACGTTTGTAACAGTCAGCACCAATAAAGTCTGGAATATGAGGAGTGGAGACATATCTCTTTTCAAGCATTTTTGACAGAGGGTATTCGGAGTCGCTTTCGACGGACCCCGAAGCCCTGGAATATTGCGATATCGGTTCATCCCACTGCTTGGTTCAACACAGTGTTGCTCTTGCTTGTCGGTCCTGAATCCTGTCGCAAAAGTGTGGAGCGGAGCGGAACAAAGCACGGTAGACAGACTGCGCAGATGTCTCCGCGATGATATTTCTTCTTCTAGTTATGCCTTGCTTTACCTGCCAACTGTGCAGCCTTGAAAAGTGACAGGAAGCGCAGCTCAGTCCCTATACCAGCTACCTACCGCAGCCGCCTCTGTTTTCTTCCAGCCCGTTCGGCATCCCCAAAGCAGGGTCGATGACTAAGCTTTCACCGATGACATAATCACCACCTCCCCACAGCTGCAGCCGCCAAGCCACCTGCGCCCAACCTTTATCGACTTTGTGCACTTCCTCCTTTCCGCTGCCCACGCTTCAACGGCCTAGATTTGCGCCTTGACAGCATCACTCCTCTTTACTGCTGCCGCAGAAGACATCATTTCTGGTTGTGCACAGTATGGTTTGATGCTCACAAGGCACTCTACCAGTTTGCACAATCTTTTTCAGCCTCAGAATTCTTGCTTGCAGCCCTTGCGACTGGCCAGTGATTCAGCAATCATCTCCTCACCTTACCCTGTTAACTCTTTTCCATGGCGGATATCCATGTCCAAAGATATGTCGTCTGTTTTTCTGGGTTTCTGTGTGGTGGCTTGTCCTATTGACCCTGTTTCTGTTGTATGATCATTTGTTGCTTCTGTGAGCGGTTCTGCCAGAGCGATACTGGTCTTTCATATCTACTGGGGTTCATTATCCTTTTTTAAGCCTTGCCATGGCTTCAAACACAGCTCAAGTTACTAGCCAATTATCATTTGCAAAGGTTTGTTTTGCTTATAAACCTCTTCCTTGATGTTGATCTTCCTCGTTAAGATTCTCCTTGCTAGGTTGCAATGATGAGCCCGCCCCTTGACCAACGCATTTTGGCCTCTCATCCGAATACCAAGTCTGCCAAAGCCATTTCCACCATGCCAATGGGGACCGCCCCCGTGGCTGATCCTTCCGATCAGCAACCTTTACCATCTGGTGATATCCCCAGTCCGCAAATGGACGATCTGTCGAGAGGAGTAGAACTCCTCCATCTGTCGAGCGAAAAAGAAGTGTCAGGTGGTTTAGAGGCTTCTGGAGAAGATGGTCAATCAAAGAATGAAGGAACATCTGATGATGACCAAACCCACTTATCCAGCTCTTCTACGAAACCAACGAGTTTTGACTCCAAGAGCATGGCTTCCGTAACAACTTTCGCCATGGATGAGAAGGAATCCTTACGGCCCGACGATAGTGCGAGCGTTCAAGCGATAGAAGAGGATGATTTCTCTGGGTCTGCTTCCGGCGCACCTAATTCTCAAGTTGGCTCAGAGAGTAGTGCTCGTCTAAACCGTGTTAATCAGTTAGCCATGGCCCAGCGATTATCCGGCATGGCACCGACCAATATTTCACGACTTAACGAAGGATTAAAAACCTTTCATGGGGATGCAGCCGCAAATCCTCCGAATGAGCGAAGCCTTCATGGTTTCCCCAACGAACCGGACGAGAAATTGCTTGAGGCAATGCGCTCACCGAAAGATAGATTACTTATACTACAGCTTGAAGAGAAAATTATCGCCTTCATCAAGAACCCTAGGTTAGTTTGGCCTTACAACCTTGTGTTATAAGCGAAGCTGATGACCTTTGCAGCGAGCAATCATTAGAGCTCCCTCCTTGTAACGCTTTCGGTCGCTTGCTAGCCCATAAATTGGGTGATTATTACCACCTAACTCATTTTGTGGATAACAATGTGACGTCGGTTCGTCTTCACCGGACGCCGTGGTGCAGGCTGTGAGTTGATCCTATTTTAGTATAAGTTTGCTATCTTGAGGCTAATAATGTTAGTCCTACCCCCTTATCGGCACTCTATGCTGCCGATGCTATGAAAACTCCACCTCCAGCTGTTCCAGCGATGAAAATCATGCGCCGCGTTGGTCAACCTGGAACGTCAATATCCGCGGGAGGTAGCACTGCGCCTAGCTCATCAGCCCCATCGAAAGCTACTTCGGAAGCAGGGGCAGAAGGTTCTGGCGAAGATGGAACGGAATCGTCCATAGCCGCTACTCCAGCAAAAGAGCGCCAAACATTGACACGAGAGGAACGCGAAGCAAAGTATCAAGAGGCTCGCGAACGAATATTCAGGGATTTTCCGGAATCCAAACCATCAGACAGCCCCAATAGTGGCGAGCATAGCTCAAATGTCTCCAGGTCTAACTCCAGAGTCGGTCGCAAGAAGCATAGACAAAGAACACCTCACGATGATGGCTTTGAGGCGAGATCGCAGTTTAGTACCTACTATGGTGGTGTTCAGTATTCATCCACGCAGATACCTTTTGGGGGAATTGTGCACGATGCTTCCTTTGTCCCGCAAAGCAGCTACATGTTGGGACAGCCGCCGGGCGCGGGGTTGAATTTCGCCCAGGGTAATCAGACCACATCCATATATCCGCCTCATGCCAGTCCTGGCGTTTTTCCACAGTATCCCGTTGGTATGGCAACGCAAGGCAATTGGCAAAATGGACATATGCCAGCAGCCCAGTATGCAAATTTCCAACAGGGCAATCAGCTCCCGATGATGTCACAGCAGTCGTCTACGAGATCATCCCCGGCAATGAGCTCTTATGCCCTGCCAACTGGCATCCAGTATCCGCAGTCTCCTCCTTCGTGGAACCAATCTACATACCAACCTGGCTATTCGTCACCAACAGGGCAAAGGAATTCCCCAGCTGTACACTGGCCCAACGTTCCACCTAATTCAATCAATCAAACCCCAATGACTTATCCGTATGGTCAGTCTCCAAATCAAGCATATTCACAGATACCCGCGAACAGTGGCACTCCGAACCCCTTGCCAGGGAGTTTCATACGATCAACGTTTAATCCCCAAAGCAGATCATTTGCGCCCGGTGCTGGAATCCCTCGACACAAATACTCAGACAATGTTACACCCTCCCAAGCTTCCAGTACCTACCCAACCATCAACCAACAATGGATAGCGCCTCAGGAGAATATGAACCGATTCCCACCAAAAAGTTCGGGACCTCAGCCTAATGCTAAATCTCCACTACCTCAATCATCGGGCCAAGGTAGACCGGCCGATAACCAAAATTCGATTGCAAAATGGGGTACGCCTTCGCATCTTCCACCAAAGCCCCCACCTTCTGAGGTGCCTTATGATTTTGATCGAATGCCTCGGACATCAACCGTTCCTTCGCAAGCCTATACAAATAATACATCGACACTTTCAAAGCCAGCCGCATCAAAGTCCGGTCCTTTGGTGGTAGGTGGGGCTGCGCCTCAGAATTCTCGGTCTCATGGAGCTTAGGCTACAGTGTTGTAGCAGTTTCCTTGCATGCTTCGGTATGTCAACATCCCGGTTATCTAATCTAGGACATCCGTTTATCTAACAACCACACTAGGCGCATCAGGGCATCTTCTGGTTATGGGTAACGTTACACATGTCAACACATAATGTTCACAGGTCGGCGTCTCATGGTTCCTGGTTTATGATTTCCTCCTTGAGAAAGGATTGCTTTTGCAAACCATGGAGTTCTCAAATGAAATTGTGGGGTAAAAATGGGGGATATGATTGATATAGAGTAGCTGCATGAAAAACTCGAGTCTTTTCTTAGACCTTTGCCATGTCCCTTTCTCCATCTACATATACGCTATATTGCGCCCCCATGACATCCTACTCCTAGTTGAGTTTGTCGTTTGCTATTAACTTTTTAAAAGTCTTCAGGTTACCACAAGCACAAACATATCTTTCGATTGGGATCAAAGGGCCACATTCCTTCATAAGACCATAGTTCCCAATGACAATGTCAATGTCAATGATCATAATCAAAGCATAGAACTTGGGGATAATGTAAAGCTCCAGATGCAAATATCTAAGCAAATCATCCACCATGCAAGGTATTACTCTCTGTTCAACATAATTTCAGCTAGATATATAATATACAGAAAAAGAGGCATCACTCTAAAACGCCATCAGTGCGAAAATCTTGGTCAAAAAGAAGACAAATTCCCCCCATTCATTCATACACCACGCTTCAGCAAGTCTGCCTCAGCCCTTTTGACTTCTTCTTCTAGCGCCTCCACCCCGTCTTTCCTGAAGCGAGTAACCTTCTTAACATTCCTCGCCGTAATCTCGTTAACCTCCTTGCCCTCTGTTCTGCGCCGGGCAAGAGCTTTAGCGGTCATGGCGAAACGCATATCCCGTGGTCCGTCAACAAGCTCAAGAATAGCCGAGGGCGCTTGATCGGGCTTTCGGGGCTCGACGCGCAGCACGCGGGTGTACCCGCCCGGGCGGGTGAGATAGCGCTCGCGAAGGGTGCCGAAGAGCTTGGGGAGGAGAGCGTGGGGTGTCTAATTAACGGACAGTCAGTAACGATACTCTAAGGGCACCTATCTCAACGTATGGGGTCCAAGAAAGATTCTTGCAAAACGGTTTTCCGGGATTGAGGCAAAGCATACATAAAAGATCGACAAGGCCCTTTTCTTGCTGGCTTCCGTATTCTTCTTCCCCAAGGTTATGAGCTTCTCTGCTAGTCGCTGTGCTTCTTTGGCTTTGGGCCATGTCGTTGTGATTGATTCATGGGTAAAAAGAGATGTAACTAAATTTCGGAGGAGAGCTTGTCTGTGCGAAGACTTTCGACCTAGATGTCGATATTTCATTGCGCCGCCGGCCATGGTGAAGCACTGAAGATGGGTTAGGAAATTTTCAGGCAAGAATTGTAGACCTCTTTCGGACGAATGTCAAGCGGGGGACTAGGGACGTGTGGAGAGTTTTCAGGTAGACTGGAAGCAATGGACCTTCACACACGGGAGCTGGCGTGGGATGAAATACAGCTCTGGTGTTGTCGGAGGGTCGTGCATTGGAGTGAGAATCGATAACGTTCTGCGGCGGACGACGAAGATCCGCCCACCAATCGGAGCCGAGAATTGGCAACCAGAGCTTCTCGCCCGCCCACAGCACCGCTTCCATCAACAGAATGGCGAACATCGAACGCATCTCAACCGCGTGTGCCCCTTGTGAAATGCACAATTAAAGAGCTTAGTTCTCTCGGCAGACCAACTACACACTAGAATGGGGTTTTTCACCGGCTTTGTACGTCCATTCCTTCTCCTCGTCCACAACGACGTCACGATCTTACCAGTTTCTTAAACCGCTGCTAGTTTGGAGGATTCACCCTCACTGCCTCGATCCTCTATATAACCGTACACCTGCATCTTGCGAACCGGCATCATCAACATGTCCTTCTACGCGAACAAATCGATCTTCTTAATACTCTCTCGCTCCCAGCAACAGCCAGAAATGGGCTCATTGGCAATGCTGCCGCTGATGTAATGGCTCGTCGAGGATATCTTCCCCGACAGAGACCGGGAATCATGGAATTGGGCAAAGAAAAATGGAATCAGGAAGTCAGGCTGTTAGTTAGGAGGGCGCAGGAGTTAAAGTGGGAGGATGTACAGGAAAAAGTTCAAAAAGGCTGGGAGACAGCAAGGCGCTTGACGAAGGACAGATAAAGTTCCAGTCATTGCCTGTTTTCTATCTTTAAAAAAAAAAAAAAAAAAAGAAAAAAAGGGAGGGGGGGTTGATACCCGTTTCTGCAATATATTGTATCACAATGTTTGACTGCATGGATTTATGACAATGTTAAATGTATGACTTCCAATGTCCTAGTATCAATTCAGCCGTTGGTCTGACCTTAACCCTGGCGGCTTGACATTGATGGGAGGCCCTGAACTCAGCCCACGGCATGCAACCGCGCTCCCTATGATCCGCGCCGGCAGGCTATTCAGTAGAGAACAGAAGCACCAACAACATGCCCTACAACAGCCATAGGACAGAAGCTTGAATTCTGGTATAGTTAAAGGACCATACCAGCGACAACTCGGTACCTCAGCGAACCTAATTCAATGAAAAATTAAGGCTCCTTCGCATAAATTTCCTCAGCCATTTGATGCGGCAGAGTCCATGCTTTCGCTCTCGCTCCAAATTTCTTTACTCTCCCGCTCCACGGCTCGCATGGCATTGGCAACTTCATCAAGTTTCGCTACGACATCTAGAACGCTGCTATTAACCCGTTCAAAATACCGGTCGTTGGCTTCTCTCCTCTTTCTTGCAAGTAAGATGTCTTTTTCTGTCTTCGCATCCAGCACTTTATCGGGTGCATGGTCATCGGTTGCCGTTGATGCGCGCCGTATAGACTCCGCTCCCTTTTGGCCACCTAGACCAGACTCACTAGCAGAACTATCGGCAATCTCGTCCGTCTCACTTCTCGCCCATGCCTGCGCCAGCGCCAGCTGCTTAACACGGAGTTCTTCGAGGGCCATTGCATGTTCCGCACCAAAGGCATGATCTCCACTAGCAGCACTCAGCTCAACTTCTGCAAGGGTACTCTGCATCTCTTCCCACACGGCATCTCCATCATCTGATTGCGCTTGGGCCCGAGATTGAAAAGGGCGGAGGAAGGGCGAGCCTAGCTCCGTGCTAGCACCGAGGAACCCTTTAGAGGAGCCATGCCTCACGGAAGCTTGCGACCCTTTTAGGGAAGATGATGCACTTCCAGGTTCCTGAGGGAGGTTGAGGAGTCCTGGAGGTAGCGACAAGTTAGACGCGTTGCGCGAAGGAGGTCCTTGGAAGAGGGCTGGACGGGGAAGACGCTGGGCGGATTTTGTCCTAGGTTGCGACATTATATCAAGAACTTGTGTAGTTGTAAAAGTTCACACCACTAGCCTAGAATTCACGGAGGGACTCGTCAAATAGCAGTTTGCTGCTCCATCTCATGCTGTCTTGAATGATGAAGCGGCTGGGAGGACGGACGCGGTTGCCGGATAAATATATTGCCGATAGCTATCCCAAACTCGCTTAGCGTTAGGGCGAGGCGAGCGACACATCCACAGTTGAGTTTGGAAAAATCGACGACAGCGACCTCCACCATCGACAAATCAACCGGGCTCCCTGAACCGTTGTATTTTTGCGATAACATTTTTCGGTACGTATATCGAGAATTTCCCGTCGCCCCTGCTGCATCTACTTTCCAGCCTTTCCAGCCTCCTGTTCAGCCAAAAGAAGCCTTTTCGATTTTCGGCACCAGAGACTAACTCGAGGGATCCCAAAATCGATAGCAAAACTACCTTCAGACATTATTCAATATGGGTAAAGGAAAGCCGCGCGGCCTGAACGCCGCCCGTAAGCTCCGCAACCATCGCCGCGATAATCAATGGGCCGATCTTACCTACAAGAAGCGCCTCCTCGGAACTGCCTTCAAGTCATCTCCCTTCGGTGGTTCCTCTCACGCTAAGGGCATCGTGCTCGAGAAAGTCGGTGTCGAAGCTAAGCAGCCCAACTCCGCTATCCGAAAGTGTGTCAAGGTGCAATTGATCAAGAACGGAAAGAAGGTCACTGCTTTCGGTGGGTTTAATACTTTCGCGGGGAAACTATAGATAAACGGATGGCGGGTGCTGATGCATTGTGGTCAACTAGTTCCCAACGACGGTTGCTTGAACTTTGTCGATGAGAACGACGAAGTCCTCCTCGCCGGTTTCGGTCGCAAGGGCAAGGCCAAGGGTGATATTCCCGGTGTTCGATTCAAGGTCGTCAAGGTCTCCGGTGTCGGTCTTAGCGCTCTCTGGAAGGAGAAGAAGGAGAAGCCAAGATCTTAGATGATCTTAGGGAGTCCCGGGATTGGGGAGTGCTGTGTGATGGGATGGCAAGGGGGACATGGCTTTTACCGGCCGAAACAGCATGGGATATTTTCGCTGCTACTCCTACTACGATAGAGTGGGCGGTTGTGGTGGGCCAAATCATGCAAACTGGTCTACGGTGTTGAAATGCTACCTCTTAACCCGACTGGGTTCATGTTGGTCTTGGGGAACAAGTAGCACCCATGGAAATACCGGTAAAGAAATAGCCTATTTCCATTTTCTCTATGATAATGTTCATAAAATTATAAATGTCATTGCATCATGATTCGAAGTTCAAGACTCATGTTCGTGTCACAATTTGACATCTTCATTGCGATAGTGATCTGCCACAATGCGGTATAGATATGACGGTGCATGACCCCCACTAGAACAACACATTCATTAGCTGTGATCTGCCAAATATGACCAGCCAAGGAAATGAAAACATACATATTTGTGATATAAAGGTCGATCAGCTCGGCGGGCACGTAGTCAGACAATGGATTCACCACATCAATGTTGTCCACCAGCTCTCCATCTTCATAGGGAAGCACCGCACTTGGATCTCCATATTCCACCAAAGACTGCTGGTCAAATGGGTATACAGGGCTCAGTTTGTATACACCGCTCACAACAACTACTGGGGTCTTGTGCGCTTTCGCAGCATTAGCAATGAGCCTTGTCCCTGCGGCAGCAACCAAGCCACCATTTGCAAGGACACAATCGGTCCCAAGAATGACTTTATTGACCTGTGACATCAACGCAAATACCGCTGAATCGGGTATCAAGATAACGGTGATTCCTTGGGCAATTAATGGTTTCTGGAATGCTTCCGGCGTCAACCGTTCTTCGTCGCCACTCCTGATACCAGTTACTGTCGCATGGGTATCATCATGGTTGTTTGGATATGATTCTACCTGAATAACGCTGAACTTTCGTTTTGCTGCAGCTTTGAGGAGGAACTTTTGCACCGTGGTTGACGCTGTGTGGGTGAGAATCACCTCGTTTGAATGGATGTGATCGAGCGCATAGGCCGCAATCTGGTCATTCGCCTGGTTCAGCTCTTCGAGTATCTCTTTTATACCATCAAACACTTCACCTCGGTAATCTCGGGGCTTATCGTCGCTAGTATCTGGCTCTCCTCGGGAAACGCTGATAGGCGAATTGGGGTCTGTAGACTCAGGTGGATATGAAAGCAAATTAAACATTGACGTTCCTGGAAGAGCGGGTGCTGCCGTAACGTGACCTGTGAAGGACGGCCTTTCTAGAGAATCGAGGTGCGATAGCTTCTCGAGTGCGCCGCCGGGGTGTGTTGGCAGACGCGCGAGGTTGTGAAAACCACCGTGAGGAGGGGTATGAGGGCGCGTATCGTCTGATCCGGCGTCGCTCATCATTCCGCAGTCTCGTTTCCAGCTCTCAGCTTCATCTCTCATCATACCCAATACACGGCGGACAATGTTGCCAACGATCAGTTGTCTGGGCTGCGCTGACACCAATCGTCTACCAATTCGCTTGACATGGTCGATTAACGTCGCCGGGTCATTTGATTTATTGGTGTGCATAGCCCTCAAAAGGAGATGCGCGGTCGCAAGCGCACATGAGTGCGGCTGTCGGATGTGGCGTCTTTTTAAGAGCCTGCGATTCCTATTAGTACGATAAGGCGCAGTTGGCTAGATTAACGAACGTTATTAAATTTTCTGTGGATGCCTCGACTGAGCTTTGTTTCAAGGATTGAATATAACTGGATAAGCTCGGGGTCATGGGTAATATCGCTGGCGCCGCCATCCTGGCTATCTTCTCGCCCTCCTAACTGTGCCTATTTTTCTGGTGGGAGTCTTGAAGATCTTTTGCTGATATGACTCAATTGAATTTTGAGCTCAAGCAAAATGGCTTCGAATCCAGAACAAGGGAATATCAACTTAGAACATACAAATGAAAGCACAACCAAATGATAGGGAAGTAAAGAGACTGGGAAGTATCAAGCTGACTTCCTAGATTTTTGCCAAACGAAGCATCACTTAAAACACTGAAGCAATGAGCTTCCCAAACACGTTCGTGCAGCGAATCCAAACCATCACCAAGAGAGGAAAGGCGCAAAGCTTGGCAGCAACCTTCATTCAACCTCAGTCTGCGCAGCCCACCACTCCTCTCAGGCTATAACATACCCTCTCCCTCTTAAGAGCTTACGGATCAGATGAGAGGGAAAGCTATGTATTGGATCAAGAAAGATCAAGGCTGAGAAGCTGGAGACTAGCATCTCGACACATTTCAACGGCTCTCTCATCCAGACTACCTTCATTAAAATGGTGGGTTTTGCTTACAACAGTGGATATGTTTTGAGGTTTCAGAGGACTATTCTTATCGCTGGAGCTTTTCAGTCGCATCATCTTGATGAACCGCGTGATCAAAGTGCCTATTGCAACATATATTCCCATGTACTTCAGAATTCCGCTTAGAAGCTTGACATGTGCCCATATTGTTTCCATTTGAGATAACTAACTTACTATCCTTAATGAACAGCACAGAAGAGCTTTCCTTGAAACCTTGGGCCAAATCCTCGAAATCTGGCGGGAAAGATCAGTCATCTCAGGGAACCCGCAAAATTCTAGACACCAAATGCTGCAGCACTCAGTCATACAGCTCAATGCTGAAAGGTGGTGAAGAGAATTCTTCCCAGTCCCGCGGATTATTCCGGTCACCACGCCACCTTAGTGCTCTGGCTCTGAGGGTGAACTTTCCTTCAGCCATTGATTTACCATCAGCTAAAACAGCTTGATAAACTGCAATGCGTTGGTACGAGTGAAGTGCCAACTTGTCCAAGGGGGTAACCGCGCATTGAGCTGTTAAATCCCGGTATTGGATTTTCTGGAACCTGATGTCTATATGCTATGTACAATACATTTCTAGCCGGGCTTTTGGGCTGATCACCATAAATAATTCCAATAGCATGGAGTGTGTCTTTTTGGTGCATCCTGAAATATTGTCTTTTTGGCCTTGCTATCTGTATGGATGGATAACTGTGCATCTGTTGGGTGGGAAGGGTTGTTTAGTGATGTCTAGAGCAGCTTTGATATCACTTTCAGAGCTTATCAGGAAGCAAAGAATCTTCTTCATAAGCGATTCAGGGGAATCTCTGCATCTGTTATCAGTGCAAGAAAGCCTCATAATTTGCAAATTAACACCCAGAGATTAATATAAGCAGGGTGGAAGATTCAGTGTCAAAGCACTAGGCTTGATGATACCCATCTACACAACGCAGTTCTTAAATGCACCTCTCTTCTTGCAGCCAGGATAGGGAAACCGGATCCGGAAGCAGGGTATGTCAAGGAATGGAAAATCGGCAGCGAAAAAAACTGAAAACTGACGACTTTAATTGTGAAGCCGATGATTTAGACGACAGAATTTGAAATTAGGCGAGGGACAGGAGGTCGCAGAGGGCCAAATAACGTATTGCAAGTCGGTTAGAATGCGGCGTAATGAAAGCCGTTTCGACTAAAACTTGCCCTGCTTTTCCATCGATTCTCCCGCGTACTCTCGCCCTAATACTTCGTGACAAGATGTATATTTGAAGTCGACACTTCTTATTCCTTACTGCATTATCGCCTGCAAGTGCTGTCTCGTTTCCGAGTCTTTATTTCTTGCCGGTAGTAGTGGCGACCTCAATACTGGCTGGGTGTAGGTAGTCGACTAGCAACACCTTATGGCCAGAAAGCACTTCACCGTCGCATATTTCCTGTCTGGGGGCTGGTTGATCAGCATTGGGGAACTTGCTTGCGAGTAAAAATTTATTTTCGAATCGCGGGCGGCATTTGGATTGTGAGGGATTAAACTTGATGCCGTGAAGGGGCGCAGCTTGGTGGTTTGATGCTAGAAAGCCGAAAATCCGAAAATGCAGGATTGCAGAACTGCAGCAAGGTAGAAAGCATTCTCACTCTGATGTGTTGTAATTTCAAGCAGGGTTGGGGGTCCGGAACCGAGTTATTCCTTGCCAGACAAAGGAGCTTCGTTTCACAAGCGTCTTTCACCATCTGCGTGCACACTGTACGATCAGGACGGACATAGAGACCAATGGCGAGCCTTAAGATTTAACTTAGAGTTCATCCACTCTTATATCTCATCCCCCTGCAAGAGTTTTCCTTGATCTGCCAGGGTTGTTCACTAGCTACATTGAAGTCGAAGGTTCTGCTCATCGGGGACGAAGAACGTGAGTGATCTGTAGAGCTAGGGAATGGTGTGGTGCGAAACGGAGGTCTTACGGAAGAGCTTCTTGTCGAAACTGAACCCGGGAATCGTTGGACAGCATATCAGCACGTCCTCGTCTTTGACGTTGGCCAACTCGACACCGTTGCATTCTACACGGTCTTTCCCGTCTTGGAGCTGTCCATCAAAATCAGCTTCCCAAGTCCCGTGCATATTCATCGTGCACCAACTTTCCTTGTCGATCCCTGGTCAGGGATAGATTGGATTCATCTCGTTGAAGAATGCAGTATCAATGGCGTTGCGGATATCAACATTGAGTTGACCGGCCTTTCGCTCGCTACGAAGCAGGCACTGCCTTGACAGCGGCTGGTTTGCGTGCCGGTCAAATGGTAGAACTTGTGACCACACTCGATGAGGCTTTGTTTCACATTGTCATTATCGGGGTGGTGATGGAGAGGGAACGCCTCGAGATGGTGAACGGGGGCGCGAGCCGTGGAATCTAGGAATTTCGAAATGGACACCAGCTGTCCCGAAGATTTCGCCTTTAGAATCCAAGCGATGCCATTCCACTTTGTATTTTGAGCCGTTTCGCTTTACCTTCCTTTCTCCAACATCGAAGACCACGCATCTCGGATCCGAAGTTCACGCCATGCATACTTGTAGCTTGGGTGCTCTTATCAGTCGCTCCACCATCCCCGCTCCTTTCGACCAAATTAAGGTAAAGCATCAGAGATAGCACGGTAAGCCCTGCTTATCCAGTATCCTCAGTCCAAATCCTGCATTTTGTAAGTAAGTTGCTTTCCCCAGTCCAGTGTGCCTGTAATATCTGTTATGCTGTTGTGTTCATCAAGAGTGGCAAACTCTAATCAATGTGCCTGTTGTGTCTGTGGCTGAAGCATGCGGTGATGGTGATTAAAGAAGCATTCCTATATATGGAATATGGAATTTGGAGTACTCTGTACGGAGTATTAGCTCCCAAGTTCAATTGCGTTTTGAAGAATTCTGCCCCGCTTCGAGTCGATTAAGCATGCCCTCATGAGTTGGGTTTGAAACACATCACATAATAGGAGAATTATTTTTGAGAGCTAATGAGTCTCAACCACTCACTGAATGATGGTAGGAACGCATTTATTCCTCGGGCGGCAGACAATCCCACACGGCACCAAATACTATAATATTGTCGACCTGAAGGGATTGACAACTCTTGAGGATAAGTCCTTCTGGTGGACTAGCCACAGAGTGATCGAAAGCGGAATCTTCACACCCATAGAGATCCCTGCCGAAACGTTACCCTCGTTGGGTGCCCTCCTTCAGGTCTCCATATGCTCCCGTCGGAGTGTCCCCAATTGCGGTTTCATTTCAATCAGTTGCTTTCTTTTTTTGGAGTAGCATAAATCTTCGTACATTTCTATCCATGAAACGTATTGTCGTAGTGCCAGGGAGTGTCGCGAACGAGGAGCTCTCACGAGGCTCTATTTGTTTTAGAGCAGAGGCGGAGAGCAACCGTAGTCGCGTTGGGAATTAGTTATAACATGCGCAGTTCTGTCAACTCGCTGGGAGACTAACGCACTCAAGAACAGTCACTGAGAGCATGCTGGTTAAACTCCCCGCCAGCAGGCATGGTGGTTGTTGGGCATGAGAGACCGCAGTGCTGATATCGTTGACGCCGGGCTTGGCCCAACAACTCCGCGTGGGCTTCCCGACTCCCCACCTCACCTCAACAATTGATCCGGCTCTCTTTCGTCACTTTGGACAACGCATTGTGCTGGATCTCTGTCTGGATCTTTTGCTTGTGATACATGCCATCATTGCATTGGAACGTCTGGATGTGAAACAGCGGCGTCTTGGGGTAAGACTACGTAGTGATCGGAAGCGATCCCATTCTTTTATTACTTATTGGCGGCGCATTTTGGTTTGTCCACGCCTCACTCAAACTCGTCTTCTCAGCGCCTCCGCATTCTGTTCACGAGCGACAATACACTTTCATATTCTCGCACCAGAGTTCAACTTGGCCAGTCATTTGCTCTATATAGGCCTGCGTTCATGGCCTACGCCAAAAGATGAACTCCCTCAACATCCTCTCGTCCCGCGTCATCGGCCAGACTACGCCGTCGTCCTCCCGATCGCCCTCTCGATCCCGTTCCCGTTCCCACTCCCAAGGCCCCACGCTCACTGGCAGAAGTGCTCTAGCAGGGAATAGGTCCTATAGCGAAGGAAATCTACATGATATCGGAGCACTTGAAGGGTCAACGGAAGAGGAAAATAATAGTAGTGACCAACCTAATGACGTTGCACCGACCATGGGAGACGTCGAGGAGAAGGCCCCTCTGTTGCATGGCCTGCAGAAGGACGGAAAGACATTACGAGCAAGCGAATTGCACGCAATAGCCCAGCAGCTAGTTGAAGCCCTTGCGGAAACCTTGTCATCTATATTATACACTCTTGCATCACCGGCTATATATCTCGTGCGAACTTTTCGCGATGATAATGGCCGGTATTCCCCTCTTAACCCTGTCCGACGGATGCGATTGTCTGGCTCAGAGTCCAGAAAAGACGTAATGGCGCTCGAAGCTTCAGGAAAAACAACGAGAAGGTCAAGATCCGGTTCCGTGAGGAGCAACGTTGGTTACAGAAATCTGAGGACCTCTCCGTCCAGGGAGTCAATGTCTTCCATGTCGTCCAACGCCTCCGAGTCCGATATCGATCGAACACCAACCAAGGCGGGCCGCCGGCACTCAAGGTCAAAATCGGAACAGATACCCAGCATTGGAAACGAAGTGACGCCTAGACGTTCAATTCGAATCCAGATACAAAACGGTCGAAAAGGCACAGGAGATAAGGCGCATAGAAGGCGAAGTAGCGAATTAAGGGATACTGCTACCAACGTTGCTGCTGAAAGCCTAAAGTCGCCGATATCTCCCTCAATCCATCGACTCACCAAATATCCCCACGCTCCCGCTCCACCGCGACCACTGATTCCACCTCGACAGCCGTCTTACGCGCCCGGCTCAGGAAGGCCTAGATTCCCTCAGAAGACTTTAATCCTTGACCTCGACGAAACCCTCATCCACTCTCTGGCCAAGGGTGGTCGCATGTCTAGCGGCCACATGGTTGAAGTGCGGCTCTCCACGCCCATGACTACATCCACCGCACCTGGTGGAGCATCCACTACCCTGGGCCCGCAGCATCCTATTCTCTACTATGTCCACAAACGACCGCACTGCGACGTATTCCTGCGCAAGGTTTGCAAATGGTACAAGCTTGTGGTCTTCACAGCGAGCGTGCAAGAATATGCCGATCCAGTGATCGACTGGCTGGAGCAGGAGCGGAAGTTTTTCCATAGTCGGTACTATCGGCAGCACTGTACGTTGAGAAACGGGGCGTACATCAAAGACTTGAGTTCGGTAGAACCAGATTTGAGTAAGGTCATGATCTTGGATAATAGTCCAATGAGCTATATATTCCATGAAGGTAAGGCTGTTCACGCTTGGTAGCTTTGTAATGGACACGGGATGTGGTATGCTAAAGCAGTATAACAGACAATGCCATCCCGATTGAAGGATGGATTAATGATCCGACGGACAATGACTTGCTACATCTCATTCCATTGCTGGAAGCAATGCAGTATGTGACCGATGTACGAGCATTGCTTGCCCTTCGACGCGGTGAAGCTATGACATAGAAAACCCTGGCAGTATGCTTGGTAAATGTTAATTGTGTGAAGTTGTATATACATAACTCAACAGTTCCTCTTTTTTTTTTTTGACTTTTCTGTGTCTTCCTGTTTCATCGTACCACCCAAGCATTGAGCGTGCATTTTCATTTATATATCTCTGCCTGTTGTCTGCAGGGGTTCTATTATCTCTTTGAATGGGTTTTGACGCTTTTTCCCCCTTGTTCTATGATACACCTTTTAATAGCTTGCCAGCCATGGTTTTCTCTCGTCTCTGACGCCCACTTTATTAATGGGTTGAAACACGCACTCCTCCCTACCGTCTTCATGAGAGCGTGTAGCCGAGTTATCCGATTTGCATACCCATTTAGAGTAATTTGCTTTGGATCACCCTTGTCCTGCACAGCTGAAGAAGAAAAAAGTGTACTGTTAGTACTGTATAATACGCAAGCCGGATGGTCAGGAAATTATATGTCTTTGTTCTATCCTTGTGCGTCGAGAACCCGAAAATCTATGTACATACATACAAGAGAATTATTTCAAAATCTCTCCACTTCTAGGACCACTCTTATGGTGCTTATCAGGGGAACGGGAGAGAAAGCTAGGTTTGAATTTTATTTGGTAACTTCCACAAATGCCTCCTTCAAGGCCTGGATCGCTTTGTCAATATCATCCCTTGCAGGATCCGTCACACTGACACCCATGTGACCGAACCGGATATACTTGCTAGCAATCTCTTTGTGGAGGCCTCCAGCAAACACGACACCCTTCTTACCCAAGATTGGCAGGATATCCGCCGGCGTCAGACCCTCAGGCAGTCTGATAGCCGTCATGGCGTTGGCCTGGTTCTCAGGCTTGGTGGCCAATTGGTGCAAGCCAAGCTCAGCAACAGCGCTCTTGACACGCTGGGAGGCAGCACGGTGAGCAGCAAAGCGCTCAGAGAGTGGTTTGGATGCGATCTGGACGAGGGACGTGTGGAGTGCCCTGACGAGCTGGGTAGCTGGAGTGGCAAAATATGACGGCTTGCCGGCCTCGTAGTTTTGCATGACGGGAAGCCAGTTGACCATCGAAGCGTAGTAGCTAGCCGGTGGGCTCTGGCGGGTCTTGAACCTCTCCATGGCACGGCCGGAACACATCACGATACTGAGGCCGGGAGGACAGCCGATGGCCTTTTGGCTGGCGGTTAGGACGACGTCGATGTCCCATTCGTCAAAGGCGATTTCTTCGCACCCGACGCTGCAGACACCGTCGACGACAACGAGGGTGTTGGGGCTCACACGTCTGACGAGTTCAGCGACGGCCTTGATATCGCTGAGGACACCGGTGGAGGTGTCGACGTGGGTGATGGTGATGACTTTGTAATCGGCGAGTTTCAATGCCTGTTCAATGTCTGACAGGGATGGCCGGTCCCCGATGGGAGCTTTCAGCTGGGTGGCCTTGGCGCCGTAGGTTTCGAGACAGGCAGCGAAGGAGTCGGCAAAGTAACCGCTGTGGAGGACGAGGGCTTCCTGGCCGGCCTCGATGAGGTTTGACGCAACGAGGTCCCAGCCAAGGGTGCCGGAGCCCGCGAGGATGAAGGGCTGGGCGGTGGGAGAGGTGCTTTGGAAGAGCTTGCGGACAAGGGTCAAGGATTCACCAAAGGTCTTGACGAATGCTGGGCCGACATGGCTCTCGCTTTGGAACAGTCAGTGCATCTTTGATTCTCAACGGAAGAAGCGTAGTAGAGACGAAAGACGAGGGGGCAAAGAGCTGTTAAACTTACGCAAAATGAGACATGGACTGAAGGACGGCATCGTCAAACTCAATCGGGCCCGGGATGAGCAGGGTAGGGTGAGGAGCTTGGGCAGACATGGTTGCAGAGGCGCTATTCCCGGTCGTGGTGCTATAGTTTCGCTGTTGCTGAAGTTGATGGCGAAGAGGGGCTTCTCGAAGAATGGGTTTATATTCTAGGTCGTCGGGTTCGACAGAGACAGCTCTCTCGGTCGAGAAGGGGGTGTTCAGTGCAGGCAAAGGCAGTCTCTGATCAAAATGCCTGGAGATCAGACTCAGACGTTGGCGGGTGGAGGAGCGTGAGGACGCCAGGGTGACGGAGGGGGAACACGCCGCGGGGTAGATCCGGGAGGCCGCGAGTCGGAAAGTTGCCGCCAGCTTGACGAGCGCGTGGAGACAGACTACTTGTTGAAAAGAGTGCTAGCTACGCCGGGCAGAGTGCGTGGGAATCTGTTGAAGAAGCGAATGTGTCCTTTCTCAGCCGATGTGAATCATTCTCTACCTTTGATGCCGCCGGCGAATCGGTGGATAAATACTAACGAATTTTTTTTTTTTTTCTTCTTCTCCGGCAGTGAACCTTAACCGCCGAAAAAGGGGTTTCTACGGAGTATACTTATTTAGTTGCAGGCAACTCGACGCCATGTTCTCCCGTACTCCGTAGGTAGTTATTTAGTTAATTAGAAGACATAAAACATAAACTATCAGCTTCAAGTCCAATTGAATTGATACTTCATAAATATGACTCCGCCTCCTAGTACCAGTTTCTCCCCATCAGACATCCTCCCTGCAACTCTCTCTCGCCTGCTAGCCCTTTACCCAGACACTGCCCGCAACGTATACCAGGCCAAGCTGGAAGCAAAATCAAAGGCTTCTAAAAATGACATTGACAAGCAAGTCCGGTCATTCGTAGACCTGGACAACTGGCGCTACGAAGTCCTCCCCGCCACGTTAAAGCATAGGGCAGAGGGACAAGGCCCGCCCAAAGCGAGGCCCGCGAAGCGCGTCAAGAAAGCGGCAGACGCTTCCGATGAACTGCACCTCAAGAAAGATGAACTGGTGCAGCTGATGGAATGGAAACTGTGCGAGTTTGGCCTCATTCCATTGCATGTTGAATACAGAAATAATTAAACCCTTCGTAATAGAAAGCATGGCTCCTTTAGGCCAGCGCTGATGAACCTCATCCGCTCAAACCCGGAGCCCGCGATCTACACCGCAACCAGCGATGCAGCTTCTTCCTTGCCAACAACTACCGTTGGCAATGATGCTGATGCCGATGCTCTCTTCCCTTCCCTCAGCCTCGAGGTTCTCACCAAGTCCCTCCGCGGCGTGGGCCCTGCCACCGCATCACTGATCCTCTCCGCCAGCACCGCAGGCGGAAGCGCCAACCAAGTCCCCTTTTTCAGCGACGAGATGTACTGGTGGCTGTGTTCGCACCGGTATCCTTCACCAGCAAACCCTGCAGGACCATTAAAGCCTCCGCCAAAGCTAAAATACACTATGAAGGAATATCGAGAGCTATGGGGCTGTGCTCGGGAGCTTAAAGCACGCCTTGACAACCTGGATGATAATCATCTTTTTTCAATGCAAGATATCGAAAAAGCCGCCTTTGTCATCGGTCATTTCGAGTGTTCCGGCTATGCTACTGCTGCTGCGAATCCTGATCCCAAAACCGCTTCTTCTAAAGCCGCCAATGAGGGTGAGGATAACGAGCAGCCTGTAATTCAAGAAACTGACGTTGGCAACAAGGATGGAAAGCCAAAGAAGAGAAAAAGGAAGCACTGATGCCCGGGAAATCATTGACGTTGATGTTTTACTTGCTAGCAATGTATGTTTAGAGTCAAGAAGACTACACACTTATCGATACCCGGAGTTCTGGGAATGGAGATTACATTATGAACTGTGTTTAATTTCCGTTTATCAGTGATCATACCCTATTACTTCGACAAAGAGCCATCAGCGCATGACCTTTGTCTCCAGCAAAGAAGAATTTCTTATCATAGTACTCCGTACACCATGAATAACCGCCCTAGAACGGTATTGTAAAACGGATAGAGTAACTTGTCAAAATACATGTTCGGCCAAATGGCTCTCAGAGGCTGCCGGGGAGGGGAGGGGAAAGCAAGGCATGAATCTTGACCGGAGACCTTTCAAAACCTGATCTCACTACAGACCTAACTGCCTCTATATACTATCTGTACATGGACTCGTAAAATAGGAGAAAGGGAAGCGAGCAGACACGTAACAATTCCTCGCCCATTCCAATAAATAGTTCCCAGGAACGAGGAAGCGATGAATGACCCTTTAATAAGTTGCAAATCCAAAGAAAAAGGGATGTTATGGTACGACAGTTTACTCTTGCCCAAAACCGACTGTTTCTTCCACGGCGATGGACAGTTTGTTTTGTAGTGCTTCATATGTCTTGTACGGTGGAAGGTCGAGGCGGTTGAAACTATAATATTCCTTGTCAGCGAGTCGATCAAAATCATCACACAGACGAGGGGAGCGTACCAAGTGTGAGATTTGGGAAGTGCATTGATATCTCCCGACTTCTCAATCGTAAACCTTCTCGGACCATCGCTACCCTGTAGGTCTTTGAACCCGTTGACGGGAATACGCGAAGTACCCGTGGCAAACTGCAACAATCTCGACTTTTGTTCCGCATCCCAAGTTCGTATAATTTTCCAGAAGTTCTGAATGACCTCGTCTTGCTCCTGGTATCCACGATAATCGGTATGCTTTTTCCAATCATCGACATCAATATCTGCGATTCCACCAATCAGGAGCTCAAGCTCTCGCTCATCGAAGACATTGACTAGATCTGCAGGAATAAGTTCGTTAAATCCGGTGATAAAGGCGTTGAATTGCTCTTCCACTCTCTTCTGAATCTTCCATTCAGTGACCAACCTGGGGTCTTCGTTAGAACTGTAACATTTCAGGAAGCAAATGATAACCGCTTACTCAACATATTGTCGCTTATTCTCATTGGTAACAGCAATATCTCTTCCATTTGGGATTAGGTCAATTGTTTTGTGTTCCCCAAACTGTTCATCGTCGACGGCAAAAGTCAACTCAAACACTCCCTCAATATCATTCTCCCTGTGGAAAAAAAAGTTAGCTAAAGCACCAATAGCCCATGTGATTTTGTAATCCAACTTACAAAGTCCATGTTAGATTTCGGTGGAAATCTTCATCCACACCTTCCATGTCCTGCAACGTGACCTTCTTCCTCAACATCATCTTGTAAAAAGCGCCAATGAAAAATGAATCCAAGAACCGTCGATGGAAAATCGCAAGTCCAACCACTCGTCCGATGAATCTGAAATAATTCAGGTGCTCTGGGTTGACACCGGAGTGTGGGTTGATTTGGAGTGTATAATTATCGTGGGCGGAATATTCAAACAAGCAGTAAAACGGATTAAACATTTCGTGAGAAAGAAGGAAGAAAAATTCACTATACACGTCAGCATTGAGAGCGATCACAGATTAAAGGCAGAGCAGAGCATTGTACTAACCGTGACAAGCCACCATAATCAAGGCCATCCTCGCCATCAAACTTGATCATCAAACGTTTCTTAAGATCCGATGGGCTCTGTCGCATGATCTCCGCATATGAATCTTCGAAAATGGCACTTCGCCGTATCTTGACATGGCACTGGCCGGACATGATTCTTAGTGCGGGCTGAGATCTAAAGTAGATCAATTTACGGCGGAAATCGCGTTTATACTGTGGAACCCCTTGATCGAGCGATGACGGCAATCGCGGATCGTCCCACGTAGTTGTCTTCGTATTATGATCCACAAAGTAGACTCGAGCAGTATTTGTCAGGCGCATTTCCCAGCCACTTGGTAGAGGTCCAAGCTGAGAAAGTGGTTGCGAGGAGATAGTAGTATTATTCCCATTCGCCCCAGGGCCGTACATACGGATATATTGTTGGCGGCGAGGGTCGACCCAGGTTGTTGTTCTGGTGTTATGGTCAACAAAGTATGGACGGCCTTCGGGAGTATATCTCTGCTCCCATCCTGCCGGAAGTTCTCCAGAACCCGCTGTGGTAGCCCCTGTAGTCATCATCTGCACTGCTGTAGCATTGTTGGCAGATGGGGGAGTGCGAGCTTGTTGCGAATCCGGGGAATTTGCACCAGTGCGATCCTCAGGTAGCATCCGGTTCTGATGAGCTCGCCGTTCCATTTGCATATTGGCTTCGAGCTGGGTCCTCTGCGTCTGTTCACTGTAGTGTGCTGATGGACGAGTCCACGTCGTCGTCCGTGTATTATGATCTACATAATAGGTTCGACCTAAACCGTCTTCTCGCCGTTCCCAACCCGCAGGGAGTCTTCCCTGGCTATCCTCAAAGGAACTCAAACTCCTATGTTGGTTTGGCATCCCGTTAGCCTGTGACCCACCGCCGTTTACTGGTACTGCGGATGTAACGGCGGTTGCGGTGGAGGGATTTCTTGAGGGTTGTAAATGGGATGTAGGAGGCGGATTTGAAGCGGGGGATTCTGCAACACCTGAATTTGGGCGTGGTCCAGGAAGCGATACCGGTGCTGTGAGGGCCGGGGGGTGGTGTTGAGTAGGTGCTGGCGCAGGAGGAGCTGTAGAAACGTGGGAACGCGGCCCACCTTGGTTCGCAGGTATGGGCGTCGATAAATTGGTAGAAAGGTTGATAATTAGTTTTCCATGAACAACCATGTTGTCATTGGATTTTTTAAGATCTCGCGTGAGCATCTCTGTCAAGTGAAGGCAGTGAGCATCCGCAATATTAACCTGAGGCACAGTTGAAAGGCAGGTCCAACTCACCATCGTCACCAACGTCGAGATCAATCACATCTCCAATTCGAATGTTTATTACGCCGAGAAACCCTTGGTCCTTCTTCTTGAATTTCTTCTGGTCAAATATCTGGATCGCCAATATGCTATCTTCCGTGACCCTCCTACCAGTCCAGTCACAGTTAGTGGCGAACCAGGAGAGAGCAGGACGGGGTATGTGGTCATACAAGTCAAACATCTCATTCCAATACGGATTTAGCGTCTTCTTGATCACAGAAGTCGTATGTGTCTGTTCACCTCCCACCGTCGCCACGGCGAAAGGATCCGGAAAGCCTTTGAAACACGTCCACGTCAGTCACCTTCTGCAGCAGTGGATCAACTAGATACGGCGAGAAACTCACGGAACACATCTCGTTTGTATAACCCATCGGCAGCGATGACTACTCATAAGCAGCGATTAATATCACAACTGCGGAGACAAATGTGTACGGGGCCAACAGGGGGAGGGGACAAGTATAGATGACGCCTTACTCGTAACTCGGAGGTTTGGTTGTCTGCAGCAGATAGATGCCGGTCATTAGGGGCCGCTCATTGAAATGAAGTGTAAAAACAGGAGTTTACTCACGCAGGTAAATTCGAACCCATTCTTCTCACAGTTTCGGTTGTTCAGTCAAGAGGCAGCGGACGCGGTCCCCCGTCTGTCGAGACGGTTTTGATTGAAGCCAAGCGCTGTGGCTTCGACGATAACGCACATTCAGCGCGGGGCAAGGGTAGGATAAAGCGAACGAGAGGAATAATGCGGTCCACCCAAGGTAGTAAGGAGCACAGAGAACAAAGGCAGAGATTGAGTATGCTCGCCTCCTGACTGTCTGTCCCGATCGTGATCCTGGGTTGCTGGAAGGATGGGATGGGATGGGATAGATAGGCTCAGCCTCATTAAGACCGACCTAACTTAGTCTGTGGCAGAGTGGCGCTCCCCGCTCTTGTCTCAAAACCACCAAACGCTGACAGATGGACAGGAAATTGGAAACGGCCGAGGGGGAAAAAAGGGCGTTGCTCGACAAAGGAGCAGTTTAGAATGAGGTTGTTTGCTGCTCTTTTGCCTGCAGGATCAAAGCGGCGATGATGCGGATGAGGCAGCGTGTTGGCTGGATCCGGCGGATATCAATGTGGAGAAGTCAACGAGCTGACAAGGATTCAAAGCCACCAAGATCCCGCCGCCAGATGTCATCAAGATCATTACATGCCCAATGAACCATTGCTAGGGTCGACTGTATCTACAGATATGATTAAAGTGATGTCCCAGCAACGATGTGCACATTACAACCGTATGAGAAAAGGTTTCCTTTTCAATGAAACGACAAGCCCTGCCCGTGCGCGATATTTAACAAACATAACAATGGAACAGTCTACCTGTCAGCTGGTCGCCCGTGAGCTAACATATCATGATCTTGCTTTTTAAACCGAAGGAGATCGCAGGGAGAAAGCTGATTCAAACACACAAAGTCATAAGAAACCTCAAAACAAACTCTCCCACACAGAGTCCAGCAGAAGTCGAAAAACAATTGGCATCGAAAATCAACTGCTACCCATCGTATCTGCTCTTGAATCTCGGTCCTTTCTCCCCTTGCTGAAGTGTCGTGACGTATCATACACACACGGATTTGCCCCAACTCCCAAGTTACCCTCTTTTCCGCCAGGTTAGAAAGCGTAGACGCCCTGGCCCGTCCATATTCCCAATTAGATAGGCAAAAGCGGGAATCATTCCGAGTTTAAATGGCCCCAAAGTCTAATTTCTAATAGGGAGCGTAGCCCCGGCCACGGCCGCGATAGCCGCCACCCCGATAGGACCCGCGAGGATGATAGTAGCCTCCACGGCCGCCGCCATAACCACCTCCATATCCACGACCGCCTCGGAAGCCGCCGCGCCCACGGCCACGGCTCATACCAGGCAGGTTTGTGCGTTTTGGGACAACCTGTTATCGTGGAAAGCAAATTAGCTCTGCGTGGGTCATTGCATCTATGTTGCTACGCGAATAAGACTCACCTTGAGATTTCTGCCGCGGAACAAGCTCTCGTTCAAAACCAATGCCTGCGCCACCAGGCTAGGCTCACTGAATTCGACATACGCATACCTGCCACACGGACCACCATTAGCACTCCATCTCTTGCCAGGCAGCGATGGCGACATGGGGAAACAGAAGAATATCCATGTAGACAAGAGACAATGCAGAAGAATGTCATCAAAAAAAAATAAAAAAAAAATAAAAAAATCAACACCGAAAGCAATGAATCAATCAATCAATCAATCAATCAATCAATCAATCAATCAATCAAAACGCACCCCTTCGGATGTCCCGTAAATTTATCCAGCAAGATTGTCACCCGGTTTATCGACCCGCAACTCTGGAAATGAGCCTGAATCTCCTCCGGCGAAGCACCGTAGTCGACGTTCCCCACAAAGATACTTCGCGCATCGATGTCTTCTTTATCTTCACGAAGGTTTTCCGACTGCTTGTCTAACGACGCTTGCATTTCGCGCAGTTTGGCGGCCTCGGATTCCATTTCGGCGACCCGTTGCTTCATCGCTTCGATCTCTTCCTGTGGACGTAGAGGCATCAGCATTTAGCTTAAGACGTGGAAAAATGATCGCTTGACGCTTGAGCGCTCCCGGTCCATATGTAGACTCTAGGAGACTGAAACATGCGTACCTCATCGTCGCCGGGTTTGTCTTGCGTGTTCAAATACTCTTCTGGCATATCTCCAGTGGTAGCCATATTTGAAAAGGCGAGTCGAGACGTCGAGTATTCTTAAGTTAAGCCTGTTCTATAGGCCGAGGATAACGTATTTGACGTTGTCTGTCGCAAGGGAAAGAACTAAGAAAAGAGATAACTATGCAGTCCAGAGGGCTGATAAAGCAGTGGATCTGATGTCAAAAATAATATGCTAATGTTTTTAATAGAACTCTGTATATTTAGTACGGCTCGGCGCAAGAACCAACGGGCACTGTCAGAGCAGTGAAGGTTTGAATTGTTTCGCAGCAAGTGAATCGATCATCGCTTTTGCTTGATGCAGCGGAATTAGTTAGCTTTGATGGGTGATGGATGAACTAGCTTAGCTTTGAACAAATTGGGCATGGTGGCGACCAGATTGCCCAGTGGCTGCAGCTCCAGACATGACCTCGCCATCATCAAAGCCCCAGCAATCAGCACCCTTTTTATAGCAAATCTTGTGTCCTAAAGGAAGTTGGGCGTGAAATGATAATCAATAAGTCCACTACTATAGGAGCCTGGCTTCTCTGGGTGATAGTGCTGTGTATCGAGATGTGATAAATAACAGCTCCTGTACCATTTAAGTACAGAGTACACTGCTGAACATTGTTTCGTTGACGTGATCCAAGATAGCGCTGGAGTTGCCAACCCAAGAAAGATAGGAGTCACACAAGCCTATACTCCCATTCTTCGTTATTATGTATGTACATAAAAGTCTATAAAGTAAAAGCAAGCAGCACACAGAGATCATAAAGTAGAGGACATTAAGCAGAGCAATTAAAAAAGAGCTGACTCAAGCCGCTTGGACACTTGGTTTTCGATACGACATCTTCTCAACAGACACAGTCTCAGTTCCCTGATCATCCGTCCGTAGCTGATAGACATAGAGCACCAACACGTCGCCTTGGACCTGGAAATCAAAAATATCATCAGTAATTCACCCTCGACATATTAGTAGCAAAAGCCGGCCTCAAAACCAACACATTCCCCGACCAGGCCGCTGCCGGACTGAAGATCTGAAATAAAATACCGGGAACACTCACATCCATTAGACAGAAGCTCGGCACCACGTCCTCACCCCCACCGTCCATTGTAAATGCTCCCGTAGCACTCCCGGGATTCACAAAAAATCTCCCCTCCGCCTCAAACGCATCAAACCGATGTGTACCGCCCCACAGCAAGACATCCACATCCATCTGCCTCGCCGCGATCAGCAGCGCATCCGCATCACCCGACGGAACAATCGTATGACCATGCGTAAAGCCGATACGTAGCGATCCATGGGTTATAACCTTCGACAGGGGCAGATTCGGCGAGTCGACATCGAAGTCACCCTTAACGAGTTGCAGGTCGGGAGCAATCTGGCGGAGAAAATCAAACGTTTCGCGGTCTGTCAGGTTTCCCAGACATAGTATCTGGCCAATTTTGCCTGGCGTAAGGAGCTTTTTGAACTATTCGCCGTTTGCCGGTAGATGAGGGGTGGGAGGTTAGTCTTTCTAGCTGGTCTCGCGCGCGAGCCTTCCCCAACATGCCGTCAAAAGCCGGGGGAGGGAAATAGAAGATGAAGAGGAGAGGGCGGTATCACACCTTAGCCGGTAAATCCTGTTGAACAGCAGGGCGATTAGCATCCAAAGAACCCTTAAATGATCTAGGCGCTGCTGCAATGCCCTGCCGTACGTACCGGGGCTCTATCAGGTATGAAGAGGTCACCAATGACCAAGACCAAACGGGAGGTCATTTCGAAGTCTCCTTTGTGCAATAACTTCTCTAGAGGCCCATTCCTAGAAAGCGTTCCAATTTTCTATAAGCAGAGACGATGATACCAGGGACAGCCTCGTTCCTTTGTCAACTTCAATAGCTACTCCAATCGTCTCCCGGGTTCTTCGCAAGTCGACAATTACACGTGACGTCAGGCCGGAGCTGCCAAGAGGAAGGCCGAGACTGAAGCTTGTAAATGGGAATATCATGGGCGGAATCAACCTAACCCTACCCTAACACGGCACGGAATCCTACTCCCTACAATCGAAATATGTGCATATAATTCTGCAAAAATGTATGCAAATAGATGGCAAAAAGAAATCACTGACATTAGAGGAGTGATGCCTTCAAAGGAAATTCGTTCATAAAACTCTCTACAGAGTACAATTTCCCGTAACCCAGATATAGGAAGTTTTCACCCGACAGCTCATACTTCATATATAACAACAAGGCTCCTGAGCAATGGAGTGGAAAAAAGAAAAGTTAGGCCACGAATCAACCATGGCCATAGCCACTCACAAACCCAAAGCAAGCCAGACGCTATCATCACGAATTCAGCGTGCAAAACAAAGAATAAAGTGGTGTATGGAGTATTATGCAACGAGGGGGAAAAAAAAAAAGGACACATAGCAGGGAATTGAAAACCCGTGAACCCCAAACGCCAGTGGCTGATTGTGCAAGACCCAGCCCTAAACCGTGTGACCGAGGAAATATACTAGTCAACCGCCCGCTCGCCACCAGGAAAGTAGAAAAATTATAATGAAATAATTGGAAAAGATCGGGGTAGGGAAAGGATCTAGAACATCGAAAAGTAAAAGAGGATATCGTGTGGCTGTTGAAATCCAGACCACGTCCCGATACATGGCAACAGTCAGACTATTTTCGGCGAGGTTTCCTAGCACCACCTTTCTTGCCCTTCGTGGGAGAGGCTGGAGGCGAGACAAATGTGACGCGCTTCTGTTCAGTCTGGATACTGCTATTTTCAACAGTGCCACTGGTGCGACTGCGTTTGATGGATCTCGTTTTCACAGGATTTGCTTGCGGCGGCCGCGTAACGGTGGATAAATGGCGCTTGTGAGGTTCGGAGTAGCTGACGGAGGTCGTGGAAGTTGTTGATCCGTCACCACTCGCTTCAAAGCCATCCTGAACCTCAATATTGTCAAATGATATGTCGTCCTGGCCGGACTCCGATGGGCTGGGACTCGGGCTTTCGGATTCTGAGGGAGCCTCATATTCATCGTCATCACTGACCAAGCTAGGTGCCTGGTTGGATTCGACAGTGTTTGGGCTCAGATTAGGAGAGTTCGAATCAACCATCTCAATATCACTACCTGGCACTGGCTGCCGTTCACTTCGCGGGCTCGTTCTTGTCGCCGTAGCGGGAGAGTAGGGAGATCGGTGCGCCGCTGGCGCTGAAGGGGGATGTCTTAGAGGTGGTAGAGATGGCACCTTTTGAGAACGCTTGTCAGATCCTTTGCGGCTACTTGGCCGCTGAGTCTGCGGGGGAGCAGCCACAGAACGAGCTGGCAAGCGAGTACTTCGAAAATTAGGCGGGGCTTCTTGAACGTTGGATGTAGTATCCACATCCATAGCATCCGCATCGGAGTCGTCCTCGGAGGAGTATGAGGCGATATCTGTCTTTGTTAAAGCGTCGCCAACGATATTAAAGAGATCTAAGCCAAGGCCCTGCTTCTGCAATAGAGCAGAAAGATGCGGCGTCTGTGGTGAAGCTTTGAAGTCGGGGCTCATAGCAGAGTCACGTATGCTTGGTGGAGGAGCTTTGGCCGGGGGGTAGGATTCCACGTTAGCCGTCTCACTTTTGGCAACGGGTGTGCTGGCAGGCTTGTCTTCACGCTGGGTGTTTGACGGGGACCGTTTTTGCATGGCATTCCTCGCCGTGGAGTCTAAAACATGTGCAGATCTAATCAAAGGGTGAACGTATCCCGGAGGGGCATTAGAAGCTGTTTCGTTGTTCCGGCATATCATCGCGCCAGACTCGTCAACCTCTACTGGCTCACCCGACGCTGCAGCGGCAGCATCGTGGCTGGCAAAGCTGCGATTGTGGGCTATCCGACAGTGATTAATAAATCCTTGTGTGCTTGAGAAATTGTCTCTTCGACAATCCAAGCACACCAATTTTACTAATTTGCCATCTGATTTTCGCTTCATAATCATGGGTCCGGCTTTGTCTTTGGGTGGAGGGTAACCACTCGAAAGGGCCTGTAGTTTTGCACCGGCTGAGTTTCGTTGCGACCTTGATGTACTTTCCGCCCACGATCCACGCGTCGTGCGACCTTCCATCAAACCCTTGCCCGCACCATAAATTCCAGAGGGTATAGGCTCGAGTTCGCCACCGTCGAATCGAGGATCTGGCAATAGCCATCTGGCGTAGTGGCGACTGTAAGGGCCATCGGTAACTCCCCATGGAGATGGAGAGACCGGTTGTCGACAGTCTTCAGGCCGTGAGACCGCAAATCCCGTGCCATTGCTAACAGCTTGCGAAATTCCGGATATACTCGAGGTTGGAAACGGAATTTCGGAGCAGCGACGAAGTTGCTCCATAGCGACCTGACATTTTGCGATTTCCTGATCGATAAGGCGCAGTTCGTTGTGCTTGAGCAGGATTTCGAGACTGAGCTGAGCTTCCAGCGTTTGGCGCAACGTTTCGACATCCATCCTGTGAATCGATGCGGCGCCTAATGCGCCTTCTGTTCCCTGCTGTTTCAATTGTTGGCCCTGTATGCTCTTTCCTTCTCCTCCACTGTGCTGCAGTGAGGCAGCCGTTTGTACTATAGCATTATCGGTGGATGTTGCAGAGGGCGGTGTCCTGCTCGTAGGCTCAAGATGTTGCGTTTCGCTCATGTTATTCTGGGCAACGTTGTTGGCTTGGTGAAAGGACTCTGCCTTAGTTGTCGGTGAAGAGACTCCGTTGCCGCCACGCGGTGGTCCCAATTCACTCGAGTTCGTCCTTTTCCGTTTTAACTTGTGCGGTGTCGGGCCTGCCATGTTCGGCGACTTTTGCTGCGGTACAGCCAACATCTTCACCTCCTCCGCTGTCACCTTATTACCCCCAATAGACCAAGGAATCAGTCGAAACATTCCATATGAGAGCTGACCCTGCTCGATCTCCCTTCCTCCTTTTTTCCGTCCCACCGTAACCAGCACGAGTTAATTCAGCGACCGGGCAAGTCGCGTAGGCAGCTCATCTACTATCGCAGTATCACCGCCACTGATACAGTAGGCAAGCGCATCGGTTATTCGATCGTATCGATGCCAAGTCGCGTTCAGTCAGGGCGACGGGAAGCCAAGGGGAAGGTGACGTCGACAGGCGCGGCGTTTCAGGAGCGGAGCAGGTGGCGAGAGGCCCAGCGCAATCTGGGCGCGATAAGTGATCTCTTTCGGACCGGGTATGGAGGGATTAAATCAAACAAGTATCTGCGTCCATGGGGTAGCGGAGAGAAGAGGGAGGAGCATGGAGTCGATGTCGCCGACACGCATATGGGAGAAGGGTTGAGTTGGATCGGGCTGAGACAGTCGGAGTTAACTAGCGTGTGGAGAATGCCTAGACGTCTTACTGTAGCAAGCCAAATTGACGTACGTTATGCGCGATGTATACGACAATTTTGAAGATACGGAGGATGGCGCGCAGCAAGCGACTAACCGCAAAGTGAGTTCGAGGACTTGCTGTGGTAAGAAAGTGGTTTGGTGTTGGCTGGTGGCTATTGACTGTCGTTCCTTGTTGTCTGGCTTAAGGCCGGAAAGGGGGGGGGTGTGACGTCCACGGCTATTTTCTGGTTTAGTCGCCCCCAGGCACGACGGCCCAAAGAACGGAACGGAGCAAAGTTGGTCTGATTACGGAGTACCTAAAATAGGATGAAGCAAAGAAGGCTTCTAGCAGAGCCCACTGCTCGGAGGTGACGGACGAAAGAGGATCAGCCCAACACTGCAAGACTTTTGCAAATCGAGGGTTCGAGATGCATCGCTCGGCTGGTGCTCCCAGGGTCGCTCAACGTGAGGCGGAGATGAGAGGAGTGCGAATACCGCGTCTTACAGGGAATAATACGGGCCTTGCCTGCCATTCACTCAGCTGGAACTCGTGGACGGATTACTCACCCAGTAACTCCGACTCGGTGCGTGTATTTCAAATACGGAGGTTCGGTTTCTGGAAGAGTCGCGAGGTGGGAGACCGTACCACGCTAACAAAGTCTAGGCACGGCACTTGTAATTTACCGCCAAGCCTCCATTAAGCCTTATGAAACACACGCGTTCGTTTATGGACTTGTACGGAGAAGCTCCGGTGCGCTGTGACATAAAATCCGACGTCGCCGCAGTCTCCAGCCCGTGTGTGGTGAGTAACTATATGTATAGATGAGTGCTGTAGAGGATAAAGCGAGCGAGGACAGGCTGGCTCTGCTGCGCGCATGCTGTTGGCCAAGAGCGGATTTGTGACTGGTCGAGCAATGAGCATCCACGCCCGCCAAGCGCGATGCTTCGTAACTTCTGGATCGGCTTCGACCCTGACCAGGGCCCACCGCGCTGCAGCCAATGATGAGGTCACATCGGTGCATCACGTGATATCAACTTCGGGTGGCCGCCGCTTCGGGCCAAAGAGCTTCTACATAATTAGAGGCATCACGAAGCCGAGGGAGCTCAGCTTCTCCAGACGATGGAACGTGGACTGCAGGCAGCGTAAAGGCAACCGCTATGTAATGGATTAGTGTCTGAGGGCGACCTCTGCTGTTCTCCAGTTCTTTATGTAGTCACTCACATAACTACTGGCTTTGTTGATCTTTGGCGTGCGGTCCACGGCAGCTTCTCTAAACCCACAGCAGTACACATTCCCTTCCCTGCCTAATCTTGCCTTGAGCAACCAAGATCACAAGACAATACATCTACACACTCGAAATGCCCAGGGCATTACACTAGCCCTTCAATCACAAAGGAGCTTACATAGCCGCCGCCTCATGGTGCAAAGGTTGTGTGTGTGTGTGTTGTAAAACGGCTAGAACAGTCTTGATGGAACCCTGTTAGACCGCCCCCTCCCCGCATCATCGTCAAGCGCATTGTTTACTTTAAATAGTACCCCGAATATGTCGGTGTTTGTCTTGGTAGGAAAGGCAATACAATAGCTTGCAGTGGAGGTCAATGCTCTGATAACACCCAATCTCGATAGCCCATTCTGCTAATAATACGCCCGGACTTCCCAGTTATTCAAGCAGACATTTCTCACAAGTTTGTCATAAAAATACATATCAGATCGCCAGCTGCAAAAGCTCAGCACGGAGCTGACCCGAAACATGAGCAGCATAAAACAGAGTAAAACGGCAGCCAGGATCCTTCACACCGGTTGGTATATGTTGCACAAAAAATCATCCAGAAAAAGACTCGTATCCTCGTATAATCCAACAGACATCCATCCTCTCACTCTTGCTCCCTTCTCTTGTTTTCTTTCCCCCTCCCTCCCCTCTCTCCCTCTCTCACCCCAATTAAATCGATGTCCAAATGATCCGAAGACGCTCAGGATGCACCTTCCTTCATCCTCAGCGTAAAATTCACAATGACCGCCGCAAACAATGCCCCCGTCAAGACCGTAGGGCCAAAGCGATCGTCGAACCCGCTCTGGCCCCTTTTGCGAATGCTCGTCGCACGCCAGTGGAATGTCACTAGCGCATATATCATGGCAGCCATGGCCACAAAAGTAAAACAAGCGGCACTGATCTGGCCAACGCGATCCCCGAAATTAAGCAGGCCCAGCGCCAGGCCGCCGAGAATGATGGTGAAGTTCAGCCATGAGAGGAATGTTCGTTCGTTGGCGAAAAAGACTTTGGGTTCGACGCGGGTGGGGAGGGCGATTCGCTTGCCTACAGGAGGCATTTGTGAGCATGCTGTTGAAGGGTCGGCAGAGTGCTACATTCTGAACGAGACTAACCTGGGGCAGACTGAAGGAGAGGTTGACTGGACATAATGTGGTTCTGGTGACTGGTTTTTTTTGTTCAAGGATACGGAGTGACGACGGGGGGGTAAACCATACCATGGGCGTTGCCTAATATAGTTAGTTTAGCGTCACCCACATGTAAGGCGCATATCGCTGCTTTTGTAACTTTATATAAGCTGCCATCCTCCATCACGAGAACAGAAGAGCCGGAATGATTGGATAACAACCTGGATGAGGCCGAGTCACAGACCAGAAAGGAAGAATCTTAGGCAAAAGGGTCACAGAACTGGATAGTCAGGATAATTGGGACTTATCTAGACTGGTGGATAGACAGAGTAGTCATGACTATCAAAACTATCACCCCGAAAGCATCATATATATAAGAATGCTTATTATCAGTAATCTGATGAACTCACCTGCTAGAATTACACTGTTGATATCGCTTTGGATATAACTTAATATACTTATTAAACTGACTGTTGGGACGAGAATGGGATAGAATTTCCAAACATCTCTTCATAGTAAATGTATTCAGTAGCTCATGATATCATCCCTATTCTGTCTCTTTGTATGGAGATACCGAGTTCAGTTCAGTTATTCAGTTGGATTAACCCCTTGGGGGTTTCTGTTCAATGACTGCCTCGATTGTCCCACAGTTATACCGATAGAATTTGCTTGCGTGGCTGTATCGAAGGCCATACATACGTCAAGAGAAAGTATACTACCGTGCGTATACGATTGAGACGAGTGTGGCATCCTGGCAGATCAGTGGATAACACAAACCCGTGACTCGTACTCATTCTCACCATTATTTTTCTCAGTAAGGATTCTGATGCAATTACATGGAGGACGGACGAAATGCCCGAAGCCTTGGCTGGAGCTTGGGTACTCTCCTGATAAATGATTGCAGCCTGCCCGGAACTAGGCCAGAGGGAAACCTCGCTCGGGAGAACATGATGAAACAGCGGAGGCAGCTTTAACGGTGGGATCCAGAAACACTCACGCGCGACCAAACAGCATAGGAGTATAGATACACGGGGCCTGATTAAAAGCGATAGAAAAAAGAGATCAAAAACAGCAACAAGGAAATAAACAAACCCCCTAAAGTCGACGTCCAGCAAGTAATAGGCTTTCTGGCGAGTTTAGATAAGTGATTCGCCGTTGCTAAGCTGCAAGGTCACCGCCAAAATAATCACAGCAATCTGTGCGACATCCTCCGCGCTCGAAATGTCTCAGGGCCCAAACTCGTTCATCGTCAAGAATGAGTTATAGTCAGCAGTGCGCTCAGGGCTTGTAAGGTACTCAACATACTCGGCGTCATAATCCGCCATCACAATAAATATCTCGTGCCGGTCCTGAGCAAGCAGCATGCCACTTCGGCCTTGGTACTATTTGACGGGCTCGGGCTTTCAGGCTGCGATGGTTCAGACTGCGCTATCTGGTCCATAGTTTTGAACCGGGTCCCCTCCGCGAAGGGGGGGTAAATTGAATATGGCTGCCGACGTAGCGGTCCTCGATGTCCTCAGTGCTCAGCCTGGATTGTAGAACGAGCTGTTGATAGTACCAGATGGGCTTAAAGTCTCCCAGAGGCGGGCGGGACGGGGAGGAGATCATCCGGAAGGTCCATTTCATCTTCCCTGACCTGTTTGACGAGTCCTTTCCAGTACGAAACGTCGTTCAACCACTCTTTGGCTTTTTCGGTCCCCTTAATCCCGCAATTTTCAGGCACGAGATCGGCGGAGCTGTGGGTTTTCCAAAGAGGCCAGAGGGCAAGGTACTATTTTGCTTCGATTTTAGAAGCCGAGGAGTAGTCCTTTCATATATATATTTAGTGTCACGGCATCTTGTTGGCTGGCATATTTTTTCCACAGTCTCTTCGAACCAACCATAACCGGAAGAGACTTCTCGACAAGGGCCATCTAGCTTGAGTTAGAGGTATGTATCGAGCCAAGAGAAAGAAGAGAGTAAATTGGAAACTGGTGGTGAGCGGCAGAAAATAAAAAGAAACTGAAAAAAATTAAATGCCGACAAGGTACGAAAGCCCGCTGCCTTGTATATCCAGTTGCCCTATAAGTGTAGTCTAGGAGCAATCACTAAAACGGTGCAACATGTTGACTAGAGGCATAGTGATTGGAAAGACACCCTAGGCCCAAAACGAGATACCTTAACTGGTGACGGGCCATGTCACCTGGTGGATGAGATGCTTCCGTCTCTGTTCAATGAGAGCAGAGGCATTAAACATTGTTCTCATAGCTCATGCAAACATATCCAGACATTCTCTGTTCAAGCAGGCAGTACTGTCCAGAAGTTTCAGACACAATATGATCCCAAAATTCATGCATCCTATTGTGTATTTTCAATGAGCCCCAATTCCATGAATAGCAATGGAATGCGGTTTGGCTCAGCATAGGCGCCGATATTCTGGAGGCTCATGGGTTCTAAATTGAAGAACTAATTATTTGAATGGGATTGGTTTGTGGCAGGCGCTGATGTTCTTTTTGGCATTTAGTTAATATATGTGGGAGATGTGAGACTTCTTGGGCACTGTAAAGTTATGATTTTGCACTACGGAGTACAAAGTACTCCGTAGTTGGCAACATTCGAACTCGATAGCCTCCTATTATAGTTACAACAATTAGCCGGAATTATACTCTGTACTACATTTTGTTATTTGATTGAAGCCATTACTGCTTCCAAATTACAAGACAACGCCACCGCGCTTAGCATTCTTGGACGCTAGCGTCAGAGACACCATCCGAGTCTGCCAGCAAGCAGAACGTGGAATATAAAAATGAGATGCTATGAATTCTCTCACTTGCAACTTGTTTAAATTGTCTTTCTCCTTTTGCCCCCTTCCTGCCATTTGAGTTGTGCACTTGACTTGCGCACATACATACCTAGTCAACATGACGTCCTTGAATATAAAACACGTGCGTCATTTTATCATTTCTCGCTTTGGGAGGATACAACGCGTAGCCCATATAGTGGACTGCATATTCAAGGAAGCAAAGGCCCTGAAGCACAGCGAGCTGACTGAGAATGGCCTCTGGAACTTGAGAATCAGCCTATCTTGTATTGATCCCGAGAAGGCTTCTGTTAGCGATCGGATGAGTTTCTACGCTCCACTTCCAAAAGAATGTCCGAAGATTTACTGGGATGAAAAGAAAGAGTTGTTTTGGAAACAGCGAACTGGGCTCAAGTAGGGACCACGCCCTGTCAACCATCACCTCCAAATCGTTTCTAGCGACTTCTGGGGCGCCTTGCTGGGCCAAAATAAGAGCCAGCTGTGGGACCAGCGCAGGCAGTCCGTTGCATTTTCCTTTTCAGACTATGAAGAGGAAATGGAGAAATTTTGATCGACTTCCCTTTTACTTCCAGATGCTATAACGAGTTGCCGAGAATCGGATCTGGTGAATATTCCGCGTCAAGCTCCCTATGAATGGAAAATGCTTGGGGAAGCCGATTCTGTGGTGACCCGGTACCTTCACTGCAGTTTCAGGATAGCCCATACCGCTGAGCCCCTAGAGCCCCTTCGCCTCAGTGAGATGCTGCCGATTGTCGCAGTCATGAAGTGGAGAATGAGACAGTGGCGCTATGTAAACCATGATATTTTTTCAAGACACTATCCCCAAGAAGTCGATGTTTGTTTTTGAGTATTTCGCGGACCATCTCCTACATCTTGCTCAAAAGGACTTGCCACTCGAAGTGACAAAAAGGATTCTCAGGGATGCTCTTCGTGGAATTGCAGAACTCCATGATCAGGATATTGTACATACTGGTACGTAATCCCTATCGTGAATTGTAAGCGGTGCCTTACTTGGAGTAGATATCAAGGCGGACAATGTTTTTATCGATTGGGAAGGTCAGAGTGATGAAATTATTATTAAGAGAGTCCAGCTTGGAGATCTTGAAGATGCCGCGCATATTCCTCCTGGATCACATATGATCGGAAAACAGGCCGGGAATTGGATGTGGAGGAGGCCTGAAGCCCATGCCAAGGGCCCTTTGGATAAGCCCTCTGATATTTTCTCCTTTGCTCTCGTCGTAAGTTTCTATACTTATAAAATCTTAGGCTTTCAAGTGCCATTAACATATCATATAGTGCATTTATGCGGTTGCATAAACGCGTCATCTTTGCTGTTGGGGAAGATGAGTTGGACGAGGGTGTGGACCGTTTGAGCATTGTCATTGAGCGCCAAATATCATACTTTGCAGATGAAGGTGGAATGAGTGGGTTTTTGAAGCATCTTGGTGATAATCCCTGGGTTCGTGTTTTCGAAGTAATTCGGGATGGTTTCGACAAAGATCACCCTCGCAGACCACCTTCCCTCTGGAAAGGTGTTGATAAAGAGTTTAAAAGTCTTGTCTGTGCCATGACAAATTTTGATCCGAAAAAGAGAATCACGGCCCATGAGGCGTTGGCGCACAAGTGGTTTGAAGATGTCTCACATGAGCAGGAGAAGCAAATTCTCTTAGAATCAATATCTCTAATCAGCGCTTCTCAGATTGTTACATTAAGCCTTCTCAATAGGGAATGAACAAGGGGAACACACGGATGAATATTCAATCATACAAACTTCAACCGCGAGTAAGCAAGGCGGAGAATGGTAACTGCTTGATGACCTGTGGATTGCGGAACGGACATGTGTGTATCAAAGGGAAAGCCATGACAATTATGTGAACTACACTATCTACTTCTCCACTCAAGCCTTCCTTGGTCCACCTGCTTTCTTCTTCACTGCTCTTCCACAACATATTGGCTGCCGATGTAGTTTCACCTTGTCTGCCTCAACAGGGGTAAACTCCTCTGCAGGCTCCCAGATGCAGTGCCATGCAACATAAACCCATGACTTCTCATTCTCATCTCATAGCCAAGAAGGCCACACTTTATTGCCAAATCAGGCCACATGGATCCAATCAATGGAGAGCTACCAACATGTGGTGATTTCCAACAGTACAGGAGGCTGGGGTCTAATTGTTTTGGGCTGCTTTTGGCTTGTTGTTTTGGAGCCACTGTCAGTTGCAGTGGTGGTGTCAATCATCTCAATGCAGTTATATTCACTATCCTCATACTTGCTCTTGAGAGCCCAAGTGAGAGGGATCACATCATTGTTGTCTGATGCATACCTTTCCTTAACCACATGGTCCAAAGATATCTTAGACTGCTCCCTGTTACTTGAGAGTCCTGAGGTCTTTCCCAAGATGGCGTCCAACTGGGATACATCACCCCCAGCCATGGTCCTGTTATTGCTCAAGCACAGGTTCAAGTCCTCAGTAATTAGGATCAGTGTGTCTGGTGCACATTAGAATCGTAGAGACCGAAGGGGTGTAAACATACGTTATCTTGAGTGTCTCCAGACTCTACCTGCATACAGGGGCCATTCCTGAAAGCACCATCCAAACTAGTAGAATTAGCAACTGAGTGGCTAGGCCATGGGCGATTCTTATTGCCCTGGCTGGGATTCTTCAGGTGATAGCGCGCCTCATCCAAGTCAAGCAAGATATCAGTATCTAGCAGGCCAAGATTATCATCATCAGAGAAGAGATCACAGAGCAGATCTTCATCATCACTAGTTATATAATTTTTTTTTCTCTGTCTGCAGGCTGGCTCCAGGATGGTGAGGGAGATGTTTCCATACTCAGTGCTTTCACAATTCACACAGATGTTAGTTTGTAGGGCTCCAAGCTCGTTCATTCTGTGTAAATGATGCTAGAATTTGTAGCAATGTTCACCTTCGTAGCCTTTGGATAAAGATTGCCAGGTTGGTACTCAATGAAGCAAAGGCTTGACTAGAACTAGGAAACAACCCAGAGCAATTGAGCTGAAAATTGTTCATCTTGCTAAAGGTGACTGGGAGCAGGATTGTTAAGTTGGGTATAGAGTAAGGAATGTGTAAAACTAGTAGGAAAAACAGTAGATTTTATCTTCGAATCCGCGCTGGAAACATTGGGGATCCTGTACTTTCTCGCTTCCCCTCTGCGGCACCAAAAACCGACACAGGGACCCAAAATAAGCCCATTCGACGCCGTACAGAGTACTTTCCAGATAATCATTCTTTGCATGTAATAGACCACCTAGGCAAAAATGCCAATCACCAGTTCAATATCCCTAATAGCATGCCACATTGTTCATGATTCGTCCCACCAGACCAGCGAAGAGGGCAGGCCAGATCTTTTGCTCCGGTTTCCCTCAAGCTAGTTACGGGTCTTGGCGTGCTTATCTAAGGAATATTCTCACGACGTCACTGTTTGGGACGAGCACGCAGCGGCCTGGATTATTTTCAAGCTGAAGCTGAGGCGAGGATTCCGCAGTCAGCTTTAACCTGTCGTTTCCAACTTTATCGTCCCCTCTTCAAAGCCTTGAGTGCTGCGGAGCCTTCCCCTCGTTCACCAAACCTCGCTTACCTTCTTGACCTTGCGACATCTCACAATGACCACTGAAGCTACGCCTAACAATCCTGTTCGTATCCCTTTCTCGAAGAGTACGAGCCGCTTGCTTTGTTTGTTAACAGCTTCTCCCCTGTAGCCTGTTCCGATCGAGGAGTTGTCAAGGATTGCGGCTGAGGTATGATTGGGATTGACACCCGTGTTCCAAAGCGAAAGTTGACCCCTCCATACTCACATCGCAATTTGAGCTGCTATGCAGGCATGCGACGCAACACTAGAAGGTGTTAGCAGCTATGACCACGAGAAAGTTGGCCAATGGAGCTCTCAAATAATCGTACGTTCTATCGAGCCCTTCCATTTTCGCATTTCGTCGCAAATGATACATTGACCAGCGACATATCAACTAAACCATTCATTGCCCACAGAACAAAATCCTCCAATCGCTAATATCAGCCACCACGTCCACTGGTTCCACAAGCTCTCCATCCCCATCAGAATCCAAACAACCCTCCTACCGTTTTACCGTGAACTGCACTGTAATTCAACAAGGCCTCACCGACGCGCAATCTTCAGACTCTAACCCAGGCGCGAACTCGGTCGAAGTTGCGGGGCGGCGTGGCATGCACTCTGCGTCGGGCGCATACTGGGATATCAAGCGCGACGGGATGTGGACATATAAATACCCAAATGGAATCGAGAAAGGATTGGACTTGGTGCTAAATGTTGTCTGGTTCGGCTCGTTTTGAAGTGAACCCCGAAGAAGCGAAAGTAGGCAGTGTGCCCCTTTATGGTGGGGAGTTGTGTTGCTTCTTTTTCTTTAAGCTAGGCTCATGTTCAACAACACAAAAAAAGGAAGTAGGATGAGCCGCGCGTGGATGGTAGATTCTTTTGGATGTAACGAGATCAAGAAATTAGCGTGCGGAGAGGTCAAGGGTGAAGGTAAAGAGGAGCTTCTATATACTCGGCGAAGCATTGGGTATTGGATCCATTTCTTATGCCGATGGGTGTTTATAATGAAACTGGATCTTTCAGGTCCCTCGATTCGCGGATTGGCGTAGAAAACCTTTATGACTTCTCAGACCCATGACATGTATTGGCAAAAGCAATTTGCAAAACATTAAACCTTCGGAGCCTCCTCTATCCTAATGTAATAAAATCCACCCAACGCCATGCCTGAAGAAATAAGTCATTGAGAATTTGGACATGAAATACAGGGAGTCGTAAAGCAATGATGGGGCAGAGAAGGTATCATAAATTCGACGAAAAGGGTGCATATACATAAATTTCAACACCAAGAAGCTTCTTTTAACAAATCATCTCGGTTCCGAGTAATCATTCAACGCAACACACACTGCCCCTCGATGATGGCCGCTGTACTGTCGGATGATCTGCCCAGACGCAAGCTCCCACAAGCGGGCATAATGATCACTGCACACCGTAACAAGATATGCGGAATCTGCGGAGAAGGCACAATCCCAAACCCAACGCTGGTGAACGGCAAGGGTGGTTTCAAGATAAAGCGTGTTGGTGGTTGGGTCTATAGGAGGCCTTTCTAGCAGCGCTAATGACTGTGGGCTGGGCTCCTCATTTTCAGTGGAGCCTTCGTAATCAAAATCTCTTTGGGTGGGGTGCGAAACAGGTTCACCTCTGGAGTCTGAGCTTGAGCCGTATTCGTGGGGCCTGTCCACGGTCGTATGCTGACTAGCGGCGGTTTCAGGGACCCCGTTGGTCAGCTGAGGTTGATACATATGGGCTTTGCCGTTTGCTGCTGGAGTTTGGGGTATTGGAGAAGAAGCATTGTTAGGGCCTTGGACCTCCTCTCCTGCTGCGGCCCTGGCCTCAGCCGCGGCTTTTGCGGGCGGGTATTCCGGGTCAAGGTTCCAAATTCTAGCAGTATGATCTGCCGAACAAGTTGCGAGATGTTTAACATCAGGGGACAACAAAACCCTTGTGATGTAGTCCTTGTGTGCCTGGAAGGTTGCGATGGGCACTATTTTGGTAAGGTCGTGATCTTGCACCATGCGCCATAGGTATACATTTCCCTATAATGCACCACATGAGCAAGGTTGGCATTTCACACAAAGTCAGCTCAATGTAGTGTTACCTTATTATTTCCAGCGCAAAGCAATGATCCATCACTGGCAACACTAACGCTTGCCACAGACACGTCTTCCTCGGGTATCAACTGATGACTGCAGCGATTCTCCCCTAGATCCCAGACTCTGATGGTACCTGAGTAGTCGCAGCTAATCAACTCTCCCTGATTCGGGTGGATCACAACGTCGTTAACCGGCGACTTGTGATTGTAATTCCTTTGAAGCGACCCGGACCGCGTCTCCCAAACCTTGACTGTACCATCTTCTGAGCTCGTAACCATCCATTTTCCTTCGCAGTGAAACGCGACGCCGGTGACATTGTTGGTGTGGCCATTGAATGTCATAACAGGATCGGGTATATTGGACTTAATGTCGTAAAGGTTCACGCTGTGCCGGCCAGCCGCAGCGATATATCGCTTATCGGGGGTGATGCATAGCCGATTCACCTGGGACAAAGGGTGCTGGATTGTCCTCGAACATATTCCTGAGAGGGCTTCCCAAAACCTGGTTGATGAGTTAGAGGAGACCTTCCAGAATTCACAGGCCAGCATTAAAAATTTTGGAAAATTTGTTGCTTACCGGATTGTATGGTCATACCCAGCTTTGAAGGGAGATTGGCCTTAGCTGCTTTCCCACTTCGTAACAATGAAGAGGCATGAAGGCTTACCGGTACATAGAATGACACTCATGCTGAAAGAATTCACGTACTCAACATCCGCCAAATGGAAATGCAGGATTAAAGAATTAAAGAGGCTCACTCCCTTGGAGGACTCTTGGAACTGCGCAGGCAAGCGTTTCTGGGAGCTGTGAATGTCCCGACTCTTGGCTGATAGCGATAAGCTCGGCCGCAGCAAGGCCACATGACTAAGATTTGGTTATTCAGCATTATACTAGAATAAAAAAGGCTAGTTTGTTAGTTCTAGTGCTGTGATTACACATCACAACCATCACTTTGGGGCAAATGCACGAACCACCGCTTAAATTGACATTTTGTTCGAGAAAATTGGTGAATGACGTGAAGGCTTCGAGCTCAATTCTGTCGGAACACAGCGTTTTCATGTCCTCTTGTGAACAATAGAGATCTCTTTGGGCCTTCTATTGGTCTAACTGTTCTACCTGAGTGATTGGATTGCCATCAGGAGGTTGCCCCAAGGCACACCTTTCCTGGTCCCCATTCACGGCTCCAAAACTTTCATCAGCATAGTGCTGGTGGGCTCCCACTACCCTTTTGAATCAGGTTATAAACCAGGCTCATCTCTGGGGCTTTAGATGGTCCAATCCATCAAGCTACCTTCGCAGCTTCATCTTTGATAGATTTCCTATCCAAGATGGAGACAGCAACGCCATCTTCAGAAGGTATTTATGCTTCTTTAGGCTTGCAACAGCACCCTACTCCAAACCATTCTGAACTCCCTTCTTCTCAGCCTGTCACTGGTCAAGGTCTGGGGCTTACACCTCTCCCCGGGTCACAGCTGCAGCAGGATCGAAATCACAGTCAGAACCAGGACCTTGATCTTCAAGGTCTCGGTGCGGGTGATGACCTGTTTGACCTGCCGGCCGAGTATGATTTAGATCCGAACGAGCTCGATCGGTTTCTCCGCGATGTAGACCTTTCTGGTTTGTTGTCAACTCAGGGTCAGCCTGGCCAGACGCCCACCAATGATGTCCCGGTCGCTGGACCTTACCAAGCCCAGAACCTGATCACTGGAACGCAAGAACTCCATCGTCCTGTCCCGACCGTCCTTCCTGGTCCTACTTTCGCGAGTGATTCTAGGTACCGACGACTTGCCCCGACACCAGGCCGTGGACCCGAGCATAAAAGGTCTGTCGATGATATCAGTGTTGATGAGGATCATGTACTATCCTCTGTCAAAGGTAATGAACCTGTTGCAAAGAGACAGTGTATGGGCCACTCCATTCAGTCCAGCTTTATCGGCGATAGTCATCCCGTCTCCAATGTGTTCCGTCACGACCATCGACGCCATCCACCCCGGATGGATGCAGCCATAGGGTCAATCGAAGAGCCTCAACCCTATGCTAGATCCGGCGTTCCTGTGATCGCAACGCCTATCCTTAATGAAGCACGCCAGGGTTCGAACAACCAATCACGTTCATCTTTGGGCATTCCCTCGATCGGACTGTTTAACGCATCTAGCAACTCGAGCAGTGCGTCAACGAACAGCGTAGGCTCCGTATCGACACCTCTTGCATTGGAGAAGCGAGGAGATCTCGCAATCCACCAATCCACGAACTCCCAAGCAGCATTATCGTTACCCCCGTTTCGCCCCCATGGCGTAGCACCCGCTACTCCATGTCACTCAGTAGATATAGATGCTGCTAGTTTTGAGCGTGAATCGTCTATTGATTCTCTGTTTGATGATCGGGCCAACAGCCCGTTGTTGGACGCCGCACCCACAAGCCAGAACGCCGGAAAACCTCAATTTATGCTGCCTTTGATAGCAAATACCACTGGACCACGGATATCCGAGCATCTCAAGAAAGTCTGTCAGTTAAAGGATGAGGATATCCTTCTAACTCAATCTCGAGAAAGTGGGTGGTTTTGCCGCCAAAGACCCAAATATATCTCCCCATACCCCCGACCGGGGGGAGATCTAGGCTATCTTCCATCTAGCCCATCTCTTCACGTCAGATCGATCAAAGCCGCGGATGACGAGGTTGCATCTCTCCTCAACGACTATCGAAAACGACTCGAAACGTGCATTTCTGATAGGGATAAACTCATGGCGGAACTCCAGATGTATAGCAACGTTGATCCGGTGACTCAAAAAAGTCAATATCAGAGGTTTAAAGACGACATTAAATATCTGAAGCGGGCGGTAACTGTGAACGCGAAAAAGGAGGAAGAGGCCTCAAAGGAGGCGCGTTATTGGCAAAACCGGTATTTCGGTGTTGTCAACATATACAATCACCTTTGCGCACAGTTCCATCAACTGCGACAGCTAGTGCAGCCAATGCAATTTCAGGTTCACCAGACTAGGCTAACCCAACAATGCTCCGCACCGGCTCCAATTCAGCAAAATACCCAGGTACCCAGACTACCAAGCAATCGCCCTGCACCAACTAGCGTGACGTCAACCCCTGCTACTGGTAGCGCCGTACCATCTGCTGCAACTTCTGCGCCTATGACTCCTAGCGCCTCATCTGCACCAACCCCAGTCATGGTTGATTTAACTGGCGACGCGGACGGCGATATGTCAAGTCAACCAAAGGAAGCTCAAAACGTCAATTCCACTCCCGCAACAGACATCCCAGTTTCGCAGAAAGAACTGTTCAAGTCCATGCGCAAGAAAGAATATCGGTGGCTGGGTAACAAAAATCACATGCAACAACGTTTCACGAATACTTTAACCACTCAGCCCCAACCGCATACTAATGTCCCATCAAATACGGCTAATAATTCCTCTACCACTACGACACCTAACAACTGTCGACATGACAGAGTAAAGGACAACAGTGTATCTGGTCGCCCTCGTCAAACCGCGTCAAGTCGTCAGATTGAAACCGGTGTGCACCAGAGAGCAACCATGCCCGGTGCGTGTGATCCCGGAGATAATGAATTTGCAAGGATGATGGAGGGAAATTTGCAGGGTTCGAGTGATATAGACACAACAGGCTCAGGGACGATTTCTGACCCAGCCACGGTTGCGCCCGACACCTCAGAAGTGACGGAAGGAGCTGATGATGAATTTGCGAGGATGCTGGAAAAGGATCTTGAAGCTTCAAGTTGAGCAAGAGGCATGATTGTGTCTGAAGGATGTTGAGGTCGTCTGAAGCATTCGACAGCATTTTAAGGTGTTCGAGGACGACTATTGTGTGGGCTTTGTGGATTTTTGTTTTTCTTTTTAAAATCAAGGCTGATATTGACCTCTGCCAGTGTGCTGATACTTTGTCTCCCTTCAATGTGTGTTTGTTTCCAAGGACTTTTACAAGAAATTGTGGATGAATTGAAGGATACGGCGTGATTTTAATGATGCTGTATGTGTATGATACCCTCCACGCTTATGCTACGTGTTGAAATGAGAAAAGGCTCCAATATTATCCATTCCGGTTCTGGGGTATTACTTGATCTACCGCACACTTAACAGAGGCCTGTTCGGGAGTCACAGATCAAAGCTTTCGTAATATTTCTAGAGTTTTGAATTTTTTGAAGATACAGATATCAAGTAGGGATATGATGGTAAAAAGGTGAATTCTGCTGTACGGAGTACTTTCCGGCAGTCTTATTCACACTTCTCATCTATCGCAAGGGGACGAAGGGAAAAAAAAAGAAAAAAAATGCAACAGGGTATATAATCTAAACGTCCACCCTCATCCTGTTCCAGCCATGGGCCCTCCGCCTGGTATCGCTGCTTTTTTCCTCTCCGCCACTTGCACAATCCCTAGACGAGGAGGAATTTTCTCTCCGCACGAACGGCCCCTTTTCCCCGCCGCCAACACCATTTTTTTCTTCCCGTGCTTTCTTCCTGGGGCCACAGCAGCAGCAACAACAGCACGCGCAGAGGCTGGCGGCATGGAAAATGAACCCGATAGATGTCAGGCCCACAGCAGTCCACATAAACGCTAGCATCCGGGTGCCCAACTGAGCGTGGATATTCAAATCTGCCTCGTTTCTCACGAAGACCATTTTGAAAATTGTGAACATTGCCGTGGCTATCACGGAGGCGGCAGCGGTGAGGAAAAATGTAGCGAAGGTGAGAAGGGTGAGTGGGAAGAGGTATCGCTTCTTTGCGAAATGGGTTCGTCTTTTCGACGGGGAGGGAGAAGGAGCGGTGGGGCTCGTGGAGGAGACAGAGAATGGGGTGAGAAGTATACAGATGAATGCTAGGACGGCGGCGGTAAGGAAGAGGCCAAACATCCAGTGGGATGCTATACGTGCGATGTCGAGAGCTTGGGTGACGTCGCCCGGGAGCGCAACTAGTCGATAGCACTTTAGTGCCTAGCCCTTGGGTGAAAGCGGGATTTTTGAAATGGCAATGGACTTACTTGTAGCCCCAGCAAGCAGCTCATTCAGTAAAATCTCAACGGGGTTGAAGAAGTACATCTTTCTCGGGGCTGAGCAATATGTGATTCCTGAACCGTCATCGTATCCTTCGCAGAAATTCCACAAACCGACCTGGTAGAAATCATGCAGCCCGATCGTCCGGGCAATACTGTTGATGAGGACGGCGTCCGGAACGGAACGGGGTATTATCTCTGATAGATCGATTTTAAGGAAGTATGTGTCTCGGAGTACGGGTCTGTCGCTGACATTTCCGATCTCGACGAGAATGAGAAAGATGAGGGCAGCAAGGTAAAGAAGGGCATAAAAGAGACGCCATCCGGAAAATGAGCCTCGTTGTAGGTCTCTGGATGTTGGAGGAGAAGCCTGATTCCTATTCTCTTTACGATGAATGAAGCTCAAGGGTAGAAAGGCCATTGTTCATCCAATCGATTACCGGGGAGGAAGGGCAACCACCGGCAGCGGGTGTGGACTCCCGGCTACACTTCGACTAGGAACGAACGTCACCCGAACGGAGGAAGAAATTCAAACGTTCGACGCCAAAAATCGGCAATGATGTGTTCCAGCATGACACAGAACGAGAGACAGGTGCGGAGGGATGTGTTTGATATTTTCAGAAACGGGTGAATATACCAAAGGGCCATGAAGCAGGAGTAATTCGCCACCGCCTTTGAAGGAGACGCGTCCGCAAAGAAACGACAAGCTTTTTCAGCCAGTAATCGTGCGATGGATTTGGGGACAAAATCAGGGAATCAAGGTGGACCTCCCCGTACGTGCGGATGGGGCGTTGGGCGTTTGGTTCCGCAGCATGGTCTTGTCTCCGCCAGCGGGCGCCTCTCTGACATCTGCGCAAGCTCTGGTCGATGTCGTGGACACTTTGCGGCGCCACACTCCCGTCAACCAGCCATGTTCAAACAGCGGCCGTCCGGAGTACAGTATCCAGCACGGTGATCCGGATCTCAGGCCGGCCCCCACTGCCCGGGATCTCTCCTGTCAATGGCAAAGGCCGTGTTGGTTGCCGAAGAGAATTCCAAACACGCGGCGCAGGGGCTTACGTAACCGCGGCTGAGGGAAACTGGGGCTTGGACCCACCACGTCACTGCCAAGAACCGTCAAGCATAACCTTGTTATGTCAGCAGGACATGGATCAGATAAGATAGGGTTCGGTCCCTGATCCGACGGAAGTTCCCTGTACCGTACCGACGGCGAGGAAACCGAGATATGTTCAATCGGCAATTAAAATTAAACGTCGAACTTGTTCACTACGACAGACGGGTAATGGTGCGGTGCGGTGTGTTTGCCCGTTAAAACACTACGCTGACTGGAGTACAACTCGCACCGTGTTGGCCCAGAGCACATCAGCCCTTGATTTTTACCCCGCTCCAGAGATGTTCGAAAAACGGCTACATATGTAACCGTGAGCAATTCTGCTGCCTACAACGCGGAATGAACAGAAACTCAATTAATGGCGGAAAGGTTTAACCTGGCAACTTGTGCAGATAGCCGCTTGAACACCCTGAAGGGCGAGGCAGGACCATTGGCTGAACGGAAAAGCCCGGAACTACATCTCGTATGTTGTACATGCCCTGGGCCAAATTCCCCTGCCAGGAGGGATGTCCGTGTGGGGGTTGGCCATGTTGAAGATATAATCTCAAGTCTTCCGATCCGGACAGGACCGAATGTCTTCCTCATCTTTGTCTGTCGCGCCTTTCTCTAAGCTGTGGCCATTCCCTTTCCAAAAAAGCGCTCACACCTATCAGTACCATACCAGAATGGCTACCTCCAAGAGCAACCCACTCCGAATCGGAGTTCTGATCAGCGGCTGGGTGCAACTCCTAGACCTCGCCGTAATTGACCTCTTTGCCATAATGTCCCCCGGATATATCAAAACCTGCAATCTCCCACAGTCTATCGTCGACCTAGCCGTACCTTTAAAAATCCACTATATCGGCGCGTCATCGGCGCCTGCAAACCTATCTGCGAATGTGTCCATCAATCTCACTGACACCGTCTCTTCTCCCTCCGTATCCCCGGGAAATCTAGACATTCTCATGATTCCAGGCCCGGATCCGAACCAGGTCCCCTCTGACGACCTCAAGACGTTTGTCCGACAGCATCACGATGTCGGAACCACGATCCTTAGCATATGCACTGGCTGTATAGTAGCGGCACATGCGGGTATTCTCAACGGCAAAAGGGCCACTGGGCCTAGGATTATGATTCCAGGACTGCGCGAACAATTTCCAAAGGTGAAAGAGTGGGATGGTTCGTGCAGGTTTGTCAAGGATGGGAATGTTTGGAGCAGTGGTACGACCTTTTCTACTGGGACCGTTCTGTTTTTCATTTTTTTTTTTTTTTTTTTTTTCCCTTCTTTTCTTTTAAAATGCGTGAATCTGACAGTGCTTGTCAAAAAGGGAGCATAACCAATGGATTTGACCTTGCCATCGCATATTTGCGCGAAAATTATCCCGCACCCCTTGTGGACGTGGTATGTGACCTGTCTGAAGTCGCAGACAGGCCATCTGAATATGTTTCGGGCCTGAGATCAGAATTTTTTGGAAAGTTATGAACATTTTACCGTTGTTCTAACTTGATAAGAAAAGGTGAAATGCCTAAAGAAAATAATTGTTCTTAGGACTCAAGCAAAAAAAAAGTGGTTCATGGATATAACTTCTGCGATGATTCTCAACACCTCTCTCCCCGCCTTTTTTTTCTTTTTTTCTTTTCATACATCACAACATTCTAGGGTATATAAGAATCTTTTGAAGTTCCCAGACCTATACCAGCCCATATATACCTTTTCCCAAAGCGCCATACGCAGATAATCGAAGCCGCAAACGCCCATCAGCAAAGAGTATGACCGCCATCACGGCAAAGTAAACAGAAGACTTGTTGTAATAGTGGCCAGAAGCCCAACAAAAAAGCTTTGCTTCGCACCGGAAGACAGGCCTTTGGACGCCGCGGAAGTTTGTCGGCCACAACACTTTCTGTTGTATGTGACATTATTACAGTTCGCTGCAACCTCGAATACAGATCCATTGAAATTGCCGATGTTGTAATAATCGACCAAGATAAAATTTGGTGGCCGAGTCCATTGTTCTAAACGCAATTTGTGGTTAGACAGATATTAAATGAGAGTCGAAAGACGTAAAGGAGGTCTGACCTGTGCAATTCCCAGCCATGGCGCCGGCACTTCCGTATCCAGAAACGGCATTTGTCTCATTCAGTAGAACTGTATTCGGGACGAGTAGGCTGGCACCTGCTAGAGAAACCTCGGTATTGAGATTATGGTTGGCCATGTATAGGCGCTTCTTTGCATCTTCTGCACTTAGGCCTGGTGGTCTATGGACAACGCAAGGAAAGTCTCTATTTGTCGGGGAGAAGGGGGTCTCCCACATTTGTGAAAACTCATCCAGGAGGTATGGTACTTCGGTCTGGTTAGCTTTGTAGTCGAGATATACAATTGCTCTCTGGCCAGTCAAGATGAAGTGGGAGAGAAGTGGCCAGTCATCGAGGGCCATCGGTATCTTTGGAGGGGTGTAGACATAGTCGATTAGACCGGAATTCTCTATGGGTTTGGTGTAGTTGGTCGGAAGGATGAAGTTTGAGTTGCCCATCAAAATCGAGACAACGTCGTACGGATTGGCTCTGAGCCAGTCGGCTACTTTCCGCAAATAATCCTCCAACGGGCCGACATCGAGTAAATCACAAGAGGAATGACACAGGCGAATGGTACCGTTGATATAGTGAGTCTGGAATTGTACTTCAAAGGGAGCACGGAGCAGTTAGTGAAATATGCGATAGGAGGGCGTCGAAGGTCCCGGATCGGATCACTTACGCATACGAATTCCATCATTGAGTTGGATGGTCACATCAAGTTCCTGGTTTCCGGCGATATTTCCCCGCCGTACGAAAGGGCTGTTGTGGGCCGCAATATGTGTGATGTTGGAATACTTCCTTTCACAGAACTCTGGATAACCGTTACACGGACGGGTGTTTGTGGGGACGGCAGCCGATTCGGTCGAAGTGGCTGTAGCATTCCCAGACAGTGTGGTTCCATTTGTGGTGCTGACTCGCTTGCTACCGATGAGGAGAGTCCCCCCGTCAGATGTTGCAGTCCTCTCTGAGCCGGTAGCTGTCTCAGTGCCGGTCCGGGCAGACTCTAGCTGTTTATCCGTCGCACTGACAGTAACCACCGATGAGTAGCTTTTGTAGAGACCTGAGGTGTCGGAAGGAATGGGATCACCAACGGATAGCGAAGGGGGTATGTTCGTCCCTGTGAGGGTGATGATATCGTCTGCATATATGGAACGCAGCAAAGAGGCTACGGCAAGAAGACGGAAGCTCAGCAGCATGGTCAGAAACACCGGCTGGTTCACACAACGCAGGATCTCGGAACCAAAGGATTGTTTGGATTAAATCGAGAGAAAAGTTATTCATTCAAGGGCGCAAAAAGCCAGATGAGATAATACAAACAAGGGGAAAGGCCGAGTTCATCGCTCGTAAATCGAATGCAACGGCTGATGCTTCAGAGCTAGGCAGAAAGGGTTTCAACTTGCAGGCAAGGGAAGATGGAAGCAGCCCACTCTACAGGAGAAAAACGAAAAAAACTAAATTCAAATTCAAGATCAAGATCAAAACACCGCTTGCAGATCGAAACAGGAACAGGAATGACAATCGCAGCCAGATCATCGTCGCGGAGCTGGTGCTATAAAAAGCTGTCAAGCAACTGGCTCGTTCGGTGGCGATCCTGACAGCGCCCGCCGTCGTCATCGCGGGCCCTGCGGGTGGGTCGAAGGCGTGCCGTGAGACAGTCGCTGAGCCAGCAACGTACATAGCGGGTGGGCGGCGGCGGTGAGTGGTCTCTCTCGTGGGTTGAGAGCTTGTTAGCGGTGGAACCCGGCGGTATTGCATGTACGTTTCCAGTTATCAGGGCTGTTCGACAGCCAACTAACTAACTACTGGCGTGAGCGAAATCGAATCCCCATTGTTTTTTCCCCCCTGACGATGTCAAACTGTATTTCGAACAGTCCTCGTTGCGTGTCTGCAGAGTATGTAAATTGTGGCACCCATTTTAAGTAGCCATCAAAAATAAACGAAGTCTTCGCTGTCAAGGGCCGTTGCAGCGTGTCGTCGTCGTCGTGGGGGAAAATCGCTGCCAGGGAATCGAATCGGTGATGGTGGGCGGGGATGCGCCTCCGGGCTCAACGCAAACGGACTTTCAATTTTGCTTCTCTGAGCTGCTTTCGCTCGCAAAGCAGCCCGTCCGCGATCCCCTCCACATTGTCTCTAGCCAAGGGAGCAGTGCTTTAAGCCTTGTATCCCCCCTACAGGATCTAGAGAAGAATTTGATTCACCCTTCAAAAAAAAAAAAAAAAAAAAAAAAAAAAAAAAGAAAGAAAGGAAAAATGGTCGACATCGTCCCCCTCTGCTCCTATCCGTCCTACCTCTCCCTCCTCCCGTCCATCCAAACATGTAACATCACCAATCTCCCCGAAAACTACTTCCTCAAATACTACATGTACCATGCCCTCTCCTGGCCACAGCTCAGCTTCGTCGCCGTCGTCCGATCCCCGCCCAATGGCGGCAAAAACAAGTACAGCGGAGATTATCCCAAGGTGGTCGGATACGTGCTCGCCAAGATGGAGGAGGAGCCACTCGACGGAGTTGCACACGGGCATATTACAAGCTTGAGCGTGATGAGGACGCATAGACGGTTGGGCATCGCCGAGAGGTTAATGAGAATGAGCCGTATGTTCCCAGATCCCGCACCTCCTTGAGGAGCCCATCCACTCTCACGCTTGGTTTTCTCCTCCTCTTCCTCTTTTGTTGATTTCTATCACTTTTTAATGCTAATAGTAGAAAACCTGATCCATAGAACGGGCGATGGCCGAATCTCACCGGGCCCACTACGTCTCGCTGCACGTTCGAGTCTCAAACACCGCTGCGCTGCACCTGTACCGCGACACACTCGGCTTCGAGGTCGAGAAGGTCGAATCGAAGTACTACGCCGACGGTGAGGATGCGTACGCCATGCGCATGGATCTTCGGGACCTCTGGGTCAAAGAGGACAAGGAGCCCAGAACCGCTGCGAGCGAAAGTAAATCCGCTGCCAAGACGAAGAAACAGGAAGACGACGGCGACGACGATGTGCAGGATGAGGGCGATGAGGTGGGAAGCATGGGCAAAAAGGAGGACGGCAAGGAAGGGGAGAAGATGGTCAAAGTGAAAATTGGACGGGCTCTGGGAGTGGGAGACTTGGTGGAGAGAAACGAAGCGGTACGATGAATGTGGTTCTGATTAGGATCGTTCCATAGCCATTAAACTCCGCCGCGTTGTGCTGTTCCCCCCCCTCACGGCATCATCTACGTATTCTTCCCAGCTTCACGGGTGCTTGTGAGATATATTTTATATTCATAGAATCCTTCTGAAGCTAACACTACTTTGGTGTGGAGGCATCTATAAAAAATATTAGCAGCATGCCGCTGCACCTTATTGCATGGAATCCTACCGAGTACTCCGTACAGTGGATTCGTACGAACTGACAACAGATGAAAAATAAGAGAATCATCAGTTCATTAATAGCACCTGCTAAATCATTATAGGCTAATACCATCAGACCTGCCTTACGCCATAACAACCAACCGGAGAGAGCCTTGCACGAAGGGGACACAGCAAAAACGGAATAAAGAGGGTAGATGTATGTATATACACATATATCCCACAGGGCAAAAGTTCTGGTTTCAATTATTTTGCCCCTGTGGAGGATTGTCTCGCTCACTGTCTTCTCGCTCCTCATCGTCGACAGGAAGCACTCCGATCTCCTGCTTGCCATCACCAGACCATTGAACCGACGGCGCCTCGGCCTCGCGTGATTTCTTCCAGAATCCCGACGACTTTGGTACCGCATTGCTGCTGGTATATCCCCAGCTCATCGTCTGTTGTGTTTGCTCCTTGCTGCAGCTCTTTCCTTTCCCCTTGCTAGATTTTGTAGAGTTGTCTTCAGGTTTAGCTTGCTGATTTTGCATCGGTGGGATGTCTGTCTCCTCGGTCTCAGTTCTCGTCTCCTGGGTTAAACCAGTGGGTATCACTGGGGGCTCAGAAACGAACGGAGAGGAGTACGCCGGAGGCGGTGACATTGGGGGACAGGGCGGCACGGGGACATGCGTCGGGAGAGAAGAGGTCGGTGGAGCGATGTTAGCGGGATTGTGAGTCGTGCCAACTTCCTGACCTTTGACGCCTAAAGCTCGAGATATTAGTAAAGGAATCTTTAACTTGATGCATTTCTCGCACAAAGCGGAAAGCAAAGCTCACCTTTTCCCCTTTGCTGCTTTCGCTCCGCCTTTCTAGCCTTTCTATGTTCTTTCTTCGAGCTTTTGATCATGCGTCGAAGCTGTTTTTTCTCCTGGCGGAACTCATTTCTCATAGCTTTATACTCTTGCTTTAAATTCCCCATTTCGGCTTTAATAGCTCGTGCTTCCGCGACCTTGTCATTGAACATCTCACGCGAATTCGCCCCACGACCCGGCCCACATCGGCTCGAAGATCGTAGTTCTCTATGTGCTGCCCTCAGCGCGCCCATCTCATGGCGTAGCGCTGCAACTTTCGCGCGATGCTCCGTGTTCAGATTACGGGCCTGAGTGCGACTTTCGCGTAAGCTATTCATTTCGGACTTAATGCTAGTTTCATTGTCACTGTGTTCCGAATCTGAAGAAGACGAGGACGAGAGCGAATCCGAGAATGATGACGAAGAGGACGACAGAGAGGAAATAGAGCCGCTCCGTGGCCGAGAACTCATAGGACACCCGGAGTTAGACCAATAAGGTCCCATGCCACCGCGACGGCTGCATCCTCCCCTGCCAGCGCCTGCGCCCCATGGACCGGATGGATTCGAACGGTATGACCAGGGCGAGCGCCTGTTGCAAGCTTTTTCGAATTGTTCCGTGGCACGCTCGAACCTGTTCCCTTGCTGCTCAAAGTAGTTTTCCCATGCCTGTCCCTTGGCTTCCATCATTCGGCCGAATGACTCGGCACTTTCTTCGACTCGCTTTCCATGCGCCTCGGCTTGTTGTTCGATGTGTTCGCCATATCGTTGTGCCTGCTCGGAAAAGTTGTTTGCCCAGTTAACGATCGCGGACGCCCAGGACCCAAAGGGCGACTGGTGTTGCGCGATCTGCGGTCGGTTTCCTTGGTTTGTATCGGCTTCGTTTTCCGTGTGAGGTTGATATGGCCGAACAGGTGTAGGATCAGCGGCATTTTCGCCAACTGGCTTGCGAGGAATGCCATGCTGCGATGCAGGTGGTGCCGTCTGCGATCTGGACAGAGTCGGGTGTGCGCCGCCAGTTCGCAGTGGCATTGATCTGACCGTCGATGGGTAGCAATTGGGGCAAAGCGGAGAGATGGTTGTGGTCCCAGATTCAGAGGGAAACACATATGCCACCCTCATTGCCCGGGGGCCAAAGAAGTGCACATTCCATTCATCGACAACGGCCGAAATTCGAGCTTTCCGCTCCTCATTAGCTTCCTGGGGCCGATCTTTATGGTCTCTTGCAATCTCCCGACGAAGCTTTCGTGGAAGATCCGGATGATTGGACGCAGGGCCCAGATGTGAAGGGAGTAAGTAATTTAAAAAAGTAGCCCAATCGTGCTTAGAGGCTTCCGCAGCTCGAGATCGCCAGCATCGCGGGAAGCGGGAATAGTCCTTGGCCTGGCTTCGAGTGTAGATGGTTATGGTATGCTCCAGGATCTCCTCGTCTGGGCCATGAGGGACGACTGATGGACGCTCATTGAAATACGGAGCAGCAGAGATGAAATTATCCGCTGGCTGTATAGAATAATTGGGTGATTGTGCGAAAGGTTCACCTTGAACAGACAAACTGCCAGAGGTTGGCGTGAGGGGATCGGAGGGAGTATACGGAGGAGGGGCGTCGTCCGGACTTCCTTTCCGCAGTGTCATATCGCAGAAAATACTGTAGCTAATAGATAGAACTTGTTTAAGGAGAATTAAAAAAAAAAAATGTTACAAAAATAAAACGATGTGTTGGGTATCAAATGATCGAAAGGCGGATGTTCGAAGGAATATGTATCCAACGATTTGTGCTGGAATTAACCACATAGCCTGCATCCTGATCAGCCATCCTCGTATCGCCCCAGGCAGCACAATAAGGACGAACGAGGTGCAGGGAGGGTTGCACACCGGTCGGCCAATCCTCAACCTAATTCTGCTGCCTTGGCTCGCTCTGTCCCGGGTTTCGAGCATCGGTTAACGGGGTGAAATTTGTACACGACTTTTGTCCTCTCAAACGATGCTTCACGATTTCGAAGAGTTTGAATTACGCAGCAACGGCCTATCGGCGAAAACCATTTACTTTGGTTCCATAAACGCACTAACTCGACCACAAGCAGACTTGTCGAGCTTTGCTGGATTTTTTTCTTTTTTTTTAAATTCAACCGGAGTCATTGAATCGCCCTGCTGTATCCAAAAACATGGCGCTGAAACACCTGCTCTGAATGTGTGTAGGTTATCGAGTCCAAAATGGCGGCTCGACCACACAATGCATCCAAGTTTCCATCCAACTCTAAGCCAATCGATTCTCCTTCCAAGGCCAAGGAAGGCTCAAAAATTGAAACTGCTTCCCCCGTCAAATCAAAACCCGCGCGGCGGCCCCGCGAAATCGCTTAATGGGGAGGCCCGTCCTCGATCCCATTTTCTACAGCAACCAGCCCCAGATGTCATCGCTGACCCCAATCTCTAACGCTATCAAAGACTCTTTCGCAACAATCAACGACAGCGGCCCTCCGACCTGCTCTTCCTGCACCTTCCTGCCGGAGGGCGCCGAGGGCTCAATATCATCATGAGCTTTAGACGGCGCAGTCTTCATCCCAGCGATAATATCGCAGAATCTTGCAAATCTGGCAAACCCAAGTTGGGGCACGTCCTCAACAGGCAGCGTGATCTCAAGAGACGGGATACTTGCGAAGTGCGCCGGGGTGATCGCCCTTCGAAAGGCAAGGAAGTCGTGTTCCCTTATGTCTAAAGACCTGTTGTGGAATCGAAAGCCGGTAGATGCATACATCACGTCGAGTGACTCGGAGTGTCTGCGTCAAATAAAAACTGCTTAACTTTAGAAGACCACTGGAGGAACAGGAAACCCGAGAACTTAACCATACATTTGGTGGCAGGTGTATGTCAATGCCAAATTCAGTTTACACGACCTTCTACTCTTGCATCTGGTTAGTCAAACCAGTGATGCCATCCAGCAGCCAGAATCCAGGATGCCGATGCTGCCGCTGAAACAGACACCCAATGAGTCGTTTAGGCCCCGGGCTGATCACAACCACACTTTGATGCTGCCAGCGGCCGTAAACATGCTCATAGACGAGAAGGCGTATTTCAAATGGAAGATCCAAGAACCTGAACGTTTCTTTCTTCTTCTTTATTATAATGAGCCGGGCTCCCTTTCACTTGAAGCAAGGAAGGTTATGATCCTCTTACCTTTGTGAAGAGGTGAAGAACTGTCTTGAGCTTCATGGTGACTGCTTTTCAATGTAGCTTTCAGAGATATGGGGGTGTGGGTAGTTTTCGAATAAGAATGAACCCGGGTTTTATGGTGAAAGATGTCAGATAAAGGTAAGCTCCACGTACTTAGTACTGATATGGCACTTTAGGCATCCTTGCCGGTTTTGTATTGTCGTGATGTGTAATTGGCAAGCATCCTTCAAGTTGCCAGCCCGTCCTTTTTATTATCAGTGGAGTTATTTATGAAGCTTTCACGCACATTTTTTAGCCACTAATGTAATGTGAATCCCGGCGTCCACAGCTATGGGTTGTTATGAGGCAGGGATGCTCCCTCTTGATATCCAGGTACAAGAGAAGAAGGTCAAGTTGGTGCTATTTTACTAGTTATTGGGTACACTTAGAGTAGAATGACCTGACTGACACCTTTAAGGCAAAGGAAGATATAGCAGTTCTTCAGCATTGAGACTGAAGAGCTGGGAACCTCAGGTGACAGGCATGTATCTCGATGGTAGATCATTGTCAGCCACTTTGAGGGCATATGAATATGGGGAGGGTATGATAAATAAGGCTTTGATGTCGAGTACTGGCGAAGGGAAAATCATGTATTGTGAGATTGTAAGGTCTGCAGTTGTGTAGGAATCGAGGTTTGTATGAGGATTCAGGCATTAAAATAAAAAGCAACCAAGAGGAAATATACATCTTGAAAATTTAAGAAGCAATTAAACCAGCGCAATAATCACCTTAATATGCATGATAGCAAGTTCCAGCTGTCTAGAAAGATGCGCGGATAAGGATGGGCGGCGCAACCGCCAGCATCCATGGCACCACAGTATCGACTTTGATGGAGAACGTCCTGACCATTTATATGCAGACAGAACCTTGACTGACGCTGCACTATCCTCACGGTTCAGTCACTCTCATATGCTGCTGATGACCACTGCTCGCCAGGCTTGAGCAACCCCGTGAAGATAACGCCGCTGCCAAAGAAATAAAGATAAAAAATAGACATAGTCCTGACACCAAAATGGGAGGTTTCAGGTTCCGAAGAGCAATTGGTTTATTTTCCATTCAAAAAATAAGTTACAGACCATTCTGATGGTCAATGTAAAGTCAAAAAAAAAGGGTTTTTCGCCTTCTTTCATATTTATTTGGCCCTTGGGAGAGTGATATCTGACTCTTCAAGGCTAAGATCAATAGGAAGCCCAATGATAAGGTGTGAGTTTGGGTACGAGCGGGGCTAAAATCCTTAGGAATCGTATCAGATGCGGTATTTAGCTTACTTAGCCATCGTAGAGTGACTGTGGGATTGTCACTCCCCTGGACAGACTGTGCTGCCAGTGACTGAACGGTATCGACCGGAGCTGGAGCGCATCACGAAATCTACCTCGGCTGGCTAACCATACACGGCGTCATGTTTTTCCACCTCCACCACCCCAGGGCTGTTTATGCCCAGGCACCACCAGCTTGGTAACACTAACAGCTGGAAGGCTTTAAACCCACAGACATAACAACCACATTATAAACAGATTCTTCACCGGGTCTTTTGACCAATTAGTGCGTTCTTGCATGTATGCTACAACAGGTGACCCAATCTGAAGTTCAAATCTGCCCCTGTGAGGCCTTTCTCCTGGAAAGATTCCGAGAACAAGCGTTACTTTTTCTTTAAGAGCTAGGTTAAACCATACATACGTGATGTCCCGCTGGGGTTTGACTTAATGAAAGTCTTTCCTTTCTTCCTCCTTTGCTTGATATCTAATTGTGTAGCTTTAGATATTGTTTTATGTGTGCTTACTATCTCCCCATGTAGAAGCCACATCAAACGCTTTCTCGACCCTGATTCAGAGCGTTGAGATGCTTATTCTGACACACCTTATGGACAATTGCGGCTTTCACAAGTTAACAATTGAATTTGCCAGACAGTCGCACTCTACCTGATGGTGATTAGATCCAGAATGCGGACTAGATACATCAGATAAAGCATGAAAATTTGGAGACTTTATATCTCCCTGGACGCTGTCTTTTCGAGAGACCCATACATCGAACGAACGCTAGTTTCTTATTTGCAAAATTCTCCATCGACAAAATCAAACACCAAGACTTTATCAAGATAACTAGCAACACTCTGACCGTAAGCTTTGTGTACTGGGTCTTCTTTCGTGAAGTAGTCTCGGTCCTCAGCGTTTGCGAGTTCAACGACAAAGGCGTGCGTCATCCCATGCTTTTTTTTATACCACAATATATCAGCAAAAGAACCCATGGAACTGTGCGATTCTCTCAGGGTGCAAAGCTTGTTTACCTGTAACCCGACGGTCGAGTTATCTACTCCACTGGTCATGGATCTGATGTACGGTTTCTGCGTTGTCGGATGGAGGCAGATGTCCTTCAAGGCCATATTCCGCGTAAGTGCCTTGTTTCAAAGAGTTGTTAGTGCTTTGCCCTGACAACAGAGGATATGTTTACTCAGCATACATCCTTAATAACTTCCTGGCTGACTTCCGGTTTAAAGCTAACAAGGACAATGTGAAAAAGTGACATTCTGGGCCCTTGTTACAGAACTGAAATAAATCTAAGCTGGAAGAACAACCCAAAGGAGGCAATATAGTGACAGCTTTCTGGAATGTGATGTTGCAAAGCAGAAATTCAAGGTGGGGTAAACAGATATACCTTTCGCAAAAAGAGTTGACAAGAAGGAATTCTACCAGGGTGGATACCCTGCATCCGCAAATAGCATCCTAAGATCATGAATGGGCCAACAATTCCGAGTTAATGTATGCCCCATAGACACGTTGCAGCTAGCCTGGGCAAGCTAAAGGGTGTTTTCGGGGTTGGAGTCTACAAAATGCGATCTAATTCATCTTGATGCTATCATTGATCGTTCTTCGAAGTACTAGTCGCAGCGTGTTTACTGGTTTATATACTCATCCTCAAACCTCCATTTGCACAAATCACACTCCCTGTACACCAGGCTGCATCTTTCGTACATAGCATCCCCACCACCCCAGCTATCTCGTCCGTAAACGCTGGTCTTCTACCTCCCATCTTCTCCTTAACCTTCCGCAAGTCTTCTTCACTCAGCCTCTCCTCGCCAGTTCCCGTAAAACCTGGCTCGACAATCATATTGCTCCCCGGTGTGTTATCCTGCCACCCTTGCATTCTTTTCCAAAACCCCTCCCCGGCTCCCCAGTACATATCACCCAGCACTGGACCAGGGTTAACCGCGTTGACGGTCGCGCGATCGCCCAATTCTCGCGCCCAAGTTCGCGTCATCGCTTCCAATGCGCCCTTTGTGCCAGCGTAGACGCTCTGGCCGGCAAGCCCCAGGCTTGTACTGATGCTGGATAAGTTAACGATACGTCCAGACCGGTTGCGAGGCAAGTATGGCGCGATGGCCTGGGTTAGGAGCAGAGGTGCGAGCACATTGACATTATATTGCTTATTGAACGTGTCGACGTCGATCGGGCCTCTCTCGGGGTCGTTGAGAAATCTATTCTCTGAGATACCGGCATTGTTTATGAGAATGTCGATCTGGAGGTGACTGCTACCTTGCAGAGCTACGAAGTGTTGCCGAGCTGCGAATAGGATTTTCTCAACTGCTTCTACAGGATTGCCGAGGTCAGCCTGTTGAGCAAAGCACTGGATGCCGCACGTTGCCTTTCACCCCTCGCAGAGATCATGAGTGCGTGCTGTAGAGCTGGGAGAAGTATAGACCAAGAGAAGATGGCAGCCCTTCGAGGCTAAATTCTCGGCAATTGCAGCGCCAATACCTGGAGATAGTAGAGCCTAATGGGTCAATAATTTTGTGTGTGTCTTGCTAGGATCCTTATTGGGGTTGTCTACTTGCCCCTTGAGCCCCCCGTCACGATGCCGAATTTCCCCTCCAAGGGTCTATTCAGTGTACCCTGCATTGCAGGAACCTATAAAATGCTCTCGATATGGAATCAACGTAGCCATTCAAGATTCCCAACAGCCCACATCTATTAGTACTGGAGCTTATAACCTCCTGTCCGTCTTCATCGCAACCCCGCCCCCGCAATATTGTAGGGATCGCCGGATCGGCCCGATGCCGATGACTTCATAAGCTGGATTTTACTATTTTTAGCGTCGGATAGAAATCGCTTGCGAGATGCCTAACTTCTTTGCTTTTCTTTTCCTTTCTTTTCCTAATTCTTTTTCTTCTTGGAAGAACGGTCTTTTTGCCCCGATAATGGAGTTGTGGGTCATTAGTTACTGGAAAGATAGAATTAACCATGATTTATTTCCAACAAAGCTAGGTGCATAGTCCTCCAATCCCTCCGGTAACTATTTCATTAGGCATTCATTATGCAAATTCCGACAAGAAGGAAAGCTCATTAAAGAAGCAAAGGCCATACAATAGTAACCGCCATAGAATATATTTTGCTAAAACCGGATGTTGGTCGAATTTGAAAGATACCGCATTCGCCAATTCAGCTTATCCAATACCAACAAGGAGAGCTCGACATCAATCCCAGGCTTCTCCCCAGTCGTCCTCCTCAGCGGTGGGTTCGACTTTTGGCTTTGTCTCAACCACTTTCTTTGGTGGTTGAACTATTCTCTTTGGTTTCGCCGCCGTACTAGCACCAGAAATTATTGGCTTCGATGATGTCGTGGATGATCGTGTTGTTGAGGACTTTGCTGTTGTGCTGGTCGTGGTGCTAGATTTACTCAGTCCCTTTGGCAGCACTTTCTTCGTCTTGGCTTTCGACTGTGCCGCTAGCCAGCCTGCAAAATCAGGCTCTCCTCCGTCATCAAATGGTACAGACGGTGTTGCTGATGGAACTGGGCTTGGAGACTCGCGGGCCTCGAAGAGCGCGTCTGCTTCTTCCTGTTCGTGATCTTTGTCTCGTTCTTCTGCCATGCTTCCCCATGCTTCAAATCCATCATCTTCAATAGTCGTTGTTTCTGGTGGTCGCTCAGATTGTGTTCGAGCTATGCGATGTCCGTCACTCGACGTTGTTGGTGTCGTTTCTAGTCCCCGTGACGGCGATTTCACGGTCGTGCGGGGCATCGAAGATGCCCGGGTAGCGTTACTTGCTTGACTCGCGCCCCCCTGTGATCCGGCTGGCTGGATTTCACCTTTTGCTCTTGGTGGTTTGTTTGTAAAAGATGATATGGCCCATCCTGCCCAAGATACTCCATTAGACATCGCGGATTTTGCTGTTCCTGCAGCGGACACATCTGGACTTGCTTGAGGTGGCAGGGCAGTATCGGCCATCGTAGATGCATACTGACGGATTTGTTGTAGGTAAGTGTCAAAGGTCTTGTTTGCCTGATCGCGAACGAGTCTGCAACGCATTAGTATAGGTGGATACTTGCTACTTCTTCAACTTACTTCTCCTTGTCTATCAATGCTGGGCTGATCGCCGGGATAATTTTGGTAGCGCAATCCTCTTCACTAAAGAGATCTATGGTGGCGGCAAGTGCTAATAGGGCTGCATTTCTAGCATGGACGAATGGGTCTCTGAGCGATCGGGTGAATGCAGCAACAAGTACTTTTGTTCTTGACTGGATTCCAACATTAGCACCTATACCAGAAAGACGAGCGACAAGTGTTTCTTACGCTTTGCCCTAAATTTCTTGCTATTTTCCCTAGGCATATTGTAGTATTTGTGCGAATACCTGGCTGCTCGTCGTTTGCGGTCTTAGCAAGGTATCGCAGCAGGTCACCATTGATGGTTCGATCCGACAGTTTACCTATTACTGTGAGAACTGCTTTGACTGTTTGCTCCCGTACGACCGGTGCCATGTCAGTAAAGCCAGTCACCTGTAATCATACCATTGTTAGCGAAACCCAACCCGTGTTCGTGGGCTACCGTACCATGTGAGGGAATATCTTGTCGTTGACTTTTTTCTGTGATAATCGGTCAATCATCAATGGGAGGTTATCAAGCAGACACACTCGAATCGCTCTATCTGGGTTTGCGAACAATCGTACTATGGCCGGAGTGAGCTTCTGGTTATATTCGTCGTCTGTGAGTTTCGTGCCGATTTTCAACACGGTTGTCAGAACTTTCGGGCCGCCGCCCCCAAATTCCACTGACTTCAACAGTTCGGGAAGGATTTTCATCTTGAAGAACTCTTCCGGGAAGTCATCGGATAGTTCATCGAGTTCACTGCAAATTATTAGATATTCCTTTGACTGGCAAAAAAAGTTACGACAAAGAAAAGACGCACTTGATGAATTCTTCTCTCTCTGCGTCATCTTTCAGGCCCAAGCTATCAATGTCTTGCGTTAATCGAATCAAAGGCGAGTCGAAGAACCCGCCGGCTCGCTGGCCTTGTTCAATGAAATGCGCCAGACTCAATCTTAATTTCGGGTTTGAGTTCACTAGCTTTTTATAACTTTGGTGCATGCTTGGAGGAATATTCGACGTCCGGCCAGCTTGATTATTTTGAAAATTTCCATTAAATGTCTCGAAAATAAGAGTCCCAAAGTTGTAAGAATCCACGGCGTGGAGGGGGTTTCGTTTGATAGTTTCCCATCCGCCCTTTACAACTTCAGGAGGCGCATAGCGGTGCGAGTCTGGCAGGAGGCTGCCATATGTCTACGGCAAGAATTAGTAGCCGTCCATCGCTTGATCTATTTTTCGGGGCATGGGACAATAAACAGACATATATCACGGCATCATCTTCTTTCATAGAGCCTAAAACGTCAAATCCACCTAATTTCCATTCGCCGCTCTCGCTAGTATATATGGAAGAAACTCGGACAGCACCGTGTACGGAGGCAGCGTCTTCGTTAATGAACTTGAGAGTTGACTAGAGACATGGCTGGGAATTAGCTCGGTGACAATGGAGAAGAAATGATAGCATAGTAGTAGACCTACAGCAACGGAATGGAGACCCCATTTTGCTGTCTCTTCTGAGAGACTTCGCCTCTTCACTAGCCATGACAATGGAAGAACTCTCTCGGTCACGATGTAGATATGGGTATCTGTCTGTCCGCCTTGTTAACCACCCCCGATCTCGAGACAGGCGCCCTCGTTCATCGCTTCCGCCTCCATCGAGCATTGTGCAAAAACTAACCTCAACAGTGTCCAGCACTCTGAGAACTCCGGGGTGGCGTAACGTTCTTAGTTTCCGGAGCGCGTTCTTTGCAAGCGGGAGGCGCGATCGATCCTGTGAGATCTCGAAGGTGAATATGCTACACGACGAGCCATCTTCCTACACAAAGAAATCATTGTTAGCGAAAGAAGACGAATAAACAAACTTCAAGGCTGCATACTCGCTTGGTGCCGTTGTGCAGGGACCAGATGGACTCTCCATTGTCAACTCGATCCCCGAATGAATAGGGTAATGAACTGCTTTTCGAAATTGCAGAGACAACGGCAGATTTTAAGAAATCCATAGCATAATATCCCCCAATGACAGCTCATACGATTCAAGGCCTGATTCAGACGTCGGAGCCTAGACCTAGGAGCTATGACATATACGGAGTATTTGGGAGTGATTTGGTGTTTTGATGACCACGGTTTCTTGTCCCTCCCTGCTCCAGATCTGCCAACGAAAATATCCCTCTAAACCAGTGAATGGGCTCACTTTTGCAAGTTTCTACACGTCAGGGAGCAGACCTCCTCGGAGACTAAGCCGCCACTACTATCTGCCCATAAACACATTCAACAATCTTTTTAAATTCGATTTATCAACTGATAAATCACCGGGGAGTGGCGGAAATTCGTAGTTCCGGGCAGTCCTGGAGAATAGTTGATCCATCCGAGACAATCTTATCTTATCAGAAAACGAGCCAACTAACTAGCTGGTTAACCATATTAGGCCTAGTTTCGGCGCGGGTTGCTGCTCGCTTCTCTTCTTCTCGTTTTCACCTCTCCCGTTACCCGCTCTTCGCTTGCTTTCTCTCATCCTCATCCGCTGCTTTCTCGCAACGGCTTCTTCTCCTTAAGATATCAGATCAACAGCACGGTGGGCTGCCTATGCACCAATAAAAGCTTCCTGCTTCCTCGTATCACATTGTACCCTCCATGAATGCCCGCCGGAAGTGCAAGTCGACGAGGTATAATATGCGGCCCCCTCCCTTTTCTTTTTCCTTCTTGAGAATGAGCCTCCAGGGGATTCAGACAGATTCTATATCATGCGCAGCAATATGACGCTGCCTGTTTGTGGGCTGGCAGGTAAAAATGCGTCCTATTTTCGCAAACGAATACCTAGAATAGTTCTCTCAGTCAAATATCTTACTTGCTATGAGCATCACGGATGTGGCCCGCTCTACCTTCTGGATACCATTTGATTTCAATGTCCATTATTCCTTGTTGCCTTTTGCTTTCTTACCTGTGTTCTTTTCCCTATCCCCTTTCACTTTCTATGGCCTCCTCCTTCATATATTGAATTCAGATCCACTTCCATACCACATTTCTCCGATGATGATTAAATCTGGTAAAAGGTCAGACAATAACACGGAGGCGATAACGTTGCCAGATATTTACTCGCAGAGAGTGTTTGCATTTCAAGGTTCATCCAACACCTGTAAGTCAGCAGCAAAACGGAATCCCGGCGTATCTCTCTCCCCTTTTGTCCCACCCGAGCGAAAGGCATGTTCTACATCCTGGGCAAGATGCACTAGCAGGCAAGATGGGTCTGTTTTGCAAGCACTCCATAGCAATTGACCGCCATGGAATTTGCTAGTGCAGAGTGAAAACCCTTTACTGGGCCACTTATCACGGAGCTTTTGATCCACTTTGCTCTATGAGGACACAAGAGCTAAAGGCAGTGGCCGACATGACGGATGTTTTATCACCCAGGAAGTGAACTGCTTTCGTGGGAAAAAGGGCGGGTTGATGGTGAGAGCGGAATCCTTTTGCTTTTTGATCGACCTGAGTGATGTATGTGAACCCTTTGAGAAGCTACCTTCTGTGTGATCGGGCGCCTTTGACCCTCCGTCGAATGACGACCAATTTTTATAAACTGAAAAGACCTGAGGAGAATTCCATTTCTTCGAACACATCTTGAAGCCATTTCGTCCTTTCCTTGTTATTCTGTCTCTCTTTTTGCTTCCTAATTGCCAGCGTACACCAATATCTATGACGACTTTTTGATCGCCAAGAGTCCGCAGAATTATTAGTTATTTGCTATCTGAACTTCGTTTTGGTTTGGCCATCTTTGCTTCCCCCTCCATTTGCGTTTGATACCCGCAAAAGTCGTCTACAGATTCGGGATATGTCTAGTTGTGTACCTACATACCGAGTACCAAATGTATGGTTGCGAGAAGAGACTTATGTTGCGTACGGAGCTTATATTACTACCCTCGAGGCGTAATATCTGATTCCTACAAATTCTATAATGCAAATACAAAGTCCCCGGCGATTCATTAGCCATCAGGGCCAGAACGCAATAGTCACCCATGATAACCAGCTCGTATTAACTTAACTATCATTGCCACACTTCACAACTAGCAACAGAGTGCACCCACTGCTCTTTCCCTCCTTGCGCAAGAACCAAACTTAGAAAAGGAGGGAGAGTGGCTCGATCAACACATTTCCATCATCCGATGGGCATCATTCCACAAGTCCACTGCCACAATCAGACCTTCAACTCTTTAGGAGACTGCCACATCACTAACAACTAAGACTGAAACCATACGAATCGGTTACAAATTGTGCCTTTCTACCAGCAAAGATCCTCAAATTAGGTGTCACCCCTGCTTGCAAATTATGATCCATCTTCATCCAATCTCAAAGCTTCCTATCTGTGCTCATCAGCAAGGTAAAATTTTCCCACAGGTTTGTAGGAGCATGTCATTCGAATTCCGGAATTGATATTGCTTCTGTCAATAGCGAGTATCATCGGCGCGAGGAACGGGTGCATATCGTGATACAATGTGCACCAGTATAATTGGAGCTTATTGCCCTGGATAACTAATCACGTAGTAGTTTCGGAAATGTGCCGAGTTAAAATACCGAGGAAAGGGGCATCGGCGATATTTGACACGTCTTTGCTGCATGCCTGTTTTCCACACGTCTTCTACGAAAACCCATCAGCATTGATGACAGTATCAGAAGGCAGTAATGCGACTCACTCCAAGTTTGTGAAAAAGATTTGCGCGCTTGGGTTCTGCTCGTAGTCGTCGCCCTAGACGTTGCCCATATCGTGAGAATGTAAAGAAAGTCATATATATGCTAAAAAGAGATAGTGGAAACCGAAACGAAATCCAGTCAGAGTCGTCCAGGTTCGTCATGCGGCGCGTGCAACCAAATGGGGAAACGAGTATCAGTGCAAGCATCAATAGGCAAGGCACCATCGCCGGCGCGTTTAGTTTTGGAGTTCATTTCACCTCTTCGGCACCTTCGTTAGGATGAGGACCTGAAGCGGGCCCCTGAGGAGGTCCTTGGGATTGCATGTGCGGTGGAGGCATATGCGGCATTTGGTTGAAGTTATTGCTGGGTGTTCGATATTGGTGGTGGGGATAATGATGCGCTTGGCTTGGGCTCGACGCAAAATGTGGATGCTGTTGGGGGTGACCAGGACGAGCGCCAGGCACTATCGGGTGTAAGTAATGAAAACCGACAGAGATTATTTGGGGAGCTTACTATGACTAGGCTGCTGGGGTGGATAGAAAGGTTGTCCGTGTTGTCCAGGATTCATGACCATAACAGGCTGCGGAGGTTGACCTTGTTGCGAACCTTGATGGACCATCATGGGCGCACCCCGGCTGGGGCTCGGATAACCGCTGTGGGGCTGCGGAGGTGGCTGTACATGTGGATAAGCGTGGCCAGGGCTCGGGGAATACATCTGCATCTGAGGATTATACGGAGGCCCCATACCCTGAGGCATTCCCATATACGGACCGCTAGAAGGTTGATGAACCATCATCGGGGCTCCCATACCGTTTTGTGGATTGACAAATTGTGGCGCGCCAGGGTAGTGCCGCATATGAGGAGGCTGTGGACCTTGACCAACATAAAACTGAGGTACCCCTTGCCCAATTGCCAGCTGAGCATGAGGCCCCATTGGTGACTGGTACGGCATATGAGCGTGCTGGAGCCGTGGGGATGGATAAGCATGAGAAGCGGAAGCCGATACTTGCATGCGGTGATGATCTTCAAAATGAGGCTGTGCGGCAGGATGGTGCTGCGGAGGGAGAAGGTGATGTGGACCATGGGGAGGACCATTGCTAGGTGGCACATTATGATTGCCATGTTGAAGGTGGAAAGGTAGTGGGGCTTGATGAGGCATTGGAGGGTTTGATGCTGATCGTGTCTGAGGTGAGATCGCAGGTCCTCCGCCGGGTGGTTTGAACATATCGGCATACGTTTTCTCTTGATTGATAGAAGCAACTTCCCATGTTGGTGGTGTCTTGTACGCTGGAGGAATGCCACCATTGAAAGCAAAGTCTTTGAGGCTCTGTTCCGTGGCCTCTTTCTTCATTCTTTTGATAGGATTAAAATGATCATTCAAGCTTGGTCTTTCCGTAGCTGGAAGTAGCACCTTGGCGCCGAAGAAAGCCGATGGGCTTGCTGCTCGCGAAATTGACCGCGTTCGGACATTTGAGACTGGGCTTGAGGATACAGCAGATGTACTGGCAGGAGTGAAAGTGTGTGCTGCAGGGTTTGGTCTGAATTCCATAGCTCGGGCATTGAATTTGGTGGACACCGCGGAAGTGGGAGTTTGGGTGGGCTTGTGAGCATTAGCATGATCGCCGGCCATTGGGCCACTTGGCGGGACACGAGTATCTTGAAGTGGAAGAGGAGCGGGCAAGGAGCCCATGGCAGCACCTTTGCGTTGCTGCTGAATGTCAGCTAGACGATGGCTTAGCAATCCAGATCCAGCACGTCCGGGGTGAGCAGGTAGATGGGAGACAGGACGCCCACTTTGTGGTCCTAATGGTGGATAACCCTGACGGCCTCGGGGATACATCTGTCGTTCAGGCGGCGGCATCGAGGGCGCAGTGGCTGTATCATAGCGAGCGGGCCCATTCGATCCAGTTTGGCGGGGCGCAGTTTGTTTCTGTTCCGCCGTAGCGGTAGATGAAGCGGTTGACGCGGCGGCGGCAACAGCGGCAGCGGCAGCAGCTTTCGCGGCGGCCTCACTAGCCAGTTTCTCTTCGTGTTGCTTTTTAGCCCTCTGGATAATTTCCTCCTGTTTGTTAGGATCTTTAGCTAGTATAGGCACCAAGTCTTTTGGAACCGGTGTTCCCAATTTGAAGTTCTTGCTGAACTTGACTAGTTCGTTGAGTTTGATAGTTCTGTCATATTGGGCTTGGTTACGACGACGTTCTTGGAGTTTCAATTTCTCGTTGTTAGCAAATTGACGGAAGTGGTCGAGAACCTCAGTCTCGACATTCGTTGCTGCATTTTCCACACCGGTGCGCTTTGGGGGAATATTTAAACTCGGGATGGGTTTAACAGCTGTAAGCTTACCCTCAGTGTCATTGAGTTCAATGGTCGACGCTGGCTTCGGCAAATCCGCTGGTTTAGTCGCATCTGCAGCTTTGGCTGCGGTGGCCTTCCCGCTTTCCGCCTGCTTATCCTGTTGCTTCGCTTCTGTTTCCCTGGGGCCAGGCTTGGGTTGTGCCGTCTTTGGCTGTGCAACTTGAGCCGAAATAATGGCAGGATCCACTGGAGCACCGGGCACAGTAGGATGTCCCATGGGAGGTCTTCTAGCAGGTGGAGTGTATTTATTGGGCCCACCAGTCTGCAACGGAGGGAAGTCATCACGACGAACACCACTATACTTCTCCTCCTCGCCAATATCGTCCTTGGGATTGACAAAGCCACGTTCTTCACGAACATGAGGATTGTCTGTTTCGCTGGATTCGATTTCGCGAGCAATACGAGCCGCTTCGGCTTCTCTTTGTTTATATGATGGGTCATTGCGATCAATGCGGGTGGTATACAAGTTCTCATCGTAGCTCGAAGTGGCACCGAAAAGTCGAGCATTGGTCTCGAACTGGTCCCAGGTGCCGGTTGAAGCGGATCCCTCCAGAGACATTTCCACCACTGCATCTGGCCCAGGTTCCCAGCGCTGCAGTTCCCTTTCGCGTCCTGGTTGATTTCCGGAGATATCGGTGTCGGTTCGGAAAGAAGAGCCTAGGCGGCGCCATTAGGGTGCGTGACGAACTAAGAAATTACTTTTGAACTCACCATTTTGCTCCTTCACCCCCATACCGGCCGTGGAAACACCAGCCACGGCGAAATCTGCAACATCTTGCGCATCGAAGATCATCTTGTGGTCTGGACCAGATCCAAGGTATGGACTGGCCTGGTGGCTTGTGCCGTTTGGGCGGATTGAATCAGGGTCCGTGGAAGCGCGGCGTGTCATTTTTAAGACAAAGGACGTTTCGTTGGGTTCTGTTCTCGAACCCGAAAATATGCCAGAGAAATTTTCTCCGTTCTTGGTGGTTATTGTGGCAGTCGAGCCCTGAGGAGAAGTAATCAGCATCGACCTTGGTCGGCGGCGCGAATGAGCAGCTCCCAACTTACAATGAAGGCAGTCATCAGGAAGACAAGGCGATCATGTGCGTGCATATCAGGAGTGTTTGATTCCTTGCTTGTTAGGGACTTGGGGGAAACTGCGGGCTTTCTACCATGACCGGCTCCGTTCTGCTGCGAGGCGGGACCGGTGTCCTTTCGGGTGATGGCATTCGCACTCTGCATCCAGCCTCTGGGGGTGTTGTTGTTGTTGCGCCTGCGAACAAAGGTCAGCCTGGCCATGTCCATGATCCTAGCAATCGGGTTTCCCGGGGGTGCCATTGTTGAGGGGGAGGTAAGCCAGGGAAAGGTGCAGAAAAGGGGTAGAAAGGAGCTCGCCGGCGGGAAGACACGGAGTGAGATGCCGAAGGGAGGGAACGAAGAGAAGGGGCAAGGAAGGAGGTGTCGCTATATATATGTGTGTGTGTTTTTGTGCAGGGAGGGCAGAGACGTCCGGGGCATCGCATCTGAGGAAGGCGACGACGGGGCAAAGACGATATCAGAAGCAGCTTACCTCTGGCCTCCATCGACCGGGCTGCCAGACTGCCTGCGACTTCCGTCTTTGAAGGCGGCGTTTGGCCTCATTGGGCCTCTGTTTCCAACTGTGTTCTGCGACATTGCTTGTTGTAGCACTGGCTGAGCTTCTCGTAGTTCAGTGTTGCGATTGTTGCGATAAGGGTAGAGAGTTCGTGTTCGTCAAGCTCATTACCTGGTGGACGCCCAATTCCAACAGGCTGAAAGCTCGCTGGCGGAAGAAGACAGGAAAATTGGGTTAGGGAAAAGAAAAAGGGAGGGGAAAAAAAAAAAAAAAAAGGAAAAGGGCACAAGCGGCCAAGCACCGCCCGGCGGATGAAGGAAGTTCGACACACGGCTTGCAAGGAGAGGACTGCAAAAGACGTCAATTATATCAATAACAAATAGAAGGAGAAGGCTGAAGGGAAATTCGAAGATGAAAAATTAAAATGATGCTGTGGGGATGGAACAGTGCGACGCAGAGGCGGAGGGGGAAAAGGGAGAGGAGGAAGCCGAAGAAGCATGAAGCAGGTCGTCAAAAAAAAAATTATGTGGAGAAGGGCGAGGAGAGCGAGAGGAAGAGAGAGAGGGCGGGAGAGGGAGCGTCAGCAATACAAGGCCGTCACAAAAATTTGGGGGGATGAAATGCTGGTAATTACAGCACCGTCACTTTGGTCTTGTGTTTTGTAACTGTGCGTGATGATTGGCCGGCACCATCCCGAATGCCGGGTTGGTGAGGCAAGCGCCAAGCCGACCGCCGTATAGGCCCTGTATCTGCAGTCCAGCCACACAGGCGGAATTACACCATCCAAGGCTTGCCGGCCAGCGCGGTCTGACACACACAATGTAATTTTCTGTATCAAGCTGACACAGCTCACTTCTTCACAGCCCAGGAGCACGCTTCACTGTTTGATATTATAATTATTATTATTCTTGAGAGAATGACAGTTTGTGACAGCTGCTTTGAGGGGCTGGCAGGTTACAGGATCGTACGAGAAACTGTGATGTCAGTGGGAAGCACTCCCCAGATAAGCTTCCCCTATATAAGGTTATCCTGTCCTGGCTTTCCATGGTCCTATGGCCATACATATTATTTACAAACAATGCACATGCTCCGGATGATCAGAAAGAAAACTACCTGAAACCCTGATCCGGGACACAAGCCTTTTTGCTGACAGAGCAATCTCCATTAACACCGTGGTTGTAGTTTTCCTCCCATAATCATCATTGTCCCAAAACAAGGCATCCTTTGGAGAGCCTTGCCAGGCTGGCCACCAACATATACAGGCAAGGCACAACACCCCTTTCGGGAGTGCTTGGCCTTCACAGCCAGCGCTCCTATTCAATATAGCTTTTACTTTGTAATGTACATACATAGGTCTGCACCCTTCAGAAATATAACAGCAGCGAACCAAACTCAAGCAGTAGAAGGAGGGTGTCTCAAGAAACCTTCTTACTCATCCGAAGCCCTCTGCAAGCGTGTGGTGATGGAGCGAGCAAGGTACCAGGTGTAGAGATGTGGGACGAAATGTACTGTATGTTTCGCTGACTGGACCTTGTTCAGCAACCACAGACCCTGCATGGGAGTCATTTACTGCTGCCTGGTAAGAAAGAAAGGGGAGAAAAAAAAAGAGATGATGATGATGATGAAGATGATGAAAAAAGAAAAAGGGAAAAAAAAAAAGACCAATCCAGTGAAAAGGAACTGCACCGACGACTGGATGGTTGGGCATGCTCTGAACTCCCACGCTAAAACCAACTCGGGATGTTTGATAGGTGTGATAGCGCTAAACCTGGCCACTCACGGGCTTCCCTCATCACAAACCCAAAAAGCGAGCCTGACGAAGTGAGTGACACCAATTCAAACGCACTCCACCACAAATCACCACTCCTTTGCTGCCATGCGAGCCTGGCTTTTTGTAGCAAATAGTTAAATGCTTGCACCTCGCCCACCATGGAATCTTATTCCAGATACCAACACTCACCACAACGGCGCGCCGCGAGCTCAGAGCAGTCCCAGCCGCCCATGGCACAGTCGAGCAGCAATAATCCCGGTGCGGCTGGGGAGGCCTCTGGTGGCCGGGCTTCATCGGGCTCCGTGAGGTCTTCGGCACCCAGAACGTCGGTGAGTTCGGCTCTGCTTCTTAATGCCAGTTTTGTTCCAGACGACGTGGCTTTGTGAGCACCTCATATGCTGACTCTCCTGGCTTGTGAACCAGCCTGACAAACAACTCTCCCAGATCGAGAAGAGCGTCACACATCTTCTGGTGGCCACAAAGGAGCTGCTCGAGACGCTGACTCAATGGTCAAGAGGCCAGGCATCCGAAGTGAAGGTTTCCGACGTATATGTCCGCCTTGGCTACGAGTTTAACCTTGCCTGTCGGGCTTTCGGGGCCATCGGAGTTGATACTACAGATCTCGGTCCTGTCCCTGACCTGTTGCGAACCATCCTTGAGGACACCCTGAGCCAAGATGCCTCCACCGAATCTCTAAATCGATATCTACCGCGCATACGCGATATCATCATCAACCTGCTTCACGGTTTGAAGCGTAAGCAAGCAAAGCTACGATCAAGGCAGGCAAGGGGTGGACCGCGCCAGGGAAGCCAAGGAAGCATTGCCAGCGGAGAGAATGCTATACCGCCGGCAGCGGATGAACTTCCTCCGCAGCCTCCGCAGAATCGTCCTCCAGATGCACGGCAGAGCACACCATACGCCGACGATCAAGCGTCCGTGGCAACTCGAAATACATCGTCCAATTGGCCTACTGACCGCCAGGGTGGGTCATTTTCAGAAAGAGATGCGATCAGAAGGGAGGCACAGCGTGCGATCGCCACGTCTGTCTCGTCGTCATCGATGTCCAGTTCCACGATGCAGAATATGCCCGTTCTACAGCCCTACGACCAAGACTCCGTGACTGCTCGCCCCCAATCACCCGCTAGCCAGAATCATATTCACGGCTTTCCTCACCCACCTCCCCCGCCGCCAAAAGCAAACGATGCCATCGGAATGCTGCAGAGGAGCGGCGAGCTGGAACGCAGGGCTTCGCGAAGATTCTCTGCGTATCAAATACAGAAGCATCTTGGTCCCACAAATGGCCTTCCAGTCCTACCATCTTCTCAATCGTCACAGCTGAATAGTCGTGGGCGTGATGTACGTGAGTCAATGAACGCAGTGCGCCTTCGTGGTCCTGCTCATGGCCGAAAACAATCAGGTCATCGTCGAGTGGGCGATAGCACCAGGCCTCCCACGACACCCGAACCTTCGGTGATAGCCAAAATAGAACCACCACCAGAACCCGTTCCAGAAGACAGCCCAACAGCGAAAACTCCAACGGACAAGGTCCGTCCTTCACGTGACATTGAACATAGGGATACCCCAATCGTGGATAAACCTGTTCCCAGCCTACCACAAATTCCCGAACGAGACTCTCTTCAAGAGGGAGTAGACAAGGCCAGCAAACAGGAGACCGATCATGGAGGGACAAGAACTGTGTCGATGGACTCGCAGAACTCACGCCCCGCTCAGTTCACCCCGGATATGTCGCCGCCACCGTCAAGCAAAGAGGTTACTTTGTTCCTGCAATACAAGACGAAAATCAAAAAATATGTCCTCGCGGAAGGTTATGCTGGCTTAACTATTGGGAGACTCCAACTAGCATTTATTGAGAAATTCGCGTGGAATACACATAATAACGGTGTGGATCTCCCCGAAATTTATATCCAGGATCCGATTTCCGGTGTACGCCACGAGTTAGAAGATCTTAACGATGTGAAGGACAGGTCAGTTCTTGTTCTAAACGTCGAGGCCCTTGATGAAGTCAAAAAGCACATTGACGAAAGCGTCGGTGGTGTTCGACGTCTAATTGAAGGGGTGCGGGATACCATGGACAACCAAGCTGCCTCTATCCAGCTGCTGACCGACCGTCAGCAACAAGCAGCCAAGGAGATCGCCCGTCTCGCTGCGGGTCCAGCACCTCTCTCATCAGCAAATGGACAGTCACTCACATCGACTGCCAAGGGCAGTTATGTGACAGAGATACAAAGTCTTCGTCGCGATCTTGCCGTTCTTCGCCAGACTTATTCCAATTTCTCCTCCGACGTCTCAGCATCTATGAACAACGTTCGAACAAAAGCCAATGCTGTGAAGACCGTAGCTACTGATATGAGTGTACCCTCGTATGAAGGGGATGCGGGCCGGGCTCGTGTCAATGCAGGGAAGAAGGAACTTGCTGACGAATCCGAGAAACTCGTGGCTCGGGTTGATGATCTACAGGACCTCGTAGAAGACCTTCGCAAGGACGTCGTAACCCGCGGTGTACGGCCATTGCCAAGACAATTAGAAGCCGTTGGCCGCGATATTAGCGCCGTGACCAAGGAGCTTAAGAAAATGCAGGACTTCCTTAAGCGCGAGAAGCCTATCTGGACAAAGATCTGGGAGAAAGAACTGCAACAAGTGTGCGAGGAGCGAGACCAACTCACAATGCAGGAAGATCTTGCCGTTGATTTAGAAGATGATCTGGAGAAAGCTACGCAAACGTTTGCGTTGGTCGAACAAGCGACTAAACAACAAGCCCTTCAGTCGTCGAATCCTGACGGCAACGCCACAGTTGTTAGTTTTAGGGTTGCGTCGCGAACACTTCCCTTAGATCCATCTATAGATCCGGTAAAGGCAAAAGATAGCGTCCTAGGAGAAGTCCGAGCTCTCCAACCGAACCACGAGAACCGTGTCGAGGCCATCGAGCGAGCAGAAAAGGCAAGACAGAAGGAACTGGAGAGCCGACGTATCGGCCAATTCCAAAAAGAACTCGGAGCCTTTGTCGAAGGAGGAAAACTAAAGAAGAGCGGAGGATTCGAAGAAGCGGAGCGTTTGAGAAAAGCTAAGGACGAAAAGATTCGAAAGGAGGTGTGGGAGCGTATGCAGGGGTTGAATACCGGAGACACTGAGGAAGAACAACCCGCTCCCCAGACCCCAAAGGAAGAGTCCCCACTTGAGAACGGAGAGCCAGACACTTCAGCCCTAAAGCAAGATGAAGAACCGGAGAATGCCGCGGATGTCAGAAATGAGGTCGATGCTCCTGCTGCCCCTTCTTCACCTCCGGCCAACACCACACCTGAAAGCCCAAAGAGTGCTTCGGGCGGAAACAGGTCATCGTCTGGTCCTGGTATGTCTGAACAGGACGAACAGGCACAGTGAGGTTGCTAACAGTGTATGTAGCGTCGCCAAGTAAGCACTCATCCTGGCTAGGATCTTTTTTTTCTAGCTAGTTGCATGCGTGCCTTTGCCGCGATGCCACTGTTTACACACTTTTCATTCTATCTCATGTGTCGAATTTCCCTATGATCTTTGTTCCTTCTTTCTCTCTTTTCTTTGATACTTCCTCCTCACCGTCGATCCGATCATTGTGTGATGCTACTTGATGACCCTCAGCAAAGATGTCTATGGCGAGATTGCTCCACCGCTACCCTGGCAGAGTTTCTTTATGTCTTTTCTTTCCTTCTTTGTTTTACCCTCCCCCCCCAAATTCCACCGATAGTGACTCCTCTTTCACTATCCCCCTGTTCCCGCACTACATTTCACCCCCCATTCCCTGTTTGCCTCCACAAACCGCATCCCGATCACTCATCCATATTTTCCCTTCATGATACCCATTAGTTGATGTTTTGCATACATGTGACCCCTTCCCCATTTCCAATGTTGATATGATTTTCACGCACCCTTCCCCCCCCTTACATTATGGCCCCCGATGTGCATGGAAGTGTTAGATTTTTTTTATTTGATGAATGAATGGATAGTGTAGGGATGCAATGGTTAGGGTGTCAATTTAATACTTCGTTATGAAAAAAAAGAAAAACCCGCCTTCGAGTTATTCAGTAGCAATTAAATCTTTCTCCCAGTGTAAGATCGAGGGCTATACTCATCCGCCAAACAACATCTCGTCGGCCTGCCTGAAGACCTGAAGACGAGAAAGCTCCTTTCGTGTCTGCCTGAGCTGCCAGGTGCAACTTGAAGCACTGGACCGGGGTCGTTAGCTCCCGAGTGGGTCGGCGTCAAAGAGCATATGTATCGCCGCAGGGGTGACATCCATGACAACGGTTCCCCCGCCCCCGGGCGCCGGGGGGGGGGGTTAGGTCTTCGATCAAAGTTGTGCTACGAAAGCTGCTAGCTTGTGGAGCCGAGCATGGGTCAAGGAAATATGAACCTATCTGACGAAGAACTCCGAAGTAAGAACAATCAATCTGTGTCTCGTTGCTTTCCAATTTTCCGGTACATTTATGTCCCGTATGTATGTATATACGAGAGCACCCAGCATGGAACAGGACGAGCAGGGAATAATACGGGAAGGAGTTGCGAAATCGTATTCTCGGAGGCGACAACATTATCAGAAGAATATGGGTGCCTGGATGTAAAAATTTCCTACTCCATGAGCGTATAAAGCATCTCTCGCTCCTCCAATGCTACGAAAATTGCGCCTACATTCTATGGCTTTTGGGAGAGGTAGCGTCAGCCAACCTAATTGCCAGGACGACCAAACTTCTTCGTTTCAGAAAGGTATACACCGTACATTCAAAGGGTCAAAACGGTAGGGAGCGACTGTCAACCAGGTCCCGAAGATATTCGATATTACCCGCTGTTATCACCCAAGCTCATAGTCTTATAGGTGACTTGACCTCATCCGAAAATGACCCGAAGCAAGAGCTCTGCGCAAACAGACCTGTTTTCCCGGTTGGAAGAGCTTTTGAGTTCACAACCTTCAGCCGCAGGAACTTCTCCATGCAGCGCATCGACCCTTTTGGTCGAATTGGGGACACCATCTGTCTCAATTGCTGTTCTCGACAAGGGCGAAATACATTCTCGTTGTATCACGAGCTTGTACGACAATGAATTGACTCGGTTTCAATCCGGCTCCATTTCGAAGGCCATCGCTTCGTTGGCCGTTTTCAAGCTGATTGAACTTGGGAAGCTGTCTCTGCACGGCTCGATAGCTCAGTACCTCCCCACATCCCTCGTGCGCCAACTTGAAACGGCGCACACAGCAGGATTATCCCAACACATCACGATCGCCCAGTTGCTCAGCCACACGTCAGGGCTTGAGCCTGATGGGGTCTTTGGGTTTCTGGGCTATGAGGAGAGCAGCGATGGAGAAACCGGTCTTCCTGACCTAAGGACTATTATTGCCGGCGAAGCGCCATGCAACACTCTCCGCATCAAGCTCGCAGATTATCCAGGTCATCGTTTTAGCTACTCTGGCGGGGGACTAACAGTGCTCCAGATGATAGTAGAGCAGGTACTGGGAAAACCATTTTCCACAGTCATGCGGGAATACCTTTTTGATCCCCTAGAAATGACACGATCAACGTTTGAGCCGCCAGGCCCCGGAGATATCAACGGTTTGGAGCCTTTCGATCATAAAGGTGAGGGAAACTATGCCCGACCGTATTATTCTGGTCATACGCCGTGCGAAACAACCCACCGGGTTAATCCCGAGCAGGCTGCTGCCGGATTATGGAGCACACCAGAAGATTTGCTTAAAGCAGGTCGAGCCATACTAAGGTCACTCAACGGGGAACCCGATGCATTTCTGAACCAGGCATTAGCACGCACAATACTCACCGAGGTCCAAAATGGCGTCGCCCATTCATGGTTTGTGGCCCGGGAGCCGCCATGGCAGGTATTCAGGCACGCGGGTAGCAACATGCCAGGCTGGAGATGTCACCTGATATGCTTTGCAAACGACACGGGATCGGCCTCTCCGAAGAAGACGTACACGCACCAAGATGCGGCGGTCCCGGGGGAGGGGTGCGGAATCGCAATAATGACAAACTCGGTTGAAGGCGTCGCGACTTACAGTAAAGTCCTATTCGCAGCATGCTACCTACTGGGCTGGCCTGCTCCACCGAAACCACGAGAGGGCTCCGACATCGTGATCCCATTCGCCGATACCCATACAAAGGTTGATCCCCAGTGGATTGGGTGGGAAGGGCACTGGGATGGGGGATGGGAACTCTTTGAAGGCCAGGACGGAGCCCCTTTTGCCAGATTGAGAGGCATGGCCGCCGTGAGCTTGTACGTGGCGGCGCGTCCGCGGAGCATGGCGGAGATGGCCAAGCCACGGGGCGAGAGAAGCGTGGATCTGGTTTGTAGCGGACTCGAGATCATGTTTCGGCTGATGACAGACGGGCGGGAGCGGGTGATCGAGATCTGGCACGGCGGGCAGCGGGATCGGCGGCGGCTGCAGCGGGCCGATATACCGAACTAGACCTGTCTAGGAAATAAACTCACTTAGCTAGTCTTGGCAGCGTTTATGACTAAGTGGATAGTGCAAACCACGCAAACACACAGGAGCCGAAGTTTCGCCGGAAAACGTCAGCGACAACGAGCTATTCATTCGCCCGCGGCAGATGTTGGGAGCTCCAATAGATCGAAGAGATATGCAAAGTCAGTGGCTTAGCTGCATATAGAGTGACAAGCCTGCAAGGAACGCGGTGAAGTGTCCGACGATGAAACAATGAAGCTGCGGTGAACCAATGCTAACCTCACAACTGTCCCGGGCGTCTTCGAAACAAATTCACAGGGAAGAATGCAAGGCCCCCGTCAGACCTTTTCAAAGGAGAAAAAAGCTCCTGAACCACAGAGTAAACTATTAAAATATTATCGGACTGACAGAATGTGATGACAACCACCAGCAGTCCTTCAGATCCCGCTAGCTAGCTGTAATTCAAGTTCGCTCTCAATGCCATCACGCTTGAGCCTACCCAGCTCTCTCCTCCTGCTTCTGACCGCAGCGTTGCCGGCGCAGACTTCACGGATTTGCACTACGCAGGCAAATCCAACCCTTGAGCTCGATCGAATAGAAGCACGGACATGGGAAGACTTACTCCAACGCCATGCCTCAATAAGCCGCAGACTTCGCGTAGAACAGCCCACCGCAGTCCGCAAGATGCCAGATGACGAGGGCGAAAAATTCTGGATGGACTATTGGTATTTCAACGACGACAGACATGATCCTCGAAAACGGGACGTAGCCAGCTATCTCGAAGACGATGAGATGAACAACAATCTCGCTGCGCTGGAACCCGCCTACCCAATACACTTTGAGCGCACTGTTCCGGGCTTCTCTCTCTTCGGGAAAGAGTTTTCGATTCCCAGAAATTTGCGCCCAGGGAATCTTTTTTCGAAGCGAGCTTTCCAGTGCCCTGCCAACACCCGGCCTTGCAGCTCCATCTCCCGCCCCAACAGCTGTTGCTCTCTCGGTTCCGTATGCCAAATCGTCCCCGACACTGGCCTGGGAGACGTTGGCTGCTGTTCTGGTGGCAGCTATGGCTCCGGCAAGAAATGTTCCGGGAAGCTCCAGTCGTGTCCAGACGGGTACACAAACTGTTCTGAGTTCCCAGGCGGAGGATGCTGTATCCCTGGGTACATATGTGTCAAGGACGGGTGTCTATTTGTCTCCACGACAACAGTGACAATCACCGCATCTTCATCCTCTGCATCTACAACCACCAAACCTACAACCACAACGCAGATCGTCAACCCACCCATCCGCCCAACCTCACACCCGACCATTACCACCACCGTACTTCCCACCAGCACCGGCATAGCCACCACCACGGACCCTGAAATCCTTGACGACTGTCCCACAGGCTTCTACGCCTGCAGCGCCGTCTACAACGGTGGCTGCTGCCGCACAGGCCGCGACTGCAATCCAACCTCCTGCCCACCCTTCACGCCATACACAGCGATCAACACCAACGGCGTGACCATCATCATCCCCGCGTCCGCCACCGGTGGTGCCGCCCCGCCCCGGAGGGCAAGCAAATGCGCCGACGGCTGGACAACCTGCAACGCCGACGCGGGCGGAGGATGCTGTCCCAATGGCTTCCGGTGCGGGAGAGAAAGCTGCACGTTCTCCGGGACGGGGACGGCGGAGGCACGTGCCACGGGAGGTGGTGAAGAGGTGGTGGGGAAGATTCCGCCGGAGAGCGGGGCGCAAATATTGCTTCCGAGTCTTATGATTCTTGTTGGCGCGATGGCGGGACCGAGGTTCATCAGCTGGATTGCTGCAGCATGAATGACGGGGCTTCCTCTAAGGCTTGTGGGGCGGCCGTGGTGACGCCATGTCAGCTATCTCTCTTCGTGACCCCTGTTCCCTTTTTTTTTTAGCGCTACAGGGAAGACATCGTGGGAAGCTTGGATCTGGAACGGAGTTTAACGGCCTTTTTTTGGGGTAACTCCGGAGTAGGTAGCTAGTTTGAGCTGTTTGCACCTGATATTCACATGCTTTTCGTGATAATTTTTTTTTTTCCCTCCCAGTTTGTTCCCTCGTCCATGGTTATGATTGACTTTGGACACTTGACAATAATCATTGCCATGAGGGCTCCATTTTCCCGAAGCATGCAGTTTTTCCCATGTGGATGAATTGATGAGAATGTCTAAATTCAAGTCTATCGGATAACTAACAACGTTGTCTTCCAGCCATCGAAGGCCTCTCTATCCACATCGCCATTTGTCTATCCATCCCGTCCTTCTATGTTTCTAGAATCTAAACAGTGTATTCAAGCAAAAACAGTAACCAAATCAATACCCATAAGAAAGGAGAATATAGGAAAAAAGAAAACGCCAAATCTCAATCCAGGGGGCAAAAAATACACGTTTGAAATGCAAAAGGGAACATCAGCCCTCAGTTAAGAGAAATCACAGCTTACTGGGCCTCTCGTTCTTCACCAACACTTCGTGGCTTGGATAAGGGTCAAATGTCATGGCATTGACTGGGTTCAGCTCGCTGGCCCGATGGAATAGATCTTCGTAGACTTTGCCGTCATATCTGCCTAGAGAGCTGTCGAGTTGCCAGTCAGGGAACTTCCATGAGTCCACCAAGCGCACAGCATGTGGACGGACCTCCTCGAGGAGATTCATCACCGCCTTGGTACGAGTGAGAACAATTTGTCTTGTCGTGACAGCTCCAGAGGTGAAGAACTCAGCGGCCTCACGCTCAAGGGTGTGGAGAGCATGCAGGCGGAAGAGCTTGTGGAGAACAGTCATTGTTTCGGGATCAACGGCGGCGGCGGTAGCAGGGGAGGACACGGCCTCATAGAAGTTCTTGACAACGAGGTACTGGGAGTGAGCGGTGGAGAGGCGCCAGAAGTCGACTAGCAGGCTGTTCCAGGATCTCTTCTCGACATCGCGGTGCTTAAGGGCCTCGAAGGTCAGATAGGCAGTGCGCCACGCGAATGCATCAACAATGTCCTTATCGCTATCGAGGATGTCGAAAGCAGCACCTGTGTCACGGCGAGAAAGGTAGGTCGCGAGGACACGGCAGGTGTCATTGTTTGCTGGCTTGCCAGCGATGACGGAACGGGCAGATTTGAGGAGCTAATCAAGTATTAACATCTTCACTTTTTTTTTTTTTTTTGGATTCCTTCAATACGGGCTATGTGAGAGAGACTTACATATCGGGCAACCTGCTGCGTGAGCATGTAGTTGTCTCCTTCCCAAGTAGCAGTCGGGAGGTAATCGGCGTACCATGGACCAATCCCGCTATAACTGCTGTAGCCGTGTCCACCGCAAGCGCGACGGCAGGCTTCCAATCCCTCAACAGCAATGGTACTTCCCAAAGCTTTGAGACCGCAGGATGTGGCATGAAGGTCGGCAAGGAGATCAGCTCCAGGGTTCAATTGCTCGGGACCAGCGCCCCTGGTCTTGGTTCCATTTTCGGTAGCCTTCATCAGGCTCTGGTTTTGTTGGTAAAGAGCCATCATGCCACGGCCCGTGAAATGCAGCGCAAAAGTGGCGGCCAGAAGGGGTAGCAATCGAATTTGGACCATCTTATAGTTGATGACCTGGTTCTCTCCGGTTTCCGTCGCCGGCGCATCACGGTCTTGGAATTGTCTTCGGACCGCGCAGTACCTCGTGGCAATCGTGACACCACGGGCAAGGACGCCACCGGATTGGAGGACAATGGTGGAGCGCACCCAGGTTAAGGTTCCGTACACGAGGGAGGGCAGTGCTGGGCGGATGTACTTGCCAGTGTCTGGATCAACCCTTGAGAAGCGGGCAAGCATGTTCACGTGGGGAATCTTGACATGGTTAAACAGTAGGAAGCCATTATCCATGGTGCTAGATAAGAAACGTTAGCGCAACGTAGAAGCACAAGCAGAGCAAAAATAAATACTCACTTGTAGCCAAATTTCGGACCAATGTCGCCAACATGGATGTTCTCCAGCGGCTCATGGGTCTCGAGGTCGCGAATATGGACAACGAATGGATGAGGACCGTAACTTTTGCCGCCAATAATCAGCTGAGCCATCACGACTGCGTGGTTTGCCGTTCGTCCGAGGGAGCCAATCCACCACTTGGAAGCGGTCAGGGTTGGAGAATGGATGATGAAAGTCTTATCGGTGGGGTCCCAGGTAGCTGTGGTCTCGAGGCCACGAACATTCGAGCCGTGGCCCAATTCAGTCTGTGCGTAGCAGCCGATGATTTCGTATCTCTCTGCGCGCTCGAGGAAGAGTTTGTGCTGCTCTGGGGTGCCTTGCTCTCTGAGGGTGACCTAATCGTTTGCGACAGTCAACAGGGTGATACATTTTTATGATTTCTAATGGGAGTCTGAAAGGCCCACCAAGAACATGCTGGCGTGAAGTCCATAGGGGGTAGGTTCGCCGAGCAGGTCGTTCGCCATCATAAATTCGTCCTGGGACCATCCATGCTGCTCTCTCAGATTTTGAAGACGTTTGGCCTTGCCGAGAGATCTCTTGAGACGTTCTACACGGCCAAGTGTGTGGTTCTGCGATTTGTCGAAGACGGGCTCCTTCTCCATGATTGCAAGGAGACGTTCTTGTCTCTGCAGAGTTTCCTTTGTGTGGATGAGCTCGGCGAGCTTGTCGACGGAGACGTTTGACTTTGCCCGCTCTTGTTCAAGCAACTCCGTGCCCTGAGGCCCGGCGGGCTTCAGCTTCTTCACCCAATCCGGAGTGGGAGACATGGTTGGAGGAGGGAAATCAAAAGAAGATAGGAAGAAGATAGAAGGGAGGAGAGGACGAGGGGAGAGGGAGAAGACGTGGACTGGATTGTGAGTTAGGAGCTGGGAGGTGGAAGACGAATGCGAGAGGGCAGCTGGGGAAGAGAGGCATAATATAGCAGCGCCGGCGGGGATCACGAGTTGCCGGCTGAAAGCCACGGCGGAAGCCTCCGAGCTGCTCGATCGGGCATCTGCCGAGGTTCAGCCCGCCAGCTGACATAATTCGGCCCCGAAGCCAAGGTTTACTCATCCCGACCGTCCAGGCTACACGGGAGCTTAGCTACACGGAAGTGTACTTAGCTGTACGGAGATAAAACCTATGAGTTTGCAGGGTCCGGAGCACATACATCAACACCGCATAGTGTGGAGCTTGGGTGCATACCACATTGCTGAGAACTATGGTGTTAGCATTGCTGCTGCTATTTACTCCTTGATTCATCCTTCGTTGTCTTGAAGAAATCATCCCCCCCTTGTTTGGTTCTGTAACATTTTAGTCCCGCCACGCCTATGCGCGACTGGTTTATCGAGTCTTCGATGCATTTTATTCCTACTGCGCCCCTGAAGACACTTACCCACTCCAGCTCGCCTCCGTCAAGATAATACTTTAATTTCCAGCTCTCATCCAATATGCGGTATCCAGCCTTATACCTGCCCTCGTCGCCCTCCCCATCCTCATCCCCGTCCCCAGCTGCACCCTTCCCGATCCCTTTCCCAATCCCTTTGCCAACCCCCTTCCCAGGTATCTTCGCCCTCTTCTTTCCGCCCTTTTTGAGTATTTCTAGACGATGGCACTGTTCTATCGTATCTTTCACCCTCTTTCCCCAGTCACCACTGGAAAAGCCGCCTCCCCATATTTTGACGCCACCGTGATACCAATTCGATCCGCGGTAGAATGAGCATCCCGCCCAGGGCTTCTTCCGGGCTGGCTGGCGTACGATCTTGGGAGTTACACGGTACTTTATACCTCCAGATTTGAACCAGCCGCCCCCCTTCCAGTTCAGAGGGTTGTTTTTGTCATTTCCGTCGCATCCATCGATGATCTGGCCTATGAACTTGTGCCTGCAATCTGTGACATTCATTTCTGGCCCTAGGCCTGGCTTCCAGTCCATAGCAAGGTCCACTTCTTCGGGCGTTCCCTTAAGATACGTCCTTGCGACCGACCCTGAGCCTTTATCCAGGACCCCTTTGATGGTGCAGCTCTTCTTGTCCGGTTCGCCCTGGCCGAAGGCTTCGGTACAAAACTCGTCTTCAATGATGTCCTTTATAATATATCGGGTTACGTATTTCTGCGAACCCAAACCGAAACACTTCTTTTCTTCCTTTCTAGGAGTTTTTTTCGTTGAGCCGATTTCATCCCTTTTTTCGGGTTTCTGAATGCCTATTAGATTGGGCAATGGACCCGGCATATAATGCTTGGGGTGTCCATGGATGCTCACCTCTGGCTCCATAATAGGAAAGGTGCAGACAGGAGTTATTCCGCTTTCATCGTCTTGACGTTTGGCTCGCATAGCAGCCCCGCTAGAAGTAAGGCAGACCCAGCTATTGAGGCAATTCTTGGTCCTCAACCGCTCGAAAGTCCTCAGAGGATTTGCAAGCAAGGGGATTACTTTCCCGAAGTAGGCCTTACTGTCCCTTGTGGGCAGCAGTGCAGAAAGAGAACCAAGAGGACTAACACAAAAGGAGAGAAGCAGCAGCCTGGAGTATCTCATGGTGAGGCTACGTGAGGGCTCAAGGAGAACAAATTACGGTATAACTATCGTCCGTAAGAGTTTTTCGGGAGAGAGAATTAGAACTAGATCTCCATCCACGCCGAAAATCGAGCAATGGTGGTTTTTTTTCTTTTCTTTTTTCTTTTTCCTTTTTTTTTTTTTTTTTTGGTTAGATTCATGGCAGTTTATCTATTGTAGCTTCAAACGGCCTGCTTTAAAATACTTCGTCTGGTTGTCCAGCGGCGATGGCACCACAAAACGAGCTCACCTTCCGTTCAGATCGAGCACAGAGATGTTGAATGTCGTGACACGGCAGCAGTCGCCCAAGCAGACGGGACACAGCACGCTAGCCCGTCCAACAGTGATTTAGCGATGAAACAGAGGTTCCCTCCCTCTAGCGCGCCGGTAGCAAGAGGAGACAGGAAACTTTTAATGGTTAGGCAGATGGTCGACATCGAAAACTCCGGCCCGTTGAAGGATGGGCAAGCGGGACGATGAAGTCATAATCCCCCAAGGCCTTATACACGCTCGTAGGACGTATTACACCATCTTGAAACCATTTTCATTGTAACTGATTCATAGTACTCCGGGGAATGTTAATTGCCGGGGCTTTTCCCATATTGGGCGGCTGATCGGGCCAACCTGGACTTGCACGTTTTCACTGCAGTTGATCATAAGTGGTCAACCAGTTAATCATGATGGGAACCATTAAATAGGACGTCAGATCTAATGAATGAATGAACAGCCATTGTGTGGAAATATATGCATGACGAGAATGGTTGAAACAAAGCTGTTGTAAGCTAATTCTCGTTTTAAAATGTCGGATTTAGGAACAAGGTCTTTCGGATAGGTTGTCTATCGAATGTTTTCGATATTTATAGTCCCGAATCATTTACCATTTACGAGTCTGCTGCCGCCAAACTGCGTGACATTAATCCGATCGACTCACCAAATCAGGCTATGAATTATGGGTTGCGGACGACACTGCGCCTCTGACACATACATGGACGGTGCCGCCCTCTACATAGAACGGGTTCTCGCTCAATCGGTTCCGTGAAGATTTTAGTACCTGCAGTCATTGTTGCGACTGAGGAGGCCAAAGTGCGCCTCGCCTCCGGATTCAAGCACACTGTGATTCGGACTTCACAATATTTATGATAATACCTAACATGTGAAGCCATAGACTGCAGAATGCAAACCACATGTTATCTCTGGACTTTATAATGCAATGTTCCGACAAAATGACATGTTAGAAGCCCACTAGATTAGTCCACGCTAACTAGAGAATGCATCCGAATAACTCGAGAAGTACGGAGTACTCATCTCTGGCCGATACCTGATAGGATACCAGGTCTCGGAACCACCGCAAATCCGTATAGCAATGCAAACAACTGCGACTGCATCAGTCAAATCCGAATGTTCCCGAGAAGTTAATTACTCCGTGCATCTGCGGCTGCGAACCTCCTGTCTCTGGCACACAGGCCCTTTCTCGTCATAGCATTTTTTGTGGCTCTCGTTGAAACAGCCTTTCGTTTCAAAATTTTTGGTTTCTTCCAGTCAGCATCAGCTAGAAGGTTTGCTGTTGCGTTTCCTGCGACGCGCTTTTTCGCCGGGCAACGCCCACAGTCGCATTTTTCTAATAGGTATCACCACTCCACTAGATCCTCGAACATACCATGAAAGAAGGCTGTTCGAGGGTGATGAAGGGGATGATATGCACATAGGAAGTTCTTTCTGACTAAACTAGATAAATGATCAGAATCCAAAAAGAGCCATTTTCCCATCAAGACATCGATTCGTTGCAGGACAGGAGAGCCACTTACCGACCCTGGGAAATGTGTCCACGAAGGCCTTCGAGCCGAAAGCACAACCTGATGTTTGTTAGGGATAGAGGACCATTGGCCCATGTGATGCGTAAGAGCACAAGCTTACAAGCAAGAGCCGGTCCTTGATATGAACTCGGACCAAATACATAAAATCCCACGATTAGTTACGGGGATCTACGGTCAGAAGCATCTTTTGATGTATTCTGTCTCTAACTAGTGGCGTGCTATGAAAAGTAACCGCCTTTCAGGATTCAGTGTTCACGTACTTAGGGGATCGCAGCATCGAGAAATGTAACGACCTTAGCCTGATATGTATAAGAATTCTAGCATAAGGGACGTAGTTAAGCCTAGTTGGCCATTCCAAATTATCGAAGAGAGCGATCGGTAACGTACTATCGAGCCTTTAATTGGGAGAAACAGTGCTAGAATGGCCTCTATCGCATTCCGACGGTGGATAGTGGCGCAACATTGTTGGATATGCGAGCTCTCAATGATCGCATCTCATTGGGGCTATTTTGCAACCCAATCTCGCAGGCCTGCTAATTACACTGCTGCGGCGACTACAGCAGCAAGGATGCAATGCTTCTCCTGGGGTGACCGGTCAACTGGGGACTCATGATATCCTTCGGGAGAGAGATGCTATTTGAAGAACAGCGCCACTGAAGAACACACGATACAGAGTATTGTTTGACTGATGGAAAGCGATAACAAGGAAGTATTGTCGTCAAAGTGTTAGAAAAATTGTCCCCCGCTGGTCAAGGTCGCATCTGGTGGTGAGAGGGTAGCTAACCAGCCAGTTAATTACTATTCATTCGGGTTGTGAAGCAGAGTCTTCAAGTATGAAAATGCTATTGATCTGCCGTGATGACAGGGAAAATCCCCAAGTTGTAATCAGTTAATCCTTGAGACGATGGCAGAGACAGGTAAGTTGTCTGGTGGTGAGGGATTACTTAGTTATCTCGCTCGACCTTCCCTGGCGGGGACCTTCTGGTCCAGTGACATGACAACTTTGCCGACAGCCATCCAAACTCCACCTCATATCATCACCAAACACCACCAGCACCGCGAGCCCTCCAACGTCGCTCGCATCCCCATTCAAGGTCAACCTCTTTCCGAATTATTTGTATCCTTGGGCGAGGTTTACCAATTACCCTCGCCGGCACCTTTCGAGCCACGAAAACCATCTTTTATCGCCTCCGAACGGTGGAGCCGAAAACCCTTCTTATCACTCCCCGCTCATCTAATTCCACCTTTAACAGACATCGCCGGTCATGCCTGCAAGGCCCGTTTCCCTTTCCGCTCGCTCGCGGTGCTTGCTCCGCGCCCCGAAACATTCTCAGCGCCAGGCTTTCTCGACGCGGAGTCCCCTTAACGGTGCCCATGAGCCACACTATGATCCCCCAACCGGTTGGTTGTTCGGCGTCAAGCCAGGTCAGAAATACGTAAAAGAGGGATGGGAAGGTCTGTGGACATATGGATTTGTGGGAAGTTTGGTGGTTGCGGGAATCGCATATTCTTTCAAGCCGGATACTTCGTACGTGCAGCCATATCCTCCACACGGCGTTTATCCCCCATATCCCGAGGCAATTTCCCTGATGTTTTTTACTTTGCGACTTGCTTTGTTATTTATGCATAATATTGTTTCCCAAGCCTTATTCGCTGTATATTTGACGAGTAAAGCTAACTTAATCTCTTTTATCCAGGATACAAACATGGGCTCTAGAGGAGGCAAGACGGCGGCTCGAAAAGGAGGGCATCCTTGAGGATCCTGATGTCGTGAAAAAGGAATAAACCTTGCGTCCTGGCCCGTACACGTTTTATATTCCGCCTTCTGTACATAGAATCTCCGTCCGCTACGCGAGGTTGAAAAGATGTATGACAAGAGGCCCTGTTTGTTCAGTTTAGACCAGCCATGATAATTCAAACAGAAGTGCTGTTTGCTTTGTTATAATATGGAATAACAAGCTTGTAGCTGTCATGATTGTGGTTTAGGCTCTAAAATTGCATAGTTGGATCGTGGGCCCTACATAGATGAACGGAGATAATTTCGCTTGACCAAATATTCAAAATTTCAATGCTGCATGGATATCTGGGAGCGTACCTATCTACATGGGAAATGAATTACGTATGTACATGAAAAATCTAATTTGCAGGCTACCGACGCTCTTTGAAAGCGTCAGACTTCGGGGTATATATCCGTCCTCCTTAGCAGTGGCATTTCGTTTCGGACTTTTTCCAATAGTTTAAAGTCGATATCCGCCACCGCAATTTCTGGTTCGCCAGTTTGGGACCCCAGCTTGGCCACGATTTCCCCCCATGGATTCACGATCATCGAATGACCATAGCTAAAGCGCTTATTATTGTGCTGGCCGCATTGAGCGGCTGCCACAATATACGATTGCGTTTCAATGGCTCTAGCTCGGAGGAGCGTTTCCCAGTGAGCTTGGCCGGTTGGTATAGTAAATGCGGACGGGTAAGTAATTATCTGGGCACCTTGTCGCCGCAGAGCTAGGCTGATTTCTGGAAAGCGAAGCTAAAGATCCCCAGTGTCAAAGAGATTCAGGTTGTCGTTAGAATCGGGGATATTCAATTGAGAAGATGGCAAAAAAAGCAGTTAACAGTCGCGCAGTAGGTGTCAGCTTACATCGAAGCATATACTTAACCCAAGACGACCAACTGGTGTTTCAAAGGGAGGGACAATCTTCATCCCTTTCTCAACACTCCTTCACGTTTATACCGATGATGAAGCGTCAGTAATCCTTTGACGAGAATCTCTCCAGGTCTCATGATTTGAGGCGGGGTCTAGATACCCCTACGAGTAGGCCTGCTCACCTGCTCTCCTTTAACACGGGACCGCCTTTTATATCAACGTCGAAAAGATGTATTTTCTGATATCTTTGGGTGATCTTCCCAGTCTCATCAATCCAAATTAATGTATTCTTGACCTTCTCCCCGCCTTGAGCAGGCTCATGTATGCCCACATTAATCGGCAATCTTGCTAATCTGGCCTCTTTTTGCAATCCCAAAACAAAATCACTCTCGTTAACCGGTCGAACTAAGAAAAGAGACTCTGCGGGAGACGCGGCAATGTAATCTGAGGCTTCGGGGAGGAAGAGCGCCTGTGTCGGCCGTGGGACGTTAGGTTCGAACAGATGTACGTGAACTATACTGCAATAGTGGATGCTTTAAGCCCAACCTTCGCACCTGCGGAAACAGCCTTGTGTACAAGTATTTGACACTGAATAAGATTATGAGCCATGCTCGCGGTTGAGCAGAGCTGGCCGACTGCCTGCGGAGTGGTTAGTAAAAAGATTTGTAGGTATCGGCTCGGAACTCTATACCGCTCTCGTCATCTTTTACGTCGCGGAGCGCATATACTGATAGCTCTTTGGCGCAATTCACAGGCAAGAGGATGTTAGATAGCTACATTGCACTGCTGGAGTCAGAGCACACGTATGATGTAGCATCAACATCCCAGCACCCGGCGCCTCGCATCGGCGACTGATATCGGCTCGGTTAACCTTCCTGTTTCTGAGTGAAGCTGCTTGTAGATCACGTGATATCAAAGTTGTTGGAAAGAATTCCTGGCGGGCTTGTTCGCGACGCGGGTGGATATAATCTATTCGAGGGATGGGAGGATTTATATCTTAAAGTTTCCAAATATGATGTGTTCTTGAGCGGGTTTGACTCTGCGGAATTCCAGTTACCGTGTGAAATTTATCCCGCGCCCAACCGCGCAGTAACAGAGCTGAGACTCTGACCTTAGGCCTGCTTGGTCGCGACGGGGGGACACAGAATTTCATTCACGTTTGACACCCCTGCCATACTTGCGATATACGAATCGTAGGTCTGAATAATCAGCTCTCACTATGAAAAGTTTACGGAGGGACCGCTCCTCCCACCCACACGCTGCGAATGTTTCCAGCAAAATCTTTGTGAGGACAACTAAGAGCGGAAAGGTTCAGAAGATTGTACGAGAACTATATCTGAGACAAGACATTCCGTGCTCATCAAAATTATGCCCGTCATGCCTCTCATATGCGCCAACGGATGCCAATGGCAACGGTGAGAAAAACACCCATTGTCTGGACGTTTATAGGTGCTAATTCGGCTGATAGTCACGCCGTTTGTCTTATCTGAGCGACCAGCCGGGACGAAAGCATTTCCGAGAGGGCATTACCTGATGCCAGATACCAATGCGCTTCTCAATGGAATGGATCTTTTCGAGCAGACAAGCGCGTTCTACGATGTGATCGTCTTACAGACAGTTCTAGAAGAGCTTAAGAACCAGTCCCTCCCTTTATATAATCGGTTAATCTCCTTAATTCGGAGCGAGGAGAAGCGGTACTACCTCTTTTTCAACGAATTCCGCTTGGAAACACATGTTCGCCGCCAGCGAGACGAGAGTATAAACGATCGCAATGACAGGGCTGTGCGTCGGGCAGCAAACTGGTACTCTGAGCATTTAAGCGAGGTTTTGAAGCAAAGCAGGAAAAATTATACGGTACCGGCAATCGTTGTTATTACAGACGATAAGGACAATATCTTGAAGGCGAAGAAAGAGGGCGTTTCTGCGTTGTCGTTGTCAGATTATGTCGCAGGCCTTGACGATGCAGACAGACTCCTGGACATGGTTAATGAGTCGAGATCTGCACATGACGCCAAACTTCAGAGAGGGCAATTGATTTATCCGGAGTACTATTCCATGTCAAAGTTGATGACGGGTTTACGTGCAGGAACTTTACACCAAGGCATATTCAACGTTTCTCCTTACAACTACCTCGAAGGATCAGTTCAGGTGGCGGCGTTCGACAAGTCTCTGCTTATTCTTGGTCGAGAGAATAGTAATCGAGCAATCGCCGGAGATTTAGTGGTCGTTGAGGTATTGCCAAAGGATCAGTGGAAGTCTCCTTCCACGAAGATCGTGGATGAAGAAGCGCTCACGAAAGACGAAAACCCCGAGTCTGAAGAAAATGAAGCCGTGGTGACAGAAAGAGAGCGAAGAGCACTTCAAGAGGAAGTCAGAAAAGCCCACGGAACAAACCCTGAAGGGCGACCGCAGCCCACAGCCCGTGTAGTTGGCGTGATCAAGAGGAACTGGCGTCAATATGTGGGTAATATTGATGGCGGGTCATTTAGTTCTGAAGCTTCGTCCGGTCGCAGGCAACAAGCAGTATTTGTCATTCCCATGGATAAACGTGTCCCGAAAATTAAAATACGCACCCGACAGGCCAGTGAACTACTGGGTCAGCGTATATTGATAACAATTGATGCCTGGGATCGCGACTCGCGCTATCCAACTGGCCACTTCGTCCGTTCCTTGGGTGAACTGGAGACAAAGGGAGCGGAAACCGAGGCCCTCCTACTTGAGTACGACGTGCAATATAGGCCGTTCTCGCAAACAGTCCTCAATTGTCTTCCGCCCGAAGGGCACAGCTGGAAAGTTCCTGGGAACTTGGATGACCCATTATGGAAAGATCGGAAGGACTTGAGAGATTTGCTAGTTTGCAGTATTGACCCTCCAGGATGTCAGGATATTGACGATACTCTACATTCAAGACCATTGCCAAATGGAAATTTCGAGGTTGGTGTTCATATCGCGGATGTATCCCACTTTGTTCAGCCCAACAACGCCATGGACATTGAAGCCAGCATGAGAGGAACTACCGTGTATCTGGTTGATAAGCGTATTGACATGTTACCAATGCTTCTCGGCACCGACCTCTGCTCCTTAAAACCGTATGTTGAGCGCTTTGCGTTCTCGGTAATCTGGGAGATGACGCCTGATGCGGAGATAGTATCAGCCAATTTTACCAAGTCCGTGATTCTTTCTAAGGAAGCTTTTAGCTACGAACAAGCGCAGTTGCGAATTGATGATGAGTCTAAGAAAGATGAGCTGACCCAAAGCATGCGCACATTGCTGCGCATGTCCAAGATCCTACGACAAAAACGCATGGACGCTGGAGCTCTTAACCTTGCTTCCCCTGAAGTCCGTATCGAAACTGAATCGGAACTCAATGATCCAGTAGCCGACGTGAAAACCAAAGCTCTTCTCGCTACCAACAGCCTTGTTGAAGAATTCATGTTGCTCGCCAACATCACCGTCGCCTCCCGCATATATCAATCATTTCCACAAACCGCCCTTCTTCGTCGTCATGCCACACCTCCCCCCCAAAACTTCGAACAGCTAATCGCTCAACTCTCTAAAAAGCGCGGCCTCACCCTCGATGTATCTAGCTCCCTAGCCCTCGCAAACTCCCTCGACAAATGCGTCGACCCATCCAACCCATTTTTCAACACCCTAATCCGTATCCTCGCAACCCGCTGCATGACTTCAGCCGAATACTTCTGCGCCGGGGCCCATGCAGAATCAGAGTTCCGCCACTACGGTCTCGCCTCGTCGATCTACACGCATTTCACCTCCCCAATTCGTCGATACGCTGACTTGGTGGTCCATCGCCAACTCGCAGCCGCCATCGGGTACGAAGGACCCGGCGCGTCTGTGGGCGAAGGCCTCGCAACGCGCAGTAAACTAGAAGATATTTGCAAGAACATCAACCACCGACATCGCAATGCGCAGTTCGCTGGCCGCGCAAGCATAGAGTACTACGTCGGCCAGGCGCTCAAAGCACGCGGCGAGATGGAAGCTGCGAAATCCGGCAATGAGAACGGCGCTGCTGCGGGCGTTGATGAAGAGGGCTACGTGATGCGCGTGTTTGATAATGGGATTGTGGTCTTTGTGCCGAGGTTCGGAATTGAGGGCGTGGTTAGGCTGGAGGATTTCTTGCTCCCTGGACAGAAGGTTGATGAGATTGGGGTTCGTGGGGGGAAGCATATTGCCGCGAGGAGAGAGAGCGAGTTTGATCCCGAGGAATATGCGCTGAGGGTGCGAGAGAAGCAGCATGAGGGAGAAGATGGGGGTGAGAAGGTGAAGGCGGGAAGTGTCTACGTTGAGTTGTTTGAAAAGGTCAAGGTGAATGTGAGTTCCGTGAAGGAAGAAGGGGTTCGCGGGGCGGGTAAGCGGAGAGTACGGATTTTGGTCTTGGGAAAGGCGTAATGTCTAGTCGCTTTGCTCTCTAGGTTTTGCCTTTTATGTTGTTGTGGCATCTTTTTTGGGAAGAATGCATCTAGCGGGCTATTCACCCCTACTTTTGTTATAAAAAAAATAAAAATTTTCAATTTCTCGATTCCCATGCCAGTTCCCTATCATTTTTATCTCATTTTGATTCTATTTACTAAGCCCGCCAGGTGGATACATGCGAACGAGTCCTGAAAAAGTCCGAAGAACAATGCTAATAAAATAATGCTGGGGATATATGCAAGCCAGTCGGCCGAATTCGTATGTTGCTTCGTGTCCCAAGAGAATATATGTCGATTATTAGGGGTATATGCAAATTAACAAATCCACAAGGTATTGCCCTAAACACATCCAGCGCGATATTCGTATCAATCGTCATATGCCTAGTGGAGGTAAGAAGGATTTGTATTTTTTTTGTAAGAGATGCCTCAGGCTTAGGAAGGCATCGCTAGGCTATAGCACATCCATAATGCCATAACATATAGTATCGTGCCAGGATCTTGTAACTATTAGGTATATGGAGAAGTCCCCGTCTCTCCATCGTCAAACATGGCCACGGACCATCATCCTGCGCAGCAAATGAACCGGAGACCAAACCCGGGTGTCTATCTCAGGTGAAGGCGGAGACGGCAGAGCAGAAATAGTATGCTCATTAGGGTGGCTTGAAGCATCTCTATCGGGCGAAAGCTGGTTCTCAGCAACCGCCGGGGTGTTTGTGTCTGGATGACGGCTTTTCAGTGTTGCAGAAGTGCCAGCTGCAAGGGCTACGGCTCTCTTCTTCGCTGCTATTTCTACCTGACCAATTTTCCAGCCACGGACGAGCCATATGCTAATACCCGCCACGATGTATACCAGGCCTGTGAATATCTGCGCATAGAGGTAGACCCACTCCTTTTTAGAGTCGTCCTTTAGCAAAACGGCGATTGGTTCTGACACCGTCGTCGGCGGCACAATGAGCACCCAAGATATACTAAGCCCGGCAGGTAATTCTTGCATCCCGATTACTTCTGCACAGACGGGAACGACAGTGGTCCAGAAAGTTCCTGCAACAGTGCCCACGATTATGGCAAAAAAACATAGCACTCCCATGTTGAGAGACGGAATCCAGACGGCGAAGCAAAGAAGGCCACAGAAGAATGTGAAAACAGTGGCCATGTTGATCCTCCCAAAACGGTCACTGATGAGACCTATTACAGGTCTGCCTAAGCCTTGTCCCAAATTGAGAAGGGCGCCGACAATACTCCCTTGATGCGGAGAAAGCCCAATAGAGAGTGCGAAATTGGGAAGACTGAAGATAAGCACGACGTAGCCAAGCAAGCTGAAAATGCCCCAAGCTTGAAGCAGCAGAAACTCGGGCCGCTTCAGTAGTGGAAAATGAAATGCGCGATAACGGCTTCCTACGGCCTTATTCCTGTCTCTCAGCAGATTGCACGCGACTATATTGATGCTGAACGTGGTGATTCCAAGAACACGGAAAGCCCAGGCCAATCCAAGACGGGGGATCATCGCGCCGGCTCCTAAGGAGTACGCAAGTCCTCCCATCCCCGAGCCAGCGGCAGCGATTGCGTTTGCAACACTTCGTTTCTTCAGGAACCACTGCGGGGTGATCCCAACAGATCCAATGAAAATACACCCCATTCCCACACCAAAGCATACGCCCTGACTTAAGAATAAATGCCACTGCTCTTTGGCAAACGATGCTCCGATGAACGAGATAGTTTGCAGGCAGACCCCTATATTTAGAATTGTTCGATTGCCGAAAAGGTGTATTAGGTGGGTGACCAAAGGTGATATTAAGAGGGCGCAAGACATGCTTAGGCCGCCGGTGAAGGCGTATCCGATTGCGCTCATATTGGGGAATATATCGTTAGAGAGATAGTGGGACAAGAAGACACCGTAAGACTACATAGAACAAGTAAGCAATGCGTTCACAAGTCAGATACAGGAGAGGGATGTAGCGTACACTGTTAACTCCCCATGTATTTCCGTTGATGAAAGCTGCACAAGCAACACACACCCAGCCATACCCGCCATCTGGTGGGACGTCTTCTGGTGGCTTCTCCTCCAATCTATCCTCCGCAGATGACGGAGTCACTTCGTCGCCGGACAGTTCGGTACCATCAGTATCTCTTTTCTCATCTGCATCCGGTAATGGTGGATGCGTGATTTGGATAGACGAATTGTCGCCCATGGTCCTGGTTATTTAAGGCCTAGTTATGGCCGCAGACATTAATCCCCTTTTTTTTTTTGGGTTGGAAATTAGTCAAAAGTGCAAGCGACTCGCACAGAGGGCAAAAAGGAAAGGGAAATCAGGAAAAATAAAATAGCTAGAACTGCTCCGCAAGGGTTGATGGGCTTTAGTTAATATAGATAAGTGGATAATGCCGGCAGCACCAACGGCATACGTCGAGCCTCACAATATCCATCGAGCGAACGGCCGGTTCAAATTGAGGGACGACGCGCACCGTTGCAGGGCGCGTCGGGCTTATAAATTTGCTGGCCCCGTTGACCCGTTCTAGCGCTGTCCGTGGGGGAAGAGAGCAACAGTTGCTTTCTTTTTGAAGCATCCCGGCTGCACCCACCTTTCCTAGCCTAGCGGTGTCCTGGAACCCCAGTTCCTTTGTGCCAAAGAGGTGCGATCAGGAAATATGGCGGACGAGATCGAGGAGTTTAACTCCCGGATTGGCATGGCTGGAGAGCTGTGCCTAGGCATATCTTCGCAGCGCCCTACCGCCTCAGAAAGTTGGGGTCTGGGGGGGGATTTTGCGGGAATTGTGCCGGAATTTTGCCCCATCCTGACCGTCAAACTGCTCGGGTCTTCCCTCTCTCGACAGACCGAGGTGGCCCAGACAAGGCGGAGGTGGCCAATCGGGCGCTAGAGAGCAGGGCCCCAATGTGGGGGAACCGGGTAACTCTCCCAGCGCTTGCTTGTCCCCGACTGCGCGCTGAGCGTGAGGCTTCGGGACGCGGTGCCGACTGAACCGGGTGTCAGGGAACTCTATTCGCGGCCAAAGGATCACCTGCGCTGGGCCCTTGCTCTCTCGTCTTCCGTTTTTGAACTTTTCGTTCTTTTTAGAAAATCCAAAAAAAAAAAAAAAAAAAAAAAGGGGGCAAAAGGCAATTGCACCCTTGCATCTGCGTCCTCATTGGCCCACCCGCGTCTCGCCCGGACTCAGAGGCCGGACGGGGTGGCCTGGGTGACCATCGTGGCATCCATGAGGCAGAAGGTCCAACGTGCCGATGGAGCCATGCAGGCCCAGCATTCCATTGGGGAGAAACGAAGGGATCTGCGGGCGCGACGACTGGGTGCGCGAGGTGAGATCCCGGTCAACTGGAGGGGATCGGAGTCAACAAGCTGCGAAAACAAACCACAGGGGCATTCAAGTGTAAGAATTGCGAGCTTTCTCTGCGCTTCGCTGAGCGACCTTCACCTTCGCCAGAATGTAACCCGGCGAATCGCCTGGACAGCTTTCGGGTTAGTGGGCCCAGACAGATCTCTGAATGGGATCGGAACCGGAACTGGGCAGGCAGAACTATCTACATATGTGGCTTTCTCGCGAAAAGAGTCTGTGTGTCACAGGGGAAGAAAAGTGGGAAGTTCTTTGCCGTAACCACCTGAGGCACTGAGATCGTTTGAATGCACTCGGGAATGCCGGCGATCGGGATCCCAGATCTGCCGCCCCTCCGCCTGTTTAGTTACCAGATTCAAGGAGAATTGAATGAGCAATAATATTTAATATGTTTGAGTGATAAACTTGCGTCCGCCAAAAGCCCAGTTACACAGGCAAAAAGAAAGCAGAGAGACAAAGGGGGAATGGAGCAATTATCCAGCGTCATACGTACGCACGCATGCTGATCCAGGCAATTCAATGGGTTAATCGCATCGTGCACATCGTAAGCCAGGAGTCAAGACAGTCAGCAGTCGAGAACGATGCAGGGGACGATCCAGCTTTGCCAAGTCTACGGAGGACGATGTGTGGCGTTACAGACGTGGAGTTCACCACGTATATATATATATATATATACGAAGTCATTTATCATGATTGTTTCATATTTGCAAAGCTGGGTCGAGGGAGTTCACACGGCCGCCTTTGACGAGGATCGCAGGAAGGCTTCCCGAATCCTAGCTGGCGCTCTCTCCACGCCTCGATCCAATTCTGCACGACGACCACTTGACGAAACTAAGGTTGGCTGATTGCGGCAGCGATCTCTGTGACGGGGCCAGCGGCTAAATTATGTAGCTACAGAGTTAGCTCGTCACTCCCACCAAGGTGGATGATGCGATCACCGGTGGCACCAATGATAACTTCGATACCGGATCGCCAGCCGCGGAAACACTCCAGATGGTCGTGGTTTACCCTCGATTCCAGGAAGTCAGCGTGTAGGGATGTACTTCGTAGTCGCAGAGTAAATATTGCAATCAATTGAAGAGCGCTGTGTGAAACAGAGAGAGGCGGTTGGCCCTGGCAACGGGCAGCGAGACTCGCTAGTGCAAACACACACACACCCTGGCCGGATACGTCACAGACTCGCTCGATGCGTTGGCGGCTGGTGATACGCGAGGACTGCCGGCGGGCGTATAAAGGATACAGCCAACGAACGCAGCCCTCGACTCCCCGCCGGTCTCCAATTATCTTAGTGAGTCTTCGAGGAGTTGGATGTCTGAGAGTCATCTCTCTTTTTCCCAAATCCTGCTCCTCTGACGTATCTGTTGCGGCTGCTGCTGCTAGGTCAACAGAGAGCAGGCCCATGGCTGGCTGAATTGCTGTCCACTCTCTTCACGCTGAACCGATATAACTACTCCGTACAGGCAGGTCCATTTTTATGGTGAACACGATCACTTCATTATTTACAGTCGAGAATCGTCCGCAGAGACAGCCATGGTCCATTCGATCCGATTCAAGTCCGGCACCCGGAAGGTGTCTCCTCCCAACCCAACCTTCATGGACGACGACCAGCTCGGTGAGTAGAACAGGAAGAAGAGTCCCTCAGGGGGAGATACGCCCCCTTTGCGGGAGAACCGAACCGATATGGTCTTCGTCTTGAGTCAATATTGAGTGTCTATGAAGTGGAGGATGCATCCTTTGGTTGACTAACTCTTCCTGCGCAGCCCACTACCTCAAGGACCTTCGAAACAACCGCCCTCCTCGCCCAATTGGCTCCCGCCCGCTCCCTACGAAAGACACGGCTCTCTTAGGATCTCCGCAGAACAATGACCTGCCGCCTAGAGCGTCCTCTGCCCTCTCGATGTCCAGGCCAGCGGACCCCTCCGGCCCAGCCACCGGCGATCTCTTTCCGCGTTCTTCCAGCGCTCTGTCCCACCGTCGATATATGTCCGAACTTCTCCAGCAGAACGAACCTGGAGAATACACAAGTATCCCGGAGGAAACGGTGGATGAGACCCCCAGGAATACGTCGTCTACACCGATGGTGTCGTCACCAAATGCTCAGTACCGAGAGAGCGGCCACAGATGGGTCGAAAAACGGGCAGCACGCTCGCTGCGAAACGCACTGGAAGAAATGGACCTCCAAGACGAGGAACAACGTCTCTACGACGCAGCACACGAGGAAGCTGTGGACTTGGTCTTGCAGCACCAGAAGTATGGATTCCAGGAAGAGAATCCACATGCTCCCTACCGCAACCCTGACGTTGCGAATCGTTTTCTACGATATTCTGAAAAGGGAGGCCATTTTAGAAGCCATAGCTCTGCAATTCCGAGATCTGAACGAGACCTCTCTGAGTCTGACAGTTCTGGTGGAAGCAACTCCGCTAACTCCCATAGGATCTCATTTCCAGCAGAAGTTCATGGGACAAGGCCCCAAACTCACCACGATAATTCCACTTTCAGAGTTAAAAAGAATTCATGTCTGAGGCGGACTTCAAAAGTAAATTTTTCTTTGCCGGAAGATGACATGCAGCAGGCTCCCCACCCCCAGCTATCGCGAATTTCTAACAGCGATTCTTCAAAGGGGCTGTTTAGAAACCCAGAAGACCAGATCTACGAGGAGCCCGAAGATCCGAGCACCAAGGCTGAGGCAGCGACCGATAAATTTATACCCTCTGCTCTTAGGGTGAAGGCTCGAAACTCGCTCCCACGCGGTGCACGATCCCTTCCTCGGCAGGCTAATAATAGAGCCGGTAGCGAGAAGAAACTGTCCATTTTTGATATTCACAAAAATCCTCCCACTCAGTCTAAAAATCCTTTTTACAAGGCCAACAATTTCTCTACGACTGCCAACTCCACAAAAGAGCAGGAAACTTCGCCTACAAAAGACGGGATCGAGATACGTAGTGAGGAGATTCGTGCTGCAACCAGCATGAGGCTCAAGGACAGGAGTTCCAGACTCCCTATGCCATCAGCTGTCAGTGATCGGCCTGGCCGTCCCATTGTGAGTTTTGATCCTGACTGGAAAGCTCCAGAAGAGGAAGCCTACGCCAATTCGAGAGGCGCCCGACAAGGCTTCGGACAATCGTCATCGCGGCCGTCGATTGAGAATACCTCTACTCCACACAAAGATCTAGCACCTACAATCAATGTGAGCGAGGCCCCGAGCGTTCCCTCAATCAGTGTTGAATGCGAAGACTCCACGGCGCCGTCTATCGTTATATCAGAACTAGGTCCTCCCATTTCTTCAATGCCACCTCAAAGTGAGCCAAAGCGACGAGAACTCCCTGACCCCAAAAAGTATGCAGCCGAACAACGCAGCAAGAAGGCAGCGGCATTGTCCAAAAACCGCTTTAGCCATATTACTCCTACTAGTATCAATTTTCCCACCGCGGCCTGTGCTGCATGCGGCCTGCCAATTTCCGGACGGATAGTGACTGCGTGTGATCACCGGCTCCATCCTGAATGCTTCACATGCTACCACTGCAGCACCGCGCTCGAATGCGTTGCTTTTTACCAAGAACCCGAGTCCAGCCGTGCGGAGCGCCTTGCCGGTTCAGACGACGACGATCAAGAAATGAACTACCCCCGATTTTACTGCCATCTCGACTTCCACGAACTGTTCTCCCCGCGCTGCAAAAGTTGCAAGACCCCCATCGAGGGAGAGGTAATCGTTGCATGTGGCGCCGAATGGCATGTGGGCCATTTCTTCTGTGCTGAGTGCGGTGACCCGTTCACGCCTGAGACGCCGTTTGTCGAGAAAGAAGGGTATGCGTGGTGCGTACGCTGCCACTCGCGCCGGACGGCGGACAAGTGTCGTGCATGCAAGCTGCCGGTGGTAGAGGATGTGGTGGTTACTGCACTGGGCGGTCAATGGCATGAGAAGTGCTTTGTATGTTGTGAGTGCGGAGGCGGGTTTGGGCCCGAGGGAAGGTTTTTCGCTCGGCAGGGAAAACCGAGAGTCACAGCGAAGGGAAGGCAAATCGGGGGACCTGTGGAGACAGCGGCTTGTGAAAGCTGTGAAGCGAGGAGGTTGAAGGCCTGAACCTTTTGTGACTTGGTGAAATGAATGGTATATATAATTTCTTTTTATCGTGTTTCGCATTGAAAGAGGCTGGATCCCCCTGAGTGGTGTATAGAAGCTTAGTTTTTGATATTCAAGTTCATTGGGGTTCCTTGGATCGGGTACTGCGTTTCGATCTCTTACAGATTTCCCTTGATCTGCCGTCAGGGAGTGTAGAAGTAGCACATATTAGTGCTTGCAAAACGACGATGTCTGCTCTTGGACGCCATATTTTCTTCTAGTTTCCAACTGGAGGAGGCTTGAGCGGACCTCTATATATAGTAAGTTCACAAAATGTAGATGGCATGTGGATATCTGGTAGGGGCCACCTGGGGTGCAAAGAGATATAAAAACTTAAGGAGTCCATTCCGGATCCTCCTTTCTCCGCCAAACTGCAACGAACTTCTGCCCTCCATTCCTCGTCACCTTCTTCCCCTCTTCGGTCTCGTCTCTCATGATTCTCACACATTCATCTTTATCTAGTTCTTCGTCATCCACCCTTTCCCACAATTCACTCACGCCGGCCGCATCATTGCCTGGTACTTCATCCGCAGTTCCCTCAAAGTGGCTCACCATCCACAGGTGCAAGTCCTCAACATCGGTGATGGTATATAACTTTCCTCCCGGTCTTAGCACGTATGCATACTCTGCATTCAGCGACGTGGAGACGATTCGCGCCTTATGCTTCCGAGCCTTAAAGTGTGGGTCTGGGAAGCATATGAATATGGATGAGAGTTGATGGCGCGAGAAGAAATTGGGGAGGAATTTCATCGTGTTCGAGCGAATGGCGGAGATATTCTGGTATGACGCGGAGGACACAGCAGCTGAAGGTGAAGACTGGATTGATGATTGATTTTGAAGTTGAGACTCGCTTTTATCTGGTGAAGAGGACTCTTGTGGGGCTTCTGGGGGAGGCCTTTGGGAGCGAAGGGCCTGGATCCGTGCTGTCACGTATTCGAGGACCTGAATGCGGATCTCCATTCCTATAATCCGAGTTCAGAAGATATCTATCGACAACAAGGGAAATTCGATGCAGAAAACCTACCAACCATCAACGTATCAGGCATCACTGGAGCCAATGCGACCAGCAAACCCCCAAAGCCGCACCCTATATCTGCAACCTCCACATCTTTCAACAATTTTCGAAAGCCAGCCAAATTTGTCTTACTCTCATCCGGGTCCACGTATGCAGGGAAATGGACGGACCAGTCCATGTGGTCAGGGCTAATTGGACTGTCATTCGTTGCGATTAGCACAGCTATCGTCGGTGGGAAGGGGGGCGTCGGAATGCTCACTAGCTCAAATGATGATCCGAAAACGGATTCGCATGAGCACGCTGTCGGTAAAGTCTCTTCCTTGGCATCTGAATTGCCCCGGATTCTTGGGCTTTTGCTTCATCGCGGTATTCATTGCGCTTTTGGCGCTTCGGAGGTGGGGGTGTCATCGTTGGATCGAGAGCGAAAACTTCGAACCGGGCGGTCCAATTGCTGTTTTCTTCTCTCCACTTTTTAAATCAATCAATGAAGACTGATAAAGAATCATATATTTCAATCTCTAGAAAGAGAGTACCTGTGCTCCGTACGCCGTGTCGGGTGGTGGGAAAATGGACAATAACAACGAGTCAAGTTCTCACTTTTTTTTATCTTATCAGAACACGGCCCAAGCGGTCTTCCTCGACTTTAAACTTTCGACCACCTCGTCCCTTTCACTTCTGCCATCAACATTGTCCTTGGAATGACAATGTTCCCTTCGCTCGTCTTTGTTGGTTTTTATTGGGAATTAAACCTTTTTCCTTCTTTTAAATGTCATTATCGAATCGAGCGCAGCGTGTTATGGGATCTTTTCTTTCGTCCCAAAAAATTGAAGAACTTCGGGTCTTTGCTCGGTCGAGACGGAAGCGCAAGAATCGAAAACCGCAAAGGATGCTTCAGGCTTTTTCCAATCAATTTCATAAACGGATTTTGTGTAGTAGATCACCAGCAATTGTGGTGATGGCTTTTTTCTTTCGCCTATTGAAAGTTGCAGATGCCCTCCTCACCCGAGGTTGTTGACTGATAATGGTTGTCCGCCTCAGGGGTTCTTCGTATATTAAAAACTGAAAGAGGATTTACTCAATTGGATCAGCCTGAATGTGTTCTGACTCAATGAGTTTTGGTGTCCAAGTTCAATTCGATAGTGTTTCGAATCACATCACGCCTAAGGAGCTTCCATGCTGGAAGTCTCCGCTCATGTTTATATCTGTTATTCCTCAAAGGTTGATTTGCAGAATCATTTACTTCTCATACTGGTTTTGAGCTACATTGCAAAGCTACCCTGAGCAGAATTTTTCTTCTCCTCAGCATAAAGTGAGAATGAACATTGAACCCTCACGGACTGTCACAGCTCTCTGGCGAGTGCGGAGGGATGCAGCTCCAAACCCAGATAAAGATCTAGTGATTCCTGGGGCAACCTGGGTTGGCCCATTCTGAGATGCATCACAATGCGCAAGATGTCATTTACGACTGTATTACCACATGCTGATTGGATATGGCGTTCCCAAGTACAAGGACAATATAGCCAAACCCATGTTGACTGTTGACTCTGTTCCTCGGGGGTTCAATAGAGCGATGGCTAGTGTGCCCAAAAGAGAGTTCTGACACAATGAATATTCTATCTTTCAAATACAGTTTGGCATTGCATTTTGGCGCTTACTCTTTCATTTGAAGTCTCGGAATGCCTAGAGTCATGTTGCAACTTATCATACTGGCCTCTATGAATGCACTTGTCTAGTCATATTTTGCCAGAAGTTCTCATTGATGACCGTGGCCTCTGACATCCTGAACCTCTAACATAACCTGAACTGGTCCCCTGCAATCACTGAGATTAGACCGCTATGGCATGAGCGGTGTCTTCTATTTGATCCTTGATGGGCCCTTTGAAATGGTTCGGGGATCACAATGCGGCCTCCAGTTATAAAAACACCGTTTGTGATCCTTTGGCAGTCAGGAGTGTCTTCTCAATATTCGGTCAGCGGCTGCAATTCTCCTAGTGAGGCTAGTTTATCTAGTAGCTGAGGTTTGATGCTGTCATTTCCGAGATAAACACGCTTGACTGAGGATAGAGGTCATATGAAGGGCACTCGTAGGAGAAAGCTCCACTTGAGGGGGTTGGCAATTGACCGTGAAAGTCACTTGAACCCTGAAGTCTGAGTGCATCGTCGAGCGCTTGAGATGAAGAGACGCGTTCGTTAGTTAGCTGGGCGTGGAATGCGGCCTCGGATCGTCCTCTCAACCGAGGACATCTCTTGTTTTGCAGCTCTGGTTTTGTGCTCTGAGGGGAGAATGCAAAGCCGTGCTTTGGTGACACTGGCAATCGCTGTTCTTTCTTATCTCTAAATCGATAGGTGTCTCCATGTGTCTTGAATCAAAATATTCTGGGCAGACTGAGCCTTTAGTTATCAGGCGACTGCGGTAAAACTGTTGCTCAAATACATCCAATCGCTTCGGGCGAATCCAGATTGTCTGTCCCTAAAGTCGGAAAGCGAGCAAGGAATGGTTCTCCGCGTGCGGAGAACCGTTTTAATTTGCAAGATCCTGGCCTCTTCGTTTAACCAGTCCTACTTCGGATCCTACACTATACCTGATGATAGAACGGCAGAGATTTTCGGTCCCTTCCACTTGGAAATTGAATATCTCCATAAAGTTAGTGTTTCTTGAATACAAGAATACTAGATCCTTGGTGACTATCATTACTTGACTATTGAATTTCAATGTTTAATGGTTTTACTACAGGTTCAGGAATGGGGTGCAAAATAGAGAATGTTACACTGACCGATATCTCTACATTGAGCATTGAGGCTTGGGAGTGGGGGTTGAAATTGAAATCCTTGGTGCGCTTTTACCTGATAGTATAGTATACAAAGTCGGACTGGTTGATTTAAAAGAGATGTTCAGCGAGAGAAACTCCGATCCGCCCAGATCCCGTCTCGTGCCGGTGGTATCTGCAGGCTCTGCTATGTAGAAGAAAATGATTCGGAGAAATCCACCCGAGGGCATCAGGATGGACGGAGTATCTATTTGATAGAATGGAACAAACAAGGAAGTATATTAGTATATCTCGATCAGCAATCTATGATCTCTCTCAACTCTTGCCCGCAAAACGTCCGATAGCCTAAGAATATACACTTAACTGCGACGTTGAACGCCCACGTCGTTTGCTAGACTTACCTCTTGCTCTCCTGGTCAGTCCACTTCGCCTCGAGCTATGAGCTAAAGCTAACGTCAAGTGCTAAGAGTCTCAAAACCAGGACAAACGGAAAGGAACAACAATGTCTCAAAAGTACGAGTGGTTCGTCCGCCTGCCCGACAGACCAGATGTGCTCGAGACACGCCTAGAAAACCGACCACTGCACGTCTCTCATAACAAACCATTGATGGAAAATGGCACCATTACCTTTGGCGGCCCCCTTCTCTCTTCACAGCCGACAAGTATGGAAGAAGGGCTCCAGAAGATCACTGGGAGCATCCACTTGATCAAAGCGAGGACGGAGGAGGAAGTGTGGGAACTGGTCAGGGATGATCCTTATGCAAAACTTGAGGTTTGGGATCTGGAGAAGGCGGAGGTAATGGCGATGAAGTGTTTTATTATGGCGGATATGTAAATAGGGCGATGTGCATTGGGGCTGGCCCATTGATGAGATGGGCCCCGCGATTGCACTTGTTGCCGTGCCCTTGAATGTTATGGACTGTTTGGAAGGGCAGTGAAGTCCAATTAGAGAGGCATTTATTGCTAGAAACTCTTTTTGACAGTCCGTTTTATCATCCTACGTGGGAATTGCCCGTAGACAGGTGTAGATTGCAAATGTAGGTTTTAAGGAGGAGAACGCAGAAAGCTGTTTCGCTAATGAGTCACTAGGACGATGCATCGGAAAATCCATTGGTTCCACAGCAAACGAGATAGGTAGAGCTACAAATGTCCCTTCTTGCCCCACCATTCCCCGGGTAACTTAAGTGCTTCCACCCGCTTGGAAGTCCTATCGTTCATGTAGCAGAAGCAAGCGGTGGGCATGTGGGTCGTGGGTCGTGGGTCGTGGGCCATTCCTTGAAATCTCCCAGTCCGCTCCTTTGACTGGATGGATGAGATGCCCGAACCCGGGCCAGGGTGCATGACACACAACTTGAAGTCCAAACGTAGTAAAACAGACGAACGAATCAAAAAAAATGGAAGGGAAGTAACAAGGGAAAATAGTACTGTTGAGGCTGAAGGCTTGATCTCCAAGACACGCTCGGATTTATCGACCATCGCGAGGTTGCATTCGGGGTCAACTGAGACTCATGTCTGGATCCCGCATTCGCCTTGAGGGGATTGATTTGGTGTTTTTCATCGCTCGCTAGCAATCCAAACATTTCCGAGGGAACATGTCTTTTTTAATCAGCCTGCATCTGTGTACGCGAAGCGATGTCCGCACGACCAAGGATGTCCTCCAGGGACAAGTCAGCCCGGAATGGTTCGGCAGAATGGAAGGCTAAATAAAGCTCTCCCCGGAGTTTCTTCTGCTCCGCTACCGTCTCGTCCCTAGCTTGTCGAGGAAAGTTCCCTGCCAACGATATTTGGAACCATTTTTTTGCTTTGGCCCCCGAGGAGCGCTTGTAACAGTGCTTGCAGCGAAGAGGCTCTCCGCAGCGGCTGTCAATCGGTCGGCATGTGGGGCGGGATCTGCGCCTAAGCTGCGCCACAACCGCCGCATCGGATGTGCCAAGCAATACTGCCAAGGCTTGGCTCTGAGCTTGATTTTAGGTAGATGGGATCGCGCGGAGTTATTAGACCTTCGGCTTCGGACTTATTGACATGTCCATCGATGGCTCACATTACAGCTACATGGGCGTATATATTTCCGCGTCGCCTTGGGCGACCCCATAGAAAAGCATGCATGGGATTTCCATAAAGTCTTCCGTATCCCCTTCGTTTCTCGTCAGCAGAGGACTTCACACAAAAGCCACGGCAGCCTATTCTCGCTTTGCCTTTGTCAGCCTCCCCGCGACTAACTATCAGCCGCAGATACACAATGGCTTGCAACTCCGCGGCCTGGCTTACTGCCGCCAAAGCCACTCCTTTCGAAGTCAAGCCCGCGCCGCTCTGGACTCCCGGCGAAAACGAGATTCTCGTTCGAAATCACGCCGTCGCCATCAACCCTGTCGATGGTAGCCTTCAGGCTTTTGCCTGGTGGCCCTTGGAGTACCCAACCATCCTGGGCCAGGATGTTGCTGGTGTCGTCAAAGATGTCGGGCCAAATGTAACCCGATTCAAGAGGGGAGACCGCATAGTCGGTCACGCCGTCGGCATGGCCACAAAACGCAACCAGGACAACGGTTTCCAGGCCTACACCATCGTCCAGACAAATATGGCCGCCGAGCTGCCTGAGAGCATCTCTTTCCAAGACGCTGCCGTCATACCACTGGCATTCTCCACCGCGTCCTGCGGGCTCTTCCAGGATGCTTTCCTAAAGCTTCAGCCCCCAACAGAGCCTCCCCAGAACCCAACTGGAGAAACCCTGCTGGTCTGGGGCGGCTCGTCAAGCGTGGGAAGCAATGCAATTCAACTTGCTATTGCTGCCGGCTATGAAGTCATCGTCACCGCCTCTCCCAAGAATTTCAATTACGTGAAGAAGCTTGGTGCCGCGCAGGTATTTGACTATAGCAACCCTACCATCGTCGACGAGCTCGTGGACGCATTCAAGGGCAGAACTGTCGCCGGTGCGATGGATTGCATAGGCGCAGCGGCCACCAAGGCTTGTGCTGAAGTCGTGCAGAAGTCCAGCGGAAGAAAGTTCGTGTCGACCACAAAGGGCGGATTTGAGGAGCCTCCAGAGGGCGTAGCTGTCAAGAATGTCTTTGGAACAACGCTCAAGGATAATAATGTTGGTAAGATGGTCTATGTGGACTTTTTGTCTAAGGCACTGAGGGCGGGATCCTTCGTGCCGGCTCCCGCTCCTTTGGTTGTAGGCAAGGGATTGGAGAGTGTTCAGGGAGGAGTTGATATTATCCGCAAGGGAGTTTCCGCCCAGAAGCTTGTTGTATTGCTCTGAATTTTTACAGCAGTACGTATGTATGTACACTACATACAAAATCCCCGGGTTGGATAGGAAAACCAGAAGGCATGTAGCCAGAGCATTGTGAGAGGGTGAGGGACGAATAAAACAGATTATGACACTAAAACAGTCCTACTGTATGGAAACGTTTGGCTTTGGTTGCTTCAGAAGCTACCATCCTAGCTTAAAAACCGTATCTTGTTTTCTTTACGGTATCGATTTACGGACAATGGAGGGTGTGAAATTTAGCTTTCTTTTTCTCGAACTTTTCCCTAAAACGGAGTTGGCCATGCCATTTTAAACCTTCGTTAATACTCGCCACGAGGAGTTATGCTTCTTGGCATAAGCATGTGCCGCAATTGACAGCCAGCGCAGCTGAATGCACGCATCAGAATGTACACATTTTATGGACCTCAACCGAAAAGCCACAAGGCATCATACTGGATACCATCAGCCTATGGGCTTGCAGCTGAAATAAGTATAACGCAGCCAATACCCACTCAATGCCGCTTTGCATCCCAGACGTCGGGTGAATGTAATATGCAAGAATACACAGTGTCAACGGTAGCTTATGCAGAGGCAGAAATTGCTACTTAAAACGGAAGAACACCTTTCGTTGGCCGGTGGTCGTGGATATCGTGCTCCTTTATGCATGGATAACGTGGAGGGTGGAAATGCGACTTTCCTGTCTTCTGAGCATCCCAGAAGTTGAAAAAAAGTTCCTTCCGGGGATAATCGTGCCTCTGTTCGCGGATATTCGTTTAACTGGCGGTGGCAAGGGATAGCTTCCCCTCCAAAAAGAACTAATTCGTAGGGGGCCATTGACTCGTATCTTATGTATTAGGCGAATATAGGGAAACGGGATGCGCTGGGGCTAGAAAATACTACCACCACCATCCCGAGGTAAGAGCTGCGTGGCTTTTGCACGAGTTGGTCGATTATCAAGCTCTGTGGCCATCCTGATGAGTTTACCTCTTCCTCGAATTTCGGCACATATGCACCCAGACGTATGTTGCAGGACTATTCCCATTCATGGCAACAACATTTCAATTCTGCTTTTTATGGCCAGGTTATGCTTTGGAAGGAGGTACTGCGCCGTCTCATGGTTTGTTGCTTGGTGTAGACAATGCTAGGGATAGCCCATTTAATTCGGCAGCGAGCTGGTCAGGAGTCTAAGAAACGTGGCTTCTCTGTAATCTTACAGGTTAGCCAGGATATGCTTTCGTTTTTAAGTTCACCGCGAGATTTTTTGACAGGCCATGCACGCGGGGTGTGGGAACCTCTAGCATAGATTTGGTGCCACCATCCTGCATACGCCCAAGCCCCAGAGTGCACCCAGACTGGTTGGCTGTTGCGGCCGTTTAACCCAAATGCACACGCTGTAGAGCTATTTTTATTCGGATTTTGATAGTTCCAGCGCGAGATTAGTTAATCGGATTTGACAATAGCTTAGGCCATTCTAGTCAATGCAGTATAATTCTCACGTGCATCCATTTCGTATTTTGAACGGGCGCTCCGTTTGTGTAGCTGAAGAGAACCTTTCATTTTATCCTCTTCCTCTTTCATCAGCAGTGTCAAGAAATGCGCCTATTGACGAGTGCCGAGGCAGCATCTGACCCGATGTGCGGTGCAGTGTAAGGATGCTGGAGCTTCAGGAGGTGGATCGATGTCGTTGGCTCACGGCCTTTCCTTGGAGCCAAGAGACATACGCCTCTACCTAGAGTACCCATATAGCAGGAACCCCCGGCGCGGATTCGTTCCAAAACTTATGTTTGAAGCCAGTGCCCAAAAAGGAAAAAAGGGAAAGGAAAAGGTCCTGGCACCAATGGCTCAAAAAGGGATGCAGAGAACCGCACGCAAGGGCGAAAAGCCTGAGCTTGTACGCCTCAAGCACATCCTCCATGACTGATCGCCAAGAGGATTTGCAGGGGTTGGAGACCACCAGAACAGTCACGAGAGGCTTAATGTTCATGATGGCTCTATTAGCAGGCCATGAACCATGGGACTGCTCCTTCAGCTTTCCAGCGCTATTGTGCATGTACAGCCTGGAAACGCACGCATGGGGTGTTGTCAATTTTGGAAACCCAGAACAATCGTATGCACAACACGACATTCCTGCCAAGGACTTACGAGTGAGCTATGAACAGCATCAACAGAAACTTTGAAGTCAATGCTTGGTTTATAGCCAACGCGCCTCCCGTTGACAGTGGGTTTTAGTGTCCTTGAATGTCGCCTTCAGTATCCAAGTCTTAAAGACTATCGTGGCTATGTTCTCCAGTTGGAAACCTCCCCTGCTTCGAGACTAGGAAAAAGAAAGCTTTCAGACTTTTCCCGCATATTACTGTTTGCCTTGTTATCTCTTTATAGGATTTTGTAATCCTATATCCTACCGCGATAGGGAACATTTCACGCGAGGTCCGAAGTTGAAAACCAAAGCTCACCTCAAGATGTCGGAATCAGTGGGATTCAAAAATACAACTTCAACTTCCCAGCCTCGACAAAAGCCTGGAGCCGCCTGCGAAGAATGCCGGCGGCGAAAGCTACGGTGTGATCGACGACAGCCTCAATGCGGATTGTGTGAAGCGTCTGGCAAGGAATGCCTGGTCTCGACGACTCGATCTCTTCGCGGACCCAAGCGCGGATATCTAAAAGCCTTGCAGGCTCGAATTGGTATGTTTTGGATTCCATGTTATGGGGTTGAATGCTGTGGGAATGAGGAGCATTTTTGGATTCAACAACAAGAAAGGGAGATTCTGGCTAACGCTTTTGGTAGCTGTTCTTGAGGGAAGGCTACTTGAACAAGAGCAACAGAATAACCAAACCGGAAACGTACCGACAGTGGTGAACGAGAATACGGTTGAGAACCTACCATGTAATGATCAGAACTTTGTACAGTGGGATCTTCCAATTCCGGAAGATATGTTTTTGCAGGACCCGTGCTTCGGATCGAAAACTAATGACTCACTGGGAGAATCGTCATTCGACGCCAATTCATTCAACGTCCCAAATGTTGTTGAAAATGTCAATGATGAGGCGAGATTCCAGGATTTCGTCAATGCCACGAAGGTGTTGGATATGTCTGAAGGGCCGGACGAGTTCAATATCTCAGATTTAATGCAGGCAGATCTGTAAGTAATACCCCAAGTTTTTGCTGGGAGAAATCGATCGAGGAGTTGTAAGAAAGGAGAGTCGGCTTTCCGTCCTGAATATAATGATCCTCGATCTAACTTAATAGTAGCGATCAACTATATTTCGATAGAATTCACACATTTGCGCCCATTGTCCATCAGCGCCAGTATTTTTCTTGGAGCCGGCAGCCCAACAAAACCGAGGCCCAGATATGTTTGCAATACGCCATGTGGACTCTCGCAGCGTCAGTATCGGCGCATTATCAAAGCATCCGGGACTCTTTGTACGGATTTATGCGCCGTGCACTCGATTCCTTGGAAGCAGAAAATATAAACCTTGCGGTGACAGATATCGAGCAGGTTCAAGCTTGGCTTTTGCTAGCCATTCATGAGTTTATGTGCGTGGATTTCCGCCGAGCATGGATCAGTGCTGGGCGCGCATTCCGGTTGATTCAACTTAACTGGTTTCACAACACAGAGCCCTTAAATATGACGATCTCGCAGATGGAATGGGTTGAGGCTGAAAGAAAGAGGCGAACCTTTTGGATGGCATATTGCCTGGATCGATTTGTTAGCATCCGAACCGGGTCTCCATTGACTTTTAGCGAACAAATGGTACGATCATCTGCGTGGATTGTTGGAATAAGTGCCACTAGCTGACTGAAATACTTCTTTTGTCCAGATCACGATTCGTCTTCCTTCGCCCGAAGCTGCTTTTGAGAACGACCAGCCCACACTGATGGGATTTCTCTCAGAGGCAATCGCGGCAACAGAGCCTATTGCGCCATCGACATTTATCGAATGCATCATTATGGCAACCATTAGTGGTCGTGCTCTAGCCCACAGGCACCAGTTTTTGGTCGATAATATCTATCTCAACACAAGGGAGGATTTCTGGGACCACCACCACTGGATCAATTCCATTCTAACCAGAAAAATGGATATATTCACTTCAGAATATCCCCTCCGAATACAGCAAACGGATCCAATGCTGCTTTTTATCAGCATGATGTGGCGCACTACCGTTTTGCATCTTTGTCAGACAATGGAGCATGCGATACCATTGACAGACGAGAAGAGACCAGTAGTGGTGGAATATATGGGGCTGTCCTCAATAGCCGCACAGGAAATCGCAGATTTGACAAAGAATATATCGCAACTCAACCGTTTCAAGGTGAGAAGATGTCTCCAGAGTTATACATCAGAAGGGCTGATGTGACTGACAATGCTGTGATCGTAGGTCCATCCATTGACGTCAATCCCCTTATCGCTTGCCGCAGAATTCTTCGGTACATATCGCGACGTCGACAACTCATTTCATAAGCTGCATCAACATATCACCGAGGCGATGCGCAACTTGCAAGGGCTCACCAATCTTGGTCCGAGCTTTCACAGGCGTTCCGCATAAGATAGTGAACAACGTTATGGCACAAAGGTTCACTTTTGAACTGCCGAAGGTTAAATGTGTAATCGAATATGGTTGTAATGGGCTTCGGCCCGGGTTCTAAAAAGGCAGCAACGATGATTCTATGGCGTGTCGGGCATGCATGGAAGGTGACGTTCATTTAATCCTTTTTTTTTTTTTTTTTTTGCCCTGTAGCATGTAGCGAGCCTGTGGAATCATAAGAATACTTTGGCAGTCTTTTTAACTGGTTTTGTTTGAAAATCAAGTCCAGATGAAGCTGGCTTTAAATTTCTTTAACCATTTCAGGTTCTTTCATGCTTTTGTTTTCGTCATCCATCTCGAGAACACTCGGTAAAGCGACAAGAAAGTTCCACGGGAACAAGGAATAGCCAGCGAGGTTCCGCAGCGCCTACGGCTAGCATGAGTACCAGCAACGAGGGCTACGAACGTCGTTTGCGTCTCGGACTTAACGAGGGGCCGCGTCTGGACCCTGCACGTCGTGCAAGTCGGCCACACCCATACATCTTCGGCATTCCCTGTTTTGTCGGCTTTATGACGACTTGTCCTCCCAAGATTGTCTATGGAGTAGTGAGTTGCATACTCCGTACTCGTACGACAGCTGAGGTTTTAAACCGTAATATCGATGTCACTATTGGTAGATATTCGCAATATCCGCTTGCAAACTGAGGTGAGATGGGCGTTAATTGATAAATTTTTACCTTGTGGCGTATGCCAGCGCGATGTCAGGTATATCCTCCGTAGATGGGGTGCAAGTCGCGATCTCTGTTCTCCGAGCATCGGGGGCTGGCCATCCTAGTAAAATCAGCCAAGATTTCATAGCTAGACATCCCTACTTCGTACGTGCATGATTGGCATCCTTCTTTATGAATTGCGTCTTTGGTATGGTGGATCCCTTGTGAGTGGGAACAGCCGGGCTCTTCACTCCGTCCTATGCGGTCTGGCATCGAGGAGATCGAATGCTCCTGAGGTCCAGTCTCGCTGGTGGGAAAAAGGGGAGTCACGTGTTTGATTATGTAACCTAAGGTGGATGAAAAAGGGGCAAATGAAAAAATTATCTCGTGTGAGCTTCCATCAGGCAATTCACATCAATGGAGCACGACGGACATCGCCGCAGAAAGGTTCAAGACGGTGACGCGACAGAGGCCGCACGGGCTTATACCGGACGAAACACGCTTCTGCAGTGCGAGTCTATCCTTGAAGAGGGAAAGGTTTTATGGAATCAGAGTCTGCGACTGGCGCCTGAGGAGTCTTCCTCGGATGCCTACGAGGCGACTGTCGCTAGAGATGTGAAGATAACACCGTCTCCTAGGCAGTGCCCTTCATACGGAGCGGTTAATGAGTCTTAAATTTATTTCTCTACCGTAATGGAAATTATCACTCCTCGAAGTGTGAGAAGCTGGGGAACCCTGACTTGCTTCAGTATACTCTCCGCTCTCTCCGACCAGACCCTTACCTTGGTGTCCAGCATCAGGCCTGTGAGTAAGGTTTGGAGTATTGTCCGCCCTTATGATTTCAGGACTTTAATTTTCTAGCAAGAGAGTACGGTAAGATGGAAAATCTCTATTGCCAGTCAAGGAAGTACACGCCTAGCCCTTTATGTCGTCGACTACCACACCCTGTTCGTGTATCGGAGAAAAAGAAAGGACTTCTACGGAGTATAATCCCTCGAATTGATAGGCTGTATGCGGATAGGCTTCAAGCCAGGACTCTTCCGCTTTCGCCCATAGTGTTAATCAACCTCTGCCGAATGTGTTCTCCTACAACAGTCTCAATTCCCGATCCGTCAAGTGCCACAGTTTTCAATTTCAGGTTCCCATTCAGAAAGAATGGAACGCTGTATCGGTGGTTTACACTCGAGTTGATCACCCGGTGCCGAGCACTGCGATAGTATCCTGCCGTCCATTTCTGAAGCATGTCGCCGATGTTGATCACATAGGAATTTTCCTTTACCGGAACTGGGATCCATGTTTTCGTTGGTGGATACCAAACCTCGAGTCCTTCTGTATTTGGCTCTTGGAGCAAGATTGCGATTCCGCCGAAGTCCGTGTGATCACCAACTACACCCCGCATGAATACTCTCAATCAGAATTGGAAATTTAGAAAGTTTTCCTAGGACAGGCCAAAAGAAAGGAGGGAATCCTACCTCCGAATTGGTTTTCATGCTTGACGGGCTGAGGAGCATAGTGCAAAAGTCTCATTGGAATGGAGGGATTTTCCGCAAACTTGTCAAAAACGTCTGGCGGGCAATTCCAAGCTGCTGGAAGGCCACGAGCGAGGATTTTGAGGAGAACTTTCACCAAATTCACCATTGTGCTTTGATACTCCATGATAGGAGTGCGGAATTCGCTCTCAGGGATAGCGTCCGGCCAAAGATTTGGGCCCCTAGAGAAGCTACCGCAGTCTGGATCATCCTCAGGGATCTCTGCGCCGATAATAAATGCCTTTTCCGAGAAAATGATTTCAGTCTTATTTTCAAAGTGAAAAGGGACAAATCTAAGTTTTGGTTTACCTCTTTTGTATCGGGCAACAGACCCTCCTGGTGGACTTGGATTCCGGGAGGTTCATACCCTCGGAAGGACTTCCCCACGGACTTCGAAATGGCAACTTTCATTCTTTCTTCCATGGGCAGCTCGAAAAATCTTTTGGAGCAAGAGAGTGCCTTATTCTGCTCCCTTGTGGAAACACCATGACCGGTCAGGTAGAAGAAGCCATATGTGGTGCATGCACGGCGGACAGCTTCAACGACATCCTGCACGGCTTCTTCGGTAGCATCTTGCCACAAGAATGGACTGATATCAATGGTTGGGATGGTCTGGGGAACGGCTGTCTCGACAGTCCCCATATTGCCAATTGATTTGGAGGTTGCTACTAGGGATGGTTTATCGATTGAAGGAATCGACGTGTGCATAGGTAGTTGCAAGTATGGCCTAGCACATTCCAGGTGTTAACGCGTTGTCATTTTTATATCGTTCGAAAAGCTCTAGTGACATGACCTCGGGAGCGCAGAAGATCCAGCAGCATTGAGAGTAACCCAGCTTCGTCTCTCTAGGCTACAAGGCCTGCTCCGTAATTGTTTTCACCATCGGAGTTTGACAAAAAGCAACATTGAGAATTTGAAAACTCCGTACCGACGATTCCTGATTCCGGGTTGTTGATAATGCGAAACCTTGTCGGACCAAATATACTCCGCTGAGCGGAGTGATGGATACCTATCGTATCCTACGAGGGGTTTTCCCGGACCATGGCCACTAATTATCCTAATCTCCCGTCCAATCGATGTGCACAAAGTACGGAGGCCCTCTGACTGACACTACGGTGTGGATGAATGAAGGAGGTCCGGAGAGTGCTATGTAGACAGACAGGGAAGACGGAGTTTCTTTTCACGAGCACAAATCCTACATATTGCCGTTAAAAGAACTCCTGACACCCCACAACCACAAGTTAAAGATATCTCACATCAACCGAGTCTTCCTTGAATAAACCCGGACTCTTAGTACAAAAGAGAGACCGACAAAGCTCATCGTCTAGCCATCCAATATTTTCTCCAACTCCAAATCAACTCATTTTCGCTCCAACAAAAGCTACCCTCTGTCTACCAAAGGCAATACCGCAACGATGTCTCAGCAATACGACTGGCTTATCCAAATCCGTGCCAACACCGAGGACCTCGAGGGCCGCATTAACACCCGCCCAGCGCATCTCGTGCATAATAAACCATTGATAGAAGCGGGGAAAATCCTGTTTGGGGGCCCTTTACTCGCGCATCAACCAGAAAGCCCAGATGCAGATCTTGCAGTCACGGGTAGCGTTATGCTGATTCGAGCGGGGACCGAGGAGGAAGTTCGACAGCTGGTTAGGGAAGATCCTTATGCGAAAGTTGGATTTTGGGACGTGGAAAATGCAGTTGTGTCGCCTTTTCGGTGCGTGGTGAGGAAGAAGACGGCGTAAGGGGTGGACGGCCTGTGAAAAGGCCATCGGAGGTTGGATGTCTAGTTCCAGCTTTTCATTTGCGCTGAATAAAGGTAAAGCATAAATTGTCTGTAGGAATTTGCTGAAATATACAGACTATTGTGCCTGCGTTCTCTTCAAAGTGTTCCTTGTATCCTCTTCTGGTATCAGTGTAGACGGGAGGTTGTATAGTAGCAATCCTCCCTCAAAATGCAAACTGTAAGCACCAAAAGCGAGAAATGGAGAACCCAAAGAGAAATAAAGAGAGAGAGCTCGATTTCTATCTATGAATTACTTCATTGATATGCCGCTGATTAGATTCTCAAAAGCAAAAATTAAAACCTTCTTCTGACAGTCTCTGCTGCCGTTAAATCGTTAATATAATTGGGGAATCCAATCAACGACCAAGAGATAACAAAACTTTTTAGCGGAAAATTAAACACCCAGAATGAATGCTTCGATGACTGACAATCTATCTTTCTAGTGGCGTGGGTATAATCTAGCCACTGTCACACCTGAAGTTTAAGATGGTATACGTTATGCTTTGATGTTGATTTTGAACCCATACTGGGCCACTCTCAACCCAGCATACATAAAACCAGCGACACAAAGCGAGACACCACCGAAGATCCACAAGCCAGTCCAACCTAGTGGATTTTGTGTGCCCAAGATACGGCCACCGCCAGGTCCACCGGCTAACACACCAAAGCCGATGATGGCATAGGCCATACCAACTCTGGTTCCGATCTTGGTCTTGTCTTTCGTCAGGATGACGAAGCAGAGAGGCGGCATCCCAATGAGAATGCCGCTGATGAAACCAGAGAGTAATGCAATGACGATGAGGCCTCCCTTATTAGTTACCGCGATGGTGCAGAGGATAAGGACTCCAGAAATGATGGCGCCGGGAGATATGAGGTTGAATGGTCCCGTTTTGTCCGCGATGGCATTGGGGACACTTCGACCGAGACAGGATGCGGCGTTGAAAATAGGCACAATGTAGAAGGCGATTTCGGTGCTGGCGATGTGACGATTCTCGGTGAAGAACGAGAGGAAGAATAGTTGGGTAAACAGCCCCATAAAGGCAATAAATGAGGCGATTACAAAGAACATGTAGGGCGCATCCGTGAAGGCGGTCCAGTCAATGAACGATCTAGCCTTTGGTGGTTTAACGCGGAGTCTCATTGCGGCGAGTGGGAAGAGGAGTGTGCCAAGTGCGAGGAAGCCGATAACGCGGACGGACCAGCCGAATCCTACCCGGTCAATAAGCCGATGGAGGATAATTGGGTAGATGATGCCGCCCAGGGACGAGCCAGAAGCCGCCAGGCCAACAGCCAAGCCAAGTTTCGTGCTGAAATAGGTGGGAAGAATGGAGACGCAGGGTACAAAGAGGCATCCGGCCCCAATTCCAATGCAAAAGCCCTGTGCAAGCAGCACTTGCCAGTAGGCGTTGCAGATGCTAAGCATCATGTGTCCGAAGACAAGACCAAAAGTGCCGACGAGGAGCAATGGGCGAAGGTAGCCCCGGTCGTAGAATGGGCCGACGAGGATACCGGCGAGCAACACCATGAAGGCCTGAATTGAGCCGATCCATGAGATGTCGGAGGAGGATCTCGAGAAGAGGGACCCTGATTCGTAGTATGTCTGGTAGACACCGAAAGCATTGAGGATGCCCCAGCTATTGAAGTAGAGCATGAAACTGCCGGCAACGTGAAGCCAGGCTGAGAGACCGCCGTTTGGAGGGGGTGAAGGCCCACCAGGAGGCAGCACCTTTGAGGTCTGTTCAACGATGGGCGGCGGCTCAGGGCTGTCGCGCTTCTCTTGCTCGAGGCTGCTTGCTGACGACACGGCGGACGGCATTGTGGGCGGGACGGCCTCTGTTTTCTCTGGCAGCCGTAATGGAGAGGACAGGTTATTCTTGAATCCAAGAAGCTTTCCACTCCCTCTGCGACCCAACAGCACGAGTATTTCTACTCGCCTGCGCTGCCATGATCAGGACCAGCGGGCTCGGGCTTGTCGGCGGTGCTATCGCTCTCCACGACACCTGCGCCGATAGCTCCGCGGTCGACCCAAAAAGCGCGGCCGACCGTCTCGTTCTTCGCCACGGAAAGACGCCGTAGCTCGAGAAACTCCGAGCCGGACGGCGATGGGCAGAGCAGGCTGTGACTCTGAGGGTTTCCAGGCATTGGTGGACTGTTTGTTACTGTGAACGTGGAGTTGGGTGAAGTTCATCCTGGCTGGCGAACGTGTGATGTCGCTTGGCATCGTGATAGATTTAAGTAACTATTTCACGGGCACAGGGGGTTTGGTTGAGCCGAAGTTCTCCCACGCGCAATCAAGCGCGCAACCGCGATGTGACTTTCAAAGCCTTTTTTCTTGGGAATGGACAAAGAGTGGACGGAGGAACTTGACTTGTTATTCCGATGGCAAAACTGAACCTCGTCTTCTCAGCTCTTCGCCCTCGTGTCGAGCCCTCACCAATACGACGGCCGTCGTGCTTTTTCTCACCCACGGGTCAAGAGTGATGGCGGAAGGAGAAGAAAGAAGACAAGGCCATGCCCATGGAAGTTACTGGCCCTTTTTGCCTTCAACTTTCCCAGGCTTTTTCCCCTTCCTCCATCTATCCCTACGCTGAGGTGGAGAAACTCACCAGAGTCAAGATTTGCGCTGCTGGACCAGAGAAGATTCACTCTGTACCGACTCACAAGGCACGGATAACTGCCAAAGGCACCGTCTAATCCCACTCTACAATGGCTGGCACAGTCTGCATGGACCAGGACTCGACCATTCACCTCCCTCGCATCCTCTGCCTCCACGGTGGCGGCACCAATGCACGCATTTTCCGCATGCAGTGTCGTGTGCTTGAGCGCACCCTCCGCTCCACATTCCGTCTGGTCTACGCCCAGGCTCCATTTCCAGCGCAGCCAGGTCCAGATGTGACTTCAGTGTACCAAAACTTCGGGCCATTCAAGGGCTGGCTGCAGGCAACCGCCCAAGCCCACGAGTACAGCGCCCAGAACGTAGCGGAGCAGATTCACGACTCTGTAACCGCCGCCAGGTGTGCAGACAATCTACTCGGTGCCACCGGCCAGTTTGTGGGGCTTTTGGGCTTTAGTCAGGGTGCGAAGATTGCAGCGAGTATCCTCTTCGCCCAGCAATATGGAATGGCGTTATCTGGCGGCCAGTGTGACTGGCCGGGCCTCCGTTTCGCGGTACTCCTGGCCGGGCGGGGCCCCCTTGTATGGTTAACGCCGCAGGCACCCATGCCGCACGGGGTTGTTGACCCGACGTCTCCAGCAATGCTGATGCAACAACCCTTCCTCGCTGATGACTCCGATGAGCACATTCTACGTTTGCCGACAATACATGTTCATGGGCTGAATGACCCTGGAATCGACCTCCATCGCGAGCTTTTGAATCAATATTGCGACCCCAATTCCGCAACTTTGCTTGAATGGGAGGGCGCACACTCTGTGCCAATTAAGACCAAGGATGTGAAAGCAGTTGTGGAGCGAATATATTCCGTTGCCCGGGAGGTAGGCGTGCTGAATCTATGGAGATAAGTACCGGGTTATAGTTCATACCCCGTTAAGGTAGCATTAGAATCAAAGAGCGCATATCTATCTTGCGGGCGAAGTAAGAAATATGCATACTTTGTTCTTGTCTACTTTATTCTTCCTGTACGGTCGCATTTAAGGTGCCCTAAACAAAGTGGTTGCTTTTCTACATTCAGAACAACATCATGCTGGATCTCGCTGGTTAGGGACAGATGGTTTCGACTAGCCCTGCGGGACAATCCGCGATGCTGTGATGTCTAAAGAGTCGCCTAGTCGTGCACACAAAGATTGACCAGCGCAGAAAGAGGATAGTCATACAACTCAAAATATATTAGTCCATTCTACTTCCATAAATATCCCTTTCTATAGACAGTACGAAGTACTCTGTGCTCCAAAAGGCAGGCCCAAATAAGTCAAACAAGAGAAAAGAAAATAGTCCGTCAGTTAATTCAAAAACCCCATATCCTTCCAGCTTTTAACAAACAACCTAGCCACCCGCTCGCTCACAGGCCCAACATTTGCCAGGGTCCTTGAGTGCTCTCGCGCCTTCGCCGTATCAAGCAGAAGTCCACCACATGACATGCGAAGGAAGTTCCCGTCAAGAAAGTCTATCAGTATAATTGCTGGGTTCTCGCCCTCGGGGCCTTCCACCCGCCTTGGATGATCTATCACGCGCTGTACCCAATCTTTGAATGGGATAACGTTCTGTGGCGGTATATCCATGGCATCCGCCAACACGGGAATCATTTCCTTCCATGGTTGACGAACCGGGTTGTCGATGTGGTAAATAGGATATAAGGTCGTCTCTTCGGGCAACATCAGGATATCGACAAGCGTGCTGGCGACGTCGTCTACAGGTGTCCAGGAGAGAAGCCCATCAAAGTCCGGTAGGGCCTGAAGTGTCTGAGAAGATTTAAACACGAACGACAGATGCTCCATCGGATTCCAGTAACCGCTTGCGCTGGAGCCTCCAACCTGCCCAAGCCGGATAGCCGTGGCACGGAATCGGTCTGGGTATTTGTGCAACGTTTCGTCAAGCATACACTCGCAAATGTATTTGGCATCACCATAGCCTGTGGGTAGCACGGATTCGATTGTCATCCGCTCCTCAGGAACATTAACCTTGCCCGTCCAGATGGGCCAGTGCCCGACGGTCGCAATTGAGGAGATGAACTCGAACGTCACCTTGGTTCCCTGCGACCGTCTGCTTGATATCTTACGAGCGAGATTGAGCAGGTTGCGCATAATCTGAAGCTGGGGTGTAAAGTTCTTGACAGGCCACTTGGCATTCATGAGCCATGCATTGTGAATGATATCGGTGACATTGTTGACAAGGTCTTCATAGTCGACCGTTAGTAGACCAAGGTTAGGTTTTGACAGGTCTGTCTCAATCACACACAATTTTCTGGAAGCTTCCGGATTAATACTGATGCCTTTCTTTGTCAGAGCCTGTTGCTGCCGCTCTTTGGGTACCTGTCTACTTCGCCGGTTGAGGCATACAACGCGCCTGATATCTGGGAGATTCGCAAGTTTGGCAATTATGTGGGATCCCAAGCTGCCGGTGGCGCCTGTCACGAGCACAGTTTTGCCCTTCGGATTATGCTTCGGAAGAGAGGCCGATAATTCATCGACGACAGCCGCGGCAAAGCCGTCGGTCAGCTCCTGCACGTATTTATTGACGACTGCTTGTCGAGCGGCACAGTCAGCTGATCGAATCTCAATAGGCTTGGGGGTGGAAGGAATTCGGAGTCTGTCGCACCTAGAACCCGAAGCCATTGCGATAATCAGCTTCTCAACCTTGTTTTCCGGCATGTTACCGTCCGTCCAATCAACATGCCCATAGCCAACAGACTGTAAATCCTTCTCCCATCTGGACTCGCATGTAACAGCATGTGTGCGGCCATCATCGAAGAACCACCAACCTTCAAATAGCCCAAAGATCATATCGACCCAGTAGAGTGTACCCGTCATCTCCAGCATCATAAGGAGCCCATCTGGCCGTAATGCCTTACGGATATTCTTTGCCGACTCACACAAGCTGTGTGTCGCGTGAACAGCATTGCTTGCAATAACGACATGTTGAGTCCCGATGAGATCGTCCGCAGGCGCCTTCTCAATATCATGGGTTCTGAACTTCATGAATTGGTAAGGTTTGAACTTTTTCCTTGCACCAGCGACAAAGGACGGCGCAAGGTCTGTAAAGGTATACTCGATTGGCACGTTCAACTTTGCCAAAAGAGGAACAATCCACTTAGTTGTTCCACCAGTACCAGCACCCATCTCCAGAATCTTGAGTGGGCCAGTGCTCATATCGAGCTTCGAGATAAGCCGACACAAGAAGTCTTCCATCTGTGCATAGAACAACCGGTTCAGGGGCCAGTCAGCATACAGGCCTGAGACAAGCTCGCGACCCTCCTCTGTACAGAAGATCAACTTGATCCCATCTGTATTGCCTCGCAGCACCTCCGCTAGATTAGAACCGGTGTAGAAGGTAAGTCTATCTGCCGTATTTTGATCCGGGAAGCGTTTGAGTAGCTGCTCGAGGATGTCCTTGCTGGATTCTGGCGGAGGTGGAGTGGTAGTTCGCGTGATAGTGTCGCCATCGAGGTTTATCAGCAGCGCTTCCTTTGCAAGCATCCGGTAAAGGTAATCCACCAAACGCCTATGTTCCGAAGGGTGTGAAATGCGAGCTAGCTTCTGCCCGGGCTTTGCCTCCCGCAGATTACATCCTAGCTCATCAAAGGCCTCAAGGGTAAGTGCAATACACAGTTGTGTTTGGACCGGCATGACCATATCAACGTAGTTGGTCTGGTTATACTCGGCAATTTTCTCATCCGTTAACTGTTTTGTTTCGTTGAATGCTTCCATGACTGTGGCGAAAGGGAGTTCGAGGCCGGTAGGTTCTTTGTTCAGAAGATCTCTTTCCGCCTCGGGCACAGGAGTGCTTGGGTTGGTTTGAATAGTAGAAGCGGTGAACTCGTTATTGGTGTTTGATCTTTCATAGCTATCGTCAGACTCCCCGTAATCACTGTTGGCAGCGACCTCCCCGCCTGTAGAGCGATTCACAGCGCTCTGAACACACTTGAGTAGGTTACACATGTCCACAATCTGCATGAGCTCACTTTCAGGAAGCGTAATATTGAATGCTTGCTCAATCTCATGGGCCATCTCCATTCCCATGAGAGAATCGATACCGAGGTCAGCAAGTTGGCTATCATCTTTAATCTCATCCAACTCAAGACCCGAGAGCTCTACTAGAATTGCCTTTACCTTCGGGCTCACGTCTAGACTCTGAGACTGCTTCTTCCCCTTTGCCGGTTTGGTGATATTTGGTGCGTGGTTGGCCGATATGGTGGACTCTGGTGACAGGGTAATCGTGGAATTAGCGGCTCGCTCCACCTTGACTGACCCTGAGTGTTTTGCAACGCAACCATGGGCATTCCTCACGGTAAGACATGAAAGTAGCTTGCTCATTGAAACCTTTGGAATTCTGACATAGCTGATACCGAGAATTGCCTCAACTAGTGCACCGCTGCTGGCATTAAAAACAAAAACATCCGTGAGATATGATGTCTCCGAAGGGTGGTGGTGGGTTGCAAACACGTGGAAGGCCTTTGGATTGAGGTCTCCGTGGTAAAACTTCGGTGACCTTATCCATTGCTCAATCCCATTGGCAATAAATATATCCGTTGGAGCTCGATCTGTCATGCAATTTACCCAAATACCTCCAACTTGACAGAAGCTGTCGACAAGGTGGGCGTCAAGCCATGATTCGCTATCGCACTTCCTGACAACATACCCAGCGGACTGATTGCCACGACCGACAAGTTTCTCGAGACCGCGATAGTCCTCACCATAGTCAACAATCTCAGCGAATATCCTGTAGATGTTCGTGCTCTTGAGAATTTCATCTACCTCACCACTCGTTAACAGATTCAAACAGTTTTGATGGCCGATCAGCCGCTCAAACCGCGCGAATTCAAGTCTAATCATCAGGTCATCTGAAGGCCGGAAGAGTACTTTACCAGTTGTATGAAGTGTTTTCAAGGTGCTGTTTGCCAAGTCGGTGCTGAATACCTCGAAATTCCAGGATGGGGCTGTGCTCGTGTCGTCTTCATTAACCTCGATCCAAACTGCCCGCGCTGCGTTGATGCAGATAGGAGACTGATTTTGAACGCCATGGATCTGCGGCATCAGTTTTGCAGCCATGAGGTCGGGGCGGAGATTGCGAATGGCCTCGACGACAAGATCCAACTGCACCGTTGATGGGCAAATGGGCTCAGTTTCCGCGATGACGTGACCGACGATAAGCCTATCATACTTCGAGATCATCGTGTTGATCTGGAACTTAGCGAGGCGCTTCCTGCCATCTTGATATCCAACGAAGGTGAGAAGTTGGTCAGGGACCCTTTCTTCTTCCTCCTTCGGCAAGGTTGGCGTCGATGATACCTTAGGGGGGCCCCTAAGCTCGATCCAATGGGACACCTTATCGAACTGATATGGAGGAAGCAATAGAGGAGTATGCTCTTTTGTTTGTGCAGTCTGATGTGGCCAATGGTCTACTTTCAGGCCAGCCCTCCACAAGCTCAACGTGGTGTCAGTGAGATTGTTGATTCCATTGTCGCATGTGATATTGACAGCGTGGAAGTGCGAACTACCAGGATTACCAAGCGCTCGGCTTGCCATGGAAGTAATCGTGGAGTTGGAACCAGCTTCTAAAAAAATGCATGATAGGTGACGCTTAGAGAGTCGCTCCACCGCGTGGTGGAAGAACACCGGGGAACGGATGTGGTCCGAAACAAACCTAGGGGTGAGTTTTTCTTGATGAGGAAATTCAGTTGCCCTCTCCATGGGAATTATGGGTTCGCCAAAATTTAGATTTTTGGAACCCTGTTCTAGCTGCTCAAGAAGAGGTCGAGCAAAGCACAGTGAAATGCATTGGTAACATTCAGTCTCTTCGCTCTCATCGATGAAAAAGCTGGTGTGGAGATAGAAGCAGCGACGGCTTCGATAGACGCTGTAGAACCAGCAATAGTGAAGCTCCTGGGTCCGTTGTAGCAGGCAATGCTGGCTGGAATCTCCCCTGGACAGTTTTTGCTTGACTCGCTCAGAAGTTTCTCAACATCCTCCACGTCAGCTTCCACCGCTATCATGGCGCCTTTATCACCACTCCAAGCGTCCCGAACAAGAGTAGCGCGGCTCACAACCATCCTCAAGCTGTCTTCTAGGGAGAGGATTTGCGAGACGCAAAGAGCTGTGAGCTCGCCGAAGCTATGGCCCACAACTGCAGCTGGCTGAATGCCTGAGTCAATCCAGCTGTGAGCACAAGCATACTGCATCGCAAATAGTATAAGCTGCAACTTAACAGTATCCTGAATGGGTGAACGCTCGAATATACTTGGGAAGATACTCCCAGCACCGAGTGAGCGTGCAGCCGCATCGACAGTGTCAAGGTGTTTTTGGAGGATAGCCACACGTTTGTACACATTTGGATCCAAACCAATAAATGTAGAGACTTGGCCACCAAAGCAGAGCACGACTGGCCGAGGCTGGGCGGTAGTTGCAGCACTAGCAACGCTCATATCGCCCTTCTCGAACATCTCTAGCTTCTGCAGTAGTTCATCCACTGATCGAACACTAAACATCAAGCTACGCTCGAGGGAACGATTACTTTGGCGGGCAAGGTTAAAGGAGATGTTAGACAACGAAAGTCCCTTCGTTGAAGAGCTTTGTCCAGCAATAAACTTGCGGAAAGCTTCAGAGTACCGACGAAGGCTTTGGTCGTCAAGACCACAGAACCAGAATGGGAACTTGGTCCCGGCGGCCACTTCGATAGGGCTCTCCGGAGCCGTCTTAGATCTGGGAACTAGCGGTTGCGTGATAACCATCGAAGCGTTAGATCCTGACGCGCCGTAGTTATTGATAAGTGCTGCCTTGAAATCGGTGTTCCATGCCTGTAATTTCGTGGGAATGCTCATATTATCTGCCGGGGTAGCATCGATGGCCGGGTTTATTGTATTGAAGCTTGCCTGGGGAGGAATCATGCTCTTTTGGATCATGAGCAGAACCTTGATAATTGAAACAATTCCGGACGTGCATTCAATGTGACCGACGAGGCCCTTGACCGAACCTAGCATAAGAGGGCCCGTCCTTGCCGGCCCACCGAGGGCTTTCCGGATACTGTCATATTCGGCAGGGTCTCCAACAGCAGTTCCGGTGCCATGTGCCTCAACAACGGAAATTTCCGCCGGCTTGATGCGGGCTTGATTCCTGACAGCACAGAACAGGCTGGATAAGGAGGGAACATTGGGGACAAAGATAGGAGTGCAGTTCTGATTTTGTTGCACAGCTGTTGCAGCAATGACACCCAAGATTTGGTCCCCATCAGCAATGGCAGCAGAAGCCTTCTTTAGGAACACAGCAGCAATGCCCTCGCCTCTGCAGTAGCCATCAGCGTCAGCATCAAAAGGCTTGCATTGCCCTGTGGTGCTCAAAAAAGAGGCCCCTGCAAGATTTTGGAACCAGAGAGGGCCGCTCATAATATGGGTCCCCCCTGCGAGGGCGGCATTGCATTCTCCACTAATAATTGCGCGGCATGCCTGATGCACAGCGACAGTTGATGAAGAACAGGCTGTATCAATGGTAAGCCCTGGGCCTGTCCAGCCGAAGTAATGGCTGACTTTTCCTGCAATAAAGCCTTGCAAATTCCCAGTTGCAGAGAATGCGTTGGGCGCATGACAAGCGATATTATTCTCATAGTCAGTCGCACAAACGCCCATATAACATCCAATGTTCTTCTCCGGATTGGCCGAGTGGAAGTAGCCAGACTGTTCGACAGCTTGGTAGGCAATCTGTAAAAGATGACGCTGCTGAGGATCCATTGTAGCGCTCTCGCGTGGGCTTTTCTTGAAGAATTTATGGTCAAACATATCGTGGCCATTGACAAAGTTGCCAAACCACTTCCGCTTCGGGTCGGTATCACGGAATGCTGTTTCGAAACCAAACCGCTCCTTAGGAACCTCCCTGTGCTGTGATTTCCCTGAACATAAAAGGTTCCAGAACTCCTCTAGGTCCTCCGCGCCGGCGAATTTACATGACATACCGACGACGGCAATGTCATTGTCCGAGTAGGTCCGCTGGTCCTTCTGCAATCCCTCGAATTGCCCGTTGGTTAGATCTCGATCCGCCACATAGACCACCTGTTGGCTCAAACGGCGCATGAGTGAGGGTGGTATGCACCGTTCGGAGCCAAACGAGAAGATGGCGGCATTTTTATCATTTAGGCTGCCAGCACGAACAGTGGAGAAAGTCCGATACCATTGTGGAGGCTCTACCAGAATAGACGTCAAAGCATGGCTGTGCAAGGTCCCTTTGGTGATCAACTCCCCTCCACTGTTTGATCTAGTGGGTATCACTAGCTGCGATGCATCAGGGAGTTGAAATTCTGGATGGGTATTACAGAATTCAACTAATGAACTTAACTGAGGTCGGTGACATTCGGCATGAAAGCGTCCGAATAGGCCTACTTCAGATACCATCACACCGGACGATTTCAGCTGCTGCTGCAACTTCGAAACCGTTGAGGATGCCGCGGTCACAGTGACTCGATATTCATCATAATTGACGGAAACGTAGGCCTAGATGGTCCCATTAGCTATAATATCAAGGTAGAGGCAAGAACATTGACACAGTTCCGGGGGAGGGGGGCCAAAAGGTTTTTTTTTTTTTTTTTTTTTAATATTTACCTCAGGGAAGTGCTTCAGGACACGCAAAACCTCCTCAGCGCTCTCAGCGGTGTTGCAGAGAGTGGCGAGAGACTTTGAAGTTCCAAGTTCAGACTCTCTATCCTGAGAGTCCACAACCATTCCAATCAGCAGGCCAAGACGAACTGCGACGGCGCCATACTTGACGAACTCCTCCCTATGAGTTGCACTTGATACAGCGAAAGCGCTGAGGAGCCCTGTGCAGAAACCAAGCGTCTCTGCGCCATGCTTTGAATCAAGGAGGTGGTCAGACTTGTTGTCCAGGTCAAGTTGGTTACTGTGAAGAAAAGCAGTATACTGTGCCAGGTGAGATATAACAGCAAGAGGGATCAGGAGCGCGTTCGGAAGCAGGAACGGGATCTTGAGCTGTTGTCCAGTCCTAAAGGCAAAGTCTAGATTTTCCAACTGATTGAGAGCTGACCAGTCTTCGAGATTTGGAAGTGCTGCGATGATAGTCCTCCAACATTGCGGGAGTTCGGCAATAGCTTTAAGAATCCAGTCGTGTGAATCGGCTTCAATCACGGTTTTCCGTAACTCGGTAAAGGAAGCCTCGTCGAAGGACAAGGGAAGAGATCCGAATAGTAAAATCAAGGGCCCTGAAATGGGGCCCTTTAACCGATCATCCATGTTCATCATCGTTGCCGGCTTCCGGTTTTAGGGGATATGGCAAAGGAGAGAGAAGGGACAGATCTATTGTTGAAAAGTCTATTTCGTGTGAAAGAAAATTTATGAGGGGATTGTGCTCATAATCCACTTGGACGAATACACAACATCCAAGTCTGACCCCTTTCTTCGTTTGGTTTTTTGTTGCTCGTTGGCTCTGTGAATCGAATGATACGGGGCGGCGGGGGTATTTATGGGTTATAAAACGAGTGCTTATAGAAAGAAGACAGTTTATTTGCGGTACAGGAGCCCGAAAAAAGAGATTATCAATGTGCCCGGGAGAAGCTGAGTTACGGATAAATAAAGGAGGCGAGACGTGGGGTATAAGGACAGAAGAAAAGGCTCATGTCCATATTTGAAGTCTGTGACAGCAAGGTACATCTTGTATGTGGCTTGCTCGTCAAACAGCATTCCTATACAGCAGGAACAGCAACTAGCTTTCCTGGTTGGCATGAATCCACAGCAGGTGAAACTATCGCGGCGGTTCGGAAAAAAGAACCAAGAAAATTAAGCAATTAAGGCCAAGATAGTCCAGCTGAATTGAACAGGCAGAGTAGGCTTTCGTGTCATACTATGCCCGTTGAAGCTATGTTTTCGTCCGCCGACGGTGGATATAGACACACCATACGGTGAACAAGAATTTTGCCATGCTATAGCACGAATGGGGTCCTGCCCATTGTCCGTGCTGCAATGCTAAGAAGCGCCCAGTCACCCGTAGCGATAGCTTTTGAGCCCTGTCATGGACAAGGACGTCGAAGCCATGGCAGAGGAAACTCCGCGGGCGGGAAATACTCCGGGGTCGTCCCCGTGCGCCTGGCCCTGACAGAAGTATGCCGCCGAAGACATCAGGGAATTGATTCTCGATCCACATAGGACTGGTCACGATATTGCACGTAGAAGCCTTTTCGATTTTTGATTCTTCGTTCACTCACAGCGGCGCGACGGCATGCAACTCGGCACGAAGCAAAAGCGCGTTTCCTTTTTGTTGGCCAAGATTGCCAAGAAATTTCGGTTCTATTTTGATCACTCGGAGGTATCGGTCGGAAGCTTGGGCATTCGGAGCTTGGACCAGCAGCACAAAATGTCGCTCAGACTTCTCAAAAACCCAAGTGCTGCATCAGCTTGACGTGACTGGTACTAGTCGTATTGAACTGTTATAGTAGATGCGATGGATCGCCCGAACTCATCGTACTCGACAGCGAGTTACTCCGTCAGGAATTACCTTTCGCTCTCACTCCATGCAAGCCATACAACAGGCAGAACCAATACCATGTTATCAAGAGCTGAAGATAGCTAGGAGATAGACCATGCCTCTCTCTCAGTTGCGCTCTAGTCCCCTCTGCGATTACGCCTTTTTGGCCATCAATCCCTTTGTACTGCCTCGGTTCTGAGCTTCCCGGCGACGTGAAGCCATCATATCAGTTATTTTCAGACCGTTCCCACATATCGATCCCAATGTCGGATACCGCTACTAGAGAAGGGCCTCTCGATATCGCCATTGTTGGCAGTGGTATTGTCGGAGTTGTGCTTGCAGTCGGCCTCATACGTCAAAAAATAAAGGTCAAGGTCTATGAGCAAGCCCAAGGGTTTCGTGAGATCGGTGCCGGCATGGCATTTACCGCCAACGCAAGGCAATGTATGGATCTGATCGATCCCACCATTACCGTAGCGCTTAGAGCAAGCGGATCAGTCGCGACTTCAAGCGGCGACGAGCAGGATCCAGATCCAAACGACTATCTTCGGTGGATCGATGGGCATAATCAACGCCGCAAGGATGACCCTTCTTATCAGAAAATGCTCTTCAAAATTGATGCAGGGTACAAAGGCTTTGAGGGATGCCGTCGTGACCGCTTTTTGGAAGAGCTTGTAAAAATTTTACCTGCAGACGTGATCCAGTGCAGGAAGCGCCTAGACACTCTTGAAGAGAAGGAGGGTGGTGGAAAGATTCGCCTGATATTTTGTGACGGAACGACAGCAGAAGCTGATGCTGGTAAGCTTGTAACCGGAGTCAGTTTTACTTCTGCTCTCGTGAATGATCACTGATAGATCGTTTCTCAAACGCTGCAAGTCATTGGATGTGACGGGATCAAGTCACGTGTGAGAGAGATTATTCTCGGAGAGGGAAATCCAGCATCATACGCTCACTATACACACAAGATCGCCTATCGTGGCCTGATCCCCATGGCCAAGGCGATTGAAGTGCTGGGAGAGTACAAAGCCAGGAACCAGCACATCCACGTTGGACCTAACGCGCATCTCATCCACTACCCGGTCGCCAACCAAACTATGATCAACGCCACAGCCTTTGTCTCGGACCCCGAAGAATGGCCTGACGATAAACGAACGGTCGCGCCCGCTATTCGGAAAGACGTCGAAGATGCATTTGAAGGTTGGAGCCCTTGCGTTCGTGGGCTAGTCAGCCAGCTCCCAGAGAAACTCGATAAATGGGCGGTATTCGACCTGTGGGACTATCCCGCTCCATTCTACAACAGAGGTAAGATATGTCTTGCTGGTGATGCCGCCCACGCTTCCAGTCCTCACCACGGTGCTGGCGCGTGTATGGGCATCGAAGATGTGCTATGCCTTTGCACCCTGATGGGAGAAGCGCGCGTTTTGATCCAGAAAGCCCCGACAATCAGAGATCAAGCTTTGATCTCGGTATTCGACACGTTTAATTCTGTTAGACGCACGAGGAGCCAGTGGCTTGTGAACAGCAGTCGAAGGGTTTGTGACCTATATCACCAGCCAGAATGGGCCGACCCGGCAAAGTGGGTTAAGGCTGAGACCTGCTTTGAAGAAATCAAGGACCGGTCGCATAAAATATGGCATTTTGACTATAATGTGATGTTGCAAGAAGCTACCCAGGGGTATAAACAAAGCCTGGAGGCATTAATTGGTGCAGTAAGTGGCTTATGAGACTGGGGATAAATATGGCCGAAAATACGACTGGTCGCTGTTCTTTCGAATGAGTTCTTGTAGTAGATAAGATCGCGTACTCCGTGTCGAAGATAGTAATTGAAACCAATTTCAATTTGTTAATTGCGCCATATAAAGGCCATTCGACCCTCAAAATATAAAGCACGCGGAGCAATACAACCCTGTTTAGGCGTCGCAGGAAGTTGCAACAGACTTCACATGCGAAAATTAGTACTGGATCAAGGATCGGCCAAGATTCACCGTAATAAAAGAAAGAAATGGAGGATAGGGGAAAAGAGCTCTCCCTATTCCGGCTCTGGAGGTAATTTGCATACCCCACTCCAATCCAGGCTCTCAGCTAGGTGACTGAGTCGACGCGACTGATCGCTGTTATTGCTGAACAGCTGCAGTGATGATGCCCTCGAGCATGTCTATTGCCCAGTTCGGGTCCCAGATCCCAGGTGGCACAGCCCAACAGCTCGCAAACGCCTCGAGCAGCTCACGAAAAATCTGCGGACACCGGCTGATTGTCTCTTGACAGGCTCACACAAAAGTGCATGGCTTTGACGACGTCGGTCAAACAAAGCGCTTGTGCTGGCTAAATTTAGCGATGATTCACGTGATGATGCTGGCTTTTGAGAGTTTGTACGCAGACACGACGTTTTTCCGCGGCAACATTCAACAAATCTCCAGGAAGCACCGAGATCAGTTTGTGCCCTGTTGTCCTCTCATGAGGCATTTCCCGGCTTTCTGTTTCATGGCTCGCGGAACAAAAGTGCGGCCTCATTAACTAGTTAGTTAAGATACGGGTTTACTTGTTCCCGAGACATACGAGAAGCACGGCCCATGATGAAGGCTGCACCGAGTTGAATCCCTCCTCTCTTTCTGTTAAACCCTATACAGATGTAAGGGGTAGTGTTATGTCATAGAGACCAGGGGAAAAAGCCAGAATGCGAGATTGAAGTATATTTAGCAGTGGGGGGAAGGGGGTGCGGAGGGATCTCGGAGCTTCAGTTAAACCGCGGAGACTGGTCACCATGATGTTCAGGCAGCTGTCGAGATGTTGCTGAATTTGCGCAATGATGCAAAAAGAGATACACTATCTAGCCTCCTGAGAGAGAGATGGATATAAAAGTCCATTCCCGTACTCCTCCAGGATCGAGTTAACCCTAATATTGTCCTGTGTTTTCGTCCCAACCATCATTGATGAATAGACATTTAAGTCCCTTACTGGCGTTGGTTGGCCTTCTTCAGAGATGCAGCTCTCTGTCGTGATCCTGAGCGTGCTCGCCTATCCTCTTGCTTTGGCGGCTGACATATTCAGCCCAGATTCATATGCCGCTGGCGATGTGATCTTTCGGGATTTCGCCATTATTGGCGGCGGAGCGGCAGGAACATACGCAGCAATCGGCCTGCGAGATATGAACAGATCTATTGCTTTGGTCGAACGCTCAGGAAGGCTGGGTGGCCATGCGGTCACTTATACCGCTCCCAAGACTGGCGGAACGGTCGACTTTGGAGTGCAACTGTACCTCAACAACACCCTCTGCCGCAATTTCTTCTCACGACTCAACACTCCCATAGCAAACGCGTCTTTTGACTTTGCCGGAACGCCCGTTTATGCCGATTTCGCCTCGGGAGCTGTCTTACCAGACTTCCAGATACCCCCTCTCGGCCCCGATTATGTCAATGAGCTCAACAAGTACCCATATCTCGAGAACGGCTTCAATTTGCCAGACCCTATCCCCAAGGATCTGCTTCTGCCATGGTCGCAATATATACAAAAGTATAACATCAAGCAATCGGTGCACGCCACCCTTGCGCGACCCGCAAACCCGGGAAATCCGCTAAGTACCCTTGCGATGTACGTCTTCAACGACATAAACCATGTCATGCTGGCTGAACACAACGGGCTTGCAATCGTAAACGCCAACCATGACAACTCCGAGCTCTACCGGAACGCCTTGGCGGAGCTGAGACCAGACGTCCTGCTGGACTCGACCGTTCTCTTCGCCCACCGGTCAAGAAGAAGAAGAGGTGGCGTCAGTCTCGTTGTGAAAACTCCAGCCGGCAATAAGCTCATCATGGCCAAGCAACTTATCATCGCTATGCCGCAGATCCTCGACAACATGAAGTATTTCGGCCTCGATCAGCGCGAGGGAAGAATCTTGTCGCAAATCAGCGGTTCCCCATACTACGGCGGGGTGATAAACAACACCGGCCTCTCTACGGATTACAATTATCACAACGTCGGCGCCAATACTTCTTATCACGTCCCTGCCTTGCCAAACGTCCCAGTCATCACCCCGACCCACGTGGACGGTCTATTCTACTACTGGTACAACCCTGGAGAGCCGGCAACCAGGGACCAAGTGCAAAGGGCTGTGACAACTACGATCAAGACACTACAGAGAGCCACCAACGGCACAACCACGGCAGAGCCTGAATTCCTCGACTTTTCAGATTTCTCACCATTGCGCCTTGATGTGTCATCTCAGAGCATCACCGGCGGCTTCTACAGGGACATGTACGGCCTGCAAGGGTACAGTAACACATGGTATATCGGCACATTGTTCGTCGTCGGTTCCAGCCAGGTGTGGAACAACACTGCGACTATGCTGCCGAGCATCGTGTCGGCCGCGTGGTGATGGACATAAGAGCCTTTCTGCAGTTTTTCAACGTTGGGATCCGCATAGAGCGCACGACATTTGTAGGAATGTGCTATTCGCAAAGGTGCTGGAAGCTGGTGCCATGTCTTAGCAAGTAACGATTACCATGACCAACCTTGTATGTACTTATTATGGGCAACAATCTTTGTTTCTAGAATGTTTGAATATGGAATACAAGTTAATAGCTCACTTTAGGTGGGGTGGTTGGCCGAGTGGTAAAGGGCCAGCCTGGAATCCTTCTGAAGTAGGTGTTCTGTTGATTGGGGAGTCGACCACACTGAACAGAAGGTTGTGAGTTTGAATCTCACCTTGACCAAAAAGAAATCTTTACCATGGGGGATCCCATCCCCTAGGGGGACAGGTGCTATCTTGTTGGTGGTTATAATTGGTTGCTATGGATCAGGAATATACATGAGTTAGGTATGAGATGTACTGGGCCTGTGTGGTTTACAAGATGATCCACTTAATTATGTACTTACTTTCTATTGATTTGCAAATGTCAAGATGTGTCAGTTACACCCAAGGTTTTGAGGGTTTTCCCTTGGGGCATGGCTCCAATCAGGAGAATGATGTGAGTTGTAAGGGGCCTCATGGCCTCCCCTGGGAATCATGTGCAGTTTGAGCTTAGTTAAACGGAATGACTTAACTGAAGTCCCCACATCAAGGAGGACACATGCCTGTAACTAGTTGACAGATAGTGTGGCCTTCATAGTCTCTGACTGCATAAGGCCTATGAAAAATATGATATACACACACACACACACACACACAAAATAGCTCACTTTATAGTTCTTAGTCCTCTATGATTAATAATTGAGAAGATGTCGATCACACCTCATACTCCGAGAGCAGTTGAGGGCGTGGAGTGTTCGCATGCTTCCCGCAGCCGTCGGTCATGCTGTTTAGCCGGGCACTCTGAGCTCAGGGTTTCCGCACCAATGTACAGTTCCTATAATAATCAGGAGGGAATTTCGATTATCCCAAGATGCTACAATCATACTATGCCCATAGTCGCGCAGGAGGCAGGCCGCTTTGTTAATCTGCTTGACAGATGCCATAAACAAAGCCACTAAAACATTGTCATGAGTATCCAGATGTTTTTGATTGAAAGGCGGCCAATTTATTGCAAATAGCTATCTAACACGTTTGGTCTTGCAGTGAGGTCGCGGAAGAACATGCTGAATGGAGGGAGATATTTAAATACATCGACTAACCACTATCATTTCAACGCAATGTCTGAACAAAACACCCAATGGTTTTGCGGCGATGATTTTATCTCAGCTACATCCGCACCAAATTCCTAATGCTCCAGTCGTTTTTGACGAACATTGATCTTTCTGCTATCTCTCTTCCCTTGGTTGTACGCGTTCGGGTCGCGCACACCAGCTCTTCTTGTATTGCGCTGGCTTAATTTGACACCCTGCTCTTGTAAAAACTCATCAGCAACTTGGCTTGCTGTCTCCTGGAACCTGATCAATTGTGTTTCGGACGACCATGCTACAGGTAAATTCTGCAAAGCGCTCATGTCGTCCGGGTCGGACGGTTCCTTTTTCACGAGTTTCGCCATCTGCTCATCCCAATCCCCAAGGACATTAATGGCCTCATCGTCCTGCATTGAGAAATCGGCTTTGATGTCCTCATCAAATCCAGTCATTGACACATCGCCCAAAGAGACTCCCTCAAATTTTGTGGGGCCACCCTGATCATCCTCTTCGTCGCAATCATCGTCGCTATGGTGAGCTTTGTAAGGGGCTTCACCGCTGTCCTCCGCCAACCGTGATGTTCCAGTCGGATTCCCATCAAGCTATTCGGAAACTCCAAGCCGCCCTAATTCTTGTTGCCGATGTTGCTGCTCACGGAGTTCCTCAGTTGCCAGACGTTCAGCCTCTTCCTTCTGAGCACGCGTAGCTTGCAGCGTCTTGTCTTCTCACGCGATACACAGAAGACCGCGTGCTGCGCCCATGCTATAGCTGTAGGCCGAACTCCCACCTTTCTGATCACATGCCCAGTTTGATATTAGATTGTAAACCATCTCGAAAGCCATGGCAGCAGAGACAGTATTCTGGGCAATACCATAGAACGTCCATCTGATATACCACATCCCTTGAGTAGAATAGTGTTTGCAATCAAAAAAGGTATCCATTGCATGTGCAACAATGCTAACAAAACCTTCATTGTTCGGTCTTGCATTTAATTGACGCGATTTTCTAATCTCAACAATGCTTTGGCCCCCATGCTTGTGCAGCCCATCATCTTGCTTGTCGTCCGCGTTCAGCACGTCAAGCATACTTATGTTGTACTGTGTCATGAGCTTTGACGACAAAAAGAGCGCCGCCTTAGCCTCAGCTTCAGAAGTATTCGGATGATTGGCTTTTTGAATACACTTCCTCAGTCGTTCAACCACGCGATCGTCAACATCAAGCTTCGGAGCAGAACAGCGCTGGTCCGCTAATTCCTTAACTTCCGCTTTCTGGAGGGGTGTCCGTCTTTTACGGCTCCGTTTCGCTGTGGTTGCTGCCGTGGTCGTCGATGGGCTTGTAATATTAGGGTTGCTAACATGGTTTTGATGCTCTGCTCCGAGGAGTGCCATTGAGTCCATGATTATCCCTTGCGCATACATAGGGGCCGTCACTGAGTGAGGTCGCCTGGGATCATACTCTTAGGACATATTCAAAAGATAATCAAGAGAACTAAACTGCCTATTTGAAATGAACTGGCGCTCGGGTATTGGCAGAATGGCAGTCTTCTCCTGAGATTCTTCAGTTTCCATTCAAGAGCGGCTTTCAGTCTGGCTTGACAGTCCTAGACGAGGAACGGAATTGGGGAGTGCATACCTATTTGTATTCCTTCAATGAAGTCCTTCCTTTCACTGAGTTATTCTCAGATTGTAATGGCAGAGTACCTGTAAAAGCAAAGCAAAAGCAAAAGGGATGGTTCAGAAATGATAACTAAAGAGGGGTCTCAGCTGTAGGTGATGGTCGCTGCCTGTGTTGTCGACCTTTTAGCATAGCAACCAAGATGCAGTAATGATTGGTTGCTAAGGCCAATAGGCCTACAAGGCACTTGAGACATGGGAGGGCAGGACATCAACATCTCTCATCACTACAAATCATCACCAGCTACATCACAGAAGATCTCAGTCTTTGAGAACAAAGTCTGATCTGATAGAGAAGATGTGACTTTCTTCAGTCTCTATCATATTTTAACAAACATTTTCATTTGTTAGTTAGACTCTAACAAATATCATTGGGGATTGACTCTCATGGTACTGGGAACTATCCCATGGGTATTTTCTGATAGCTCACAATTGACTAGGTATGCAAAGATTCCCCTGTAGATTGATGGAGCCAACCACCTAACTAGTTAATTCTTAGATCACATGGGGGAGGGTAGCCCTCAGCCCATCATGAACTTGAGCATCAGGCCACATACATCTAGTCCCGCGACAGAAGGAATTGGGCAATCGCATAAGCTTTACTGAATTGATGATTCTGTAAGAAGGTGGGTGACTGGTGGGAAGATGATGATTGGGATAGGGGAGGCAGAGGGTGAGGTGAGGTGAGGTTGAGGACGATGCCCACAGGTGAGAAACCAACTAACTAGTTAACTAACTAGGTACAGCAGCCTATAGCATTCAATCTAGGCTGGGTCCCAACTCCAACCAGGGAGTTGAATCAGAGTCAAGAGAATGTCAGTCAGACCATGCTAGGATAAACCAATGTCAGCATCAACCAGATGGAGAGAAATCTGCGTATACAACCTTCTAATACTTTTAAATGGAGTGGAATAACCATTTTCCAGTTTGAAGAGATGGAATATTCTGCCTGGGCACCATTACACTTCATCCAGAAGACCTGTATACTCCGTGCTCCGTACTCCGTACTACTATGAAGGAAAACATACCCACATGCTCCTTCTCAGGGTCAACTGTGGCTGGGAGTCTCAAGATGAGATGATTATGGATCTTGACAGGCATCCATAACAGAATTTCTAGCCTGCATCTCCCTGAATTAATGCTCAGAACTAGTAGTCTATATATATTTGATAAAGCAAAGCAGTGTCTTCTTCTGATTCTGATATATATGTGTCTACACAGTGCGTACAGAACTAATGCAATTAACCAACTAAAGAAGATCACATTTACTAAGTACAACATGAAGCTTAACATTCAGGAAAACAGCAGGTTATTTTGAGGTGTTTTTTTGCGGAGGGGTGCCGGAGTAACCAGGTTATTTGGGGGGCGTGGCGTTATAACATTTGATAACAACCCCCTTGATAAGGCTATCACTATCTGTAGCATCCAGGCTTCTCCGCGCAGCTCCCCCATCCATACAATCCTCATTGACGACTCAAGCAGACGACACCAGCAAGTCCACCTCCGACACGCCTCGCACTCGCAGCCGGCCATTCCTCCCAATGCCACCGCTCACCTCACACCCGGCCACCCCAACCCCCGCAGAGCAAAACACCTTTCCCTTCCCCGCGCCGCACTCCTTTCCGCCCTTCTTCACCCTCCAGCCCAACGCTCAAACCCTTCTCTCCCAGCTCCAAAAATGGTCCGCCCTCATCCAAGCATACTGCCGGCATCACCGCCTCTACCGTCTCTCCCTCGTCGATGCCCTCGATTCCCCACTGTTTCACAACAAGCAGATCCGCAAACGGCTGAGCCTGGTGGACGCACGGAGGATTGTGGATTGGATGTGCGGTGCGCAAGGCGGTCGGAGAGCGGAGTGGGTTGGTGGTGAGGCGGGAGGGAAGAGCGTAGCGTGGATCTGGTGGCGGAGACCTGAGGAGTGGGCTGGCGTGATTGCTGACTGGGTAAGAATTCGTTTCGTTCTTCTTTTTTGGATCTTTTTATGCTGATGATTTTAATGGCGCTGTAGGTCGAGGAAACAGCGCAGAAGAACACTGTTCTCACGCTTTACGAATTGACAGAAGGGGAGGCTACGATGTCGCAGGAGTTCCATGGCATGGATCCAGATGTGCTGCAGAAGTCGTTGCATGTTCTGGTAAAACGCGGGAAGGCCCAGGTGTTCGGGAATGAAGACCAGCAAGGCGTGAAGTTCTTTTGAATGATATACGATCTTCCGTTGATTACAGCGGAAGATGGATCCTAACGACGAAGCAGAGACCTTTTATCAATGCCTGCCATACAAATATCACAAAATAAGACCTTGGCCACGGTCAACGGTGATATGATACAATTCATCTAATCAACAGTTGCCTCGGCACACGCCGGTGTGTGCAGGGATCTTAACATAACCAGGATCAATTGCCGGATGCTGCCAAATCTTCTTCCTTCCACTCATACTCATCTTTCCACCGCCACTCCTGCGACATTGCAATCTCCAACAGCCAATCCGTGCGCACAATCTTAGGGACTTTTCTTGCGTCTTGGACCATTGTTCGAAACCTCGGCCAAAGTTTCACATGGCTTTTGTCGCCGCCGCTGATGAGATATACCTCTTCCTTGTGTGCCTCTCCACCATCCGCACCGCGACGCCCGGCAATCGTTAGCGGCCGCCCCCGGTACATTGCGCACTGTCCACCGTTTGTCTCGATGATAGACTTAAATACGTCGAAACCGCCGTGTATCGTTTCAACGCAGAATATCGTTCGACCCTGGAGGAGTCTATTCTGATTCTTTTCAGCTCTCCGCAGTGCTTGGTCGAGAGAGAACTCGTATTTTTTCTCTGACTTCTTGTCACGCAGTTTGTATTTATTCGGGTCGAGCAGTTCATCCTTCTTGACACAGTCGGTTATGAAGTCGCAATTTATGATCTTCGGCGCGTATGCAAGGGCATTGACAAATTTTTGGGTCTTTAGGATAGATGGGGCAGCGAGATGTGTGCATTTCGACGCATCTTGGACAACCATGATTCCAAGGTCACGTAGAATACGCTAATGTACGGGTTAGCAACAAGGAGCCCAAACAACTTTGCTGCGAATAGGGAACCGAAAGACAAACCCTGTCATTATCCTCCTGTCTCGCATTTCCCACCCATGGAGAATATCCCGTAATAAGTAAATGCATGGACACCTGTGGTCTAGTCTTTTTTTGCTTTTTGGTCTCCGTATCTGTGGTCTCATCGGGCTCAATGGACCGTTTTCTCGATACGACCGCGCCATCGTCGCTCTTCCTTCTACCACCATAAATAACTCCGCCGGCTCGCCGTTTCTCCCTCTCATAGAGAATCATATCCGGTGCGAGGTCCTGTAGGCGTGCTGTCGCAACATCTTTAGACTTTCTGCTTCCAGTGGTGGATGGGGTGTCGTTCTCTTTTCCTTCAGCAATGGACCGAGATACATGGGGTGTTTGGAGCGAGAGGCGATCCCTTTTAGTCGTGGGCTTTGATTCTTTCGTTCCTTGCGGCGTGGAAGATCCTAAAGTAGATAATTGTTTTGCAGTAGTTGTCTTTTCAGGTTGCTTTTTCACGTTGCTCACAGACACATTGTTTTCCTTCTGCTGCACAACGCTCGGCGGCGTGTTTTTGTTCGTCGCTGCATCTTCTTCACGGGGAAAGAAATGTTCTTCAATGGCAAACTTGTCAATCTGTGTCTGACCTACAATCTCGCCGAGATTGGTTCTTTGGGGAAAATGCGTATATCGAGGATTGGTAACAGTCTGCATCTGCCACTTTGCGTAACTATCCTCAAGCCATAGATGGTTCACAACGTGGAGATTCCATTCTCGGGCTGCAGTGCATTTTTCACTATTCCCATGTGCTGTGATCAGATGCGTGTTATCTTGTCTTAGAGACTTTGTGCATTCGGCACCGGCAGCAACAATGAGATTTTCCAAGTATATTCGCGCTTCGCCTGAATAATTCGACAAACTGATTTTCAATCCGTTAAATCCAGGGATACCGGATCGGGAAACCGGGTAATGAAGTAGTCGACGGAGTGGAGATATCCAGGTGTTCCGTGTGATGAGATGGTATAACCATGACAAGTTGCCAACCTCCTTTCCTGCTCTGGAGGCAACCTGATAATCCTCGCCCTCGCGATAGCGGCCGACATAAATGTCTGCACTACCGACCTCATACGCAATCCTACCGCCGCCTTTCACTATTAACGTCTCAAGACATTGAAGCAGGCGTTCTCCAATCTTCAAGTCGCTAGATATCATCACGCTTTTCCCGTCAAATACATTCAAATCATCCCGCACTTCGTCCGCTGAAAGCAAATATCTTGGTTCTGGAGTAGAAGCGCCAATGATATCTTTGTTTGTTGTTCCTTTTATGGGATCATCGCAGCGAGCGCTGAGAATTTCGGGGTCGGGAAGCATATACGGTCGTTCGTCTATTCTCTTACCCAATTTTAGGCAATCATCGAACCTAACTCACTTAGACTTATCAGGCAATTATGCATATGAAATGGGCCTTACCAATGAGGAAGCACTATCTTTAAATTACTTAAGCGTCCAGCGGCTTGTCGGCACTTGTCGGTATCCATATTCAACGCAACAAGGTGCGTCGTACTACTCGTAAGTCTAGCTGTATAGAGCCCGCCCATCGCTAGCACTCCACCAATAATCGCATCCTTGTCACCTTCTGGTATATCCGCACAGCTAACGAGGACGTCATTCAAAAAAAGTCTTGGGTCGGGATTATATTGTCGAGGATTTGCGAGCTTGTTTTTGGAGGCAGAAGCGTGAATCCATTGCGGCTTAACAACGGGAATCAGCGCGTCACATGCAGAATCGTGACCGGGAAAGTCAATGGTGGAAGAAACAAGGTGCGTAAATTCGCTGATTGGGGGTAACGGCGTAGGCGACTGATGGATGACTACTTCACCTCCACGCTCCTCGATTGTAGATGACAGCTATAGGCAACTATTAGTTCGATAGGCCAAATTAAAATCTGAGCGTACGTACTTTGGAGGCGACATCGTTGTCAAGTTTGTGAGAGCGGATGATACATATTCTGGTTTGTGAGAAGAGCCCGCCTTCAATATGGGAAGGTTGATCTGCCATGATTTTCGATGCGTAGATAGGCAAGGAGTGAGATAAAATGGTAATTTGAAATATAGATAGCTTAAATAACAATTATCATAGCGGCATATCGGGAAATGACGGAATCTGTTCAGCGAAACCGAAGAGCACCAAAAGGTCTCGACATTGGTGATGATGTTGATCCGCCGCTGGCAAACGTGACGGGTCGACGCGTCCCAAGCAACACCAGATCATGTGATATAACTAATTAAACGGCATTGATGACTAATAATATCTATGCCAAGCTCAGGACTCGGCGCTGGATGCTGTCGGGGCCGGCATTTCAGCCTCGGCTCGTTGCCAGCCGTACTCCGTAGACGGGGCGGAAAGCTGAAGAGGAGGCGGGTTCGGCATGGGGTGAGAGCAGTGATAGCTACATCATCAAGGACAGAGACCTGTCTCAGGAGCCCGGGATATATGCAAGCGGAAACAGAGATCTGAAGTTGCGATGGCTTCCACCACTTTTCCCTTCCGTGTTGTTGAGCACGTCACCCCGTGCCAACACATTCGGGAATACCCCCGGGCGACGAGCACGACTCAAGAGGAGACGCTGCACCTCTCTGTGAAGCAGTACATTCCGCTGGACAACCCCAGTCCGCAGCCCGGAGATGTCACCATCATTGGAGCGCATGCGAACGGGTTTCCGAAGGTGAGGCGCCCCTGCGCGTTTGCCTGTCGCTACACCGAGCCTGACATTATTAAATAGGAATTATACGAACCCCTTTGGGAGGAGCTGTTGGCACGCTCTAAATCAAATGGATTTCGAATTCGGGCTATTTGGATTGCAGATGCTGCACACCAAGGAAACAGCAGCGTGCTAAACGAGCACGCCATGGGCAATGATCGTATGAAGACCCATTTCGAATAGTAGACCTATCACTAATGCACAGGGTAGCATCATGGTTCGACCATCCTCGAGACCTTTTGCATTTGATCAACATAAAAAGGGAGGAAATGCCTCGTCCGATAGTGGGCATTGGTCATAGTATGGGCGGCGGGCACTTGTTCGTTTATCCCAGTTGACTTCATTCGAGGAAGAGTCCCTAATATTTCTTATGTAGGGTGGCCCTGTCTACCATCCACCCCCGTCTCTTCACGACCATCATCCTCATGGACCCGGCAATTCAAAACCTCAAGTCCTATATCTCCGACCATACCTTCCACACCAAGGGGACTAACATCCCCACCACCACCCGTGCATCCACCTACCGGCGAGATCTCTGGCCTTCGCGCTCCGCCGCCGCCGAGATCCTCCGCAAAAGCAAATTCTACCAATCCTGGGACCAACGCGTCTTCGACCGCTGGATAAAGTATGGTCTCCGCGAACTGCCCACGGCCATCCACCCCCTGGACTCACAGTCCCAAACCCTACCGCCGGGCCAGCGCCCCGTAACCCTAACGACAACCCTCCACCAAGAGGTCTTCACCTTTTCCCGCCCAAAGTACTCCATCGCCAACTCAGACCGGGAAACCCAGCGCCTCACCCATCCAGACATCTCCCTTGACGTTCCTAATAGCCACCTCTTCTACCGCCCGGAATCACCACGCATGTTCACGTTCCTCCGCTACCTGCGTCCCAGCGTATTCTACATCTTCGGCGAAAAATCTGACATGAGTAAACCCGAATTCTGCCAGGAGAAGCTCGAAACCACCGGAGTCGGGGTTGGTGGGAGCGGAGGAGCGAAAGAGGGCAGGGTTGATGCATATACCCTGAAGAAAGTAGGTCATTTAATCCCGATGGAGGCAGTAAAGGACTCAGCAGAGCTGAGTGCAACGTGGCTGGGGAAAGAATTGGAGCGGTGGAGGCGAGAGGAGGAGATTTTGTGGAAGCAGTGGGAAGGGAAGAGCAAGGTGGAGAGGATGACCATTGATGACGAGTGGAAGAAACACATCGGGCCGCCACCATCAAGGAAGAACGGGAACAATAAAAAAGAAAAGAGAGCACCGAAGTTATAGACGCCGTATATATACATGCCTTGTATAGCTAAGCCTAGACATATAGAGAATACAAAGATATCTAGCATACACCCTTATTATAATCCAATGATGTTTCGTCTAGTCAGCATCCGAGGCGGTTTAGGGGCCGTAGGCTTAAAATACCTATTAGGGCGCACCCTTCTCCAGTTACACCATCCATACCTATTCATATCTTCAACGCAAGGCAAGAAATCGCGTTGGGTGCTCCCTTCAGAAGGGGAAAAAAGTTGCATAAGACTCTTTATGATACTACAATGACTTTCTCCCATGGCCGTGTGCAAAATTCAGCGATCACCAGCTGAAGAGGATGTTGATCCGCCTATATGACACATTCTCATTCTCGATTCCCAGGCCTCGCAAAAGCCAATTCCCTGACATTCAGCTACCCTTTCTTGATTCGATTTTGAATAGAATCTTCGTCCGATGGACGTACATTCATCCCACCGGATCTACCATGAAACTTCCACCGCTTACAATCGCAACCTATATGGAAGTATGGGCCTCTTGCATCAGACGGGGAAGACCAAATTTTCCAAAAATGGAAGTCAAACAAACTCTTCAAAATTAAGATTCTAAGAAATGTCGGCACTGTCTTGGCCACCATCCAAGGTGGCATCCCGGAGGAGCTGCTCTCACTACAGTGCGGGTCTTTCAATGTCTACCTATGCGTGAAGTTTTGCAGATGGTGGTTCCGTAGTCATCTAGTTTCCAATGCCCAGACACACCCATGTTTCCGGAAGAGAAATTGAAGTGAGAAGTCTCGGTGATGTGCTTTCTGGAAAGACACACACTGTCCGCCGGATGAATCATCTGTCCACCCAATAGAACAATACTATCGCTGAAGGGTGCAGATATACAACGTGGCTTATAAGCTTGCCTGAGAACGTTGACTCTGCATATGTAATCTTAGCCCCTTCAAACTATTCTGTGACAATTTCTGCATAACAAACATTCTTACCAATGCTGAATTCAAGCTTGCAGGGACAGCCAACTCAGAGTCCACTCATGCTGTGTCAGCAGAATTTGCTCAAAGCCCGTCTTACTGACTGCTTCTTGAATGTCCTGGATATTGACCGGATAGATTTGATGATTGGTCCCAGACTTTAAGGAAGCTTGAGAGAAGGAGGAGACAGCTATCCAGCATGGTAGATATCAGACAACAACACTCTCTTCAGAGATATAAAAGCGAGCTGGGTGTCTGATACGGTCTACTGGGTCATGACTGACAAACGATTATTTGGCGCTGGAGACACTGGATACCAGTTCCACTTGTTCACAAAAGAGGAGAAGGACGAAAGAAAATTGGCTACGAAGGGGGAGTGCATGTTGAAAGACTGGGGCTCAGTCACAGTGCCCATGAAGTCGGTATTGTAGCTTGTAAAGTGCGAAATGAGAGTGTTTCTGCATTTGGGAAGATCGGCTTTAACCTCACTGCATTCCATGATATCGATGCTCCACAAGAGCGGGAGCCCAGAAAACCGAGAAGTTCTCAGCTAAAAAAAATAGATACTCACGACGAAACATCAGGGGCAGAACAGGTACTTTTTGTTTTGGGAAGACCCATCTATACATGTAGTTACTCGCATCAGCAAACGTGGGAGAAAGGTGAAATTCAGTATTCAAACAATTTTCACAAGAAAAAAGTGGAAGTGATCTTTTCTAGCCCGGAGCAAAACTGCAAAACAAATCTATACTAAGGGAGGTACTCGAACCCAAATCCGAAAAGAGAAAAAGAAAAAAAAAAGGGAACATGTTACTCTAATCCGTCCGATAAACCATCAGATTCAAAGAAGATAGGTATCTAACATCAAGAGAGATGTGAAGAAAAGGTGTAACATGGAAGAGTTTAATGGGTCTTTATCGCGGCCGTTCCGTTCAAATGGACGGGCTTTGGGATCTCTTTCTCGACACGGACAACGTCAGGCCAATTGTAGAACCGTGGCCAATACAGTTCATACTCGTCCTGGCGGCCGTTAAGGCAGTGCCGGAGCCAAATGCCCCAAATGATATAAATGTATGCACCAGTTCCGGTCAGAAGATGCCTAGAGATTGTAAATTAGCATTGAATGCACCCGTCGTTGAGGTTCAGATCGACAAATACATACCACCATCCATGGCCTTCGAGGAGGATACCCCACGGAAGACCGATGCTCCTGCGCCAGCCTCTAAAAGTGGAGCAATAGTGGTTGTCGAGGTTCCAGATCAAAAAGCCGGTAAGGAACGAAGTCAACCCAAACACAACCATGAACCACATGGTGTTCAGAATTTTCAAATCTCGGGTGTTCTGGGAGAGTTGAACGTCTCTCGAGGAGCATGGGTTCGAGCCTCCGTTGACGTGTGCTGATGCACTCAGTGCGCGGGCCCTGCGCCATTTTGATCGGAGGGTTACCTCCATTAACCACATACTCCGAAGGACAACCACGACTGTCAGTATGGCGTAGGCATTCTGGTGGAACCTTGGATCCTGGAGATAATGATAGTATGCGGTGATGAAAATAGATAGACCGAGAAGACTAGAGCCGAGTATGGCGCGGGCCTTTGTAGATTTCGAGAAGGAAAAAGTGGCGTAACACATCAAGCACGTGGTATAAATCATGGAGAGTTCATCGACGAGCTGCATTGGGTCTAGTCAAGCGAGGTTAGCGGATGGCTTGGGAATGGGGATAGGAAGTTCAAGGGGCGAAAGCGCACATTTCAATGTAGAATGGAAGAGCAAGCTTCCAAGGCCGACGATAAAGTAGCCGATGAAAGCAATCTGAAAGATGAAATCATGGCCATTTTTTCGACAGCTGATGATTCCCTTTACTCCGAGAAAGAGAAACAACGCATTGGTCAAGGAGTTGACGATCTCGGCAAAATAGATGGTGGCATAGTAATCCTAAGTTGCAAATGCATACTGTCAGTCGACGCGCCCTGAACAAGATTATAAACGCGAGGATACCGGAAGTTATTTCTTACCTCCTCACACCAGTTGAGAGTCGAGGTGACGGGACTCCAGAAACCTGTCCGAGCAGGCGGGTATGGAATATGGAACATTTTCAAGTGAGGAAGAGCTAGACTGTTGATCCCTGCATCGGCCGGGAACGTGCGGAGCAAGAAGCAGGGATGGCACTGGGCAAACGAGCGAAAGGAGATATCTACCGAATAAAGCAAAAAAAAAAAAGGCACGAGAGAGAGAATAAACTGAGGGAAAGGATAATAAATTGTTCCTTTTTAAGAAAAAGAGAGCAGGATTACGAGGCGAAAAAGGTTCGTGGGGATGGGGAAAATTGAAGAGGCTTTAACGATGGATGATGGACCTGTGACGTATTGCGTGGACTGGCCTCTGACAAGATGACACTCGGGGTGACAGGGGTCAGGAGGGGAGAGCAGCAACGAAGACCAAGGCAATGGTCTTGAAGAGTCACGTATGGGAGGAGGAGAAGAAGAAGAAGAAGAAGAAGAGAGCGTGTGTGAGAGACAAAGAGAGAGGACAGGAGGAGAGGAAGCAGAGGGCAGCACGTTACGTTGCCCTCGCCGGAGATTCCCTGGTTCGGACGATAAGACCCGATAAGGCAGCCCTAACTGACCCGCCAAGAGCCGACCGTCCCGGACCTCCGCCGCCCAATCGCAGCGCTGCTGACTAAACCCTTCCGAGTTCCGTGCTGGGCGGCGCGTCCTTTTGCTAAAGATAGGCGCTGACGCCCTGCCTGCCTGTCAGCGCCGGTCTCTGCAGGGTCCAGCCCCATGATCTGTCGCTTCTCGACCACCTCGACTTCTGGCGTGCCTCCAGCCGTCCCCGGAAATCGATGCGACAGGAAAGTCGCCCCCAAGGCACCGCATGCACCGACGGCATTTGTTGCCTCCAGGGACGATTCAGTCTGACTTTGTGCGTTCCACGGCTCAGCAGAAGCACAAGAATCCACCCCGCAACAAAGTCCGCCACCTGGCTGAGTGACGAGAGACGGTCGTTGGAGTCGGAGAGCAGATCCCAACTTGAAGAAACCCACTGCCGGTCTCTGCTTCAATATAGGAATGTATACGGAGTAGAGATGAAGGGGGACATGCTTAATACCGTTTCTCCGTTCGTACCAATACTGGTAGTTGAGATGGTAGCGCAAACGGCCTTGAATCCCGAAGGACTATCCACTGAGTGGAAAAGGACTCTCGGTAGTACCGTAAAACGAAGGATTTGCCTGACGTTCTCCAGAAAAAAAAAAGGTAAAAATTCAACAAGATGGCTACGAGTTGAGTTTTCCATCCGAATCATCTTGGCTCTAATGGCAGGGGCAAATGGCATATTAGATCATCAATCTCCATGACTCCCAGAGGTGGTGGTCTGTCTGGCCGGGAAAGACTTGGGAAAAAGGAATGCACCAAGACCGTAACTATGTATGACAGCGGGTTGTTTGTCAAACACAGAGGCTTCAGGGATCTTCCCATGGCATCGCTGGTGACAGGTGCTATCTGCACTCGGCCATGGCCAGGCCTTGTTGAAAAGCCAGCCCATGTTTCGCATCCGAACAGAACCAAGGTGTGGCCAAAACGGGCTAAAAAAGTTTGAACAAAGAATAGTAACGACCAGAGTTACAGTTTGGCAACATGGATCATGGCTTGCTAATGGCGGACGGACCACTGAGAGGAAAAGAGGCTGTCATCTTTTCCAGGGCCGTCATTTCTGGGAGGTTTGTGTTGCGGACAAGGCAGGCCTGGATGTAAATTTTCGGCTCGGAGGAACTTCCCCACGCGTCGCCCTCTTCTCGCCTCTATTCTATCTTCCCAGACATCATAGAGATCAGTATCAGGGGCCGTAAATACGTTGTGCATCACAACCTCACCTCGAAGGAATCCATCATTCACACACCAGAAGTATCTTCACCCCTTCGAGTCTCGGCTGCCCAGGGAACCAACTTGTCCACTTGGAACGCTTGGGCCGGCCCCCTTGTTCATCCGCTCCGAAGTCCTGCCCAATCAGATCCTCACCGCAACCCAGCGACCACTTGACATCACTCGAGCCGCTCGTCGACGGATCAAAGCAACAGAGACGCTCGCCCTCCTGAGAAGAAGTTTCGTTGTCCCTAGCGCTTAACGGTTTCGCAAGAACCCATTTTATCTCTCCAATTAGATCTCCATTTACCTTTGAACCCCCGCCTACCTTTTTCTAGCTACTGCCCACTTCCCCTGTTTCGAAAGTCAAAATGTCCATTCCCAATGAAGCTCTTCAAAAGGTGCGGCCCCTGTCAGGGTCAACACGACACAATCGCGATCAAAGCTCCATCATAGGATTAGTTCTAGCGCTTGCTGACACCTGTGTTGCTACTATTAATAGCTAGTCCAAGAGATCGAATCTCAAGCCATTGCCTCGCAGCAGCAGATCGGCCTGGTCAAGTCCCAAATCACATCAAAGCAGCGAGAGGTACGCCTCCTGGAACTCACTTCGAGCGAGGTGGGCCAAGTTCCGAAGGGAACCAATGTATACGAAGGTGTTGGTAAAATGTACGTTTATGATTTTCAGCCGTTGCCGCCGACGGTGTACCTGAATCCCCTCTTTTCATTCACCAATGTTCCGAAGGCTGATTTGTGGGTGATGCGTGCTTGGCTTTTATAGGTTCGTCGCGACGCCTATCGATAATGTCAATAAACGATTGTCAGATGAACAGAAGGGATTGAAGACGGATATCACGAATCTCGAGAAGAGACTACATTATTTGGAGACGACATTTAAAAATAGCCAGAACCAGATCGAGCAGATTTTCCGGAGTGGCGGGAGATCGTGAGGTGTTGAATCTTCTCCTTTTTTCTTTATAGAAGGATCGTGGACATTTACTGCATATGAAAACCTACGAAGCGTGAGCGCGGCCTCGACAATATTGGGATGGTCGCCTGGGGGAGAAAGCTCGCCCTAGGTCTTAGCTGTCGAGGCAATACTTTGCAATCCGTGAACGTGGGAGTCTCTGCACATATTCTTGTTGGAGCGTGGAGAATTAGATCCATTGAGTGAGATTGAGCGAGAGGTGATTGTTTTTGGCAATCGAATGTGCTGGGCTCCAAGTGGAATGGATGGGACTGTTCCAATGACTTCTGTGACTTCGAGTGCCTGGCATTATGGAGCGTCTCATGAAGCTCAATGTGATGTAGAATGACTATCATTATATATATATATATATATATATATATATATGTGTGTGTGTGTGTGTATATCAATAAAAGAGAGTAAGCTGTATTATAATCTCCGGTGACCGTTGCTATTAAGTAGACTACTCGCGTGACTGATAGAAATCCGAATATCCAACTTTTGCGAGCATGGCCATATAATTTTAAGATAGTATGTTATAAAAACATGAGGGAAGCACTTGCAGACTGGCAGAGGATAGCATAAAGTCGATATGTATGTGGGCATGGGAGGCATACGCCCCTGGAATAAGCCAGCCACTTGAATTAAAAACAGGACTTATATTTGCCAGAAAGTCAGCGGTATATAACCAGACAGCCCTGGTGGCCGAACGGTCGGTCCTTGTGGGTTGGGATTACGACGGGTCTCTCCGAGACACTGCCAGTCGTCCCTCTACTCCCTACCGGAACGCAAGCCTGCAATGCAGCTTCAGGTCAAACCCCCCGTCGAAGAGGCAGTGGGGGGGCGGGCGGTATACGCAGGTGTCAATTTTTGTTGCTGAGTCCTCCAGCATATATTTTTCGTCTATAGAGGCCTTGAACATATGGGTATTGGGGTATCTTATTCATAATATGTGGTGGGTGCTTTGCATGCAGTTGTTTTCGCTGTAGGTACCTGTACCATGGAGCTATGAATCGCAGAGGGAGCTCTGATATGCCGTCCCGATTTGGAAATTGAAATTTGAGCCACTCGGAGGCGCCAAGTTCGAATCTCGCTCTCGAGCCTCGAAAAAAAGGATTACTTTTTATTCCCATATTAATTCACTTCGATCGGAGTACTCTGTACAATTTCTCAATGCAAAAAAATTAAAAATAAGAAAAAGGAAAAGAAGGAAAAAGACTACTAACAGGCTACAACGCAGCCTGCGAAACAACAAAACTAAGCGGCATTATCACATCCAATTTCTGGTTCCTGGTTCGGGACAAGACTCCAATCAAGGAACTCCAAGCTCTCTTTCCAAGGGTCTTGCAAAGCCCCCTGTGGAGCTGGCGGCTCTTCATCCAGGTTTCAAGGCCGTGCCTCAGGGAATTGGGCGTCGAATAATGACATTCGTGCGTTCATGGGGCATTTGATAAGGTAGACACGCAGAGAGATGCATCCCGGACGAAGGAGGCAACATCAAGCTAATGCATTCCGTGATTAGGGTGGTAACCACTCCTTCACAAAGGACGAGTTAATGCACTGCGCAGATTTGCTCGAGCATGTTGGCGGTTAGGGTGAGGGCCAGCTCACCAGCGAATGGCTAAACTGGCACGAGAACATGGCCAGGCGAATGAGACACAACATCCTTTACTCACCAGGTGCGGGATGGTTCAGGCGACCCCTTGCTTGTGATCAGCAGTCGTTGATGGCACAATATGATTGGGAGCTTGAAGAAGCGACGGATATTGCGACGCACTTTCAGGCAAATTCTTGGCCCGCACAGCGATGGCAACGGCTCCACATTCTGGTGGGCTTCCTGACTTGAGCGGTGGTGCTAAATATGTATACAGACCCAGCACGGGGGAGGCTGGGAGAAAGGATTCCTCACGGAGCCGTCGCCTCCCTTCATTCTCAACAGCAAGACTGCTGCAGGATACGGAGTAGACCCTTGAAACATCCTCTTTGAGGAGCCGCCCAACCATCCAAGGACTGCCTAGCTATTCTCAGAAGTCAACGTCCTCTGACGCCGTCTGCTGCCGACAGCGCTGTCCTACGCTGCAATCGGCCCCGCTTCATCCCCTTCTTCCTTGCTCACTGGGCGGCTTCCGTCCATCCAGCCAGCGGCCGACCCTGGCGGCGGCTCGTCGTAATCAAACATAAGAGGCTCTTCGTCCACATATCCGGACAGTCCCCTCTTCGTCCTCAAACCTCCAACATCATAACAACCCCATTTATCGAACTGCTGTGACGTGAAAGGCCTCAGGCATTACAGAAGATTAAATAAGATTCACCGATAAGATATACCCTTCAATTTAACTATAAATAAACGAAGTCCAAGTTCGTTCTTTTTTGCCCTGTTGTTGCGAGCCTGCACGACTTACGAACATCCCACCTTAGACCTTCCAACCTCAACGAGGCACCTATACTATCTTATCTAACGTCAAGTATCATCGCCTATAACATTGTTCCATCCTTTTTCTGTCCCCTGATTTCTCGAATACCAGTTTTTGCTGTTTTTGAGGCCCCCTTTCCCAAATATTTCTTCGTCGCCCCGCTCCTAAATCGCTCTGAAATTCACTACCAAAGAGAGTCGTGGCCGTTGGAAGGATCAGGCCACGGAAACAAAATAGCCAGTCATGCCACGATTCCGAGGTATCCTCGAGTCACCATCCAGCTCGGATACAGATTCAGACTCCTACCAGGAGGACCGATTCCGCCACCATAGACGTCCTGTTGACAGACGTCGTGGTTTCCTCGACATCAAGGCCCCCCGGGTCAGAGCGGCCTCTGTTGGTGATCGCCATAGGGATTCGTCAATCTACATCGGCATCAACAATGAAAACTATTCCAAGTCCCCGCCGCGTCCGCGGAACCGTGCCAGGTCGTTTTCCCGTCGGCGTGATGCAGCAGGTGCCTGGGACGAGGTAGAAACAAACATCCTCCGCGAGCAAAGAGCTATCCGTCAGGAAATCATTGAACGCGATATCCGAGACCGTTATCGTGAGCAAGAAAAGGAGCGGCTGCGTGAGCGCGACCGAGACAGGGACCGGGATCGGGATCGCGACTACGAACGGGAGCGGGAGCGGGAGCGGGAGAAGGAACGCGAGAGGGAACGCGAGAGGGAACGCGAACGGGAACGGCTACGCGAACGTGAGATACTTGAGCTCGAGGCACAGCTTCAATCACAAAGAAGAAAACTCGAGCAATTGGTTGAAGATAGGCTCTGGGAAGAGGCAGAAAGGGAAGAAGAGATCTATCGACGCCGAAAAAGGCGGTGGGAAAAACTAAGGGATAAAGAACTTGAACACGAACAGCGGGAGCGCGAGCGTGAACGAGAGCGTGAACGCGAACGTGAGAGGGAGCGACGTGACCGAGGGCGCGGTCGAAGCCGAAGCCGAAGCCACAGCCATAGCCGTAGCCGAAGCCGGTACAGGAAGGATGCTTGCTGGACCCGTGACGAGATCGCAAACGAGCTTGCGCACGAGGAACTACGTCATATAAAGCAAGAAGAGGCTAATAAGAAGCACGTCGAGGATGCTTTTTTGATCGCACAATTCCGCGCCTTACAGGAAGAGGAAGAGCGTAATAAGCGCGAACGGAAGATACGGCAGAAAATAGAAGCTGAGCGGGCGAAGCAGGAAGCAGAAGAGCTAGAAAAACAACAGCATGAACAGAAGCTAAGAGACGAGGCTATAGAAGAATATAAGAGGGAAGAAGCCGAGAAAGAACGCAAACGGCGTGAAGAGGAAGAGCAGGCTGAAAAACAGTTCAATGAGCGGCTTCAAAAGTTGTTTGGTAGCCATGGGATTTCGGAAGAGGATATGAAGAAATTTTTAAACCAGAATAAAGAAAAACCAGAGCCCAAAGCTATAGAGCCGCATGCTCCCAAAGATCAATTTGTCAAGGTACGTGCATTCGGCTCCCCGAGTTACGCAAACCTATACTAAAATCATTGAAGGTCCATCGTCGGTTTATCTCTCCTTCGACGCTTATGGCATACGGACTTCCATGGGAGTGGGATCCTGTAAGTCTCCCTCCGCCCCACCGTTGATCGCTGACCAGGGACCAAGATTCGCTAACTCAAGTCCTATCAACCCTAAAGTACGATGCAGACTACATGCTCATCCATTCTTGGGTGCCTCAGGAACTCCAGGAAGAGCTCTTCGAGCATACCCGTCGTCTACGCGAAGGGCGCATGCTCCCCGCTGCGGCGGAGCCTGAACAGAGCGCAGAATACGTTGAGCTGAGGGTGAATGATAAGAAAAAAGATCAATTATTCCTGGTGAGGAAAAAGAAGGGGGCGAAGAAGCATATCTTCGTTGAGCGATAAGTAGGTTAGGAGCGAAGCAGGCTCGCTTCTAGACAAATGTGATGATGAGGCAAGGTGTATCGCTCATCTTCTATCATTGGCTTTATAACCTTTTTCTTATAGGGAGATTTGGTTTTTGTTCTATTCTTGAAGGTCTTGGCTCCTTGTTTCCTTTCTTTATTCATGATTTATTCTTTTTAGTCCTTTTGTCTACTCAGTCATATTACTCCAAACCAAAAATATTCTGATGATTATAAGGGAGAGATGGTGCTAACAATGAACGACCTATATGCCTCATGAAGGTCTTAAAGATGAAAAATACCAATAGCACATATTATAATTAGTAAAATAGCTATCTGTTCTACTCCACCATGTTAGTGGGATTGATCATAATATGACTAGGGGTTTGAGCAAATACTTGGAGTGGGTTGATTTCATTGCGTAGCTGCCATCGACATAAACATACTCCGTACATATAACTCCACTAACCCATACGCATCCCGTCTATACAGAAAGATCCCATGATATAGATAATTTTACAAATCCGGCCTTGTTCCCAATTCACCAAAACCATGCTCAAATGCAATGACAGGAGAAATGGCCATGATAGATGCATAGACCTCAGCTTACAACACTCCCTTAACATCTCTCTGCTCCTCTGCCCATCTCTTCTCCGCCCACATAATCAACTCCTCATAAACCGTCCATGCCAGTGCCGAACTCAGCGCCTTCCTTCCCATTCGTAATCCTAATCCGCCAAATAAACTCCTCATTCCGTCTTCTCGGAGCATCAATGCAGTCGCACGCATCATGTTTTTATATTTGGAGGGCATAAGCTGGACTCGGGTTTTCACGACATCGAAGGGGTTCGTTATGGTGGTAGCCAGACCTGCAGCGAGAGCGCCGGAGATGAAATTTATGGATGCTGTTGAGGGGGGTGATTTCTGCTGCTCTGTAGGAGTGCTCCGAGCAGAAGGGGAGGAAGCCCCGAGAAGGGAGGCAAGGCTGCGCTTCGATTGTTCGTAGAAGACCACATAAAGTCCTGCATAGGGAGCATCGCGGATAGCGGTTGCTCCAAAGCCAGCAAATAGGCCTCTCACGCCTTCGTGCCGGACGATATCTTTCGCTGCTCCCCATAAGCTGCGATAAGCATAGTAGTCGGATTCATAGCGGACTTTGAGGACTGTTACGGGCATCATAACGAATCCAGCGGCTACCCGTGCGACGGCGCCGGTTATCAGGTTTGCTGTGTGTGAAAGCTTGGGTAGAGCAGACGACGCAGACACCCCTGACGGGGAGTTTCCATTTTGTGGCTTGCTCCCATGGCCGCCCCGGAACAAGTACCCGGGATCATCGGCTGCAACTGCTGTTCTTAAAGTGTTTAAACTGGTGAAATACAGCGCAGAACCGAACCCTGTTCGAAGGGCGGAAGGAAGTGTGCCACGCCATAATCCCTGAATGGGATGCGGAGAAGCCAAGATAGAGCGGATTGTCGGCAGGAGAGCAGCTGTTTCTCGAGACTGCTGGACTCGGGTTTTGAGAAGGTCGGCAGGTTGAAGGAGAATGGAGGAGGTGAGGCCGGAGAGGAGGCCAGCCGCAAAATGAAAGGTTGGCTTGGATAGATAAGCTATTGCATGTGTTCCGGTTATTTATGATCAAGCTTTGGAGGGAAATTGGAGCTGGTGATGGGCATACTGGAGCTTTTCAACTGCACACTGGAATGGGAGCCATTAGACATTCTTGTCCACTCGATCCACGAGCAGTACAGGTATTACCTATATCCTGAAAATGCTTGATTGGAGAACACTCGGATATAGGATCTGAATTTTTCGAATCTTTCGTCTCTTGTTACAGAAGTTGGCTGGCGGGTCGCATTTTTCTTCGGAGCACTTTTGGTTTGGTGATTGAGTGATTCCAGATCACACCGCTAGGCGAGAGCCTAAGGTCATGTCGTCATCGCATCGTATTCTGACACTGCGGGGAGATGTGAAGGTCGAAGAAATCCACAACAGGGCGCAGGAAGCTCCGGAACGATGACATTCACAGGGTCATCACAGTTTGCTTTCCGAACCAAGGAATCTCGCTCCAAGATGCCTTTCTTCCGCCAGCAAAACCCTTGTCTTGCCGTCCATGCTGGCAATTACATAATCAAGGCCTCGGGAAAACTTGCTCTCGGCCCGGTCCTGCGCCGAGTCACGTGGAGGTACCTCCCGAAAAGCCGCGCGCCTGGCCGCTCTTGGGAAACCCTGCGTGCATGCACGATCGCCTTGGGAGGGGCTGCACCGCTTCTGTTTGGCACGCAGAAGCGAAGCCAACTCGTACATTGCGGCCCGGATGAGATGCTGTGAACGAATCGACACTAGACATGGAGTGTCACTTTTACGGGGATCGTACTTATACTTTCCGGCGTCTTCCGCCGGGGCTCCGAATTGTTGTTGAAAGCTCCAATGGAGAACATCGCGAGATGCTGACCTTAGGAGCGCAGCAGATGTCAAAACTGATTTCCTCCGGGGCAAGATCCTTTATCAATGACGTCGAACAAGGAGTGACCAACTCCGTTCATCAATTAGGCTTTGCCAGTGTCTTGAACTTGCCATGCCAAAACAACAATTCGCACCAATTGACTCGGCACTTTCACGTTCGTGAATAGTATCAGTCCAGTTAACATGATGCCACCCGCAGCAGGTCATGATCGAATCAATGATGGGATCATGAAGGCTAAGGAGAGAAGACCCCGTGCATTCTCTCCGAGATGAACTTCATTTTACAGTATGAACGGCATTGGGAAATAGACAAGGCCACCGCGTTGTGGATGTAGCTGCTCATCTGGTTCAAAAACTACAGAATTTATTGCTTATGTGCTCTCTCTCCCCGCTCTTCGACTTCTTGATACTGAAGAGTTCCTACATTTGGAAAGTTATCGTGTTTAGGTTCATGGTTACACCATGAACAAAGAACCTACCCTTACTGCAAGTTGCTTAATTCAACCTACGAAAAAAAAGAAAAATACAAGAACTGTACCAACCACCCCAGCCGACCACCCGACACACCGACGCCACCAAGGGGAAATATTCCCATGCCTGGCTATATATCTGGAAGCACCGGCTTCTAGCCTCCCAGGAGGGCAGCGACTCGATGAACGAGCAGCGAAACGTGCTGTCTTTGTTTCTGTTTTGGTGATTTCATTTACTGTTTCGCAGTTCTCAGAGACGAAACAGTGACTCCGCGCGAGAGATGTGTTGGGATACATGTTAAACCAACCTCCCCAGTCACCAAATTCTTGTCTTGCCACCAAGTTTGAACATCTTCTATTAATGTAAAATTACGATCACTTTGACAACGAAAACAATGCAGCAAGCTCAATCTACTGATAATTGCTACACCGACGAGAGACAGAGGCTAAGTCGTGCTTGGGCTGCACGACAGAGGCTTGCCATGAGACAAAAGATGAGAGAGATGCGATCAATGACTGGGCAGGAAGGGTAAGGGTGGACTCCCAGGTGTGATACTTCAACATGTCTCTTCGATTCCACTTTTATAAGGTATTTCAGTATGAAGAATTCTGCTAACCGTTTTCTGACTGATTAGGCATCCTCTCGAACATGAAACGATGAAATGCTCCTCATGTGGCATCCAGATAAAAGGTACCATCCAACGGATTTAAATAATCGAAGTCCACAAGATGAATTCAAACTAAAATTACATCGTCAGATGATGTGACTCCTTCTGCGACAGCGTGTCGTGTCAGCCTAGCCCCCGATCAGGTTATATTAATGATGAACCCAGATTCCGAGGCCTCCAGCGCACCGGGTAGTGTTTCTACAGATAGCAGGTCCTCTGGTGGAGCCTCGCCTATCGCGGTTTACCCCGGACTCTCTTTGGGACGGTCAGGAACTATTATCGTAGTGTCGACCTCCTCGGGGGCGTCTAGAGGAGACAGAGCGGCAGCTTTCACGACCGCTTTTTTGCACAAACTAGATGCAGCCGCACCGGCCGTTATCAAAGCTCTGGATGGCTTGAACTAGGTTCTTTTTGTTTAAAAATGCTTATAGGCCAAATCTTAATTGTCTGAAGCGAAAATTCTGAATTTAACATTATCGAGCGCAGCGTGTTGAGGGGAGAGCAATATGTGATCAATAGCTTATGTCTCAAAGATGATCCAATCTGTGGCTTTTTGGAGAGAAATATTGCACTGTATTTAATTTTGCATTAACTACGGAGAACAGCTACTCGGTAGCCCTTCAGCAAAATAGGAATTCCGGAATCTCGAACGACTCATCAGAAAGTCGACTCCACGTCAGAGGGCCGACTTGTGACACGGGGTGGCATCGACCAATCGACCGTGACCTGCGCGGCTTTGAGCATCACCACAATTTCCTCCACTGTGGGAACTTGCAAACAATCCAGTCTCATTGCAACAGATTGCATTCTCCTAGCGCAAATATTGCAAAATCAGGGGGCAGACATGTACAGGCTAAACTCCAACCCTCGCAATCTTTTGCGAAACCGGGCGCTTAAGCGAACTGACCACTGATGCCTCACGACAATGCGCCGCACTCTCGCAACCCCGGTCTTTCCTCGTTTTCTTTCCAACCTCACAGACTCAACCCCCATTGAACACACCAAGTTGACTGCAGGACCATGGATGTAAAATACTATGAAATAGATCCGGATGGTGACGTCTTGCTGCTGTTGCGAACCGCAAAGCAGGAAGACGAAAGTAGTGAAGACAGGGAATTTGCCAACGATGAGCCCAAGGCTGAGACGCCAAATGAACGGATGGAAACCGAAAAGCGCGAAACCGAATGCAGCGGCGACGCGAAGTCGGCCGACGAGAAAACCAAAGCTGAATCGCCAACCGAATCGGTGGAATCAAGTGATATAGACATCCGGATGCGGCTCTCTTCGAAGCATCTTATCTTGGCTTCGCGTTATTTTCAGAAGATGCTTGGCGGTGATTGGAAAGAAGGATGTATTCTCCGCGATGGCCAGCAATTGGAGGTCACCGAGGAGGGCTGGAAGTCCGGGCCCTTCTTGATTCTGATGAATATCATCCACGGCCGAACGAAGAAGGTCCCTCGAACCGTGACCATTGATGTTCTTACAGAAATCGCGTCGCTTGTTGATTATTACGAGTGCCTGGAGGTGGTGGAAATCATGGCTGAGATATGGACCTCGAAGATTACCATTCCGCATCTCACCTTAAAGGATATTGCCCAGTGGTTATGGCTTAGCTATGCTTTCCGTTGGGCGAGGAAGTTTAAGACCTGGACAAAGTGTGCTATCCTAACAATTGAGGGCCCGCTTTATACCCAGGGACTTCCTATCCCAGACAGAATATTGAGTAAGCAGCTTATAAAATCACGCGGCCTCGAGGTCCGGAAAACCTCCCGAGCTAACGGAGACAACAGACGAGATACAGGAGCAGAGAGAGGAATCGATTGAGCGGATTGTGGCATACCTCCATGGCCTCCTTGCCGAGTTCACGAAGACAGAACCCTGCTGCATTGAATGTAGCTGTATGATGCTTGGGGCATTGACCAGAGCTTTGAGCATGATGCACCTTCTCTCACCACGGCCATCCAGACCTTTCTCTGGGTTGAACCTGAGGGACATGCTCCATGGGCTTGCGGAAATCTACTCACCAAGCTGGTACAACACATACTATGCTCGAGAAATACATAAATGCAGCCTAGAATCCATAATACAGCCAACACTTAACAGTGTGACAGAAAGTATTACTGGTCTAGAACTGGAAAACTTCGTTCGTCCTGAGCCCATCTCCAGAGGAAGCCTGCGGAGCAGCCAAACAAAAGATTAGTATGAGCGTTTTGACATGGTATTGCTACTGGTTATGGCAAACTACATACAAAACCAGAGGCCATTATAAGCAGAATTCTACAATTTACATATCGAATATCTGTGCCTTTGTACCCAACTGCTACAGCTGCGTGTGCATATATTCACCCCAACATGCATATGTATCATATCGCACAGCTAATCACCGCTATATAGTCAGTAGGTTATTGGCTGCTGTGAAGTTACCCGTTCATGTGGCGCTGCTTTGGCTTTTTTAATGTGTTATACTGGCTTTGATATCGTTGTTATTGTTATACCAGTCTTCTTTTAATTGACAGCAATGGACTTGCAAGAGTCAAGCTATCTAGAAAGTGAGAGTCAAAACAAGCCTGCCGGCTCAGCAAGACTGCCTCATTTGCTCTGATTCGCATCTCAGTTTGAAAGTCACGGATAGCTTGCTCAAGAGATTTCTTCCCATTGCGCCAGAGCTGAATTTGGTTTTTCAGCAAGACCGCATCATACATACCATGATTTGCCGCTTCTCCTCGGTCTTTTCCCAAATGGTCAGTTAATTCGCACTGTCATTGGCCATAGAGAAGAATATGAGAGAACAACTTACACATTGTCATTGGGTGAGCGGCATCTCCTAGAATGGTTACCCTTCCCCCAGAACACACATCCCAGTCCAGCGTTGGCCAATCTTGCAACTTGATATCCAACGCTTCTTGATCGTCAGTTATGCCGTCTAGTGCTTTGCGAAGCCCAGGATAAAATCCTGTCCCCTCCTTAGCCTTTTCTTTCAGTTTGGCTATTTTCCCAGCATTGTCTGCTGGAATTGGCGACTCATCCTCCTTCATTATCCAGCTCATGTTGAATTGCACTTCATGATACTCCTTTTCTGAACCAGCGCTTCCGTTGAGCTGAGGTGTGGATACTCTCGAGCAGAAAATGTAGACACCGGTGGCTGGGTGGGTTCCCTGCCATAAAACTGGAGCGACGGAGTGAAACGGCTTCATGTACTCTTCATCTCCTCGAAGCTTCAGGCCAATGAAAGCAATGGGAAGATCGTGGAGTGCGGCTTTTTCGCGGCCCATGAGCATTGATTTAGCCCTGCTGTTCTTTCCATCTGCGGCTGCGAGAATTGTTCCCTTTACTTCTGTTCCATCGGCAAAAGAGACAACGACGCCATCGTTTGTGACCTTGTATCCCGTGAAAGCTTTGTTCCATTTGATATCAATTCCCTGGCTCAAAATTTCGCGGAGCTTGATTCGATGAACTCGATAATGCGATTGGGTTTCGGCTGCGAATTTGGGTTTTCCGGTCTCGAGATTTAGATAGACGGAAGGAATACGATCTAAGGGCAAAAGAAGTCATATATACAAATCCAATTTCAGTCACCTTGAAGGTCCTTCGGTGTATGTATTCAGGCTAAATTCCACTTACCCCTGTCTGCCACTTCTGGATGCACATGGATTTTGGGGATTTGGGCATAAAGCTCAGGAGGCAAACACGATGCAAGCGGCTTCATTGCCCAATGTAAAGAAATAGCCCAGCCTCCATATCGTGAGTTCAGGCCACTGTCGCGTTCGTATATCTCGAATGGAATTCCTTCTGACTTGAGGGCCTGGGCCAGGGTCAATCCTACTAAACCGGCACCAACAATGATGATAGGAAGATCTGCTTGGACACTCATTCTCAATCGGTACTTTTGCAACGAGCTTTTTGAACCCGGTCACCACACGACGCCAATCTTTGTTGTGCACTCAGCGATGGGTTTGAGAGCGGCTGAAGTTCTCGAAAGGCCAGCGGCTGTGCATAGAGGTTGTCACAGACATTATTAGACATGTTCAGCCCCCGCTTTAGCAATTTCTGTATTTTAGTTAGCTTCTTGCTTGCAATTGTTTCCTAGCAGCCTCGGATTTGTGATGACTTCGGGATGCTCTTTGATACTCGAGCAAGTCGGCGTTAAGAGGCCCCTTTCGCTTCTCGGCGACTAGGGCGATCACACCGACCCGAATCCGGTTCCGAAAGCTAATTCAAACACCGAGCAACTTACAAACAAATGCACACCTGCTATGGATTACGACGGCCCATGATAGCGTCCAATCTGAGTGATAGAACGTCTGCCTGTGAGCGATGATCGGCCAAGATATGGCGAGTCTCACATGGAGTACTCTATCTCTAGCTCTAGGCTTGTCAAATCGTGATATGTCCTCCGTATGTCTTGATATTCTTGATGCGATTTATAATAGACCGAACCCCAAAGAAAAGGCCCTCAATTTTCTTTTTAACTTGAATATCCCAAACCAGAACTGAATGCAATGTTGTACAAAGTTATACGGAACTTGATAATTTCGAAAGGAGCTGGAGAATTTGGGTATTAAAGACAAGTACCAATTGGACTTGCGGAACGCACTGACCACCGGGCAATGCGAAAAAAAAAAGCCAAAAAGAAAAGGCTGTGAGAGTATAGTAACGTAGAAGCGAAACACCAGTGGAAAGGAATTTGGTGTTGGATGCCGTACTGTTCAGGGCCTGCGAACCCACCGGTTAGAGCTCCTGCTGCATTGGCCATCGATTAGTATCACTATCATCTCAGGCTCATATGTTGCCACAAAATACCGAGCAAAGTAAATGCCTTCCAATCAGGTGCAACACAGGCTCCCACTTCTACTTCTCGGAAAGTAAATCGATCGCCTCCCGAAGCGCCTCAAGCTTCTCCTCTATGTGCATCAGCTCTCGTCGGGTTTTGGCCATTTTCTCCTCCGACAAGACGGTTTGTTTTTCACCGATTATCTTTTGCCGCTCCATATCAGCCTTCGACTCCTCAACTTGGTTAATGTATGTGAGCAGACGAGCTTTCTCTTTGTGCAGCTGTCCCAATTCTTGTTGTCTCGAATATAGCTCAGCCTGTATGCTCTCGAATAGGGATTGGTCGCCGGAAGCCATTTCTTCAATTAGAGCGGATGAAGGACAGTGGAATTTTGTTCGCTCGTTTAATTGATAGACGTTCGATATTACGTGTGGAGGCAATGCACCCGAACCGAGTTCGAGATGTGAAGGTCATTCGCTTTTTTGCTTTTTCTTTTTCCCCTTTTTTTTTTTTTTTTTTGATGACAGTTAGGTTTCTTTATTGCCTACTGGTCTTGCCACGTCATCTCATCACTCTTTCGTGCATATTGCTGCCTTTACTGCCACCAAATGGTCAAAAAGAACCTGCACCTCTGGTTCCAAATTAACACTCCACGAGATAGGATATTACTATCCCCTGTAGGACAATCTGTAGGAATGGTTGATAGAAAGGTCAAAAGTTGGAAGTGCGAACAAGCTGCCGCTTAATCTGTCTGCACTACATTGTGGTCAACACATCTGTCTTTAGAACAAGAATCCCATCTAAGATATTATTTCGCACCTCGTCAGAAAAAACAGCTTCTATTGCTGTGAACATTTCCTGAAGCATCACGCAAGGGAAGGGCAAAATCTCTTCTGTGCGCAAGTCCGTCGCGTGCTCAAAGCGACGTCCCACTACCGTCCCTCCGTGGATGGCCTCGTCAAATTACACGAGACATCCGGACATCCCAGGCAAAATCCACTGCTGCAAATGTTAGAAATATAACTATACACCGCCTCCGGGGCTAAATTTACCCTTAATTGACAGTAATTCTGTTGTTACGTTGCTGTTTGGCGCTCCCTCGTATCGAATCCATTAATCCAAGATCGCAGGTATCGCTGGGGCCAATTTGGGAAACTCTGGCCGTAAGTACGTGCTCCTCCGAAAGTGGAAAATAGCGGGATTTGCATTGCATCTAACTCATTTGGTATAGTACGTCGGCTCACTGTAATCACTGGTCGACTTCATATTCTCGTTTGATATTGAGCTCAATGCGTGACAGCGGGAGCTTTTCGGATTGTCCGGATAGAGGGTCATATGATAGAACCGGAAAATATCCGGACACCTGCTCAGGATAGATTTTGATTGATGTGAGTCGTGTTCGCCGATTCGACCTATAAGTCAATCTAAACCGCCCGACGGGTGCGTCGATCGCACGCCCGCTACGACAGAATCTCGTCGAATACATCTAGCAACGATAAGCATTCAGCCCCGTCTTCTGACAGACAAGCCAACAAATGGGATTCAAAGCAATCCCAGCCGGGGTTTTCCGGCCCCAACTCCCACACGCCCGTCTCGCTCGGGATCGTTGCTGTATTCTCTTCGTGCGAGGCTAACTGTCAAATTTCCAAGGTTGATGGCTGTCGGGTGAAGTTGTCAATTGCAGAGGTATCTCGAACATGCAGGAGGGTGTCCTTTTGTCTCGTATCTGCAGGTTGGACTGGAGCAGTTCGGGGTCAATATATGGGTCGAATATACGTAGATTTCTGTTGCAATCACTCAGGCTCTCCTCCAAGTCGCGGTCTTCTACTCCATCACACAGAATGTTTCCAGAAAACACAATTTTACCACACCCCACTCTTTTTGCTGCTGAGACATCTGCTGCATGCATCCTTGTTGACCACCCGATCAGTCCTCATTTTGAGGTGGGAACGGGGAGCTACTCGAGCACGGCATGTATTTAAAACGGATATGATTTTCGAAGAGAGTAGATCAAATATCTAGCGGTTTGCTCGTTGTCCGCGGAGAAACGTGGATTTCCCATTGAGAATCAATCCGCTTTGCCGGGAGAGACACCTTTGAGCACCTTTGAGGCCGGCGGCGTACAAACACGCTCAAAAGGTTAGAACACCCGGCTACTTGGAGGTCGGTGTTAACCGCGTCGGTTTTGATACCTGAGGGGGACATGTCGATTTCGTAAGACAGCAGCATATTTTCTCTGATATTAACAATCTGTGACAATGATGTCGCTTGGCTTGTACATAGTCCTCTTTGTTGGGAGTTAAGTTACATGGTTACCTACCCCTGGAAGTTTTGTATGTACAGCGCCTTTGGAGTTCAAGTAGGAGATAGAATCGTTTTTTATGATGCTCAGTGATATCAGCAAAAAGTACGGAGGGCTCTTGATGTCAGGGTGAACTAAGCTCATTAACTACAGAGTAACTAAGTAACTAGTTAGTTAACTTGGCGAGAGACTTCATGACCCGGCATGCCTTAGCCTCATAGTCCATCATCAAGCCGAAATTCAGGTGGAAACGCAACATTCTTTATTCGAAACCTTCAGGGTGTGCCCTGGTCTGAGCCATCCTCTTCGGCGTCAGACTCTTCAAAGCCCTCACCTTCATCTTCAACGTCTGAGGCTCCGCCACGATACACTCCATCCTCGTCTGTCTCGTCCACCAGCTCGTTCGTGCCCATAGAACCTATGGCGATAGCAACCGTGTACGAGTTCACAAACTCAGGGGCAAGTCGCACCGTCAAGGGCTCATCTGGTGCTTTGTCTTCATCGTCACCTTCGTCCTCACTTTCATTGAACAGAGTGTCTACAAAGAGAAGACTGTTGTCCGCGCTGGTCCGTTCGTCGGCAACAAGAAAGTAGTAACAGCCAACAGCTGTATCATCTGCGTTATCCTTCAGGAATTTGGCGATCCTTTCGAGACTCCAACCGATAAAGGGAGACTTGAATGACTGGTCAACAGGTGGGCGGGTAAAGTCGTCGACCGTGTAACGTTGGATTGCGGGGCGGGAGGTATCCGACAACACCAGAAGGGCTTCAGATGTATCTTCGCTCTTGGTGTAAGCCGTCTCTACGATGCTAGAAAGCACCTGTGAAGCGCATTAGTATACCTTTGGTCTCCCTCTGCAGCAGGCAAGGGATCTTCTAAGTACCGAAGGCTCAACATCATAAGTGCAGATAATGGGGATCAGTTCAACCATCTTCGATTCTGTGAGGAATTTTTTTCTTTTCTTTTCCTTTTTAATGATTCTTATTTCCTGGTCTCTTTATTGGGACTCTCTAAAGAGATGAACAAGATAAAATTGAGACGAAGTGGGAGAGGAAGACAGGGGAGTGGAGAGAAGAAGCAAAGAAGCCTGAAGGCGATCATAACAAGTCATGGGGCAGCCTTTTCTCCTCCGCGAATACAAACTCACAAAGTTGAGAGTACCGGAGTACTTCTGGAGGTACACAGGAGCTCTGCTATTCCAGCTGGTATTTCAATGTTCCATCCACACTCCATCAGGTCAGGCCTATCTTCCTGTCACCAACCGGCCTGCCTTCGCACAACGCAACACGACAGGATCCGAACTGCTTCCTTCATCCTCTTCCATACAGCCTCTTTTTGTCAGCCGCAGCTGATATGGGATCGGCGAGCTTGTTACTCTGGCTATCCGACCGCAACACCGGCACCTGGTGCTGGATGTCTGTCGGTAGCATGAGAGTAGAATACCCAGATATAAAAGATACCATCATGCCTCCTTGCTGGATACCATTTACAGCAGTATCAGACCAGCCCAGTCCTGTCAGCATCTGCAAATCCCTCACCAGCATTTGGTTTGCTCTCTCTATCCCCAATGTCTTCTACCGCAGGTCTCTCTCGGCTTTCTGCCCTCTTCCTCCTGTTCTTCTTTTTCCTCAGTGTTAGCGCAAAGACCTTTACCTGGAACTGTGGGAACTCCGTCGGGACGTGCAACAACTACTGTTACTACGCCAAATGCCGATCAGGAGCAAAAAGGAGCTTTACCTACGACCCTAACAAGAGTAATGCCAGAAAGCGTCGAGTTGCATCGGGGTGCAGTAAGAACCCGTGCGGAAGAAAAAGCAGACTCCCCTTCAAGAAGTTCGGCCGGTCATGCGATGAGTTCCCCTTTGCCAGTACGAAGGAAGGTGGAAAGGGTGCGCAGTTGAGATGTGTTAACCCGCACGAGAATAGCAGTACGACCAATTCCTTTCTCGCCCTGAAGCCGCAACCATTTTCCAGTGAAGCTAATGATGACACTTAATGATGCTCAGGCGAGGGTGGCCAGCTCCGTGGATTCTACAGAAAGCTGAAGCCTGGCGAAAGATACGGCATCACTATCAGAAACTACGGAAAAGCGTAAGCGTTTAACCACTCAACCCGTCACTATTCTACTTGAAGCACGTGGGTAAAAGACGGGCTAACCAGCCATTTAAAGACGCTATTGTGCGCGACGTACCTGCAAGAATGACGGAGGACAGTTTTACCTCAATTCCAACCGCAAGTTCGTGGGCAACAGGCCCAGAGCCTTGAATGATGCTTCAGGCTTCACCATGAACGAAGGCAACGAGGCGCCCGCAGATCTGAAGCAAGTGGAAACTGAAGATGGCGCTACTCACCTGGTTCTTGCTGAAGATCCCGATGACCCCATTGGTGCAGGCTCACAACTTTGGGATTCAGAGACCGACAAGAGCCATACCGTTGTTCGTGTGCTTTGAAATTTTGAGGACATCATGACTGTACTTTCGGTTCTGACAGAATTGGCTGTCTTCCCTTTACCTTATGTTCGCATATAAGCCTACCAAGGCTTATGAATTTGTTCTCGGGGACTATATAGATATATGATAGGCCAATCTATCCTTTCGGTGGAAGCTTCTCCTGATGCAGGTTGTGTTTTCATAGTCTGCCCATGTATGCTCCAGCTTCCTCTACTTATAAACCGCAGTTGATACTGGCATGATTTATAATAGGCCACCTAGGCAAAAACGCCGTTCGATATCCCTTACAATTTAGCGTAGTTAGTTAGGTCTAGTGTGCTTAGTTAATCATATATGACGAACTTACTAGCTTGCTGATAGGCCAGTCCAAGTTTGGTTCCACCAGACCGCGCTAGTTGACTAATCTCCTCTGTGTACGGAGTAAACGTCCTTCAACCTACCTCGCTGAAACTGCTTCAATGATATCAATAATACAGCCTTTCATGCTCTGCTTCCTCATATTCTAATACTTTTGAAGCACAATTTCATCAGCTTCATGAATCGGGTGTCAATGTGATATCCCAGATGAAGGATCACGGGAAGGCGACACTTTGGTGGGGTAAAAGTCTTGCATTGCATTAAGGTGGCTCACCACTCAACGAGCCAAACCACTCGACGAGCCAAATTCCTTTCAATGCTCCACGCTACAAATTTATTAATTATCTCAACAACAAATTATTATTATTAAACTAGCTATTAAATATTAAATGAGTGTGTTCTTTGAAGCATAGAAATTAGTGTGGCTATAAAAATAAACATGTGGACAGCCTGATATTGCAGCCAGAGCAAGAGATACAGGGGGTGGATAGGAAAGATTGTAAAGAAATGTCAGCAGTAGATTTCTCAGCTAGAGAGCATAAAGACTTGTTAGAGAGGCTTGTAGAGCTCTTACTACTGCTTTGGGAAGATTATATAGGCTTGCCACAATGAGGTTCTTTCATAAGAAGACTGTGCCAACAGCACTTTGAAGCCAGTACTTGAAGCTCTGACTGCCAGTGTTTACTAGCACATTCAACAGCCTGTCTCTCCTTCTCTGCTTGTTGTAAAGTCTTTTTCTCCTCACAGGCAATACACTGGACCTCTTATTGTATAGCACATTCAAGCTTTTCAGCCTCTCATTGCTCACAGGTCTTCATACAGACAGTCTCTCATTCAATCCATTTTTCTTCAGTCTCTCTAGCTGCCTGCTCTCTTTGGAGCTCCTATTGAAGCTTTGCCTCTTGTATTTAAGTAATTTTGTGAGCTTTCTCAGCCTCTATTTCATTCTGGCATTTCTGAGCCTGCAGAACTTTTGTAGGACTCCAGAACTGGATCTGGCTCAGCTTATCACAATCAAGTAGGCCTAGGGGCTTGTCTCACTTGCAGCACTGTTTCTCCATCACAATAGTTGATTTTAGAGCCTAATTTTCATGCTCTAGCAGTTCATTTCATATTGCAAATTGCTCACTGGCTTTGATAACCCATTCAATACTCTGCAAATTTAAGCTGTACTAAAGACAAATACTCTTAACCTCTTGACAAAGCTCCTGTATATTTATAGGGATAGAAGGCTCAACTAGTGATGCAGGGCCTTGTTGATCAGCAGTTTCAAATCAGCTTAGTTAATACTGGGGATCCAGGAAATAAATTCCAGTCTTTGCAAAGCCAGCACATATATTATCACCCATCAAAGTCTTCTTTCATACTGCATTGAATAGTCTCCAGAAATCCCTTTTTATCATTCAAATATAGCCCAGTCCACAGCATAGTAGAGATTCCAGCTCACTGGAATACATCTTGTCCAGTGGCCCAAAAACATCAACATCAAGAGACTGCAAACAGTAAGTAGAGTGCAGTAAAAGAATCAACAGTAGAATCCTTTCACAGTTTGCATATTCAATAAATTTCATATTTATATGGGAAGAATGCCCATCTAGTAGAAGCAGACATCTTGCTCTACCTGCTTTTGCCTTTGTATACAGATTAAAAATCTGTTGCAACCACTCCAGGCCATATTCATTATTGCTCCAATCATTCACTGAGGCTGTAAAGTAAGTATATTCACTTTCATCAAAATCATCTAGCTATATATTCTGAAGATCTCTGGATTCATTCTGATAAATAAGAGCTGGAGGTAATGCAATCCCATCTGCAGAGACTGAACAGAGCAGTAAGAGAAATTTCCAGCTTTCATCCTGAGTTGCAACACTTTTATCAGCTTGTAGAGCTTTAATAGAGACAAGACACTTTAAGATATGACAGGAGCCTAGAAGGAATTTCTTTTTATCAAAGTTGTATATATTTTCCAGTGTAATATTATACTGGCTGATTTTCTTGCTCAACTAAATGCAGCAGCACAACAAGTTAGTCAAATTTAACAACTGCACTTGCAAAGAAGCAAAAAAAGCATTCAAGTACAAGACTATAGAAGTGCTGAAAGCAGTAGTAATTATCTGCTATCTGTCTATTCTTGTCAAGCAGCTTGAGATAAACAGACTTGATCTTGTTCTTATAGCACTCACAAAATCATATCACCCAGTTGATTCCCATGTTCTCTCCTGTCATCTCTTGCACAACATTTCAAAGGATTTGAGATGTAGAAGCAAGGCCACAATTGCAGAGCTTGTTTATATACTCTAGGAGCTCATCCTTCTGTATATTGGTGAGCTTCTTCTTATGTCTGGAGGTTGCTTCATGGCAATCAACTTGTAGGCCTTGATGCTGCCAGCACAGAGTCTCTCAGCTGACTGAATATTTTTTCACAGTCACACTGTAATTTGGAGTCTCTTGCAATTCAAGATCTTCAATTGCAAGCTTAATTGCTTTGTTGTTGACCATACTATTGCATATTGAAGTTGAGTGTTGAAGAAATTTGATGGTGCGAAAATTTGGCTCGTTGAGTGGTTTGGCTCGTTGAGTGGTGAGCCACCTTAATTCCTGAACCCTATTTTCCAACCATGATGTTGAAAGAGCAAACTCAAGACAAGGGTAAAAGGAATGATGGAAGTAGGCTATACGATACTTTCTACCAGATTTCTTTAAACTTCTTAGAATTCCTGAACGGTGAATTATGTTACATACCCCGATGTCAAGTTCACTTTCATTCCTGAGCAGACACTCTCCCGACAAGATCCTTCAGTGTCATGCTCACTGATTCCGGCAATTCAATGGCAGGAAAATGGGTTTCGCCACTGAGTTTGACAAACGAGAACCATTCGGCATGCTTTCCCTGAAATTGTTCATGTAATTCCACATAACCAGGTTGTTTAGGGTGGCTGAACACATGTCGAAGAAGTGGAGGGTCCGGCATCGCTTCCATGCGCTTCATCGGACTGCCCCAAGTCGCATATGCTCTCTCGACCTCTCGGCAACCTCGAGCCCACATATCGAATCCATGTCCGCCGGCATTCTTGATTCTTGATTCGCGCCATTTATGATTTGAGGTGTTTGCTTCCCAAGCAGCAATGAGACCGAACAGCGCCGCTCGCCATGTTTCCTTATTTTGAATGGCTTTTAATGTGTCGACAAACTCCGGAGGAGCTTCTGTCATAATAAGATCGAGAAGCAGTACCGCTGGGACTCGTTCTTTGCCCAACGTCTGGGCAACTTGCATCGCAGCCCAGCCCCCGTGGGAATGAGAGATAGCAACGAACTTTCCCACTTCGAGTTCTTCAAGCAGAGCCAAATAATCCTTTACTTGTTCCTCCACACCGAAGTCTTCCACACGATCTCGGTTGGGCCCATGCCCTCTCCAATTCAAACAAACCACCCGATACTCGTAAATCAGATACGGGAGAAGCTCTTCCCAGCCTCGATGGTCCTGGCACCAGCCCGAGAAGACGACAATGGCTGGTCGCTCGCTAGGAATGCCATAGTCGATAAACGACAATTGCTGTCCGTTGATGGTTTTCGTGTAGAGCATTGCGAAGATGGGTTCAAAACAAAGGTGAGCGTTTGATAGCTTGATGCAAAAAAGAGTGAGTTACAAACCCCCTGCATATTTAAAGCAACACAACATATACTCGAGGAATCTGCTATCATGGTCAATGTTCCCGGAAAGCAGGACGCCCAAAGGTATGTCTACGGATCCGTCATTATTCCGCACTGGGAAATAAGTCGGCGACTAAGAACCAAGTCGCCGTCTTGCGCTCCTTGGGCTCGGAATAGCGTTCAGTACATGGAGTACTCCCGTCAAATCAGAGCTATGATTGTTCCGGGAGCTATCCAGCTCTGCTCCGGGTCAATCGGATTACGCATTTTTCGGGTCGGGATCAGCCCCTTTGCTTCCAATCCCGGGTAAAGGCTCGCTTACGGAAGTTGGAGCCCATTCGAGGGGAAGAAGACCCTGGAGTCGACGAGCTCAGCTCCTATCCGCAGAGATCATTTGGTGAGCACCACAAGCTCTGTCCTACCCCAGAGTCCCGAATATACGGTTCAGATTTACCCCAGATTTTGGGATGGGGTTCATGGGGTAGCTAGACACTTGAGCCTCCAAGTCTCTTTTCATGCCTTTATAAGGCTACCTTTCCTTTATTTCTTTTATATCTACCCCAATGTCTGCTTTTGAAATTACAGCTTCTCCTGTCATAGCGACACCTGTCCCAATCGTCCCCGCAAACCGTTATGTCCCCCATCGCAGAAGAAAAGATAATGGGCGTCGAGCGCCATGTTGAGAATACCGCGTCCGTCAAAGTTGATGACGACACTGAGGACACTTTTCGCCCACCGTCTATTGGCCTTGCAGTGTGGCAGAAGCTTCTCGGTGTCGGCGTGGAGCTACGAGGCCTCGAGCCCGTTCCCTTAGACAAGCGGACCGATCGTCGCTACATCAATATATGCACGATTTTGGCAGCTTCCATGATTAGTTTGTTGCCGTACGAGATATCCCCTTCCTTGTATTAGTAGAAACTTGTGTAAACCTGCTGATCTAACTATCATTAGGCTTGGTATTGGACTTGCACCCACTCTTGTGTATGGGCTGTCATTTTCACATGCTGCGGCCATGATTATCTGCCTGCAGTTTGTGCTTATCATCCCATCTGCTTATATCGCCACCATTGCTCCCAAGACAGGCATGAGACAAATGGTCCAAGCACGATATTCCTTTGGGTCAGTCCACTATAAATTAGCAACCTTCTCTCTTCTCTCTTACCTTCAACCTGACTAGTGAACAGAAAGTACTTCAACGGATTCAACTCGCTTCTAGTTACTCTTGGAAGCGCTGGTTTTGGAATTATTGCTTGTGTTCAAGGGTCCCAGGTTCTCACATCTATCAATCCCGAGAGGCTCCCTATTGCCGTCTCAATCACCATTATGATGTTGGTATCGCTGTTCCTTAGTTTCATGGGCTATAGCGTTCTGCATTTTTTCGCGCGCTGGGCCTGGACTGCCACCCTATTCGCTATCGTCGTTCTTACAGGCACATCAGGAGACAAGCTATACCAGCAGGCTCCACCTAGGGCACAAGGCGCTCCGCCTTATATGGGTATGGTGGCATTGGCAGCTGCTAACATGTTAACTTGGGTCAACATCATTGGCGATTATGCTTCATATATGGCACCAGAGGCTCCATCTATCCTTATAATGTGCTATGTCGTCGCAGGCCTTGCTGTCCCTTTCTCCCTATTGATGCTTCTCGGAGCTGCGATTGGAGGCGCTATACCCGTTATCCCGGCATGGGCTGAGGCCTACAAGCTAGGCGGTATTGGCGGTGTCATTGGCCATGTTCTCATCGAGCGACTTGGTGGTTTTGGCAAGTTTATCCTTGTCATTCTAGCGTTCTCAGTTGTCACGACATGTGCTCGGGATCTCTATACCGTCTCTTTCAACGTCCCCGCAATTTTGCCACCTCTACGGGTAGTTCCCCGAATCGTCTGGGCAATAGTTGCCACTGGAGCGATGATCGGTGTTGCGATCGCGGCTTCGGCGAGCTTCTTAGAGTCAATGGCCTCCTTCCTTCACATCTGTGGATACACGGCAGGAACAAACGCTTGTATATACCTGGTTGAATGGTTTTATTTCCGAAAGGCAAACCCTGCTTCAATGGATCCCGCTATCTGGGACGATGCCAGGGCTTTGCCTTCTGGTATCGCTGCAGCGGCCGCAACGTTCATTCCCTGGGCGCTTATTGTTCCAAGCATGCAGTCTGCTTGGTATACTGGACCTATCGCTAAGAAAGCTGGAGATTTGGGGTTTGAATTTGCCGTGGTGGGTGCTCTGTTGGTGTATGCTCCCGTAAGAGCGCTTGAGATCAAGTACAGAGGACATTTGTGAACCTATTACAATTTACTCGAAAGCTCTACTGGAAATCATATCAGAATCTTTTAATCCTTTGGCCAAATGATTTATGGTGTCTTCCCACTAAGTATTCCTGATGTTAATTTACTATAACCATCTCAGTTCAAAATTATTTGTCTATATGCTTACATTCTTTAGCAGCTTTTGGGCTATTTTCCCTACCGGGCATGCTAGCAATTAAGTCAATGCCTAACTATAATTTTACCATGCATATCTGTTTGCCCCTATATAGCTCTGATCATTTACACTACCACAACGAGCTGTTGATTTTGTCTTGGTCTGATGGGGTTGGCACTTATTAGCTTTCTTTCGAAAAGGTATCTAACTATTTCAAATTTCGTCTCTGATGCTGAATAATATCCTACAATTTCTCCTCCTTAATGCAGTGTTCCGAACGAAAACTCTCGTCAATAATCAAAGTGTTTGATCCCAAATCCACGCCCTTGGAAAAGGCCACCCAGACATCCTTTACATGTGATCCGACCCTCTCAACAACGTCTCTGCTCTTCGAGCCACCTAGCATAGGAGCATCTTCCCAAGAGGACCAGGACCCCAGCAAGAAAGGCAAGTCAATTGTATGCGCTGCTCCCCAGGGGCTGCTTGGAGGAGCCCATCGGAAGTAGAAGGACGAGCATTTTCCGCCAGCCGCGAGAACCTGCTTTTGAAAGTGCTTTGATGGCGAGTGGAAAACTTTCTTCGTAATTAGCCAGCTTACAAGCCAACGAATACACCGGCCAAGGAGAGGAATCGTAAAAAATCGAGCCGCACGATCATTCATTGCCGCAAACGGAGTGCCTTCGTCTTTTGTACAGCTAATCAGAACTGGAATGTCCTTGGCCCTCTTCCGTATAACATCGTCAAGTTCAGATATCTGGGGAAGAGGATGTTGTCCGAACGAGGGCGCAAACGGCATGCCGCGTGAACCAAGTTTCTTCGCCGTAATCAGTAGCTGGAGCTGGATTGATAGCATCTCTTCTATCGAGGGAGAACCAGCAGCTAAACTTTGCAATTTCTCCTCTGCAACCTTCGAGAGGGCCAGAGTAAGGCTCTCCGCGGACTTGTCGTATCGTCGGCCGATGGGGGCGCTTTGCAGTATCGCGCGATGAAAGAGGCCCTCAGTGCCTTCCGCAGCCATCAAGCAGAAAATTGAATCTGCTCCCGCGGATTCTCCAAAAAGTGTCACATTGCTGGGGTCTCCACCAAAGCTAAGGATATTGTTTTTCACCCAATTCAGCGCTTCAATCTGATCAAGCAATCCAAGATTTGCTGGTGCAATTCCAGGGATTTGTAGATAACCGAAAATTCCTAGACGATATGTGACACTAACGACCACGACACCGCGAGCCGCCAGCTCCAGTCCTTGATAGCAGTCAAGGTCTCCGCCGCCTGTGAGATAGGCACCTCCATGGAAGAACACCATGACAGGAAGGTTCTGTCCACCGATCGGAGCTGCAATACTTAAATGGGTACAGTCTTCGTCCATGGCCCTACCTTTCGCCAACGGCCCGGTGACCATATCAAGACGCGAAGGAGCTTGTGGGCATATTGTGGATGGCCGAGTGTAATCAACTACTCCTTCCCAAGGCGCAATTGATTGAGGAGGTTCAAAGCGTTTGGCATGTGCGTATGGAACGCCGCGAGCGTGAACTAGGTTCTCCTTCTGAGCTGCGGAGATGGTGCCAGACGGTAGCTGAATGATGATATCCATCTGATCATGCATTGGTAAGACGCAAAAGGTCCAGTAATTGTCAAGCAGGTATATCAGATAGTAAAGGAGTACAGTTAATCCTTGGTGTGCTCTGCATCAAAGCGAAATAATAGCTCCATGTGTTCTGTATAAAAGACTCGATCTGAGCCGTTGGGACTGGACAAACCCCCACACTGATGCAAGATCGAATCGCTAACACGTACCCTGGAGACTCAAGAAGTTCGGTCTCCACCTGAGGGCTAATTGAAGCCAAATAACTCTAACTGACCATGTGCTACATCCATAGGACACGCTAGTGATGGCGTGCGGAGTCGAGCATGCCACAGGAGGCTTGAAAATAGCTAGTCGGCGACTACTTAGGCGGTCAGGTTTGGATAACCCTGGAGTCTCCATTGTTTAGTCCGTGCGTTCAACAACAGTCTGTTAACCAAACCATCTGAACAGTTCAAGACAGTGGCGCGAACAGTTGAATAGCCAAGGTATGCCAGGCTAGCTTCAGAAAGATGTCGCGGAAGATGTCGTCGTTGGTCCTTTTTGGGGCGAGCCAGCGATTTTAGGGTTTCGACATTCAACCAAGGCTGGCCAAATTGCTAGAAGCCGAATAGCCGGCTCGTCGTCGTAGTTTCAAGGTCGGTCGTCCTTCAAACTGTTCATTGATCTGCTAACGAGGAGATTCAGGCATCAGAATGCGGCCCTAATCGGCAGCCAAAGTTCGCTTGATCAACATGCCCGTGTCGGGTGCACGAGTCAAGGTTGCATGCAAGCTGTGCAACTCACGGCGTGTGCGATGCGACCGAACCGAAAGCACCGCGTGCTCCAACTGTCGCAGTGCCGGTCACCACTGCGAGCCCATTCAATCGAGACGCGGCAAGTATGGATCCTCACGTTATTGCTTGATATCATCGTTTTGTTTGCTGGGTGGCGTCCTCTGCATATGAGAAGAAGAAAAAGAAGCTGGGGAAATGTAGAAGAGCCAAGCGGCCGGAATTTCGGACAAGGATGACTCGTTCCTCCAGACGAAGAAACTGATAGGCCCCTTTCACTTAGACACCCAAAGCACAAAAAAGACCGCCCGAACGCAACCAGCATCTCAAGGTCCCGCCCGTCGCAGACCAATGAACGTAATAGCCATCAGCCGGCTGATTCACTTCGCCAAAGTACTTCCTGTCGCAGTTCCCAGGCAGCTCCGGATGCCTGGGACGGAGCTAGCAGTCCGGGAAGGACTCTCCAAAGAGATCTCAACCACTCTAGTTTCAATGGCTCCGGAGGAAATGGTGAACAGAGTAGGCAGGAGAACGGCAGCAACCCAGTTGTGTATATGGGAGACTCTTCCAATATAAATTATTTCATGGTCCAAGTCGGCAACCCGTTCCAAACCTCCAGCCGACCATCTTCTCGTGGCCGTTTCTGGGGCGAATGTCTGCAACGCTTCTTCTTTGAGAGACTGGATCAACAAAGCAAGCAGCTAATAGACCAGGCGTGGTCTGATGACTGCGAGCATCTCAGGGGCTTAGGCGCACTCCAGATGCCGCAGAAAGAGACCAGCGATTCATTGCTCAAAACATTTTTCCTCTACTCACAGCCTGTTTTTCCTATCTTCGACCTGTTGGATTTTTCATCTCTTTATGGAGCAGGCAGGGCGTCTCCACTGCTCTTAAATGCCATTTTTCTAGTGGCTGTCATGCATTGCCCGGAGTCCACTCTCGCTGCAGCAGGGTTCACCTCCAGATATATTGCTTGCTTAACATTTTATCGGCGGGTAAAAGCTTTATACGATGCAAATTACGAGTGTGACGCTATTTCTACCATTCAGGCAACTCTTCTCATATCGCACTGGTGGGGAAGTCCGCTGGAGCAGAAGGATACATGGCACTGGCTGGGAGTGGCAGCGGGGCTGGCTCAGTCTTTAGGAATGCATCAATCGTCCGTTGCACCCGTTTTTTATCATTTCTTGCCCCATGGGCCTTGTGGATGACTGACATTTGACAGAAAATCTTATTCGTCACTACAGCCAAGATATCGAAGACTATGGCGGAGAATATGGTGGACGCTTTATGTATGTTGGTCGCCTTGTATGGACACCATGATGGCTTCTTACTAAGAGTCGATCGCAGGTTCAAGATATTCATATGGCGACAGTCCTCAATCGACCACCTCATATCAGCTCCTCCTTTCTCGATGTAGGACCCTTAGATGAGACAGACTTTTGTGACACAGAAGTCACCGGAACAGACATCTTTCCAAATTTAAGCCGTGAGAGTAGACTGTTTATAATCCATTTTGCAGAGTTGATTTCGAAAGGTATATTTATTTGGCAACCGGGTTGCAAGCTATACATGTTTTTTAGGAGAGTTGGCTAACTATCTAACCTGGCAGTCAATGTCTGTCTCACTGAAAAACTCATGGCATCTGGGAATTCACCGCATGGACAGCCCATCGACGAGGACTGGCATCTAACTTTACCACCAGAACTACGGGACCTGCCATCACGGATCTCGATGGACCATGGGTTCTGGGGCTCCATCTTACAGATTTCCCATTGGTATGGAGAAACCTGGTTGAATATTAATGTTCTCTTGCTAACGGGCTTTGATAGCAACTATCAAATTGTATTTCGCCGTCAAACGTCAGAAAGTCCGGGTAGTACTGGTGTAGGGACAGTGCCATTCAACGCAGCAGCCAAAACCACCCGACTAATCGAGGACCTGCTCTCGTCTGGAACTCTCTACCTCGCGCCTAGACACATGTAAGTTGCTCATTACTCTCTATCTTACCACATGCTTCTTTGTCCATGGGTGCTCATGATAATTTATTTTTCCCCAGCGTTTCTGGGATCTTCGCCTCACTGGTTATCCACATTATAAATATCCGCAAAGGGGATGATTATATAAAAATGATCTCCGAACATTGGGCCAACTTGTCGATGACTGTGCTGAGCAAATTTGAAGAGCTATGGCCGATTGTGGTGTGGACTCGACGTCTTTTCGAATGCATCTTGAAACCGCCGTCCGCAGAGGCGACCAGCAACGCCGCAGGCAGTAACCTAGGTTACTACCAACAAACAATTGATGAAAGCAGGATACCTCAGATGCTCTCTCCGGATTCAATGGCCGAACACCACGTTGGTAGAACTAGGCATGCTGCCCAGGAACGAGATTTAGCCGATGCAGCGAGCAGTGGGATAGGTACCAGTTTCTTTCCTTGCCACCAGAACGAGGATTTTTCATCGCTTTTTACGTCGTTTCCATTTGGAAGTCTTTTAGAGGATGCAGGATTCAGCCCTGTGACTGGCCTTGCCTATTTGGACACCACGATGGCCCAACCGCCGCCAGATATGTCCCAGCTACCATGATTGTGAGCATCAAGAAATAAGCGTATCGCAATTTGCTGGCACATCTCCCTAGCCCTAAGCTAAACCACAGAGCTGCACTCGAAAGTGGAAACATGACTCATACAATACATTTGACTGTTGTATAGATGTCATGATGACAATTATAGTTAAATAACAAAGTTTTAGCCCTCAAATACCGCTTACTGCTCAATGACACTCGCAGGAATGTTATGGGATGACCGAAATTTCATGAGCGATAGTTACGAGTAGAGAGCAAAGAAAGTAAGTACTGGAGTTTGCCAAGGGAAGTTGGCCAACTGCGTCCATCAATATTGAATATCAAGTGATCGATGATCCAGTTTCAGATATATCTCCCATAAAGAGATGTAGACTCCTAGGCCCCATCATAGTCATAATAAATATTTCATCAAAGAAAACTTAAGAACCGGAAACAGTTTCCCTAGTCCGGGTCAAATCGTCGCTTGAAGGATGAAGCTTGACTTTCTCAGAGTTAGCCCAGTCACTCTCGAGTCTGTGCTGTCGAGTATCAATACGCAGCGCCACTCCCAGTATTGGTAGCTGCAGTTTCATAATGGGTTGTTGCGCGAAGGCGATTATAATCGTGCTGGGTGATTGGGAGATAGCTCGCAGGCTTGTCCTCGCTCACACACGAAGGAAGGCATTTGATAACCGACGTAGGGTCTGGAGCAGTGAAGTAGGGAATGGAGTAACGTCCACGAACCATACGATTGAACCCCTCGTAGCGGTCAGAGAGAGGTGGTAACGTAACCCGATGAAAAGTTGAGCGGAGATAATCTTAAGAAAAGTTAGTGACACATGACGACGGGAAAAAGAGATCGATGAGAGTAGGGATGGCGTTATATATGGATAATACCATTGCTCCATCTCTGTAAAAGATCTCCGACATTCATAACTATCGCATCTTTGATTGGCGTTGCAGCTATATAACGACCCTTATTGCGAATGTCTTCAACCTCTAACCCGCCACACTCATCTTGAAATAGGAACGTGATCGTACTCCAATCAGTATGCGAGGGCATACGCGCATACTTTTGCTCCTCCAGCAACGCCGCTGGGAGAGGAGGGTAGTGCAGCAATCGAAGTTGGTTATTGTGCCCTGAATGAAACTTCAGCAGATAATCTTCTTCTTCCAGGCCAATTCCGATCGAGATTGCCCCCAGGACATTTTTTGTCACTTCGAAACAGTCCCAGTAGAACTGTGTCATGAAACTGCGGAATCCCGGCAGCATCTCTTCAGGAATCCACACATTCGGCTGATCCTGATTTCCATCGCTTCCTATATCGTAACTTTCCTATCGATGAGGCGTGTAAGTCATTTTGCCACGGCATTTTGCAAACCTAGCATTCATCCAAACAAATGGGATCCAGCGATCACCTTGTAGTCAGTTATCTCTCGCAGTCTCTTTGCGAGCTCCGGGTCCTCCTTGTCGCTCATTGCCTGCGAAACCTTTTCAAGCCCGGGACTCGAATATCCGCGATGAACCGAGGCACCGCTTGGATGAGGAGCTTTTTGTTTCTCATCTGAGGAGAGATTAAAAAACTTCTCCGACCAGGCGAATGCTTCAGCTACTTTTTCAGGAGCCATTCCGTGGTTCACAATGTACACAAAGCCGACGTCTCTGCATGCCGACACAATTTCCTGGGCCACCTTCATCCGTTCCTCTCGCGAGGAGCCACGCTTCCAGTTGGCAAAGTCGACGACGGGAATCCCCTTTGGGGAGCTCTCAGGCTCGCTATCACTCGCAGCCTGACCAGGCACCATCGTGAAGGGGCTCAGTGCAGCACAAACAACAGACTAAACTCGAAAACACGTCGTCTGTAGGAGACAGTGGGAGGAATCCAACTTTGACTGAAACGCATTCACCGTCTTCGTGCTCAAGCCGGATGACTACATCATAATGTGGGGGAAGAACAGGGCCCGTTGCAGGCTCCCCGGACGCCCTAATCCTGGCGAATCATTATTGGTGCTGATGTGTATGTAATAAAATTCAAGACCGGATGGTGGTCCATGAGCCGGCCAATGCAGACCCGGGCGACAGAAGCGTGCTCCAACCGCCAAAAAGTGTGAATCGCATGCCCATCTCGCCTGTCGCTTGGATCGGTGAGCTAACATGGTCCCGTACTGCAATCAAGGAGACGTTCCCTGGTGGTGCAAACGGATGAAAAGGCTGGGGCCTTGAAGATTTCAGCTCAGTCGAAGTCTGAAACGACGGAACCAAAACAGCATGGATGATGGCTCGGGCAGCGGCTGAGGTTGCTGTTGCAAGCGCCGTGTGCTTCAGAAAAAAAAAAAAAAAAAAGGTCGTTTGTTGACATGGCTCCGGTTGCCGTGGCAGTGAGACAGCGTGCCCGGGCAGTGGAGATGCCCAGCGATGCCAGCCCGAGCGCCATCATTGGGCGACGACGATGACGACGGGCTATCCCCGGCGCTCTTGGAATCAGGATCTGTTCAGCGAGTGACAGTTCATCAGTCGCGAGATCCTTTTCTTTTTTCTTTTTTCTTTTCTGTTGGCGATGGACTTGATCAATTTCGATCCTGCAACCGCTGCTTGACTCTGTTCGGGTTGCACTGGCGATCGTCCAAGGCCGTTTGCACTCGGTCCTTCTCGTGACCTCTCTCGATGATCTCACGAACCACACGCTTTTTCCCTGTCACGATGTACGTTCCGGCTGAAGACCACGCCGTTGCTCTTTTTTTGCAAAATACGCAGAATGAGTCCATTGCCACGTACTAACGGGAAGTTGAGATAACCCCTAGAAATAATAACCACGAGAGAGCCCGGCCTTTGATCGAATCCGTCTCGGTTTGCAACCCATTGCGGGTTCTTGTGAAGGATGCGAGCAGGACTCTCGTTGCTCCTCCCCATCCTCGTCCAAGCGACCGGCTACGACCGCACCTCTCCGTTCCACCAGCCCGTCATCGACGGCTCCGATATCATCGCCCGCGACGGCATCGAAGCTCTTTTACTTCTTAAACGCCAGAACGGCTGTCCAGCAGGTTTCAACTCATGTGCGTTCCTAGATGCACCCGGCGCCTGCTGCCAAAGGGACACGATATGTTCTCGCGATGATGCGAACAACATCGCATGCTGCCCGACGGGCGCAGCCTGCACCGGAATTCTAACCCGTAGGCCCTACTTCGCTTCCCACCTTGGTTCTGACATCAAGTAGCTGACAGCAATGCCTAGAATCGTCCTCCGCAACCACATCTTCTGGCTTCATGTTTCCAGAGCCAGGCACCGCGACGACGACAAATCCCCCATCCCTGACCGGCAGCACAGTTCCTAATGCCCCTTTTCCCTTTGTATACATACCCACGAGCTTCAGAGACCAGCCAGAATGCGTGCAATCATACTCCGGCTGTGTGTCGCAGTTCCAAGCTTGCGCCAGCTCCCTAGGCGGAGTTAATGGAGTGACAATAAGCGGTGCAGACGGCGCCGGAACGACAGTACAGGGAGTAGAACCCACCGCGGACGCCCAGTCGATTTGCCTTAGTCTCAGTCGCGAAGCCTGCTACGGTCTTCAGGAAGCCTACTGCACCGCTTTCCAGGACGGTAGCTCTGGGGCATCGCCGCCATCGACCAGAACTTCGCCTCTTTACGAGATCCTGACCGGACTCGGGATCGCTCTTGCAGGGATGATTGCTTAAACGAGAAGATGATATTATGTCCGATTCGTACTTTCCACGACTTCTCTCTGAATGGAAAAAGGGAGATATCGCTATGCCGTGATGTCTATTTACTCTTGGTTTATGTCTATCGATTTACGCTGTACATATTGCACTTACAGGGTATGGGAGCATTAATTTCACATAAAAGGTATGCACATAATGCTGTTCAATAGTGTTTGTTCGTCAGGCTTTTGTCCATAATGAGGATTTGCTTTGCTATGCTTTTCAACAAACACAATCCTTTCTAATTAATACAATATTAAAGGGTGGCTTCATGAATCATGGGCCCTTTGGACCCCCTTTGGAGAGTTCTTTTTTTTTATTTTATTTTATTTCTTTTTTTTCTCCTTATTAAATTCGCTTAGTCCTTGAAATTCAATAAGCCTTGATAGACTTGAGCCTGGCGACGGTCTTTCAAGTCAAATGCAGTGGAAAGAGTACAAAATGCATGTTTGATTTTCTCCATGTTATCCTAACCAAGAAATCAGGGTTTCAGTGCTACATATTCTTGACCCTTGGTCCTCCAACCACGGTGACAATGACTACCCTCTCTCTACCGATGTCATGAAGCTGTCTTCAAGAATAATCACAAACTCTCATGAGTCAGAGCTGCTGGCGCAACCTTGATTGAGATGCGCATTACCTCCAAGAAGCAGCTTTGGGGACGGTAGCTACCCGGAGCTCAACGCTGATCAGAGCATGTGTATCTTGTTGCTCCCGCGGAAAACTGCCCTTGCGTCTGGGATTCCGGAAATATTCCATAGAACGGCGTACTTAAGCTGTTCGCTTCATGTTCCTTTGCACTATGATACCCATACAAGGTTCCATGGTCGTCCTTACCGGCCTTGGTGATTCATAGGGGATGACTCCAGCGGTACGTGCTTTAAACGACAGAATGATGTTGTCGTGACGTTTGTCGATACTATATAAACGGAGATGTCGCCCGGAGGGCTTTCTTCCCTATTCATATATATATGAATATATATATGTCCCTACTCGCAATGACTCGTTTATAAATTCTTCTCTTGCGATTTCAAATATATATTTCCCTTAATTGCCTCGCGGACTGATATATATATATATTTACATACGGTTTACGGTACAGCCGAATAGTATATATCCTGCCGGTCATGGTGTCTACGCATGATCAAACAATCCCAGCAGTACCTTATATCCTTCAGCTACCGAAGGAGCTTCTTCTCGAAATCTTTGACTGGCTTGTCGACGTCAACCCTCCTTGTCATGAGCGGGGCCGTACTTGGAACGGCACTTTCTGGGCAGTAGCGTTAGCCTGCAGACGGTTCTATGCCACAGCCACGCCATATCTCTATCGCAGCATGCAATTCGGAGGCGCTAAGATAGAGCATGGATTTTACCCGATAGGCGATCCAGTCATCTGCCTATTCAATACGTTGAAAAGCAGACCGGACTTGCGCCGACACTGCAGGCACCTGATTCTCCATCACATGCCGCTTCTCAAAACACGAATGGCTGGCGAGATCTTTACTCTCCTCACCAACGTTAGAACGCTTGAACTCGGTGGCGATACCTTTTCGCGACTCTGGCCGCATCTCATATTCCACATATCGTCAATCCCACTCCAAAGCCTCAAGTTGAGCCAACCGCAGATATCGCGTGAATTAGCACTCCTTGTCAGAAGATTCCCTCCGGCACTTACGAGTCTCACCTTGTCCGGTTATTGGAGGACACAAGCAGACTTGTTTCTTAAGTATGCAGAGAAGAGATGCGACACTGTCACTTCTCTAAAGCTCCTCAATTCCGAGCTTTTACATTGTGGAGTTTTCGAGGCCTTGGTGATGATGTTCCCGAAACTAGAACACTTCACCCTCGAAATGGCGGCCCAATTCCCGCCTTGTCGACACCTTGAGCCGCCGGCGTTGACCCGCGTATTGAGGAAGTGCCGTGATTCATTGAAAAGCCTCACCTTGCGACCACTCGACTTCCCACGCGGGGCATGGAACATGGCCACGTTCAACTTTCCGAACTTGGAAACACTCCAAATTCCGGGGCATATGCTCACCGGCGGTTGTGGAGATTTCAGGGACACGGCCGATATGATTGTATGTCCAAAGCTGCGCCGCCTGGTCCTGGAGTACTTCTACGGAGATACGTTTGCCAACACAAGCGCGGACCTCGGAAAGCCGGACGTGCAATGGCTCTACGAATTCGCGGAGCACAGCTATATGCAACGCCCGGCCTTGCAGGAAATAAAGGTGCAGTTTGACAATAAGATTTATATGTGTCCTGGAGACCGGTATTATCTGTATCCCTGGGTGATGCTCAATAACCTGCAACGGGAGATAAGCCGCTTCGGAATAAAGCTCACTTACGACGAGCCTGAGAACCCGTGGGATGGTTTTAGATTCCCATATCATGCGAGGGCCGAAATGTGGCCGTGTCCCCTTCACCCCTACAGTTTTAGGCGCCTTAGTCAGGAGCGAGCACCGCCTGATGATGTCCCGAAGTCAACGTTCGTCACGGAGATATCCTGGACCACATAATAGAGCTGGGCACCGAGAGCGATTACTCTCAAATCGTCATCGCATTCGGGTCGTGCCTTTTTCTATATTTTTTCTTTTTCTTTTTCCTTTTTTTCCCCCCCCCTCCGCTTTCAGATCTTATTTTTCTCTATCGCCATCCCGTTCATGTTCAGCTCAGTGTGTTTCCATACGACGAGTCAGCAATAAGAATGCTGGGGATGGAGGAGTTGCCTTGGTCGGAATTTTTTTTTACAGTTTTTGACTGTATCATATATATAGATAATCTGTCAGCATTTCACAATCCGGAAAATGAACAATCTCAACCTCTTGTCCGTCATGAACTTTCTTTTCGTTGGTAGGAGAGCCAAGACAAAGGTTGTGTATAAGCTGGTTCGGCAAAGTGTGTTTTTTGCCATCCTGCCATTTAGTGGACAGTCTCGAGAAATGTGTCTCAGTTAAGCGCCTCTTAAGTATCGGGTTTGGCGGCGATGATCGAAGCTTTCAGGGAGAAGAGAATGGGCCTGTGCCCGTTGCTTTCCAAAACCAGAGTGCGTTCTTCATTGCAACATCGCCAATGGCCGAAGAGAGGATCGCAAGACGAAGGATAACCGGCTCAGAAGCATGGAGTATATGCCTGTATTAATCGAGGTATCCTCCAACTTCACCAAACTTGTCGATTGGTCCATACTCCGTATTCTCATGGGCGATCAAGCAGAACCGGTGAGGCCTGGCGCATCTCCAGGGGTTTGTCTGCCAGGGAAAATCTCGAGCAAGCCAACGTTGGCCAGTTGCGTGGTCGTTCGCGGGCGTGTTGATCCCCCGCATCGCCAACATAATCCATCATCGCACTTGATAGAGTTGATGCCGCCCGGGACCGTTTTCTCGAGCACCATCGCGATCCTGCGTGGTTGTCCTCTCGCTATTTTTACTCATCGCTGTTTCATCAGCAAACCGCATCGCTTGCGATCGCCCTGGCCGAGAAAGTCGGTGGTTGGGCATTGATGGAGCGGGTGGCTGGGAGACTTCCCGCCCACCGAGCTGTGGTGACGTGAAATACCCAGCCTTTTCTGGTTCACAAACACGAAATCTTTTTTTTTCTCTCCCTTTTACTCCGTACCTTTGCCTTTCTTTCTATCTCCTCTTTTGCCTCTTTACATTCGTCTGTGTTCCCGGATTTCGAATAGCTCTCCTCGTCGGACCGGCCGAGACTGCTGTGTTGTTGACATTCTCTCCCAGCCCATCATCCTCCCTGGCAACGGAGGTCAGGAGCTCAGATCATAACACTCTGCGGCCAACTCCGATTGCACCAGGTGTTGGTCACGTCATTCATGATTAACGGCTATTTTTCTGTTGTTCCTTGGTCTCAATTACCGTTCGCTGTCTAAACTGCACACCAGCACGCGCTATATACATACATATATACATCATATCCGAAGCCCCTGCTCCAGGATGCGACGAGCAACCCACCGGTCGACGGCCCTCTCCGTCGTTGCGCTCCTTGCGGCCACACCTCTACCGACATATGCTTCGCCATTCCCTACCCAGTCGCCCAGTCCCAATATCCTCATACACCGCGACTGCCCCAATCCTTGTGGTTTCTACGGCCAGGTGTGCTGTCAGCAGTCCGAAGAATGCTACACGAATTCCGACGGCCAAGCTGCATGCAGATCCGCTTCCAAGGGCGAGTGGGAGTACTTCACGACGATATACACTCGGACAGATCTCGTGGTGGTCACCTCGACAGGCAGTCGCGCCGCCTCCCCGACCTCGCCCGGAGACACGCAATGCAGAATTTCCCTGGGTGAGACTCCGTGCGGGGATACCTGCTGCACTGCCGCAGAAACATGCAATGCAAAGGGCGTCTGTGTCGAAGGAGGCAGTTCCCCATTTCCTTCGGCTAGCCCGCCAACGAGACCGACCAGCGACGCGACCGTGACGGCCACAAAGGCACCAACCACGACCGTTGGCTTTATCCCAGCCATCAGCACCGACGGGAGCACCTTGATCGGCGGAATCACCCACGGCAGCGGCGGGCTCAGCGGCGGGGCGATCGCAGGTATCGTGATCGGGTCTCTTGCGGGGGCGTTTGTGCTGCTGCTGCTCTGCCTCTGTTTCTGCGTCGGAAGCATCGCCAGTCGCATCCGCGGCGTGTTCGGTGGTGGGCGTCCACATCCACCGTCAACCGTCTACTCCTCGTCTTACATGTATTCGGCTTCTGAGAGCGGCGGCGGGCATGGAGGCTGGCACGGAGGACAGCCACCGTCGGAGCACGGGAAGTCTGGATGGGCTAAGTGGTTGAGCATTGGATTCCTCGCTGGAGCGATTGCATTGTGCTTGGGCTTAAGGAGACAGAGAGCGGAAAGGTCTGAGAAGAGTTATTATTCGTACTACACCGCGTCGTCGTCCGAGAGCAGCTCGAGTAGCCCCTCTAGCGGCCGTCCACCACGCAGCGGTCACCATCCGCCACGCAGCCATCGAGGATACCCGAGTGACCGTGGCTCCAGAAGACATGGATCGCATTGAGGCGAGTTACACCACCGCTACTGGACAAAACAGTGTCTCGATCAACGCCTCACCGAACTACTTCCAAGATTTCCCCCCCCCTTTTTTTTTTTTTTTTGCTTTGTTCCCCTCTCCCCCGTTCTTTCAAAAAACGAAACCCTTTTCTCTAACGACAGTAATGATCCGACCTGGGATAATGTGGATTGGCTCTGGGATTTGCGCATGGACGTTTTTGTTTCGCTTTCCAAGTATCTTCTGGGAGTTATGTGGTGTTAGATCTGGCCAGCAGCCATTATTTTACGTCGAGTTGACGATGACAGCCTGTGGGCGGATTGAATGTGCTATAAAGGATATTAGACGATGGACATATTGGCACCAGAAAGTCGCAAGGAGGCTTCAGGGCCATCGCATGATGGATTTCAATGGATGTATGATGTTACGCTTGATGGATCTCGCTGGTAATTAAAGGCTGCATTCCTGTACATACATAGTAGTAGTTATACGAACATAATGACGTTGGTTCGATCAAGCGCTGATGCTGGTTGTGAGTGAGATGGATCGTAACAAAACTGCTCAAGCCCTACGCATTCGCCAATCGGACACCTCCGGACTGCAGCCGAAGCTGTAGAGCTGCCTGCTCCGAGCTGATTTGCTGAGGGCTGGGCGCATCGTCCGCCAGTGGTTGCCCCTGGCGCCGCGAACCTCTCGGCGGGGGGTTGGCGATCCGGTTCGGTCTGAGTGCAACATGGCTCGGAGGGGATTGCTTTTGAAGCAGTGCTCCGTGCTGGCTTCTGGGCGATCTTCGCTGTGATCGCGAAACTTGACTCGTTCAACCAACGAAGTGAAAAGCCGTCGGTCCGCTGAGTCAGCACCCTCCCACTCCGGCGTCTCGAGCCACAACCAGCTCGCTCGCCCTCTTTGATCTCTCTCTCTCTCTCTTCCTCTGCTCTCTCTTTCTCTCTCTTTTTTTTCTCTTTTCCCCCCTCACTCTACTTGAACCATTCTCTCGTAGACACCCTGCTTATCTACATGCCTCTCGCGCCACACGATCCCGCTGAATCGCCGCTCTTCTTCCAGACAAACACCACTCGGGGCCTCTACCCCAGAGTGAAATCCTCCAGAAAGGCCTAGAAAAGAGAAGCGAGGGACGTCCACTCTTCATACTTCCCATCATGCTCCAGGCTCAGACTCAACACCTCTTCTCCCATCAGCACCAGTACCCCCAGGCTGATTCCACCTGGCTCCAGCACCAGCAACACCAACAGCACCAGTCGCACTTCCAACAGCAGCAGCAGCATCACTCCCTTGCGGCTCAGCATGCCGCACAGGCACAGGCTCAACAGGTGGCCGCAGCTGTAGCTCAGCAACAACAGCAACAACAACAGCAGCAGCAACAACAGCAGCAGCAGCACCCACACTACAATCGCCTTGCGCTGAGCGGTGCCACCTCTGCGAACAATCCCCAATCCGCTCAGGGCGGTCCCGATAGCACCGCCCTCGGAGCTGCTGCAAACATGGACAGCATGATCAGCGAGGAGAATCGCAAGGTTCTCGTGTGGGTTGCTGAGCTGCTGGACCCGAGCCGGAGGGAGACTGCACTCATGGAGCTGAGCAAGAAGAGAGAGCAGGTCCCCGAGTTGGCCTTGATCATATGGCATTCATTCGGTATGTCAATGTCCCTCGTCCACTTCGTTTCATTGTCGCAGTTACGTTCTTTAAGGTACTAACTGAACGCAGGTGTTATGACATCGTTGCTGCAGGAGATAATCTCCGTCTACCCGTTGCTGAATCCTTCCCAGTTGACTGCCGCTGCGTCAAACCGAGTCTGCAACGCCCTTGCTCTCTTGCAGTGTGTCGCCTCTCACAATGAAACGCGGACTCTTTTTCTGAATGGTGAGATCCCAAAAAGAAACACCTGCTACACCCATTGTGTCTGTTGTTGTGGGGCTCTTAACCAATGGATCTTTTTCCGTAGCTCATATTCCACTCTTCCTCTACCCGTTTCTCAACACCACCTCAAAGTCCCGCCCTTTTGAATACCTTCGCCTCACATCCCTGGGTGTGATCGGTGCTCTGGTGAAAAATGATTCGTCGGATGTCATCAACTTCCTTCTTACAACTGAAATCATCCCCCTCTGTCTACGGATCATGGAAACCGGATCTGAGCTGAGCAAGACCGTGGCCATCTTTATCGTTCAAAAAATATTGCTCGACGATATCGGTCTCGCCTACATCTGTGCCACGTACGAACGTTTCTATGCTGTCGGCTCCGTCCTGAGCAACATGGTCACTCAGCTTGTTGAGCAACAGACAGTTAGATTGCTCAAGCACGTCGTGCGCTGTTTCCTTCGGTAAGTTCTCCAATGGTAATTAGCTTTGAGAGACCTATCCGCTTACTGTGATGATGACTAGACTTAGCGACAACAACCGGGCGAGAGAAGCCCTTCGTCAATGTCTGCCGGAGCCACTTCGTGATGCTACATTCTCCTCTGTTCTCCGTGACGATGCTGCCACGAAACGATGCCTTGCTCAGCTTCTCATCAACCTCTCCGATAACGTTGTCGACACGTCTGCCGGTCCTACCATGTAGCGCAGAAGGCCCTCGATATTCACAATTATCATTGTGAAAGAAAAAAGAAAGAAAATAATCGGCAATATAAAAAGGATCCTGTCATTTTTATAGATATGGTGACAAACAGGAAAGAAAAAAAAGGAAGAAACGCTGCTGCTGCTGCTTTTCTTTTCCCCCTCGCTTTACTTTGGTGTGATTTAATTTTCTTTGAGCATTTGAGAGTTGCGGGGAAAGAGATAAGGAAGCCTTCTTGCCATATACCATGCACCAGATTTTGCCTGTTTTTTTTTTTTCCCTCGCCTTTTCTACATGTGTGGGCGGATTTTGTCCGTCTGATACATACCCCCTTTCGTTTCAATCGCGTTCAATGGTGTTTTCATTAGCTGCTTATTACCAAGTTGCTTTTGCATTGTTATTTTTGATGTTGTTTTTATCTTTCGCTCATGGGCACTGGCGTGTGGGGATTATGGGGATGGGATCAGGGAATAGGTGTGTGGCGATATATGGTCTTCTGGGAGTTTTTAAGCCCTGCTGTTTCAAAACTCATGTCTTCAATGTTTCCTCGCAAGTTGCCCCTATGGTTGATATCACAAACAGCATATTTTCTCTTATTGATGTGTGGGATTAGCGAGACCATCTTAGTTTCAAGTTTGTGGGGGTTCTTTATTTCGCTTTTGTTCTCTCTGATCTGCAATGCTTCCCTGATGTGCGGTGCGGCTTTTCAATCTTTTTTGGACAAAAAAGCAATATTTGGTTCATTTCAGTGGGTGATATGATGGGTGGTATCCTCCTTTTCCTTTTTTTTCCCCCCCTTCTTTTTCCCTCGTTACCGAGTTGAGAAGATGGGGCTTTGGGCTTTTGGGCTTCCAACCATCCGCTTTCTCAATGGAATGGATGACGGAAGCTGATCGGGTTTCTCTGTGCTCTTTTAGATCTCCACATACATACTTTTGCTTCTCTAATCCATCCTTTTTTGTTTTTTTTGCACATTCTATTGCCCCCCTGCTCTACCTTCTGAACTGTTTGCCTCACAGGCCGGTGCGCAGGTTCGATCCTCGCCCCGAGTCTTCCTTGTGCAGCATCTGATAGGAAGAACGGCCCTAGTGTGCTTGCTCACCGTCCGTTTATTCCCTTTGGCAGAGCACAAGTACAGAAAATGAGAGTCTTGATCGTACGTGCGGCGGAGAAAATAAGAAAGAGGGGGGAGGGTGGAATTGATATCCTTTTGTTTTTTTTTTTTTTTTTTTTTTTTTTTTTTTTTTTTTTAAACAAAAAAACTTTTTTCGCATGTATCTGAATAATCAATATGTAAAAACTCCATAGTTAGCTAGGACATAATAGCACCAGCTCCTTTTTTTTTTCTAATTTCTTAAAGCATGTTTGTAGGGAGTGTGTGTATGATAATTAGTTTCTTAGGTTTATTCTCTTTTTTTCCCGCCTTCCGGGTGTTAGGCGTGTAACAGGGGGGATTGCAAAACGGCATTCATGAATTTGCCGGCGGGAAAGTCTTGTGGGGGATGGGAGAAGGGCACCTGATCACTGTCCGGAACGGAGTGGCCGGGTTACTCTTTTTTTTTTTTTTTTTTTTTTTTGGCAATGCGATACATCGATGCGGCAGGGATGGAACGGTCTCGCCCCAAAAGAAAGAAGGGAAAACAATAATACGAGTGAATGACCGTCAAAATCCATATCACTCCACCTTCTTGCCCGTACCCCGTCTTGGCTACCTACTGGTAAACCAAAGATGGAGAGCATCTCTCCTAACTTATATGTTCAACACGAACCGAGATCAAAGAGCTGGTGATACAAGCCGGTAAACGAATTAAGGGACGAGGCCTTCAGCGACAGAATGGAATCGCTCCACTTTTCACTTACGAGTTGCATCTCAAACACACAATAAATAGATTGGTAAATATTGTTATTGTGAAAAGTGGTAGGAGGAACATGTCACATTAAGGCCACGAGTCAATCCTGCCAAACAGGGTCGAGGAGACGTCAGAACCGGCCGAAATATAAAAATGGAACAGACGGAGCAAATGAAGATGGAACGCACAGCGGCACAGGAGTGCATGCCGAAGAAAAACACACACAATAAGTTTCTTGAACACGAGAGGACGGAGATAATAATGACACCAGAAAAATCCTCCGAAAAACCAACTTTTATAACGATCGCGCATGACTACCGTTCAAACAACGGATCATCGTCGATGCGGTTGGACGATCAAGGCATGGCTCGAACCGCCCATCATCACAGGCCCACACAGTATCACATAAACAAAACAGTACAAGATCAATCCAAGTCGCAAAAAAAAGAATCACAGCAGAGAGCAAGACCATTTTTACTGTTGAGTCTCCGCGAGAGACTTCCAGTACGCCTCGCGTTGACGGCTATCCTCCAAGGCCTTCTCCAATTCAGCGATGCGACGCTCCATTTGCTCCTGGAGTTCGACCTTACGGGCGCGAGATTTGCGAGCAGCTTCAGTGTTCCTTGCACGCTTGGCGGCAACAGGATCGCTGGTATCATAAACGATTGGCGGAAGAGGCTTGTCTCGATTGCGTGGCTTGACTCCAGAGATGGAGGAAGGGCGAGTTGAAGACCGGCTGTTGCGGGGAGATGCTCCGGGAGAGGATGCAGTGCGGGTCATAGGTGTGATGAGCGCGCTTGGTGCTTTTGGTGAGCAGAGAGGCACCTTCTCATCGAACTTTGGAAGCATCGCGGATTCAACCGGGAACAACGACTCCCACTCTTCATGGCCGGGGCCAAGGTCCGAATCAGTAGCAATGAGCGGCGAGGTATCATGGCTGAAGTAACCGGGGGACTCAAACGAGGGAGTGCTCATGTCGGTGAAGGAGGTTGACGGTGGGGCGGACGAGTCCATCATCAAGTCCTTTGGAGACACGGTCTGGGCGGGCATCTGTTCTGCGACAGAATTGAAGTTGATAAGCTGATCGAGCTGATCTTGATCTAACAAGGAACTGTGGGAAGAAGAGCCCAGGTCCTCGACGAACTGGTCCGTCGAGAGATCCAGGAGGGTTCCGATATCTGGACGCTGGTTAGCCACAAGACGCACGGCAGATGCAGAGAGAGACACCATACCGAGCGGGAGATTAGACGTAGACATCGCTCGACGATGATGTTGTGTCTGTGGATGCTGTGGTGTACTGCTTCCCGTACCGGGAAAGAGGGGAACTGGAGGACGAACGGAATGCGGTGAAGCGCCGCGGGCCAGCAACAGAGCGTTTCGGCGCTGCTGAGGCGAGATATTCACGCGTGGACGAGGAGGAGACCAAGTTGACGGGACACAGAGCCCCTGGGACTGACCGATGATGCTTGCCACTCTCGGGTCTTGAGCAACGGGCGAGCTGGACGAACGAGCCTGCAGCTCGTGCTGATGTTGCTGGGCGAGGAAAGAGTGACGACGAAAATTGCGTGCCGAAGCAGGGTTCAGCGGGACGGCAGGTCTAGGGGGATTCGCTTGGGGAGAGTTCCAGTCGCGTATGCGAGACGGCGCGGGGAAGAGCACGAAGTCGTTGTGAGGAACGTGCAGGGGATTCGAGGGAGCCGGAGGCTGCTGGGATGATGGGGGTTGAGGCCATGTTGACTGTTGGTTATCCGTGGTGAACGACGTAAAGTCGAACGTGATGGTTGGAGTTGGAGTCTGGGAACTCGAGCTGCGCAGAGCGTTGCCTAAGTTCAGAGGTCCTTCACGAGGAAGCTCTGAAGAAGTGTGAAACTGGGGGTAGACCGGAGTGGTTGAGGAGAGTATGGTTACGGTGTTGTCTCTTTCCTTGGAAAAGAGAGAAGGCAAAAAGCGAAGAAGCTTAGAAGGCCGTCATGATGGACTATCCCTTCTGATTGACCTTTTTTTTTTAAATGTAGAGTGATTGTAGATGGTTTGTGTGAATACTGTGTGGGAAAGATTGTGAGTGTGGGTTGAAAAAAAAAAAAAAAAGAGAAGAGGCAGAGAAAAGACGGGCGGCGGGGGGAAAAGGAGGCTGCCAGGCAGTTAATATGAGGCCGCTGCCGGCTGTGCATTACCTAAGCTCTTCGGCTGGGCGAATTGCAGTGCGGCGGGTCGTGGGGCTGAAAATACCCTCACGCTTTTCCTGATTCGGCACTCCGACCTCGTAGCTATCCCGGATCAGGTATAGCGCCAACGGGGTGGACCCGCTGCTGTGACTCACACCCCCATTGACGCTGCTGATTGGCCAATGTGTTACCCCGACGCTCCGAACGTAGCTGGCCCTAAGCCGCTTCTGGTAACTGCGCGGGACCTTTCTGGTACATGGCACTGGCCTGGAGCTCGGCTGCGCGCTCATGTCTCGCCCAGGTACCCGCTGCTCTGGCTCGTTCTCCCGGCTCGCTGCGACGGACGCGTCCCTTGGAAACCGAGCCGCACTCTTCAGCTCGTTCCTAATGAAGTCATCCAGCCCCGTGCCCTCCGCCTATAAAAAAGAAGTCTGCTCAACTCAATTGGAGGCCTCATTTCAACCGTCCCGGTTTCACACAATTTCAGCGACCATCTGAACACCCATCGAATATTCGAAAAGGTCAAAGGAAGTGGCCTCCCAAGGTTGAAGCTTGATGGGAGGTTGAGTTCACATGTTCGCGAGCTTAAATTGGGTGCGGAAGCGGATCCTCCCATTGCGCCTCCGGAGTCGCAATTCGTCCTCCGACATCGCGGATTCAGCCACGGGGGCCCACAGGCTGATTTCCTCGTCGCGCTGCTTCAGCTGCGGTCTGGGGCTTCGTCTGGCAGGTCAGCCTAAATACGGAGTCGCTGCCAGGGTTCATTCAGTCCGCTGCCCGGGCGTCAGATTTCCTTTCTAGGATACAAAAACGGTGCTTCGTCCCCGCGCCCTATTGTCATTGATCAAGAGTTTGCGAACCCGAGATGAACAGATGACATCGCGATCACAGCTCCTCCATATCCAAGCCTCATATCATATCACAGCCATCGAGATGCGACCGGGTGCAGGTCAAATAACTCTCCCGGATTACATACGCCATTTGATGAGCGGGTGGAGGCAATGCGAAACCTGCAACGCCCAGCTGACGCACATGTCTTTAGGTACTCCGTATCCCTTGCAGTTTACAGCTGCTCGTTGGCGATCGGCTCGAAGATAAGAGAGATTCGATCTCCGCAGCTTGCTCACTTCAGCAATGGCGACAATGATGCACAGTGGTAAATTCACACCGTCCACTCATACAAGGATACCGCGAAATTCAGATCGAAGCAGGAAATATGAATTGAAATCAGTATTTCCATAACATACTCCTCATGCATAATTTTGCCCCAAGTCGAGAACTAGAGGTGCAACGGCTATGTTTTCGTGCAGTACAGTGAGAAAGTGTATGCTGTGTGCGCTGGAGTTAAATATGACGCTTCAATGGACGAAGGAGAGAGGATACGCCACCTCAACGACCCCAACCAACGTATGTGCTTCTATTGCAACAGCTTGGTTCCTCGCCCACAAGCATCAATTCCACGGACCCGAACATTGACGACATCTCGTAACTCGCGTGGGGACCCCGGGAGCAACGGGCCTGAAAGAAGCTGGCTCAAGCAAGGGAGAAGGAAGTTCTTGCTTGACGGATATGTAGTGGATGCCCTTTTTTTTCAAGCTGAAAGGACCCTCCCGTAGCATGTTGCTATCAAGGCTTATCGAGGTCAACTCTTGGTGCCAATTGAACTCTCCCCATACCTCAAGCAACAGGCGAGGAAGATTTGGACAAAACACACCCAGTAGAGCAGAAGGAGCAAGCTGATATGATTCGTGTCCAAGACGGCGCTCTATTCGCCCGGTAGTGTGTTGGAGCGGCCAATTGGCCTTACAGATACCTAGTTACGTAGTTCCTCGTGAAACCCAATGCTTTGTTGATGGATTTGTCGAGAGAAATGACAGCATGATCTCGTTAAAAAGCTTTGATCCTCAGGATACACTCCATTCGCTGACTGGTCGGTTGTTGGCTTCGAGCTGGATCTGGACGTCCAGGACCTCTTTTTTTTAGTTTGCATGGCCAAAATTCTGATGATTGGTTTCCACAAATCCTGGCATAACCACTCTTGGACGAGCAGTGGGCAAGTGAGGGAACGGCCCCTGCAAACAATCGTCCAGGATGGTGCAAACAAGCAGCCAGTGAGGATTCCGTAATCGGCGGACAAGAAGTCCCATAGCTCGGAAACCTGCGATGCTCAAGCGCCATCGGAGTCCCGCCGTTTAGATCCCGCCAGGTCCAAGCAAGAAACGGTTGGTCCAGGGGGCCCTGGAACAGAGCCACAACCACACCGGTCCCCGCAGCCAGTAAACTCAGATCAGAACTCACTAATACCTTTTTTTTTGAGTTTTCACGCAGGAGTCATCTGTGGCAGCTGTTCGTCGGCGTCAACGCAGAATCTGCAGATATCTGCTTCCGATTTCTCAAACCGGAGCAGGGAGAAAAAAGGTACCATCGGGGCTGCTGTTACGGCAGCACAAGCTCAAGCAAACAGGGCCAGGCGAAATCCCCCAGTCACGCGTGCTACGTCCCTTGGCCACCCCCGCACGCCCGAGATACGACCCTAGCTCGAGTACCCAAAGTACAAGCACCTCTCCGCTCTCATCGACCTTACTATCGCCATCCATCAGGCTCTCGCTTCTTCATCGCCAGACTGTCCATGCATTGTTGACAGGACCAGGGCTTGGTGACATTCGACCCCTCGTTCCTGAAGCTCGGCCATCTGCCGTCCTGCCCTTCAACTGTCGAGTGATAAAACTATACATGCAACCAATCACCTATACTTCGTATACTTCCGCTTGCACTTCACGCTCTCTCTCTCTCTCTCTATATCAGAGCGGCGGACTTCTACAGCCGTGCGTCTTGCACACCCGATTGCTACAGACACCTGGCAGATGGTAGCCGGTCCCTCTGTTTTGTTTCGTTGACCGAGACCTCTGCGGCTGGACAACAATCCCAACAATGTCCGCAACAATGAGGCCTATCAACACCCTGCGCCCGTGTCGAACTGGTACCCGTGCGGGGTTCCAGAGGCGTCTGGTGCTCGCTCTTTCAGGTACGAACCCTTCAATATCTTAAAGGCTGGCAGCTCGCCTTTTTTTTTTCTTTTGTTTTTGTTTTTCTGGGGCGATCACATCTTTCTAACGACGTCTCTATTTTTTTTGCCCACCGTAGCTTTCCAGTCTCGCACATTCTCCTGCACTGCACAGAGACGAGACGATAAACTAAAAACTACCCCTTCCAATCTCATCACCTCCGTCCCGTACTCAGCCCTCACGGTCGGCGTTCCCCTCGAAACCTACCTCAACGAACGCCGTGTGGCTCTCACGCCTCAGAATACAGCCCTCCTCCTCAAGAAAGGCTTCAGTCGCGTGCTCGTCGAACGCGGTTCCGGCTCCGAGGCCAAGTTCCCAGATGAAGCGTATCAGAGTGCGGGTGCGACCGTGGTTGGGCGCGATGAGCTATGGGCGGACAGCGACATCCTACTCAAGGTCCGCGGTCCTAGGATCGAAGGAGATATCAGCGAGGTGCACCAGATGCGCGAAGGTTCAACGCTACTTTCACTCCTGTATCCGGCGCAGAGTAAGAGTGTCGTGGAGGCGTTGGCCGCTCGGCGGGTGACGTCGTTCGCGATGGATATGATTCCTCGCATTTCTCGTGCTCAGGTGTTTGACGTGTTGAGGTGTGTGGTGAAACCTAGTGAATGTTTTACGTATCCAGGGGGATATAATAGATGCTTATGAGAATGGGTGTTGTACAGTTCTATGGCAAATATTGCGGGCTACAAGGCCATCTTAGAGGCGTCAAATCACTTCGGCAGGTTTTTACCCGGTCAAGTGACTGCAGCTGGGTAAGTGTTCACAGCTCCTCGGGGAAATTTTCTTTATCTAGAAGCTCAAGCTAATCGTTTAAACGCTTTACAGAAAGGTTCGAGGATGCTTTCCCGTATTTTGCATCTCTACAATGTCTACTAATTCGCTTTTTAGATCCCTCCGGGCAAAGTCCTGGTCATTGGTGCTGGTGTCGCAGGTCTTAGTGCAATCTCTGCCGTAAGCTCCCTCCCACCCTGGTGTGATAGTGAGGGTATACCATACTTAACCTTGCTAGGCGCGTCGGATGGGTGCAATCGTACGCGGTTTTGACACTCGCTCCGCGGTGAGAGAGCAAGTTCAATCTCTTGGAGCTGAATTTATCGAAGTTGATATCCAAGAAGATGGCTCCGGAGCTGGTGGATATGCAAAAGAAATGTCCAAAGAATTCATCGAGGCCGAAATGAAACTGTTCCTCGAGCAAGCTCGTGAAGTTGACATCATTGTCACCACGGCTCTGATCCCCGGGAAACCCGCTCCTAAGCTGATCACTGATGAGGTACGGAAACTTGGTCCAGATTTTCGATTGGACCAGGCTGACACAGAATTTAGATGGTCGCCGCGATGAAACCAGGCTCCGTTATCGTCGATCTGGCGGCTGAAGCTGGAGGAAATTGCACGTTGACCGTTCCGGGACAGTTGGTGACTCGAAATGGCGTTACTATTATCGGTCCGTAACGGCCATTCAGACCCTGGGACTTGAGGAGTACTGACATGTATACAGGTTACACTGACCTTCCGTCCCGGCTTCCCACGCAATCCTCTACTTTGTACTCGAATAACATTACCAAGTTCTTACTCTCAATGAACCCTGAAGAGAAGCACTTCGGTGTCGACCCTACAGATGAAGTCGTACGCGGCTCAATCGTCACGCACGGCGGCGAAATTCTCCCGCCAGCACCGCGACCTGCACCTCCTCCAACGCCGCAGCCAAAGGCTGCAAGCACAGAGGTGTCCAAGGAGTCCGCTGAGCTTGCCCTGACGCCGTTCCAAAAGGTATCCCGCGAGGTGGCGACCGTGACAGCGGGAATGGGATCAGCTCTCGCGCTCGGGAAATTTACAGGCCCATTGTTCATGAGTAATGTATTTACTGCCGGTCTCGCAGGTCTAATCGGATATCGAGTTGTCTGGGGTGTGACTCCTGCTTTGCACTCTCCCCTGATGAGTGTGACCAATGCGATCTCCGGTGAGATATCCAACAGGTGAATCAAGCTCTTCCTATCATTTTCTAACATGCTTCTTTCTTAGGTATGGTCGGTGTTGGAGGCTTGTTCATCATGGGTGGTGGATATCTTCCTGGCACCATTCCTCAGGCCCTCGGGGCTCTGTCTGTCCTTCTCGCTTTCGTCAACGTATCCGGTGGATTTGTGATCACCAAGCGCATGCTTGATATGTTCAAACGTCGGTTATGCTTCCCTCTCTTAATATTGTAGCTCTCTAACACTTTTGCAGGTCCCACTGATCCCCCAGAGTATCCTTGGTTATATGCTATCCCCGGTCTTCTCTTCGGTGGAGGATACATTGCCGCCGTAAGCACTGGAATGGCAGGCCTTGTGCAGGCAGGCTACCTCGTGAGCAGCATTCTCTGCATCAGTTCCATCTCTGGGCTTGCCTCCCAGGCAACTGCACGACAAGGAAACATGCTCGGTATCTTAGGTGTTAGTTCC